AAAAAATATATATAAATCGCGTCAAAGTAATGTAAGATGGAAAATGCCAATTACACTTGTGACCTTTTGCAATATCACGATGAAAAAAATGCATAGTAAAAGTGAAATAAACACGAAATCCAAAAAAAAAAATAATAAAAAGATAAAAACGAAATAAAAGCAACGTAAAAACGAAATAAAATCAAAGATAAAAATGAAGGTAAAAAGAACATAACGATAATATTCTCTTTAACGCAGAATAATGTTCTCGTACTGTAAACATCTTAGCACTCATATGTATAATTACTTTTGTGAAATATTATTTTTGTTGTTGAAACTATAGGTTTGTCTACTAGTATGTGGTAAATGGAAGGGGTATAAAATGAAAAATATGAGCAATTCAATTGGTCATTTTGCTAATTCGTAATATTACTATTATAACTTGCGTTAATATTTTGTTTTTGCAATTTTGCGCTTTGCTAATTCGTTATTCGATTACACCTGATTGATTTTCATTATTTATATAAATTTAATTATACTTTGTTTTGTTATTATTTTGCTATTTTTTTTCTTTTTTTTTTTTTTTTACCATGGTTCTGCTATATCTCTTTTCTAATATTCTGCTGTTTCTTTGCTATTATTATTATTATTATTTTTATTATTTTTTTTTTTTTACTTCGCTATTTTATTCTCTTCTTTTTTTTAACCTTTGTGTTTTATTTTTCGTTATGATTATACTTTTGTTCACGAGTGAAAAATATTAACACATAATAGAAACAAAATAGATGTATTTTCCGGCATAAAGATAAATAAACAACTGTAATGTTAAAAAAAAAATAAAATAAAAGCATGAGGAAATTATGAATTACTAATTAATGTTATTTTCCCATATATATGCATACATAAAATGTTAGAAACTTGTTAAAAAAAAAAAAAAAAAAAAATAGTTGTACATGAGTATATATACGCACTTAAGATGAAAAAATAATAAATGTGAAATCCAATGAATCATTTGTTTTTGATTGTCTTAGGGGGATAATAAATTCCACAAAATAATTTCAGATTTTGATAAGTATGCACATATAAAATGTACACAAATATGATTATAAAACCCTGAATTCGTTTCTTAACTTTTCGTTGTTTTGTGGGAAAAAAGTTGGATTACTTTCTTGTCAATTTTGATAATTTTTCATTTAATTTTTTCCTTAATTTTATTTAATATCTTTAATTATTTAATATATACATATATATATGAAAAAGAAAAGAAGAAAAAAAAAAGATATTATATACCCTTAAGTAATTCTTTACAACATGGGTGCTAATTTGTTTAACACAATGCATTATACACACGAGAACGAACGAGTGAGCAATTTGTGCGTAAAGTAAAAGAAATAAAATAAAAAACAAATATATGCAAATTAGAAAAATTCAAAAATACCACGCAAATAAAAGGAATTATGCCTATGTGTACATATATATTATAAGAACATATGCAAACATACACATATTGTACATATATACAGAAACATGCATATGTTTAACATATATACATAATACACATATATACACTTAGACGTACTTACACTTATGTATACACATGTACTCATTTGTAATTACGAGCACAAAGAATTAATGAACGAATGACTCTGTAAAATAGTAGATCGAAACAGTTACAGCTACAAGCAAATATATTTTGCTATTGTTTAAATAGTCGGGTTGTGCACATTAACACAAAATAAAAAAAAAAAAAAAAAAAAAAAAAAAAAAAAAAAAAAAAAAACATCACAAAATAGGAATTTTAATATGTCTTAGGATCGCTGTTATATTGAACAAATAGTCTTCAATATAAAATGTATATGTACATATATACTTACATAGGCATACATGTGCATAGGCAATTTATACATGTTTTAATTTGTGCTTACACATATATTTTTATTAGCATTTGTATATATATAAAAAAATAATTATTATATATACATATTCTCCAGGTAATTTTTCTTTTTGCACGAAAAATAGTCATAACAATATTTTTACGCATGTACTTAAATAAGAACAAATAAAATGTGTTTACAGAATGTACAACTATTTTGAGTTTTTAATGGGAAAATTTTTTTCTCTATTTTTCATTGCAATTTTGCTGGAGTTATTTTCAAGGTCAATTTTGTTTTCGCTATTTTTTTCTGTAACCTTTTATAATATATTTTTATTATAACTCTTATCAATTAATTTTTATGTTCGCCATGAATCTTTTTTTTTTTTTTTAATCTGTGCACCTTATATTTATATGTCGGATTAAATAAATATGAACAAATACACACAACTACAACCCTATACACCCGCATGTCTATACCATTATTAAATCTACATTTATCGACGTTCTTTAAGTCTGAAAAGGCGTATAATCTGCATACCTATATAAATATATGTGTAACATGCGTACACATTTATTTATTCGGGTTTACCCCTTTGCAATAGAGTCTTAGTTGAGGGATTATTTTCTCATGCTTATCGTACATTTCGCGCTTTATTTTGATTTTATTCTTCTCTTTAGACTATGCCAGCCGCTCGCCAACATGTGTCATTTTATTTCTTTTGCTTTTTTTCTGAAAAAAAAAAATAATTCACTCAGAACTTGTACGGTTAATATTGCTGTTCGTGTTCATATATACGAGCACATGTGCATACATTTTCATAGCATTTCAAAAAAGAAAGTCTTTGTTTTTGTGCTCATCCATGTGTGGTATATTCTTTTAATTTTTTCAAAGTCCACAAAAATAGGAAAAAAAATTACTTCTCAAATTATGCTTTTACAACTTCCGCAACTTAAATTTATGCGCATATGTTCCTTCATGCAAAGTTTATTTTTTTTTCCACCAAAAATGTTTTTTAGGATTAATTCACTTAAACTGATGCCAATTATTTCATGTATCTCCCTTGCGACAGTCAAATGAAGCAAAAAAAAAAAAAAATAAAATAAAATAAATACATTTATATATATATATTTGGCATGTAAATATGTTTAGATAGAACAAATATTTTTTGGCCAATAATTTTCATCCTTACAATTTACCGTTAAAATGTGTATGTGAAAAACTTTATCTATATATGCCTGTTATCGCCAGTATGCAGAATAAATAAAAGAAAAAAAAGAAAAACAAAGCTCAAAACAAGCAAAGAAAATATGCCGCAAATACATAGGTGGAAAGAGATAATGAAAATATGGGGCGCGGGTGAAAGAAAAATCCATAGAGGACACAAACAGAATAATTCCTTTCTTAAAAAATATTGGATTTAACTATAAGAATGTATGAACTTTTGTGTTCTACAGTTAATAAGTAAAAAAATATATATACGTATGTTGATATTATTGACTTTCTTTGTTATTTCCACTTGACGCAAATGTTATCATATATGTAATAACCATTTGTATTTCCTTTTTTTTTATTCATTTTTTTATTTTGTCAAAAGCTGCATAAGTTTAAAAAAAAAAATTTTTATTAGTAAAACACGAAACATTGTAGCGTCAGATTAACGAGAATGCTATTTCTGATCTAAGAATAAACCTCTTCACACAGCAAATGCATATTTGAAGCATGTCTTAACGAGAAGTGTTATTTCAAAGTAATAAAATATGGATAAACAAAATTTACAAGCTGCCGTTACCTGTAAAGAGTGACTCGTAAACAAGTAAATGGCAATAAAATGAAATATACAGCAGTATATACCCATTCGAATGTATATATATATATATATATATATATATATATATACATATACATACATATTTATGCAAGAGCACGACGCCAAGAAAATCAAATGCGCAAAAAAAATATGGAAAAAGGAAACATGTTAGACCCTAAACATTTAATTTATAAATGTATGAATTTATCCATCACACATTAAACACATTGGATATTCAATGTAAAATATTTTTCGCTTAAGATAGGACGTAAAAATTAGAACACTTCAGTTGTGAGGTGTAAAATGTTTATTTTGGTGAAATGCATAATTAAAATCCATGCGTTTTGCAAAAGTGAGAAATCATGGAAAACATTGCAATTTTTGTCATAATTGTAACTAAAAAAATTGCAATATTTTAGCAAAATATGCAAAGTAATAGAAAGAAAAAAAAAAAAAAAAAAACTTCTCCTATCCTCAATGTCTCACTACAGGAATATATATGTGGAAATTTTTAATTACATGTATACATATATGTATAATTTTGTTCTATTTTTCTGGATCACATTTTTATTTTACTAGTTTGAGTCTTCTATTATCTTATGCGTTATCCTAACTATTTGTAATTTGTTACCAAAAAAAAAAAAAAAATAAAAAAATAAAATAGTATGAACAGTTAGGGATAAATTTTTTTTTTTTTTTTTTTTTTTATTTTTAAATAGCTCCAAATGTCACATATCCAAATAAATACATGAACATGCAGGTAAATTTATCAAATATGCAAACTTTCTCATGGCTAGTTTAAAAAATGTGTATTACTACTATACCAGGTGAACAAAATGTGGTTTTATGTTTACTTGTATATATGATTATTTTTGAAGGTTTTTTTTTTATTTTATTTTTTTATTTTTATGTTTGAATCATGGAGAAAAGGGAAGATGAATCTGACTCAATTGTAGTGAAGTGTTCCTGGCTAAATTATATTAGAATAAAAATAATAAAGCAAAAACGAATGATAAAATATATTGAACAAAGTATCTCAAAGAACTATGTCTTGTATTAACAAATTTTAATATTGATACCAACTTTTCTTTTTTTTTCTTAGTTTCCTTTTTTGTTCTTTTTTGGCATTACGAAATGTTTCTGGTATTATTCTGTTTGTAATCTGTTTTAGCATAGTATTTATTGGTGTGTATATGAGTGCGTGTTTGTCGATTTCCAGTGTAGGCATATTTCTCTTGAAAGCTCCCTTGCTTGTTTGTCAACCTTTGATTTATTGTGTTCCTTCAATATCCCCCCCCCCCCCCTAACCAAATCACCATAAATAAAATTTCTTTTAAATGGAGGAAGGTAGCTACTTGAAAAGGTTGGCAAGCAGGAAAACTCGAAGAAATTTCAGCATACATCCTGAAAATGCAATTTTTTACGATTATTTTAATAATTTAAAAAGAAAGGCAATGGCTCAAGGTAATACGAATTTGGTTATTTCTTTTAAAAAAATTATGAGTTCTATTTTGATGTACCCCTTACCAATTAAAAATAGCCTTGATGCTTATAAATTAAAAGGGGTTGGCAAACAATTTTCATTTTATTTTGAAAAGGCCTTGAAACAATATGCGGGAGATGGGGAAAAGAAGAATAATAATATCCATGATGATCATGCATCATCGAATGGAAGCACTTCCAACATTTACAACCATATAAATAAAGTTATCACAAGTGTTAACAGATTTTTAAAAGAACTGGATAATGAGGTATATAACGTTAAATTAATTGGCGAAGAGTCTGATGATAGCATTTTAAGAAACATTAAGGAGATCAAAAATGATTACTTGAACAGTAATCATAAAAAGAGGGGAGGTAACATGGATGTGCAGAAAAATGAAAAGGAAAAAAAAAAAAATAAAATAAACAAAGGGAAAAAAGCTATTCCCAGAAACAGCGATGGTAGCGATGGCGACAGGGGTACTCATCATAATCTCCAAACTGATAACCCCAAACTTGAGGGAAACCACAAGTTCAATGAAGACAATAAAATTTATAACTTATTATATTGTACTTCAAATTCTCACGCCTATATGAATAGAGCTAAATTAAATGACTACACAGTGATTTCAGGAAAACCCATTAACGGAGAGAATTCTATTGGTGTAGATGAGAAGAAATTATCCAAAAAATTGGATCATTTTTCTTCTCCTTCTTCTTTTTCTTCTACTTCTTCTTCTTCTCCCAATGAACAAGAGAAGAGAAAGAGATTCACTGGAAAAAATAAGGAAATTAAAAAAATCAAAGAAATAGAATTAAACCCTTTCGAAAAAAACATCATGAGATTTCTTGAGAGATATGGAGATTTATATAACGATTGTGCAGTAAGCATGGAAGAAATAACAATTGGATTTTTAAAATATTATCAGAATACTGAAAAAGTAAATTTCAGGAAATTGAGTAGATTAATAAAATTGCAGTTCATAGAGAAGGTAGAAATTTATGAAAGTAAGGCAGTTGTTTCTGGTCGTATGGTTTTGGTCCCTAAAACTTGCACTTTGGACGAATCCAACAACACAATCACCAATTTTTCTTCTACATCTAATGTCTTTTCTCCTCTCAGTGTTTCTAATTCGAAAAAGAGTAAACTGAAAATCATTAACAAGGTTAAGTTGACAACAAAGGGAAGGGAATTCATGCACAAAGAGAAGAAGGATAGAGAGGAAAAGGACAGAGTTGTATATGAACAGAGTGGGTGCGCATGTATACATACGCATGCACACATAGGGAATGAAAAATCTAATGAACTTGCAACTGATGTGTTTGAAGAAGAATTCAAATCTATGGACACAGAAGGGGAAGAAATTAAAATGAACGAATCAAATAAAAAAATAAAATCTGAGGATAGTTTTAAAAGCGTAGAATATTTATCAGAAAAAATGAACGAATACGAAGAACAACTAAGGCGAGAAGTTACTTGTAGTGATACTGAAAATAATTACAAATTTGAAAATGACATAATAATTCATGAAAAAAAATTTGATGATTATTTTTTTCTTAAACAAGGTCCAAATGAGGACAAGGCAAATTCATTGTTTTTGCAGGATAAACAAATCGAAAAAGAGGAAAAGAATACCAAAAATGAGTACTCACAAATGGAGAGTCCTTGCAGTTCTGAGAATGCAAATTCAAACGATTCTGTAGATAAAAATTGTAATATACCATTTGAATCAGCTAAAAAGGATCAGCTGGATGATGACCATACCTATAGAGAGAATGATTATAATATTCAATGGGGAGCAAGACAAAACTCAGAACATGTTATTAACGAATGGAGCAATGCACATAATTCTTACAGTGCGACAACAAAACCATGGAGAGAAGAAAAAAATGATCTTATCAATTTTGAATTAAAATTGGAAAGAAAAAAAGAAGAAATTAGAAAAAACTTAAAAATCAGTTTGAGGGAAAAAGTACAAAAACAAAAAAATAAAACAATGAGTTTATTCGGCTACGAGGATCAATCAACAAGTAACAATTTTAATGAGTCACAGAAATCGCAACCACTAAACAGTTCCTTATATGAAAAGAGGAATATACATGAAAATAAACAGGAAATTGTATGTACACAAGGCAGTATAAACTTATTAAATATTGGCTCCCTGAATGGAAATGATCTAAAGAATATGAAAATAAAATTGTTCGACATATCAGAAGGAGGAAAAATAGATAAATGTAAGGTAGATTCTGCACTTGAAGGAGTAGCAGATGTAGAGGAACCATTTTATATTAAGCAAATAAATGAAGTTCGAACCTGCAGTCATGATCACACAATAAGTGAAGATATATGTGTAAGTGTGTGTGAAAATGTTTTTGAAGATTCTTTTTTTACCATCGGATGTGATCAAAAGGAAGAGAAAGAGCGACAGAACTGCAACGAAGAAGATAATGATAAATGTGGAGAAAATGAATGGCCTAAACATGATAATATCGAAACGAATATTTGCCAAACGAAAAAGATTATACAGTGCAAACAGTTTGATACAATAGAAGAACGAAATTTGTTTATGAACGAGGCAGCATACAATGATGATGTAATAGATTTATCATCAGAAAAACATTTATGTGAAAATAGGCAAGATGGTTCAGATGCATATGAGTATGGAAATCTTTTTAAAAAGAAGGAAAAAGGGAGAACAAATACTTCATGTGATAAAATGGAACATGACTCGTACCCGGGTAGTGTAGTGATGGAACTAGGGAATGAAACAAAAGGGAGGGGTAAAAAAAGAAAAAAGCATTTAGATGAAGAAGTGAAGGAATACCATGTTAGAGAGAAAAGAACGAAGAAAAAAGAAAGAAAAAAAATGAAAAACAATAAATTATTTCCCAACATATATCCCAACATACACGCCAGTGTTGAACCCTCAATTGACACTCATCCAAACAGGACAAACAATGTGACGTATGGATCTTATGAAATCGTTATGGTAATTGACAACAGAGATATATCTGGATTTGGTAAGGAACTAAATGAAAAAATGAAAAAGATATTCGCGCGAAACAATATAAAATACATAACTAGGAATTTACCGTTAGGTGATATCATCTGGTTGTGCAGGAGAAAAGTTTATAATGGAAATGTGTCCAAAAAAAAGAGTAAAAGTAAAAGAAACAAATCGATGCTCGTTGAGCATAACGAATTGAGTGGTGAAGGTACATTAATGAATGACATGAGTAATAGCAATACTTACTATTGTAGTAGAAGTTACGACAAGAATGGAGATAGCAAAAATGGAGATAACAAAAATGAAGACGAAGAAAATGGGGAATATGAAGAACATGTATTGAAATGGATAGTAGAACGGAAAACGTTAAATGATTTAAGTGCTAGTATAATTGATGGAAGGTATGAGGAACAAAAATATCGTCTAATGAGATCGAAGGGAATGTCTCATATAATATATTTAATAGAAAATAGTAATAATTCTTTTAAGAACTATACAAATACGACTAGAATTTCATATGAAACATTATCAAATGCACAACATAGTATTCAATTGGTTAGTGGTTTTTCCATATTGACTAGCCAAAACACGAAACATACTTTTTTTTTATTAGCAGAAATGCATGCAGAGATTGTTAAAAATATTCATCGATTTTGTAACGTCAAAGAAAATGAGTATATAATGAATACTGATAATATAACGATATACTTAAAAGATAATTCATCCGGATGGGAACAGTGGAACAATGAATCCAAGAAATCTAAAAATAACTTAGTCAAAGAAGTGTTTGGAAAGCAACTTCGATTGATTAACATGTGCGGGCCAGATGCCACAGAACTTATCTTGTCCCTCTGGCCTACTCCTATCAAATTGAATATGGCACTAAGTAGATACACGCACGATGGTATTCTGGCCGAGAAAATTAGGCAAATTTACTTGAAGGATCGAGACCTCTTGAGAAAAAGGCGCGTCAAATGTCCCGTCGACACGAACGTAAGGCTCCAAATTTTGCTCTCATGTGCGATGGACCACGGCGCGCACGTGTGCATAAATGAGTACATTTACGTATATATACATTTACGTATATATACATTTACGTATATATACATTTACGTATATATACATTTACGTATATATACATTTACGTATATATACATATATGTATATATATACACATGTATGCATATAATTCCTGCATGTCTAATGGGCAAAATTTTTCCTTCGCAGCTCATTGCACAGCTGAGACAGATGTACGCTCCTGACTCTTTTTAAACTATCAAGGGCCATGGCCATGGTTTTTCAATTTTAAGACGAAGGAAAGTGGTGAATAAGAGAAGATGAGCATACAGAGGGAAGAGAGAATACAAAAGAAAATCCAGCAGAAAAAGTACAACTGTAAGACATACAATATGATTATCCTTCATTAGAATATCTACATACAAATGCATTTGTCCCATAAAAGTGTGTGAACACTTGGATGATCTCCGCAATAGTTATTTCCACTTCCTCTAGCTTTTGTGTAAATTTTATTTTTTCAAGTCTCTCAGTATAGCTAGCTATAACTATTTCTGTAACTTTATACTATAATTAGTTCATTTTGTTCTTCATTATTTTTTTTTTTGACTATTTTGTTTTTCACTATTTTGTTCCCGTCGAATTTGATCCCTTTGAATTTATTATCCCTCAATTTATCAATTTTTTAATTTTTTTTTTTTTTTTCCCATCTACACGCTCCTGCCGTTCTCGAATAAAAACTCAAAAACTGATATTTTAAATGAAAACTAATTAGGCATAGAAACCCAAGGAAGCAAAAATGAAATAGTTCAAAATGGAAAACAAATAGTTTTATCACTTACATAAAAGGTGAAAGTCGGGAATATTAACAAATCACTGTCGATTTGATTTAAATGGCCGTGATTTAAAAAAAAAAAAAAAAAAAAAAAAAAAAAAGGAAAGAATCAAGGAAGGATGGAAGCATGGAAGACGCAACTGCATAATATGAACTGAATTTTTGCGCAAACAATTTCTCCATTGTATTAGTTACTCAAGTAGTGAGAACAAGAAAACATAATTAATACAAACTGGTATATTATATTTGTACATGTAAAATACGATGGCGAAGTTCATAAAAACTAGTTCCTAAGAGTGTAAATCAGAGGGGGACAAGGTATTGTAATGGGTTTTCTTTTTTTATTTTGTCTCTTTAACAACAGTAACACAATAGTTAGAGGGGTACTCGTGTGTAAAAACAAAAAAAAAAAAATAAAATAAATAAAATAAATAAGATAGGTAGTGACCCATATCAGTGGGGAATGAAAAAAAAAAAAAATATATATATAAATAAAAAAGTAACATAACATGTGTTGTGACATGTTAGGGGAAGAAGAGGTGGCGCTGATGAATTATAAAAGTTACAGTGTATGTTAATTAGCAGCGCATAATGCATTTCTGGAATAAAAAACAAATGCTAGAGAACATACGAATGATATTTGTGACAAATAAAACTTTACATGTATATACTCTCCATACAAATACCCACACACATATGCTGTCTCTGTGTCTGTGTATGTGTCTGTCCGTCTGTGTCTGTGAGTGCTTACTACTCATGACGAAAAAAGGGACTTTAGTACGTCATAATTCATTAAAGATGAGATATTTTTATCTGATTTTTGTAAAGCCATGATAACAGAATCTCCAGTAGATTGCATTTCTGGAAGATCATCATTTTCTTTTTTCTTCTTTTTTATATTTTTTTCTTCCAGATGATCAGGATAATAATTCGTTCTTTTCTTTTGTTTTTTAAGCTGTTTAAAATATTGTGGGAAACGAGTTTTCATCATATCATCCCATATTAGCATTTTACTTTTTCTTTCTTTTTCTGATAAGATCATACCTTCAATTTCGCTATCGTAAAAATCGGATAGTGATTCATTAAGTTCATCTATTGATCCATCATCTGATAAAGTATCTTCTACACTGGCATCTTGATTATCCATGATATTGGAATTATTTCCAAATATATAATTGAAATCAGATAAAATACTGCTTGCATTATTTGTATCATCATTAATACTATTTTTTTCATTATTTCGATAATTGTCTTCTCTGTTACTCCCATACCCCAAAATGTTAAATTCATCAACATCATTTAGTATATTGCTTAATTCAGAACTAAGGGTCTCTTTAAGTGTGTTATGATATATCGATTCACCTGGTTCAGGGTTTAAATTTATGATATTCTCTTGCTCCACTTCATTACTATTTAATGCATTTCTGAAAAAAGCGTGATCATGGACATTTCTAGAATTGTTTTCCAACTCATGTGGGATGAGATGGGAATTTTTATTTTCACATATATTACGTGGATGTGTAAGATTTTTACTGATAATCGCTTCAGTTGTTTGTACGTGCTCTAACTCGGATAATCGGTTTGTGCTTGAAATAGCTAGCGTCGACTTGATGGAAAGCTTGTCCTCTTGATCTAGATTTCTTTCATTTTTGATCTTCATTTTGTCGATGCTTGCTTCGTTCGCTATTGATTCGTTCTCTATCGCTTCATTCGCTATTGCTTCATTCACTATTGCTTCGTTATCGATTGATCCCTTTTCATTCTGACCGTCTGAGAATTTTTCATTTTTGTTGCTTTTCCCCATGTTGTCACTACAGCCACTTCTCACACTATCAAATTGAGCATTATTATTATTATCAGAACTATCTCTCATTTTAAAAATATTCGATTGCTTTTCCACATCGATCTTGCTGATAATTTTTTTGGCTAATTCATCTATATCATTTCCCTCTGGATTTTCATTGCAGATTTCTTCTACATCTATTCCAAAGCTCGATGCAACATCTCCATCCTCTGTTTCGTTCTCCCTGGCAATCTTTCCACTCGATAATCGGCTACTTAATGTCATATTCAAATGGATGTTCTGATTAGTCATCTGACGACAATCATTGTCACACATATAAATGCACACGTGTCCACTCATCAGATCGCTGTTCTTGGTACATCCTCCGTTCACACTACAGCCAGTTGTGGTGATATCCTCCAAGCCATTGCATGAGGATCGACCATCTAACAGAGTTAAATTATTGTATGAACAAGAGTCATCCGCGTCATATTCATTTACACTATTCATAGTGTTGTGGAGTGATACTGTGTCTTCATTACAATTGGGAGAAAACTTTTCTTCGGAATGGAGGAATTGTTCAGAATCTCTCGTTGTTTTATCACATGCAGCAGGAGAAGTGGGAGCAGAACAGATATCTTCGCTATCACAAAGAGATAAGGTTTTATTTTTAATCATATTATCTCTTTTGAATTTTCTTCTATTGTTTGCAATAACACAAGGAGGCAATGAATTTGAAGGGATATCGTTTAGATGTATTTTATCAAAATCAGAAACTTTCATTTTTGCTGTACTAGTATTTTTAAATTCTGATAATCTTTTAACAATTGTTGGATTTGAAATTCTTACAATATTTGCAATAGTATTAGAATTAATAAAAATACCATGCATACGTGTAGATATTAATAGAGCAGCTCCACATAAACCTGTTGGTCTTCTTCCAGTACAAATCCAATCTCTTGCCATTGCTTGAATCAGTTTTATCCCTGTGTACGTAACTTTATATATATCATTCTTTAAATTAAGTTTATGTGCGAATCGTTCTAAATACAGAGACGGATCTATATTCGGCACATTTATATGTAACAATCTTAACAATTTCATAAATGTTTTGCCTAATGGTTTTACAGGAGTTTGTAAAATGTCACTAAAATCTATTAGCATTACTGGTGATTTTTCTCTTCTGCATATTGTATATAGACAAGATGCAGCCACATAAGAATTATTTCTTCCCATTGTGAAATTTCTTTGCAATGCCATCAAATAAATTCTTTGTGCTGATTCCACATACTGAGTAGAAAGGTGTAATTGATCTGCAATTTTCTGGATGTTTATATACCCTTTCTGAAGAGATATTTCTCTGCTTTCTCTGACTCCCCATGAAAGTATGAAGGATTTGTTTCCGCTTGACGGAACGAATTGACCAACCTGATAATACATACGTAGAGAAAAAAGTAAAATAGGTTCATAGATTGCACATAATCTATTTAATATCGTGGCTAGTAAATAACTTATATATATGGGTTGTACTATATTTTATTTTATTTTTTTATTTTTTTTTTAGAAACAGTATTGTGGCAATACTTACTGCCAAATTTTCATACCATTGAAATAGCTCCATTGTTATTTTCTACGAACTCCAACGATTCAACAATTTTGTTTTCCTCAAGGACGGAACCACATCTAAGGCAGATGACCTCTCCCTGCCCTTCATTTGTTTCAACATCCGTACTGTTGCAATTTTGACATACGATTTGATTCACTAAAGATAAAAGAAGTAAACAGTGGAATGTGTAGAGGATGTGGTTTGATCTGCCAAAATCTGCACATCAGTGAACTCATAAAAAAAAGGCCACGTAGAACGCATGTTCTATAGGAGTCGATTTTTTTCCCCTTCTCCTCTCACGTACATACGTAAGTACATATTTGCAAGTACGTCTGTGCGTATGTATATGCACATATTTATTTATTCATTCATTTTTCTTTGTGCTTACTTTGGCTGATGGGGTTTCATAAGGTGTTCAGTTATTTCGAACAAGCGATGGTGCAGCAGGTAGAGACAAGGTAGTGCTATTTTTGATAAACCTACATTTACTGCGCAATTTTAAGCTTCTGCTTTTTATTGGTTTCTTCTGAATGATTCTGACTAGTTCTAACAGTTTCTAGCCGCTTCTAACAGTTTCTAGCAGCTTCTAACAGTTTCTAGCAGCTTCTAACAGTTTCTAACAGTTTCTAACAGCTTTTAACAGTTTCTAACAGCTTTTAACAGTTTTTAACAGCCTCTGACTGTTTCTAATTGGTCATTTGGAAACTTAATCTTTAAACACTGGGAACTTTTCTTCAACTCCAATTTCTCTTAATTTATTAGTTGTGCTCTTTAAAATTCAGAGGATCGATTTCTTCAGATCATCTCCTTCCGCTCATGCCCTTCTTGCAAATCCGATCACTTTTCCTACTTCTTTCTCTCGTCCGTTTGGCGCCCACGATTCAAATTTTCAAAAAAATTAAAACCCCAAGCAATAATTAAACTTTTCAATCATCAAGTAGTCAAAATGCAAAATAAAAAAAAAAAAATAAAATAAAAACATCACTAGAAAAAAAAAAAAAAAAAAAAAAAAAAGCTGATATTTTTAAATATAATTTTTCCATACGAAAAATTTGACCTCATTTTGTACATATAATATAATAGGATATTCAGGTATAAAAATCAGAACAAAAAAGTAAAATTAATATATATTTATCCTTATGTTATACATACATTTACATGTACAATCCATGAACAGATGGCATATAACGGGGAGAGTGCCTTAACTACTAAGGGAATATTTTTTTTTTTTTTTTTTTATTGCAGCACGGTGGTGATCATTTTAAACGAAAAAAAAAAAAAAAAAAAAAAATGGGCATTTGATAAAAAACATTTCCTTTGAATTTTCGCTCTTATACCAATCACAGCCCTGTGGCAAATCATTCATCTTATATAATACCTGCACAGAATTATACAAAAATATACATGTAATGCAATGGTTCACATTCTGTTCATACTGATCATGTTAAATTTATCTTACATAACAAAATCATTAACCTTCCTGTTCGGTTCATATCATCTACACAAATATATATATATATAATACTGTATATGTGCACATATTATTTTCCACGGCTACGTGATAAATTGTGAAGAAAAGAAAAAAAGTTATTGCTTTGAACCCATTTTTTATAAACTATTTTATATATTTATTTTTTATTTTTGTTCATCAAAATGTTGCATTATAAATCGTTTTAAAAAAAGAAAAAAAATTAATTTATACATGACATGACATTACATGAAACTGGAAGTGAAATCATAAAGGAAATCACATGAGGAAAGAATTAGAATTTTTATTTTTTTTCATTTTTTGTCAGATTCATTTTTACATTTTGTACACAAAGAACATAGGAAATTATTGTACTTATCGGTAGTTCATACAATCATTGTTGTAATTTTCACTTCCACCCCTCGTGTGTCATGTAATTATTTTAAATATGGAGCACAACCCCATTATGATGATTCTCTTTTACTGTCATAGAACCATATTGAATGAACTATAATTTGAAAAGTCCTGAAAAAAAAAATATTGCAACAGGAAAAATCGGATAGTTAAAATGGGCTCAACCCTAGTAGGAGAAGAAAAACCGTAGACAGAAACCCCATTGCTACGTGTCTATAAATATATATATGTAGATGGATAGATATATAGATGGGTAGATAGGTATACACTTTTGCACTTTTCAATATGCAGAAAATTTTAAGTGCATAAACATGTTTGTAGATATACCTATATGCCAATTCAACATAACAAACGTCTGCCTATGCTTATGAGAAAGATACCATATGAAATTTTTCTTTTATTATGAAACCAGTGTCGCAGGTGTTCATATAATTCTCGTGGTCACTTGCATCGCAGAAATTGAATAGGGCAAAATAATTTTGCTAAAAATAACAAATTTAATGATACTCAAGAAACCGTTATGTTGTGTGTCCACCCCGTGCAAAACATGAACATGTGAATGATTTTTAAAAAAAAAAGAATTCCATTCCTTAAATTTGTATAACACTTTGTGTGCTATTCAGTTGGGGAGGATGCTTAAGTTTGGGATTTATTTTTAAATTAATTAATGGCTTATATGCATGTGAAAATTTTTTCTAGGAGTAGAATAAATCCTTAAAAGAGCACTAACCTCATACCAATCTTTGCATAACTTGAATTTACACACACCTGTTAGTTGTAAAAGATAAAAGAAAAAAAAAAGTAATATCATTTACAAGTTATAAAAAAGGTAAAAAAAAATTTACTAGGTGATGCTTAATTTGGTTAATCCATAAAATACACTATTGTGAACCCTAAAACAAATTCTACAATTTTTTAAAAAAATTCTTATCTTCCCCTGTGCCTGCTTTTTGTCATTCGAAGGAAAAGACCAATAAGGTGTTGAAACATGTTTCGTCTTACTTTTTCGGTGAAGCCTTCATTGTATCTTGTTTGTTTCTTTCTTTCTTCCTTCCTTCCTTCCTTTCTTCCTTTCTTCCTTCCTTCCTTCCTTTCTTCCTTTCTTCCTTTCTTCCTTCCTTCCTTTCTTCCTTCCTTTTTTTTTTTTTTTTTTAGCCCCCCTGAGGGAATGTACATTACTTCACATTGAACAATTCTTTTCTGCAAATTTTAGATTGATGCTAGATTATCCATCGTTGTGAGAATCCTTTATTATTTTTTTTTCTTTAGTCTCTTATTAAAAGAAATAGAAAAAATGACAATCACTATGGTTGTACATTTTATTTTTTTTTTTTTTAAATGGAATTTGTTATAACATGGGAATTCAGAAAATGTTATTCATATGTGCAAAAATTAGCATATGTGTATTTGAGCTTCCTATTTGATGATTTTTTTTTTTCTTTATTTTTCTTGATAAAAAGGAACAGACTTTTCATTTTGACTTAGAGATGCAAAATGTATGCATATAGAGAAAGTATACATATATGCAATTTACTTTTAAGAAAGTTATATTTATTCCAACTTGGCATTAAAAAAAGAAAAATAAAAATCGAATTTATAAAAGGGTGATAAAAGAAAAATAAAGGGACGTACACGTTCTATATTTGTACAGAAGTATATGATATAGCATGCACGTTCTTAGCTAACATCACCCAATTTTAATGATGCCAAAAATATTGCTAATGGTGTAAGTGTTATTAGTGTGCATATGAAATGCAACTGAGGGATGTATATGTATGTTCTTATAAAAATATATGTATTATATATCCGTTTGTGTGTGACAAGGAAATGTCGAAACTGAGATAATAGAGAAAAAAAAAAAAAAAAAAAAATCTATAATGGCAATAAGGCCCCAAGTGAACCATTTGCAATGAGCATATAATATTTCTTTTCAAATTTTTTCTCATATTCATTTTTTTTATTAAAGGCACTTGTATGTACTATCTCTGAATGTAGCATGTGCTTATTTTAATTTGCACCACAAGGTTTCGAAAAAATAAAAAAAAAAAAAAAAAAAAAATGGTTTCGATCATAGTGTCCTTGTTAGTGCATATGCAAAATATGTGATATTATAAGTGTGTGCATATTTTTTTTTTTTTTTTTGGGAATGATGTTTCATTTCTTCTTTTTTATAGGTTTCTTGGTAGTGGGTTTTTTCACATTTTCTGGTACAGAAGATTTTTCTTTTTTCGTCATCTTATCGACTTTTTCTTTTTTATTGATTCTGCAAGGGGAATAAAAATAGAAAAAAAAAATAAGGGTTTGTGTCTTGTTCATTAAAATGATTTAGTGTGGTAAACCATTCAGGATGCTCATTGTTGTTAGGCACCGTATAATTGTGTTTGCAGCAGGTATTTGTCTACATGTGTATATTTTTCTTTTTTTTGTCAAAAAAATGAAGGTTGAAAATGTGAAAATGTTTTTTCATGGATGTGGCATTTATTTACAAAATTGTTTATGGGAAAAATGAAAAGTTCATGGATTAGTTACTCAAAAAAAAAAAAAAAAAAAAAAAAAAAAAAAAAAAAAATGAAGCAACATAATAAAAAACTAGTACTAGGTAATGTGTGCAAAGAAATGCGGACTGAAGTTGAAGTGCAACATAGTGGTACGCATGATAGGGTCAAACACATGAAGAAATTTTTTTAAGGTTGAATACATTGAACTATATACACACGAACGGAAAAATGCTTCATCAAAATAAAATTTGCTGCTTAGAACTTTTTTATTTTATTCTTATTCTTATTTTATTTTTTTTTTTAATTAATAATCACTCTTCATAGTACAATATATATAATACAAAAAAAGAAAAAAAAATAAATAAAATAAATTGATCTATGCACAATAGAGTATATAAGCAATCGGATACAAGAAAATTCACCAAATCATCACAAGTCTGATTGCATCACCTTATGTTACGCAAAAGAGGGCTCAGTGACCTGTTCTATCGAATGTACATTTGTGTATATAACTATGCATAAACATAATATGCAATGGTTCCCGCAAAATTATGCGTCAAAAAATGTGCTATCATACAATTTTTTGGGTTTCAGCTTTTGCTTATTTGAAGAATCTCCCTTTCCTTTTGTAGTTTTTTTATTAGTTGGTTTTTCTCTAGTTGATTTTTCTCTAGTTGATTTTTCTCTATTTGGCTTTTCTCTAGTTGGTTTTTCTCTAATTGGCTTTTCTTTAGTTGCTTTTCTTGCATTTTTATTTATGTTCTTTGTAGAAATTATTTTTGCTTCTCTCTTTTTTGCAACCATTTTGCTGATTAACTTTTGGCTAATCTAAGTTTATGAAATCGAATTGACACAAACGTGAGAAATGATTAAAGGGGGGGAAAACGAAAAATGAAAAAATAAAAAAAATTCGAATGAAAAGATGGAGCATGCAAATGGTACATTTATGTGGGAAATGTAAGTGGAAAATTCAAATGGGAAATTTAAGTGGAAAATTAATGTGGGAAATAAAAAATAAAAAATGCAGAATAGAAAATGAAAATAAAAATTTCAAATAAAAAGTGAAAATAAAACACAAAAAAAAAAAATGAAAAAAAAAAATATATCAAAAGCAAAAGCAAGTAAAAACAAAAACGAAAGGACAAGGATAAGCAAATGTGGAGGTGAATTTACATCCCCCCCAGAGGATATAGCAAATTATCGGTGTAATATTTTATGGCAAAATCTTTTTTTCCTCAATCGCTTGAAATTTTTTCACTGATACATGAAAATTTGAAAGGCATAGAAGGAAAAAAAAAAAAAAAAAAATAAATTAAAATAAATGTCATGAAATGTTACTAGTTAGGAAAACGAAGATTGACTATTGTCTATATGCAAAGGGGATAGTTCTGCCTGTAGAAGTTCTCATGAAAAAAAAGTTTTTTTATTTAATTTACGTTAAATTTTGTTTATCTTGCGAAATTTTTCTTCTCCATGATTTTCATTGCTTTTCTTTTCTTTCCTTTTTTTTTTTTTTCTTTTTTTCCCCATCAAATTTCCTTTTCAATATAGTTTCATATAATTTCCTTTTTTGTTTTTGTTTCGCTTCCTCATTTGTTGGCACGTAATTAGCAACACACCCACTCAACATTATGACAATGCAACAATGGAACAATGCAACAAAGTAATCACGCAAACATGCAACAGTGTAACCTTGCAACCTTGCAACCTTGCTATGGTATAACCAGCCCTTCACCTGACAATGCGAATAGATACTGGAGTTTTACATCATAACAAACATAAGTGTGTTACGAGCATAAAAAGCTCTTTTACATGCAACTCAAGAATAGCAAAATATATAGGTACGTATGTTTATGGAATGCTTATCACATATAAGCGAATGTTTTCATTTGCTGCGTTATATTGTTTGGCCAGAGAGAATACTTATGATATATAGGTGGGGAAATGTGTATTTTCGTGCACCTCCCTAGGGAATATACGTGCATTCAAATAGGCATATATATATTAATTAGTCCTAAGAGGATTATGCATAAGGGGTGCTATATATCTTTTCAAAAAATTCCACCTTTTAAAAAAAAAAAGAAAAAAAAAGAGTATTAGTAGTTACACATTATGAGTACGTAATCGCTGCTTTAGAACAAGACATTGTGCTTTTTTTTTTTTTTTTTTTTTTTTTTATTAGCAATATATATTATTTATGTTCATATCTAAAATTGTGCTTCTTTTTTAATCATCATATTTATAATCATACCTTTTTTTTATTTCTTTTTGTACTCTACAACTGGTTTCCCTTCTTTTATTCTTCGGAAGGAATAAAAAAGAGTGAAAAGTCACGCACACCCATTTTGCCCATGTGCAAAAACAAGGAATAACAAATTAAAAGGACATTTCACCAATTTTACACATAAAATATATAAATACTTAAAAAGACAACAGTTAATTAAATATTCTTTAAAAAATGGTAATGAGAGAAAAAAAAAAAATTGTCAAAGTTATGTTTCCTCATTTTTAATTAAGCAATGAAAAAAGCAACTAAATCGAAATGGGGTTAAAAAAAAAAAAAAAAAAAAAATGCAAGCGTCGAACGCAACTTGTACCTTTATAGGAACACTCTTTTCTGCAGCATTATGTGTGCATGCGCAGATCATTATATGTAAATCAAGGGTGATCAATTTATATATGTAAATGAAATTCCTTTATCTTTCATTGATGTTTTTCAATTTATAACCATACAATAATAATTTTTAAAAAGAGATCTATTTTACTTAGTAAGCTGAAACATTATATTGTTTTATATTTGTTTAGTTCTGCTTTATCTTTTTTTACTTCATTTATTTTATTTTATTTTATTTTATTTTTTTTCCTTTATATCACTCCCTTATATTTCAAAGGGCATAAATTCTATTGTGTACTTTAAAAATTAAAAAATTACTTTAAAAAGATTCTTTAGTTTGTCTTTTTTTCACCTTTTCTTTTTTTATTTTTAATTACTTATTAGGAGAGTAAATACATATAAATATCCAATATAGACATTTACAGAAAATATTATCAGTCTTGAAAAGGGGGAAAAAAGAAAAAAAAAAAAAAAAGAACACTGTAAAGGAAAATTCTATGTGCACGTAAAAGGTGGAAAAGCGCTTCACCCAACTTATCAAAAAATTTCTGCCAAAAATTTTAACGTGCTTAAAACAAGCACATAAATACGAATAAGAAAATAAGTCCCGAAATTAATAAGCTAAAAATTTCAAAAATAAAAATGCAAATTGGAAAATAATACTCTGATTTTTTTTTTAAAAAAAAAAAAAAAAAAAAAAAAAAAACTATTGTAACAGCTAAATACAAAAAACAAATTAAAAAAAAAAAAAAAATAGAACAGTACAGAAAAATTATATAACATTATAACACACTTTGCCAATTTGTACAGTTCCCCTGATAATCCATAAGGTTCTTCAAAAATTACTCACTGAACTTTATTTTCCCTAACACTGAATCAATTTCACTTTCGGATGTTCTGTCCGTTAAACCCTCAATCTAATACACAAAATGAAATAATTTGTAAATATGTTCGCATAAAGCGAAGTTATAAAAAAAAAAAAAAAAAAAAACAAGTTAACTTCTTGTGTAAAAAATTTCCAAGTTTGTTTACCTTTTTTATTTTATCAGCGGGAATGTGAAATTTGTTTCCAATTTTCTTGATTGGGCATATACTGAAATGAATAAAAAAAAAAGCAAAATAAAAGTAATGTAAATCGCTCTAAGATAAATGTCGAGTGGGAATACAGCGAAGCGGGTGGTAAATCTTACACGCACATATATATATATATATATATATATATAATCAGTGCACAGATACACACTTATCGGATGTAACATAAATGTTCTCCCTCGATCTTATTACTTGTCCAGAACCACCAAAGCTACTCTTGCAGTGCATTTCATTTCTGCGCTTCCACCTGTCGTACACTATAATGAAGGTATTTTTTTAAAATGTATGAATGACTTATTTTACAAAAGGTAAAAAAAAAAAAAAAAAAAAAAAAAGAGCATTCCAATTGTTCAAATAGGGGAAAATCATCTTTCCATTCCCTATTTGAGCATTACACAACACGGATATGTATGCATTCATATGAACGAACAAAGCAATGGAGAAATATTTATTTGTTCCAACCTCAAAAAGGGCTTCAACTAGTTTGTTAATTTCCTTAAACTTGAAAATGTTCTCTTCAAACTTGATTATCACAGCAATTAGACATTTAAGACATATCAGGTTGTATGTTTTCTGTTTTCTGCAAAGTGGAATGAACAAACACAGTTTGGTATGAGTGTTTTTTTATCTGGAAGGTAATATGAGGGCGTGTCTTCAACACGCATGAACACGAACGCATACGAATGATGAGGACTCGAACATTGGTAAACGTGCAGGAGATGAGTATTTTTTTTTTTTTTTGTATTTTTCCCCTAAAAAATCTCCTTACGAGGTAATTATCTTAACAAAGTGTAAAATGAGCTTGCTCTCTGTACACGAGTTGCATATAGATAAAAGTGCATTGTTAGCAGCATTGCTTAAAAAGTCTGTGGATGTTTGATGGGCCTTTTTTAAACATGGTAGGATAACATCATCTAGTGTACAATCCATTCTTTTTCTGCCAATTGAATAAAACTCTGATAAACACAGTAGTGCATTTTTTGACACACACGACCGAGGGCTATTTAATAGTTCAATGATTGAGCGGGATATTTTTCTTAATTCTTTTACATGATTATCAAAAAATAATTTATGATGAAATTTTAAAATTTTTCTTAAATTAATTAAATTTTCTATTTGCTTTGTCCATTCTTGATCTTTTGTAATTTCTATCAGGTTGTTTATAATGTCATTTATATTGTCAACGTTCAGTTCATATTCAAAATCTGTTATATCATCATATGTTAGATAGGTTACTGATTTTTCATTTTTTATCTTAGAGCTAACATTTAAACATTTTGGTATACTTTTATTCATATTTTTATTAGGCGTAGTGTTTCTTGATATTCCCTTTATTTCTTTCTCATGTGGATTAAGCTTATCTTTCACTTTCAAATTGGGTACTATAGTTTTGTCTTTACATAACACTCCAATGTTTTCTTTTCCGTCTTCATGTTTATGAAAATTCACCATGTTTGTGTCGAACTGATTGTTCTTTCTATTCAAATTGTTGGAATTCATATGGGGAGGTTGCTCATTACTTTGTTTGATTTTTATTTCATTTCTGCAGTTAGCTGTGCCACTAGCACTGGTAATAGTAATCCTATTGGAAGTAGTAACACTGTTGCGCAAGGGAGATATATCTTCATCCATTCTGGAGTTGCGGTAATTAATACCCTTCTGAGAGAACTGAGATGTGTGAATTTCTTTGCTTTTAGTTAGTTCTGCATTTATTTTTTGGTTTTCATGTCTTTCTCTCTTGTAAATTACACAATGATCGTCAGACTTAGTGCTAGTTTTCGAAGTGTCAAATGTGTCACATGTGTCACGTATATCAACTTTCTTCTTTTCAAGATATTCGCTAGTTGGGTGATTTATAGTATTCTTTTCTTTCACATTTGATTCTCTTTTCTGTATAGTAAAATTGGAATTCTCAAATAAATTATCCATACCTACAAAACTACCTTTTTTAAATCCATAATCATCCAGCAGATTATCTTTTACTTTACTTGTTTTTTCAGTTTTTTGATTATTTGATTTTTCACACATGATGATTTCATTATGCCATTTTGGCATTATATATTTCAGGTCATAATTGTTATTTACAACTTTATTTGTAAATCCGTTATTTTTAGTGCTACTGTTTTTATTTTCATACTGTAGTGTATTCTTTGAATGAACATTTTTGTCACTCTTTTTCATTTCATGAATTACTGGAATTTCATAGCTATTCAAGAAATGGCTACTTTTATTCACTAGTGTATTTTTCTCTTCATGTGCATTTTCATTCAATGTGTGAACATTTTGATTGTTCACTGTGGAGTCATCCATTTGGATGGAATGCAAGTCGTTATAATTTCGTCTTGGTTTAATTAGTAAGTGTCTTTCTTGAATTTTGCCTTGATTAGAATTATTTAAGTAATGGGTATTTTCCTTCATGGAAATATCTATTTTTCCTTGATTATTGTCCGTCTCAAGTTCTGATTCTTCTGGAATACTTTTCTTTTTGACACAATTATCGATGTTATCATTGGTGCTTATAGATTTCGGTACTTTGGGACATGATGGATTGTTTTTCTTGAGTAGCGTCAACTGATACCTCTGCTGTGAAACGGTTGACAAAGGAACGAAATGGTAACCCCGTAAAATTTATAAAAAAAATTATGTAAATCAGTTTTTTATGTAAGGGACACATACAAAAATCATTCCCGCTCATTGAAACGTGAATCAAATGGGAACAGACTTCTTTTGTATTTCCAAAGGTACACAACATATGTTCACACTTTTGAAACAGCTTAATATGAATACTCCAAACAAACATTATTTGGACATGAAAAATGAGTTAATGATGGTAAAACGAAATTACACATATGTACCATGTCAAAAAAAAAAAAAAAAAAAGACTTACAATTTCGTTCAGAGGGGATTCTAAACTAAGTTCATTTAGTTTACCATAATGTTGATAATTTTTAAAATCACTTGATTCCTTAATTTTATTCTCTTCAGAGTTGTTATTTTTTACTAAGTTTAGACCTATGGCATTGGTTCGAGTTGAACCTAGTTCGACATTAACAAATAAATTTTCATTGTGAACCTTTTGTACATCTTTTCTTTCTTTATTTAGATAAAATAAATCTTCAACAAATGAGCAATCATCGTGCTCGTCAATTGATTTTCTTTTGTAATTTCTTGCGTCTGCAAAGGTAGTAGAATGTGGTGAGTATATCACAGTAATTAATTTGCAAAGGAATGTTATGGTATGGAATCAAAATTTAGTAATGTTCTATCCTAAAGAAAAATGTCTTATTAATTTGCTTCCCCTTCCTTTTACGAGCTAGTAATTATTGAAGGGTTAGTGGAACACTCTATTTTTACAATCTTTGTTCATATATTCTATTCGATAAATATGTATAATATACCGTCTATGAATGTGTTTGTGTGATTGCTGTAATTTTTTTCTCCTATAGCAGGCATTTTTATTATCCCCCTTGTGCACTTTTTTTTTTTCTTCTTTTTTTTTATATGGATAAACGTAAATTTTTTGCTTTATTCACACTTAAAAGGTTTTACAAAAAAATGACAAAATGTTTAGGGGAAAAATACTGAATTAGCAAAGTGGTGAAATGGCAAAGTGGCGAAATGGAAAAATGACAAATGTCAGAATCTAAAGTGACAAAATGGTGAAGGGCAATATAGTGTTATAATATGGGGATGTATGGAAAAACGAAATTTTCAATGCTTATAAATGTGTAATGGGATGGCTAAAATATTATTGTAGTAAATAAATATATATTTTTTTTTTTTTTCTAACATTTTTATTTTTTTATATAGTGTATTAAAAAAAAAAAAAAAAATGCACACACTATACAGTAACGATGCACGTGTATATATTTTTTAGTTTCGATATTTAGTTAATTATATTTTTGTGTGGAAATGCTATGGACATTTTATTTGCAAGATTATGTGTATACCAATATATATATAGGAAAAAGAAAAAAAAAAAAAAAAAAAAAAAAAATTGGCACTATTTTAAGAAACTCGAAACACGAACTTTTGCAGTAAAAATTTATAAATACCATGGGAATTAAGATGTATTATTTTTACTCTCTGTGGAAAAACTTGATCATATCTAATGCACAAGTTGAGGTGTATGTTGATTGAACAGTAATTTGAGGAACGAGTTTTCACACTTATTTTGCATTTATATGAAATTTGTTCCCAAATTTAAAAAAGTGTGTTGCGAGAGTGAAAGTTTCATTATTTGTTAATATTTTACTCATTAATGTGACATATATAATGGCGTGGCGTGTAGATTATTAGAAGGAAAAATGATGAAGTCCAAAGGGTGGGAAATGTCGAAAATTGGAGGAAAAGTTTGGACTACTGTTTAATGCATGGGTGAAAAAAACGAAACAAAAAAAAAAAAAAAAAAAAAATTAAAACACAACCAATTATGCTACGTGAAGTTTTAACAAATTATTTCAAAAGTAAGCAGGGAGAGTTTTAACATTTTTTCTGTATACTATTTTAATTTTTTTTATTTTATTATCTTGTTTAAGAAGTAGCATACAGGTGTGAAAAATAATTTGTATCCCCAGGAGAGGACCCACAACAGTAAACCGTTTTCTTAAAATTTACATTTTCCTTGATCCATTAGTTGTACTAAGTGTTACATGTATGTTTTATAACTTTTATGATTTAACAAGCCGTTATAGCATAATTAGCACTTAAGTTTTTATTCTCACGAATTAAAAGTGTGTAAACTTTTGGAATATATAAAATTTGCACACTCGAGAAAAAAGGAAAAAAAAAAAAAAAAATAGCATATTTCGTGTGCACACACAGACCTGTAGAGAATATATATATTTTTTTTTTTAATATATCACTTGTGAAGGCTATTTATAAAATTAGAAAATTTTGAATTAAGCGTTTTAAAATATTTCCAATAAAGTGAAAACTGAATGTTTCTTTTATGTGTGAAAGTGTATTCTTGTACCAACCTGGCCATGTGTTTTTTATTATTATTTTTATTTTACTTTGTTTTCCACTTTGAACTTAAAAAATAATTTCCTGCCTCAAGTAGCTAAGATGAAAAATCGCAAATTTTTTTTTTTTTTTATAAATTATAACAGCTTTAAATTAAGTGGTGAGCTACACATTGTAGAGGGGACATTGGGAACTGTTTGGAATATTAAAAAAAAAAAAAAAAAAAAAAAAAAACCTTACACCATTAAAAATACAAAATTAACTGTTTTTGAAGAAAATTCAATTAAACCAAATAAACTCATGTATGAGGACAAATTGTACAAACAGTAAAAAATATAAAAAATGACATAGAGTTTTTTTTTGGTGCAAAAATGAGATCATTTGTAATAACTAAAAAGACATGCAAATAAGACCAATTTTATGTCCTGTCCTGTTCATAATATCAAAGATCATTTTAATATAAATGAGCCAAAATGCAACATGCAAAAAAAAAAAATAAATAAATAAAATAGTCCTACATCACTAAAAGCTTAATGACATTTCTGAATGCAGTGAAACTTTAATTAAATTAAAAAATCATTTTATTAACTCAGCATTCATAAAAACAACAGCGCTTTTTTTTTTTTTTTTTTTTTTTTTGCCATGCTATTTTATAGCTAGCTAGAAAAAAAAAAGTGTGTATATATAAACATATAATCAAAGGTGAAAAATCATTTGATGGATCAGTACAATGGTTATTTGAAAAAAAAAAAATTATAAGTTAGCTCAAAAATGATAAAATTAAGGTCTTACGATTTCAATTTATTTTATTTTATTTCATCACATTTGAACATAATTTAATACACACTATTTTGTTTCAAGCTTTTTCACCCTTTTCATTTCATTTTATTTTTTATAACGAACAAATGTGTCTTTTTTTTTTTCCCCCCCCCCCCCCTCCATTTTTTTGAATTAAAATCATCGAAACATTTAACTTTAATGTCTCGTCCCTGATGTTATTGCTTTTTCACACACATAATTATAATGATGCAAACTTATTGTGAATATTCACTTTTAACAATTTGATATTTCGGCTTTTAAGTTACTTCAAGATAAACTTACACATCTGCATTAATAATTTACAATTTATGCTTTGAAAATTATGCCTTCAATTTATGTCCTCAATTTACATATTCAACTTATATCTCCAATTTATATCCCCAACACATGCATTACAATTTAAGCCTTACAATTTAAGTCCTACAATTTACTCCATAGCATTGATAACGTTATGCTTTAAACCCTTCAGCTTTAAAAAGTTTTCGAGTTTTTGTTAACTTTATTTTTAATCAACCTTTTTTGTGTGCGTTACTCTCTCAACATGAAATCATTTGTGTATTACACCGGTCTCTTAATATCCTTGGCCTTGCAGTTGAGGGCCATCCAGCTCAATTCTAATAACATGCACCCAATTTCATATGTTGAACGTAAGCACGCTAATTGAGAATGTATGCATATTATGTATATGTATGTGTGTGTGTGACATGTATATCTTTTATACACAATATGTATTAGGCCACATAACTCCATTTTTCACAATGAGCAATAAAGAAGCATACTTTGTTACTCACGTATATGATCACCAGTAAAAATGCTGTGGGTTTTACGCACTTATATTTTTTATTAAAAAAGAATTGATTGTAGAAAAAAAATATATATTAATTTCCGTGTTTTTTAATTATCATTTTTTTTTCTCTCTTTTTAGTTGGAGACAGAATTTCGAACAAAGTGGGAGCATTATGGAAAAGCCAATTAGATTCATTTGTAGATGTTGTATCTACCAGAATTGTTGACAAATTGGAAAATGATATATCAAATAGTGACGGCGCGGAGAACATGTTGATTCTTCTAGAGGTATAAAACTGGAAAATTTGGGAGCACACATATGGGACATATGCACGAACATACACCTATATATATGCATATTGATATATACATCAACTTTTGTATATATTTATAATATTTTTAATATACAAACATGACTTATAAATATGATTTTTTTTTTTTTTTTTTTTCCTTTTACGCAGAACAATGCTGAGATTTTTGACACAGCCACATACAATGGACATAACATGGCACTTATTGAGGATGAGTTTATCAATAAATTGAAAGAAAAATTCCATGGAAGTAATTTTGGAAAGGGAGTAAAAAAACTGGGATCTAAACTTAAGGGAAAGTTAACAGATCTATATAAAAAACACAAAGATAAACTGAAACACTTCTTAAAAGTTATGATTACTGGTTTAGTCATACCAATGGCTATTAAATTCATAAGAAAGCATTTGACCTTGTGGAGAAAGAAAACTTTAGACGTTACTAAAAAACTTGATGAAGATGCAAGAAATGTAGCAACACCAGTTATAAATGCATTATACGATCAATTTGAACAAAAACTTCAAGAGTATGCCGAGGAAAACCAATTAAATTCGGACAAAGAAATGAATATAATGGATCAGTTACAATCTGAAAAGAAGAGCATTGAAAATATCGAAAAGCAGGAAAAGAAAATCTTACAACAATGAAGAATGGTTAATAAGCCAAAAAAAAAAAAAAAAAAAAAAAATATACAATATAAAATAATAACAATATAATAATAATAACAAATAATAATAACAACAAATGATAATAACAGTGAAATGACAATAACAATGCTGTAATCATAACAGTGGAATAATAATAACAATGAAATAATAATAACAATGTAAATAATACTATCGGCATAATTATCCTCCACTACACATGGTAATTACATGAGCCTAGTGCAATGATGTCCTTTTGTTTCCCGTTAGCCGAGCGTTAAGTGAGGGTTTTATCCTTTGGTAACAACTTTTCGACCACTGTTCCTTGGTTTATATTCATTTCATTTATTTATCCATTCACTTATGTATTTATTTATTTATTTACATTTTTATTTAGATGTTCACTTATGTATGTTTTTATTTATTTCTATTTATTTACTCCTTTTTATTTTTTTTGTTTTTTTTTCATTTCCCGCGCTCGCCGAAAAAAGTATGTGAGGGGATCTCCGTTTTTTGCTCACACTCATACTTTCATGAAGTCATATAAACGGTTTGTATATATATATATATATATATACATGTAGCTAGTGTGTGCATTTATATGATGGATTCGTCTGTGTGTGTGGCTTTCCGAACACATTTTGTTATGTCGAAACCTGCGAAACAGGTAGTGCTACACATATGAATATAGCTCTTTGCCAGAATTCTGTCGAATCACTAGTTAAAATTTGTTGCATATGAATATTTTTTTGCACACGTTTTTTCTATTATTCTAATTGCAATTTTTAACACACTCTCTTCTCTCTCACTTTTTACGAATTCGATTTCACTTGATTTTAATATGACTATCATTCAATAATTAAGCAAACAAATTTTCTCCAAGTTCCTCAATAAACTCGTTTCGGTGATTACAATTTTAAGCATACAACACTGGAAAATTAAAAAAACGTAAAAGCTTCTAATTGGAAGTAGATCTGCTAGAACAACATCGGGAGTAACTCCCCCTAATTAAAGAGCACTATATTTCTTTTTTTTCTGAATAAAAAAATAAAGCATGTGAGGGATCTTCGCCTTACGAACGGCGCGTTAACTTAACCTCTTTCTACATAAGAATGAGAATAAATAGAACTTTCAAAATAGGATTTACTTAGGAAATTCATTATAAAATATGTCACTTTATTTTTGTCCATTTTCATTTGTAAAAAATAAGTAAACAAAAAAAAAAATAAAATAAAAAAAAAAATAAAAAAAAGGGAATACCTGGAACATGTACTATTGTTGGGCATGCCCCATGTGTGCCTTTCAATCTGCGTTAGGCTTTTTGTGTGCTAAAGTGTATAGTGCAATATTAGGAAATATATTTTTTTTTTTATTTGTTTTTTTATCTATTTTATTATTTTATTATAATTTTTTCGTGCGCTCTGGGATATAGCAAATTGGTGTCAAAATAAAAATTTTTTATATGTTGCCAAAATAAGCCTTACATGAAAATAAAAGCTCGAAAAAAGGCTAAGTGTATAAGATGATTGTGAACCTGTTAGATAAAAAAAAAAGAAAATAGAGAAAAAAAAAAAAAAAAATTTTAACGCATTGTATAAGCATTTAAGCTTAAATTATTTCGCCAATTCTCCATATAATTCTGAACAAAAAGATACTCTTTTTTTCTTTTTTCTTTTTTTTTTTTATTTATTAATTATTTTAAGTTTGTTTATATCTTAATGTAAATTAGTTTAAAACATGGGAGAAAATGAAGGCGTTAACGAATCATACAAAATGGGAAAGTTAAGTAATATTGCCAACGCATCATACATTTTTGTGAACATTTCATTATTGTATGCATACCCGACTATGTAAAAAGCGCTAAATTTTTTTTAGAGTCCCTATATATGGGACATGACAAAAATTTGCCTAGACACATGAAATATATAAATGTGCTTATAATTTTTATTTTTAATTTCTTCAGAACGTAGCCTAACAATGAGTTTGTATTTTGTTGGAATATCTACCATGTCGTGGTTTATTTGTGTAACCAAAAGGAAGAAGGAGTGGTAAGTAGATTAATGGCAATGGGGCACAACCATAAAGGTATGAACTGAAATGCCACATAGAAATGCATAAAAAAGACACCAAAGAAAGATTTCCTTGGGCCCCTTTTGCATACTTTTTAAAGTAACTTAACTGGTTACGTACGCACACATACATCTGTATCATCTTTTTCACACTTGCGTTACACGAATATAAAGTATATATTATATATTTAACATATGTAACGCATATGACGTGTCTAACATATGCAAATTTATTTATTTTTTTAATCAACCATCACACCCTACAAAAAAAAAAACAAAACAAAAACTTTTCGTAGGGCTGATATAATGCTAGATTATGTTCATCATAAAAGATGTTCCTTTCTCTCCAATTCGTGGGAACTTTTTTTGAAGAAAATCAAGTCATAACCAACTTTTATAACTTAATATTAATTTGATTTTTTCTAGTAATGAATATGTGTAAATATATTCCAACATGAAGATCAAAAGTTGGATCATGTAGTTATATATTTTTTCTATTTTTTTCTTTTTCTTTTATTTTTTTATTAGTTATATATTTTTTTGCCCCCATAATTTAGTGGTATCTCATATTGTGAATTGAAAAAAATATATATATTTGTTTCACTCGCATAATATGTTTTTCACCCTTTATGAGCACTACAACATTTTTTTTTTTTTTTCTGTATTGAATAAGACCTTTAATTTTTACACATTTATGAATAATTTATATAAATTAGTAAAAAAATAAAAACGGCAAGGTAACATTGGTTATGTTTATAAAAATTTAATCATTAAAATAAAAACTTTCATACGGCTGTTTGAATATCTTATAATTAAGATGGCACATAAAAATAAATGTTAAGGTGGTATTGCAAATGAGTGGAATATATAAACATTAGGGTGTACTTATTCTTCTCTTCATTTTATGATTAACTTAGAATTGTTTAAATTTTAGTCTTTTTTTTTTTTTTTTTTTTTTTTTTTTCGTTTTCTAATGCAGCATATGTGTCTCATTAAATAATAAATTATTGGTGTGAATAATTTATGCCCCCATTAAGAAAAACAGTAGCAAGAATGTGTAAGCGCCAGACAGTTGTTCATCCTTTTGCGAAAATAAAAAAAAAAAAAAAAATAGTGAAATGATTCCCAATGAGTAATCAGTGTAAGAACTCATGTATGTTGCAACCTAGGAAGTTCATTCTATATGGAGTATAATGTTTTTGAAACTTTGTGTGTTTATATATCTTATTTTTTGTATAATTTGAAATTTTCCCCCTTTCTATTTTTTCTATCCTTCGTACTGTTAGAATATATTTCCGTTTTTTCAAGGTGTATTTATATAGCTATATGCGAATTTATATTTATATACATATTAATCGATGGATCAACATGAAAAATATCATATAATCTGCATCACTATTTATTTATTTTTCTCAAATTAAAAAAAATTTTGAGGAGGATACGTGTGCTGTGGTCTTAGAACGTCTTTTTCCCTTTTTTTTTTATTTTCGAATTTTCATCCTCCCCTCCTGCATTTATTCAATTTTTCTTGAATCATAATATATGATGGCAAAACTTGTTTGAAAAATTGTGTGTACAATATTTGATACGTACTTTATTGAGAAGGAAAATCTTTTTTTTTTCTTTTGTTTTCTTTTGCTTTTTTTGTTTTATTTTTCCTTTTTTTTTTTTTTTTCCCACCAGGATAGTCTACCAATTGGTGATTTGCACGAAATAAAAAATAGGAAACATTTCATTTTTTTTCTAATTTCAATGCTTTTTCATATTTTAAAAAAGAAGAAAAGAATGAAATAAAACAAATTAACGACAAAAATGTTTTATTTTAACTTAAGGAAAAAGGGTATCTTACATACCTCCCACTCATTATGTAAACCCCTTTTGTGTAATTTTAACACCAGGAAAAATATCAACGTTAGTAAATTAATAAAAAGGAAAAATATAAAAAGCTACGAATTAAATAACATAGAAGATGTAGAAGTTCTGTTACAAGAGAAGCATCATGATATCTTTCAAAGCTATCCATCAATTAAAAATGTGAACAAAATTATCGATGTAAGAAATATTCCTGTTTTTAAAAAAAATGAAAATCCCAACAATATCTTGAATAAAGTGGCTCTTCATTTTGGAGGTACACATTGTATTTATGGTATTCTCCACCGTATGTTTGTCGCTCCATTCTGCACCATTACAGTTTGTTTCATTTCTGCATAAATAAGCATTTGCGTGTGTAGGTGCAAAGAGTGGCTTAACTATGGTACACATGGGTGACCTTCCACACAAGAGATACTACGCATGATTGATCCTACACACACATGTATGAGAACGCATCTTACATGAACACTTTCCCAAAAGGAAATTACGTGACCACCTTCACACCATTTTCCTGTAGACCTGTCATACATCAAAGGTGACGCAGCTGTGAACGGAACAAATCACACTTTCGAATTGACAAAGGAAGGAAACGGTTATGATTGTTCAGGTAATTTTTTAAAAACATGCGGAGATTCGCTCTTTAATGATATAAAGTATGTTCGAGAAGAAAATAAAGGAAAAGAAATATTATTAACAAAAGGGTATAACAGTGCATATAAATATATTATACATGTTGCTGAACCGTATTATAACGAAACTGCAAAATTAAGAAAATGTTATGAGTATATTTTATTAACAGCAAAACAAAATAGCCTTAAAACTATTGTTTTCCCCCTACTTGGTAGTGGTATTAGCTTATTTAAGAGACATGATGTTGTCGTATGTTGTTTGGAAGGAATATATGAATTTTTTAAGGATAAGGAAAATATGAATGCAATTGATAAAGTTGTTTTGTGTACTATCACTGATTCGTATTGGATGCTGCTAAGAGATTCTATCCCCCTTTACTTAGATATGGGTGTAAAATAAACTTCTAGCATAATGTGGGATACACTGTGTGTAAACTAGTTTTTTTTTTTTTTTTTTTTTTTTTTTTTTAAGTTATTATATTAGCTATAATTGGATCTTTTCTATAGATAGCTAGCTAGCTTGATATATTTTTTTTTTTTTTTTTTTTCTTAATATATATATTCTAGAATTATCTGCGTCGGTCATATTTTTAATTTACAACTTTTTCTTTTTAGTACAATTGAACAAAAAAATATAAAGAAATTGTACCCTTGTATAGAGATGCTTTATGTATATATCAAAAATTTTGAGTCTTTTTCTCAAGCATCACTTTGTGATGGAATATAGAATATGTTTATGGATAATTTGAATGTATTTAAAAAGTAGAGGGGAGGAAAAACTAGAAACATATTGAAAAAAATATATAAAAGGTATCAAAACAGGGAAAATGAATGGACTAGTTATAAAAAAGGAAAAAAAAAAAAAAAAAAAATGTAGATAAATAGATAAATAAAGATGGGTACAAATAAAACAATGAAATCTCAATAACCGTAGCTAACCACGCCTAAAAATGTATTTATAACTAGTCCACCCACCCCCTTTCTGGGGAACAGAACAAACTTCTAAAATATTTTCCTGTACACACACATTCTATATTGAGATAAATATGTTTATATGTTTCCATAATTTTTTTAAGGTTTTCAGGATTTAACTGATTCATTCTCTTCATTACCTTTTGTGGAGTATATATATCATGAATCAATGCGACGGGGGAGTTCCCTTTTGGCTATATTTTTTTTAAAAATTAAATGGGCTTCTTCCCAAATATTTTTAAACGATGTGCTACTATTATTTGTTCTGTTAATCGAATTACGAGTTGGCAATTTTGATACGTTTATAGTTTCATCATTCTTAAATAAACATGACCACCAAATGTATGAATTTTCAATTTCGTTTTTTTTTTTTAAAGAAATATATAAAAATGTTTCTTCCTTGTCGATTAACTGGTTTCCAAAATCGAAATGCAAATTTTGATTATTTACCTCATTTGAAAGATGAAAAATATTATTCCAATTGATTTTTAGGTTTTGTATTTCCCACAATTGGGTATCTTCATTCGTGTTTATTTTAAAGGGAAATGGTTTATCAATTAGGAGTTCCCAATTGTTGTGAGTTCCATTTCCGCTTTGCTTATGTTTATTTTGTTCAAATGTTTCCAGCTTTGTAATTTTTTTAACAACCAATTTATCTTCATCTATTTGCACAACTAACGATTTTGCTTTGCTATGTAAAGGTAAAGTGATATATGCGTTAATATCTTGTGCTGACTGATTCCATAAATATTTATAGGGAACAACACCTCCATTTATTATCATATTTTTAAGATTACTTTTATTTTTCAAATTTTCATTATTGTTGTCCCTTTTGATAATATTTTTTTCTACATCTTCGAATTGTTTACTACAAATGGGTGGTTCATTTTGTTCCTGATTCGTGCTCTTCCCTGCATCTTTGTCTTGTGTCTGTTCATTCTCATTTTTCAAAATAGATAATCCTCTAGGCCCTAAAAGGACTTTGTCATTTTTCCCTAGTGTTGTTATTTGTGGTTTTTTATTTTTACTTTCGTCGTCTGATGAGCTTACATCGATATTATCAAATTTGGAATAATTGATAATACTGCTCATCTTATGGACAAATTTGTATTTATGTTCTCACAATTAGGTTCTCTATATTGTCCTGTTCTGTATCTCTTAAGATTTAATTTTTGCATTTTCTCCCAAGTCAAGCTATTTTTCCTGCATCTCATGGAGTATCTCAATTTGTCAAACTAAAATATGTAAGCACAGGTATATGGGGTAAAAACTATATTTTGCACCCAGAGTTGTGAAAAAATGGGTAAACATGTTGTGCTCGTTTATTTCGATTAGTAGTTTGCCTAGTCGGTTGATCGTTTGAGTTCGTCCGCGAGGCTCCCTATCCGGCTATATGTGTTCGTTGATTAATCCATTTTTCTCGTATGTTTTTCCTTTGTCATGCTCACATTTGGGAAGCTTTAAAAAACATAATTTGCTGCACCCCTAGTCTTTAAAAAAAAAAAAAAAAAAAAAAAAAAAAATACATGAGCGGCAAGTTATACTCGTAAAAATAAAAAACGAGTGAGTTGGGTGCATAAATCTGGAAAAATTTTTCCTACCCCATGTATATTATAACTGCTCGTAGAAAAAATGAATATACACGTAAAGGCGCATATGAGTATGTAGCATGATTGTTCCCACTCATAGCATTTTTCTTCTCGCACTGTTTACATACTGCAGAGTATGTTTATTATGGATTGATTTTATGCAACTGTCAGAGATACATTTTCATAAATTCCAAAGGATGGTGTGTCATGAAAAAAAAATATATAAGCATAAATGAAGACGTTTTTGTAGAACGTGACTTTTTGGTGTGTTGGTTAAAAATTCTGGCACTCCATATAAAACGTAGTAACACATTTAAGCAACTACGTTTCGTTTGTTTGGGGGAAATTTTTATCTCTTAATATTTTTTTTTTTTTTTTTTTTTTTTACGCGCGCACTGATATATCACGTACACCTTATTTATCGCTCAAGAGTAATTTCTTTTTCTCTCTTTCTTCTCCTTTTTTTCTCATTTTTACCATTTAGCTATTTTAGGAATTATTCCCATTGCACAAGAAAATCCTGTAAAAAATGCGCCAGAGGTATAGGGAATTTTTCATGTGGAATGGCACGCAGAAGTATGAACAAAACCAACACGCGATTATTATACGCTTTTTATATTAAGCTTAAATGAAACTTGACAGAGAAAAAAGGAGTAAGTATATACAGATTTGCCAGATACATACATTGTATTAAATAAATTATGAATATTACTGGGAATAAGAAAAGTATAAACATTTTTAAGCCCAAAAAAAAGGGGGGTATAAACACAAGAACAACAACGAAAAAAAAAAAAAAAAAAAAAAAAAAAAAAAAACGCGTTGTATAATTGAGACAGGAAATTATACAATATATTTGTGAGGAGAAAAAAAAAAGAAAAATGAGCTATATATTTTTGTACACAGAAGAAATTGACAGTCTGCTAGAAGATTATAGGAAATTATTAAGTGATTTAAAGAAAGTGGTAGACACAAATGATGAGAAAAATACGAATAAATATTTTGATGATATTAACTTTTTAAATGAGAGAATAAAAACAGCTAAAGATGCATATTTTATTGAGGTACGTAATTTACCAGAAGAGGAGCAGAATAGTTATATTTTAAAAATAAAAGGGAAAATGTCAATTTTGGAAGATCTAAATATGCAATTCGAATTCATAAAAAGTAAATTAATTTATGAGAGCAAGGAAGTCAATAGGAATAAAGAAAGAAATGAAGTGAGATATGTAACTCCTAAAGATATGGAAATACGAGGAGATTATATTCAAGATCAAACACAAGAATCTATCTTTCGAATGAAAATGATGGTAGATGAATCAGAACAAATAACGAAAGAAGCTGCAGTTAAATTAAGTGAACAAAATGAAAAATTACAAAAAGTAAAAGATAAAGTGGATGATGTTGATACAAATGTTTCAAGTGCAAAGGAAACTTTAAAAGAGATAGCCAAGGAAGCTGTAACAGATAGATTTGTCCGTATCTTATCTCTTCTTATATTTATCGTTTTGATAATTCTTATTGCTGTAATTTCTATTTCGAAGAAGAAATAAATATATATTTTTTTTCTTTTTTTTTTTTTTTTTCGGTGTGTATGAATATATCAATCATCAGTGGGATGCAACTACATATATAAGTGTATGTCGTGACAAATGCTTAATTTCTGTATTAGCTTATCCGTTCCGCATCGAATAGTGGCGTGCTTTTTTTTTTTTTTTTTGTTTTGTTATCTTTTTGCTACTTATCTTTTAGTTTACATATATTTATTCACCCCCTGTGTCCCCACGCTCAGTGCTCGTGGCATGTTTACACGTTTTTTTCCACCGTAGAAAAAATATGCACATACAGAGTTGTGTACATATATATAAATATCACTGTCTCTGCATACTCATATGTATATACATATACGCATGTGTTGTACCCCCATGTATGTGCTTTCCTTTTATTGTTTAACCGAATAATTTTGTCATTTTGCACGATTTCCATCAATGTGTTTCGATTCCCTGTCATTTGGTATGAAAACGATAAAGTGTAAGCATATGGCAAAGGGTTGTTTTGTACATTTTTTTGGTAATTATCCCATTGTTATATATGATACTTTTTTTTTTTTTTATTTTACTTTTTTAGTATTCATATGGTAAAACTCTTAAATACTGTCCCACATGTCATTGATTCTCATTCACCTTTTAGTGACATTTTTTTTTTCTTCTAATGCATACGTAACCATTCATAACACTTTTAAATTAGCCTTTTTAATATGAACTTGATATTTATGGGAGGGTGTATAAATGGTACACATTGGATAATTTAAAAAAACGTGAACAGAGCCTCAATAAATGAATTTGCTACGTTGACAATGGTAAAAAAAAAAAAAAAAAAAAAAAAAAAAAAAAAAAAACTTTAATTTTTAAGTTTCCTTGTGAATATTCTTTTTACCTTTTTCTAAAATAAAATGCAGTTTGTGTAAATAGTATATATTTTATATGATCCTTGGTTAGTGGTTACGAAGAGTGGAACATATACATACACATATATGTGTTAATCGAATGTTTTTTTTTGTTTTATTTAAGATATTATTATTGCGCACTGCATGTTCTACACTTTTTTCCCTAATCCGTTGAAGAACCTTTCTGTCCACAATTCACCTTCTATTAGGCAGGGAATGGAGAAAAAAACACTTCACCCGGCAGGGACGTATAGCTAATATACATGCATACATTATTTTGTTTTATTTTTTTTTTATCTGGAAATAGAATGTAGAAGAAGAGGAAGAAAAGAAAAAATAAATGTAAAGTCATTATAATAAAAAAACAAAAAAAAGAAATTTTTCATTTCACAGAGATATACATTTTGATACTGGCAATCCATAATTACGTGTTTATTTTGCATGCAATATGCTGTTGAAATTTTTTCTTGTACGTATTTTTTTTTTTTCTTTTAACCTCTCTTTGAACTTTTTTTCTCGAATATATTAAAGCGAAACAACATAATGAAAGGTTTTGAAAAAAAAAAAAAAAAAATGTAGAAATTGATAAAGTCTTATATAAAATGATTAGCAGCAGGAAATAATAAGTACAAATCAAAAAGAAGAAAAAAAAAAAAAAAAAAAAATGTATGATGGTGGAAATGTTAAGTGTGTGTTTTTGAGTCTACACAGAAATGGATTATATACATATATATACATATAAACGTATGTACATATACATATATATACTTACCCACATCTTTGCTCTTATCAAAACAGATTTATTGAGAACGCGTATGCATCCTGGAAATTTATTTCTACATATATCATCACAGTTCAGTCTGTTATTTATTTTGCATTGTGCAGAAATAATAAAATGGAATAAGAAGAAAAGCAAAACAAAATAAAAATAAAGCAAAAAAAAAAAAAAAAAAGCAGCAAAAAAAAAACACAAAAAAAAAAAAAAAAAAAAAAAAAAAAAAAAAAAAAAAAAAAAAAAAAAAAAAAAAAAAAAAAAAAAAAAAAAAAAAAAAAAAAAAAAAAAAAAAAAAAAAAAAAAAAAAAAAAAAAAAAAAAAAAAAAAGATAAAAAGGAAGTGCATCCTAATTGGTCAATTTAACACCCAAGGATAAGAACTTCCAAACGTGTGTGAAGTAACTAAGGAAAAGTATGTACAAAATTGGAATGTCAAACGGGTAAAAAAAAAAAAAAAAAAAAACAGCATCAAAACGATAAAAATCACAAGTCTACACGGATGGAGAGAAAACTATCCAATCGAATATGCCCCACGAGTAGACATAATTCTAAGGAGAGTGTGGTAGATGAACTCTCATTATATACTAATAAAAAAGGCCCAAATGAAAGCGAAATTTTGATGGTACAAGAAAAAGTAGAAAACGTAGAAGAAGTAGTAGTAGAAAAAGTAGAAATAGAAAACGTAGAAATAGAAAACGTAGAAATAGAAAACGTAGAAATAGAAAACGTAGAAATAGAAAACGTAGAAATAAAAAACGTAGAAATAAAAAACGTAGAAATAGAAAACGTAGAAATAAAAAACGTAGAAATAAAAAACGTAGAAATAGAAAACGTAGAAGAAGAAAAGCAAAACAAAGTACTCATTGATTTTTATGAGCGTATAAAAAATTGTGAAAAGAAAAGAATGGAATATATAATGAATAAAGAAGAAATGGAAGACGGGTTTTTTGAAAAAAAGACAACATTAAAAATTGGGAAGCAGAAAAAGCGTACAGAAGAGCAAAAGATAAATAACAATCATCCTCACATGGATCGAATAAAAAATGATCAAATTAATTACAAGGCAATAGGTGACATGCATAAATCTATCTATGAAAGTAAGATATATTCGAAGGATAATAAATGTGTGCATCCTTTGCAGTCATGCGTTACAATAGATAAAATGTACAATCACAACAATTCAATGGGGAGGAATGGAACGTCAAATACATTAAATTTTAGTTCTAACTTAAACTTTTCAAATCTTTTTTTAAATGGAAGAAATGAAAATTCTTACGCTAGTAGAGATTACACGAAATTGAAGGAAAAAACAAAACATAAAATTACATCATACGATGATATAACAAAAGTGAAAGAACAAATAGTGCATGGATCACTTGTTACACACACGGATAACCTAATTAATGTTATTGGAAAAATGAGAGAAGAAAGCCACACCAATAGGTTAGAATCGAACATGGGAAATATGAATTTAACTGATGAAAATATTATGCAAATATATTTTGCACTGAATAATGAACTGAATGAAAATATAATACATAGTACCCATTCTGCACAAATAAAGAAGGATGAAAATACAGAAAAAAATATCCACCTTAGGGAAAAAAATACCCATTGTGTTATGTCTCATTCGTTGGATAGCATTCCTTGCCATCCTGATGAAAATTACAACATACAAGTGAGGAGAGGGGTTCCTAACCAAGTAGAAAATGACGATTCTTCAATTTTTGCACATTTGCATCGAGATATGCAACGGAATGTACCCATTCAAAGTTACAGAAATGGATCCCTTAGTGCAAATATAAAGCAAGAACCGTTTCATTGCAATGAGGGGAAGATGCTACACCAGAACAATGTGGAGAATATACATCTTAAAAACTTGGAGGTATGGACAGATCAGAAACAGTCCTGTAATAATCCAAGGGTAAGCACAGATTCTCAAAATGCAGACAGAACAATCACGCGTACCGAACTACAAAAAATGAATAACCAGTTAGCCTTCCAAAATTGGAGTAAAAAAAGAAAATTAAAGAATAATGAAACAATTCATGGTAAAGATTATGAAGAACATAATAGTGGTTCTGAAATGTGTAATGAGCTTTATCAGAACAGTAATTTTCCAATGCAGAAGAAAAATAATGCAAAGGAAGAAATCGAAATATGTAGCCACGCCCCTACGAGCCTTCCTCAGAGTATTAACCAGAGAGTGAACTGTAAAAATGAAAACACTGGAATTCGCAGATATAGAAGGATTTTTGGAGAAAAAAAGAAAAGTAAAACAAACGAATACAGTAGGAATTATGGTTCACTACCAGCCAAACTTATTGAAGAAGGCACATTGCTCTGGAAAGGTAACGAACGAACGGGTGGTGAGAACAGAAGTACCAATATACATCTAAAGTGTGGTGATAATGAGGTTAATCGAGAGAATAATGCGCGTCTGTTATCCCATGTTAAGATTAAACGCAGAAAAGAAGGGACCCATAAAGAATCGCACGATATGAATCCATGTAAAAATAGGATAAAATTAAAAGAGGAGAATAAATTTCACCAAAATTATGAACTGTTCAGAAATTTTGTGTTTTCTTTTAACAATCCGCACACCTTGTGTTTCGCTAGCTCTGCAACTCCAAAAGGAGAGGGAGAAAATGAAAACAGAGCAAAAAGTGAAAAAAATTCCCTGAAATACAAGATGCTGAAAAATGGAAAATATTCTCAATTAAATAATATAATTCGATATAAAAAATTTGAGGAGAAATATTTCCCCGAAGATTTGATATCAAGTGACTTTCAGTGGAGAGAACTGGATGGGACAATCTCTTCCCATGCACACGACTTTTTGTTTTTTGATGAAGAAGATGAGAACATGGTTTCTTTAGATGTGCTCGATGGCGGTACCACGAGTCTTAGCTCAAGCTGTAGTGGAAGTGGTGACAAAAGTGCGAGCGGCGACGGAAGTGCGAGCGGCGACGGAAGTGCGAGTGGCGACGGAAGTGTGAGTGGAGACATGACTGTGTGTGACGACGGAAATGTGTGTGACGATGGAAAAGTGTGTGACGATGGAAAAGTTTGTGACGATGGAAAAGTTTGTGACGATGGAAAAGTTTGTGACGATGGAAAAGTTTGTGACGATGGAAAAGTTTGTGACGATGGAAAAGTTTGTGACGATGGAAAAGTGTGGGGGGGCATGAGTGAAAGTGGATCCATGAGCGGCAGCTGTGGAAACCATAATATCGATGGCTGTAAAATGTGCCTTACTAGCGAACAGAAGTCGATTTCCCCTGTACCATCCAATAGTCACCACAAAGAAGCAGAACACAAGGCATGGGAATGCAAAAAGGAGAGAAATTCAAAAATTAAACAAAGTGATTGGAATAGTAACAAGGTTAATGTAGATAATTCGGATCAAAAGGTTAATAAAAGAGAAATGATAAACACATGTAATGTGAAAAAATTATTGGAAATAGGAAAATTTCCCCGACGTGCTTCCTCAAATGGAACAGTGCAAAGGGAAAATAAATGTGTAATTATGTATGCAAAAATTATGAACATAAGTTTTACTTACGCTGCAGATGTGTTGAAGCAACTTAGTCATCCAGCAGTTAATTTGTTTAATACAAACAAAACTCATATTGTTAAGAAGAAGGATAAGAAAGTGGAACACAATCTCACATTGTTGGATGATGCTGGTGCTGATGTTGGTGCTGATGCTGATGCTGGTGCTGATGTTGGTGCTGATGCTGGTGCTGATGCTGGTGCCGATGTTGAGGTGGAGTTCACTGCTTTTGGTGACAAGACAGATGGATTAGAGTGCATCGCGAGGAAAGGGTTAACTAGAGGAGAAAGACACCAAGTCATGTACGAATTGGGACAAAGGTCGAGATGGAAATCAGGAAAAGAAGAACCATGTAGTGCACCACGAGGATCTGAAAAGAAGAACCTTGATGAGGCAGAGCAAGCATTTTGCACATGGGAAGGGGGAGAAACTGGGATAGAAAAAACAGGAAAAGGAAAATGGAAAAAAAATGAGGTAGATCTTGAAAAAAGGAAAAAAAAATTCATAAGTCACAAGATTAAAAGACATCTTCTTAGTATGAACGCACGGATAGTTATAAAAGAATGGTATATTGATTATGGGACATCACCTAGTAGCACACCTTACATTTATGTAGTGTCTGAAAATGAAAATAGATATAAACTCGATCGAGTTCACGATAAATATTATTCTATTTTTACTAAAGTGAGACTAAAATTTGAAGTCACAACTAGAGTTGTAAAGACATTACAAGTATGTCCCAATATTACCTATGAGGAACTAGTTGGACTCTTGACACTCCATGAGTCTATTAGCAAAAGGATGAGAAGGGAGAGGCTCCAGGGAAAGAAAGAGATGCAGCGGCGAGCAGAGATGCAATGGCAAGATCAGGGAAATAAATCTGCTAAACAGTCTGCTAATACAAGCAAGAAGAAGATTTGTAGAAAAAGGAAATACATAGCCACTTCAAATCACAGTGAATGTGAAGAACTACACAGAATGATGGAAGACTTGTCAAAAGTAAGAAAGACAATGAAGCTGAAAAAAAATGATGATCAGAAAGACAAAGAACATAACTTAATGAACAAGCATCAAATGAAAAGGAAAAAAAAAAAGAAAGACTTCCCAATAGTTAGCATAAGCTTATCAGAAATTAGTGGAACAGGTATACATAAAATGCCAGATGGATCGGTAAGTAAAATGTGCACATGGGGGGCACCATATGCTGTTTATAAATGCAGCAAAAAAGTAATTATTAAATTGTATACATTTATAAAAAATGAAATGAAGTTATTAAAACAATGTTTCAATATGAATAATTTATTAGATACTCCTTTTATGAAAACGTTAAGACATAATTTTAGAATGGAATTTAAAAAAAATTATGAGATGAAAAAAATAAAAAAAGTGTATTCCTTTTTTTTAAATAATCGATTGTATTCAGAAATTTTTTTAAATTGGGAAGGAAATGAAGAACATGATAATTATATGAACAAGTTAACTCGCTTCTACCTCATCAAAAGTTTTGTCGAAAGTCAAAAAGGAAAAGTGATAAAGTACGAAGAAGAACCCATATCTAAACATATGAATCTATTAGAAACAGAAATGAATGAAAAGTTTACTAACCATCAGATGGTTGAAGAAGGTGCCCAAACAACAGATTCATCTTCCATCACATGCCACAATACATGTAACATATTAGATGCAAGCAAAGATAAATCAAAATATGAATCCATTTTTGCAAATGATACCCAAGAACAGCTATCGAAATGGAATACTACATCTTCGAACGTTCCTTCTTATGCATCGGACACTTGGATGCAAAAACAAAACATAGAACTAATAATGACAGAAAAGAAAAAAGTAAAAAATAATAATAAAGAAAGTGATAATACCTTGGAGTGCTCAAGAAAAGAAAGAGTAAAACATGGAATAGAAAGCAAATCCATATGTGAAAAAAATACTGAATATTGTATCTTTTCTGCGCATGAAACTTTTTTACCCCTACATTTGATTATGCCATTAAAACACGAATCTATGTTAAACATTTGGCTATTCTTTTTTGTACATAAAAAAATGTTAGGTGTTAAGTTATCGATGAGTAATCTGAATGAGGAGTTAATATTTATAAGAAGTAGTTGTAACAAAAAAATGGCACTTCAATTAATCAGAGAAAGAAACAGGCTTAGTGAACATATTGTAAAGAATGACAAATTTATTTCTTTTTTTCAAAATCATAGTGATGATGAAGAATATTTAACATCACAAGGAAGAACAAATCATGCTAGGTATATAAAATGTAAAGATGATATCTTGGTTCTTCTTCTAATGATACTTCATAGATCATTACAAATTGATAGATACATGAAAAGTCACTCCATCATGAATATCCAAAGGGGGCATGACATAATGGAAGTGGCAGAAAAAGAAAATTGCACCTCGCATTACATTTTGGATTATATGGAAAAACCATTGATAAGTGAATATTGTAATTTTTCTTTTGATAAAAACTTCAAGGATGTAAGAAGTAAATCAACGTATGGAGAAGAAATACTTATAGGGAAGGAAGGAGTGTTGCCAGTAAATCGACCAAGTCATGATGAACATAGGAGGAAACATTTTTCATCAGATGACAGAAAAAATGATTCGAACCAAGTGTACATTAAGGAAAGAAATATTTATTCACAAGCTAGAGGTAACACTACTCGTGGAAGTTGTTCCAGTTTAAAGGAAATTCCCAGCTTTCCAATTCATCACATGGTATCACCGATATCATCTTTGTCAACACATAATGGCGTAAAAGGTAAACTTTCCCAAAAAAGGAATCACAATGTTATGCATGCGAAAAGACAAACAATGAAAGAACAAAAAGGTTCCATCTTGAACAGTTATGAAGACAGTGGTCTTAAGGAGGAAAGTGATAAGACAAATATTAACATGCATCATTACTACAAATTTAATGTTGAAGAGAAAAATAATAAAAAGAGATTCATATGTGAATCCTCTCGCGAGACAGCTGTCAAAAAGGATACCGAACCTACAGATGTGAGAAACATAGAAGGGATGAGCAAAAGAAATGAGCACGATGAGAGCGATGAATATGATAAGCAAAAAGAATATGATAAGGACAATGAATATGATAAGCAGGATGAATATGATAAGCAAAAAGAATATGATAAGCAAAAAGAATATGATAAGCAAAAAGAATATGATAAGCAAAAAGAATATGATAAGGAGAATGAATATGATAAGGAGAATGAATATGATAAGCAGAAAGAATATGATAAGCAGAATGAATATGATAAGCAGGATAAATATGATGAAATAAAAAAAGGATTGAATGAAATTTCACCGTACACAGATCACAGTAATGTAAAAACGGATGACATACATCCAAAGAAAGGACTAAACCGAGAGTGCGAAAATGTGCTATTAAAAAAGGAATACAAACAAAACGAAATTGTTCCTTTGAAAAATATGAACAAAAAAGAAAAAAGAGTTGAAAGAAAATCATTAGAAGTGGTAAATATTCCAAATAACCCTTCTGCGGATTTATCATATGTACGAAAATTAATAGTGGACGAACGAGATGTTTGTACTCGTTCTTATGGAAACACTTTGACAGATGTATTTTTAAAAAGGAATGAGAAGAAAAAACTTTTCGAATGGTGTGACGATGACATTTTGTTATTGGATAATGTAACTTGTCCTTTATTTTTAAAAAAATATCTTTTCATGATTCTGTACCAAATGACACATTCCTTCCTTCTATGTGAAAATCATTGTCATAGGAAAGATGGAAACATGAAGACGTACAATGAGTTGAATACAAAAATGCATACAATATCCTTGGAAGAAGCAAAGAACACACCGAATTTTTTGAATAGATGTCCAGATAGACAAATGAAAAACCAAAACCATCAAACTGAAAGGAAAATAAATTCAGAAATGAATGAGATCTTACAAAATATAAAACTAAAAAAATATACATTGAGCTGGTTGCTCAGGCAGAATTATAATTCCTTATGGGGGACACCGAAGAGAGAAGATATGTTAACAATTTTGAATTTTTTGTGTGAAGAAAATAACTCCTTCGAAATGTTGAACATAGATGAAAAGATGAAAGTTCTCATATTTATTATAAACACTATACGTTCTAGTATACATTCGCTACAAGTTGATAAAGAAAACGAAGTTTTCTCATTTATGAATGAGAAAATATGTATTCTTCAGGAGAGAGGAATATATGAAACTACTGGCAGAAACTTAAATGGAACCTCAGACCACAATGCAGAGGATGAGGGGGATTCTTCTAAGACGGAAGGATTTGTATACAAAGAAAGAAACATACAAATGAGTGAAGAAGTAGAAAATATGCAAAAAGAATTAAGAAGCAAGAGCAATAGCATAAAAAAAGCACAAGTTATAAATGTGAAAAGAAATTATGTCCAAATAGTTAGTGAAGATTTTAAGGTTAAAATACATTTACTAGGAAAAGATAGATACAATAACAAGTACTACCAATTTGGAGATTTTTTGGGGTGCTCAGATTGTATATATGTTGAGTTCATGAATATGGACAAATCGATAGATCTTCAATGTTCCCATAAACCTGTGACGAGTATCGTGCAGCATAAGGAAAAGGCTATTCCATCACAGGGAAATGATCCTATTTCTGCATCTAATCAATTTAATAGGAATTTAATGAACCCAACTAAAAGTAGAACCAAAATTGGCTACATTGAAGGTATAGATAATATAAGCCGTTTCATCGAAACATTTTCACCCTTTTCATTGGAAGAAAATAAATTGAAAATGAAACTCATTCAGATAAGAACAGAACTGATAAAGGAATGCTTTAGACATCACATGGAAGATACACACAAAAATGATATCAATGATGATGCAGCTCGGACGAATCCAAACAAGGATAGAAAAATAAAAAATAAAATAAAAATAAAAGGGAAAGCTACGAAAAATGTGATTAGAAATTTAAACCGAAGTGTTAACGAAGAGGAAAAACCATTAATAAGCTCTGAATTTGCGTATCTCGAAGAAGGAGAAATCGAAATGGTCAAACAAGGTGAAAAAAAAATGGAGCGCAAACCTCAGGTAGAGAACCCGCTGTCAAATAGGAACAGGGAAGTTTTACACATGGGTATGTGTACAAATGGAAGTGAAAATTATGAGAAGGTGAAGGAGAGGACAGAGAAGGGGAAGACGGAGAAGCAGAGAATAGAGAAGCAGAGGACTGAGAAGGGGAAAACGGAGAAGGATATTTATTTCACAGAGGAAGAAAAACTGTTCGAGCAGTTCCTCTACTTGAGCGAAAAACTAGTGCAATTTGAAAAAAAAATAAACATTATTTTAAATGAAGACATGGAAAAAGAAATAGAAAATAAAATAAACGATTTGCTCCTTTCGTCTACACATTACTTTTGCAATAACCAGATGACGCAAAATGTTAAGAAATCTATTTTTATAAAATATGTTGATGTGATACGTTCTATTGAAATGTTGCTCTTTTCAAATTGTTATTATTCTATTTTGAAAAAGAAATGGAAACAAAAATTACGAGTTCAATGGTTGGAAGAACTGGGAGAACTAAAGAGCGAAATTGAAAACCATATGAACAGAATGAACACAATAGATATTCTTCCTATTTTGTGCACATATTTTAACATATTTCTAATTTATGGAATAAGGATAAGTGTTATTCATATGTATAAGAAATATAGCTTGAGTGATCCCAGCTATTGGATTAAAACAGAAGAAGTGCATATTAGGGACGAGAAAAAATTATGTATCCTTAAGAAAGTTATAGAATTAATAAATGAATATAAAAAAAGTGAAATAGCTTGTTCCAATGGGCAAAGAGGAAAAAGCGACGAGGAAATAGAAGGGGAAGATAACTCACAGAGAACTAAGCACTTAAAGGATAGCGAAAAATATATAAACAGTTTAATATACGAAGATATTAATAAACTGATTAACAAAATATACAAACTTTTACCATTTAGAAAGAACGAAAAATATTTTTATTTTAAGGAAGGCCATTTAAAACATATCAATCAATTTTCGAATAACAAATTTCTTTTTTTGGAACATGACAATTTAGATGACATTGGAAGTGTTGAGTTGGTTGAAGTGAGAGACATAAAGCTGTTTTTATTCCCTAAAGGAGATGCTATATTAGGAGGATTACATAGAGAGGGAGAAAACTGTGAAGGTAGAGACGGAGAAAATTCTGCAGATAGACAATATCGAGTGGAAGACGAAGGAGGTATGCACATATCGTGTTACACAAGAGATGATAAAAATTTCAAGGAAAAGAAAGAAGGCAATCCGAAGGAAGGGCGGATGAAATACTTGTCTAGGAAAGAACTCAATGTTACGCAGAAAAGAATAGAGACGACCCAAACGAGAAAGAAAAACACACTAAAAAAAATGAAAGCTAATGAGGAATGGTCAGGTGGAACATGTGATCAAGTTACATATTATAGAAATTATTGCATATTATATAATGAAATATTCGAAATTAAAGAGAAAGTGGAAAAAGAACAATTTAATGATTATTATAAACCTAAAAAATTATATTTTGAGTCGTTTGAAAAATTTGGCATACCTTTTAGCACACAAATTGGTAAAAATATGTTAAGTCCATATTATAGCACATTTGAAGTTGGCAAAAATGCATTTAAGATGAAAACTTCTAATAGTATGAATTTTATGAAAACAGCACCTTCAGTGTTCAGAGATGACATAAACGAAACTTTTATTTTTTTATGTCAACTGCATTGTGTACTTTACCCACGACATTATCAAGAAAAAGACATTTCTGACGAAAAAATCAGATTAACAAATGAGTATCATTCAAGAGAAACATGTCTTCAACCGAACTCGAAAATTTTTCTCTTTAGCATATGTTTTGATGAAAATATGAAAACTGTTTTGTACCTCATCCGGACTAAGCAATAAACATTTTCCTTTCTCTGTATGTTCATGCCACCTCCTCTCCACCAGTACTACCACTGCAGGTATTGAAGAAAGAGGGATAAACACAGAATATTGTCACAGTTATGTATAAATAAATTTTTTTTTTTTTTTTTTTTTCCCTTTTTTTTCTCTACGCAACCTTTACATAAAAACAATTGGAATGATAAAAAAAAAAAAAAAAAAAAAGTTTTTTTTTAATGCTTATCTGGGAAGGAGTTCCAATTAGTGAAATTCACACAAATGCACACAGAAGGGATTAGAAATAATTCCCTTGAGAATATTCATTTTGCATTTCGTTCAACTAGTACCATGGAAAGTAGTAAAAACTGGGAATAATACAAAAATTTCCATAAGTCTAAAAAAATAATGAATAAAAACTCAAATGGGTGCACGCAGAGTATTGCATAAAAGTACACACATAAAACAGCACCATCGCATGTTTGTGGAATATGGAAAAAAGAAACTTCCTGCAAACTGTGAACTAGGGGTGAAATAAACAAATGCGTACACACTCAGTTTGATTATACATATATGTGTATATGTGTTTATACATGAGCATATTACCTATAGATAATAATCGGGTGAGAATGGATAGAAAAGCATTTTAATATATTGGGGTATGGGGGAGGGGAAAGTGCAAAAAAAAAAAAAAAAAAATAGAGATTAAATATTTCCGAATTGGAGCCTATAAACAGATAACACAAAAATTGCGTGAAAATTGTGTATTGCTTCATGCACTTAAGCATATATGTAAGACCCGATCTTTTGATGTTCATTTTTAAGTTCAACCACATCGTGTGTGTGTGTGTGTGTTGTCATTTCGTTATTTTAGCCCTCTGTACTCTCCCCTTAGTGTTTGCTTTTTTCTATGTTTTGTTTTGCTCTAATGATTTTATTTTTTTTTTTTTTTTCTGTACATATAATTACTGAATTATCTGCAAAAGTATAGCTCTAAAAACGGTGAATAAATATTGAGAGATTACTAAATATAACAAGATCAGTGAGTACACATATGTGTAAAAACACACTTTGTGTTTCTGTTAAAAAATTGCACTTTTAAAATGGCCATGTGTCTTTTATGCTGAACCATCCCCATGAAAAATAAATATGGAAAGGAAAAAAGTTCTATTTTCTTGCAAAACAACATAAAATTGCCATTTTTACTTTAGATAAAGCATAAAAAAAAAATTAAAAAAAAAAATGCTATATAACGAATGGGAAAAACATTGCATGTATTTTCCTTTTAAAGATGAAAGAAATGTGAAAAATGGTAAAAAATGTATATATAAATAGAAATGTCTATAATGAGAAGAGAGCATGTTTCTTTTTTCTTTTTTTAAAGATAAAATCAAATTAGCGCATGTAGTTCTTTTTTGAGAAAACGGAAAGTTGAGCCTACATGAAGTGGATTTACCTATGCATTAAAGGAAACATTACCACCATCACACTACACGCGTTTCCTTTGGGATATATTTAAAAATTTTGTGGGAATATAAGAATAACGGAATGTATTTAAAATGCATAAAGAAGAAGAAAATTCGAGTGAATGAATTTTGCACAAGTTTAAAAGAGAAAATCATGGGGAAATAAAAAATTTTAACGCAAATATATTTTCATACTTTTCGTATTTCGTTTTATCAAACTCTGCTGGAGACTAGGACTAATTTTAGCTATATTCACACGCGTAGGTTTTTTTTTTTTTTTTTTTTTTTTTTTAAGAACCTTCGCTTATATTTCCCATATATGTAAGAGATATGTTTTGAAGATAGAAGAATGTATACAACATCAGTTTATCTGAAATTGATCTCAACTTTATGCGTCCTATCATTCATTTTACATTTTAAACCCCATCAATGTGCATATGAAGAATCGAATAAAAAAATAGACCTTTTTTCCGAGGCGCACGAATTGCTTGACCAAGGTGAATATGAGAAGTCGTTTTCCATTCTGGAAACATGTGTTCAATATGACCTAAGGTGGGGCTCGTGTGTGCTTTTACATCGTTTCTTTACCTTTTTTTGTTACGTCTTTACCTTTTTTGCTACTCCTTTACTTATTTTGCTACTTCTTTACCCTTTTTTGCTACTTCTTTACCCTTTTTTGCTACTTCTTTACTTATTTTGCTACGTCTTTACCTTTTTTGCTACTTCTTTACCCTTTTTCGCTCCTTCTTTACCCTTTTTTGCTACTTCTTTACCCTTTTTTGCTACGTCTTTACCTTTTTTGCTACTTCTTTACTTATTTTGCTACTTTTTTAACATTTTTTTTTTTGGCACCTCGCAGATGCCTGACGCTCAGTGGGGTGTTCTACTACCTGGGGCTGGAACCAGTAAAGAGAAATGTTAGTAACGCTCTGTATATATGGAAAGTGTGTGCAGATTATGGAAGTGCAGATGCGCAATTCTATCTTGGAATCATGTACTCAAATTATTTCTCTTTACCTAACTTATACTCATACCATGTAGAAGAACCGGTAATAGAAAACAGCTTTGTTTTGTTCAGGATATATTTGTTGATAGAAGGGAAATTTTTAAATAGAAAAACGTATGAATGCTTAAGGAATAGAAAAGTAGAATGCAAAATAGGAAAAAATTATCATGGGGGAAGAGGTGGTGATACATACTCCAACACAAAGAACAGATTTCGGAACCCCCCAGTTGTTAGATTCACAAAAAATAAAGAACTAATTTTGAGAATAAAAAATATTAGATACAACACGGATGAGATAGAATGGTATTTTGATAGTATAAGGGACTTCCCCAATAAGGATTATTTTGAAAAAAATAAAAAGAAAATATATTTATCTCGAAATCATAACTTGAGTTTATTATATTATTATAGTAGTAGTTTAGCTAATCATCCAGGTAGTATTTTATCTTTAGGAATAAGATATATGAATGGATATGGAGTTGAGAAGAACTGTGAAACGGCATCTAGATATTACTTAAGATTAACAAATGAAATAATTAATTCAGATAATAGAACCCATTTTGAAATGTCTGATTTGATAAAAATAAATATACCACATTACGATCAATATAGTATCAATAATAAAAAAATAAAAAACATAGAAATCTTTTTAGAATCATCTCTACATGATAACCATAAAATATTAACCATGATTGCGCGTAGATATCTCTTGGGTATAGATGGGGTTGAAAAGAATTACGAAAAGGCACACATATATTTAATGAAAGCAGAAAAGTACAACAATTCTGAGGCAATTTCTCTGTTAGGGTATGTACATCTACTAGGGTTAGGTGTAGAAATTGATTATAATAAAGCCATTGATTATTTTATAAGAGGAAATAAATTAAATGATTCTTTAAGTCATAACGGGTTAGGATATATACACTTCTTCGGTTTAGGAAATTTTAAAAAAAATCCACACTTGGCATTTTACTATTTTGAATTGGCTTCAAAAAATAATTTATCATCAGCACAATTTAATTTAGCTTGTTTATATTTAAGTGGTGTTGGGGTTTCACAATCTTTTCAAAATGCTTTCTATTGGTTTTACAAATCACTGAACAATGGAAATGTCTTGGCCGCTTATATAATAGGATTTATGAATTATAACGGGATCATTACGAACAGAAATTGTAAATTAGCTTTATCTCTTCTAGCAAAAGTAGCTGAAAATAATTCATTCATTTTAAACACTTCAAATAAAATTATTAGATACACAGAAAAGGGGAGAATAAAAGAAGCTCTTTTTCTCATGGCACAACTTGCAGAAACGGGTAATGTACAGTCTCAGGTAAACATATCCCATAATATCAATAATTCAAAATTTGCTCTTTTTTTACCTTCCAATGATAAATCTAAGAAAGTTTATGCTAGTAGATTTCTAGCCATGGCTTCAGAGAACAATGATTTTAATTCTCTCTACACTCTTGGCGATTATGCATATCAAGGACATGGGTTATACGTTCGGATATTTCCCAAGAACAACTTGCCATTTAATCCGATTTTCGATGTGAACACTGATCATTGTCTGTACCGAAAATTGGACAAGTGGGGGAAGCGGGAGAAACAGAAGTTACTGCAGGGAAAGATTGCTCGTGAGTATCACAACAAAACGGTTGACACGGTTGACATGATTGACACAGTTGACATGATTAACTCCACTGACACGTCAATTTTAGCTACCGCCCCTAACACATTAAACATGACTGAGACAACAAAAAGAGACAACAATATCAATCTCTTAACTCCTCCAAACAAGATAATATCAATCGACTTCGTGGACGAAGAAGGTATGATATTCAATGATCGCTGGAGATTCTACTACGGATTCAAATTTTCCTTTAATGAGGTGGACTATAACCTAGCGTATCATCATTATAAAAGCATTATATCATATTATCCCAATAATTTTTATGTTATTCAAACGTTATCACGAGCTTGTTACAACTTAGGATTCATGCATTATTATGGGATTGGTGTTTCGAAAAATATAGAAAAGGCCTTAGTCTATTTTAATTCTTCTATTAAAATTTATCCAACGTATAAAGTTCCTTCAGTTTTATTTGTTTTGTATATAAAGTTTAACAAACATTTGTATAATGTTAAAAAGAAGTTTCAACATTTGAAATGGCTTTTGTCTTTTTAAATTGCCCTCTTCAAAGCACACACACATACACATACACACACTGAAAGATACATCATATCTGTGAAAAGGAAAAATGTAATTTTTTTTTCATGCTTTCCATTTTTTTCCATCTTGTTCTGTGATAGAAAAAAATAAGTAAATAAAAATAAAATAAAAAATAAGCACACAACAACAAAGTTGATAAAGTAGGACGGAGAATACTTTGGAAGAGACAAAATATTTATTCATACACAATCCATTTGGTGTGTGTATGTGTTGGGACGTTTTTTTATGTATATCCCGATTCCTGGAGAATTGTTAAAAAAAATGTATATGAACACAAGTGATATATCCATAATGTCCCTACTCAATGATTATTTTTAAATACTTATGATGGTACAATTTAAATGTACCAAGTTTCCCAATTTTACCCCTTGTTCCCTCCCATGGAAAAAACGAGGAAAAAAAAAAAAAAAAAAAGGATCAAAGGGAAACATTATATTTCGAAGCAATATATCGAAAATGAATTAACTTTCTAACAATATTAATTCATTTGTCTAATAACTAATATATTACTATGCGTTTTACACGTAAAACGTTTTTTTTTTTTTTTTTTGGTTTTAATTTATTAGAGCAGTTTGTAGCTTTTCATAAAATATTTACTTATTTGTGCATATATTTATTTTATAGCATATAAATTATATCTTTCTGAAAAAAAAAAAAAAAAAAAAAAAAAAAAGAAGAAAACAATTGGATCATTAACAGAACAAATGAAATGGAATACTAATAAATGGATACTTGAACCTTTTTTATTTTCTAATAGTTTTGTAAATAAAAGGAGGGTATGCTTATGTGTATATATATACCTGTAAGCACACATTTATACACGCATTCTGAGTGTTGCACAAAAATTTGTTTTGTCTTTAAGGGACATATATACTGTATGAGTGGGTGGGTGTAGGAAGGTTAAACAAGGCGTGCATATATATAACATATGCAAAACTTTTTATTTAATATACGTAAACAAAAAAAAAAAAAAAAAAAAGGGTTAAGTATCACGTAAAAGTGTTGTACATTTATGTTAGACACATTTTTTAAGAACATATTGTATGTGAATATAATACTTTTTATGTTATCCTATTATCCCCCATTTTTTAAAATTTTTATTTTTAATTTTTTCTATGCGATCATTCATGAGATTAAAAATATACTACAATATATTGGTATATATTTTGGTAAGAATCATTCTGTTACATGTTAATTAGAAAAAAAAGGACAATTTTGAGATATTTTATGAATGATGATAAAGATTTTGTTTTCATTTGGGCAATAACTTTCAAACAAATGTGCTGGGGAGAAATGTGTACAGAATAGTATATACACATGTATATATACATTTGTATGTGCTCTTATAAGTGTACTATGCAAGCATACATTGGTACAATATGTAGTACGCTTAATTGGCATTTAGCTTACACTGTGACATAACCATTTTTTATTGCTAAAGTTAATTGCAAAATTATGATTTTGTTCAAGTTCATTTTTAGTATTAATGTTAAGAAATACTGAACCTTTTTTTTTGACTATTTTTATTTTCCATAATTTTCTTGTGATTAATTGTTTCTTTGTTTTTTCCTTATTTGATTTGATTTTATTTTTTTTGCACCTTTTATTTTTTCTTCATTTTTTCCGTTCTGGGGAGCAAATATTTATAAATATGGTAATAGCAAATAAGACAATAGCGTATAATCACTTGTTAAAATTTATCCCTATTCTATATTTCTCAAAAAAAATAGAAAAATAACAGAACTTAATTTAAATAAATGTTTAAGGCTCGTTTAATACTTTTAAATAAGAAAAAAATAATAGAGTGCTAACTATGATATGAATTATTATGTACTATATAATATATATACGTAAAACTGAACTTGCTAAGGTATGATATGATGCATACTTTTTTTTTTTTTTTTTTTTTTTTTTTCCTTTTTTTACCATTTTATTGTTTTTTATTTTGTTGTGTTTTACTTTATTGTTATTAAATTTTTTGATATTCATTTTTCTGTTTAATTTTTGTTTAATTTTTTTTTTTTTTTTTTTCATAGTTTTAGTTCCCTTAAAAATTATGAAATAGAGAAATTCTTTAATCCAAAAAAAAAAAGATGCTTTTAAGAAAAAAATATTTGGGATACAAAAAACTACGTTCATATACATATGTATAACTTCTTTTCATTTTGAAGTGTTTTATAGATCTTTTTTTTCTTCACTTTATCATTTTTATACAGCTGAAACTTTTACTTTCCATTTTATAGAGTAGTTGTAGATATTGCACAGCTAGAAGAGAACTTTAGTAGAGGTATTAAACTCACTTAAAAGATAAAATATTATTCTTTTGCATGAAAATATGTATACAATGTGTGCATATCATAAACTTGCTCAATTTTTTACCGCCTTGATTCACTCATAGCATTCTATGTGTGTGTATGGCGGATGATATGAATGCTTGCCATATATGATATGAACGAACACACAGCGTTCGCATATATTATATGCATATGTTACTGCATGTATATTTATGTATATCTGCTCATGCTAGTTACATGTTCATGCATATTCAAATCTTTAACTTCACGCACACGACTTTTATGTGCTTTGTGCAGACGGGAAAAACTATGCACAAGGCTGTATATTCGCTCGTTCGTTTGTCCGTATCTTCTTATCTTCATATGTTTGTGTTCCCATATAAGTATGTTGTATATCGCACATACTTTTTAAAATTAAGAAAAAAAGAAATCCGCAATGTCAAATAAGGTGCTTGGTATTCAACAGTGACAAAGACACTAGAAGAACAAAATAAACAAAAATTTCAAATGCAATTAAGCAAAAACATGCCAAGAATATTGCAAAGGGTGAACACACAAAAAAAAAAAAAAAAAAAAAAAAAATAATAATAAAATAAAATAATAATACAAGTTGAATAAACTAAAATAAAAAAAAAGAAATAAAGGCTATATGTACATACAAATATATACACCTTGCACAAATATCCAAAAAAAAAAAAAAATAAATAAATAAAATAAAATAAAATAAAATAAAATAAAACAAATAAATAGATAAACAAATAAAACAAAAGAAAACAGTTAAAAAGGGCCAAGTGAAACGTTTTGATTGAAACATATACAATAACTGAGTAGAGCAAAAAACCAAAGTAAACAAAACTGATCATCAAACAAATAGGCAAATCATACACAACGCGCAAAATAAGTCAGATCGCACGAATAGAAGGAGAAAAATCGGATGTGAAAGGAACTTTAAAGAATTAGCAAAAGAAATGAAGACCGATTAGGGGGATCATTACACAGCTGGTTAAATAAATGCAAATTTGCAAAACCTTAGTTTTATTTGTTACGGAGGAGAGAAATTAAGTCGAATGAACTAGCCAATTTTTTTTTTTTTTTTTGTGTGATCCGTTCATATATTATTGAGTATTATGAAAATCAATGGCTACTATTGAAAAAAGTAACAAAAATGTTGAACTTGATAAAGAAGCTTTTTACAAAAATGAGAAAAAAAGTAAGGCTAATAAAATAGAACAGGTACATGGTAATGATGAAAAAAAAGAAGTCGAGATCACCAGTTTTCACAATGTAGAAAACAAAATTGAAAACAATGTAGACATGTATGGCATAAATTTAAACAAAAATGATATACACATGAACAACAATAATTACAGTAGCAATGTTATAAAAACGAATAATGAAATGGAGGAGGAAAGAAAAACCGGTTTGAATGAAAACAAAAGCAATTATGAAACAGAGGAGGAAAACTTACTAAATGATGAAGGGAACTTATCAGATGAAGGGGAAGAAGTAGAGGAAGAAAATGTTATTGAGAAAGATCTTATACTTCAACGATATAAACATGGTACCAATATATATATAAATCTCTCTGAGATAAAAAAAAAGTGTATCCTAATTGACTTTTACTCTGAATGTTTAAATAAATATAAAAATGAATGTAGTTTTGTATACTATCAAAATTATAACAGCAATAGTAATGTAATAATTAACGAAAATGTGGACATGATGAGACATGTACATAGCATAAATTTTTCATGTGAAAATCTGGATAGTTTAAGTAACATGCCCATTTCGAATGATAAATGTGTAATTACTAAAAATAAAAATATATCAAAATTTTCAAACAACTTACAGATGGGCGTAGGTACATTTTCTATACCAGGTGAAGATTACAAAGGATTCAATCTTCAAAAAAAAAAGCAAGAATCCTTAGACCCCTTGTTAAAATGCATAAACTCGTTATCGGATAGAATAAATCTGCAACATCTAGTGGGGGATCCTACAACATATTTTAAAATTGGTGGCGGTGACATGTTCTATGATATTAATGATCCATTTTTGGATGACGAAGAAATGTATAAAGAATTGAATAAAACAAAAAATGAAATTATATTAACAAGGCAGATAGAAGATGAATATAGTGTATGGAGTGCTGATATGTCAGATGATTATGTTGATATAAATCCGGATTATTTTATTTCATTTTATAGCTCTAAATGTAAGTATGTTTATTCAAGTGATGAAGAAGACGAAGAAGAAAATAAAAAACTAAAAACTAAAAATAACCATACAAATGTAGAAGAATATAATAAGGAAAAGTATATAAATGATTTGAAAGGCAAAGAAAAAAAGATTGACATGGAGAGAAAAAATATAGCATATAATGGGTACAGCTGCGCAAATGAAAAAAATGTGGACAATAGTACACATAATGGAGTATATAAATGGTACGATTCCTACACATCTAGTTCCTCTAATTCATCTGATGAAAGTGTAGTAGAATTAAATGAATCACAAATAGATGTAATAAATTATGAACAAAATTTAAAGGATTTTATCATATATTCAAGTGAAGAAGAAGACGAAACGTCCTCTTCTGAAGATGAAGATGGTGAAAACTCACAAGAGTCAGAAACATCGGAAGAAGATATTATATTCAATCCTTTTGCTTGGAAAAAATTCGAAAGGCATATCCCCCCCGAATTTATAAACTCTTTTGTAAAATTAGAAAAAGAGTTAGATGCTTTACCAATAGAGGTAAATATAGCAGATATACAAGACATTATAAAAGCAAATATTTATAACATATTTTCTCAAGTCATCGATAAACACAAGAACACGTTAAATTATTTTGATAAAACTTTAGATGATTTTATCGAAATAGATGTAAAACAATTAAGATGGCTTACAACCATCATGAACAAAACATCAAACACTCTTAATGACATAGATATTTGTAGAATATGGTTCGAACATATTTTTTCCTATAACAGTAATGTTTTTATAAATCACGAAAAAGAATTCATCAGAAAGATAAAGAATTCGCAAATTTTCGAAAAAAATAATAAGACACATTTGAATAACATTCTTAAGGATATATCTTCTTGGAGGTCTTATCAAGAAAGTAAGGAAAAGTTGATACGAGAAAACGTAGAGACAGGTCCCATTGGAGGAACTGGTAATATTAATTCTAACGCTGGCTGTTATAATGTTGCTGAATCAAAGAATTCTAATCGAAACGTGAATTCATCAACCCATAATATGGGCACTAAAAGTAGCACATTGAATCGAGGAACAAACAGCACAACTGAAGGAGTCATTTTGAGTGTGAACAAATTGAACATCGAATGTACTGTTAATCAAAGTAAGAATGATGATAATTTAAGCAGAACTATAGAACGTGACAAAAATGTTATCAGTAATATCGAGGGAAAGTGCAAAGAATTATCTGAAAATGCGAAAAAATTATATGGAAATGAAGTATACATAGAGGAGCAGAAGAATACCAATTGTGGTCTACAGAACAAGGAAATATTTGGTAAGATGGAGGAGAAGGTAGATAATAATGTTCAGGTGAAGAGGTGTGAAAATTCAGAAAATGGTGTGCTTTGCGAGAAGAATGAAGAATCCATTTTCAGCACTTATTTCGTTAAGAATAACATAATAAAGAAGGAATTAGGAAAAGAGACAGAAAGAGGAATTGAAAATGTAAAATTAGTTAATATAAAGAATGAGGAAATTGATGGAAAAAACAAGCATTCATCTTTGCACTTTTCAAATAATAGTACTATCGAACAAGTGGATGGAGAAAAAACCGTTTATAGCGATTACAGTTCTGCACATAATAATAATGGTTTATTAAAAATTGATTGTGTTGAATGTAATATTGTAGATGATGATGGTGGTGATGGTGATAATCATAATGATCATAGTATTATAGCAAATTCAAATGATGGGTCGACTAATAAACAAAAAAGGAAAAACAGAAATGAGAATAAGTTAGCAATGGGAGTAGAATCCCTAGCCCCAAACGCAGCTTCAATGACTATGATAAAGGGATCAAAAACAACGGATATAGAAAAAAGTAAAGGAATTTGTAAAAATAATGAAAACCATACAGATCACGAAGATGTGGCAAAAACATGTAAAAATAGCAACATGAATAGTAATAATCAAAAGGATGATTACAAATGGATAGAGAATTTTTTTAAACATTTTATAGATATTTCATACGACATTTTAAATTATATAAAAACATTTATTAAACAGAAATGCTTGTTAAAGGATATGATATCAGCTGGTTTTGAAGCACTTGTAGAAAAACAAAATAAACATTTTGTTAAATTTCCTCATATGACCTTGTCCGAAATACTAACAAATTTATTTAATTTTAGATACAAAACGAATATTATAATTAGTCCAGATTATGTTGAAGCCCTTGTAGATTTTTATCAAGGTAAGTACAAAATTGATATATCATATGACAAAGGGAAAAACAAAAAAGTATTTCTTTTCGATACTAATGAGATGCACAAATTGAATAATGCATATTATAGAAATAAACATAATGCAAAAGACAAAGTTATACCCCATGATAATGAAAATTGTAAAGATGAACATAAAATCAAAGGTGGTAAAATTGAGCTCGATGAAAAAACAAGCTATAAAAAAGGTGTTAATGATAATATTTCTAATAATGAACTCATGATGTCCCATCAACACAAGGATCGTTCCCTAAATACAACGAATAAGAAACAATCTTCTTTAAAAAATGATTCCTCAGGTATTATCCCTATTATGAGTTCCTCTACAAACTCACCTATAGTTACTGCAACTGCTGGGGCTGCTACAGATGGAACAAACAAAAGTTCGAACAAGAAAAGATTAAGTGAATCTACTAAACATAACCTTTTGAAAGAAACGAACACTTTGACAAAAAAAAAATCGAATAAAATTTTATCCAATGATTTACCAAAAAAAAATGGGGATAAAAAGAAAAACAACAAAAATGAAAAGAAAAATTGCAATACTACTCATATAATTATTTGTTCAGACAATGAGGAATCTGAAGAGGAACAATCACCACCACATAAGAAGGTGCAAAATATACAGGGTAATAAAAACCAATATCGAAATATGAATATGTTAATAGAAAATATAACTAAGAAGAAATGCAGTGCCAATATTACTACCCCAACCGATAGTATGATAATCAGCAATCATTTAACAAAGGATCAGCGTAGGGGTAATTGCACCAGCGGTTACGTTGATCCACACAAGGAAAGGACACCCAGCATGTCCAACAGCGTTCATGGAAAAATTCGTAGCAACACGTGCAGTAACATGTATGGAGGCTTGAACAGCAACATGTATAGCAAAACGCAAGGCAACAATAAACTGCAAACAATTCGAAACATTTTCAGTAATTCCTCCACTATTAACAATAATAAGCTGAACAACAACAGCAATAGCATATACGCAAATCAGAAAAAAAAAGGAAATGAAGAAAATCTGTTAATTATTGGAGATGAGCAAAAAAACCTAAATTCGAATCACATTCGAAACGAAAAAATGAAATTATATAAAAAAAGGAAATTGAAAAATGATTATCCGTGTGGTAAAAAAAGTGCACATACCAACATACAGAAGCATAACAAAATCAACGAAAAAATGAAAGGAAAAAATATGCACTCAAATGAGAATTCTGCAGTGCGCAAGTATATTAATCTCGACACTTCCGACGAAAACAAATCGTGAATGATTTTTTTTTTTTTTTAACTAATACGACTGTTGAGTTCATTTTCTTTTGCGTTCTTGGATAATACAAATCGTGTTCCTGAATAGTTACACATGTATATATATATATATATATATATATATATATATATATATATATATATATATATATATATATACATACATATATAACCGCCTTAATTTAGTTTTGGGATAACTTCTTTGAAAAAAGACAGATTTTTTTTTTCCTTTTTTTTTCTTTTTTTTTTTTTTTTTTGTTCCCGCATAACGTACTGAAAGGTCATTCTTAAACAGTTAAGGATCTTTTTATATATGAAATTATTTGCTAGTAATTACATAAGAGCATTAACATATTAGTGTCTGTGTGCCCATACACGTATAATCATCCTTTTTTTTTTTTTTTTTTTTCATCTTTTTAATTTCGCATTTCCTTCTCATTTTCTTCCCATTTCCCTCTTTTTTTTTTTTTTTTTGTTTGTACATATGTACACATATCTCTAGTCACGCTCTTATAATGTTTGTCTCGCTGAAGCTTATATGCACATATACGAATTTGCGTGATGTAATTTATAACTTAATATTTTTTTTTTTTTTTTTTACATTTCCTATTGTGTGTTCATATATGTGTATATATTTATTCCTACTCTCCTCCTTCCCCTTAGTTTCGTCATGTTTATGCCTTGGCTTCTATAAGTTATATATACTTCCTAGGCCCCCATTATGTATTTTTCTCCTTTTTGTGTATTACAAATTTGTTTACACACTGATTTTGTTTTAATACACTTGTTACTTAAAATAACCCGCATTTTTTTCTATATTTTGTTTTATAATTTTTTTTTTATTGTTCTTTTTTTTTTATTTTTCTTATCATGTTTATTCTATTTTATTTTATTTTTTTGCATTAAAGAAACATCGCATAAATTGTGAAAATTAACAGAGAATTGTTGTGAAATAACAGAAAAATTGAAAAAAAAAAAAAAAAAAAAAAAAAAAAAAAGAAAGAAAGAAAGAAAAAAATGAAAAGAAAAAGAGTGTAGAACAGGGGAACAAAGAGAAAGTGATAATGGTAGAATACGCTATTTAGAAACATGAGTAGACACATATATGAACACTGTATATATATTATATATGGATTATTAAATAAAGTTTAAATAAAATCACCGAACTGAATTATTGTCGGAAATTATCCCTTAAAAAAGGAATAATCCAACTTGGTGTCATTTTATGTTCGTTTAGCACTTAAGAAAAGCAGAAAAAGAAGGGGAAAAAAAAATTATTTTTGTTTTTCCTAATTGGATGTAATATTTCTTTCATCATACGAACGAAAAGAAGAAGCGTTTGTTTGTTTATTTATTTTATTTTTTTTTTCGAACAATTTTAGGTGAAAATATATGTTACACGTATCTCTCAGCTTGCCTACCAATATCTAGTAAACACTACATAAAAAAAAAAAAAAAAAAAAAAAAAAAAAATGTGTAAAGAAATTTTGAATATTCTCAAAGACTTGACGCTTTTAAAACAGTATTGCAAAAAGAAAGTAAGAAATATGTGCAGGGCTTAGGTGCCAGTCTTGATGTATATAAAATTGTACCTTTTTATTTTTTTTTTTCATAAATATAAAAGCAGCCATGAAATTGTAACAGTGTGGTGTTTCTACGATTCCTATTTATATCTATTGTTATGACTTTACAACACATACCTATCACATTGTACATTTTTTTAATCTCCTACCTTTTCCCCTATTTTGTTTTTATAATTTCCTTTCCCTATATCTTTCTCTATCTCGCCTGAACGACCTCCCCAAGACGGATCTTTTAGCTATTCTACAATCATGCAAAGTGAAAGAATATGACGAAATTTGGCACTCATTGCATAAAATACTGGAAGAAAATACAAATACTGATAAACTGATTTACGATGAAGAGAATTCAATTTTACTTTTCAGGGTAGGATTGAGAAATCAGTAGAGGGTGAGGGAGAGGAGGTATTCCCAAGATTACAAACTTTCATGTGAAACTTCTCTAATTAATTTCGATAGATCCGTAAGAAAAAAAATAAGGTACATTAGTAATTCTCATTTTTTTTTTTTTTTTTTTTTTTTTAAAGGAAGAAAATGATAGACAATATCTATTGGCATGTATAAATTTCATTTTAATATATTTGCAACATCTGACTAATGGTGAAAAGAAGAAGAAAAAGCACATAAAATTGGACCCCACTTTTTGCACCATTTATTGTAAAATCATTGGTTGGGATGAAAAAAAAAAAAAATTAAGTGAAATCAGACGAAGAGGAGTTAATATGTTTGTTCATACATTAATGCGGTTTGACATTGAATGCAAAGCCCCCTTATGAATGTGACGACAATTTTGAGTTTTTTTTTTTTTATTTTATTTTTTCCATCCATCAGTTTGCATACCCTTGAAGTTATACGAAATATGTTTTTCTTCTTCCTTCTATACGTAGAAATTCAATTCATGCTAAGCGACAAAGATGTGAGAATGTCCTTTGGCAAATGTCTATTCCAGATATGCGAATTAAATTTAGAAGAAAATGAATTTTTGGAACATGTGAAAATAAACCTGTTGATATTCTTATTATGGAAAATGGCTTCTTCAGATGTAAGAGAAGAGCTACGAGTATTTGATATTGAAAATATGATGAAAGCAAATTTCTGAATTGGTGCAGATTCTACTGGTGGATCTCCTTGAAACATTTATATGCACATATATCTCTAAACGATATGTCACCTACATTTTCTACCATATCTCTCAATCACTGTCCAACTTCAATTATTTCGAAAAAATCAATTCATAGGGAAAGTGCTCAGATATTAGTAAACTCAAAAAATACAAAGATTTTTGCAAGTACATAAAATGGGGAGTGTCAGAAAGGTCTACCAATTCGTTTTACGTGCTCTGCTCCTACTCTCTGAATCTTCCCAAGTTTTATGAAAAGTAAAAACGAAAAATGAGTAATCTACAAATTGATCAAGGGTGTGCCAGCTACAAAAAAAAAAAAAAAAAAAAACAGTACGCTAGCATATGATATTATTCAACAAGATATGATCAGACAAGAAACGAAATAATCCAATTCAAAGAAAAAATCACAAGCAATCGAAATATAAAATAAAATATTTCCATTTTCAGCGCTGAGGGGAAATTCTTTTTGTCTCATGTTTGGTCTCAAAACGAAAGCATAGCATCTCACCTTTTTAACGTAAGTGAAGAGAAGAATAAAATAAAATACGTAACTTTTGGGATGTCTAACCGAATGACACTGATCACTTATTCTACTGGGATCACACACAACATTAATCTTTATCCAAATTCATCATGCTTATTTATCGCCCATTTTCTCTCAACCTGACACACAGAAATTTGTACACAACACAGTAACCCTGTCACATGACAGTATCATTCACTATTCTCAAATCATTTATGAGTCATGGAAGGTATGACACGATAAAATTGGGAAAGACTCCTTTATATATATATATATATATATACATATATATGTATGTGTGTGTATAGGTATATATGCCACTTACGCACATGGATTAGCTCTTCACGCTCCTCTTAAAATTCTTTGTAGAACTGTTCGGGAAAAATGAAAGAGATAATAGAGATCCAAATTGAGCACCTTGTAAATTTGGCCCTAAAATGTCCAATTAAGATCGCTGCTCGTTTCAGGAGTTTGCTGAACATTTTTCACAACAATAAGGGGTAAGTATTGTTTTAATTGAACCCTTCACAATATGCCCACTTTCTTTCCGAACTTAGTGATTCTTATGTTTCCTTTTACCATTTGGATACATGTTCCTACGGTTCACTGATTTCGATTAATCCGCATCAATTCATTTCATAAAGGGACAAGAATATCAACAATTTAATATTCAAAATTTACGAGCCGGTTATATGGAGAAGTCTAATGGTAACTAAAACGCTTTTGTCTAGCAATATATTCATCTATTTTTGAATGTCCAAGGATTCATAAGACAAACCTTTAGCTACAATATATATAAAAGAAAAAACAACACTCACTGGCAATTTTTTTCTCTCATTTGATTTTTTTTTTTTTTTTTTTTTTTTTTTTTTGCACACTAATTTAGTCGCCTAATTGGAAACTTCGCTTTAACGCGACATGCATTTTTCAGCTGATTTTCCCTGTGGTGGTAATTTATAATTTACATTTCGTTCAAAGGAAAAAAAAAAAAAAAAGAGATGAGATAAGAAATGAAGAAGAGAAAAGTGAAGAGATAAGAAATGAAGAAGAGAAAAGTGAAGAGATAAGAAATGAAGAGATGAGAAATGAAGAGAAGTGAAGATTCTACTGTACTGATGCATTTCTAGTATTAATGTTCGTTCTGTTTCATCTACACACTGTTCTATTTTTTTTTTTTTTTTTTTTATACCTCCTCAAATGGTACACCATTAGGACCCGTGCATAAAGAACATAAACTATCTTTCCTCAATGGAGAAGTAAGCTAAAAAGAATTGGAAAAGCAATATGGATGAAACTAAAAGAACAGCATCCCACGATCTGAATAATATTAGTACCATTATCCCAGGAGCACGATTACATTTCTACCTTTCCTTCTGGCAAGAGCTTACCAGGTCCTCTTTGAATTGGCTGAGGATGGAAATGCCTGCGTCTTGCAAGCCGTAGCCAAGTGCATATGCTATGTAAGGCGAATACAAAAAAGAAGAAATAATGTAAAAGAAACGCTCAAATTGTATACATAAAAATGAGTGAAAAAAACGAGAGAAAAAATGAGTAAAAGCGGACCCGTGCCGTTGAAATGGCATCGACTAACTCAAGCAAACCTTTATCCGAATGTCTGCGCACCCCCCCCCAAACAACCCCCCCACACACACACACTAATTATTCAAAGATCCTGAATGAACTATGGGAAATGATAGTCGAAGACAAAAGGTCTGCACTCATGGAAATACTCATTAACAAATTTTTAAAAGAAAAATGTTACGATAATGTAAAAACAGAAGTTGTGCTAGGTTTTTGTGAAATGGCGAGAAATAAAAAGATAAATAAAATTTTTATAAAAATATTTGATAGAATAAAATATCTCATTTGTGATAAATGCTTAAGAGTAAGAAAAAATTTTGTCCTTTTGGTGTTAGAGCTGAATAAAAATTTGAATGAAAATTTTTCAAATCAAATTGATTACAATGAATTGACAAAAAGGATAACAAAAGACTTATTTACTTATAATATCCAGTTGTGTATAAAAAAAATGTCTTATTCGAAACATGGACATCATGAGAAAATGAAAAATAAAGAAATTTGTGAATTTTTAAAATTATCTACAAATTTAATCACATATTCTATGTGGAAATCTACCATAAAACAACAAGCAAAGTTGTGTATAAATCTACTAAATGATTATCCAGTACTAATGATTTGTATAAGTAAATTTGCTACAAATTTGGAGCTCATACAAAGATATAAATTGTCTTCTGTTCTATTTGAAATTACTAATCTTAAATTGAGAGAAGAGGGGAATTCTGCTTTCCTTGAAAAGACAAACACGCATCAAACGGAGCTCAGCACGGAAGAGTTAGTCTCCCTTCCAGACACTAATGATGATACAACCATAACGGAAGAAAACAGAAAAAGAGTTAAGAATGGATCCACTAAATGGATGAAAGAATTTGTACAGAAATTGTCTGCACGTTTTCCCCAAGTACACGATTCAAAAGAAAAACTTAAAGATCCAAACTTAAACAGAAAATATGTGAAATACTCATGTCTGCTTCTTTGTGTGGCGTATCTATTAAAACCAAAAAACGAGGAAGAAATCGAAATATGCAGATCAGAAGAAATTGAAAATTTTGTGAAAAGTAAATTTAGAGAAGAATATTTTGTGGATAGTATAAACACATTAATGCAGCAGTATTATTTTAAGATACTTAAATATGTTAATCTGAATGAGGACAATTATAGAGTGATACATAAGTATGGTCAGAAGGAATTAAATTCTTTATATACACTTAATAATGAACATGTATGTGCAAAATATATTATTCCCCTATTTTACAAGTGGGGTTTACTTGATTCGTTTGTTTCGAAACATATGAACGTTTTAAACATCTCAATTGAATCTATGTTGTCTTATACTTGTAATAACTCAGCATCTGGATCGAACACTAAAGAGAATTGCTTTGTTCATGTATACAATACCTTTCAATCTGTCACAAAAAATTCACCCGATACTTTTTCCCTTGGAAGAGTAACGATCTTAGAGGGAGAAGTGGATAGCAACAAAAAAGATGGCTCCTTAGAAGATAAGAAAGAAAAAGAAATTTATATAAATAATGAAAAAGAACTAAATACATTGATTTTTTTTTCACTTATAGTTAAGAAGAAGAAATATCATCATATAATATTGAAACCATTCCACAACATTATATATAATTTTGTTCTAAAATTTAATTCTTTTCTTTTACACATTTTTGAAAAAATATCACTCAATGAATTTCAGTTACCTCTTCATTTTATATCACCTCACTATGAAGATAAAAAAGACGAAACAATTTTGCAGTATGTGTTGTATGATAGAAATAAGATAAGAGGATATATGTTTTTATACATTTCTTTTTTTTTTCTTTTAAATTCTTCGAAGCAAAATGATTTTTCTTACGAATGGGATACATTAATTGAGAACACTTTGAGGAGTATTCATTTCATTAGTTCTATTAAATTTAAAAACGAAATTGAAATTGTTACCTGTGAAAAATCGACAAGTTATCACACAGAATATCACAATAATTTCATTGAAAAACGGACCAAATGGAAAACTTATATAAATAGGATCCTTCATTTCTTTATGTAATTTCTTCGCTTCTGCATATATCATTAATCTCGCATACTATTGTCTTTTTTTTTTTTTTTTTTTTCTTTTTTTTCTTTTTTTTCTTTTTTTTCTTTTTTTTCTTTTTTTTCTTTTTTTTCTTTTTGCATGTATATCTGTGTGTACATGGATAATGTACTTCGTCTGTTTCTCCCTTTCATCATGGTCTCAACTGTTAATGTAATTTCTTGACGTACGGTTGAGGAGTAGTGTGGCTTCCCCTCTATTGCACTCATCATTTTTTCTGTATACATCTGTCTATCTATCTACCTACCTATCTATTTGTCTACCTACCTATCTATTTGTCTACCTACCTATCTATTTGTCTACCTACCTATCTATTTGTCTACCTATCTATCTACTTCCCTACCTACCTATCTATTTTATTTTTTTATCAGTAGACACGGGAGTATACACACCCATGTGTATATACCCGTGATACAAGACTTACTGCTATTTTTTGCATTATTCCTCCATTGTTATTATTTTCTTCATTTTTTGTAATTTCCACCCACCACCCCCTGTCATTGCAGATACTTCCTAGATATGATCGAATACACAATCGCAATGAAAATGATACTCGTTGAGGATCTTGATTTTAATGATTTAGTAAAGAATATGTTTATGTTCTACAAATGTTACGAACTTGTTTGGGTATGCAGAATGGAGGGAAAAGACGGATGTTTAAATGAAGGAGAAAATGAATCTGAAGAGAATGAGGGAGTTAGAGAGATGTACTTGAAGGTTTGGAGTAGAATAAGCGAATTTCTTCTATTCATATTAAATTTTGATTACTTTGCAAAAAAAACTGAAATGAAGTTGTCCATATTACATACGTTTTTTTCATTTACGTATGAATTTGTTCGTAAGGAAGATATAGAACGGGTTATCAATAAATATGCAATTTTAGTTAATGAAAAAGAAATATTTTTCAGTTTTATAAAAAATTACAAAAAAAATATGAGCACAACAAGCTACATGAAAGAAGGGCAAATAAATTATATTCAAAACATTTTAGACAATATTTTAATGCCAAAGGATAAGACAAAAAAAGGATCCACCTAACATGCAAAAATAAATTCCAAGGTATGAAGAAATGTTCATAATATATGGGCAAAGCAAAGTACACAAAATGTATCATCAAAAAGTGCACATTTGGAAATTATTTATTTGTCGTTTATACATTTATTCATTCATTTATTTATTTTCCCTCTTTCGACTGAATTTAGCTCACGTGATCCGTAAGCTAATAATTACGAACATACAGACATTTGCTCACATATTCGTTCACAATACTTGTAGGATTTTATTTTATTATTTTTTTATTTTATTCTATTATTTTTTTTCTTTTTCTCTATCTACTACCCCACTGCAGATAAAAAAAAAAAAAAAAAAAAAAAAAAAACGACATTTCACAAAAATTTGTTCAAATTTAATTTCCTATTTTTAATTATGGTGAGCATTTCTAAAATTCCTTCTCGCGCTTTCATTAGTTTGTTCAGCTTATTCGTTTGTATTTGCTTCTCAATAAGTGCAATATTCTTTTCGTAAATTTTTTTTTTTATTATAAAGTCTGAAATGTCATTTTCCAATGGGGTGTCAGAATTTTTGTCACTTTCATTGCATAAGCTTTTGCATGAATGAATCAAACTGTGTTCCAAATTTTCTTCCATATCAGTCCAATCATTTACAAAGTTTGTGCCGAGGAGATTGGTGTTACCAACAACATTTTCAACGAGGGCATTTTCGATTGGTATTCCTTCGAGTAAGTCCTCAATTAAATTATTGCTTATGATACCCTCATCCATCTCATCATGTCCATTATCTCTTGCATCGTCTGAATTGTCTTCTTGAAAATTTTCACCACAGTCTCCTGTATATGTTGGATTTTTTTTCCTTTTTGTGGATTCGTTCCTCATCTTGATCTTTTTATCTTTGTTGTCTTCTTTAGGAAGATCTTCATTATTATCACTTACACTTCTAATATTGTCATTGTTGTCTTTACTATTGCTATCTGTTTTATTCCTCCATTTGCTTTTCATTATGGTGTAATTAAGTCAAAATGTGCATATTATTTTATTTTTTTTGTGTACGTATGTGTGTAGGTATTGGATGTGACAGCTAGTTTTTCATTTGAATCATGGTAGCTTGTGACATCAGTTCGTATGTGCATTCATACGATATTTACCAATTCAATGGGTTCAGGTATATGCAAAGGGCTCATTTATTTTTCTTTAGAGCTATTTGCTAGCTCTCTTTATCACATCAAAGCAGCACTAAAAATAGTATTTTTTCATTTTTTCATTTTTGCTGAAAAAAAAAAATTCAGCAAAATACGGCAAAATTGACATATATATTATTATTCATATTCGCTGTACTAGTACAATTCTCATTTTTAATACTCAGCCAAAGTTTAAATATTTTCAAGTTGCGAAAAACGACTCACTTGTGAAGATTTAAATTTGGAGAATTTTGCCTGAACAGGTTCGAACTTAATTCCGTGCATATACATACGTAACCGCTCTGACGAGTATTCATTCGGAATGAGAAAAAAACAAAAAAAATAATAAAAAAAATAAAATAATAAAAAAATTAAAATAGTAAAAAAAAATATAAAATAAATGAATAAGCCAGCAAATAAGCAAACGACCAAACATACGAAGAAAGAAAAAAATAAATAGAATTAAAAAAACAAAAAAAAGCAAGGATGGCAACAAGGCAAAAAAAAAGGCAAAGTATGATTCGCTGTAAATTGCGAATTTTCTAATTTACAACAACATTAGAGACGTTGGACTTTAGTTGATAAAAATGATACTACAACTTTATTACAAATTTTTAGTAAACGTTAAATAAGCTTATGTACTATGTACGTTTTTGTATACAAAAAAAAAAAAAAAAAAAAAAAAAAAAAAGTTTACATGAATAATTCAGGCTAAATTTAAAAGTTTACAATTTGATAATCTTGAAAAAAAAGTGGCTTTTTTTGCCCATAATCATATTCAACTGAACCATTTCGACTTTTTTTTTTTTTTTGCTTTTTTAAGTTTATAAGCATAGACGCGATGAAGATGAAATTTCATTAAGCCACGTATGAATTACATAGAAGGAAACAAAGCAAGTAGAAAATCAGATCATTTTTTTTTATTATTATATTATTTTTACTGCCAAAATTGTGACATGCTTCGATCGTTTTTTTTTTTTTTTTTTTTTTTTTTTTTCATTTATATGTATACATATACCCCTCATCAGTCCATTTAAATGATAAAAATTTTCATTTTATTACACGTACAAATTACTACAAGGGAGAATGGTGAAATCGTACGACAGGTACGAGTTTGAAGATTGCTTCGGCATTGTGAACTCGAGGATGTCCAATTGTGTTTTCTTAAATTATAATCACATTTTATCAGGTAAAAAAAAAAAAAAAAAAAAAAAAAAAAAATGGGAAGACAGGTCGAGACAAATTATATTGAGCGAAAATGTGTATGCATATAAATATGAACATATTTACATACGTGTACATATAGGGATAAATCTTTTTTCACGAACGGTTGATAACACTCCCCTATGCCTTAATATCTTATAATTAACACTAACTCCATTATGTGTTAAGGGATATATAATATAAAATAAAATAACCGATAATAACAAATACATGTCGGATGTATATTTCTAATGCATCCAAAGAAGCAACGCTTAGTGTGCCCATGATGTTGTTGCTCATTTCACTATTTTACCTTTTTTTTTTTTTTTTTTTCTTTTTTGTTACTTGCGTATGTTATCTTCTTACTTCCCTTTTTTATTTGTCTATGCTGTCCTCTTCCCTTTTTTATTTGTCTATTCTATCTTCGTATTTTATTTTTTATTTTTCATATTTTATTTTTTCAACACCCTTTTAGGTCACGACGAATGTGTAAGTCTGTGGAACACACACGAAAAGGAAATAAAAAAAAAATTAACAGTTCCCTTCATAGCCCCATATTATTTTTTTTGCTACCATGTTACTTACATTTGTATAAATGAGAAGAACAGAAACCTCGTAGCAGTTGGATATATAAATGGTTGTATTAAATTATTTGACATAGAAGAGAATAAAGTATTGTCAACGTTTTGTGGACATACATCAGCTATATGCAAGTTAAAATTTAATCAAGATGGGAATTACTTATGTTCATGTGGAAAAGACACAAATATAATATTATGGGATATTATAAATGATCAAGGGATGTTTAAATTAGAAGGACATACGAACATTGTTAACGATATTGAATTTTTGAAAATGAAAAATAATTTTGTGGATGACTTTATAAGTAATAATTTACTCATTAGTGCATCTAAAGATTGTTTAATTAAAGTTTGGGAATTAAATATTCAATTGTGTGTTCAGACGGTGGTTGATTGTGAGGAAGAAATTACTTCCATTTTGATAAACGAAACAAATACCAGATTAATTGCAGCATGTAATTCTTTCATAAAAATATACAAAATTGATTTACATAAAAATGTTAATGATAAGTTTGCTAGTTCGTCCAAAGTATATGTCAGCTTCTTAGCGTCCATAAAACGTCCCAACAATTGTCGAATCCAAAATATGCAAATGATATTTCTTATTCGAAATGAAAATTATATCGATAGTAATCATAATGTGGAAGATGATGACCAATTGTTATATGAAGACAATTATAGAGATTCAACGAATTTAGGGAATGGTGTAGACGAAGAAGCAAAGGATGATGACTATAATAATATTGTTTCAATGAATTCAACTAAGGGTGAAAATGAAAATGAATTAAACCGATTTGATGAAAACAATGAAAGGGCAACAAACCAGAATGATGGATATAAAATAAATTCGATTAAAGAGCCTTGCTATAAACACATTTTGAATATTATAAAAAATTCTTTAAATAAATCTGTAAAATTATGCAATCGAAGTAGATACTGTGCTGAAGGTGATAACAACGGAATCCTTCTTTGTTGCACGAATTTAAAAAAAATAGAATTGTATAAAATAAATTCCATAAAAAATCAGAAAAAATCAGAAAAAAATAAAAAAAAAAGAATTATAGAAAAATTAAAAAAAAAAAAAAAAGCAATATTAAAAGAAATAAAAAGGATAGAACATTTTAAGGGAACGCAAAACATCGATTTTATTAACTTGACAGAGAAATTAAAAAATTTACAACAAAATATTGATATTCATAATAAGTATCATATACACACAGCCAATGATGAAGTAAAGTATTTGTTTCATTACAACTGTAAATTTAGATTGCAATATTTGGATGTTTACCGTAGGCGCAAGAGAGATTCCTATCTCTACTTGCTCGTGTCATATGTAACAAATCGTCTGAACGTGTTCAAGATGAACCTCTTTGATGTTTTAAATAACAGGGATCAGTTTATTGTCAAGACGATGGATCAAGCAGAGCAGGGAGGGAAAAATCAAAATGGTGATAAAGAAAATGACGAAGAAAGAAGTGACGAAGAAAGAAGTGACGAAGGAAGAAGTGACGAGGAGAATAGTGACGAAGAAAAAAGTGACGAAGAAAATGACGAAAAAAATAGTGACGAAGAAAATGACGAAAAAAATAGTGACGAAGAAAATGACGAAAAAAATAGTGACGAAGAAAATGACGAAAAAAATAGTGACGAAGAAAATGACGAAAAAAATAGTGACGAAGAAAATAATGACGAACGAAAAAGTGAAGAAGAAAATAGTGATCAGAAAGGAAACCGGCTGCGACTTGAGACCGCTAAAATCGTGGAAAAAAAAATATATGATTACTCCAAGTGCTTCAAGGATATATGTGAAATAAACAAAGGACACAACAGCATGGTTCATTTCTTGAACTTGTCTGAAAATAACGAATTGCTGATTTCACTTTGTAAGAAGTATGTGAAAGTGTGGAATATGAGAACTTTCCAGAATATCATCACGATAAATTTAGAAGGTTGCACGAATGCCATGTTTTTCCAGAATGATGAGTATGTGATCATTAGTGATGACACAGGTTACATCTACCTGTACGAGTTAAGAAACATAGAATTGAAGCAATTGTACAAGGCACATGCAAGTGGAATTATCAACATGTGTAAAAATTCGAAAAAAAATGGATTTCTCTCCGTTGGTGAGGAGAACTATATGAAGCTGTTTGAGTTATATTGGGGTGAGAGGAATGAGGATCAAAGTGAAGGAGGGAATGACGAATTCAATGACGAATATGATGATGAACTAGTTGACGAGATGAACGATGATCAACTTGGTCAGGCGGAGGAAAGCAAGAAAAAACGGAGGATTATAAACCACAAGGAAGAAGTTTATGAGGAAAAGAAGAAAACACAATTGATGCTTAAAGAATTAGATTCTTATAGCCTATGTGATAAAGCAAGCTGTGCAATTTTTTCACCGAACGGGAAATATATCTGTATTGGATATTTGAATAATTTGATAGAAGTACTATACAGTGACACATTAAAATTGCATTTAACACTTTATGGTCATAGTCTTCCGATTACATGTATGGATATATCTAAAGACAACAGTATTTTAGCATCTGGCTCATCAGATAAGTTTCTTTTGCTATGGAATATAGAATACGGGAGCATAAATAAAAGGTTACATACGAACTGTGATGTATTAACAAAAGTTCAATTTTTTCATGAAAATAATAATTTAATAAGTTTATCAAGAGATGGATTGATAAAAATGTGGGATGCAATTAAATTTCAATGCATCTGTACGATGGATGGCAATTTTGGAGTTTTGACATCTGTGGTTATAAACTCAGCGGATGATTATTTCCTAACATCAGGAAGTCATAGAAGTATTAGATGTTGGAAAAGACGAGATGATGATTTAATTTTTTTAGAAGAAGAAAGAGACAAAGAAATGAATCTACAAATTGAAAAAGAAGTAGTGAGAAATGATTTATCCTACCCATCATCAGTTGAAAAAAATGTATTGTTGAACAAAGCAACTATTAAAACAATAGAAACGATTAAATCGTCAGAAAAACTAATAGAATATTTAGATATAATTGATGAAGAATTAACTCTCATTGATATTTATTATAAAAATTTAACTGCATATGAAGAAGCTAAAAAAAATAATGAACTTCCCGAATTTGTTCAACCACCAAATAGGGTGAAGCCAAGGCCTGAGTTGCTAAATAAAAATCCATTTGAATTTATTATTGAAGTTATGTGTCATATTAAGAAAAATATTTTAAATGAAGTATTAATATCTCTCCCATTTTCTTATGCTTATAAATTATTAAATTATATAAAGACATATCTAACAGCTTTTTATTTTTTTCAACGAATTCAAAATAATTATGGAAAATTTAAAACATGTGGTGATTTCAACTTTCATGTAGAATATTCTATCAACATTGTCTTATCAATTATAAATATTTATCGAAATCAGTTCCTTTTTGACACAAAATTCCGATTTCTTCTCTACGAATTGCATCAACTCATCATTCCCCATTTGAAAAAATCCCTTGATCAGTGTTCCTTCAATCAGAGCACCCTTACCTTTCTGTTGAATTCCATGGATGATGACGAGTTGGACGACGAGTAATCAGAGTGTAATGGGAGAGGCAGGAAGAGTGACATATAGTTAGAAGCACTCGTTATATCACGCTGCAAAAGTTGGGGGCTCTGAAATGAAGAACGTTCTTTTCGATGAAATGAGATGAGATGGCAGTTCGGTGAAGCAGCTCCGTATGATGGATGAACGTGGAGGAACATATGGAAATTTCCTCCAAACGAAAAAAAAAAAAAAAATGAGTGTAATGGGAAAAGCTGACAGTGTTGCTTAGATATCTCATTTTTTTTTTTTATTTTGCCTGTCTCAAAAAATTGGAATTTATTTGTTTCACTTGACTAAAATGACTGCTTGAAAGTTTTTTTTTTTTTTTTTTCTTTTATTTTCGTTTTAAACGTTTATTTTTGCATGTTCAATTTATTCTCCAACAGTTTGACAGTTCCTACATTTGAGACACTTAAATGTTTTAACCGCTACACATTTTAACCACTTAAATGTTTGAGAGAGAGAGATATATATTTTATCTTCTCCTGTTTTTTCTTTTTTTTTTAAAGGTTAAATTGGGCAGAATGATATAGCAACAATTTCATTGTACATCCATTTAGAAACCCTTTACACAGTTATGTTTATTGTACACATATATTCTCGTATCCTTGTGCATGTAAACGTATTTTCCAAATTATTTATATATCATATGTGTACATGCAAGGGCGTGTAATATATAAGTATACATATGCACGCTATACAACATCAACAATTTCTTGGAATCCTAATTTTGACTCTTCAAAGATGACACATTCTATTCTACATGGTGTAGTGGTGCTTTTCACCATTTTCTTCTTCTTCTTTCATGTGCTCATATGTATGTACATACATGTGTACATTTATAGAAGGGAAGAATGTTTAAGTAGCTGTGCTTGTAGTGGCGCAGAAGGTATGTTGTTTTTTTGCTAAGCATGGCCGTGGGTAATGAACAGAAATAAAAACAAAATAATAAAATAGAGAATACATGTGAAAAATAAAGATAATAATACTGCTGAATAATACAAATAAAAGGTGCAGGTGAATAATACGGATAAAAAATACATGTGAAAAATACATATAAATAATACAGGTTAAAAATACATATAAATAATACAGGTGAAAAATACAGATAAAAAATAACGAGCTAAAAAAATAAAGCAAAGCACACATGGGGTCAGGCAAAAGTTGGTAAGCAAAAATGGCACAAATAAATTAAGTAAAAAATAAACGCAGTAAAAAGTGTACGAAACAAAGGGCTTCCTACTGTTCCAATAAAAAGTTAATTTTCTTATCAACTCTACAAATCAGGGAAATACAAAATGTCGTGCATAAATACAAAATAATTTCTTTTGTGACATCAAAAATATTGTGTGTGTTCATATGACACATGGGGGAGTACACCTTTGCTTATCTCTCACCCCTCTTCCCTTCCAACACTCCGCTTTCATTGGCGTGATTAAAAGTAGGGATTAAATAAACAAAAAGATTAAATATATGATTAAGTAAATGATTAAGTAAATGATTATGTAAATGATTAAATAAATAATTCAATAATTAATTAATTAAAAAAAAAAAAAAAAAAAAAAAAAAAGATAAAAATAAAAATAAATAAATAAAAAAGCATGTGTTTACATATAAATAAAAAAAATATGTTTAGATATAAATAAAAAAACTTGTTTACAAATAAATACAAAAATGTAATAACAAAATAAGTGCTAAAAATGGAAAAACGTTTTGCAAGTAAATTAAAAAGATACTTTTTCTTGAAATAATGAATGAAAATTTGTTCCATGAAAACGTGAAAACTGTTACACAGTATGAAAAAAATTGGCACAAAGAAAAGAAAAAAAAAAAAAAAAAAAAAAGGAATATGCATAATTATATACACTACATTTATATTCATAACTACAAGTATCAATATACATAATTATACCCTAGCGATATAAGTAATTATACATAAATAATAAACATAAATAATGTACATAAATAATGTACATAAATAATGTACATAAATAATGTACATAAATAATATACATAAATAATATACATAAATAAAATACATAAAATTATACATAAAACAATGTACACAATTATACATAACAACGTACATAATTTTATGCATAATAAAATGTACACATTTATACGTGTTATATACATATTATATACATAATTACTTTTCCACACTATTGAATTACGTAAATTTTCTAACGTAAAATTTACGTGTCAAAAAAAAAAAATATGCACTAAAAGCAAATAGCCCCAGCCCCATCAAAGGCGAGTGTATATTTTATGAATGAACAATTTTTATAACAAAATTCATTCCTCCGTCATTTATCAAAACTCTGTATTTACCCCCATTTTTGCATTTTTAAATTTTTTGTGTATACAGTTTTTGTAGTCATCTATCTACATATGTTTTGGGCGCTGAACAAGGTTACATATATATATATATATATATATATATATATATGTACATGCCTTGTCGTTTGTCACCCAACCGTTTACCATCCTTCATAATTCATGAAAGAACGCGATGCAATATCCGTGTTAACTTTAGTATGTGAGAGAAAGAAGCGCTGAGGGTTTTGTAAGCTCTAAAAAGGGATGCCATCATAGATGTGCTACTACGAGTTCCATAACTGCTTGTAAACATTCAACATTTTTGCACATGTTTTGTGGAGGGTTAATCCTAAGGACTACATAGAGGCGTAGCGTTACAACATAGTAAGTTTGAAGTATTTGTAGCTCAAAAGTGCAGTTTCAATACAAGACTGAAGGAGAAGAAAATCTTCCAAGTGCTCATAATTTAGAACTATTTTTTTTTTTTTTTTTGAAAAAGAAGATTTAATGCATTGTAGAAATCGAGCGGAAGTAGTTGGAATATCAGATAAGACACGCGAACGAATTGATTAGAAACAAAATGGATGTTCCAAATTATGAATACTTAAGATATTTAGGGATACAGAACGAAATTAAAAGGAGAAAAATATATAAAAGAATAAACATATATCATGTGTTAGATATAGTAATAATTATATTATTATTTTTGGGGTGCTATAAATTTGATATTGAAAAAAGTTATCAAAGTGAAAAAAAATTATTTTACAGTTTTACAAAATCGTTGATAGATTTGTTTATCTTGAACTTATTCAGAATATTGTATACATTGATATTCCTTTTTTTATATGCAAAAATAAGCTCATTAAAAACGTTAGAAAATGTATACGTGTTTTCCAGACATTTCACAGGAATATTGGCAATTATTAACACTTTGAAAATGATAAATTTGCAATATTATATGGAAAATCCAGATAATATTATTGATCAAAATAATTACACATATATATGCATAGCAAGAGTGATAATAATGCTCTATAGCATGTGTTCATCCTTGTATTATTACTTTGTGCAAATTCAGTTATATAACGTTAAGAAAAGAAGTATAATAGCTAAAAGTGAGTTGGAGAAAATACTTATAAATGATTTGAAATCGAAAAAGTATCAACTGTTCAATGCAAATGTAAGAAATACTTTTTTGGAGACTGATACAAGCAGTGTTAATAATGATTCTATGCGAATTGATTTTAAGAGTATTATCGATGGAAATTTATCGTATAGCAAATTAAGTGACTCAGATGATATATTTAAAAATACAAAGAAACAAAAAATTGGGTGCCGAAGAAAAGTTCCTCAGATTAACAGTGTATTTGCAGAGAAAAATGTAAAGGAAGCGTTACTGAAGAAAAAAAAAAGTTACCATTCTGATAAGAAAGTTAGTGCAGGAAGAGGAAATGATGCTGGAAGTCGAAAGAACAACGATTCTTTCTCTTCCTCTGCTACCTCCTCTACGACCAATGCAAATATAAGTTTTTTAGAGGACAAACTAAGTTACAAAGAGTTCATGAGCATATTGTTACCATATGCATGGCCCAGCAGAAGAGTAGATCAGAAAGGAAATAGTATAATTTTGAGAACATATGTAGTGTTTATATTTCTGTTTATTATATTGTCAAAAATGTTCAGTGTTGTATGTCCGATATATATAGGGCTAGCATCAAATGAAGTATTAAAAAAAGATATAAAGAATTCCATTTTTTACCTTACTCTGTATGTTACTTTTTTCTTTACATCTAAATTTTTAAAAGAAATATGTGGAATTTTATATTCACAAGTACAACAGTCAGCATTCATAGAGTTACAAGAATCCATTTTTCAGAATTTTCATAATTTATCATACGAATGGTTTTCGACAAAAAACTCTGGAGGTATAATGAGAATTGTAGATAGAGGTACAGAAAGTGCAAACAGTTTAATGAATTCTTTACTCATGTATATAATTCCAGCAACTATAGAAGGAGTTGTGACATGTATCATATTTGTTACCAAGTATAAAAGTAGTGTCTTAGGTAGTGTTTTATACATAGGTCTAACATTATACACATATGCAACTATAAAAATAACAAAATGGAGAAAGAAAATAAGAAGTAAAGCGAATAAAATGGACAATGTATATCACGATATTGCTCATGACTCTTTAACAAATTATGAAAATGTAAAATATTTTAGTAATGAAAATTTTGAAATAAAAAGATTTTGTAGTGCATTATCTAACTATAATAGATATAATTTAAAAATACTTAACAGCTTAGGTATACTCAATAGTATTCAACAATTTATTTTAAATGCCACACTATTTTGCACATTAATTTGTGCAATTCGTATGATTATAAATGATGGAGCTGATGGTGGTACATTCATTAGTGTAGTGGTGTATACATCTAACGTTTTTGCACCGTTAACTATATTAGGTACGTTATATGCAAATATTGTTAAATCATTTACTGATATAAGCGATTTGACTGATATTTTAAGAGAAAAGGTAGATATGAAAGATGATTCTAATTTGGAACCATTCGTTCTTACGTCTCATGAAAAGAAATTCGGAGCCAGCATCCAATTTGTAGATGTTAATTTCCACTATCCATCTCAACCTCTTCATATGTCTTTGAAAGATATTAATATTTATATACAACCAGGTACTACATGTGCTCTTGTTGGTCATACTGGTTCAGGAAAAACAACTATTTCTAAATTGCTTTATCGATTCTATGATGCTGAAGGGGATATAAAAATTGGAGGCAGAAATATAGCAGAATATACAAGAAATTCAGTTAGAAATATAATTGGAATAGTCCCACAAGATACAATTTTGTTTAATGAAACGATTCGATATAACATACTCTATGGAAAATTAGATGCAACTGAAGAACAATTAATACAAGCTGTCAAATCTGCACAGTTGTATGATTTTATTGAATCATTACCAAAAAAATGGGACACGTTGGTTGGTGATAAAGGTGTCAAATTATCAGGAGGGGAAAGACAAAGAATCGCTATAGCCAGATGTTTATTAAAAGATCCGAAAATAGTCATTTTTGATGAAGCAACTAGCTCTTTAGACTCAAGAACTGAATTTTTATTTCAAAAAGCTGTAGAGGATTTAAAGAAAAATAGAACCCTAATCATTATTGCACACAGACTTAGTACCATTGCATCAGCAGAATTAATTATCTTATTAAATAAAGGACGAATTGTTGAAAGAGGAACTCATCAATATTTACTTAAACTGAATGGAGAATATACAGAAATGTGGAATATGCAATCCCGATCGAATGATTTATTTACAGATGATAATTTATCAAATGAAGAAAATAAAAGTGCGCCTCCACATTCAAAAAATATGGGAACAAATTCCCCACGTTCCCTTGCTGTAATGAGGAATGCTAAAGCCAATAGTGCCCGAAGTGCAATTTCTGGAAATGGTCAACATGAGAATTACAGCATTCGTAAAGATATTGGAGGACGTCTACATGTATATAATAGTATCGTGAGGGATGTAGTGAGGAATGCAACCACAGGAGGTAAGACAAGAGAGGCGCGAGGTAGCAACGTTAGCTGTGGAACCACACCCAGCGTCAATAGAAGTAACACAGCCGGCAGTGTTGGAAGTGCTAGAAGTGTTGGAAGTGCTAGAAGTGTTGGAAGTGCTGCAAATGTTGGAAGTGCAGCAAATGTTGGAAGTGCAGCAAATGTTGGAAGTGCTGCAAATGTTGGAAGTGCAGCAAATGTTGGAAGTGCTGCCAATGCTGGAAGTGCTGCAAATGTTGGAAGTGCAGCAAATGCTGGAAGTGCAAGCGGATTGAATAACCGAAGCATGAACACAGTGTGTGGTGATGGCAATGAGAACAATGGTGACATATACGGATCTAAAGAGGGATTGAATGAAAATGCCATTAGAAGTAGTGACACAAGGAACTATACTGCTGATCATAGCGACGTTCGGGGTGGAAGTGTGCAAAGTGGTAGACAAAGTGATGGATCCGCAAGTGCCCAGATAGATGATGGTTCCAATATGAGATACGAATCAGGAACTGTTCGAAGTAGCAATGGTCATAGTTCTAGATCTAATAACATCAGTGGCGATGCAGAGGTAGTAGAAAACGACGCAGTTAGTGGGCAAGATAGTAGCCCCATTGATAGGGAAGAACCAATTGGTGCAGAGGAACCAATAGACGAGGGTGAAACAAATAGTATCATGGGAAGCGATGTACATAGGAATCACGAAATTGGATATAGACAAAGAATCCACCACATGAACAATAACAGCTACAATAGTAGTAGCACAAACAATGAGAATGATGGACGTGGAGATGACAACAATGTAAACAATGACGCAAACACCTTCAGTGGTGGTGGCAGCAATGATAATAACATCAGTACAAATGATTTGGACAATCAGGATTATACTAACGGTTTTGAAATAGATTATCAGGGTGGTTATAATGAACAAGCGATTGTTAGTGAACAGTCTTCGCCCATCGAACAGATGGTGTCAAGCTATGCCATAACTGCTAATGAATCTGTTATTGCCAACGAATCTGTTATTGCGAACGAATCTGCTATTACGAATGAATCTGTTATTGCGAACGAATCTGCTATTACGAACGAATCTGCTATTGTTAACGAATATGTCACTACCAACGAAGTAACAGTGAGCTACACGGATTACAATACGGGTGCGGTTGATTATAGCTACGATAATGCGGATAATGATTCATAAAATAAGGAGAAGAAGATAAACAGAGCATGTATCAAGAAACCAGTGTAGCTAGACGAAAAAGTCGCATTACAATATTTTTAAGTTATAACCCTTTGCACCCTCCACCCCTCAAAAAAAAAAAAAAAAAGTGACCACGGTGGCAAGGATCCATATATTTATATATCTATGGAGTTTATATATGAACCCAATTCAAAATGTAAATAATATCCAAGTGTATAGTATGGAGATATGTTAAATATGAATGTTAATATAGATCAACAAAAGTTAAGAATTAGGAAATATAAAATAGCTATTAATTTTTTTTTTTTTTAAAGAAAGAATAATATAATGTGCGTTTATCATTTATAATTACCTACTAAGTATAATTCTTCTTATATATTATGCCCCCATATCATAATATTTTTTAGGAGCGCATTTATATATACCATATTACACATATATGTGTGACATAACGTTGATAGTTCACGTTTGAGATTACACCTATGTATAGACAACTGTTTTAATTTTCCATCACACACACACACACAAATCATGTACACATATACATAATGTGTATATTGTGAAAGGCTTTTAATTATCTGTACATTGTAATTCACCATTCAAGCCAACACACAAGAATATCCGAAAACACACACGCACATATATATATATATATATATTTGGAAGCTCGTCACCAGAACTCTTACTTATACCATGACCCTGTCCGTTTTCCTAAATCTGAATTACGTTGTGGCACCTAATGCATTAAAATAAACTTCCTTCGCATGCTTTTTTTTTTTTTTTTTTTTTTTTTTTTTTTTTTTTCACACACCCTTATTTTTTTTTTTTATTTTAAATTTTCTGAAATTAATTCATCGTAGCATTGTGCGTATGCCTATAAATATATATGCGCATATAATATCATTCAATTAACCGTTTGTGCGTGTGTGTATATTTCTTATATTCATTTTCCCCGTCTCATCTATTTATGCACATACAAAAGCCTTCTAAAAAATTTGACTTCATCGAAATACTCACCTCACCCCCCACCCCCGATTGTTTTTCCTTTTTTCGTTTCATAATTTGTACAGCTTTTTAATTTCACCCATAAGTTTATACTGAATTTATAGTATTTGGAAAAAATAATTCGAAAGTAGTGAGAGTGGGAAATATATTTTAGGAAGATATAAATATATAGAAGAGGTGAAAAAGGGATTATGTGCGCATACATTGCTAAGACGTGTCACTTGTATAAATATATATATTTGTATATATATATATATATATATTTTTTCAATGGAATATTTAGTTAATTCATTTTACATAATTCTTCTATTAGTTATAAATATTCCGTAATACGGATTTCATATTTTACCAGGTCCGTGCGTACAACTTCACGTTGCACATGTAGTGTACGCTCCGCAGTATTATTCATTCAGTACTACAGCTTCAAAAACAGAAAAACAGAAAAACAACTTTTAAATAATTAACCCCATAACTTGTTATTTTTATGCCATTCAATTATTATGCACAATAAGACAAATCATATGCAGTTATATTTTTATCGTGCGTTCCGTTCAAACTACATTAAGAAATATTCAGTCTTAAGAAAAATACAGTTTTCTCATTTTTAAGTGCTGTAGAGGAAGTGAAAAAAAAGGAAAAAAAAAAAAAAAAATATACTTTATGAGTAGACGCAAAAGAATAAAATGAATGTTTAAGCGGAATTGTAAAAAACGAGTGCAGCGAGACGAGGTATATTGATGTACCTTTTTTTTTTTTTTTTTTTTTTTGTTAGCTTCTGAACAGTGGAAGGCTAGCAAATGTTATGATTTTCTATCACTGTTAATATGCACAAATATTTCTTTCATGTACGTGTAAGAATATTTTGATCTAGCCATATTAATAATTCATTTGCTAATCTGCTTGTGTAATTTTGTCTAATTACCCCATCCGATATCGTTTATAAAATTGGTCAGAGAAAAATCAGTACTATTTTCACATTTATCAGCTTCTGGTGTTGAAATTTTTATTCCGCTCAAATTGGACATCAACTTTGATGCTTCATTTGTACTCCTAAATCCTTCAATGTGTCCATTTGCAGAATTCTTTTTTTTTGTTAATCCTGTATTATTATCCATGTGAAGAGAAAAGGTGATGTCTTCTTCGTCATGGTTTTCATTTTCGTTTGCCAACTCTAGAATGATTTCCTTATCAGCATCAGTTAATGTGTCTAATAAGAACAACACAGAGGGATTTTTTTTTAATTGATTTTTTATTAATTTTATCGTATTTTGATAATTTCTTAAAATGGTGTTCAGTTCTTGTTGCTTTGTTAAATTTCTATTTTCAAGATATATTTTGTCTCTATTTAATTTGAATATTTGATCATTTAAATTGGATATTATATCACTAAAAGAGCTTAACCTATTGTTTAAATCACTTTGTTGTTCTTCCAGACATGTGTACTGATTTTTCTGATTCTGTTTCTCTTTCTTCATTTCTCTTAGTTTTTCTTCCAGGCAATAAATTTTTTTTTTCTTTTCAATTATCTCTTTTTCCTTTAGCTCTAAAGTACCTTGGAACATGATGCACGACTCCTTAGCCATAAGTCTCAATGTTGTTACCCAATTTTCACTAGCTCCTGGATTCTTATCCATTTCATCTGGTTCATCCAACCGCTCGTAAACTGCAGATGCACCGCTTGAAGCTGTATTGGAAACATGCTGAATGGTGAACTGTTCTTCATTCACGTTTATGTCAGTTCCACTATGACTATCACTTTTTATCGAATTTTCTTTACTGCTCAACAGTTCAGGAATAACCTCTTCATTAAATTCAAGAACATCTGCATCATGTATAGAAGAGGTGTTAAAAATATGGCTATTTTGTACAGAATTCAAGAATGTATTAAAATCCTTCTTGTAGTAGTTCGATTGAATTTCATTAAAACAATCGTCTTTGTAATAGTTCGTTTTGCTTCGTATACTTTCATCTTTATTTTTATTATTTTTTGTATGGTTCACAGGAGTGGAAGAGCTAGAATTATGATTATTCATTGCATTATTTTTAGAGTACCTGTTGTTTTTTCTCTCTTTTGTGTGCATATTTTTTCTCCATATGTTTGATGAAGATCTTAATTTTTTTTTTTTTTGTGAGTCGATTGTGGTACTAATTTGTTTCTTAATGTGGTTAAGATTTGTTTTACTTATTTGGATGTTTTCATTTGGAGTGTTTTTGTTTATTATTTCTTTCCTCATTTTATTTGTTTTTTCTTGTTGAATTTTTTGTGGATTTTCTCTATCAGGTATGTTGTGTTTCCTTAGTGATGTCAAACTTGAATTGTTTACAATTTCACTTGAATATGCATTACTAGATATGTATTCATCATTGAATTGGGGCCAACTTAATCCATTGGATTTGTTGACCTCGTAAGTGTCTCTAGACAGATTCTCCTTTTCACAGTTTATTTGCATGGTTGCAATAATTTCCAGCCACATATTTTTAATCTCATTTTGATTACTTTCTGATGAATTTATCAATTCGGTTATAAGCAATTTGGTGAGTTGAACCCATTGTTTTTCTCTTAATTTTTGTATTTTATAGTTGTGATCCACTTTCCTAAGTTTGAGAATCGTGTTTTTATACTTTACACTTTCTTGTTCGTGACAGAGATTGGTTAAGAATAGGAAATTTTTCCTTTCCTTTTCATTGTCATTTTGTAATTCAAGATATTTGTCTTTATACATTTCCATTTTCAATTTGTTTGTTCCAATGATTTGTCTCCATTTATATTTTTCTGCTATATAAATATTTTCTTTATCATTCCATGCATTTTGAAATTTTATTCTTTCATCCTTAATCATTTTTTCATTTTTTAAAATGTACTTATTCATCATACAGTTGAAGTTGTACATATAGTTACATGCTTCTAGTATAATATTTCTATATTTGTAAATATCTCCAAGGATTGTCCAAAACATGTATGTTAATTCTTTTTTTAAAAGCCTTTGAGTGTAACAACTTTTATTGAGATCACCTTGACTTGTTGAAAGAAAAGCATTCAAATTATTTTGTTTTTTCGAATTGAATATTCTTCCATGGATTATTTCTTCGTCTGTAACACACCATTGTTTCATTTTATTTTCACTGTAATAATCTAATTCGTTATCTAAGTTTGCTGAACCCACTCTTTCTTTTCCTTTTTTGTTGTCTTTTTCCTCACTTCCATTATCATGTTCTTTGCATCTCATCAATGATTCTCCATTTTGCAAAATTAATGAATCTTCGTTGTCTTCACATCTACCCAAAATTTTCAAAAGATACATGAGTTGTACATCTCTATCATTATCTTCATCAAAGGATTTCAAATAAAATTCTGATGACCACAGGAATGGTTGTGCACAGGGAAGTGAAGAAATGGGGACAGACGATGTAGATTCGAATGAGAAACGTTCAGGATGATTTTTATCTGGAGACGATTTTTCATCAGTCGATTTTTTGGTGGAAAATTGTCCAGGGGTGATGAGTGCTAATGAGTTCGTCTTTCCTGAAAAGTTATTTAAATTAAGAGTTGTCGGGAATTCTTGCATAATCCTTGCACCTATCTGATTTGCAAAAGTATGGCTTCCATTTTGAGTGTTAAATTTTTTACACTTTGACTTAAATTTTTCAAGATCTTTTGTCCATATTTGCATATGTTCTAATTTCTTCTTATAATGTTCATTAATGCACAGTAGTCTTTTATTTTTTTTTTCAATTTTTTTTATGTATCCCTCGATTTCCATTTCTCTCTCTATTTTTTTTATTTCATTGCTAGGAGTTTCATAAAGCATAAAGGTAGTATCCTCTTCTATTTCTCCTTGCCCAACAGGTTGTTTTTCGCCCGTTTTTTCGCTCGTTTTTTCGTTCATTTGTTCGTTCCTTCTGTGCGTTAGTTTTGCACCTGCCCTTTCATTATCCATGTAATGTTCTACACAAGCACTTTTTCCTCTTTGCATTTCCATAAATTGACATTTTATTCTTTCTAATTTTAGCATGGATACCACATGGATCAGCAATCGAATTAGTGAACTGCCATCAAGTATTTTTATCACTTCATCTTTTTTCATGGAACAATTTTTATTTTTTATCATCTCATATATTCCATTTTGCACTTTTTCTATACATGAAATGGTATCGTTGCCTTTAGGGGATACATCTTTATCCTTAACCTTTTCTTTATCTTTATCAATCCATTGCAACAGTTCTTTTATTATCTGATTACTTTCTTTTAATAAATTAAATTCGTTTTCTTTTTCACACTTGAATTCATTTACTGCATTTCTCATAGTTATTATTTCTCCTTTTATATGTTCATTATTGAGTGCATGTTCCATGTTTTTTTCGTACATAAGGCATTTTATTTTATGAATAGCAGACTGGATGTTCATTTTTGTATTGTCTTCATACTTGGATATTGATATATTCTGTTTACCTATGCTTTGAGTCGTTATTAAAGATTCGTTTGATTCCAATCCTGGCATTTCCCTCGATAGTTCCCTCTGCGCTGCATTTGCCACCTGATCACTAACTGCACTTCTTTGAACCTGGTAATTGATATTTAAGATGTTCTTCTTTTTCGAAATGTCATCACTATAGTTTTCCTTTTCCTTGTCTTCTATTTTTTCAAGTCCATTTAAATACAAACTCTCGAATAAAAAATTGTGCATGTATTTATCTTCCTCGTCATACTTGATCCGTGCATCCTCGTTTTGCGTTGCACTGTGTGGTGCATTTTGTGTATCTTGTCTATATTTATATGTAGATTTATATGTAGATTCATTTGTCGATTTATTTGTGGATTCATTTGTCGATTTATTTGTGGATTCATTTGTGGATTCATTTGTGGATTTATTTGTGGATTCATTTGTAGATTCATTTGTGGATTCATTTGTGGATTCATTTGTGGATTCATTTGTGGATTCATTTGTGGATTCATTTGTAGATTTATTACTGAGGTCACTTTTCTCATTTTCTTGTATTTTGTTCCATCCCAATTGCTCAACAAAAACATGTGGGCGATGAGAATTTTTATTTTGACAGTTGAGGATATCCAAATCTAATGTTATATCTTCTTCTATGTTGCTTAATTTGGATTCGAAATGTTTCCTCACTGTAGCAATATTTTCTAAATGTTTCTGTTTTATGCAAAAAGTTTCAGCTTCATATTTCTCTCGCAGCTTCGTTAGTTCAGTATAATATACTGCTTTAGTATCTTCCATTTCTTTTTTTTTTATTTGTTGAACTAGTTCTAATTCTTTCTCCTTTAGATGCAGTTCTTTCTTATACACTTTGATTTGTGCTTTTAAGAAAAAAATGAAAGAATCACCTTTTATTTTTTGATTTTTATCATTCCATATAATTTCTAATGTTTTCAAGTAATCACAGTTGAGTAAGAAATTAAGAACAGGATCAACATCTGTTTGACACCATGCTTCTGTTCCTTTCTTTAGATTAGCGCATGTAGGTTTAGAATCATCTAAATAATTCCTGCCGTTTATATTTGGAAATTTAGAAAAATGTAAAGTGGGAATAGAAGACAATACATTTTTACTCTTTTCACAGGGTTCAGTTTTTGTAATTGCAGTTGGATCTACTTTCGTTTTGAAGTACTTAAAAAAGTTGCTGCGTGGAGGAACGCAGATTTTATCAAAACTGTATGATGTGTTTTTTCTCTCAAAATTCTCATATTGTCTGTTAATGCCTCTAGGTGAGTTCCATCCCATGTATTTTTCATGTGTGTCCATTCTGCTTATGTCTTTTTCTTTGGCTTCTTTTTCATGTGTGTCCATTTTGTCTATACCCTTTTGACATATCTGATTTTTGTATTCGTATTCGTATTCGAATTCTAGTTCATTTGTCATTGTTGTTACAGAGAAAGGGTTATTGTGTATGTCATCATTTTCATGCTTTTTCATGACATCTGGTGCTATATTAATGTCTCTTCTTTCTAAAGTTCCACGAGAGAAGTTTTCAAAAGCATTGATACCCCTACCAATAGAACTTCCTCTGATCATGGAAAGAGAACTATTATTTTTATGATTTACAAATGATATGTGTCGATTCACGTCACAGGTATCTACTGAAGTTGAAACAAATTCTTTTGAATTTGACGAATTTAACCACGTTGGGCTTATGCTAGAGGGTGTTTGTAATACCTTCACAACAGGATGATGATATTGGGATTGTCGTGTACATTTGGAGGTGTCACATGTAGATAGTTCTTTCTTTGTATAGAAATTATATTTATCATGATCAGTTTTTATTGTTGTATTATTTACTTGAAGATAATTGGAATAATTTTCCATCATCTCCTTAGGAAGTTTTACACTACCAGCCTTTACAAGGCAACTTAATGGTTCTTCACTTGCCATAAAATCTGTTAATCTTTTGTGAACAGGGTATGCTAAAATAAAATCACATTCATGATGTTTAACTAAAGAATAAAGAAAAAATAAAATAATTAAGGACTGGTAAGAGCTATTAAAATTTTCTATACCAAAATTTTCAAAATATATAAAGTTACAATCAATATGTACATCATTAAGGACATTTTTTATAATTTTCCAATTTATGGCTTTATCCTCATCAGTCATAGGTTTTAAATTTATATATCCTTTATATTTTTTCATCACTTGTGGCCATATAAACTCGAATAGTTCCAAATAGACAGTTCCATCTTTCAGATCCTTGAAATCAAAATTTTTTCTCTTGAGTAATTTTTTTACCCATATTACAAGTTCTGCTTTTCCTATTTTATTTTCCTTCTCCATATTTTTGTTTTTTCATTAACTGAAGATTTGCTACACTACTAAATCATATTTGAAAATTTTCTCTTTTTTTAGACAATATTGCACAAGAAAGGGAGCCCTATACAACCACTTAAGCACTTGTGTACATGGAGAGTAACGGTACCCTAGTGAGTTTATTTATTATTTTATCTTTTAAAACTTCTTCTGTAATAGTACCATATTGCATATGCTATATTAATGGTTCAGCAAATTAACCTAATAATCACACTAATGTTTCTTGTTTTATTTTATTTTATTTTTATCTTATGAATATGTAGGAAAATTACGCGAGCTGGGAGAGATTTCACAAGCATAATGTAATGATAATGTGTGTAGATTTCTTTAGTTTATAATTTTTAATATTTTCGTTTCCTTTCAGATTGTGCAAAAAAATAATTCCAAATGCATGCAAACGGGAAACTGTGCCACGCGAAGTGATACAACACGAAATTGTGCTACACGAATTTTTTGCCCATTCACTACTCTCCTGAGTTGCACACATTACTGAAAAGAAGGGTATACAATATGTTTTTGTTTTCTTTTAGAGAAAATTTATGTAATAGAGGACTTCTCACGAAATGTTGTGTCTTTATCCCTTTCCTCAATTCTGTTCTAGCATTATTCAATTTTACATCATCATAGACTCTTAAAGCGAGGAAAAAAATGGAAAAAAAAAAGAAAAGAAAAGAAAAGAAAAATATATATGTATATATAAATAGGGAAGCAAACAGAAATACTAAAAAATAGAATATCCTTTGTATCGTTCACTACATTAATCATCTTCTCAAATGTAGAATTTATAAATATTTCTGCTGCATGAAAATATGATACATAATCTTGGACAAATCACTAAATTTCACTTTCTTTTTTTTTTTTTTTTTTTTTTTTTTGTGAATGATAACCCCGCATTTATATCTCTTTTGAATAATTTCCTTTTTTGCACACCAATGTGTAACAATTTCTTTCTAATATGACCCTATTGGAAATCTTAAATTGTCTATGGAGCACGTTCTTTAGTTGTGTGTAAACTACAGGAGATACTGATCTGAGTTACAGTGTACGGTATCATTATAATGATACCTTTTGTGGAGTATTTAAAAAAAAAAAAAAATGAGAAGAAAAAGTATACTTTTCTCGATGGACTACAAATATTTGAACAAAGGAAATTTCATTTTGTGTTCCCCTACCAAGGTACATCATCAATGATTAGTAATATGTCTGAATTTTTTTTTTTTTTTTTTTTTTTTTTTTCCTTCTCTCGTCCAATATTAATGCTAATATAAGCTCAAGTATAAAAAATAAAAAAATAACAAATATGCTCATTATTTTTTTGACATTTTTTTTTTTTTTTTTGTTTTTTCCTTAAAAATTTGCACCCTTTCATTATAAGTGACTTAGTCACGTTAAATTAAGTTTACTTTTCATGTTAACAGTTTTCATTTCTTTAGTAGTTGTATTATCAGAAATGCACTAGAAGGATATATGTGAACTTAAATATCCCCTATAAATACATGGAAACGTAGAGTAGTTTTAATACATAACCTGCGTTAAGGGATCTACAATGTGTTGCCTTTAAAGTGAACTGTTGTCTGGTGTGTCATATATATATGCTGTTTATTTCAGATTAGTGGAAATAGAGGAAATATATATTATATATCACGTTTTTAACTTATCGCAAAAACATTTATCGCCAAATTTGTTTTCTCCCACTTGGCAATTCAGTTTGTAGCGAAATCTTTTTGTTCACACAGGAAAGAAAAGGTTCTTACATCCATGTATGAACAAATGAAGATTTGTACAAGTTTTATGTTTAGACTTTTGTAAAGAAAACAAAAATAAATAATAATAATAATATGAATAGTGGGCATATTCCCAAATATTAACTATAATCTACATGTGGGGGGAAATGATGGGGAATGAAATGAAATACTTCTCTCCCTTTTTCCATATCCAAAAAACCCCCACATAAATTGAAGAAAAATCGTTGAAGACTCAATTTTTTTTTTTTTTTTTTTTTATCTTATCACGTTTAACACTTCTCATCCATTTCGATTTTCTGTTTTATTTTCTTTCATGGTTTTTTCGAGTCCCTTCTTCTTTCAACTGTACACAGCAAGAGGAATAACGAAAGCATTCAGTTCATTTTAGTTCCAAATGTGTATTTTTAAAAACATATGCAACCAAGAAAAGTATATCCATACGTCTAGGTACCAAAGAAGCAGAATTTGTTACAAGTACAGTATTAACAAAAAGTTATAAATTTGGAGTACATCCAATGAGAAATTTACTGTTCATCTGTTGAGCTGGAACGATTCCTCCCTTTTCCATGAAAGGTAATATAAATATACCTTTTCATATTTTAACAAATGCATGAAAATATGCTGAAATGTGTATAAGTATATACATGTAGCATTTTATATGTTTGTCAAGGGGCTACGGGTAAGGGCCCCTAATTATGGTCATCTGTTTGAGTCTCCTGTAGTTCAAAAAAATAAAATAAAATAGAATAAAATAAAAATAAATAAATAGGTAATACGAAAGAATATGCCATTTTTACAAATGCAAAATGTACAAATGTAAAGGTGGAATTCCAGAAATGTCTTCTGCATGATCAACAAAATTTTTTGGTGCTTTTCGGAAAAATATTTAGCCACAGAAAATAAAGCAAACCATTAAGGGATCCATGTATACTTACATTAAATAAGGAGAACATGTAGGATATGTAGCACAAGCAACATATGTAGATCATACGTATGATTTCTTTATTTTTCCGGATATATTCTCCACATTCGGTTAGTTAGCCAGCACAAATACGGTGGTCTGATCTACGAGAGCCAAATGCTCCTTAGTGATCTTTCTGAAAATTTGCTCATGTGGCATTGAAAATTGACAAAAAAAAAAAAAAAAAGTGATATATATTTAGCATCTTCTCATGTGTATTTACCAACGTATGCTCTCACACATATGCATATCAGTGAAATAATAGGTTATTATATACGTCATGGAGATTGTTGCAATGTGAAACTTTAGAAATATATGCACAATATATATATGTAAATCCGAAAAGGGGTAGATAATACATAACGGTGGTGCATAACAAAATAAGTGCGAGAAAAGAAAAAAAAAAAAAAAAATGCTTGAATGGGTTAAGTAAATGTAAAAAAAAAAAAAAAAAACATGTTCATGCAGTAAAGTTGAGATACACGTGTATACGTGTACCATTACAAGTGAGAAAATATTCTGTATTTGCACAAAATGTCAGAATAACAAAAATGCGACTTGCAAAAAATACGGACAGGAGAAAAAAAGTGATAGAGAAATATCGTAATAAAAATCATGCATGTGAAAAGCTAAAGGGTAGTGATATACACAAATATATATTATGTATATATATATATATATATATATATATATATACATACATAATGTGTACATTTTTGATGACTCTGAAAAGATAAAGGAGGCTAATGCATACAGTTAAAATATTGCAAGAACACATAAAATATACAAAAGGACGTAAAGGAGTGGCAAAGAGTTTTCCGTAAGTAGTTACAGCTTTACTTTTTTTTTTTTTTTTTTTTTTTTCTTTTTCGGGGGGGATGGAAGGAACTCTCATTTGAGAAAAGGGTAGAAGAATTTGGTACAGTTGTAGTGTATATATATTTGTATGTATATATACATATGTACACTTATATGCATAAGCATATGTATCGGGTTAATTGCGAATAGTAAAATTTTAGAGGGGAACAGAATCATATGATACCTATACCATTAAAATATAGCCCTCAGTGGATGCTGATTAGGATCATTCATATGCAGAGAAATTAAATAAGTTAGTGCAAATAAATTTTGTTGTAAAGGAATAAATTGCAAAGGTGTGAATTGCAAAGAGGCGCAGAACGGAGCGTTAAAATCGCCCTTTTTTTTTTTTTTTTTTTTTTTTTTCAAGATAACCTGCTGAGGTATATAAAACTATGCAGAAGAGAAGACAAAACAAAAGAAGAAAAAAAAAAAAAAAATATGGAAAAATATCGTGAATTTGCAGACGCAGCCACAGGAATAAACCCATTTTTGCCTGTATGGGTTAATAAGAAATTGAATGTTCACGAGAAGTTATTAAAATTTTTATTATTCCCCCTGGTAGTATGTCGATTTTGCTTTTTGTGTCTGACTTTAATATTTATGATTTTCCTAAACAGCATTTTGAACTTGTTCATATTTCAGTGTGTAAAGGATTTTTTTTATCACATAATACAGGGAATTTACTGTAGGTTGTTATTATTTTATTTAGGATTTTTTTATATAGATGAAGAGTATGCAAACTATAAAAGAGTTAGAATAAAATGTAATAAAAAGAAAATTCCATTTAGTTATGATGACTATGGTCATATATATTTGTCCAATTTTACGTCTTTTGTGGATATTTTATATTTAGCATTTCGATTAAATCCATTATTTGTCACTATTAATAAGAATGGAAGTTTATCACCTATGTTTTTTTTTGACTTAATAAAATTATCCTTACAATTTTCCATACCTAATAAGAAAGGAGAGTTTAAAAATATTGAACAAGTACATATATATGCCAAAAATAAAAAAATAAAATCTATTGTTATATTTCCCGAAGGAATGAAAAGTAACGGATCATGCATTCTTTTATGGAAAAATGAAATATTTATGAATTCAGAATATGTTATAAAACACAAATGTAATTTAATTGCATTTATCTACGAAACTAATTTAATTAATAAAAAATGGAATAATTTTTATACTTGTCCGCATACTGTTTTTAATCCTGTTATTCATATAATTCTTTTATGTTTTAATCTATACAACAAAATTAAAGTTGTGTGGTTAAGTGAAAAAGACATATCGGAATCGTTAAGAGAAATGAATTTCTCTTATAATGATGATCTTGTCCATTACCTGAGAAGTTTGATGGGTCTGATGAAGCCAACTGGTGGTACTCTAGTTAATGTCAAAGCTGATTTATTGGAAAAGTTTGTTAATTATTGGAATATGACCAGGAGCAAAACATACCTATAAAGGTTTAGTTCAGAAAATGGGTGGAGTCTATCGACAAAAGTTAAAGAACGAGAAGAAGAGGAAATATAATTTAATCTAGTTTAATTTAGTTTAATCTAGTTTAATTTAGTTTAATCTAGTTTAATTTAGTTTAATCTAGTTTAATTTAGTTTAATCTAGTTTAATTTAGTTTAATCTAGTTTAATTTAGTTTAATTTAGTTTATTTTAGTTTAATTTAATTCAATTTAATTTTTTTTTTTTTTTTTTTAAATTTTATACCCTTTAGAAAAACTTTAAATTCTGCACCTCCTCATTACCCCTCCACAACATTCCTAATTTAATCATCCCCACTTCATGCACACTCACTAAGAGACACATGACGAATATTCATTTGTTGTGTCTTAGAAAATGTCATTGTGGAAATCAGTCCCAACTAACGTGACAAAAAAATATGTACAGCATAAAATTTGGGGAAATTAATAAGTTTAAAACACCTAAACAAAGAATACACATAACGTTTTAATTTATATGCCCCTTTGGCTGATCCTTTATTCCATTCCATTTCTTGTATGCGTTGATAATACTACTTGTTCAAGTGTTCCTGTACTATTTATTATTTTTATTTTACAAAATTAGTTAATGCTACGTAAATTATTTTGTAAAGGATTTATTCCTTCAGCATAATCCACTTCAATTGGGGAATGACATCACCCCCTCACACACAAACTTTCCCCCTGAGATCATCATATATTTTTTTTTTTTTTTGTAAAACCGTGAATACTTCTCATATACCTTGAGTTGCTTGTAAAAAGGGAAGAAAAAAAAAAAAAAAAAAAAAGGAGTAATAAACATATCCATTTAAATCATGCAAAATGAACGTAGACATGCTCTTCAACATATGTAAGAAAGTATGCGTAAAAATTTTGCAAAGATTTATTCATTTTTATGAACATCCATGCATTTATACAAAGAAATGGTTCATATAAGTATAATTCAAAGTAGAGGATAGAAGGGAGCAATTTGTAAAAAAAAAAGAATACGTAACATTTAATGGAAAAGGAATAAAGAGACAAACGATTGATTGTAGATAGTTAAAATTGGAAAAAACATAAATTAGGGGTTCTGCTAATATACATGTATATTTTTGTTTGAAATACTTGTAAAAAAGAAGAAAAAAAATTTTTTTTTCTTAATGTTATTTTTAAAAATTGTTAAAAAAATAGTTGCACAAACACTTTTATTTACATGCTCAATTTTTTTTTTTTTTTTTTTTTGGTGAATGTTAGGTCTGATATTAATCTTGCACATTTTACGCAAGCTTGTGCTAACATAAATCTATTCCTATCAAGAGCAGACACATCATGGGTATATACATATTTATACATATTAAAAGGGTATTTTTTTTTTTTTTTTACTTTCAATTTTTTAGTGAATCCTTTTCCAATTAAATTTCAACTTGAAAGAATTAACATTACAAATGAAGCAAATAATTTTGTTTATACTAGCCATATTTATTTGTCATACTCATCACAATGTAGGACTGTGCCAAATGTGTACGAATGACATATGTAGAAGATGTTGTCATCCTACAAAAAATGGTGTTCTTCCTATGGAATTACTATCATAATGATTATCTTAGTATCCAATGCTTTCATTGCTACGACTTTCGTAGATATGACAATTTTTTCAATATTCTCCACCCCATATACACACGTTTTTTTATCTTTTTTTTTTTTTTTTTTTTACAGGCTGCGAAAATAATTTTCATAAAACGATTAGGGGAAATTATCACAGCGACAGCGTTTACTGCAGTATGTGTGATTGCAGTAACCCAAGTATAGGTATTTTTTGAAATAACATTGAATTCATATTGTACTCAGCATTTTATATATAATGTCTCTATAAATATATCCGTACATAAAAAATGTATGTTTATAAAAATTCTATCACTTACCCATTAAGGTCATTTAATGGGGGTGGTGGTGCAAGTTATAGAACCATAGACTCCTTGGCGCCTGGGGTGTAGTATGAGTATTATGCGCGGATAATTTAATATTCCCAGTAAATACATATATATATATATATGAGCACATTTCCACATGCAAGCGGTGTTTACTCCCTTTTCACAATAGGGTGTGGTTGGGTAGGAGACAAGTACGGGGAAGTTATGTGCACGAGTTGCTCATTTATCAATCATGCCTCTGTCAAGTATTATTTCCAAAAATAAAAATTGATAAAAATGCCATTTTGGTGTAGTCACTTTTTCTTCTTTGCGTACATACCTTTTTTTAATTAAATCTTTTTATCCTTTTTTCTTTCTTTCCTTTTTTTTTTTTTTTTTTTTATATGCAGAATAAAATATTTTGACATAGTTGGCTGTGGACATAAAATGAAAAGGGGAAATTTACTTAGTAGCACCTAAAGCAAATGGATGAAAAAGACACTGACAATGTTCAAGTGGGGGTTCTTCATAATATTTTGCATTTGTCCTATCCATACCATTTACCTGTTGACATGTTTTCAATTATTTTGTTTATTTATTTAATTTTTTTTTTTTTTTTTTTTTTTTTTTTTTTTCTGTTAATTATTTTAACATATCAATTTGCTTATTTTGCTAATAGTGCAACGTTCGCGTGGAAAAAAAGAAGAAAAGAAAAAAATATAATAATAAAGTAAAACATAAAATAATAATGATATATAAATAATAACATAACAATAAAAAATGGTACGGTAAAATGTGTGAATGTAATCAGATGCCTCAAAGAGTATCTTTTTTTTTTTTTGCCCCTTTTGTGTAAAAACGAAATATGTAAGTTTCTTAGCTACATTTACACGTGCATGAATCAGAATAAATCGACTTGGTAATATCCGACAGGGTACATTTTTGTCGCCTTCTTATGTACACTGGATCTGACACATAAGTGATAGTTGGCAAATGATACTTCTTATAATCTTTTGAATCAGAAATTTTTTTGAAAAAGGGACCTTGTGAATAACTTATGAGAGGTACTTCGTACAGTATATTTTTTGCATAAAATTCGCTGTCTATCTGATGATAATACAAAGGTGGATTATCGAAAGAATTTAACACGATGCGTTCTGTGGGTATATAAGGAAAGGTAGCGGGTTCTTCATTACTACAGAGTGTGTCTAATTCATTGTAAGTATATGTCCTCTCGGTGATTTTGATTTCTTCTTTTTCTGAAATGAAAATGAGACGGGAAAGGCATGTACATGGGCAGGAATATTCAAAGCCAAGCAGAGCTAAAAGAAATGTATGTCTATGCATATATATGTGTGCTTATGTTCGTTCGTATGCAATATATCTCTTTTGCTCTTCATGGTTTACGAGTAAACACAGAAGTACTATATAAATAAATGCAGGAACAAAAACACAAAAACGGTATGCGAGTAGAATCGCTAAGATGTTTCCATATTTGCTAAAAGTTTATCCTTACCACAACAACATTTGCATGAATTACAAGTTGAACATGCAGACTTCTTGAATAAATTCATTTTAACGATAGAAAATGTAATAATAGGTGGTAGAACTAAAATGGGAAAGGATTATATTTTTATTTTATTATTTTTTTTTTTTTTTTCTTTTTTTTGTTTTTCTTTTATGGGAGGGTGGTAGTGGTGGTTAAATGTAATACTTCTATATTCCACAACGACAGAATGTGAAATTATAAATTTAGATCCTCTAAATGCGAGTTAAGAATACTGCTTTAAAAAAAATAATAAAAAAGGGGATATATAAGCCCGTAGATACATATGAAAAACTGTAGGTGTAAATACAAGCCAATACTTGTGCGAAATAAGCAAAAATTGTGAAAAATTTTTAAGTAGGAATAATAAAAAAAATATATTTCACAAAAAGTTGGCTTGCTTTTTTTGATCTGATGTACAAGATTGACTCATAAATATAGACGCATTCGAAATAGTGTAGGTAGAACATGTTAAATGTGTTTATGCTAATGAATATTATTTTATCTAGCCATTTTTTTTTTTTTTTTTTTTGGGGTTTACTTTTTTTATTTTTCATTTTTTTTTTTTTTTTTTTTTATATAGCTAAAATGGAAAATATAACGCACAGATTGAGAACAATTAGCTAAAATGCACTTTGGAAAGCTATTTATAATTATTTTTATCTGTCTGTTCATAAATAAACCAATAAATTGCTCTTTTTTTTCTTCTTTTTTTTTTTTTTTTTTCTTTTTCTATTCTGTGTGTGTGTTATAATGGTATAACTACGAAAAATGGTACATGTAAAAACAAACTTAAGATATTTCTTTTCCTTATGTGTACCAAGAGCAAGACCCAAATATCAACTAGACATTACAATATTATTAAAAAAAAAATAAGGGTAAATTTTGCACACATGCATTTGATACTTTGGGTAATATCCTATTCTCCCACTTTATATGTATAATGTTATGAAGCAAAAATAAAGAAAAAAAAAAAAAAAAAAATGTACATATACATAATAACGCACACATATATTTAGTATTAAAAAAGGAGTAATAAGCTTAATACGAAATATGTAAAGCATAAACAAATGAGTTGTATGGAAAAAAAGAGTACTAAAACTGATAAAATGATGATAAGGAAAAGAGAAACTCATTATTTTAGCCAATTTCAATTGATTTAGTGATTTTTATTCAGCTCTTATTTGAATTCATTTTGTTGAATCACATTAAAATATAGATAGTAAGGGTTATCCTAGATAAATGAGAAAAATGTGTAAAAAGGCAAAACAGACATATTCAAACAATTATAGCAACATCATTTTGTTATTCTTTAAACTAGCGTTCAAAAATTTTTGTTTACATGGATGTACATAAAAACTTTTTTAGACGTTTTTTTGAAGGTACACACATAAGTATCCATTAGTGTGCATATATATGATAATGTAAAATTCAGTTTTACAGACATCTCACATTTTTAAAACATGTCATATTTTTTTTTTTTTTTTTTAATAGATTTTACATATACTATTTGTTACCTTGTTAGAACTTTGGATTATTTTAAGAAGTTAAAATATATTTATATTTTGCATGATCAAAAAATAGGATTTATCCATATGACCTTGTTGCATGAAATATATTTTTTTCTTTTTTTCGTTCACCACAAAGTTATGTTTAGGCAACTTTTTAGAAAAATATGCATGTACAACACTGTTCATCCTTTTCATTACATCTTTTAAAAGGGGTATAAAACATAGCCTCCCCATTTGGAAAAAGATTATAAAATTGTGAAGAAAAAAATGATAAATAGGTGCGCCTAAAAGGCTAAAAAAATGAAGAAAAGAAAAAATAAATAAATCGATAGATAAATCAATGCACTACTGCCCATTTTGGGATAATATATTTTTTCACATGTACACGTAAAACAAGTTCAACAAAATATAAGCATGTAAGGTTCCTTGTGATTTCTGAGAACACAATTTTTTGATGTAGCAAAAAAGAGCATGGTTATATTATGCTATTATACCTAATTCCCATGAAAATTTGAAAAAGGAAAAAAAAATATTAAATCCCCAAATATAGGAGAAAATTTGAAAAAATATATATATATATATATATATGTATATAAACGTCACGTAAAAAGAAAAAGCATGGTTCCTACGCCTCAAAAGTTAATCATTCATTACCACCATTGTTCTATACAAGGTGTTGGTGATATATTTATAGACTCCATAAATGTTCAATTGTTTTTTTTAAAAAAAGTTTTAAATTGTCCTTTCATACATCTGGTTCAAGAAGTACATCCGTTCAGCAACTATGGTTCTTACCCCTATGCTTTCAATACCCTAGAAGGAAATATTCTATTTGATGTGGAAATTATTGACTACATGAAAAATGTTAAAAAACAAATGCATTCGCTAAGCTTGTACTATTATGATGACCCTTATAGAAGAGGAGAGACGCATGCGTGTGTGCAAATATATATCCTATACCTCAGTTGCACATCTATAGTACCTCTTCTCCGCATGTGCGTATATTTTATTCTCCAAGCTACTATTGCTCTCGCTTATGTTGTCCCTTTTCAGATATACCTGTTTGACTCGATTGAGTATGAACCCTACTTTGGAGTAATAAATGAGCTGAAGGGAATCTTGGTATGTTTATATAACATGAAAATTCTGGTAAAAAAGACCCATTAGGATATATATTTTCAAACGAATACTTTTTTGTGTATATTTTCTGCACTTTTTATTCACAGTTATACTACCTCTGGGTAAATGACGAGATTTATAACAATTTTACCAAAAAGGTATATGAAAGTAGATTTTTTTATTTGTATTATGTTTATCTAACGAGGTAAAAATAAAAATGGATAGTTTTTTTTTTTTTTTTTTTTTTTTTCCTAATTATATTTTTTGTGGTTTAAAAGATGCATGTAAATATAACAAATGTGTACATGTTTATATATTTTTTACAGTGAAATATGCTAATTTTTCGTGATACTTAAAATTTTCTCCTTTTTTGCAGAAGGTTAAGACGAGAAAACTTTGAAAAGTGCCAAATGACTGGATTAAAGAATCATAATTTTGTTAGTTTTCTTTCATATATAAGATAATGACTGTGTCTGAGATGAATATAAAAAAAAAAAAAAAAAAAACTGAAATGCAAGCATAATCTATTTATTTGTTCACTTGTTTGTTTTTATAGAATATAACAAGGTTGAAGACAATTTTAAATATCTTGGACAACGTTTTATGCAATCGTGATAATTCCGCGCACGAAAAGCACGACATTTGTTATTTTGACTCTATGTGCTTTTCTGTTTTGTCCATACTTTATTCCATTCCCGCAAAATGTAAGGAAGAAATATTTTTATTAATGAGGTCTTGTTTGAACGTAGTTAAAGTGGTGTGGAAAAAGGAGGGATAAATGAGTGGAAAAAAAGGGAAATATAAACGGGGTTGAATAAAGGAGTGGGGGAAAAAAAAAAAAAAAAAAGTTTGAAAAAAAGGAGTAAAACATCGAGAACAGAAAGTGTCTCCAGACATGTCATCATTTTGTGAATTTGGAAAAAATGCCATAAAACAAAATGTTGCAAGAGTGATTAATTTTTATGTTGAAATATATCATACTAGGCCTGATTTTTCCCAGAGATTACCATGTCTGTTTTGTTATATGCCAAATGTGTGCTCTTTGCCTGAGTGCATATCAATGAAGTACACTTCACATGAGTACACTTTGTTTCACTCCACATTATCTCCACAGTGAACGAGGATCTGCAAGACGCTTTGCTCTCAAAGCCAAGTTTAATAGAATTTGTGAAGAGGCTCAACGAAAGGTACAAAGTATGGGAAAATGAAAAATCCTTTCTATTAGGTGTCACGGAAGCAAAGTGATGTGTTCATCTTTATGTAAGTAGACACATATTTCTACAACTGAAAGTTGAACAGCAAGATGAATGCGTAAGCTTAAAAAACCATATGCAGTTATCTTCTATTCGTTTTATTTTTCTCTCGCCACATATATATATATATATCTTATTTTTGCGCTTCCTTTTTTCGACGCTAATGAAGTAAACATTTTTTGAAACAATTTGATTTATTAAAAAGTAAAAATTTGAGTTGGATTTAAATTAAAAAAAAATGAGGTAGGGTTGGGAAGAGAGAGAAAAAAAAAGTCTGACAAACTAACAACTATCTTACCAAAAATGGACTGGTGAATCAAAATTAATGAGTGCAGCGCAATTTCAAACATTTTTTAAAAACTTATAATTTTTAGGGGTAATATGTTTCGTGTAAAAAAAAAAAAAAAAAAAAAAACTGAATGAGAAAAGTGTAATTTTTTTTTTTTTTCCGTTTTACCTGAACAGGTCAGGTCTATAACCATATTTTTTTAACCACCCTTCTCTTGCTGTTTGAAAAAAGGCCATTTTTGCCATCCTTGTGAATTTATAAATTCCCCTCGAATATCCGCCTTGTATGCATCTCATGCGTATTCTGTTAATTCCAACCTGGTGTTAAAAAAAAATAATATCATAACACATGTCTATATGAGCGGAATTTTATTTTGGAAAAATTAAAAAAAGAAAAAAAAAAATAATAATAATAATGTGTAAAATGGAATAATTTTTGTTTTTTATAGCAAATCGGTCATGTGATACAAGTGCTGTACTGATAGAGGTTTGTTGGCCCAGTTAAGACATCCTGTTGGTATATATGAGTTCTACGGAATTTTCATATTAACAGGCACAGTTGCTACCTAGGAGGGCGTTTTCATACTCATGGCTATCTCATCGAATTTTATATCTAAAGCTGATGTCATACCTTATTGTTAACTTTTATTTGTCCCTTAAAACCAAGGTTTTCAAAAATATTTTTGTAAACCCGTGTATTGACTTCAGATTCCATAAAGGCGCGCCTTGATAATATATCCCTGAACACTCTTCTATTGTAACTGGGAAATCCTAGAGGTACTTGGTTCAGATAAGGTCCTGGATTTCTTGCTGCCATTTATGTTATTTATTAGAAAATTGAGGAAAGAGACGACTACAGGAATGTACAATTCAGAGTGAGGGTGAGAAAGAGATAGGGGTTGAGAATGGGTAAAAAAAAAAAAAAATAATAAAAATACACCTATGAATGAATTATATACAGATGATACCCCCTACTAAATTAATTCATTTAAAAATGTTGCATAGAGCAGATAATAAAATTGAAAAAAAAAAAAAAAAAAAAAAAAAAAAAAAACACCTCAAAGAAATAAATTTTATTTTTTATTTTTTTTTCCAAATGTTCATTCAAAAGGGATGATGTGTAATAAGGCACTAGAGATATGAACTTTCATATTCCATGAGTACAATACACATCACGCTCAAATCATATACATTCGTGAATAAACCAAGTATTGTAGAAAAAGTATTTTTCTGCCCTTGACAAATCCGTAGAAATATAAGTGCTTCTCTTCTTTGTGTGAAAAAAAACACTCGAAAAAACTTTTTCTTTTTCCCCCCGTTCTTTGCCATTTTAAGCAATGGTCGTGAAGTTAAACATTTGGCTTAATACACTCGAATGAATTTTTCCTTTAAAGAAGACATGAAAATTTGATCACGATTTATGATCTCTTGCATTAGGAATGAATATGACAACTCGACATTGTCTCTACACAAAGATTGTGAAATTTCTTAATGTGCAGGGTAAAAAAAAGAATACACATGAAGAATGAATCACACATCTAACCTTTTTGGCCATCTTATATGCATCCATAGAATAAATAGAATTACCACATTAAAAAATAAAGATCATCATATACAAAAATTGTTGTATTGTTATATCAGGGGAGGGAAAATATCAGCCATTCGGGGTAACCTTTACATATGGATCATATCACTACTTATGTGTGTACTCCTTAATGTGAGACACATGATACGGAACTTATCAACGAATATTAAGCTTTCTACATATATGTAAATTTGGCAATAAAAACGTTACTCATGTTTTAAAAAAAAAAAAAAAAAAAAAAAAAAATGAACGTATAAGTTGTAATGGAAAACACTTAAGTATTTCCGTGTTATGCATTAAACAAAATTGGAAAACTAAAAATTTTAATATCCTATTTTCTGATAAAAATTATTAATTTGGAGTAATACAAAAAAAAAGAAAATAAAATATGAAAAAAAAAAAAAAAAAAAAAAAAAGAGTTCGCATGGAACGCAGAAAAAATAAAATGAGGAATGAATATATATATTCTTACACAATTCTGCATGGAGCACCATCGTGAAGCGTTATTATGCTGATGTATGTACTACAGCTAAAAGTGAATCAAGGTTTATGTCCATTACTATTTTTCGTTAATCAAGGGTTGTGACAAAGTGGTATATATATATATATATATATACACATGTATACTTGTTCATCCACACACAAGGAAAATTTGAGAAATCATACTAGAGTAATCCTTTTTACCAAGTGGTTCATCTAACGATTAATGGCACTGAAAAGAAAACTAAAGAAAAAAAGCTACTTTTTGGAGACAAATTTTGGCTTAATGGATACCATTTTTATCTTTTTGTTGTTAATTGTTTGCGAACTTATGGTGCATAAATTTTTTATGCATTTCTGAACGATTAAAAAGCTTTGATTTTTTTCTTTAATATTTAAAACATCTAACAAGGTTAAGATATTCATTTTCCCATTATTTTTTTCAATAAGCTTTAATAGAATTTTTGAACAATTTTCTTCTTTTATTTGTAGTTCTTTATTTCGAATTTTTTCTTTAATAAATTCATTGATATTGTAGCTTTTAGTATTTTTTTGTGAGGGGTTATTTTTGTTTTGTTTTATATTTTGTTCTTCATCGTCATCATCATCGTTATCATCATCATCATCATTATCATCATCATCATCATCATCGTTATCATCATCATCATCGTCATCATCATCCTCATCCTCATCATCTTCATCATCGTTATCCTCATCTTGAGCGCAGCGTTTATTTTTTTGTAATTTGTTCATAACAATATTTTTTTTCGTTTTCGACCCTCTGTTGTCTATTACCCTTTTTTGTGATTCACTTTTTAGTATCATTTTTTTAGAAGGTAAAGTTTTTCCGGACGCACTTCTGCTATCATGTACATCTACTTCATCCTCATCCTCTTCATCACCCTCCTCCTCGTCATCTTCATCATCATCAGAATATTGCAAAAGTTCATCATCCTCTTCATCGTGAATTTGTTGTTTTAATAAGGATTTCATAGCTTGACCGTATGAAGTCAATCGTGAAATATCATTATCAGAATTATTATCCGAATCTTCATTATCTTCATTATTATCATCGCCATTAAATTCTTCCTGTCCAGAATCATCTAAATTTATGTCTTCGTCATCACTTTTTTTTCCATCATGATTATAATCCCAATTAACTTTATTTTTTCTAAGAGATGTAATGGACAATGCTGAATTAACATAATCAATTTCGTCGTTATTTTCTCTCATTCTTAATTTGTATAAATTTTTTAATCTTTTTTTTTCTTGTCTTTTTAATCCTAAATCATCATCTTCATATGATGAGTAGGATGAATCTGAATTTAAGATTTTATTTTTATTTTTTTTTTTATTATTTTCTTCTTTTCCTTTTGAACTTATTTTCATAAGTTCTTCTTTATTTTTTAGACGCTCAATTATTTCATCTAATCTTTTGTTATTTTGTTCTGCTTTCTGTTTTTCTTGTATATTATTCTCTAAATTAAATTTACTCAACGTTTTGGCTGACAGATCTGGTTCAAAAACATGCCAACTAGAAACTGGGTAAATGTCCGAGTATTCATCATTTTCAATTAATACAAAAAACACATCTGTATCCATGTTGCACTTTTTTGATATATACGATTTATGACTTGTCTTTCCTTTATTGTTTGTTGAATTTTTTAGTAACCAGTAAAAAGCATTGTTGTTCTTATCCTTTTCATCCGAGTTCTCACAATTTCCATCCTTCGACTAGTGAAAGGTTTGAACGTAAAAATGAGGTGTGAAGTTTTTTATATGTCACTTTTGCAATGTACATGGAAAGTGTTATGAGAGCTCAATTCATACTACAACCAGCAGATGGCCATTCTATTGTTTGCACGGACAAGTATTTGCGTGTGGAGTTGGGCATTGGAGGGCATGCAAGTATGGTACACACAAGAATATATGCACATATACACACAAGAATATATGCACATATACACACGAGAATATATGCACATATACACACGAGCATATAAGCACTTATACACACGCGCAACAAGGCTTGCATATTTTTCCCTTACTATAAACGTCACCGGGTCAGCCAATTTGTTAATCTCCCGATTGTCCGTAAAACGGGAAATCAGATATTTCACATTGTCATCCGGCTTATTTATTCTTATTCTTTTGTTTCCATATTTGGACAGCGTGAAATCAGAGAATTTTAAGGGTTCCCCTGATTCGATCATTTTCAATATTTTCTTTCAAGTGACAATTGGAGTTCATGACTCATTTTCGTTACAATTACATTTGGATTTTCCCTCACAAATCAACTTTAACATTTCTTCAAAATTTTATTTATGGCTCAGGGAAGTATATTACATTCAAACGCTTTTGCATTATCAATGAAGCATGGAATTGTGATGAAGATATGCAAGAAAAAAAAAAAAAAAAAAAAAAAAAAAAAGCAAAAAAAAAAAAAAGAAAGAAAACAATGAGTTAAGCATACAGAGGTATGGGTTAAAAATTGCTGAAAAGAATAAAATTGTGTTGAAAAAACAAATTGCAATGTTCATGAGAAATGCGTAAAAAAAAATAACTAATGGGGGATAATAAAAATTAACACAAAAGTTTAACAAAGCGGGTAACAGGGTAACGCAAAGCTGACCAAAAAAGCACAAATAAAAAAAAATCAATTAAAGCAAGTGCTCAGAAACATTAGCATGAGAAAAAAAAAAAAAAAAGAAGGCAACTGTTAAATGGGGATTAAAATAAATGGGCAATTATAACATTATAAAAATCCTAATGCTGGATTATACTGAGTTCGCGCTAATACCACCACTAAAATATACATTATAAACACATACGGTCCTGAATGAAACCATATGGCACTTGTGCAAATTTGAGAGGAAATATTTTTTTTTTTTTTTTTTTTTTTTTTTTTATAATTGTATTGCAGTTTGCAATTATTAGCATATTTTAACAACATATATTCATAAATTCTTTCGCCATCCCATAAATCGGAAAACGTAACAGAAAATTCTTTAAGCAAAATTCCATAATATATTCTCATATTAATTTGAAAAAAGCAGAAAAATTTCACTCATACAAGTCCATATGGGGACTTACAAATTTTGTATATGCATATCTACAATATATATATATATGTAACATATGCTTATCCAAAGTATATAAAAAAAGAATAAAATTAAAAATAAAATGATTTAATATATGTACTATGTCACTTATAAACAGAACCCAAATGGCGCTAAAAAGTACTAAAAAAAGAACAATAGCAAAGAAGGCTCCCCAAAAGAATGCCACAACCAAAACAAAAAGCAAAGAACAAAACTTCGTATACCCAAAGGAAGAAGATCTTTTGAATTATAACCCGTTTATGACAAAAGAGGAAATAAAGCCATTTGAATTAAACATAGAAAATGAAGAAATAAGTGATGAGGAAGAGATAGAAAAAGGTAAAATGTGAACAAATTTATCAAGTTGTGAAAAAAAGACAAAGCTTTTTAATTATTTTGGCCTTTTTTTGCCCGTTTTTAACCGCTTTTTACTTTTTTTTTTCCCTGTAGATTCGTTTAAGGAGCTTTTAAAAAGAAGAATAAAAAAAATGAACCAGAAAGTGAGGAAACATCATAAGAGGGACTCTAACCTTAGGTAAATACCAACTCTGAACATTTCTGTAATTATAGTGTACTTATGCATATACAGGTTTATATGTAAGAGAATGTCCTATGAGGAGTGTAGCTGAACACTTGTTTTTATCACACATACACAAACACCCATACGTACATTTAATGAATAAAGAGAGTGAAAAAAGGCTATAACAAGGAACAATTCCTTCATTGCTGCATTTTGCATAGCAATAGTGCCATATGAAATTGATTTTGTTTGTGATATTCTAAATGTATTGAGAAGAATTTGCCAATTGAGCAAGATATACATTTTTGACTTTACATTTTTAGCCTTACATGTTTATCCTCATATGATTAACCTCACATGTTTAACCTCACATGTTTAACCTCACATGTTTAACCTCACATGTTTAACTTCACATGTTTAACCTCACATGTTTAACCTCACATGTTTGTATATAATTACACACACCTCTCTCTTCTGAAACTGCACCCCCACATGAAATACATTTTTCTCGTCCCTTATATAGAAAAAGACACGAAGTGGGCATCGAAATTTCGGGGAAAAGTTGGTTTGAAAATAAACTACTAAATGACGTTCCTCGAAAGCTAACAATATGTTAAGGGAGACATGATAAATAATTAAAAGAAAAGAAAAAATATAATAAAAAATTAAAATAAAAAAAAAAAAAAAAGAATAATAAAAATAAAAATATTCTGGTCCATGTATCATACAGGAAGAATTTATCATTTATGCATTAATTTTATTCTATCGATATAATGGAATACATATAAAGGAATATTTTAAGCCCGTTTTCCATCCTATTCATTTATCACTTTGGAAATAATGCCGTACATGATGTACTTAATACACCTCGTTATTAATATTTAAATTTTTTTTTTTTTTTTTTTTTTATGTAATTGCATATTTAATAAAATCAGTCTTTTTTTGTTCAGTATATATTTTATATCAATTTCTTTGCATTTGCTATAAATCCCTATAGCAACAATTTTAAAAAAGAGCGTCATGACGTTTAAACAATTTTGTTGCCAAAACCTAGCAGATTAAAAATAACCCTTTAATTTTTTACTTTTTTAAAGTGTATAACAGATCTTATATGTATCAAAAAGCATGTTTGTGTGAAAAATTCTAATTCACGTTTTATCTCTTAATTATAATGGAATTGCACGAAAGTGTAATACAATTTAATATGTAAACGAAATAGTGAGATGCGGTAGGGATATATATAAATATCCTTTCAATTTACCTTAAGATATCTTTTCTTCCCCTCAACGTTTTCCCATTTTGTTTCTTAAGCGAAATGGTTATGAATGTGCTTTAAAAATGTGATATTATAAATTTTGATATGTATGGTTTTTTAGTTTTGGTTTGGTTTGTTTTGATTTATATTGTTTTATTTTTTTTTATATTGTTATATTTTTTTTTATATTGTTTTATTTTTTTTTATAGACAAAAAAAAAAAAAAAAAAAAAAAAAAAAATTTTAAAAAATTTTTTTTTTTAAAATAAAAAAAAAAAAAAACAAAATATTAATTTTAGAAAAAAAATTAAATGAAAAAAAAANNNTTTCTTTAAAATAACATTATAAATTTTTTTTTTCCCCTAAAAGTTTTCCCATTTTTTTTTTTAGGGGAAATGTTTTAAAAATTGTTTTAAAAATTTGTTTTTTAAATTTTTAATATTTTTTGTTTTTTTTTTTTTGTTTTGTTTTTTTTTTTTTTTTTTTTTTTTTTTTTTTTTTTTTTTTTTTTTTTTTTTTTTATTTTTTTTTTTTTTTTTATAAAAAAAAAAAAAAAAAAAAAAAAAAAAAAAAATGTTACACAATCTTCTTCTTTAAAATGCATACATAAAATAACGCAATCTTCATTTTGGAAAAAACATGTGATGTAAAAAGAAATATAAGCATTTAAAACAGCACACATAACAAAAATTGCAAGTTTTCTTAACATATAAAAAGTATCATGTTTTCCATAAAAATATAATATATTCAAGATAATTAAAAATTTCGTACTTTCTCCTGTATGTACATATATATAAATATCATTGAAACCATTTAAACTGCTGTTTTAATTGTCTTCAAGTTTTGATATGTTTCAAGGAAATCAGACCATTCTTCATAAGGAGATTTATCAAATTTTGTTACTTTCCATAAATCAGGGGTTAAATAGCCATATGTTTTACTCAAAGCGTTGAAAATGGCCTATAAAAACGGATAGAAAAAAAAAAAAAAAATTTGATGATACATAATTAAAATCATTTCTTCATAGCATTAAATATAAGCGTATGTCATGTGTGCCTTTGTCACATATATTAATAGGCATAGAGGATACACAATATAAAGATATATAAAAAAAAAAAAATGGGATTGTCATATCACAAACATACAGACTTGTGTCTTCATGTATAAATATATAAATTTTATTTATTGTTGGGGTTTTGGTGTAGTGTGGTGGTGAATACATTAATTTTTTTTTTTTTTTTTTTTTTTGCCTCTTACTCTTAAAAAGTTTCCTCTTGTTTTGGTTTTTCCACAGGATGATGAAAAGCAATCCTTAATTCCTGCAAAGTTCAGCATTTTCTTAGTAGTTGGAGCACCAACGATTTGGGTACCCCTTGGAGCTGGTACCAAACGAATACGAACACTACCACATTTTCCTGATACTTTCATTGGCACTGTGTGTGGATCACCAATTTTGTTTCCCCAATATCCTCTTCTCACAGGTATTAGAGAAAGTTTTGCAGCAATAATTGCACCCCTAATGGCTGTTGCAACTTCTTTTGCACATTTTACTCCTAAACCACAATGGCCATTTCCATCACCAATGGCTACAAATGCTTTAAATCTTGTTCTTTGACCTGCACGTGTCTGTTTCTGTACAGGCATAATTTTCACAACGTCATCTTTTAAGGGGTGTGCACATTCATTTGGTTGAAAAAAATAATCAATAATTTGATATTCTTTAATTGGTAAGGAATGTAAATAAATTTCTTCAATGGAAACAATTTTCCCTTCTTTTACCAATCTTCCCAATTTTGTTACTGGTACCCAGTTTTTTAAATCATCTTCTGCTGAACCTCTTCCTCTAAAAAAAAAAAAAAAAAAAAAAAAGAATTAAAGCTCTTCCGTAAAGTTGAAAATTAGGAAACTATTTGCATTATGTATATGGAATGGCTGAAGTGTGAAACACATCACTCGTTTGTGAAAACACACACATGAGAATATTGTATATGAATGTTTCCTGTTTATGTTTGAGATGGTCATGTGATGATATTTTTTTTCTACTATTTCGTTTTATTCATATTTTATCTACTACATTTTATTCTATCTTTTCTTTTTACCTTCCTCTTCCACGTCCTCTACCACGACCGCCCCTTGAACCTCTCATGCCTCGTCCAAATCCTCTCGAAAAGCCTCCTCTATCTGTTATTGGTTTGAAAAAAAAAATAAAATAATACAAATAAATGAAATAATTAATCACAATGATAATGCACATATTCAATGTAGCCTACTTAGCGATGTTATAAATATATAACTACGACATTCATACGATGGTTCATATGAAATGAACAAGATTGCATTGTATCATTAATGTAAAAACATGGAAAAGAAATTTATTCATCTGCCCCAGTGAGGGATATACTCATATATCAACATGTAAAATACATAAATACATGTGTACAATATTCATGTGCATACATATGAATATGTAAACGACGGTTACGTAGAATCACACAAAAATTTTTATAGCAATAATCATAAAACATGAGGAAATACAGATGATGGAGCATTAAATCGTGATACTTAAAAAGCTCCCCCCAAAAAAAAAAAAAAAAAAGCAATTGTAAAGTACCTTCCATGTTTATCTTATATGGTGTTTGGTTTGTTAAAAATAAGTTGTGTTCGTGGGTTAATTTTTTTTTTAAGCTATGTTATGTTATATATATATATATATATATATATATATATATATAATATATGATGTTAAGTATTCTCACATAAACGTGTAAATTTTGACTTAAGTTTTTGCGCTTAGCTAAATATAACGAATTGGATATATTTATTTAGTATATTTTTGTATATTTTATATATACACAATGGTATTTTCATATCTTTTTTGTTCTTCTAGGATTGTAGCTGAAATGTTAATTTTTTCATTCTTTTTTTTTTTTTTTTTTTCAAGAAATATTCTTTTAAGTATGGATATAATTGCACGTACGTGCTATAATGTTAGTTTTATTTTTTTTTTGTTGTTTGGTTTTTATTTGTTTTTAAGGTTATCTTGCATCCATGATCCGATCCACATCCATCAATGTCACATATATGGTAATTACGTGTCAACAATTTTTCATTTCTCGATCACAGATACTACTACCACTAGGTATAAAATATATTTCCCGCACCATCAGAGCGTTTAAAAAAATTGGATAGCCATGCAAAAATATATAAGGTCAAAGAATAGGGAAAAAAAAAAAATACTATATAATTAAAATTGGGGCATTAATGCTGTATACACTAAACATATAATAGAGTGCGCAAAATAATATCATTTGTGTTAAGAATTTATGTTGGGATTTTTTTTTTTTCTTTTTTTTTTTTTGACAATAGGTAAGTAAAAACGTGTTACAGCAAAAAAAAAAAAAAAAAAAAAAAAAAAAAAGGAATAATGTGACAGGTTCTGTTAATGAAATGGCACTTACACTATTTATTATAGCACTGCAAAAGGGGATATAATATATATGTATATATATATGTCGACCATCACCCCTTGTAAACGGAATGAATACTCCCCTCATTCTTTTATCATTTTTGTGAAATAAACCGGAGTAAAGCCTTTCTTCTGCCTTTATAGTGTAGTACCTACATTATGATATATATGTGTGGCATAAAAAATATCGTTGTGTTTTATACCCCCCACACTTTTACAAAATGAGAGTTATACTAATTTGGGGGCAAAACACGAAAAAATGAGGGAAAAAATAAATAATGTATTCCCACTTTTAAGCAAAATATATGCAGCCTTGCTCAACAGCCAGGAACGAGAAAACAATATCTGAAGTGGATAACAAAATTATAAGCATGATGATCATTAAATCCTGTTATGTAAATATATTTACATACATATAAGGAGAAAACAAACACAAGAAAGCGCGCTAAAACTTTAGTGTACCGAACCGGGTATATATATATATATATATATATATATATTTATTTACATTTCTGTGGCGACTGTACAACTGGGGGAAAGAAAAAGGGCGTGCAGAGGGAAAAAGAATATTTATATTTTGAAAGCCTACACAAGAGGTTTAACATATTTAATGCTATACTTTTCCCATTTTCTCATATTTAAGTGAGCTTCATATTTTTTCGTTCTTTAAAATGTAGATAGAAAAATATTTCAAAATTGACTAAATGTAAGGATTTTCTAGTTTAACTGATATATCTAGCTTATACATATATATGTCAGGGTATATATGCGCATATACACTTATATATATAAGTAATGCAAAATAGGGGTAAATTTTGTATATCATATTTTATTATCCACCTTTATCACCTTATAATTTAGTATCAAAAAAAAAAAAAAAAAAAATCACTTAAAAAAGGGTTTTACAAAGAAATATGACACTTTTTTCTTCTTTTTTTCTTCTTTTTTGCATGTTAACAGCATATACAAACTTGTTCTATTGTTTTGTTTTGTTCAAATTTGTTTGACATTTATAATAATTTAATGGGCTATAATTTTGAGTGGGACATATTGTATCTACAATTTTTTTAAAATTTTCTTCGTGTTTTTTAGTGAAAAATGAACTTTCTTAATATTTACTACATTTTGAATGTACAAATGTCCAATTGATATTTCTTTTTTTTTTTAATTCAATTATGCTTCATTACGTAGGCGAAGTTTTCATCATTCTATTTTGTAATAAAGCATATGTTTACTTTTTTTTTTTTTTTTTTTTTTTTTACACCCCCATCTTACACACAGGTTTTCAATAATTTGAGTAAAGGAAGTGAGAAAAAAAAAAAAAAAAAAATTTCAAGTTCCGAAAAAAATTAAAAACTGAATTTTTCCTTATGACTATAGTAGCATTACATTTTAGTGACTCTTTAATTCAACTGGTTTACAGCAAAAAAGTTTTGCCCAAATTTTATTTCGTGACCTTGTGGCCAAACGATCGAATTAAGCAATAACCCATATATTATACGCTCCTTTCTCTAAAAGCCTTTACCTTTTCCATATTCACACAAATAAAAAGCAGTCTGCCCTAGGTGAAAGACATATATATATGTTCGAAATAAATTATGAAAGGAAGAGAATGTAAATTATATGAATTTTATAACAAAACAAATGAAACAACCAAAGGTTAACTCCACCCGTCTTATATGCAGCCAATTCCTTCTTATGAATTAGGGGGGATAAATGAAAAAGAGGAGAAAAGGTCATTTTTCCTTGTAGGAAAAAAAAAAAAAAAAAAATGAAGAAAGGATGGCAAGTAAAAAACATATGAAGAGAAATGTTCCAACCCTTATAAACAGAAAAAAAAAGGGCCTAAAAAAAAAAGACATAAGGTTAAAATGATAACAAGTGGGAAAAAGTGTCCACGGGAACGTGTTCCGCACGTTTGCGTACGCGATAATTTGTTCATACAAATTATATAAATATATTTATATGTTGTGTGTATGGGATATATATATATATATTCGCTTATATTGTGTGTTTGTGAAAATGTGTTTTTTTTACATATCTATACTACTACAACATCGATACTCATTAACCCCTCTAACACCTATGGAACTTGAGGGGGGGGGAGGTGCTAACAAATTCAATTTTGCTGGGGCAATATGATTTTCTCCACTGCTCGTCTTTGCATAAGCATTAATGTGTCCATAAATATGAACAACCGCGCACAGATATTGGTCGAGGATGCACAAGTATATATATATGCATATATGTATATATATGTTTGTACGTATGAGTGTGGAAGTATACACATGCAGATTTTCGCGAAAAAACCACGTCGCGGCTCAAGTGGCTCATGCAAATAAGTCCATTTGATCAAAAAAAAAAAAAAAAAAAAAAAAAAAGCAGAATAATTCGATAGAAACTTTATATATTTTTTTAAGTCATTCTGATCAACATACTTATATATATATATATATATATATATATATATATGCAGATGTACATTTTTAAATAGTTCCAAGTTTGCAGTTTTTGAATATACCTTTTATCTCCTTCGGCGCATTCGTGAAGTTAATAAGACAGTGCAATGTTTACACAAAACATGACCATATAAATTTTTTTTTCTCTTTTTTTTTTTTTTTTTTTTTTTTTTTGGTTTATTTACTTCAATCGAAGAATGCCGAATAAATAACTTTTATGAGGCAAACATCGCATCCTATATAAATTGATTGCTTACTTTTTCCCACATAAGCCTACATGTGTGAAGACATTTAAATGATCCTGCGTGTGCGAAAAAAAATATACATATATCTTCACACCGTGTACATGAAGCCAACAAAAAAATCAATTTTTCATTAAATATAAATATATAAAGAATTTACAATGTTTTATTGCAACTTTTGTAGGAAGACGGTGGTCATTATGATCTTAGTTGTTTGTTCTTTGTTGGTAGTTGCTTCTGTTTTGTTAGTTCTGCACATTCTTAATAATTCGAATTCAAGTGACAGTTATTTTCTAGGAATTGGAATTTATACCTTTGAAGTGATAAATAAATATAATCATATTCATGACCCTGCAATTGGAAAACAACTAAATGAGGGATCAAATGTAATCCCAATAAATAAAGCCCATTCTCCATTTACACAAGGATTATTCTTTACAGACAATGATACATTACTTGAATCGTCAGGATTATATGGCGCTAGCTACGTAAGGGAATTTTCATTAGATTCTGGAAAAACAAAACGATTCAACAATTTGAAAAGTAATCTCTTTGCAGAAGGATTGGCTGTAGTTATTGAACCAGAGACATATAAAAAGTATATACTTATATTAACATATAAAGAAAAACTAATAATGGTTTTAGATTTTGACACCCTGGAATTATATCATACATTTGAGCATGATCTAGATGGTTATGGGTTAACCTCAAATATAGATCTTCTACAATCAACCGAAGATTTAAAACAAATTGATTTTGCACAAAATCAGAAATTATGGACAACTACAGGAGATGATTATTTATACGAAATTGAAATTCCAAGAAAATTTTTGAATACGAAAAAATTAGTCATATCTGGAAAAACAAAAATTACTTGTGCAGGTTTTGAAATGTTTCACGTTAACGAATTGGAATATCATGTGAAGGCAAAAACGCTTTATGCAAATGTTTTCTTGACCAAGTTGATACTCGAAATCGACATATCCAAGGGAACGTGTTTGAAGATTATTAACTTGTCTGGACTTGCTGAGCAGCGCGACAATTACGTATGTTATGTTTGAGTACACACACACACACAAAAAAAAAAAAAAAAAAAAAAAAAAAAAAAAAACATGCCCGTTATATTCTCCCAATAAACATATGTGTTTGCATACTATATGCCCGCTCTGCACATGTATATATATATGCACATATAGACATATACTTTTGTAGGCACACCCTGAACTGTCATACATTTATTCATACCTTCTAACTTCACCTTTTTTTTTTTTTTTTTTTTTTCTTATCAAACCGCAGGAGGAAGGTAAGAATAACAGAGAGGCTGTACTGAATGGAATAGCAATAAATCCACAAAATAACAAAAAAGATCTACCAAACCTATTGGTGACGGGGAAATTCTGGTCTAATATATTCGAAATAAAACTCATAAAAAGTATTAACAAGTTGCAGGCAACTGAAGTATTAAAGCAATACTTTGAATCGATTGGGCAGAAGGTTTCATAATTTTTTTTTTTTTTATTTTTTTTATGCCCTATATTTTTATATCATATCTGTACGAAAAAATCAGTTTGTTTTTTTATATTTAAATATGCAAACATATATATATGCATATATGTATGACTTTATCACACTTCGAGAAGAAGATTTTAATCTTCATTCAATTATTCCTATCTCATATCGGCTCATTTTTTTTTTTTTTTTTTCTACATTTATGTATATTCCCCTTATTTCAATGATACATACATATAATAGCATAGATACATTCACTCATTTTAACAACTTTTGTATTACGCTAATTAATTCACAGTTTGAAAACGTACTGTTCATTTATAGTGCTCACGTTTTATCTGTATAACAATGTTTATGTATTTCATAAGACTGGTGCCACTGCTCCTCCACTATACTTTTTTTTTTTTTTTTTTTTTTTTTTGTTACTTTTTTTAAACAGACTCTTTATATTATCAAATTGTTGATACATATGTATATGTAATAAGTTTCAAAAGTATTTTATGTTATTTTATTTTTCTTGAGAAAAAAAGGGATAATAGTGGATAGCAAAAATAAAGGTTACACAGGTACACATGTAAATATGGACAGTGATTGTATCTGAATTTTAATTTGTCTCTGTTTTTGAAGAGCTTTCTTTAGGTGCGGTTTGTTGCACTTTTGTGTGTAAAAAAAAAAAAAAAAAAAAAAAAAAAAAAGAATTGTACTATATACCCTTTGAAATTGAACACTATTTCAGTATTATGGGCCTATCGACAATATGTACAACCCCGTTGTGGCATTTCATGTTAGGCCTAATGATTTTAGATTTGTCCAAAAAAATAGAATGATCACAGTTTCTAAATTCTCCACGTATGGTTACAACTAGATCTTTGTTAACTAAATTTGTGATTTTCTCTGGAGCGTCTCTTTTTTCGTTGTACATGAGCCACTGTGCAAATGGTAGGTGTTTCCTCCGTGTGCATGGAGGAATGCATGTATAAGTACAAAAATATGTACATATACATGTGCATATAAAACATAGTTATATATATAGGTGTGCACATAAGGAAGGAGCATTAAAAATGGAAGAAACAAAAATGTATGCACTTACGGGTTGGTAGGAGGATCCATACAAGTCTCTGTATAACCAGAAATCTTTTGTAAAATGACCCAAAACAAATTCAGATAATTTTGTATGATCTTCATATAATTTACTTAAACTTTCAGTACTAATTAATTTTAAGGCCTCATTCGATGGGAGAAATCCCGTGTATGGCCCTTCCAAAGACAGCTCATGAATAAGCGAAGTTCCCACTGATGCGAAAGGAGCGTAAAATGAAAATAATGATGATACGAATGTAAAAATGTAGTGGGGGGAAAAAAAAAAAAAAAAAAAAAAAAAAAAGGAAAAAGAAAATATATAATGACTCAATAACGTGTGCATATATATATATATATATATATATATATATATATATATATATATATATATATATATATATATATATATATATATATGTGTGTGTGTGTGCGTGTGCGTGTGCACAGTCGAGGTGGTTGCAAAAACACGCATAAGGGTGAGAAATATGTATGGCTTATTCTATGGTACTGTGTTCTTAGAATAAAGTGATATACCTATGGGGTGACTCAGAAATCGGGAAAATAATTTCAATTCATTATGAGAATATATCAAATTGACTACAGTCCTCTTAATAGGTTTGTGTTCGAAACACCAGTATACTTTTCTGTTTATACTTTCAGGATCATTTGTCACTTTTTGTGGTTTCCTCAACCCGCCACTACGCGTGTATAATCGTTTAATAACAAGAATGTGTAAATTATTTTTCATGCTTTGGCATTTACATATTGTTTGCAGAAAACAGAAAGATGCCTGTGAATAGAAGCCTATATACGGACCGTTTTGCTACCTAACAGCCTTTCGGAATTTAACAAACTTTTATTTTTTTTCCTCCACCCTTCCTCTCTTTTTAAAAAGGATGCTGAATTTGAAGAATCTGTGCTTATGTGGAAAGAGATACACACATTCTCATGTTGACTATAAATTATCATTTTTCAGAAATTTTTTTTTTTTTTTTTTTTCACTAGGTGTGAAGTCCTGTTAAGTGCGATATATACTGCTGTGAAGAAGTGTCCCATGGGACTTCTAAAATTTCAATTCCAATAATTGTTCTGTTTCAACTGTGATTGGCCAATCGATTGCAAATTCGTTAATCCCATTGTGTCACGGGAACAATGGGAAGTAAAACAAAGTAAAAGAAAACATTTAGCCCTATTTCAAAGTGAAAAAAAAAGGTATTACTCATAATGATAGTAACGTAACGTTCACAAGGTGTCGTTTAGAAGATCATAAAATAATTCCCAACCCATCTCTGTGCACGCTTTGTAAAAAGGGGTGGAGAAAAAAAAAATAATAAAATAACTTGTGCAAATTTCCGTGATTTTGCTAATTTTTCTTCATTTTGAAAAGTATGCATTTTTTTTTTTTTTTTATTATTATTTTATTATTATTTTATTATCATTATTTTATTTTATTTTTTTTTTTTCCTTTTCTTGAGACATTCCTCTTTTTTTCTTTTTTTTTTTTTGCAAAAGTGCAGAATAAGATAAGGGAATTACATACGAATTTGCTATGATTTTGATAGTGTATGGACACATACCTATATACACTTGTGCAAATCGAACAAATGGACAAAACTTGGAACATTGTGTCACAAGTAAATACTTTCCTGTTATTCGTTCATAACTACAACTCACATTGAACATAATATTTAAACATGATGTATCAAAAATCTGTTACGTATTTAAACGTTAATGTTGTTCCAATATAAAAACGGGCTGTAAAGTGACACATCCTACCCACCCCGAGATATGTATTTTTTTTTTTTTTTCATTTTGATTAAAACATGTTTAATCTCTCCATTTGGGATATTCTCATATGCTAAGGGGGTGAGGGGAAAAAAAAAAAAAAAAAAAATGATATTAATACTTATAATACTCCTTGCTACATTCGCTGCACACAAAAATATAATTACTTAACCATTGTTCTTTAAAAAATAATTCTCAGGCAGGAACAAATAGTATATGAGCATAATATATGCACATGATCATATGCGTCTACCCCTTTCTTCACAAGTAAATTTTGTCCTTTAATGTAAGAGAAAAAAAAAAAAAAAAAAAGAAAAAGAATTACCTAAATAGACGCAAAAAAAATAGACCAATATAAAACTAAAACAGTCGTCCAGTTGTACACGAGTCTGAAGACTCAATAATTTGATTAAATGACAGCCTAAGTGAGGTAATTATGTATATATATACACATGTGTACACACACATGTACAAACACATGTACACATGCATAAACACGAATGTACCCACTTACACTTACACACCTATTTAAGATAGGAAGATAAAATGGAACCCCTTTCAGTGACAAAAAATAACCAAATGAACAACCTAACGACATTAAGTAACCAGGAGGCAAATTATGAATCAACTCTTCGGAATCAGGAAACATGCTCGCAAAATGATCTGTTCTACAAATTTCATGATAAATTTAATGAAATTTTTTTGTTCCTACAAGATTTAAAAGAAAATAAAAATTATTTAGAAGATGAAGTTGATGATAATTTAATAAAAACATTACACAATTTATGTCAAGAATTTTTAAATTATATTAAACACATAAATAATTTTGGTCATATGAATTTAAGTAAAAATGATCAAGATTTGATAATTGAGTCGTATGAGAACTTTGTTCGTCAGTGTAAACAATACAATGATAAACCACAAGTCAAGCAGCTGGAAAATGAAATTTCGAATTTGTTAGACCTGTTGTTTAATAATACTTCAGGTAATGATGATGTGTCTGAGATTTATAATTGAAAAAAAAAAAAAAATAAATATATAAAAAAATAATTTTGATTCATTTCAACGTCAAGTTTATGCTTGTGATGAAAAATATACTCTTTTTTTTTTTTTTTTTTTAATTTTATTTTCAAAAATTTTGTACCTCTATTATGAACAAATACTTTTTCGTTTACAGAAGCAGTGAATACTCTTTTCTCTGCTGATTCCTTTTTTGTGGATCACGTTGAAAATTTGAAGTTGAAGTAAGGCCTGCAAAAGTTCACCTGTAGTTTTAACTTCTCCTAGATTTGCTTCTCATTCCTTTGTCATCCCATGATTTTGCCATGCATGATTTCTTTTTTTCGCGTTATCACCCCTGTTCATATTTTCTCCATTATAATTTACCGTTTCTGACTTGTTCTATATTTACCACTCTGAATGTCCCATCCCACCATCTGTTAGACTAACGGAAAGGAATCAAAAAATTGAGTTCGAGAATGAAAGATTGAAGAAGTTAGAACTGGAAGCGAAGGTCGAAGAATACGATGAAATTTTCGAGAAGAATAAACAAAAGGTTTGGAGCATAAAATTTGTTTACCTATGTGCATTTATATATGGAATATTTATGAGATTTTTCGTGCATAGATTGTTTACACCATTAGACATTTAATATGGATGTTTATTTTTTTTACATATAACATGCATACAGATGCTTGTGTATGAACAAGTTAGAGAGAAAAATATGTCTTATTTTGGATGTACGATCAGACACACGAAGCTCTAACCAAATGTATCAACATTACATTTATTTAAAATGTTTTTTTTTCCACTGTAAAGAATAATGAAATGGATGAAAACCTAAGCAAGCTTAAGAAGGATATTAGCAAGGTACAAGAATGCTCGAAATACCACTTCTCGTATATGAACAGATTAACTTGGTGATAATTTTATCCCATACTGTGAATGTAAGGTTCATTTTACTTCAAATATTTTTCTGCAACCCATTTTTACAACACTTTTCAGTTGAATGAAAAAATACAAAAATATGACAATTATGTCAAAAAGAAGAGAAAAGAAATAGACATAAAATTTCCCGATACGCTTGACTGCAAGGAAAGAATTAAACTTTTGGAAGAGCAGTAATAAAATAATATAGTTCAAAAAAGGAAACAAAAAAAGAAAAATATATAAAATAAAATAAACTCGCATGTGTCAACATTCTTGGAAACTGCATATACGCACTGCTTGTATGTTTATATTACTCTTCCCTTGCAGCATAAAAACAGCCGAAAGGAACATCAAAACAACGCAATTGTCACCCCTTAAAATTGTAGAAAAAACGGAGCATTACATAATTTTCGAGTTTAAGGTATTTTATATATTTATGTGTTCATTTTTTTATTTATTGCATGTTTTTTTTTTTTTTTTTTTTTTTTTTTTTTTTATATGACCCCTCTACTTTTATCCATTTATAGACAATTCGGAACGTGATGCAATTCAAAGTAAGCAACTATCAATCAAAGAATGCACAAGTTGAAATCACTCCCTGTGATGATAATATTTTATCTTATATAAAATCAAACATAAATAAATGCAAGGATATTTCAGAGATAACTTATTTAATTAAAGAGGTATTTCTGCATGAACAGTTCAGTTAAGAGAGAAAATTTTTTTTTTTTTTTTTTTTTTTTTTTTTACACGCTTAACATTGTTCTTGTGTACATATATTTATGTACTACCAATTCAAGATGATACTTTTGGAAAATGCAGTTAATTCTCCTACCTTTTGGATACTGATTTTAATGTTTGCTTATTCTCCTATATTTTACTTTTCACTTGTAGGCTATATACTTAAATTTCCTGGACATTTGAGTTTGCCGTTCGTTCAATAATTTTCGAGAAAAATCTCACAAAAGGGAAAAACTAAATAATAAATAAATGAATAAATAAATAAATAAAGCATAAAAAAGAAGTCTTCACATGTATGCATACAACTTGGCTTTTTACCGAAACTGTGTTGCTTTACTCTTTGTAGTGTTGCATAAACAACCAATCTGAATTTGCATATGGTTATTTTTTGTATTTAAAATAATTTATTTAGTAAAAATTTATGGAACAAAAGTATGTTACTCTTTCATACCTGTATACATGTACATAGTGGCGTCATTGTGGTATTTATTTTTTGACATACTTTTTCGCTCTTCCCTCCCTCCCCACGTACATTTACGCATATGAAATTGACAAAATAAACTGGTTTTATCAAATTTTTTTTTAAAAAGATTAATAAATAATAATGGTAATGGTTAGATATGTTGGAATAAAATCAATGCATCAGTTTTATGAAGCATTATGTAAACATAACTGGGCAATGTGTTTATATGGCACTTATAGTGTAAAGAGTTGTATGATATATGTAAACTTAATTGTTGTCTTTTTTTTCTTTTTTTTTCTTTTTTCACAAGGTTTCCTACGTGAATATAGATACATATACATTTCGCTTGTTTTGAAAAATGTATACAAGGGAATGAAAGGTAGATGGGGGTGGGAATTCAAACAAGCAAAACCACTGCAAACTACAAGAATAGCGAAACGTGATAAAAATAATGTCTCTAATCAGGTGATGTAAGAGAAGGCACTTATCCGGAATTCATGTATTGACAATTATATTTTTTTATTTGAAATAATAACGTGGGTAGGGATTATATTGTTATGTGAGGTGCGTGCATTAATATATGATCAATGTTTCAGTTAAAACAAGTATTTTAATTAAAAAAAAAAAAAAAATTAGTACAAATATATAAAAGACCTACAGTATGAGATAGAGATCTAACATGAACAACCCTAATTGGTAAGAATAACCATAGTGAATTTCTTTTTATTTTAAGGTGATTTAGATTCATACTTCATATAATAAAGAGCTTGTTATTCATTTAGATGAATACATAATTGTGTGTAATTTAAAAACGTGCATTTGTATATTTTAACAAATAGGGTAAAATAATACACAACCATGTAGACGATCGATCTGTACTTGTACATACGCATAATTGAAAATAAAGAGAAATTATTCTCATAATACGTTATAAATGAGCCTATATGGTTTATTTCTTTTGTTAAATATAAAAATGTTGGAAATTATTCATTAGACAACTGATGTTATGTGTTAAAAAACATAGGGACAATGTTGTATAATTCTTGTTGCTCATATTTACTTTCTCTATTTTCATAAATGGAAAAAATGTGAACAATTTTATAATTCTCGTAAAAGGGCATTCCTTTACCCAAATGGTAGAAAAATCTTTGATTATAAATATACTTAATACACAAAATGAATTTTTAACGGGTTAAATTTTTTAAATAGAAAGATGAATTCATACTTTTACATTTCCATAAAAGACATTTAATGTATTTTGCGAATAAAAAGCTCCTTCAATCGGTAACGTGAAAAAATATGTTGCATGATGAATGAACATGTTAAAATGGAAATTTTTCTACTCCTTTTTTTTTTTTATTTTGTGTTACATTAAAATGACCAAGTGTTTCATGCCTTAAAGAAGTGTATGAAAGTGTAAACATATGTAAGCAAGCGTAGACAGAAGCGAATCAATGGAAAAAAAATGCAAACAAACGAATACTCAAAATGCATAAAAATATAATATTATACACGCAGTGTAGTATAGTGGAAAAGTTCCTATACCTACAGTATTAAAAAATATAAACAAAAAAATTAAATTTTATGCTGTCCATAATATATATTTCTGTTGGTACGCAAAATCCTTGATGAGTAAATTGAAATGGGAGAAAACACTTTCCAAGATTAGTATATTTCACTTGTGTACGCACACAAAACATTTGCATTTTAAATATTTTACGCTCTTAAATGTTCCTAGCACAGTATATAATATGTATAAAATATAAACACACGCATAGGTATGTAAATATATATATATATGCATATAATGAAAATAAATTGCCTATTCATTCATATGAAGTCGCAAAAAAAAAAAAAAAAAAAAATTACTCGATGTCCATTTAAACACACTTGCGGAAAATAAAACACGCCATGGGGAGTGAATGAAAATGACACAATAGGCCTGACTTTTATAATTATTTAAAGAAGAAGAAAAAAAAAAGTTAGGTGGAAAGGTAAAAGTACCACACGTTTATTGACACGTTAATTATACATCCATTAGCGCATTAATTACACATCCATTGTCACGTTAATTACACATCCATTGTCACGTTAATTACACATCCATTGTCACTTTAATTACACATTAATTGACAAACTGAATGACAAACTTAATGTCACATCCATTGTCACTTTAATTACACATTAATTGACAAACTGAATGACAAACTTAATGTCACATTAATTGGCACATACTGCATATTGCGAGGTACATGCTGCATTGACTTCGCACGCGTACTTACTACACTCATATGTTTAAGTAAAAAATTTACACATGTAAATTTACGCATTGGGGAGGAAACTTAGAGTGCAAATATACACTTCTCCCAATCACGTAGGTAAAAACAAACGTTGATCAACTCGATAGAGATTTCACTTTTTACTTTGAATATTTATTCATAAAGGTAATGGAAAAAAAAAAAAGAGAGAGATAGAAAAAAAAAAAAAAAATAAAATAAAATAAAATAAAATAAAAATTGAAAAATAAAAAATAAAAATGAATGTGAGTGGAGTCTGCACGTGCATGTACTTATAAACACTACTAAAAAACAAGCTAATATTCGTTAGGCTACGATATTACATTTTCTCAACACTTTTTCATCATCCATCATTAGTAGGGGAACTATTTCGAAACCTGAGAGACGAATATCTCAAAATTGAAATATAAAGAGAGCAAAAAAGTAAGAAAAAAAAAATATTCGAAATACCTGACTTTAGCATCATTCAACACATTTAAAAGTAATGACAGAAAATACGTCAATTAGAAGAAGGTATGAAAAAAGTTTCACAGAAAGACCAGGTTTCACTGAAGATGAAATTGAGGAAATAAGAGAAGCATTTAATTTGTTGGATACCGATGGAACAGGTATAAGAAAAGAACAGTATATGGATCATGAACAATTCATACAAATTTGTTCAGCTGTTCAGTTGTTCAATAGTTCAGCTGTTCAGTTGTTCAATAGTTCAGCTGTTCAGTTGTTCAATAGTTCAGCTGTTCAGTTGTTCAATAGTTCAGCTGTTCAGTTGTTCAATAGTTCAGATGTTCAGTTGTTCAATAGTTCAGCTATTCAGTTGTTCACTAGTTGTTTAGCTTTTTTTTTTTTTTTTTTTTGCCTGGACTATAACATCTTTTTGGCATAGGAATGCAGCTTAGGCATATGTATGCAGTTTCTTTAATTTTTTTTTATTATTTTATTTTCCTCACCCTCTTCTTATTCCCCACCGTAGGCACAATTGACCCAAAGGAAATAAAGTGTGCAATGCAAAGCCTTGGGCTAGACGTTAAAAATCCAATGATATTTAGAATGATAGCTGATTTGGAAAAAGACGGTTATTCGTCGATTGATTTTGAAGAGTTCATGGAAGTCATAACATCCAAATTGGTAACACAATACATGTATCCAAGGATTGAACAAAACTACTATGCAAAATGCACACGTGTAATTTTGCACAAAAACCTCCGTTTATACCTGCGAGACATATGCAAAAATTTTTTTTTTTTTTTTTTCTCTCTACTTTTTATCGTAATAGGGAAACAAAGACACACGGGAAGGTATTCAACGAATTTTTAATCTTTTCGATGATGATAAAACAGGAACAATATCATTGAAGAATTTAAAAAGAGTTGCAAAGGAATTAGGAGAGACATTAACGGATGAGGAATTGAGGGATATGATTGATCGTGCTGATTCAAAAGGTGAGGGTGAAATTTCATTCGAAGATTTTTATACTATAATGACAAAAAAAAGTTTTTTGTAATAAGCTCTTAACGTGTATTTCCATGTCATGGGATGGGGGTGGGGGGGGGGAAAGAAGTGCCCCAAAAAGTGGGTTATCAAAAGACACTTGAAATGGATATACAAAATGAGTACATAAAATGGGTCCACATGGGCATTTAGAACCTGAACGTTTAGGCTTTCCCATTTTGTTCCACAAATTGTATATACAAAAAATAGAATTTGAGATGCTTGAGACACAAGATTGTGGCATGTAAGATTACAAGATCATAATGCATACAGCTCAGTGGTACATCCGTACGGTGTATGTCTATTCCTACCTGAATAGTATATACACTTAACTAAGTTTTGCAAGCATATACTTATATTGTCGCAAAATAGTGTATGGTGATGTAAAAAAAGAAAAAAAAAAAAAAAAAACAATTGATGCATAGGATGATAATGCATTGTGATTTTTTTTTTTTTTTTTTTTTTTTTTTCTCAACCTTTTACATATTTAACTAAATACATTGATTAGTTATGCGACGAGATATCCAAACAGGTTGTAGTTTTTCCACATTTATATGTAATTGCATAAATGTCTGTTTATGCTTTTTTTGTATGTTCCTATGAACATGTGTACACTTATGGGACACGCATACATATATATATATATATATATATATATATATATATATATATGTATATACGTGTGATACAGAAAAAAATACCAATATAGATGATTTTTCACTGTAATTTCCAAATTTGTATCAGTCCATATGAGTATATAAAAATTATATATCAAAATATGTACACTTTGGACGAAATTTCCCGCTGTGTGTGTGTGTGTTTTTTTTTTTTTTTTCTTATTTTTTTTGGTGTGGCGCATCCCCCGATGCCCAAAATTTATAAAGTTTTACAAATGGTATTCTTTATGATGCCTATGCGTGTTGTATATATGTGAACATGTCATATGTTCAAACAATGAATGCATTATTCCAACACTGCTATGCATGTATGGGAGTGTATATATATATAAACACAAGTATAATGACTTTTTCTGCATTTTTTTTTTTTTTTTTTTAATAAACATTTGACAATTCAGAAAAAAAAAAAAAAAAAAAAAAAAGGCGTTTTACACACGAAAAATTGATAAAATGTTAACATAAAAAATGAAAAAGAGGGGGAGGAAAAAGAGTAAAAATATAAAATAATTAAATGGTAAAATGGTATACAATAAGGTGGTAACAGTCCCTCCCCCTCCTCCTTTGGTTAAATACAAAAATGGAAGACGTGTTTTTTCTGCCCCAAACAGAGAAAAGTATACAAAGCACGCATTATTTACATAACCGTTCGCGGTTAAATGTGAAAAAAAAAAAAAAAAAAAAAAAAAAATCTGTGCTTGTGTTTGTACGTAAGTGCATTCGACACATGTATGCTGAACATTCGGGTTGAACATTCGGGTTGAACATTCGGGTTGAACATTCGGGTTGAACATTCGGGCTGAACATGCGGGCTGAACATGCGGGCTGAACATGCGGGCTGAACATGCGGGCTGAACATGCGGGCTGAACATGCGGGCTGAACATCCGAATTCGTGGAAAGCACAAATAGGAGGGCATAGAAGTATGAGGTATCTCGAAGGTAAGTCAAATTGATATATTCATATGCACACGACAATGGGGGAAAAAACTCAAGTGATTAAATTTTGATTGGTAAATTTATGTCTTATAAATGTGTACAATTCTTTTATTTGCTCCTTGGGATAGTAATGCACATCGTCTGAAATGGTGGAATTAATTATATCATTAAAAATGACGACATTCCTGTATAAGTCTTCAACAAGATTTAGAGAAAATTCTTTATTGTTAAAAATGTACTTAAATAAATAAAATGTGTCTATGATTAAATTTCTTAGATTTATGGTTATAAAACTATTAACATTTTTTATTATATTTTTTTCAATTTTTGTAATTATTTCAACTAGCATGTTGATTACTACTATAATTTTTTTCCCATTTATTTTTATAACATTTACTAAATTTTCCATAATTTCATCTTCATTTTTTGCTTTATCAATATGATACAATTCCTTTTTTTTAAAAAAATTTATATATTCAAAAAAATTTGTTTTCATAAAGTTGTTTATGTTTGCCACCTGTACATACATGTGGAAGTGTTTATTGTATATCTTATCGTAATCTTTTATAAATGAGTTATTAATAAGAGTAGATGAAATTCTCTTGTAAAAATATTCTCCCTTTGAGGAGTAAATATTGGCCAAGTCATCGAGTATGGACTTATTCACCATGTACACGAAATAGCATGCGAATCTATCTTCACCACTCTTACTCTCATCAGTGTTCCTGTTATCTTCAGTATTAGCAACCATGGCTGTATTACTTAAACTGGTTTCATTTCCATTGAAACGTTTCTTCTCTTCTGAATTACTATAATCCTGCTTGAGTAAACTGAATATATTGCCAGTTATAATTTTCTGCATAATGTGGAACTTGATGTATTTGGATATGTCTTTAAAGAAAAAGGAGTAGTAATCCAAATATTCTGAATCGTTAAGATCACTTAACTCGCTATTAATAGAATTCTGTGCTTGTATCCATTCTTCAGGAACAATATCTTCATGTACATTAATGTACGCATTTATTAAGTTTTTATGAAATATATAATCATTGTATATATTATTTCTTGGTGCTTTTGTTCTACAATTTTCAAAATATAAAGCAAATTTAATGCAATTTTCTATATCGTCTGTAAAATAAAATTTCTTCATAAGCATATATGCAACTTTTGTTTTGAAAATGTATTCATATCTGAAATCGTTATAAAGACATGAATTGTTAAAAAAATTTTCAAGAATAATATAATCATTATATGAGTTTATAATTCTGTCAAACAGAGTGTTATACAATAAAATAGGCATTTGAAACATGACAAATAAATTATTTTTTATATGATTTAAATATACAAATGCTATTTCTATTTCATTAAAATTTATTAAATGCGAAATGTTTTTTAATTGCATATTTATATAATATAACAAATTTTTATCGCATATTTTCTTTAAAATATTAATTTTATCATTCTTTGCGTTTCCACCACAATTGCTATTCAAATGGTTGCTTAATTTTCTTAGTTCATTATTTATTTTGTTTGATCCATCTATCATAGATTTTGTGCCATTTTCAATTCCCATTGAAGAACCTGGGCGACGACCATCACTTAAGTTCGAAGGATTTATACTTACATTATTACAAGTGTTGCTCTTTCTTGTTTCATTTTCTTTATCTACTGAAAAATAATTGTAATGCTTTAACATTGCTATTAGATTTACATACAAATATTCATACTTTTCTGTTTTAAAAATTTTATACTTCTTCAAAACATTCAGTATATCGTTTTTTAAAATCAATTCAAGTAATATACATTCACATGCACTCAGTTTTTTTATTCTTATATGTGATGGAAGTAACAATTTGTTTTTTCTTTTCTTTCCTTTTGATAGATAAATATATTTTTCCTTTATGTGTGCGTTAAATGGTTCTTCTTTGAAACTGTTGTCCATAACGTCAGATACATCACTGCTGTTCGAGTTCAGAATATCAATCAGGCTGTTCTCTTTGTAGTTACTCTTTTTCTTCTTTGTCTTTCCTTTCCCCTCCGAGTGTCTTCTCAGCCCACGTTTACTCCGACATCCCTTGCGATGTTTTCTACGATTTCTATTTTTGCTTAACCTATTATTGTTATTGTTATTGTCACTACAGTTATCACCATTTCTGTCACTATCCTTGTCGATATCTTGGCCATTATCCTTGTCGCTATCTTGGCCACTATCCTTGTCGCTATCTTGGCCACTATCCTTGTCGCTATCTTGACCACTATCCTCGTCGCTATCTTGACCACTATCCTCATCGCTATCCTCATCACTATCCTCATCACTATCCTCGTCACTATATTGATCGCTATTCTCATTGCTGTCTTCAGTACTGTTATTCCCGTCACGGCTACCACTTCGACACGTGCTTTCATGGTCTACTTGCCTCTCTTGATATCCATTCTTTTCTCTGTTGCTATCATCACAGTATTCTGCTTTCTGTCCTTCTTTTGCTTTATCCTTATTAAACAAACAATTATCAGACTCCTGCGATGAGTCTATCCGTTGTTGATGCTTATAACTTTCTGCTGAATTGTGATTTTCTTCCTCCTTCTGAGGTGATTTATTTTCATTATGAATGGAACTATGAGTGGCCCCGTAATCTCCCTTTGTCTCTGCTTCTCTCATGTATAGAGGGGTCTTATTTTTTTGCTTCATTTTCATCTTTGTAGTGTTATTCGTAGTTTTAATTTTATACTGCGTTTCTCCATTGATTTCAGAACATTTATAATTAAATGACTTGTAATTTTTGTATAAATTCATATAATAGTTCAAATAGGAAGGGTATATTTTATTTGTGTACATAAAATTTTGAAAGTTTTTTTTTACATCTAGGGTATTTTTTTGATACCAAAAATGATAGATATTAAAAGCTTCGAAGAGAGATAATTTAGCATTTTTTAAAACATATAAATTTTCAGCTGATAGAAATAAAACACTTTCGTATATACAACAATTTCTATCTAGCTTTTTTAATAATTTTCTGGATAATAAATGTATTTCTTCAAATAAATTAAAATTGTATGTTTCATCAAATTCATTTTTAATTCTCATAATTTTGTTACAATATTTATTAATTTTTTCATTATGCGGATAAAATAAAATAACCTTTTCTGCCCAATAATTTAAATGAAAATTTAAAACACATAAAAATAAATTCTTTCTAAGATCATTTAAATCGATAATATCTTTATCTAAATCTACTTCTATATCATCAAAAGATATTTTTTTATTATACTCTACAATTCTATCCATACTTTTTTTATCTGTCACTATGATGTTTTCTTTTTTTATACCTTTCATTTCTTTTAATTCATTTGTCAAAATATGACTACTGTTTGCATCATCTTGCACTTCATGCATTAGATAATTATTCAATCTTAATTTTTCATAATTAGATAGTTCATCTTCTCTTTCTCTCACCATCCTATTGATTTGATTATTACAAAACATGTTTTCCTTATGCTTCATAGAAACTAGGTATTGTGACTGTGATTCTTTCATTGTGTCATTATTTTTCTCATCAGTTGTGTTATTCATTTCTATCGATACCTGATTGTTTGAAATATTGTTATGATAAAAATTTGTGTCATTATTATTGTTGTTAATAAAGTTTGAATTTTTATTTACTTCATTTGACACCATTTGCATGGAACTAGTATTATTTTTATCGTTCAATGAACTAGTCCCAAAATTAAAAATGTTATTTTTAAATGGACTACTAGTTTCTTCATTATTCCACAAGGATACATTTTTCCCATTTAATACATCCTTTTCTATTAAATTATTACCACTTGAATTTATATTTTTTTCATTTAAAGATGCACTTAAAACATCCTTACTTGGGATATTATCAAATTTTAATGTGTTCAAAATATTTTTTGTATCATTTAATGCATTCCCTACTTTACTTTTTTTAAAAAATAGACTCTCATCACCAATACGATCATCATTTTTACACTCATCAATATGGTGCACATTGTGTTCACCTAGCACATTCAATTTATGCATACTACTTTGACAATTCTTAGAGGTTCCAATCCATTGATCATTTTCTCCCATAAAACTCCTCTCCTTCAAAGTGCTAGCTCCAAATAATTCATCCTTTTCATCCATATCGATGTTCCTCCTTCTCTTTCTATTTTTTACATCATCATAATTTATGTGTTCACTTAGTTTGGGTTCGTTCAAGTTTCCAATGCTGAATTGGTTGTTGTTGTTGTTGTTAGGACTATTATTCGAAAGTGGATTATCAGAAAACAGATTATTGGAAAGAAAATTATTCGGACGTGAATTTGTGCCACCACTTCCATCAATAAAGTTACTCTTGGAGCCAAAGTTTGTGGGGTTCAACATAAACATATTGGAACTCTCAGATTGTGCGAGACCATTTTCGTTTTGTTTATTATTTTCATTAATAGAAAAAATGGAGGTTTTGCTTTTTTCTTCTTTGCTGTGCAATTCGTTAAAGGAAGAAGTTTTGCTAGGAAAACCAAAAAGAGGGGTAGAACTTCTATCTTCTTTATTCTCTTGAGAATGAAAGGAAAAAATAGAACTCTTTTTTTCATCCACTTTTTTATTACCAAAGTGGAATAATGATGAATCAGCAGTGTCCTCCTCTTTCTCCCCCTTTGTTTCTTTATTCGTTAAAGAAGTCTTGCTAAAAATTAAATTTCCAAATCCTTTAAATGTATCTTTTACATTTTCTGTATCTATTTTGTTATTTCCCTTATCTTTCTCTGTTATATAATTTTTCTCTTCATTTTTTAGATCATTCTTTTCTTCGTTTTTAACATTTTGGATTCCAAAAGTGTTTGTTTCTTTTTGCTTCTCTTCAACTGCCGTGCTTTTGTTTTTTTCCTCATTCATATTTGTACTCAGGACAAACAAATCTGTCTTCAAATCTGTCTTCAAATCTGTCTTCAAATCTGTCTTCAAATCTGATTTCAAATCTGATTTCAAATCTGTCTTCAAATCTAATTTCAAATCTGTCTTCAAATCTGTCTTCAAATCTGTCTCCACGATGGTCTTGCCATTGTTGTTACTACCTGTCAACGTCTTCAATGATGGGCTATCCTTATTATCGTCCCTACTCACATTCTCTGCAGTGACAACTGTTGCAACGTTCGATGTAGAATCAACATCCGCTTTGTTTTCCAGACTTTTTAATAAATTCCCAGAGGATTCAGATATGGATCCTTTTGTGTCACCCCAATTAACCTGATTTGTGTTAGTTCCAATATTGCTATTACTATCTTTGTTCAAAGAAAAAAGGGAATTCGTGTTAACACCCGATAAGACAGAGGAGGTAGACGTGGAAGTGGTAGTAGTTATTGGCTTATTATCACTACCCGTTGAGGAGTTGTTAAAATTAAATGTATTAACCTTGCTGTCATTTTTATTACTGAACAGGTTATTATTCGACATAGATGTTGTTGATGAGAATAACTCGGTTGAATTATTCATATCTGGAGCATTCATTTTATTATTTGAAAATAGTGATAACATATTGTTTTTCGCTGTTTTTCTTTTTCTCTCTTCTAAAGTTAATTTTTTTACAGGGATACATAAATTCGAATTGTTGTTATTTGTATCATTTTTATTATCATCAGTTGAACTAAAAAAAGGATTATTTCCAAAGGTGTTGTTATTACTGTTTGAATTTACACATGTCTGATTATGTACAAAAATATTATTTGTGCTACTGTGAAACGGATTAACCATACTATTTCCAAACAAATTATTATTACTCAGGTTTCCAAAAGTTATCGAATTATTTTTCTGTTCAATTCTATTTGATGCTGCTGCATTGAATATAACTTTATTTGTCATTTGATTGTTCTCTTGATTAAACATATTGTTTATTTTGTTTTTATTACTATCAGATACGTTTTCCATAACCCCTCCTGTGTCTATACCAGTTGTTGTTGTTCGAGACCCGATGCCAAAAATATTATTGTTACTGTTAGAATTTGCAGTATTAAACAAATTACCACTGCTCACATTTGACGTATTATTAGTGCCAGATGTGTTAGAACCATCCATATTCCCGTTAATTTTGTTTTGTCCAAATATAACCTTGAGCGGTTTATCTTGGCTGTTTAATAAACTATCTTTGTTCATATATGTTGAGCTAAATATATTATTTTCTTGATTTAGCGTGTTATTAGTTGTTAGTAGTGTACTGTTCTTTACTCTTTTGGAAAATAATGGTTTCTTATTAACTGTAAATTTAGGACCCGTGTCATTGGATAATTTTAAGTCTTTAAATAATTCCTTAGAACCATTTTCACTATTAAAAAAATTCGCTAAATTGTTTGTATTCTGTGTTGTGTTTATCGACTGAAATGGTGACATATTTGAATTCATTTGAGACATGTTACTCCCAATTTTCAAACTTGCACTATTTGACAAACTGGATCCAAAGGTTATGCCTCCACTATTGCTGCTCGTGCTGTTACTCCCGAGATTTACATTATTTAGTCCAAGATTCCTGCTCAGATTCCTATCAACATTCCCTCCAATACCGACACCGCTATTGACACCGCTATTACCTCCAATACTGCTGGGAAAAATAGTTGATGATTTACTAAATGGGCTCTGATTCGTGCTGCTGTTAAGTTGTGTTCCAAAAATGTTAGCTTGGCCTGATGCCGATACCGAGTTGCTACTATTGAAAATGTTTTCATTCGTCTTAGAACCACCAAAAAGACTTTCCTTTTGTTGACCTAAGCCATTTTGGAAACCTGAACTCGGTTTTAATAACACATTATTAGTGTTATTGTTCATCAAATTTCCACTGCTTTCTCCAGTTGTGCTGTTAAGCACACCAAATGTTCTCATACCCGTAGCATTAGCACTCCAACTCCCACCTGACAACGGAGAAAAGGACGACGACTCTCCTTTATTCTTCTGATTAATGAAAGAGATAGATGTCTTTGTGGTGGAAGAACCTAACTGAAACTTGTCTTTATCTGTATTCCCTATTTGGTTATTACTGCCAAAGGAAAAAACATTTTTATTTTGATTCATTACAGCAGCATTTCCAAAGAGATTAGTACTTGGAGTACTTTTGTCGAAACCAAAAATTCGGTTGTTGCTGCTTCCAGATAAATTCATACTTGACGTGTTAGATGTGGTACTATTTTGGGAACCAAAAATGCTAGATGTTTTATTCGATGAATTGTTTAACAAATTGATGGAAATGTTGTTATTATTTGGGGTGATCAAGTTGCTGCCGCTGCTGTTGTTACCACTGCTGTTGTTACCACTGCTGTTGTTACCACTATTGTTGTTACCACTGCTGCCGTTGCTTAGGAAGCTGCTCATTCCGAATATATTTCCCGTGAGCGCATTGTTTGCACTCGAGTTGGTCCCACTAGCATTTGAAACACCTTGCGTGTTCAGACTAGTAGTAAATGCACCAGAATTTTTTTGTGCATCACTATTACTTAAACTATGCGTAATCGAACTCTTGTTAATAGAAGAGCCATTAATAGAGGTTCCATTAATGGAGCTCCCTCCCCCTCCAAAAAGAGACGCTGGAGCAGTAGTGTTACTGGATAGACTGTTAGTGCTTTTCCTAAACAGACTATTTTCATTATTCTTGTTGCTACTAAATATGTTATTACTTTGATCAAATCCTTTAAATGGGTTATTGAAATTGTTCCCTGGTGTGGTAGTACCAATATTACTTATGCTATTCGCGTTTGCAGAGTTTGCAAAGTGACTAAAACTATTCATTTTATTCATATTTTCAATATTTGTTAATTTGTTCTTATTTTCTAAATTTGTAATATCGGAGAATCCACCACCCACTTGTCTACACCTGTTTTTAAGATTAGGGTAATCTAAAACACCATTCTCAAAGTAGTGACTATGATTATTATGCCCGTCATCATTGTTTTCATCATTCTGGGTATAATTACTTGCAATGTTACTTGCAACGTTACTTGCAATATTGTTATTGTGCTTATCTGCAGCGATGCATCCCCCAAGTCCAATAATGTGACTATTACTGCCACTCATATGATGTGTATTTTTCTTTCTCTTCTTCTTTGCGTGAGAAATGTTGAAAATTTTTGGATGCAAGTTAATAAACATTTCTAACTGCTCATTTATATTATTAATGCATTTTTTTATTTCTAATTTATTATTCATATAATTTAAAAACCATATGAAAACATTATATCTGGCATACTCTGATGAGTACCAATATTTATGTATAATAAAATTCGTGATATGATAAAATATTTCGATATTATTGAATTTTTTTTTTTCATTAAATAATATATTTTTAAATTCTATTATATAATAATTCCTTTGATTCACATTTTGTAAATTCTTATGTTTGGAATCTTCTCTTCTCCTCCTTCTCACTCCACCTCCTCCACCTGCATCTTTTTCTTCCTCGTATTTGTTGTGGTGTCTACGACTGATTGTGGCTATTTCTTCTTTGTTCATTTCATTATACTCATTATCTCCATAATCTGAAGAATATGCAGCTGCAGATGTGGTGCGAGACCTTTTTTTAGATTCTTTCTTCACATGTGTTGCTTTCTTTCCATTAGTATTATTTCTTTCGTTTCGTTGCTTATCTTCTCCTACCCTTTCTACTCCTTGTACGTTTTCTGTAGCGTTGGCCATTTCAGCTGACTTGTCTTCTTCTTCTTCTTCTTCCTCCTCTCCTTCCAAATGGCTCAAAGTTTTTATATTCACATGTTTCTTATTATGGAAGAAGTCAAAAAGTAAACAAACAATTACCAAAATTTTTCGATAATATAAATTTTCACAATCTAATTTTCTAATCATTAAATTTTGTACTTTTCTCAACATTTCCTCTACATTATATTCAACAATTAATTTATCTATATTTTTTTTATTTGCATTTGCATTATTATTTGTAGGTTTTCCATGATCCCCTGCAATGTATAACTTTTCATTATATAAACAAATTCTATAAAAATGCATATACCATTTGCTCTTAAAATTTAATGCATGACTTTCGATATTCAAAATGTTCTCAAAATAGTTCAACAAATTATCCTTATAATTTGACACAACCATACATCTTGGTTTATTCTTCCTAGGCGTGGAATATATTTGATCGTATATTATTTCTTTGTCGTATGTATTTTCGCTTCTCTTACCATTCCTCTCGTTTTTGTCATCACGCTCGTATCTGTCATTTCGATCACATCTATCATATCTATCATCGTAATTTTTTCTTTTTTTCCCGCGTGATGTCATCTCGTTTGTACTGGTTACTTATGTGATAGAGAATTATAAATAAAATAAGAATAAAAATAAAACACACTTCTGAGATATCCCTTTGAGCATAATTTTTTCTCCTCTTCTTGATACATAAAATTTAGTGAAGTTCTCTTACTGTGATATGTCATATGTACACATGGCTACGTACAATTATAAGTGGATGGATGGGGAGCAAAAATAAAAAAAAAATAAAATAAAATAAGGTACATACATATATAACACAAAATGCCTAAGAAATAATTGAAATATTTTTATTATTTTATTTTCTGCTTTCTTTCTATAAGTGGCCCACATTAATGTTATATTTTTGATGCTCCCTTCCCGTTTTGTCCTACTTTGTTAATTTTACATAATTGGTATATTTATAAAAAAAAAACATCATTCGATAGGATAAAACGAAATTATCATGTGTATATATATGTGTGGATTGTTTTTTCAGCGCATGCCGCTCTTCATCACTGGTGCTGTTCTCCTTTTAGCAAATATGGGGAACTGGTTCCCACGCTGTATCAAACGTCCAGATGTGTGTATGTACATATATATACATACATATGATATATATATGCGTTATGTACATGAGTCCATGCGTCGAACAAGCTCGTCAGAATAAAAATAAACAAATAAATGGGATGTAACTTTGTTCAAAATTTATTTTTTCTTTTTAATATTTTCCATATCTTTTTATCATTCTGGATGCATAAAAACAGTTGAGGAATATGCTTAATTCGAAAATTCCTTCGTCTAAGAAATATTTAATTCGAAGATTGTTTCCCCTGAGAAATGTTTAATTCAAAAAAACGTACTCCTGAGAAATGTTTAATTCAAAAAAAGGTACTCCTGAGAAATGTTTAATTCAAAAAAAGGTACTCCTGAGAAATGTTTAATTCAAAAAAAGGTACTCCTGAGAAATATTTAATTCGAAAAAAGCTTCTCCTAAGAAATATTTAATTCGAAAAAAGCTTCTCCTAAGAAATATTTAATTCGAAAAAAGCTTCTCCTAAGAAATATTTAATTCGAAAAAAACTTCGCCTGAGAAATAGTTAATTCGAAAAAAACTTGATTTCCCTTATGTCATGGCGCACATAAAACAATGTAGGCATAACAAGTACCATTAAAGTGCATAAATGTAAAAATATAAAGTGGTTTATGCATATATTCAAAATAAGTTACGTAAGCATTTCACTCGGTGAGATTATACATGTGTATATATACGAATAGTGAGCGCATAAGTATATTATATATACATATATATATATATATATATATATATATATATATATATGTATACATATGTATATTTATACAGGCGTAAAAACCATGTGTACTAGGATGCATAAACATATATATATATTTAACAGAAGCTTATGCTTATGGCCGTACTCTAATGTTGTACAAGTTTTGTGATTTATTTCAATGCAGAAAAAAAGAAAAAAAAAGAAAAAAAAAGAAAAAAAAAGAAAAAAAAGGAAAAATTACAAAACTGCGAAATAATTATACGGAAAAAAATAAAAAATAAATTTACACGTAAAAAAAAAAAAAAAAAAAAATGTTTAACATGCTGCTTTTTGTATGATATTATTATTTTATATACACAACATGCGCAAGCAAAATTCGTGTGTTTTAAATACTGTCCCTTGGGAATTTATATTTGTGTATAAGTACATGTATTTATATGCATTCACTTATGCGTATTCATATAATTTGCATTCACATACATGCGTGTGTTCATATATATATGTATCTATTACTACTTATGTATATAAACACGAACAAATGTAAGTAATACATACGTATACATATTTTCTTGCTGCCAACTAATGATCCAAATTGTTTATTGACAGGTTAATTGGGGGCTTAAACGCACTTTCATTATTTCCCCTATGTCATGTTGCAAATTTCCGTTATATATGTGCACACTTAAAAATGATTGGAAAGTATATATAAAAAAAAGGTATTTTTGTGTGCGCAAGAAATTTAATCTCTTTTTTTTCTGCTTTATGAAGGTATGGATCGAAGGTATATAATAAGTGCTATCAAGCGTTGCATTTAGGCATAAAAAAGGAAGCAAAATAGTATGTGCGTATAATTATGTACATATGTAGTATGTACATATGTAGTATGTATATATGTAATATGTATGCAATGTACGTATGTATGCAATGCATATATATATGCACATATATATACACTGTAAGGACTTGTTCTTTTTGAAACAAATGAAATTTTTTTTTTTTTTTTTTGATAATATTAAGGGTCAAAATGCTCATATGGAAATAAAACGTTATCGAGGGGAAAAAAAACAAAAAACAAATGCACGTAAAAATGTTAACTCCTGATGGAATGTGTAAAAATGAGAGTTGCTTCATTAATTATTATTATGCGTGTCTGTGTGCACATATGGATTAATGTGCAATTGCTAGAAAATAATGTTCCTTTGAAAATACAGGCAACCAAAGTAGAAGGGAAAAAATAAAATAAAATAACGTGCAAAAAGAAAAAAAAAAAAAAAAAAAAAAAAAAAAGCTTAAGAACAAGAACGTTTTGCAGATATGTAGGGAAATGACATGGATGATTTTATCCCAACATGTAGATATTTTTTTTTTTTTTTTTTTTGCTATAGAATTTGTTCATTTAAGAAAAACACATTGCAAAATGTATAACCCATCTCCAATAGGAAGTTGTGGTTTACCTTGTGTTCGTTTCATAAAAGAAGAAATTAAATAGTCAAACCCTTCACATAAACGTACAATGGCAAGTGCTCAATTTAAAGCATATGTTGACAAACCACCAGGTCAAAACGAATTAAAGAAAGAAAGTTCTCTAAAAAAATTATCTCTCATTTGTTGATTTGTCTGCTTGTTGATTCGATGGCTCGTTGGTTCCTTGGTGGTTTTTTTTTTTTTTTCCTGGGTTTACCACTTAACACTTCAAATTAGCTATCTTTTTTTAAGGAAAAAAAAAAAAAACTCACTGAGAACACACTGAATGTTCTCTTCTTCATAAATAGAAATATGCAACATTCATTATTCAACATTCTATAAATGTTAAAATGTATGTTGTCTGAAATTAGGTGATAACAAGGACAAATTGTGGAATAATATATGTGCAAATATTGTCATGCATCCATTTATGTGCTCGTGTCTACCATCGTATTATTATTAGCCTTTTTTTTTTTTTTTTTTTTTTTTTAATAAGAAGGTTTTCTATTTTCTTTTTATGTCATCTATTTTTTTCCTACCATTTTATGAAAAAAAAATAAAAAGGAGTGTTCACTAAGGTACAATTAAATGACATATAGATATGGTAGTGTGAAAATGCAACCATCTTACATGTTTTCATCATGTACCAAGTTAAAGAAAAAAAAAAAAAAAAAAAAAAAAGGCAATAGCAAAAATAAAATCAATCATATTTGCATAATAATTTTATTCTTTTTCTGACGAATTCATAGTATACTCTTAAATGGCGTTTTTCTCATTACAACCCACGAGTAAACAATAATTTATGTAGGAAAATTTAGAATAACTGTGAGCATATTTGACCTACGTTTTAAAGTCTTTCTTCAAATAATTATTCAAAAGTGGAAATGAGACAAACATAGGTTTTTTTTTTTTTTTTTCCTTTATTCCGCCTAACATTAATCCCACATTTCTGTAGGAAAATTCTTCATAAAATGGAACCTCAAAATAATTGTTCAATAAATATATGTACGCACTGAACTGAGGATTTCACATATTGACACACCCCTAAGATTTGTCTCCTTTCTCTCATCTATACAGGTTGTGGAAAATCAAACAAGCAAATTACCTGTACCCCTCACATGTATCAAAAAAGTGTTGGTGTAAATATAAGGTGCAACTCCTTCACAATGGCGATAATAGGAATATATTCTTTTTCGTAAAATATGCATAATATAATTTTTGCAACATTTATATGGAGTTAACGGGTAAAACAAAAAAGGAAAGAAAAAGAAAAAAAGGTACAAGTTTTTTTTTTTTTTTTTTCTCCTTTTCTTTTATTTTTTTGGTGTATCTTTTGAAAATAACTATAATTGTGTGTACCTCTTAACCACACAGCATAGTTTAGAAATGATAAAATGATACAAACAAAACAAAAACCGTTATCATGTTAGTGTCAACTTACCTAAATAGGGTTATAAGGTTCCATTATGTGTTACCTTTTGTCATTATAGAAATACTTGAAAACGCACATTTGAAAAATGAAGACTTGTTCAAGGACAAGCATGTATATCATAAAATGATTTTTCGCGGACATTTTATTTTTCTCTATTTTTGCTCTATTTTCGTTCTATTTTCGCTCTATTTTCGCTCTATTTTTGCTCTATTTTCGCTCTATTTTTGCTCTATTTTTGCTCTATTTTTGCTCTATTTTTGCTCTATTTTTGCTCTATTTTTATTCTATTTTCACCGTATTTCCATTCTGTTCTTTTTTTCTTTTTTTTTTCTGCGCATCATTTTGTAATAACTTACAATTTATGAAAAGGGCTATTTTGAATTTGTTCTTTTGGTAAATGCGAAAGGTTTCACACTATTTCATTCCTTCAATTGTTGTAGATCTATATTTAGTTTTTTTTTTTTTTTTTTTTTTTTTTTCAAAGCTCATATTGAATTACATTATTACGTACTTTTTTTTTTACATCTTATTTGAAAAGGTTTTTGGCACTTGGCCTGATCAATAACAGGACAGGGAATTGATGTAAAGATTCATGGATAAGCAAGAGAGCTATTTTGAAGTTGTGTAAATGTTCATCTTGAAGAGAAGTTTACTAGTAGCATATATAATAGTCCACGTTCATATACATACGAGATAACTATGGGAGGTGGAGTGAGAATGAAAAAGAAGGTTATAATTTTGCTCTTGTTAAGTATCTGTCTTCCCTGGTCAGGGAAAAGCAGGAAAGAATCTGTAAAACTTCTTAACTTCATCGGAAGAAAAAGCAATCAGAGTGTAGGAAAAAGAAATGATAGCAAACTTTTTATGAATGAGAATAGAACAATACTAGTAGGTAAGGATGTAGAAACAGTTACATTAAGTGAACAAAATTATAAAAAGGAACTAAAAAATGTAAAAGTAAAAAGAAATATAAGTGAAGCATTACATATGGCAACTTATGAAGAAATGAAAAGAGATAAAAGTGTATATGTACTTGGAGAAGATGTAGGGTTATATGGTGGATCATATAAGGTAACAAAAAATTTGGCACATTTTTTTGGATTTGCTAGAGTATTAGATACACCAATATGTGAAAATTCTTTTATGGGATTAGGTATAGGTTCATCAATAAATGGGTTAAGACCAATTATTGAAGGAATGAATTTATCTTTTCTAATTTTAGCGTTTAATCAGATTTCCAATAATGCATGTATGTTAAGATATATGTGCGATGGACAATTCAATATACCTATTGTAATTAGAGGACCAGGAGGAGTAGGAAAACAACTGGGCCCAGAACATTCGCAAAGAATAGAATCATATTTAATGAGTATCCCAGGAATTAAAATCGTTTCTTGTTCCACTCCATTTAATGCTAGGGGGTTACTAAAATCAGCAATCCGAGATAATAATCCAATTTTATTTTTAGAACATGTTTTATTGTATAATGTAGAAGAAGAAATACCACTTTTACCATATACATTACCGATTGATAAAGCAGAAGTAGTAAGAAAAGGGAATGATTTAACAATTTTATGCTATGGTATTACTAGGCATATAGCTATAGAAGCTGCTGAAGAGCTTGAGAGTATAAATATCCATGTTGAAATAATTGATCTCATATCATTGAAGCCATTTGATTTAGAAACTATTGGAAATTCTTTAAAGAAAACAAAAAAATGCTTAATTCTTGATGAATCAGCTGGGTTTGGAGGAATTGCTGCTGAGTTATACACGCAGGTTATTGAAAACTTTTCTCCTTACTTGAAGAGGCAGCCTGTTCGTTTATGTACCAAAGATGTACCCATAGCATATTCCAGTAAATTTGAAGAGGCGTGTATTGTTAAGAAGGAGGATGTTGTTTATATGTCTACTTATTTACACACCTAGTACTATGCGAAGCTGGCAACACGTGCAAAATGTGCAACATTTGAAATGCATGCAATATTTGCAATATGTGCTATTATATTTTAATATCCCCTTAGATAAATAGGATATAGAAAGAGGGGATATGCGAAACGTGGTACTGTTATAACGTGCTATATAAGTGTGAACCCCGAGATCTACTAACAAATGGATAAGAGTTACTTCCTTTTAAAAAAGAAGTAAATCCTTCAAAAAATAAACAATTCATATTTTATTTTATTTTATTTTTTTAAGTCATCCTTAAAGGGGGATAGAAATGAACATGATTAGTTAAACGGAAGACGTGCTCTGTATAGTTATACAAGATTTATAACAAATTATAGAAAAAAAAACAAAAAGTAAAGTAAAAAAAATATATGAGCATGTGTGTATGTACGTGTCTACATAATCCATGTTTATGCATCATCCAGGATACATAAATATACCTTTGTCTCTTATTTATTCTAATAGTTAGCACATAAGCAACCTTGTTTTAATAATCAAAATAGTACAGCGCTTATCCATCCCACAAAACTAGGGAAGCGAAGTAAACCTGTTCGATTGAAAAAAAAAAAAAAAAAAAACAAAAAAAAAAAGTTGCAAAATTGGACAATGGTAAAATGACAAATATATTTATGTACATATGACCAGAGGAGAAGTCACATAAATACATGTGCTACACGTTAAAAAAAAAAAAAAAAAAAAAAAAGAAAAAAGAAAAAAGGAAACTAAGAAAAAAAAGAAAAGAAATAAAAGAGACAAAAGTAGCAAAAGAGACAATAAGTACAAAAGGGACAAACGGGGAGAAAAGCACTGCTGAACATTTGTTGTGTCAAGTAAAATTACGATATGATGTTTTTTTTTTTTTTTTACTTCACTGCGAGCAATATACTAAAAAGGTATCGAAAATAGACTAGTCAATACAAATGTTATGGCATAAGATTTTTCACGGTTCATGGGGGAAAAAATATATAACCCCTGAAAACCCTGAACAGCAGTTCAAAACATTATGCATTTCATTATAGTGTTTCTATTCAACAAGAAAAAAACTTCAAAAGGACATAACACAACTATGTGTGCATGGCCTTCTGTTAAAAACATTATAGCTTTCCTGCTTATGATTTTCGGTTTTAAATGCAATTTTTACAAATATTTGTCTCTGTCCCCTTGTACACTAATTTTTTTTTTTTTTTTTTTTTTTTTTTTTTTTCATGGTGTGTGTGTATTATCAATTAGGATATCATCAGAAAATTTGTCCGGGGTGGAAGAAATCTCACATGAGCATCCAAATTGTACAAGTAAATATGTATAGAAGTCTACTTCTCAACATCTTCATCCAGAAAGCATATTATACCTCAAGTAATAAATTCTTTATAAGGCATTAAACACTACTATTCTGTCGTGAAATGAGGGGAGTGTGCATTTCATGTTATGCGAAAAAAAAAAAATTCTCAACATTTAACCTCTTGTTTTTTTATCATCCTCACAAAACGTTAGCTTGCATAATTATTTGTGCCACAGAAATGATAAAAGCAAATTGTGCTTTTTCTTATTCTATTTTTTGACCATTTCAAACTTACATGAATGTGTCTACACTGGGGCTCCGAAGCAATCATCCTTATGCTACATTTGATTGGGTTTCTCCTTCACATGGTATATCATGAGGTGTGCACTTTTTCAAAATCCATATGTTTAACTTGATTTGATAATACACTTCAGTATTCCACTTTCAGCCTGCCCTTAAATATACTTCTTTCCATAGTGCGAAATTATAGGACATCCCACTGCCATGCATGATAAATAATTCTGATCAGTGTCTTCTGTTGGATTTAAAATTAAAATAGGAAAATTAGAACTGTCATGAGGCCTCTGTTTGTCATCTAGCATATCCAAAAATTGATCACTCGTTTTGACAATATATAGTGGTGTTATATTCAAAGATAAGTTGTCATGCAATAATGAAAAGTACAAAATATTACCCCTATATCTAAATATATAAAGAACACAACACCATACAATTAATTCAAAGGCATATTCAATTAGTGTTACAGTACCAGTTAAAAAGTTGAACACGGTTTTTAACAAGTGTAACAAAATTTCAAAGCTGAAAAAAGCAATAATGATTAGTAAATAAGATTTATACATATTCAATTTGATTTTAATCGATTCTTCCCATGTATCCATTATTCCTATACTTCTAACAAAAGATAGTTTTAATTTTAAAAAGTTCAAAATGGATATAATATTACTAGTAAGGAAAAGTAATAAACTCATATTAATAAATATCAATATAGGTGTATCACTAATAATATTTAACTGGTTAAATGATGTCAATATGTATATACTACTGATCATTAGCGTTAATGATAAATTTTCTCTTTTGTTAAATTGTCCTCTTGTAATCATAAACCCCTTACTAATCAAAATCAAATTTCCATAAAATATCGTAATGAACATGGTATTCAATGCCATATAACCCAATATGGTATATTCTACATATGGAGTATTATTATAGGGATATTGTAACATGCAAAATAGTAACAACATTACATATGAGGCCAGACGAATAATGGAAGGGGATAACATTAATCTGTATAATGGGTTCAACATCTGTCCCCATATATTCTGGACATGTAAAATATATACTATAGTTATTAATAACCATGCAGGTATGAAAAATAGCATTAAAGCCCATTTTATTGTATTAAATTTTTTGCAATTATAATTATACACTTCTGGTGGAGTTCTATGTTCCATATATACTGAAAAGTTATTTCCTCCTTTCATCTCTTTGTTCATATTATTTATTAATATTTTTTCTGTTTCTGTTATATCTAAATTATGATTTGTATTATTCATAAAAAGGTTTTTGTATAATTCCGAATCGGATGTTACCTCAAAAATGTAACTCTTATTATTGTAATTTTTTATCAGGAAGTAGTGGTACCTCTTGTCTGAGCCTGCATACGTGCTGATAATAAAGTTGGAGTTATTCCCATTGATTTGCCTTGATAGTCCATTCGTTTTATTATGAGATTTTCCATTTGTTCTTAGTTTTTCCATCTTCTCATCCTTTTCATCATCATTTACAGAGTAACTTTTTCGTACAGTAGACGACATTCTATCTTGATAATTCCCTTGATGCTTTAACTTCTCACTACTGAATAACTCCCTATATATTCTAAACATGATAAGCATGTGTGGTATAAAGCAGTAAAAACTTTTTAAATCTCTCAAATGTGCATATTTTTTAATGAACCTTATTCTTGTGTGGACTGCTGCACTGAGGTGATCATTTGGCATTTTGTAACAACCTCCTTTTTTTCTGTTCTTTTTTCCATTATAATTCGTTTTTCCTTGTAACATTTTATCTTGCATCTCTTGGATACACTCCTTCATATGTTCTTTTATAAAGGACTTTTTTCTTGCTTTGTTTTTTTTATGCAATAAATTATTTCCCTTAAATGTATCATCACTACTATCCATGTCAATTTTACATATTTTTAAAAAAGCGTTTTTAAAATAGTCTATGCAATTGTTACCATAGTTATAGTGACACATGTCCGATTTTATATTTAAACTTGTCAAATGGTGTGAAATATATCCATCATACTCTTCATACATTTTGGCATTACTTTCTATCTCCTCAGATGGATGCATAAAACTACATGTATACAATGGGACCTTAAGAGGTGCATAATATTCTGTCATATTTCGTATATAAGTCTTTTCTCCATCCATTATGTAGGAAATAGTGAGATATGTCGTTTCTCTTTTTAAATAATCGAATATGAGCATATCCCTTTTGTTAAGAAGTTGTTCCTTATTTGTTTTGTCACCAATTTTTTTGTATATATCCTTTTCAATAATACTTTTGTTGCTATAATAATGTTCCAGAAAGGAGATGAATTGGGCTTTTTTTTTCTTCTTCTCAGAATTTTCTGAACTCCTTTCTGAGATGCATAGAGAATATGTCTTCTCATTGAGACCTCCCACTGGGATAAGTTCATTAAAATGCATTTTAAATTGAATATATTTCTTCATAACATTTAGAAAGGTGAAATTGTTACTCAGCACCTTTTTCTTTATGCAATATACATAATTCTGTTTTGTATGAAAAACAATGTCATTTTTGCCCTCATACTCTTTAGAGTAGAAATTTTTTTCTGTTATATAATTATCTATTATTTCAATATTTTTCTTTTCTTTCCCTCTTTTTCTTTGTTTCTTCTTTTTTCGCTTAATATTTTTCGAATGATTCATCATATCGTTCTTACACTTGTTCTTGGAGTGAAAAAACAGCTGCATCTGCTCAGTGTATTCATATTCTATACTATTTGAAGGAGTAATTTTTTCTTCATAATCTGTATAATACATTTCGGATTTGTTCGCAATATTAATGTTTCTTCTGTGTAAATTCCTCTTTAGGATTCCTTTTAGTAATGGATAAATATCATATTCGTATGTTTCCTGCATTAATTTGAGTCTATTGCTTTGGCATGGGCAACTGAAATTTTTACAATTGTTAGGGATGCTTACACTATTTATATCCATCAAACCTATATGGGGTGAAAATTCTCTTTCTTCACTCTTAATGTTCCACGTGTAGCTACTGCTGTTACTGCTGTTGAGTATTCTGTTCAGTTTTACAAGATTCGACTTTCCTTTAGACATGACCATTCGTTTTGCACTAAAGAAATAATCTGGGATATTAACATTTGATGTATCAGAAGAATTCCAAATTTTGTCGTAACCGATTGTGTACACATTGTCATAAATACTTGATTCATAATTAAAATTGAACATGTGATTCATATATTCAAAATATTTTAATGTTACTGTATTATAATTTTTTTTTAATTGCCTAGTAAGTTTTTCTATCATATCATTATGAATATAATTTTTAGATTTCCCATTTACATAATTCTCATCCTTGTTTTTTATTGGATCATTATAAATAACTATTTCGCTCGGATAGCGAACAAACATACTCCTCTTTCTCTTTCCTTCATTCTGTATATTAATCAAATCTGAGGGAGACTCATAATTTTTATTATTTACATATTCATAAATATATTGCAAATTCTGAAGTACTTGAATGTGTTTATTTTCGTAACAAGGAATGAGAAAAAATCGCATAATTGGATAAAAAATGACAAATTATTAAATAGAACATATGTTAAAAACAGACAAGTAAGCATGTAGAGTGGCAATATAGTATTCATTTTATTCTTTCCCCCGTTTTCGTCTTATATTATTAGTGGATTTATCAGATGGGTGCAAATGTGGGAGAGAAGATTCTGGGTTCATCGATCAGGGTTCAGTGTTCCGTATTCATGCTTTAGTTTTATTTATTCTGTTTTTCTTTTATTATTTGCATCAGTATTTTGATAGCTATACTTCAAATTTATGTTATTATTTTTATTTTTTTTTTTTTTAGCATTTTTTGTATAATATGTGGAGAATATTTAAGCGTGTCTATTTAAAACAGGTGACAAAATTGCCTGCTTGCAAACGAGCGGTAAAGCAGCAGAAAAAAAAAAAAAATACACGTATATATATCTATACATGTATGTATATATATATATATATATATATATATATATGTACCACGGAACGAGCAAGAGGCGATATAAATTTTCATGTAGACATGGGAGAAAAAAAATTATATTCTCCCCCTTGTTGAATTCACATAAATTGAAATGGAATTAAATGAGTAAAGATTATTTTACGAATGTGTTAAAAATATACATACTCAATGTAATTTCAAAAAAAATTTGCGTGCTTAAAATGTGAAGGAAAAAAAAAAAAAAAAAAAAAAAAAAAAAAAAAAAAAAAAAAAAAAAAAAAAAAAAAAAAAAAAAAAAAAAAAAAAAAAAAAAAAAAAGTTGTTCCAGATTAAAACTAAAAAAGTGGGATCAACGTAAAAATGAAAAAACAATGTCAAATGAAAGAGATCAAGAAAGGTAAAAATTGATGGAATTAAAAAAAAAAAAAACGTAAAGTTGATAAAAGTGATAAAAACGAAAAAAACGATAAAAAGCGAAGAGTGAAAAAGTAAAAACTCGAAAAAGCGCATGAAGGTGAAAAAAAAATAGCATGTACTGCAATTTTACCAAAGCATCACAAATCCGTGAAGGGTTTGCCACTTTTTTTACAAATTTAAAAACCTCATTTCCCGAGCACAGATTCAGAGGAGTATGCATATATAACTTAATAATTCCCTCCACCCAGTAATAGGCGATGAAAAAATGCATACAACACATATATATATATATATATATATGCAGAAAATTTTTCGGGTTGGGGTGAGGGGAGAGATAAGGTGAGGTATAAAAGAGAGATCATATATTTAATATAAACACCAGGGATATAATGCATATGCGCAAAGTATATATGATAAATTCACGCACATGCGAACAACTTGCACTTGTATATATATATACATGCATATAGATTACACAATCTCCATGATATATTAAAACATCGGAACGAATTTAAACGCATATGCATTTATATCCTGAGCACGCAACAATTTTTTAGCTTAAAAGGCGACAGCAGGGAGAGATCATCAATCTTATGTGGAAGAACGTAAAATTTTTATTTTACTTATGAATTGGTTTCACGATTTTCACTTTATTTTATTTTATTTTTTTTTTTTTGTTGGCACTTTCTTACACTCACAAGTAGCTCTTCTCAAAAGGTTCGCTATTGTATTAGCCCAACATGTGAGATGCTTAAAATATATGGATGTACCTATATATAGCGTTATATAAATACCATATGTATACTCTTGCGTCGCAACTTTTTACTTACTTTTTTACGCCTCCCCTATTATCTAGATTCATGTTCGAAATAAAAAATAAAACAAATCAAAGCAAAACAAAGTACCAAAGTTACTGATTTATTAAGTAGCAAAACAGCGAAATAGCTAAATAAAAAAAAAAAAAAAAAAAAAAAAAAAAAAAAAAAGTAAATTTTATTAAATTTATTCAAATTCAGTAAAATAAAATTAATAAATAACATATAGGTTATTGAACACAGTTCATATATCCGTGCGTATGTTCCACAAAGCAAAGAGTCAACATTTTTCTCTGTAGAATAGAAAAACTTTAAGCAATAAAAAGTATGCACAAAAATATATATTCAAAAGTGTAGAAACAAAAATATCCAAACAAAAATTTTTCCATACCTTAAGTTCAATTACCACTGTACACTCTCCATCCCCCTAATGAGCATCAAACTGAGTGTGACCAAACTGAACACGCACAGGGAAAAAAACCAGTGACACATCCCCTAGCGATCTTGAAATTTTCAATGCCTTTTTTTCGTGTATCTCCACAAATAAAGAACAAGTATTCGAATATTATAAAAAGAAACATTTGTAGTAGTGTAATAAAATTTGGAAAAAGCGAAAACCATTGCAATTTCCGTTTATATCGAACTTGTAAAAGTTCCAAGGACAATAAAAAGTTCCCCTTTATTTTAAATTGCAAACTGTTTAGTTGTATTAGCAAAGCAAAGGGAGTTTCAGTAATGGAAACAGCTGTTCCTCAGGTAGTATCATTGGATCCAACTACAATACCCATAGATTATCAGACCCCAATAGATAATCTAAAAATAGAAATAAAGGATATAAACAAAGAAGGATGTTCTGCAGATGAAGGGTTTATTGTATTCTTAATGAACAGTGCTGCAAAGGATAGTAATGCTGGAGATAGTAATAGCAGTAGTAATAATGTACCTGTGAAAATAAATTGCAAGGTAAATGATAATTTGATAAATGAATTTTTGAAAGAAGGAAATATGGATAATTTTACGGGAAAATTAGGGACATCTAAAAGTTTTTACTTAAAGAATGAGAAGAATAAATATGTAAGTCTTGCTTATCTTGGATGTGGACTTGCAAACGAATTAACCGAATTAGAAATCAGAAGAATAGTATCATCATTAGTTGTAATGTTACATGACAATAAATATACAAAGGTTTCAATTGTGTTTGAAATAAAACTTGATGAATTTTTATTTCGATTTTTTTTAGAAAATTTATTTTATGAATATGTAACAGACGAAAGGTTTAAATCTCTTGACAAAAGTACCCATACAGATTATATGAAGAGTTTAACCTTAAACATACCAAATGCTGATATGTATAAAAAACAGATAGATAAATCTCGTATTTATTTTTTCGGTACGTATTATGCTTCTCAGCTTATTGCTGCCCCATCGAATTATTGCAATCCTGTTTCATTATCAAATGCAGCTGTCGAATTGGCAAAGAAGGTAAATTTAGAATGCAAAATTTTAGATGTAAAAGAATTAGAAGAACTTAAAATGGGAGCTTATTTATCAGTTGGGAAAGGAAGTATGTATCCAAGTAAATTTATCCATTTAACATACAAAGGAGCGAAAAACGGTGACAATAATAACATAAAAAAAAAAATTGCATTAGTAGGTAAAGGTATCACATTCGATTCTGGTGGATATAACTTAAAAGCAGCACCAGGATCTATGATAGATTTGATGAAATTTGATATGAGTGGTTGTGCTGCCGTTTTAGGATGTGCATACTGTATTGGTACTATTAAACCAGAAAATGTAGAAATTCATTTCTTAAGTGCAGTATGTGAAAATATGGTTTCTAAAAATTCATACAGACCTGGAGATATTATTACAGCATCTAATGGAAAAACTATAGAAGTAGGTAATACTGATGCAGAAGGTAGATTAACATTAGCGGACGCTTTAGTATATGCAGAAAAATTAGGAGTAGATTACATTATAGATATTGCTACATTAACAGGTGCAATGTTATACTCATTAGGTACCAGTTATGCAGGAGTTTTTGGAAATAATGAAGAATTAATAAAAAAATTATTAAATTCCTCTAAATCATCGAATGAACCGCTGTGGTGGTTACCAATTATAAATGAATATAAATCTTCTCTAAATTCCAAATATGCTGATATTAATAATATTTCTTCAAGTGTTAAAGCTTCATCTGTTGTGGCATCCTTATTCTTGAAAGAGTTTATACAGAACACCCCCTGGGCTCATATTGATATTGCTGGTGTCTCTTGGAATTTCAAGGCTAGAAAACCCAAGGGTTTTGGAGTTCGATTGCTGACTGAGTTTATTCTGAACAATGCACTTTAGATGAGAAATGTGAATATTTTTCCCAGTACAGAAGAAGAAATTTCAGTTAATCTATTTCAATCTGTGTATAGAGATATAATTCTCCTTTACGTGTCCCACATGAGATTTGAAGTGTGTGAATTACGTATCTATGAAAATGTGTATGCGATAATTTCCTATGCTATGAAGCACTTACTGAGGCATATGCAACAGAAAAGATAAGTTAAACTTTTTCACCATGCATGTATATATGTATATATATATATATATATATATATATATATATATATACATATATATATTTTATTACAGTAGCAATTTTTCAAGCACCTGTGTGTGACGAATATTTTTTGCTTATTTACACATTTTAGAAAATTGTATGAAATTGTACCTCCTTCACGCTGTGATTTAACTGTTTTTCCATGATTATTCACATGCGTGAAATGACTAACATATTGAGATTTCCTAGTGCGTGTGTACACAATCATGTTTTATATATAGATGTATATATACCTGTTCGTACATGTGAAAAACTTCCCCTCTTTTTTTTTTTTTTTTTTTTTTTTTTCCTAACTTCTGCACAGATATATTATAAACAGATATAATGATTTAATAAGAACTTTATAAAGTGTTAGTTCGGTGTGTCAAGTGTCGAAGGGCTTACAAAGTTGACACATATATACCATGTGGAATGGTAAGTGTGAGTGTCCATTTGAAAAAGGTATTTACTTCTACAAGTGTACATGAAAGATTATGTACACTTGTAGAAGTAAATTTTGATTAGAATATGGCACCTCCTCATTAGACGCTTTGTAATTTGGGGCATTTTGTTTCTGTTATTTACATATGTTTCAATTCTGTCTATCTTTTCACAATATGAAAAATCGTTCTTGACCATTTGTTAAGTCAATTCTATACATTTTAATTAGTTTTTCCTACTATCCACTCACCTGATCGTAGGTAAAATCCTCAATGAGTATGTAACAACAATATGTGTGATTCTATTATTACTCTTTTTACTCAATTCGATGTTAACATTTTGCTCTTAAAAAGTTCGGTAATGAAAGGGAAACATAAGAAAAAAAAGAAAAAAAAAAATAAATTAATAAAGTAATGAATTAATGAAGTAATGAAGTTATGAAGTAATGAAGTTATGAAGTAATGAAGTTATGAAGTAATGAAGTTATGAAGTAATGAAGTTATGAAGTAATGAAGTTATGAAGTAATGAAGTTATGAAGTAATGAAGTAATGAAGTAATGAAGTTATGAAGTAATGAAGTTATGAAGTAATAAATAAAAGGCGTGCTTAAGGAATCCCCTCTCATAAGCATAACCCACCAAGAAGTGTATGTACCGAAAAATGTATTTTTACACACATGCAAGAGACAATATGTTGTAAAGTGTGTATCAATTCTTAGAAGTCAAGAGATGATGAAAAAAAAAAAATTAAGGAAGCACTCAATATGCACGCTACTTCTACGTCTCTCCCCTAAAAAAAAAAAAAAAAAAAAAAAAAAAAAAAAACAGCAACCATGGGAACAGTAAAAAGGAAATGCATTTACAAATTAGGTGTATTATCTAAGCAGTTGTTACGTCGATAATAGAGAATTATTTATTTCTAATTTGTAGAAAAAAACGTATACCTTTCGTTTCTTGTTTTTCTTTTTTTTTCTAGTTTTTCTTATTTTTCTTTTTTTTTAACATGTTTTTAAGTAGTAATGTGTATACACATAGTGACATAAAATGTGTTATCGGAAAAAGCAGCAGTAGGAAAATAAATTTCACAGTGTGATAGATTGTGTAGGGGGCGAGGGATTATCATACCTTAATTCATAATGCTGCAAACTCAGGATTATTCGTGAAAAATAAACAACATATATAAAAAAAAAAAAAAAAAAAAAAAAAAAAAATGAATCTTATGGATATCAATAGAAAATTATGTCTTAAAAAGGAAAATCCATATGACAATAATCATAACTCTCAATTGATGAGGGATATAAATTGTGGGAGAAAAAAAATTAATAACTATGTAGAACCACAAAAAAAAACACTTTTAAATATTAGAAATAAAAGCAATTTTTTTCTCGATTATGATAATAAAGAAAACAAAATGGGGGTAAGAGCTAGAAATATTTTTTTTTCAAAAAAAGTAGAAGCAGATGAAAGGATGAACAATTTGTGTACTGAAAAGGATACAACTTTAAGTAGCTCTATACTAGACAAAGCAATTGCATCAATTTGGAATTGCATAGATATAGAAGGAGAAAACGCCGTTGACTTGTTTAACAATGACCTTTATAAATCTTTAACAAAAAAAGGAAAAGAAAATTTTCAAAAAATTATTTTACCTCATCTTTTATCAGATTCGCAAAAAGTAGGGGAACTAAAAAATGTCTTCTTTGAAAATAAAATTAATCCATGTGATAAATTCTCTTACAGCAATGTATGTCAATTGAAAAGAGTAGCAAATGAAAGAAATTTATGTCTATTAGTGAATTGTGATGATGATAATATATTTCAGGAAATAATAAAAGCGCCTAAAATGTTGGTTATATCTAAAAAGGCCTTTTTTAAAATAATAAAAGGGAAAATTACATCAGAGAACGAATTAACAGATTACACAAATGTACTACTTAAAACGATTTTGCAAATGTGGAAATGTAAGGAGATATTTTTTAACAAAAATGAAGAAAATTCTGTTTTCAAATGTGATAATTCGACCGATCATTATGCCTTTCCTATTCAGAAAAAGAGTACTCATTTGAGGTCCAGTAAGGGAGAATACCCATTGCTAGAAGAGGACTACAAAATGATAGAAAAGGAGAACTTACTGAATTATGTTATTCATAAGAGTATAATACAAATGTCAAAAAGTGGTAATGTAAGAAATAGTGTAGATCTTAATGCACAAAACAGGAGCTTATCAAAAGGTACAATTCATAACAAAAAAAAATGTGTTCAAATTAGATGTTTAAATAAAAAGAAAAAAAAATACAAGGACCCGATGGGTATATTGAAAACTTTCTTAAAAAATGACACGAGCGAAGAAAAACACAACAAGGTGTTTAACGAACTAAGTGCGTGCACATTTCAACCGAACATTCGAAAATTTGTAGAAGCTGAAATGAGCAGTATAATAAGGGGAAAATCCCCAACAGTTGTGAACATAGGAAGAAGGGAGATAGGAAGAGAATTCAAGAGAGAGACAGAAAGAAATGCCGAAATAGAGGAGTTATTTAAATTAGCAGATGGAAATATAATTAAGGATGTGCACAAAAGTTTGTTAAAAGAATCCTCCAACGAGCATGTTAATAAAATGATGAAAAATAAGAATGCTATGAAATATTTGCAAATGTGTTGTCTTTCATATGGTATAGATATGGTAATTAACAAAAAAAAAAAAAAAAAAATTTAAACAGTGAGCAAACAAAATGAATATAAAAATTAATGAACGTTTTTTATGAACATAAAAATATAAACTTTTTTTGTGATTATTAAGTATGTTTACACATCTTCCACGTGTTCTCATAAGAATTGGATTCATCAAAATATATTCCTCCCCTATGTGACAAAAATTTGTATCCTTTGTGTACATGTATTTATACAAATGTACACATAAATAGATGAATTATATCATATTTTGTTGTGTTGTTTTCCACCTATTTACACTTCTTCTATACAGGGGAAAAAATCCAAACATTGTGAAAGAAAACCTTACGATGATGAGGAGCAACCGTTGCACAGAATAAGTAGACAAATTTTTCGCACCACAAGGGAAAACATTCGTGATGATCATCCTTTAAATGTAAGGATGGAGGGATCAAAAAGAAAATCTGGTAATAGGACTGTTAATAGGAAATATGCATGGGAAAATGAATTACGGGGTGGTTACATAAGTAATTATTTTAACTTCTCGGTTATGCATAAAAATGATATAACCTCTGAATCCATAGAAAAAAAACAACATAACGAGAGAAAGCCCGATTGGAGTAAAGAAATACGTTTATATGAAAGGAAGCTAAAAGCGAAAACTGTACCTAATTTTGTCTTATCAGAGGAAATGCTTTCATCGTTTGCAAGTGCGAATTGTGATGTTAAGGAGAATTTTCCCGCACCTTCTTTTTTTTTCCTAAAGGATATGAAGAATAAGATTGATCAAAGTTCGTGCAAAAACGAACAAGGAAACATAAAAAACGATGAGTTAATAAATTGTCCAGAAGGAAAAAAAAAAAAAATTTCATCATCAAGTTCTCATACTGAAGCATTTTTGAAGCTTCACAACAATACTGGACTAATGCAAAAATATGAATATAAAAAAATGATAAATGAGGAGAAAAAAAAACTTGATGAAATGGTAGAAGATTATTGTTCTTTTATGCCTACTGTTGCAACTCATCCTCCTAAAATTGTTGCAGTGAAATGGGAAAAGACACTAGACGATGTTGAGAAGGAACTTTTTAGCTTACCGCAATCTATTGGACATGCTCAGATGTTCTGAAAAAGAGAGATGTGGCTTTTATTTTTATTGTGGAAAAGTAAAATTTTTTCATTCTAAAATTGTATAACGTTATAAAAATCGAATTTCCTTTTTTCTTTCAATAACTGATTTAGAAAAAAAGCATAAAAAAGGTTTTTTATAACGCACACATGGAATATTACACACTTTATCAAGTAGGAAAAAAAAAAAAAAAAAAAAAAAAAAACTTATATATGCTCCTTTTTTTACCCTTCTACTCGCATTATTATAGCAGTAATAGCAACACCACTACCCATTAACCCTTTGGAATGATTGGCAATAATTAAATACTCATTTTTTTATTTTCCCTTCCATTCCCTTCGCTTAATGAGTAGTATTATACTAGGGCTTTATAAGAAATTAATTCTTTTTTTTTTTTTTTTTTTTTTTTTTTTCCCCACTGCAAAAATTTAAATACGTCGAATTCAATTAAAATAATGTAGGAATAAAAAGAAGAAGAAATTAATGTAAACCTAAAACTTTTAATTATAGATTTATATTTAATTTTTAAAAATTGGAAAGGTCTAAATTGCTACAACCCTTAGTTTTTGTATAATAAAACAACTTATATGGGTTATTTGGCATGTATAATATATGCAGCAAGTATATACCATAATACCTTGGGAGCTGCTACATGTGCATGTGTGAGTGGGGTGTTCAGGTTCAGTGTTTATCCATAAAACATTCCATACTTGAAACACTTTGCATAATATATATAAACGGTACAAAATAAACAAATATAGACTTATATTTAAAAATAATACCCCCACAACTTTTTATACTTACATATAAGAAATTTTCAACAATGTGTGTTGTGCATAATAAAAAGTGTCATTAAAATTCTTTTTTAAAAGGGAACATTATATATATAGTAAGAGCTCATTAAAAATAAATTCATATTAACGTGTTTTTTTGTGAGTGTACATTACACACATTTATTATCAAACTTTTGCGCTTCCGTATATTTTCTTCCATGATAAAAAAAACGTAAAAGAAATCAAAAAAGGATAATAAAACACATCACCGAACCCATTATTTTTCATCACGTAAAAAAAGGTAAGAAAACATGATTAAAAACATATTAGTTACCATAACGATATGCAAAAAAGGACCAGCAAAAAAGTTAATGCGTTTTAAAAGAGAAATATATTCAGGGCAAGTCATTTCTTCGCAACATGAAAAAATATATATATACATATATATATATATATATATATATATGTATACGAACACATATAATATATATAAAACTTTACTATTATTTTGTAATATCAATATAATTTTTCTCTCATTAAGACATAAAAAAAAAATGCATAAACGAAAAAATACCAAAACATGCAACACAGATTATTTGCACAATCAACAAGTCGATATGTATATATAATCTTTATTATGGCCTGCAAAAAAGGAATACATTTTTAACGCAACAACAACCATATATAAACGAGTAAAAAATATGGTAAAATCAATCCTTATTAAATTATAAAAAAATAAAGAACGACACGTATCATAAATAATAAATAAAAATGGAACAATACAAAAACAGGAAAAAAAGTAATCCTACCACAACTATAAAAACTCTCCTGGTCGCAAATATTATAGCCCCTTAATAAGAGATAAAAAATATTGAAAAGATGAACATTCGTAAATATATTTTTAACCTATATATATAAATATATGTATAAATGATGATATAATATAATAATTAAATTAAGAGAACTCAAATAAATAAAAAAAGTTCCTTTTTTTTCCCCTTTATTTAAAAAGCATACTTAAAAATAAGCCCCCTATCCATTTTGTACACACCTTAAGAATCTTATTATTTTAAGAATTCCCTTTTAAAATAATAAAATAATTAATGAAATTAAAAAACACATATAATATTACCCCTAAATAAATAAAACATACATATAATAACACAACTATATATATATGTACATTTTATGATATAGTGATATATATAAATATTATAACGATTGTTCCGTTTCCCCATTGCTTCCCTTTTTTTTTCTTTTCTTATTCATCGAAAAAATTTACATTCTAAAATATATACATTATATATTATTATTGCGATAAAGTTTTAAAAATGCAAAAAATTGATAAATTTAAAATTGTTAACACGTCAAAATTGACGCGACAAAAATTTGTGGTATAACGTATTTATTATACCTACTACACGGCAATCTTTAGTAAAAGGCGAAAGATTGATACGTTATGTAGTAAGTACATACCCCAAACAGTTTTATTTTTACCTTTTTTTGCATTATGTAATTTTTTCAATACTCGAATTGTACCACTCAACTTTTTTTGTTATTTTTGTAGCATATATTTTTTTTTTTCCCTACACCTTACTTTAAAACAAGGAAAAAAAAAAAAAAAATATATATATGTTAAAACAAAAAAATAAAAATTTTTTTTTTTTTTTTTAAAAAATATATTTTAAAAAAAAAAAAAAAAAAAAAAAAAAATATATATATATATATATATATATATATATGAATAGATAGACATATGTAGTATATTTTTATTTTATTTCACTTTTGTGAATTACTCTACATATACCTAAAAGTTTGGAGATTCAAGATTGTGTTATGCTTCACAAGTATATTTTCTGCTGCTACCCTATTGGGCTAAAAGAGACATTAAATAAAAAAAAATAAAAAATGTATACCATAATTTTATTTGCCTTACGACGTTACCTTTTCTTATTTTTATTATAATATTTATCCCTTTGATGATTAAAAATAATCTCTGGTAGATGATGATTTCTATTTATACATGCTAAAAGATAAGAAAAAAATAGCAGACACATAAACAATTCTAAAAGCGTTTCCAAAAAAAGAAGATACTTGAAATAGGACATGTACGGATTCTGTGTTTGATCTATTGAAAATTTTCATATTTCTTAGCAAGTGTTAGGTGTGTGAGGTGTAAATTTTTTTTTTTTTCATTTATTCTTTTCTTTTTATGTCTCATAATCGTGCAAAAGTATTTTTCTTCTACCTACATTGCATAGTTACGATGAATATTTACAATCTAAGGTGGAGAAGGATTTCTGCCCAAAGGACTGAGCACAATTCCATAATTTTCTTAATTGACAAAAATTCTAAATTTTTATTTAAAAAAAAGCAGTAAATAATTTTGTCTCATATATTGTATTATTAGATGGGTATAATTAATGTTATTGTAAAATGTATGAATAATAACAAATCGTGTCTGTTTTTACGAGTGCTTCCTAATCCACATAAGTGTATACATATTTATATAAGTATTTTCACATATATATGTATGCACAAGCGTATATGTATACATGTATATATGAATGCATATTTTTTTTTTTTTGATTACCCATGAAAGGTACCTCATAAGCACAGTTTCCAATCATATAATAAACATATATGATACGTTTTAATATAACCAAAAAAAAAAAAAAAAAAAGAAAAAAAAAGAAAAAGAAAAAGTCTTCCTGCCTTTTCACACATAAACCTAATTTACAGATTTTTAAAAATGTAATATTAAAACATATAAAATGTAAACTATAAATGATATAAAGAAAAAAAAAGCTCGTGTTCATTCGTGTGCTTGTGTGGATAAATATACACATGTGCACACAATAACATATTTTAAATATTACCCCTACTCGTAAAAGGAAAGTCCCTAAAAAATGTTACATGCGTATATATACATATATATATATATATATATATTTACACACAAACATAGATGCACTGAAACAAGCTATATATTATAATCATAGTAGAATAAACTTCATATCGATTTAATATTATTAAATTTTTAAAAAAAAACGTTCAATTTTTTTTTTTTTTTAAAGATTAAAACATTGCTCATTTTATATGGGTAAAAAATAAAAAATTAATAGTATCTATTACTTCCTTTTATAGGAATGTTATTTACATTGTGAGACGAACGACCATAACCGTAATAAGGGTTTCTTCTTGGATTACTGTAAACAGTGTAGGAAATTTTTTCTAATTGTGGTGGTACAGGTTGTTCAGATTCTCTTAATATTTTAACTAAGTCTTTGGCTAGTCTATATTTTTCTGATGTTAAAAAGGTAAAAGAAGCCCCGTGAGCTCCTGCTCTACCTGTTCTACCAATTCTGTGCACATAATCTTCAATTTGATTTGGAAAATCAAAATTAATTACATATTTTACATCTTTTATATCTAACCCTCTTGAAGCTACATCTGTTGCTATTAAAATAGGGCTTTTTCCAGTTTTAAAGTCATTCAATACCCATCTTCTTTCATCTTGCTTTTTATCCCCATGTATGCATAAGGCTGGTACACCATCTAGTCTAAGTGCCTTTGTGATAAAATCTGCATTTTTCTTCGTTTCAACAAATACAATTATTCGATCGTTATCTCTGAATATTCTCTGAAGTAGTAACTTCAAGTTTGCTATCTTTTCATGTTCCTAAAATGGAAGAATGTCCCGTGTATGGTTAGTACATAAGTGTGTAGAAACTAGCATATGAACATATATATATATATATATATATATATATATATACACGAATATGTACATCTATATATATGTATATAAAAACATATACATACAAAGCGTATGCATACAAAACTTTATACACATATTCAGACATGCAAATAAAAATATATGTCAATTCAAACACACGTGCATTTAAATAACCACACGTGTCCATCACGCACCATAAGGTATATCACACATGTGCGCAATCGCAAACATAAGGATCATATTTTTGTTTTGTCTTTATTTCCGGTTAAATAAAGGTAAAACAATAATATCATAACTAACCTCATTGCAAATTTAAAGTGATAGGACTTCTCAAAAAAAAAAAAAAAAAAAAAAAAAAAAAAAAAAAAAAAAAAAAAAAAAAAAAAAATTTCCTAACAATGGGCATTTATTTTTTTTTTTTTTTTTTTTTTTTTTTTTTTTTTTTTTTTTTTTTTTTTTTTTTTTTTTTTCATATTTTTCGACAATCTTGCCACCTTTCTTTCTTGAAAGCTTTAGTATTTATCCACATGCATGTCATAAATGACGCCTGGGTGCTTTTTCTCATTATTGTGTTTATTATTTACTTACACAATATTACGTGTATTTGGTAAATAATAAAATAGAATTAAATGTGCACATCTATGGTAGGCAAATATGACAGATTTGAAAAAAGTAAATAATAAACAAAAAAAAAAAAAATCAGGAACAAAAGATCAATAGGCATAAATGGCATACATGCGGACAATTACAAATATCTTGACAAGGTTGGGGTCGCAAGATTGTCAAAATTATCAAAAGTATTTTTCATACGAAAAATCCTTCTTTGTTTCTTTTTTTTTTTTTCTTTTTTTATCACTTATAAATTTGCAATGCATTGCTAATTCTCTCCTTAATTAAAGCAATTCTGCAGTGCATGGACAACTCATAAAAAATGCAAAAAAGTGTAAAAATGTGTAAAAAAATGCAATAGAAATTTTAAATTAAGGAAAGAAACTTGTCAGTAATATGCGGAAAAACAAAAACGAAAAAAAAATATATGTGTATATATATGCACATATATATATCCAACGTGGAGAGTACACCCACTGTAGCATGTGTCAATATTGCACGAAATGTAGAGTCTACATTAATCAAATATACGAAATTAATAGCACGCACTGGCAAGTAATCTCCTAATGAATCACTCACTAATGCATAAAAAGAATAGTGCACGTCTACAGGTGCATGCATACACATACATAAAAATGTACATATATATATATATATATATATATATATATATATATATATATATATATATATATACAATAGCGCAAGTAATAGTACAACGCGTGCAAGAACCAAAAAATTAAACTGGGTCATCACGTAAAGGTACGCACATTTGTGTGGCAAGGTGCTATTCCAGAAATAGGATTTACAGAAACAATGATAACACTATTCAAATTTACAAACATAAGGACACAAAAAAAACATGCAAATATTTATGTGTGCAAAACAATTCCTATAAATAACGGTAGGATATGTTAGTGCATTCGTAATATTTTTTTATACGTAACAGAAAAATGGATCTGACAAACGAGTGTAACAGCGGCTTCTATAAGTTGCCACATGGAACAAAACAGAGATAGTGTATCACAAAATAGGGTCATATTCAATCAAAAATGGGAAAAAATGTATAAAAAAAAAAAAAAAAAAATACGAAATAAAGCAAAAACAAACTAGTTATAAACTTATCGTATAAAAAAACTAATCCTAGAACTAGAGTGAACTGAGTGGATGTAAAATGTGTAGTAACACAACACATATCCACATGCATGTATCCACTTCACACATGAAAGAGAGGCAGTCCTCGAAACAATGCATATAACTATGAAAAAAACAAAAAACAAAAAAGAAAGTAAATAAACAAATTAATTACCTCAATCAGATAAATTTCTTGCTTAATTCTACGACATGCAGTTAATGATAATGAACCAACATTAACATGTATTGGTTGCTGTTTACATAAATCTCTTGCTAAAGATTGAACTTCTTTTGGCCATGTAGCTGACCACATTAAAGTTTGCCTATCAGGTCTAATCTGGTTAACAATTTTTCGTATTTGTATTTCGAAACCCATATCTAACATTTTATCTGCTTCATCTAAAACTAAATAAGTAACCCTCATAAGATTCGTAACATTTTGTTCTAATAAATCAATCAAACGACCTGGACAAGCAATTAAAATATGGACACCTTGTTTGAGTGCATAAATTTGTCCACTTTTTGGAACACCACCATATGCACAAGTATTTCTTATTTTGGATTCAATAGAAAATTTGATGCATTCTTGACGAATTTGTTCAGCTAATTCTCTTGTTGGTGCTAAAACTAAAACAATTGGACCATCACCATATTTTAAACTTGGTTGAGCTAAAATATGAACAAATGCTGGTAATATAAAGGCTAAGGTTTTACCACTACCTGTTTCGGCTTTTCCAATCATATCTTTTCCTGACAATGCTATTGGCCAACCTTGTATTTGTATAGGGGTTGGGGTAATAATGTTATTATTTTTTAAAGACTTTAAAACATAATCTGGAAAACCAATTTTATTTATTGATTCTACTGGATTAGGAACCTCATCTCCATCTAAAATCGTGATTCTATGTTTATCTCGAATATCTTTCACTTCTTTCGCGCTCAAATTACTTATATCTTCATGTTCTTTATAAAAATTTTTTTCAAAAGGAACTAATTTTACACTGTTCCAATCTATTTGCATTAAGTTTTTTCCTAAATTACTTGATCCATCTCTATGATTATTCGTCATATTTGTATGTCCGGTAAAATCTCCATAATTTGTCCTGAATTGCCCGTATGCTGCCGCTTGATAATTTACATACGGATTTGTGTAATCCGGGAAATTTGCATATCTATTTGGATAGTTATTGAAACCTCTCATTTTGAAAATATAAAAATTTGACGTTTATCTGTGTTGATGTTGTGCGATTATGCAGATATAAATGTACATACATATGTGCAGAAGTTCTGTTATTTGGTTTAAATATATCTCCTTAGGCTTATAATCTACTTTTTTTTTTTTTTTGCAAAGATCCTCGTGGGAGAAATGTGCCCTTTCTTTATGCACGTTGGAGGAAATTTGGTATACTTGAGACTGCTTATTTTTAATGTAGTCCAATTTTTCTTTTTTTTTTTAAGAAGAATGAGATGATTTCATTCAACTTTTTTGATATCCTATATTTTTCGTTTATGTCAGTTCGCATATTCGTACAAAAATTTTTTTTTTTTTTTAACACATTCAGATTTTCATGCATATGTTACATAATTCATTTATGTGCTCACAGCGTGTTCTTATTCTGTATGTATATGTGCATGTGTATAGTTTTCTACTGAATGAAAGTTTACACCACAGTGCCTTTTTATCTGAGGAATTATAGCAGGAATTATATTTTTGCTTCACTTCCGTTCATATAAAAATTGTGTGCTCATACGTGTACATTTTGTGTATGTATAAATTTATTTTTCTTTGCATGTATAGGTATATATATTCTTAAAAGATCTTTCTACAAGTAATAAAAAGCGAGCACTGCAATTATGTACTAATGCCCGGGGTTCGCGTAATGTGCATTTTTTTGGAAGCCTTGGAACGTTTTAAATGTCATTACATGGGTATGATAATTTTGCGAAGTGGCTGAGCATGCATATGAAACTTATAAATGGAGGTATGAACAAATGGATGAATAAATATATGAAAGTACCCTAAATTAACAAATGCGTAAAATATAAAGTCCCATAAGGAGGAGAAATATTACATGAATCTCAAAAAAAAAAAAAAAAAAAAAAAATTCATACTCAATTATATGAGCATAACTAAGATGGATAGATAGTTCAGTGAAGCATTTTATGATTTCCAAAAAATATGGATTGTTTTAACATAATGTAACTTTATATATATGTAAATGTAAAAATGTAAAACTGCCTTCTGGGTGAAGATATATATATATTAATATTTAAAGGGTGAATAAAAATATTTAATAAAAATAGGATATATATAACTACAAAGGGCAAATGGAAAAATTTAAGGGTCAAAAATAATTTAACGAAAAAGTGAAATGCAAAATTTTAAAAGAGGGTATAAAGGGAGAGATTTACACGAAAGCATTGCGAAAAAGGTGCATGAAAGAAAATTTTAATGTAAAGGGTTTATAAAAAATAATAGTATTATTTACATGTATAAAATGTAAAAAAAAAAAAAAAAAAAAATGAAGGGAAAGGCAAGAAAAGAAAAGAGGAAGCGTATAAGTAAAGAAGAGCATGTACTTATTTTCTCAAAATTGGCTTTAAGCACATACGACTGAAGACATTAATTTTATTAGCATTAAAGTAAGCATACATAATGTATACACTGCTTGTCAGAAAAAAAAAAAAAAAAAAAAAAAAAAAGCATGAAAACTTTTGATGTCAAGGAATAAATTAAATTGGAAAATTCTCCCACTGAAGTATATAACTTAAGTACATATATAACATATTGTGCGTTTTGCATTGAATCTCTTGCATTTTCTAGCTCCTTAAAGTGGAAGAAGAAAAGAAGTAAATTAAATGGAAATATTATAAAATATATATAAGCATCAAGTGTATTTATGTAACAGTAGTGGTTCTGTGTATTTATATATATGCTGATGTAGTTTTTGTAGCTGCAATTGCAAATTTTAATTAAATTCATGTAGCACAGTTGAAAAAAAGTGAACCTGCGCACTTGCATATGTATCTCTTTTTTTATGCTAAAATTTGAATGTAGCTAATGCTTGCATGTTTTTTTTTTTTTTTTTTTTTTTCTTTATAAATTTGGCTTGATGCGCATCACCATGACACGGTATTTATGACGCTTATATATGTATATATATAGCTGAGAAAAAAAAATAAGTTTGTGAAAAAATGAACAGTATTGCAAAAGGCACAAATTTATAAAGAAAAAAAGGCTATCTCATTTGGGTAATTAAAAAAAAAAAAGGAATAAGACCTCTAAAGAGGAGAAAAACATGCTTCCTAAGTTCCCTACAGATGTAAAAATATATGTTTAGAAATATATGTATACATACTCCAAAATAAAAAAACTACCCAGTAAAGAAACATATATATAATCATGAGCGGATAACTGGGTGACAATATTGGAAAATTACACTCATTTTCAGCCAAGCTACTTAATAACACATGTAGAAATAGCTAAAAATGTATACAATGATACTAGCCTATATGGTTATATATATATATGTTGAAATTGCACAAGTGTATTCCATTACTTTTTTTTCTAGTTTCCATATATTTAAAAGTACGACATGATGTAGTATATATCTCTTCACGTTAAGGACATTATTACGAAAACATGCGAAACTTGAATAAATCCATTTTTTTTTTTTTTTTATGTTGGAAATTTTTCGTTCGAATGTGAAAAAGAACGCAATTTGAAATTTGGTGCCCATATCTCTGTAAAGCCTGTTGAATGTTCTTACAAATTTGTGAAGTTTTACATATATATATATACATATGAATTCCCACGTAGAACACACGAATGTGTGCATACTATGTACATATGTGAATAGCAGCAAAAGGAATCTTTTGCTTTTTTTACCCATAAATTATCTTCGGCTCCAGCCAAAAGATAAAAAAATACATATATATATATATACATTAAACATGCCACACCTTATTAATCACACATTTCTGTGAATAAGTAAATAAGATGCATTTTACTTAATGTCTCATACTTGAGTTCGAACAACCCGGAGAAGCATCTTTAGTAAAATATAAATGGAATATATTTTGAAAACTTTTAAGGAGCAAAAAAAAAAAAAATGTAAAATTGTAATTTTGCGATTTTTTCACAGCATGGTGAAGTTCCATTTTTTTTTTTTTTTTTTTTTTTTTACATCCTATTAACTAATCCTAACAATTTAAACAGTGCAAATGTGTTGTCCGAATTTTATGCAAACCGCAACTACAAAATGTTCATGCTGTTATTTTTAATAGCGAATAATTTGGACATAATGAAAAATGTATAAGATGCTTCACAAATCAGTAACATTTTTTGTCAGTTTTATGTTATTAGGAAAACAAAATTTTTTTTTTTTTTTTTTTTTTTTTTTTTTTGTGCTTTTCAAAAGTGATGACAACAAAAATAAACTAAAATGAAAAGCAGAAATGAATACTAATCAGCTTGTAGATATTTCCGGTAGTTTTTACAAAAATGCATAAAATAAAATTCCTCATGTGTAAATAATTTGTCAGACTGGGCTAAAATAGATATATATTATATTTGTATATTTTCTTTTCAACCGGTTGAGATACAAACTCCAGTATTTTTACTAGCAAAACGAAAAAATTTTAAAAAAAATGATGGTGACTACAATTTTTCCAATCTTTAGGTGTCTCCTAGTTATAACTTTCTAATGATTTCAATTAAATTCACGTAGGAATATGAATGAGAGTAGACTGATATAAAATCTTCATGTTGAGAAAAAGCTTGTCATTAGAACGATGTAACCGAAAATAGGCTATTTGTCAGTACCATTTTTTATGTGACAAAATTATTAAATTCCATGAGGTGGCATTTTTATACCGCACTTTTTAATTTTTTTTTTTTTTTTTTTTTACTGTAATAGAATTATATAATTTGAAGAAAAACTTTCTTCAAAATCTCTGTTGCGATATATATATTTTTTGTTTTGGTTTTTTTATTTTTATTTTTTTTTTTTTGGTAATTAGAAGAAAAAATGAGGTCTTGCAATTTTCGTTCGTGCAGGATCATTCTCCATTAGTGTAAATAGTATTCGTCTGTTTGAGACACATTAAGGTGAGCATTTCCATATGAATAAGGTTAAAAAGGTGGAAGACATTCACACAAATGTCCAAGTTTCCATACATAAAACGTTGCATTTGTTGGGCTTATATATATACATATGTATATATATGTATAAAGAATTGCATGTACTTGTGTATAACTACATGAACGTGTAACCCTGCGGAAGCGTTAAAAAAAAAAAAGAAAAGAAAGATAGATAGAACAACTCGAAGGTGAATAGAACAAAAAAAAAAAATTAAGTGTAAATGAAACATATGCTTAAAAAATGTATCCTTGATAAATAAAGCAGGAATTTAATAAGGCATGTAACTGCAGTACAATTGTGAACTTATAGCAGAGCATAAAAATATTTTTTACAATATATTAGCTACATGTTTTTGGTTTTACTATTATTTTATTATTTTATTTTTTTTTTTTTTTGTGAGTGCCGTTATAAATTTATATCTGTGTGCTAGTTAAGTTTATTTAACTTTTTTAAAAAGTAATAATTTTTTTTTGTACAATTTCTACATTTTAAATGTTTCATTATAAGGATGCTCAAAAATTTGAAGAAGGGCTTCAAAGTTGGTTTGTTTTCCCCTTACTGTATTCTCACAGTGTGTTTTTCCTCTTATCACAATTTTTACCATTTACACGTTGGATTTTGTGTAAATGTTAAATATCTATGACATTTACATTGTCTCATGCTTTTACGTTTTGTAATTTTTTTACTGATACTGATTTTCTCTTCCCCATTTTGTCCCTTGCATGGTTGCACACATATGCACAATAAATTACTACCTACTTTTTTACATCGAAAGTATTAAGATTAGCATAATATAGTTTGGTCAAGACATGGGTTCCAGTAACTATGATTGTAAGTTCCAAAATGAAGATGAAAAAAAGAATTATTTGAACGAAAAAGAAATGCATGACTATAATACTAATGATAAGAATGTTTGTTCTGCTTTTCATTATGCTAAAAATTTAGGTGTAGATGAGAAAAATAAATTTTCGAATGAAAATGAAATTAGTTTTACTTCTAGAAAGGATGATAATGGTACAAGTAAAAATGAAAACTATTGTAAGGACCCTAGATGCAACAATGTTGTATTTCAGAAAGAAAAAAATAAAAAAAATTTTCTACACGAGTTATGTAAAAAGTATGTAAAACTATCTTTGTATAGACCACGTTGTATTATACTAAGTGTTATAATAGGGTACTTAATTATTATCATAATGAGTATATCTTTTTATAATAGCATATTTGATGACACAAATAATATGACTTCATTAATGGACTCCTTTTCAAAAAAGACAAATGTGAAGGAATATGTAAAAATGAATGTAACAAAGGCTAGTGATGTAGTAATTCATACAAGTGACAACATAGGAAATAATGTAGAGCATTTTTTAAAATTTTATAAAAAAGAAAAAGCGGCATCACTGTTGTTTTATGTTGATAAAAAAGAGGATGGAAATATGTTACAATACGATATATTAAAGGACATATTTTTTTTGTTACAATTTTTTAAACAGATTAGTATTGGAAATAATAAAAATTGGAGTGATATGTGTAAAAAATATGATATTCCTTTTATAGGTTCTAAATGTTTTGTACTAGGTTTATTTACTGTATCTGAACTTTTAAATGCTGAATATGACACGACGCCTAATTGGGAATTATATTTTAATGATCTTTTAAATAAAAATGATAAATCCTTGGGAAATTTTTTCTACAATGCACTTATTTTTTTACCTAATTTTTTATATCATCCTCATAAGTTTAACCATGGGAGAGTCAAAGTAAAAGACGTAATAAATGATATATCAAAAAATGTGGAAGCCTTTTTATTTGTTTTTAACTTGGATGAAAATGTTGATGATTCAGCACTGAATGAGTGGTATCGTATGTTAAACAAGTATGTAAAATTAATAAATGAAAGAAAAGAAACGTATGTAACTATCCACAATTTAGACAACACTACCTTTATTCACAACTTAAATAAGGACAGAAATTGGCATATTGCAGTAATAAATGAAAATATAGTGGAGGAAAATGAGCAGACATCCATAATTATAGGTTTTAAATCTAATTTTGTCTTTGCAATTTTATCTTTTCTCTTTATAGTTATTTATGTATACTCTATTTCATCGGATGTTTTGAAACCTAGTGGAAAAGTTGGAGGAGAAGGGAGAAGAAGGTTTCTTCTCATTATTGCCGTGTACTCCTTGACTTTTTTTTCTTTCTTCTCTACATTTTTCATCTATTTATTATTCCGAATTTGTATATTAAGAATTTATTTATTAAATTTTTTCCCTCTTTTTTTTTTAAGTTTCTTATTTTGTTGTGTGAACGTGTATTATCGAAACAAATGTGTACTAAAAAATTCCCAAATTATCATGCAAAAAATGAAGAACATAAAGAATCTGAAGAACCAATCAGTTGATATGACTAAATATTACATACAAGCTAGCTATAAATCACTTTACTTTGTTGGGAAAGTCTCATTGATAATTGTAACGATACACATCGTTGGATTTATCTGCACGTACAAAATTGTTAATACCTTTTCATTAAATTCGATATTTACTATTATATTTTTGTTTTTTTATTATACGATATTTTTTAACAATATATTTGGATATTTGTTCTACAAGAATAGGAACCTATTATTATCATCATCGTTGTTAGCATTGCCCTTGTCTTCTCCTTCTTCTTCTTCTTCTTCTCACCTACCCAACGATCAGTCTGATCAGCATGTAATAGCCTTTTCAAATGAAATTAAATGGAAAGAGCTGGACCCTGTTAAAGTATTAGGGCAGAATAATTGTAATTCACAGTGTAACGGTGATATCAATTCGATAAGCATTTCAAAACATGGTATAAATCAGAGTATTGCTAACACTAATCCAGAGATGGAAAAAAATACATGCTGTTCACACGAATGTTTGAGTCAGAAGAATTATAATCGCGTGATGGACATGCACACAAGAAATTTCATTCATCAATGTGAGAATGGGAGAATTATGGAAAATGAAGAAATTTGTAGAAAAAGTGGGAAATTATGCGATGGAAGGGCGCATAAAAAAGGGTTTTTATTTTTTTTTGTATTTTTTGTTTTCTTTTTTTTAGGATTATTTATATGTCTATTTATTAAGAACGAGAATATGCAATTTAACATTTACAGCTATATGAACAAGACATCACGATTACGCATATTTATCGAGAATTTTGAAAAAAAAGCTGGATTCGTAATTGAACCTGGTTATTTGATATTACCTTCTTCCAGTGACTTTGACTATGAAGATGAAGAAAATACAGATATAATAATAAAACTAATAGATGACATGAAACGAGAAGGATATATACACGAACCTATTGTATCATGGATTCATGCATTTAAATTATTAAAAAATGATTGTTCTAATATAAGCTCTTTCAGTGAACAATATGATGTAGATCGTTATAAAAAACACTGTCATGATATCACTTTACAAAAACAGAGTAAGGAACTGTATTTTGATAAATTAAAAGAAATATTTGAAATTGATACAGAAAAGACATGTAATAGCTTTTACAAAATTGTTTATGAGTGGTTAATGCATGGTGAAGATGGTATATATGATAGTCAAAGTTTTAAAATTAAAACAGTTTTTCAAGATCAAATTAGTCAGATTCTTCCACAATATTATAATATAACGCCGCATTTATTCTACCAAGATTTTTTAAAGGTATAAATAGATATGTTTCGGTTTCCATGTACTATCCCTTTGAGTTCTAGGGATAATAAAACAAATGGGGAGAAAGTTCTCATGGGACGAGGGGAAAAAACGTATTTGAGAAATTGGAAAAAAAAATTTCCCTTCGTTCATCTGTATATTCTACATGACAAAGAAGCACTAGTTGTATTCACTCTTTCTTCTTTTTTCTTTCTCTTTACACATTCGCTTTTTTTTTTTTTTTTCCTTTTCTTATTTTTTTTCTTTCCTTTTTGTGCTCTCAGATGGACGAAAAGTACAACATAACAAGCAGTCGAATCGGATTCGTTCTTCACAACTATGCTAGCAATCAAGGAAAAAATTTTTCAAATTTAAACGGAATAAAAAATATGGTCAAAAAAAGTAATATTAAGAATATTTATTTTTATTCAGAATCCTATACGTTGTATAATCAAGTCCTGAATTTTCTACTAGAATATAAAGTCATGTTAACTTTTTATTTTTTAATTTACTTATTTTCTTTATATATGTTTAACACAATGGGGGTTGTAATAGCGTTTCAGTTTTGGTTATGCTACAATTTAAGTGTACTTTATTTTATGAACACGTTTTCAATTAATACCGATGCAATAACAATTATTTTACTAAATATGGCTACAGCAATATCTCTCTCTCATTATTTGTATTCAACTCTTTTTTTTAAATCGATCATGCTAGACAAAATGAATTTAGCTAACAATATGGTGCAGTCCTATCCTTATTTAGTATTCCTCTTATTATGTACTTGAAAAAAAAAAAAAAAAGTTAGAGAAAACCTTTGCAGGGCTTTTCCATGTATAGGAGGAAAAGGTTGTGCAAAATTGCACAGATTTGTACGAAAATTTACAGAATAAATGGGAATGCTTAATTTCTCATTCAAAGTGGAAGGAAGTATTTTTATTTTATTTTTCTTCCATTTTTTATTTGTACAATTTTACAAATTGATGTCAATAACGCGTTGCACATTTTGGTGCGATTCCCTTTTTATGTAAAAGGAGCCTATATGTTTTTGCATATGGTGAAACGTTTGGGTAATTGGATGACTGTTTTTTTCTTAATCTCATGTATGTGCACTTTATAAAATTATATCACTTGACACATCTCGTTCTTGTTCTCTTTTTTTTTTTTTTTTTTTTTTTTTTTTTTTTTTTTTTTTTTTTTTTTTTTTTTTTTTTTCCCTCTTTTCGCAGACCTTGTTAGCTTCAACATGGAAGACTACGTATCGAATGTTTTGCGATTTCTCATTTTAAATCACATCGTTTGGTTCATTCTATACAATTTAACAATTTTTTGTGTGCACAAAATATGCGTGAAGAGGAGATGATTTCGTTGTCATAATGTATATACCTATATATAAGCACATACATGCACACATCGTGAACTTGCTAATTTTCGAGATCGCAAAAGTGAAGAGAATACAACAAGGAGACCTACGAAATAACCCATGGAAAAAGATTCGTACTGGAGTGATACTTTATTCATATGCCTGAGTGGAAATATTTGTCAATTGGTTTACCTCTCTTGTTAATTATTTTTTCTGAGAATATCCACAAAGGTAGTGATTCTTTATGTTAGGGCAAAAAATATAAACTTTTCTTTTTTTTTTTTTCGCTTCTTTTGAAAAAAAAAAAAAAAAAAAAACATAAACCCTAAACACTGTGTTGTGTATACTTGTATACATATGTAAGCTGATATATATATATCTTTCTAATTTTAGCTTAAAGCTTAGAATACATATTTTGTTAAAAAAGGGAAAATTTATGGATTAACATGTAAAATGTCACTGTCGCAATTTAAAATATATGTGTTCCTGGTGATATAACCTCCAGGAACTTTTCCTTTACTTTGTTACAACTTATTCTTATTTGCTGATTGTTTTCTATTAGCTTATACATGTTCATTATATCTAATTTTTGAGGATTTTATTTTATTTTTTCAAAATGTGCCTCTTAAAGCAGGTCTCAATTTTCATGCACTTTCGGCTCGAAATGTACTTTTCACATTAGTTAATACTTTATAATTTCTTTTTGTTACATTTGCAATCTTAAAAATATTAGTAGCTCCATAGAAATAAGCACATGAAATAGTTTTTTTTTTTTTTGTTTTTTTTTTTCTTTTTTATGGGAGTTGTAGGTTTTATATCATTGAAAAGAAAAAAAAAGTTCATCCATTTTGCTCTTCCTCATTAAGTTACTTATAAATGGAAAGAGGTGCAAGATGAAGTCAAAAAAAAAAAAAAAAAAAAAAAAAAAAAAAAAAAAAAAAAAAAAAGAGCATAAAAATGTGTGTTGAAACGTGAAGAAATGTGAAGAAAGGAATACAACATAAAGCAAAATCACATGCCTTCGTAAACGGATGAGGCCTACACGAACGATTGAAAAAATAAAAATGTATATTTACATGCATTGCCATTTTCTCTTCACGCGTTTGTTCACTTTTGGTTATTGATTCCCTAATTAATGAACAAGCTGTACAAGCCATGTGCGGGCATAACGTCATCGTACTCTCTCATAACATGTACACTTCTTCCACATTTTTATTTTTTTTAAAGATAAAATTTAAGGGGAAAAATGTCAAATTAAAAACATCACATAGCGCTTACAAAAATGTGCGTCATTTTTTATACCCACACTGTGGCACGTAAAATATACGCAACATATGTTCATGCACAATACAGAGGTTGCTTACATATGCACATGTACATAAAGCATATATGTAAGCATATATACATATATATATATATATATATATATATATATATATATATATATATATATATATATTTTACTTTTTTTCATTATTTCTCTTCAATTGCGTATAAAAATTCGGTAAGATACAATTCTCCCCTTATTTGAAGCAACAAATAGTTAAACAATTTAAAACCACCATCTTTTATCACCCAAAATTAAATAGTTAAGGTATAAGTACAAATTAATATTAAATGAGAATTTCACAGCTTTAGAGCATCATATACTACTATATGGTACTACGTAGGTGCTAAACATTGTGACGCACGTTTCTTTTTTTTTTTTTTTTTTTTTTTTTTTCAAGCATATAAAAATGTTAATAAAAATAATATATATACATGTTTCTGCTTAGCTTTATATATGTATAATTCGCAACGTCGGCTTCCTACAACTGGGACAGCGCGAATTGATCGCACAAAATTTATGCACACACATATATATATATATAAACATACATGTATGCACACATTTATGCCACATTACAATGCATTTATATGCTTAACACATTAACAGAATAGCCATTCATACAATTAACATGTTAGTCACGTAACCATTTAAATGCTTAAACTTTTTTCCTTTTCTTCATTGTATCCTAAAAGTTGTAAGACGCCAAAAGGATGGCGGCGAAGATTCAGTATAATGTCCACACGACGAACAAATACTCTGTTTTTGACACGGATAATTCAGATGAAGAAAATCAAAATAAAAAATTAAAAGAATTCAAGAAACGTGAAATAAATAGTGTCCATGAGGATAATACCAATAGTAAAAGTACAGGTAAAATGCATGAGTGTCCTTTAACAACATCTTTCTACGCGAATACTTGTAGTGGGGCGTAGGTGTAAATGTGTATATATGCATATATACACATGTATGTGTGGTGTGTACAGATGCACGTGTGTATTTGTGTAGGTGTATGCATGTAACGATGTGTATATATATTTACATGTTGATTTCTCTTTTTTGTCAAAAAAAAAAAAAAAAAAAAAAAAAAAAACAGCGTCACGCACAGTTATATGCAAATCGAATGAACACATATCCATATTGATTAACCGATGTGTAACTTCTTGTTGTGAAAAAATTTATATAATTTTTTATGGCACAGAAAAATAAAAAATTCTACATAAAGTTTGAGTTGACTAGGTTGATTTTTTTTTTTTTTTTTTTTTGCAAAATTGTTATAAGTGAATTATGTAATTGCATCTGATTAGGTTATAAAATATATATAGAAGCACGATATCATGTGTAGGTTTACTTACAATTAAGTGTTTTTCACTTTTTTTATTTTTTTTTTATGTATGCTATTTTTTTCCAACATTTACTGTGTAGAAAAAAAAAAGTTACCAGAAGTGAAGGACGTTAAACCTCCCGCGACGGTTAAAGAACAGAACGCAAAAAAAATAACAACTTCTAATAATTATAATAATGATAATAATGATAAATACAATAAATATATCAGTTCATCAGTTAATGAATTAAAGGAAAGTAATAACATCAACAGAAGTTACCGAGATAATTTCCATCCAAGGGGTAATAATATAAGAAGTAAATTTCCTCGAAAGAGAGCAGGAGGAGGATATAGTAATTCTTCTACCAATATTTTATCAAACAGTAATTTTTATAGGGGTTCAAGGAATTATGATTACAAATTTGGCTCCGATAGGAGGAACTATAATTCTTCATATAATTATAATAAAATAGATTATAGGGAGGTAAGACATAAAAGAAAAAATCATGTTATAATAGTAACTCATTTCACACACACATATGTGTGTTAATGCATATACACATGAGAGATTGTTTTAGATTATGTTGCTGTCTTTTTTGTAAATATGCGCACATGTATAGATGACGAGGCAGTTACGCATTACTATTGATACATATATATATATATATATATATATATATATATATATATATATATATATATATATATATATATATATGCTGTAAAATACACACGAATTTGCATGAACGCAAATCCATTTCTGTTGCACATTTCCGTCTCCTCATCCATGTAGAAAATGTTCAACGAATATAACGATAGTAGAAATATGTATGATAGTGGAAAAAGAGAATCATACCAAGATTCAAAAAATAAGAATTATGAAGAAAATATTAACATAACGAGAAAGCATGAATCAGTTACTATTGATTATGATCTCTATAGAAGACAACAAGAGAAAAAATTAATTTCTAAAAAAAATATAATAGCAGATAGTAGTGATAAAAAGACAAAAAAAAATGAAGTGAATAATGAAAAATTTAATACAACATCAAATAATAACACCAATTTAAAACGAAATGATAATGTGGAGAATGAGGGGAAATCAGATCATCCTAAGAGGAAAGCAATTAATGTTTATCAGTATATATTAGAAGAAGGGGGGAGAGTTGATAGAATACCAGGATTCCGTAGAAGTTATAGAAACTATAAAAAATTTGATGAAGCTAATTGGAATAATAAGATGGAAGGAAAAACAAAAATTCAAATGGATGAAAAAATTTTAAAAAAAAGAGATCCACCAAATATTAACGATACAAGGGCTTTTCCATCCTTGACCAGCAAATGATGTGAATCAACCCTTTTTTTTTTTTTCTCCCCCATATGTCCACCCCCATTTTTTGTGCATCTATGTGTACATTTGTTTGTATTTGCATGTGTATTTTTCTACCTGTATACATGTTTATACTTGCATGTTTGTTTATACTTGCATGTTTGTTTGTATTTGCATGTGTGTTTGTATTTGCATGTTTGTTTGTATTTGCATGTTTGTTTGTATTTTCATGTGTGTTTTTCTACTTGCATGTGTGTTTTTCCTACTTGCATGTGTGTTTTTCCTACTTGCATGTATGTTTGTATATGTGTAGGTGTATACTATTATGTACATACATCTATGTGCACATGCTGCACATGTATACATATGTGTATGTATTGGCGTGCAAAAGCATCTGTCCAAATGTGAAATAACCGTATTTTTTTAAAAATTAAACTGAAATGAAGCTAATATGAGTATTTTTTTTTGTTTAAAAAATATATAATAATTAAAGTATTACACTAGAATTAACAACGCGTTAAGAATTCCTTAAGAAAAAGTTTCCATAGAAAATTTTGTGTCGTGTGAAAAACGCAATTCTCACTGTTTAATATACCGAATATGTTTTCATGCTTTTGTCATTTGTAGGTATCGTATATATTCATTCGCAAAATGTTCGTTAGACCTTTTCACCCACAAATGTTCACACACAAAATTCGTCTTGCGTGAGCATGATTAAGCCCAATTAATAAGTGCATTTTGGAAAACATGTTCATACAATTTTGAATAAAAAATTTGCACGCTGTTATATGGTTAAGTAGGATCCTACGAGATTTTTCTATTCTAAAGAAACTAATGCAGTTATATATATTGTTCTCATGAGCATGTTCCTAGAAGTGTAGGCAACGAAAAATAAAAACACAAATAACTGTGATATGTTGCGCATGAAAAGAGCCATTATAATGTATATTCATTTTAAAGATTCTTCATTGCCTTGATGCTACCAAAGTGAGAGAGAACTAAAGCTTTCCAATTTTGCTTAAAAATAAAAATTTTATTTTATCATTTTTTTACTTTATTATTTTATCATTTTATCATTTTTTTACTTTATTATTTTATTTTTAGTTTTTTTAAAAAAGGAAATGAAATAAATAATATGAAATAAAAATAAGGGAATAAAAAAAAAAAAATTCTACATTTTAAAATTAATAAAATAAGGGGGAATGAAAAGCAATATACTCACTTTATGACAAATATATTAGAAGAAACTTGGGTAATAAAATCTGTTTGCCCTTCACGTGTAATCATAACTAAATTTTATGGTGATAAATACACACACATATGCATATATATATATATATATATATATATATATATATATATATATATATACACCATATAAAATAGCACGTGCGTAAATACATAGCTTTGCACCTGGGCGATATATACATTTCCCATTTTCGACATCCAAATGGGTTATATGTATATATGTGCCACATATAGGTGTATGTTCATATGTAAAGGTATATATTTATTTCCCCTCCTTTTTGACAAATTTGTGATTCTCAGATATTTACTTCACCTTTTGAATGGTTATGTCATATATATATGATGATCGATGTATGGGTACACATTTTCTGGAAAATATTTTCTGAATCTAGTATTTAAATATCTATTCTTGTATGGGATTTTTATTCTTTCTCCTTTTTGTTCACTTATAATTTTTTATCTCATACTTACAGATAATTTGGAAGCTTATCGAACCTTTGCGTACAAATTGTAAAAAAGGGGGGGGGAGGGGAAAAAAAAAAAAAACACCAAAGAATGGTGCACAAAAAGGAAAGAGAACACATATTAGATATACAAATGATATGATATAAACAACATATATCAAATAAACGAAAACAGAGATATGAGGTATGTAGTAGATGAGACAAACAAAAAAAAAAGAAAAAAAAAAAGAAAAAAAAAAAGAAAAAAAGAAACAAGTTGCTTGAAAAAAGGTACACGCACAAAACAGAGCAAATACAAAGCAAAACTTTAAATCCTATTTTTTGACAAGATATGCTGCTAATGAGCTAAATTGGTTGAGCCAATTTGGTACTTCATTTTTATTTTCTTCCTTTCGATTTTCTTCACTTATATCATTTACCTGATTCAATTGTGTGTTAAAATTATTCTGAGATGTGTTAATTTTTGGAGCATTTTGATTATTTCGTAATACTACTTGAGTTGTAATTGCTGTTCCTGTATCTTTCTTGTGTTCTAATGGAAAATTACTAGAACTATTGCCACCATTGATCAAATTATTTGTGATGAAAGGTTTATTATTTGTCGCACCCTGTATATTATTTAAGTTTAAAGTATTATTGTGCATGGGTAAATTATTATTCATTGCGATGTTCTTGCTAATCCCTTGTTTTGTTAAATTATTGTGCGCATTATTGTTAGAGATCCAATTGGGATCAATACCATTTGTTGCATTGGTAAAATTACTTTTATGTTGATTCTTCATATTTGGTATGTTGCTAGTCATACCGGTTTGGTTAACATTTATTATGTTGGATTGATTAAAAGTGTGGACGGTAGTAGTATCTGGATTTTGTGTCCTTAACGGTGCTCCCACATTTTTTCTTTCGGAAATTTGAGGGTTATAGCACACAATTCCAATAAAGATATTATTTAAAGAGTTCAAACTGTTTGATCCAATTAAATTCTTCATATCGCTAATAGTGTTATAAAATTCGTTAAATATAGGGCTACCTGGAAAAATAAGATACATGTGCCAATCTTCACTCATTGAGGATAACCCAACTCTATCTTTACTATTAAAATAGTTTTTATATGAATCTAAAATACTTTTATCCTCCTTATTCTCTATTTGGAAATAGTAAGTGGTTGCTATTTTGGGTATGTTTTTCATTTTTTTCCTATGACTTATAATTATGTTGGTAATATTATTATTTAAAAATTTATTCGTTTCCCCATTTAATTCATAACCGATAATATTTAAATTTTCTTTATTTCTCATTTCTAGGATACCTTTCCACGGGGAGTATTTCAAATTAGTTGGTTTGTTCAAGTCCATGTTAAGGATATTATTTCCACTTTTTGCTAATCCTCCATTATACATAACATTTAACAGATTATCATTCCCTTGAGTCACCATTTTTTTCTTGTTCGATAATTCATTATTAATCATGTGTTGTTTTAAGCCGATCAACATATTACTTTGTTCAGACATATGTAACTGGGCAGTGGGATTACCAATAATTCTATTTGTATTGCTAATTCCATTGGATTCATTATTTGACCCGATGTTATTCTTCACATTACTATTTGCTATGTTCAAATTTATAGATGGTCTATTAAAAACATGCTGGGCGCATTTCCTCAAATGATCACATAAATATAATTTTATTCTTGGGGGGTTGTTCATAGCATCTTTAATTAAAAATTGTAAAATTTCTTCTACTTGGTTATTTTTAACATCATTGTTTGGTTTACTTAAAATCTTATTTTCATCGTACGTTTTTATTAATTTATTAATATCTACATCTTTTCTATTTAAATTTGTTTGTCTATGTAAATTTGTTTGGCTGTTTAAATTGTTCTGATTGCTTATTTTCATATTTTCAATGATACTGTTACCACCTGTGCGTAATCGTTTATTTACCTGCTACGTTGGTCAAATCGATGTTACAATAAAAAAAAAAAAAAAAAAAAAAAATTATGAGTGGCAAATGCAGAGACTATGAAAAAGGAACACAAAATAAATGTGAAATACCTCCACATATGTTTAATAATTATAATGTGAAAAATGCAAAAAAAAAAAAAAAAAAAAGAACGTGTTATTAAAGGATACGTAGACCATTAATTTGGGATGTTCACAATATGTATTCAGTTTTCATAGAAAAAAAAAAACTCAAAAAAAAAAAAAAAAATGGTCAAACAAATGTAAAGTAATTTTAAAAATATATACATAATAAAAAACTACTAAAAAAAATAAGAAATTAACGTACTTCATGTTCTCGAAATTTAATTGTCTCCGAGTCGTATGGATTAATATTGTCCTCATTTAGAGTACCGTCCTATGGTATGAAAAAATATATATATGTATATATATATATGAGCATATATAAGACACTAGAAGGAACAAATGATATGTAAATTGAATTCGAAGAACACTTCTTAAAGTATCATATAAAATTACATTCCTCGCCATGCGCTTATTATTGTTGGAGTATCGATGGTTGTAGAAATGATTGTTCCTATTTATTTTCCGATGGAATTTATTGTTGCTCATGGCAACATTTGCATAGTTTACATTACTTTTTATGCTTCCATTGTTGTTACCGCTATTATTATTGCTGTTCATGTACTGGTAGTTGTTCACATTGCTATTTCCATCATCATCATTATCATCCACTATTTTGTTGTTATTTCTTTTAAAGTCAATTCTTAAAGCTCTTCCATCTATATAAATACGTAAGTACAAAAAAAGGAAAAGTAGAATAATGTATAAACCATTCATACAATATGGAATATACTTTTCTATGAATGACATATTGAAAACATAACAAAACATGAAACGTAAAGCATAGGAAATAAGGCGCAACATGATACAAGGGAATTATTTTTATAACTGGAATCATGTAAAAGGATATACAAAAGATATACGCTAGTAAGTCATTATAGAAATGGATTATAATGAGTACTACACTATGAATGGATGATGTATGAACAAATGGAACATACTGACAATGAAAAGATGTTCAACTGAGACAAAGAACCACTAAAAAAGCTTGAAGAAAACAACAAAGTAGGAAAATAAATGAACAAAAGAACAGGTGAACAACTGAACTAATGTACAAATGTACAAATGCAGAAATTAACGCACGTGCAAAAATATATTTTAATGAAAAATTACTTAAAATTTTCCCATTCATTTGCTTTAGACATCTTTTAGCCTCCTCCGGAGCGCTAAAAAGAACGTGAGCGTATATAGCATAAGGTCCAATATTTTTATTTACTTTAAGATTTATGCTTTCTATAGAACCAAATTTCTTAAATAAGTCCAACAGTTCGCTTTCTTTTGTCTCTTTTGATATGTTTTTTACGCATAAAGTTCTAGGCGCCTTATCATCATATCTATTCTCATAATCTTTTTTACTAGTATTCAAGCTACTAGTTTGATTTTGCATTTGCACATCGGTCATTTATTCGATATTTTACAAAAAAAAATGTAAAAAAAAAAAAAAAAGATACGTCATTAGAAAATTAGCCTTACAAGAATTAACCTTCTTTTTTTTGTCTCTTTATCAATCTTGTTTTTTTTTTGTTTTTTTTTTTTGTTTTTTTAATTTTATAAATTATTTCCCACTAAAGTGGTTATAAAATGTAAATCGGTATTTAAAAAAATAAAATTATGTACTTTTCATTTGTATTTCTTAAAAAATTGAAGAAGGCTATTTTTCTATAGAGACTTTGAACGTTGTACTGAAAAAATACTTTGTTGTGCTGTTCTTAGTTGTGCAAAAATGTTTCTGGTATATTTTATTATTGCTTCTAGCATTCATTAACGTATGTATATATATATATATATATATATACATATGCACTAGTGTGATACGAAAAAATGCGGGACAAGAAAAAGAGTTGTGTGTGTTTTGGACGTTCTCCTACAGATGGTTTTTAAATCTCCAAAGGTGTTCATCTCACTCCTATATGTATCTGCATACATATATATATGCATACATGCACATATATATTCTTGAATATATGTGTGTGTATTCAACGTATGAAACATATATGTAAACACTTTAATATGTGCGAAGCCTAAAGAGTATTTCGGTGTCTTTTTTATTTTAATTTTATTTTCCTTTTTATATTACATAAATCTATGCTACTTATATATAGTGACACTTTGCATTAAAAGGTATGCAACGATCAAGGTCGTGTTGTTCCCAACATACGTTTCAACTACACGCAATAACGAAGGGTTAGTGTTCTTTGCGTGTGTACATAGTGTGGGCAAACAGAGGTGTTTATAAAAATGTGGAGGTACATATATGCATATATATATATATACTGGCTTACTTATACTTAAGAATAGCGAATTATTGTATTTTCTTTTATTAATATTTATGTCGATTGCACTTCTCGATTTAAAAAAAAAAAAAAAAAAAAAAAGAATTTACATAATAGCAAAAGGTGGCCCTAATCAAATTCAACTTTAAATAACCATTTAATACCTTTTGCATTTCCCATGCAAATATTGTGTTTTAAATAAATGTGTTTATAACATGCATCAACCTTCTTATATTATGCAAATAATTGTGTACGCAAAAAAAAAAAAAGAAAAAAGAAAAAAGAAAAAAACATAAAATAAAATAAATTTTAAAATTTATTAGGGTTTCCTTCTCACATAAGCCTATTTATATACGCTCTGCTATTATTTCAGAGATTCATGACAGAACTTTCATATTTCATGCAAGTACAATTCGTTTATTTCTATCATCAACATTTCTTTCCTTTTTCTGTGTTATTATCATCTCATTAAAATGTATTTAATTCACAAAAAAATGCTAGGTTCAAAAGAAGATTATTTAAATACTGAAATCTTCTTCCATTTTAAGCATTTATACTTTTCTTAAAGATTTTTTTTTTTAGCAACTACTCATAACACAAATGCAATTCACTAGGGTTTATGTTTTTTCCATGTTTATTTTATTTTGAGATTGAGATATATATAAGTACAACTTAAAAAATGTATATATATAAGTAAAAAAATAAAAAAAAAAAGAAAAGTATATATATATATATATATTATGTACAATATTTTTTTATATATTTGTTTCGCAATGCTTTTTATTTATATACATACAATTTTTCTAACTCCAAAATGACTTTTTTTCTGAGGTTATTTTTATGCATTGAATAAATTAGTTAAAAAAAAAAAAAAAATTGAATAAAAGAAAAGAAAAAAAAAAGTAAAGCTGTTTTTTTGCTATATTATAAAATCATTGCTATGAAAAAAATCAGGCACGAAATGACGGAATGACGAAATGATGAAATGCCATGCACTTGTTTTATTACATGCAGCATGGAAGCGCGCTAAAAAAGAAAAAAATGAAATAATATAAATATTTCTTTTACCCATGATATGTATATATATATAATATATATATACATACATATACACATAATCATACATACTATAACCCATAAAAAAAAAAAAAATTGCAAAAATTGTGTACTTAAAAATATATGAATTTTTTCTTCTTTTTTGACTATTTTTGCTTATGTAAAGTTCATGCACATATGTATATATGCATTACAATTGAAAATATGCAAAAACGCCAAACATTCAACGATTTTTATAATGCAAAGAAAAGCACTATTTTTTACTTTTACATTTAAAAGAGCAATTTTTGTAAGAGCTTTCTTTTTGTTTTTCAGTGCATAAGAAAAAAAAATTATGCACAGAGACAGACTATAATTTTAAAGAGAACATTAAATATATAATATTTCTCCAATTTAATGCATACAGAATATAGATTTATTGGTGTAATTATGTGCATTTTTAACTTAACACACATAAATGAATTCATATATTTTTTTTTTGAAATTTATTTAGATGAATATAGCAAAATTATAGAACATCCATTGATCATTTGTAAAGTATTTTTCATGTACGTACATATTAATATATTTTTTATAAAGTTTTGTAAGGGAGGTCTACCATAATGCATGTATTTATTACCACCATGTATCACAATCTGTAATGGTGTTTAATTTTTGACATATCTCCAAAACATATAAAGAAGGATATGATCCTCACACATATATGTGGGAATGCATGTATGCGTGAATACATATTGAATTTACTGTTTAGACAGGAATGTGATGAAAGAAAAAAAATATATTACGTGCAATGTTCTTATTTATCTACATTTAGGCAGTGTCTTGATGATTTGTTATAAAATTCACTCTTATTAAACTGTGGATTTGATCAGGTATTCAATGTAAAGAAATAAAAAGTATACAATAATAGGGATGTGAAGAGTGAAACACTTGTTTCTGCCCACATTTGCAATGCATATATGTAGAACATATATGATAACAGAATTGCCACAATTTGCCACAGAATATGAATATATATATATATGTGTTTTCAATAAAACGCTCTTAAATGTGCAGAATATTTTTCTTTAAAAAGTCTAGTACATTTTTTTTTTTTTTTTTGGGAAAAGACTACAAAAACCACCAGAACAAATGAGTACCACTGCGTATAAACATATGTGTATATTGTTTGAAAATATATGAAATTTGAGATTTCCTTAAAATGATGAAAATTGTGAGGTTTTTTTAGGTTCATATTTTAAAAAACAAAACAACGTTGATTGAAACAAACGTTAAAAAAAAAAATAAGTTTGTTAATTTTTAAACAGTACAAGAATACATAAGCCCTGCACACAATTTCAAATATGGCTAAATAAATCAAATGAAAAAAGTCAATTATAAAAATACATTGGGTCCAAATTGGAACAAATGAATTCTTTGTTTTCTTAAAATGTCAGCGGGATACAAAAAAAGGAAAAAAAATAATAAATAAAAATTAATAAAAAAGAAAAAAAGAGGCAAAGGAATATATAAATTCTTGAAATTATCCAAATAATTATTGCTTTAAAATTATTTTCAAATGGATAAAAATAAACGAGCGTGTTGTGCCAAACATGGGACAAAAATAGAGGTACTGTAGAATATATAAAGTAGCTGTTCGGCGTAAAATAAAAAAAATTATTTTTAAGACGTTCCTTGCTTTTTGCTAATTACCAGTTGCATATTTACCTCGTTGGAGAAGTAACATCTTTTAACTTTCCAAAATTTTGTTGCATGTAAAATGTTGATATATGGAATGAATAAAAACTTCATGCGTTAAGTTAAAATAAGAAAACAAGAATGTTCAGAATAGTGTTCATTTAAAATATTTTCTTTTTTTTAAATCTTTATTATAAGAAATACAAGAATCTATTATCCTTTTAGAGGCTTCTTTATTAATTGTAAGAGATCTTTTATCTTCATTATTTTCTGGATTTTTTTCTTTTATTTCATTCATTAGAGATTGTATTTTTTTTAACTCATTTTTAATTGGATGATTGATAAGAAAATTACCTGATATTTTCAAATAGGAATGAAAAATAGAACAAATGGCGTAAGCAAGAAATGAATTGTAATCGGCGTACTGAACGGGGTTTAATACTTTTTCCAAATCCTTTAATGAGTAATGTGTCTTTAATAATCCAAAATTTGTTTGAAATTCTTTAATAGAAGAGTTTAAGTTTTTAAGAATTTCTACGTAATCATCTTTTTTTATTTCTAATACAAGGTCTTTCTGACCTCCTGTGGGTCTAGCACTTTCTTTTTTGTCCATTCCAATTAATTGTAATAAAAATATAAAATTTGGAAAATGATATTTTCGGGAATTTACAAACAGTGCACTATTCCAATGATCCGCATGTATATTTAATTATATATAACGTATGTAACGACGTATTTACTTAATTATGTACTTGCTTTTTTTTTTTTTTTTAAATGTTTGGATATATATGAAAGGAAAATATAATTCTACTAATTCTCTATGAATAAGCTTCATATTTTAAATTTCATTCATTTAAGATGGGTGTAAAAAGGGAAAAAGACATTGATAACTTTTAAAATAATTTATGCCAACATATTTTTTTTTTTTTTTTTTTTTTTTTGGGGGGGGGAGGGTTTACATTTAATATATTCAGTGTTAACATTGGGTATACGTTGGGTTACACTAAATTCGCTACATGAGAGAAACAAAAATGTTCTTAATTTGTTAGAATACTATTATGTGTCTGATGTAATATCTTATTTTATCATTCTGTTTTGCCATTCAGTCTTTTTTTTAAAAATATTTACAAACAATTAATAATTTTAAGCGTATAATATATTCCCTTTTTGGCAATTTATCCTATAAGAGGAACTATTTCCCATTAAATTGAATTTACAGTGTCGTTGTATAACTACGCTATTTCTGCGCTAAAAACAAAAAATCTTACAGTTCTCTATTGTTGTTTCCACAAAATATCCATACAATTTTGTGAATGTTTTATGCAAATAATGGCTTCATTTTTGTTTAACGAATTAAGATTTTGCAAGTATGATGTTGTTACAAAGATATGCATACAACTGCAAATATAAATGTATATGCGAAATATGACTAGAAAATAAAAAGTTTCCTGTTAAGCACTAACATAAAGAATTTCCGGTTATACTGGGAATGGCATAATTAATGTCATAATCGTGATAGCCTATTTATTTACTTTTTATCGAATTTGTTGTGTGGTTATTTTCTTCTTTTTAAAAAAAAATATAAATTTTCAAAATAGTGAAAGAAAGGGCATTTTTAATTTAACTCCAACAGCATATACAAAGTTAAACTATACATGCATAGTAGCAAAAGGGAAATGAATCTCACGGGTATAATTTTTTTCTACATAATAATTTAACTTCAGGTTTAGGAAAAATGCGAGGCAAATAAGTGAACAAATAGCTATTTCATTTAAAAATTTTGTTCGTTCTTTTTTTACTCCTAAAAAAAATTATTTCCTCAATTTTTTGAACTGTGCTTAGAAGTGTGAAAAACGGGGGAAACAAAAAAATAAAAAATGTTATTAAATAAATAATAAAATATAAAATGAAATAAAGAAGAAAAAATAAATTCATAATTTCAAATATCAAATGGTAAATAATTTGAAAGAAAAAAAGAAAAAAAAAAAGGTCCCTTGACGGAAATAATTTTTGAAACGTGAATTTAAAAATCCTATTATTAATTTATGTTATGACGAAACAGTTCGATAAAAGAAGTGTAAAGAGGGACTGTATTTTTTTTGTATCTTTTTTTTTTTTTTTTTTTTAATTATTTTGATTATTGCAAACAAGGAGCCTAAATCATAATAACATGCACAATATATAATCATAAAATCTCACATGACACAACGGAAAAAAAGGGTGTATTATATATAATATATATGAAGTAACTGGCATAACAATTGTGTAGTAGTGTAAAATGCCTCAAGCTTTATATGCCATTTTAATACCTTACGATTATCTCTCAAGGCAATCTAATAAATTATATAAAAAAAAAAAAAAAAAAAGAAACAGTTGTCTCTGTTTCTACGTGTACTTCGTAAAAAGGCATTGTTATGGATAAAAAAAAGAAAGTTTATTTCTTGTGAAATAGGTATTAATTTTTAAAATTCCCGAATGTTTTTTTTTTTTTTTTTTTTTTTTAAATTCTTTAAAGCGTACTTATATTGACTGCTCTATTTTTGAACTTTTTTAAAATTTACCAAAAAAAAAAAAAAAAAAAAAAAAAAAAAGGCAACATAAAATAAAATAAAGTTAATGTAAATGTTTGAGAAAAATATTCATCATTTTGAATACAAAATAGATATACAATTTTGCTATGTTTTCCCTTTTATTTTTCTTTTCATCACCACTTTTTCACAATTTTTTTAATCCCGCATATATGTATATATATATTACATATATATACATGCATACATAACATATTTATAAATTTAAAAAGAAGACTTTGGATTTACAATAGTGGAACATCCCTATTCTTCCCCGGCACAATTTGGATTAACACCTTTGAGATTGACTTAAATAAAAAATATGTGAAATTAGCACAACACATACATATCACATATGTATATATGACACCTAAGGATATTTCACCATGTATAGTTTCTCCTGATAGGTGTTGTTTAATGCGTATCACATGAGACTATATTTAAAAGGGGGGGGAAATGTATTAATATGTTGTATGTGTATATTATTTACATATTTTATATGAACATATATGTGACGCATACTTATAAAATATATTTATACGTTCCGCGCATATACTTATATGATAACCCTTTTTCCCCTCACCACCTTGAAATATATCATTCGTTAAGAATTAAAAGTCGCGTTATTTGTTCCTTTTAATTTTCTTAAAAAGTTAATGCATTCATATGAATAAAGTTTGAGAAGAAATAGAAGAAAAAAAAAAAAAAAAATAGAGTAATGTTGTGATTACAATTTTAAAAATTTTTTCCTTTTCACATATTGGAAAAAAAAAAAAAAAAAAAAAAAAAAATACAATATGATTCAAGATAAGTGCAATGAGAATAACGAAAAATACAGTAAAAAATGTAGAGAATACAATTATTATAGGAGTTACGTGAGTGGTATAAATAGTAAGTATATGGGTTTTTCGAACATGCATAGAAATAGTTCCAACAAGAATTTTAATGATTCCAGAAGAAATAACAATTACGACTATCGATATTGCAATAATAATGCTTACAACAATGTGCACGACAGTTACTATAGCTTACACGGTAGCTCTTACAATAGTTCATATAACTGTTCTTATAATGACGTATATTGTAACGCTTATAACAACCCTTATAATAACAACTTTAAAGCTCCCCCGAGGAGGAAAAGATTCAGGAGCTTTAACAGTACGAGTAATTCCAATCGGAAAGGTAACAAGTTTTTTAAAAAATTTAAAAATTACAATGATGATGAAAATATAATTGGAGTGTATAAAAATGGAAGGAAACGTAGCTACTCGTCCATGAGAGTAATTAATGACAAAGAACAAAGAAATGACAAAGTGTACATAGAATCGAGGTATAGCAATAATGAACATAAAAGGAATTATTTGAAAAATTTTAATATATATAAAAAGCGAAACTATTATTCTTATAAAAAAAATATATATAATAGTGATAGGAGAAATTATGATACTCATTATGGACAAGGGAATATTTTCTACAATAATGAATATTATTTAATTAATGATGGAACAACCTTAAAAAGGAAAAAAATACGTTACGGTAATAAAAATATTTCTAGAAGTAATTCAAAAAGTTATAATAGTTACATTGACAGGATGAATAATAGGAGAAATGACCTTAGCAGAAATGGTAGATATAAAGAAACAGATATGCATCACAAAACAACAGGTAGCGTGGGAAGTTCATACAATGGAGCTAGTGCATCCACAGCAGTAAGGATATGTAAATATAAAGACAAGGATGATAAATCCAACAAGTCATATAAGTTAAAAAATAGTGATACTACGAATGATGATGATTCCAGAAAATTTGATCCGAGGGACAAAATGGGAAGTAGGAGGAATAGCATCGTCAGGAAAAATGATAATGAAAAAGGTGCACTACTACTGAACTCTCGTAATTATATTAAAGGTACAAGAAAAAGAAGAAATGTTGCAAGTAGTTATAGTGGTACTAGAAGTAGACGTAGGAGCAGAAGAAGAAGCGGGCATAGAAGCAGACGAAGGAGACGCAGAAAAGATAGCATCCGTAAATATGGGGAGACAGACACAAGTGATTCATCGCAAAGAGGCAGCAATTGCCCTTCATATGTAAATAAAAAAAAAAAGTACGCTGATAAACACAGCGGATCCTACAAAAACATATCCCCAGGGGAATCAACAGATGACACATCTGTTAGAAAAAAATATAACCATAAAAGAAATAGAACAGAATTTTCGGAAAAAGAAGATAGTAATAGTATTAAAAAAAAAAAAAAAAAAAAAAAAGAGAATTATGACTCGGATGATGAAATTGTTCATTTTAGTTGGAAAAGGGGTATGATACTAAATAACTGTTATCTAGTTATACGAAAAATGGGTGAAGGTACCTTTGGTAGAGTTTTATTATGTGAACATACAGACACGAAAAAATATTACGCTGTAAAAGTTGTTAGAAATATAAGAAAATATACGAAATCTGCAAAAATAGAAGCAGATATATTAAAAAAAATTCAAAATGATGACTATAAAAATAATAATATTGTTAAGTACCATGGAAAATTTATGTATTATGATCATATGTGTTTAGTATTTGAACCCTTGGGTCCATCATTATACGAAATTATTACCAAGAATAATTATAATGGGTTTCATTTACAAGATATAAAATTATATTGTATTGAAATGTTAAAGGCATTAAATTATCTTCGAAAAATATCACTAACACACACCGATTTGAAACCAGAAAATATTTTATTAGATGATCCATATTTTGAAAAAACATTAGTAAGTGTTAGAAGAGCTACAGATGGAAAGAGAGTTCAAATATATAGAACTAAATCAACAGGTATAAAATTAATTGATTTTGGTTGTGCTACTTTTAAGGATGGTTATCATGGATCTATTATAAACACTAGACAATATCGTGCTCCAGAAGTTATTTTAAATATAGGTTGGGACGTATCAAGTGATATGTGGAGTTTTGGTTGTGTGTTGGCTGAACTTTATACAGGGGACCTCTTATTTCGAACGCATGAGCACTTAGAACATCTTGCCTTGATGGAAGCTATTATTCAACCAATTCCCAAAAAATTGATATATGATGCTACTAAAACTAACGGAGCTAAATATATAAGTAAAGATGAACTCAGATTGGCTTGGCCAGAAAATGCATCTAGTTTTGAATCCATTAAGTATGTCAAAAGGTCCTTACCTTTGCACAAACTTATAAGGAATGATTTGTTTTGTGATTTTTTATATAGCATACTGCAGATTGATCCTTCCCGCAGGCCAACTCCGTCGGAGTTGTTGAAGCACAAATTTCTTCAAGAAGATTATGGATATTACTAATTCTGGGTTGTTGCTTATGTGAAGTTGGAACAGCTTGAACATGTGCACCCATTGGTGACACGGAATCATTAGTGGTGGGAAAACGTTTTTGCAGAAGCCAACCTGTTTATAGACAATTCATTTTGTCTTCCCCACAATTTTATTTATTGTTACGTATATATATATATATATATATGTATATATGTATGTTTGTATGTATTTGTGTATGTACGCATGTATATATACATGTTTTCGTGTTTTATTTTTACCTTTTTTTTTTTTTTTTTTTTTCATTTGAATTTAGTTGAAACTGATTATTTTTATTCCCCTAATTTGTCATTATTTTTCAATTCATCTCTTAATCTTTTATTTGTGATTTTAGCTATTGTGGCGCATACCCGTTTTACGCTATTAATTTACGTTCTTTGAGGGGTCTATAGGAAAAACATTTTTTGAAATTATCACCCTTTATAATCCATGTGTATTCGTTTATCCCATTTTTTACACTTGTTCCACACACATGCATGTAGATCCATGTACAAATGGTTTCCATGATGGATAATATATCGTATGATTGAATGCGAATGCCTTAGTTGTATTTTTTTTTTTTTTTTATATTTCTACTTATTTATTTTGTTTTACATATTTCATTTTATTTATTTATTTTTTTGTTTTTATTTTTTTTATATTTGGAAGGATTATTTTTGTAAAAATAAAATATTTTATGTATACCTAGATATATGTATAAATAATATATGCATAATACTATGCTTTTATGTGTCTCTACCTTAAGTTGTGGTTCATTTTTGTTCATCGTGTTAGTCTACCTTGTTTCTCCCAATTTTTTGTTTTAATCAAATCTAACCCGTACTCATGAAGAAACAAGGAAGTGTTTTATAAAAACATTGTTATTCGTTAATATATTTATGGACTATCTTCAAGTTTACAAAGAGCCATTGGAATACTTAAAAAAAAATATAATAATAAAATAGAAAAATAATAAAGTGATAAATAATAAAGCGATAAATAATAAAGCGATAAAATAAAAAAGTAGAAAAATAATAAAGCGATAAAATAATGAAGTAGAAAAATAATAAAATGATAAAGTGATAAAATAAAAATTTTGACGTGCATGAGGCGGAAGTAGTGCAAGAAATGTTTAATGGGGTCTTCAAGTAGGAGTTACTAAAATGTAAGAAAATTCAAAGATACATTTGGTATTTGTAACTGGATGGGGTATTATTGACGTAAGACTCAATCAAAGGGGCGAAATACAAAAGTGGTTAATGTGCGCTGTAAAAATAAAATAAAAAATGATAGCTGTTGTGATAGCTGTTGTGATAGCTGTTGTGATAGCGGTAGTGACTGTGCAATTGCAGGAGCTTGATTGTTCTTAAAAATACCTCTTAAAGGATTCTTCACAAACATGGAACAAGAAAGAAAGGGAAATGATAGCTTTTTTTTTTTTTGTGTATGAGCGAACCGAACCAGTATCTGCAATGTATTCTCGTGTAGTAGGGGTTGGGAGGTTTTAGGAGCGTTTGTTCAGTATAATGTGGTTAAAAGTTTTCTGGCTTGAAACCCATTTCCTCCTAAAAATAAAAAAAAGAAAAAAAAAATTAAATTTTAAATTAACACAGTAGTATGCACTCGTAAGAAACGGACAAGTGGGGAAATAGAAAAACTTGTGGAACGAAAAAATAAAATAAAATAAAATAAATAAATAAATGCCCACCAGTCAACATGTAGAAATACTCCAACTTGTTAATGTCGAAATTGTAGATCACATCCTGATTATACAAATGGGAAACATAATTTTTAAACTCACGCAAGGTAAAATTACGAACTGTCTTTATTTGAGTTTTGTGTATGCCCAAGAGTTCAGGCCTGAAATTTCTTCGATTTTCTCTATCCCAACATGTGGAAACAATTTTCACACATCTCTTATATTTGTTGGTATCCCATTTTAGTAACAATTTCGGTATAGTAAAATAGTAGGTAGGAATGTACCCATTATATTTTGTGTTTTCAAAATTTATGGATAAGTATTCTGAGACACTTAAATTGAAATTAAACTGATCGACCACAATTAGAAGAGGAAATTCATTTTGCTTTTTTAAATGTTCAAATAATGCATAAATACAAAGATTAGAATATGAAGAATTGTTAATTCCAATATTTACTAATTCTAACAAATTGGATGGGACAGAAAATTTATCTAAAATGTTTGGGATTTTTACATTATCATAGTAAAATTTGTATAATTTTTGTACATAAAAATTTTTTTCTTTTTCACTTAACGAATTATAATTTTGTTCATCATTTTTTATTTCTACATCGATAGTTTTTTTAATAATATCATCATATATTCTTTTGTTATATAATAAATGGGTTCCATCTAAACAAGTATTTTGTAGAATTTCTTTACTTACTTTGAGTTTTTTTAAAAATGGTTCATTTGCTTTTACTATATCTTCAAGAAATTGTCTACTCAATTCTGGTTGAATATATAAGTTCGTATTACTACGAACAATGTTGTTAATATCAAATTTATACTTTTTTATATCAGGGACGAAGATAACAAACCATTGTTTTAATTTTGCCCATAAAACTATGCTATTGAGAATGCTGCTTTTCCCAGTTCCTCTCTTTCCATCTATTAAGATGCTTCTGCTCTTGTACAGACTTTCAGTATTATTGCTTCTTCCTTCCACATTGTAGAACCTGTTATTCATGTTATGATTTTCATTTTTTCTGATGTAGCATGTTGCACTATCACTATTGTAGAATACTGTAGATTCGTCCTTTTGTGCAAAATAGCTATCCAATGTGTATGAGTCCCTTGGTTTTCTTAAAGTTGAATTTTCTTCAAAATTTTTCAATTCTTCAATAATTTCGTATGTCAATTTTCTGAATAAAAGCCCTATTCCCTTCATATTATTGATGTATTTCATTTTGTTTTCATCTATTATGGTGTTGTTTTTTTCTAGTTCCCTCAGGAATAACCCTAGGTTCCCATCTTCATGTTCACTTGGAGATAAAATTGTTCTCGTTCTAACATTGACCTCACTATTACCACTGTGTTTATCAAAACTAGCATCCCCATTTCTATCGACACAAGTGCTTGCACCGTTGTGCATTAAAATGTCCTTTGGCAATTCCCCTGCTAACCCTTCGGGGAAAAAAGTGTCTAGATATTCCTTCTCGAAAAGGAAGTATTTATCGATGTTTGCAATAGAAAAATCTGATGAAGTAACATTTTTGAGTTTGTAATTCTTTACATTTATATACATATCCGAATTGAAGAAAAAATCAGCCACGTTTTTTTTTTTCTGTGTCCCTTGAATGTTTAGTAATTTGTTATATCTCTCTTCTTCATACGGGAATGCAACTAATTCCTTGTTGTATATCTTTAATAAATCATCTTCATTTCTTCTATAGCTTTCTCTATACGTTTTGTGTACCTTTGTATTGTTGATAATTGATGGGATATTGTATGTGTTGAATGCACGAACAGAGCACCGGGAAATTTTCATTTTTCTATTAGCTCAGTGAGGAGGTGGAAAAAAGTAGAGTAAAATAAATGAAAACAAAAACAAAACAAACAAAACAAACAAAACAAAAACAAGCAAAACAAAACATACAAAACAAAAACAAGCAAAACAAAACATACAAAACAAAAACAAAACATACAAAACAAACAAAACAAAATAAAAAAAAGCACAAAAACAAATGATAGTCAACTTTGGTAGCTTATTCTTCCCCTATAAGATTTAAATCCCACAAAAAGTAGAAAAATATATTCATATGTTCATATTTCAGTGCACTTTTCCCTGTGCTTATATATAATGACACACTTAAACGTGCACACATGCATTGGGGGAACGCCTTTGAATAATCACATAAATATACGCTTGAACATGGAAAACCTAAGGTTAGGAGAAAACACAATATTACATATATAATCAATGTCCCAGAAAAATTGATGACACATAAATTTGCAGTGTACGGGAATTTTTACACCTGACTCAATCTCATGTCTGTGTTCAAATAGAAAAAGGAGATAAAATAAAATGAGTGGTTGAATAAATGATATTAAAAATGGATGATTCGTTGTTGTTATGAGAAGAGGAAGAAAAAATAGAATAAAAATAAAACAAAATAAATATAGTTCTATATAAATAAACATTCATATATTTTTATTCTTTTACCTGCTGTTCAGAGATTGACCAAGAATCCCTTTCATTTTTTTATGCAATACCGGAAGGTACAAGGTAGAAATTTTTTAAGAAAAAAAAAAAAAAAATAGAAAAAAATAGAAAAAAAAAATGAAAAATACTATACACTTCTCACTTCTCCAGATGCAAATCTGTTAGAAACATTATTAACAATTCAACTACTTAATTATTTATCGAAACTGTAATATGAAAAGACAAACATGTGCAGAAAAACCCTACTATTTTTAAGGTATCTCTAATTTTAGCAATGATTATTCATCGAACTGTTATTACGTGATTTACCCCCAAATAGATATGAAAAGTGACACTTTCAAATTTTGCACATTTTTGTTCATGAATATGTATGCGTATCTAAACTTGAATACCCTTTAATTTTCCGCTACATTTTTTTCTTTTTTTTATATGTCACGTTTTATACAGATGATTATAAATTATGAAGTGTTACCTGTGCAGAGGGGTTAAACGTTCCTAATTCATTTTGATAATTTCATTATTCATTTATATTTGTTTTGGTTTTTATGTAAATATTAAGGAAAAAAAACACAAATTAACTTTTGTATGCAGTTTTCGCAAGAGAAGCCATTTGTGTAAGCAAATAACCGTGAACGGAAAAAAAATAAATAATAATTATTATTATTATAAAAAATTAAAAAATAAGTACAAAAAAATAACAATAATCATAGGTTATAGACATGCGCATTATACTCATATAAGAAATGATATATGTGCTGAGTTCGTGATAAAATAATCGAGTGATCACAGAACGAATTTAAAAAAACTCCTACAACATTTTTAACCAAGAAAACAGCATAAAAAAAGTGATAAATGTTTTAAATATGTTCACATAAAGTTATTAAAAGGAAAAAAATTTATTCCTAATAGGGTAATTTCACGCGTTGGAAAATTGGAAGAGTAGGAAAATTTGAAAAGTTGACAAATTTGATATGTTGACAAATTTGAAATGTTGACAAATTTGAAATGTTGACAAATTTGAAAAGTTGGAAAAATGTTCATCCATTTCTTCTTACATGTTGAAATGTAGATATAAGTTTTAATCACACCTACCATATTTTTTTATATATTTCTAAGCTTTCTACTATGTGCTAATCATGACATTCCCGTTATGCATTATACAGTGTTCTATATAACTCTTTCTTTAAGCGTAACAGAATTTTAAAAATCTCTTCATTCATCATTTTCCCAGATGGATTATCTGAATCTGAACTACTTTCCTCTTCGTCATCTAATTCAGCTTCTTTAGCCAATTTACTTAAATGGGATTCATTCTTATTATCTTTTATTTTATTTTGCAATTCTACCATTTTATTACAGCATAAAATTGCATTGTGTATTTTTGCATTATCACTATCGCTAAGATGTTTGATCATTTCAAGTTCGTTCAGTTTTTCTAAACTGAGACCTATTTTTTGGAGTGAATTTTTCCAACGTATGATTTCCTCATCTGTTATGAAGCAGATGCAGGTGCCTTCAAAAGATAAGTACATGGTGATAGGTGGGGGATGGGGACGGGGAAAAGGAAAAAAAAAATGCAGAAAATGAGACACTTTATATATATTTAAATAAACGTATGTGTGATGAGAACAAAAATATAAAAAATTGATATATATATACAGAACTAATCATACAACAATTGTGATAAAATGTATATTAACATATGCATCTTGGATTAAGTACATTTTTTACCTGTTTTGAAATTTCGAGCTGTACGACCAGACCTATGAACAAAGGTAATATCCGAAACAGGACAACTGAGTTGAATTATTACGTCACATTTATCCAAGTCTATTCCTCTGCTTAATACATCAGTACAAAATATAATAGCATCATTCGTAGATTGAGAAAATTTGGAAATATTTTGCATACGTTCCTTTAATGTTTGTTTAGAATGTATAGAGTAAACGCTTATTTTTTTTTTCAATGATAGAGAACATTTATATTTTTTTGGTATGGATGATTCTAATCCTTGATGAAAGAATAAAAATTGAAATATGATTTTTAGCTCTTTAGTTTCTTTGATAGTGTTAACAAAAATTACAATTTTTTTAACATGGCTCTGTTCAGCATTGTTATTGCAGTTGCTAATATCATCATCATCATTGTCATCTTTAGATCCGTCTATAGGGGTATTTAAGATAAGTAATTTCAAAAGATAAAAGAGCATGTGCAATATTTTTTTCTTTTCACATTTCACAATACTCAGAGAAAGACCATCTGGTAAGATACTACTCCCTGTGTTATTGGTACCCATATCATCATCATCATCTGCCAGATTGATGATACATGATTTTTCCTTCCTTATAGTTACATAACTTAATAGTTTCGCTAAATTTTCATTTTGTAAATGAATGGTTAGTCCTAGGGTGGCCGAAAGAAGAAATGTCTGAATAAATTTCTTCTTATCATCGACATGTTTGTATATATGTTTTGCAATAAAGTTTATATCTCTCATGAAGGAAGTTTCAATCATTTTGTCAATTTCATCACATGCAAAATATCTTACATTTTTCATTTTATACAAATAATTAATTTTATTATCTAGAAGTAAAAAATATTTTAGCCTCCCAGGTGTACATATTAAAATTTCTGGTTTGTTCGATATAATTCTTTTCTGTTTATTAATATTTAATCCTCCAATAATCGTCGCAATGTAAATATTGATATATTTATTTATATAACTGAAGTGACTTAAAATTTGTATTGCTAATTCTCTAGTTGGCACTAATATGATACATCTAAGTTTTGGAATGCATTTTTTTTTTTTTTCATATTCCTTTATTTTTTTATCCACAATGTTGTTTAATATGGGTATACAGAATGTTAACGTTTTTCCTGTTCCCGTTTTTGATACTACGATTATATCTTTCTTATAATTTATGGAATTTTCTAATGTCTGCTCTTGAATTTCTGTTGGTTTCCAAAATTTAGCATCAAGCAATGATTTCATTATACTATACAGAATGTTAACTTTCCCTTTCATGTTCCATTTTATGTAGTGCACCTTGTGTTTTATATTGTCTGTATTTTTGAAGATTTCTTCGTTTTCTATAATTTTATTTATGTCTAATTTTTCTTTTTTCTTTCTCTCCACCGTGTCTCTAAACTTTTCTTGGGCACATGGAGCGGAACTTATTTCAATACATTCACTAGCGTCATTAGGAGATTTTTTTTTTTTTTTTCTTCCTCTTTTTTTTTTCCTCCTTTTGAATACTTTAGGAGTATCTTCCTTATCATCTTGGATTTCATTTTGGTTGTCCCTTTTTCTTTGGATTGGTTTACTACCAATCGTGTTTTCCTCATTTAACTTATTTTTTCCTTTGTCTTTTTTATCAATTATCTTATTCGTAACTTTTATAGAATTCCCCTTCTGCAAAAATTTTTGATTATCATCTTGACATGCTTTCCTTTTCTTTCCCTTATGTAATATTAACTTCTTCCCTTTTTTCGTTTCACTATGTGTTTTTTTTTTTTTTTTTTTTTTTTTGTTGTTGCTAATGCGGCTACTTTCACATTCCTGTGTTGTGCTTTTCAAATCGTCTTTAGTTAACACTTTTATACTTCTTGCATTTGCAATTTCAATTGATACCAATCCTTTTTTTCGAAATCTGAAAAAAGTTGATGAAATGAGAAGGTGTGCGTAAAATCAGAAAAAATAAAATTTGTAAGCAAAAAGAAGAATTCCCCTAAATATTCTCTATGGGAAAAATGTATATATATTGGAGGTCACGAAATGGTAAGTGGCAGAATGTACCAATGTGTCCGTACTGCTTATTTTTGTTGCATATAATTATGATAATTGATTAAAAAAAAAAAAAAAAAAACTAAAAAAAAATTGTCATAAAATTTCGCACTTGTTAAGAACTCAGCTATATGCAAAATATAAATGTGAAGAGAAAATTAATCCTCATTGTTCTAATTTCGACATGGTTCCCACAATGTCAGAACAAAATGAAGAAGGTTCATTTCCCCAAAAGAATTTATAAAAAAAAGGAAAAAGCGACATTTGAAAAAAATATAAACATCAATCCAAACTCATTATATATGTATGATCAAAATAATTATTTGCAAAATATCAATGCTGTGGGTCTTACTCCTGAAGGAGGGGGGTCTTAATAGCAACAGGTTTGAAAATCATTCTTCACTGTTTTACTTTGCTTTTCCTCACTATTTCTGCTTCACGGTTTTTTCTTGTGTATATGTAAGAATATGTATATATATGCATATATCTGTTACATATGTATATTTTTAGTAATTTGTTTATATTTACATATGTATATAATGTATGAACATATATCCCCCTTTTGTCCTTTTTTTTTTTTTTTTTTTTTTTTTAATCACAGGTTGGATTCCATTTGATGGATAATAAAAATGATTAGCAAATAATGTAGGACACTCGAAATATCAACGATAATAATGTGAAAAAAAAATACAACAACGAAAAAGAATAACTGTGAATAATTTTTATTACTATGCAGGGGGAGAAGCACGTATTTACGTGCTCAAAACGTGGAACAAATTTGGGGGGGAATGTGGAAATATGTAATACCCAATGTTATAGATATTATAAAAGAGAAGAAAAATTAAATGATAAACATAAAAGTACGAAGGTGGGGGAAAAAAATTGAATAAAAATAGGAAAAATAGGAAAAATAAAAAAAATAGGAGAATGCAAAATTCCATATGGGAGAAAAGTAAAAGTAGTTATTACGAAATATAATGTTATGAATATATTCGAATACAAATTCTTAGTTGCATTGTTTATATATAGGTTTTACGTGGATACCACAATATATACATGCTACCATTCGTAAATCATAAAAGATGATTTTTATAAATATCGAAGGGGTACACAATGAATAGCCTAAAATACGAGAATTAAGCGCTGAGGTATTATTTACCACTAAACCTTTTTTCTGTTTTTTTTATTTTTTTTTTTCTGTTTATTATTTTTTATTTTATTTTACATTATTTATTATTTTATTATTTTTTTTTTTTTTTTTTTTTTTTTTTTTTTTTTTTTTTTTTTTTTTTTTTTTTTTTTTTTTTATTTTTTTTTTTTTTTTTTTTTTTTTTTTTTTTTTTTTTTTTTTTTGCACTTGTGCTGCTGTCATTCGTTTTAGCTCCATTTTGAGAAAAAAAATAAAATGAAGCACAAAATAAGTCAACACAAAATGGGACATTCGATAATTAGCCTATGTTTATTATTGCTTTAAAAAAAAAAAAAAGAAAAGAAAAAAAATTAATAGAAAAGAAAAACTTAATTCGAGTTTTTTTTTTTTTTTTTTTTTTTTTTTTTTTCCATGTGTTACAAGCACACAAATATATATATATATATACTTATTTATTGTTCTAGAAAATTATGTGTTCATATTTTATGTATATATGAGCGCGCATTCCTGGAGAGTGACTTACCTGCTGCTGCGGAAAAAAAAAAAAAAAAAATGCATAAATCCATGAGGACATACAAAAACGGGAGAAATTTATTTAGACATATTATACCTAAAAGTACATAATAAAATATCTCTTTTAAAAAATTAACAAAACAAGTACGTTGTGAACCTTTAATTTTCAAGAGGAAAAAAAAATTTAAAGAAGAAAAAGATGCCCTTTTTATGTCTCTTAAATTTAGTTCAGTTGTCCCATTTAGCCTAAGAAATCCATATAATTATTTTTCCCGACTATTTATGAACCAGGGGGGACAAAAAAAAAATTGTGATATGAAAAAAATGAGTATAAGTGTTTATAAAAGTAAAATATTTAATACGAAAGATGTTGTTGAGGTGTGCATACAACAGAGGAACCTAAAATTAGAATCATCTAGTTTCAAAGATTCTGTTTATAAACTGAATGAACATAAAATAAATGTTAATGAGTTAGAAAAAACAGATGAATCGTGTTGCACTTGTACAAAAATATCAGGAGTAGGGGAAGGGAAGACACCAACAGAAGTGAAAATAGACAAAGCAAAACATTGTGGTTACAACACAGATGAGGTGAAATGTTTATATATTTTTTTTCTAATAAATATGTTAAGATTTAAAAACAATTTAGATTTAAATTTGATAAGAAGTGTTTGCAATTCTATTAATAGTACCACTAGTTCTTCTTGTATAAATATGCAAAAATGCCAATCTTGCTCTACTTGTTCTTCTGTAAATGTACCTATATCTAGTGAACTTTTCCATAAAAATTTGCACAGTGCAAAATTAAGAGAATTTTTCATTTTGAATTTAAAAAAATGTGGCAAATTAGAATATAACTTGAATGATTTCAACATATGCATAAGTAGTGTTATCGAAAAATGTAGTATGATTTTTTTAAATGCATTCAAAACGGTTTCGCTGTGCAAATATCTAACTTGTTGCTTATGCAACATTTTGGAATTATTTCATATAAATTGTGACATTTTATTTAAGAATACATTTAATAATAATGTAAACAATAGCAACATACAATCAATAAACAACCTGATATGTAAGATAAAATGGATGACTCACGATTCTAAGGTGGAGAAGAATAAGGACTTGTCCAAAATGTTTAGTTCAAACTTGTTACTATTTGTTTACACACATAGCAAGTTAACAGATGAATGTGAATATTTTATTCAATTAATGAATCAGAATTTTAAAAATATCATAGATAATTATAGAAGTGAGTATATAAATGAGATGAATTCATTAAATTGTTATATCAGCATTTTGTGTAAAAATATAAATGAAAGTTTTGGAATTCATGTTAAAAATTTGCTAGAAATTGTATCTAAGGTGATACCCTTATTTGTTAACAAGCTGCATGATTTTATTGTGGAAAATGAACAAATTACAGAAGTACATGAAGTTTTGAAGATGCCACCATCTTACGGATTCACATTCTCATCTGACGTTGTGGAAGAAAGAAGCTTGTTGAATTCTTTTTTATCCGACTTGTATCTAGAAAAATATTTTAAAAATATTGAAAAAGGGTTCATACATATGGTATACCAAGATGAGGTGCAAAGGTTTAGAGAAATAATGAATACATTTAGCGATCTCCTAATTTTGTTAACAGATATTATTATACATATGAACATAATGTACGATATAAAAGCATATAATAAAGCGCTAGTACAAGTTTTAAAAAATAAAAAAGTGTCAAGCTGTGTTCACAATATAGGAGTGGGGTGTCTTGAATTTAAGAATTTTCTGTATTCTCTTATAACTCCAAAAGGGGATTGTAAATTGAATATTTTTAATCAATCAGAAGAAGAGGAAATACCAATAATGAATAATAACATGATTGTAAGTAATAACCTTTTTCCATTATTAAAAAAAAAGTTTACTATATACAAATTTGATGATGAAATAGGAGAAATATTAATACAAAAGAATATTAATTTTAATTTGAAAGTTCCGAAAGGGGCAAAAGATTTTACAGGTGAAGATATGCAATTGAGAAATATATTTTTTGATTATATTAAAAAGAAATTCTTACTACATGGAGCAGTAGAAATAGATACTCCTGTATTTGAACTAAAAGAGACCTTAACAGATAAGTACGGGGAGGATTCCAAATTAATATTTGATTTGAAAGACCAAGGAGGAGAAAATTTATCGTTGAGATATGATTTGACTGTGCCATTATATCGATTTGTTAACACGAATAATATGAATTCTTTAAAAAGATTTCATATAGGAAAGGTATATAGAAGAGATGAACCAAGTATGAACAGAGGAAGATTTAGAGAATTTTATCAATGTGATTTTGATATTGTTGGAAAGTATGACACAATACGTACAGATTTTCATATTTTATTCATATTTTGGGACATTTTAAATAATTTAAGAAAAGTGATTGGTAATTTTAATTGTAAAATAAATCATAGAAAAATATTAGAATATATGCTTTTGTCTTGCGATATTCAAAAGGATAAGGTAAAAACGATTTCTAGTAGTATAGATAAATTGGACAAGATAACGTTTCAACAATTTAGAGAAGAATTATTAAATGAAAAAGGAATTCCTATCGAATCTGTAGATAAAATTGAAACCTACATTTCAAAGACCTTAAGTTTGTCTCCATTCTTGGTTATTGAATTTTTACGAAACGATTTAAATGAATCCCCTTTTGACGATTCTTATAAAAGTGAAATTAATCAAACAATAAATCATTTAGAAGAAATTTTTGAACTATTAAAACATTTTAACATGCTAAATCAGTTTTCCTTTGATTTATCCCTAGCTAGAGGTTTGGATTATTACACAGGAATCATATTCGAATTCGTTTTGCTCTCCGAAACAGGTGTAGGTAGTATAGCTGCTGGAGGGAGATATGATTACTTGATAAGAAACAAGCGAAAAGAATACATTCCATCTGTTGGTGCATCTATTGGTATTGAACGAATCATAGCAATTGCTGAGGGGGTGATAAAGAAGAACTATATGTTTCCTCTAGGAGGGGAAATCTCTAATAAGAAGGAGGTAACTGGAAACGGTACTCCAGTAGGAAATGTTCCTGCAACAGATAATAATTCCACAACTGGAAATAATAACAAAATCCAGAATCAAAACACTTCTTTCACATTAACCATGAAAGACAGTTCAGTAGAAGTTCTCATATGCAACATTAAGAAAAATTGTTTTAAGGAAATTATAGAATTATGTAAAAAACTGTGGGATGAAAATATATCTACCGAATTTATATACGTAAAGGATCAAAAGATACAAAAACAGCTCGTTTATGCCTTAGAAAAACAGATACCTCTGGCTGTTATAATTGGTGATGAAATTGAAAGGGGTGTCATCAAATTACGAGAGCTAACCCTGGATAAGGAGAAATCAGGTGGAGAACAAGAAATAAGACTAGACGATTGTGTGCAGGAGATAAAAAATTACTTTACGAAGAATGTTACATGGAAAGAGAACATGACAAGTGTTTTATTTGACAAGGTGGTATAGCAGCAGGATACGCGTAATAACTTGAGCCGCGTGACAATGGGATTGAATGCACAAATGATGTGGCTCTTCATTATAATGTGTATGTATCCCTTTCATTTGATTCATCGAAAGTTACACATTGTGTTGCATTTTTTTTTTTTTTTTTATATTTGCACGACTTCGTAAATAGTTTAGCCGAAGAACAACGAAAAAGAAAAAAATAAATAAAATAAACATAATAAACTGGATAAAGTTGTGTCTCTGTACTAATAAACAAGGAAGGAAAAATGAAAGAAAAAAAAAAAAAAAAAAAAAAAAAAAAAAAAAAAAAAAAAAAAAAATGGAAAAAGTTGTTTTTTGTAATAAAAAAAAAAAAAAAAAAAAAAAAAAAAAAAAAAAAAAAAAAAAAAAAAAAAAAAAAAACATGTAATTTTCATACACCTCGTAAACGTGGAAACATTTTAATTCCATTTCCGAATGTGGAGAAACAAGTCTACGCCGATAACTTTTTAACTTATTTTCCACTTTTTTTTTTCTTCATTTTTAAACCCATTTAACCGCATGCCCCAACTAAAAAAAAAAAAAAAAAAAAAAAAGAAATGTTTTCCTTCAAAAACATAAGAAACTTGTTAGCAGTACACAATTTTTTTTTTTTTTTTTTTTATATATTTGCAACATTTTAAGTACGAGTAATTTGAGGAAATAATTCCGCGAGAGGTCTATCGAGTGGAAGGGGGTGTAAAGTTGGATGAATGGACTTGAAGAATTTTTTTTATGTACATTTGATGTAACGGACTTTAGAAAGAACGAAATAAAAAAAAAAAAAAATATATGAAATCCAGAGTTAGGCAACTTAAGGTATTTTGAAAAATCCTTTTGAAATTTTATGTTTTGTGAAATTTATTGCCTATGATCGATGCATATATGATGCATATGATTATGAAAAAAGTAGGGAGAGAACCTGTTACATTATCTTGAAATATGCTCTACCACAATTTAGTGCACTTGCAGGTGCTGTCCCCATATGGAATATGTTGTTATCTCAAAACGAGATGCACATGACATGGGGGAAAAAAAAAAAATAAAATAATATAAAATAATATAGAATAATATAAAAGCAATATGCATCTCACACATTACTTTCCAATGCAGGAAAACTAATATAAATAGGCTCTAAATGATTACATATTATTACTCTAGAATGCTGAGGCTGAGAGTGGTAGTGTAAAACCATTATAGGAACGAAGTTTTTTTTTTTTTTTTTTTTTTTTTTTTTCTGCAAACTGCTCTAAAAGTGAAAACTTTTCATTTTTCGCCCCTGATCTGAATATGGAAGTCCAGTGGGACAGCGAAACAGAAACAAAATTTTACAATTATTTATGTGAGACGATTAATTATGAGAACTGTATAGAGTTAGAAAAGGATATGAGAATAGAAACAGGGACAGGAGAAAAATTAAATATAAACTGTAACTCATGTAATAATGATCATAATAATGTTAATATAAGTTGTTACAAGTTTAAAAAAGATGACGATGATATATTAGGAGAGATATTAGACAATGAAAAAAATAAAGAAAGTGTAAAAAAGTCTATAGCTGCAATAACAAAAAAAGCGTTTTCTATTTATACAAACGTAGTAGCTAAGGCAGAATCTAAAGGAGAAAACAAAATAACCCAAGAAATAGATCATTTTTTAAGAACTGATATTTTTAGACTTGTTTTTAGTAAATATATAATATCAAAGGTGAAGTCTAAAATTGCAGAAATAAATTCAAAAAACACGAAAAATATCGTTTCTTTAGCAAATCCTTTGAATATAAATGAACATGATTTAAATAAAATAAACTCAGATACTATTGCAAATTTGATGAATAACTATGTGGGGATACAAAAAAATTTCCTAGGTAAAGATTACGCGAAACTAATCTATGATGAATTAATATTTATTGAATATAATAACCAGTTTAATGAATTTGGTAGGGAATATAAAAATGTGAGAACTGATTTTTATTGTTGGGCTTATATTAGTAGCTTGGATAGAGAGAAACAAAAGGGATTATATAAATTACTAAAAGAGTTATCTTTAATTCCTTATGAATTAAACAAAAAAACAAATTTGTCTTTACAAATAAGCACATTATTTCAATTTTTATATTTCTCTCCTAACAAATCATATTTAAAAAAGCATTACCACGGTGGCTATGGTAAATTAGATAACGGAAAAAAAATTACGTGTTTGTATATTCCTCTAGTAAATTCAGATGATGACATAGAAATTAAATTATATAAAAATAAATATGATGATTTAAATACACAGGATAAATCAGAGATCCATGATAATAATAGCGCAGTGTCAAATGAAAAGGATATCCCATTTCAGGTGATAATACCTGAAAAAGACTCGCTCATTTTTTTGCAAACGAGAAATGTTTCTTATGAGATTGTGAAAACGAAGAATAAGTTTTTCATCGTAAACCTTTCAATTTCTGGGCCAGTTTCCATGGATCGGCACTTATAATTTTGATTCATGTTGTTTAGAAGTTGATTTATAAGGAGAGGGCGCATGGATAAGAATAAATCCTCATATATGTCTACGTCTTCTGTATATACATATATGTATGTTCTGATTTTTTTTACAAACATTTGAACATGCAGAAGTTCCACAAGTATACCTTTTTTTTTTTATGTAAAAATTCTGAGATGTAGAAAAAAGATAAAAAGAAATAGCTTAATGTAATTATTCCTTAGCATAAGTTATGAATATTATTAGGAGGAATGAGAACATAAGGTATCAGAATTACAAAACCAGAAAATGACGAATTAACCACAGTTAATGTGAAAACGCTTTTTAGCATTTCTTCTTTTTTTTTTTTTTTTTTCTTTTAACATACAAGCTGGTAGTAGTGTTGTGAGCATACGCTTTTAGACTTGTCAAAATTTAGTTTATGGGACTGCATATATGCAACTAATGAGTTGTCTGAAAAGAAAGAAATATAAGAAAGGAAGATTTTATATTTCTTTATTTTTTAGCACATTTTAATAAGAACCTTTTTCAAAAAAAATTTCTTATTTATTACAAGCGTGTTTTTATTTTTTTTGTAACTATTTTTTTTTTTTTTTACCAAATTATAAAAAAAAAAAAAAAAATGAACTCAAAAAAAAATTGTAAAAATATAAAAGCACAAACTCTTATGTAAAGAGGACCAATATCATACACTGTAGTGTATACTTACTTACGTACCTATGTATGTGTGTGTGTGTGTAAATATGTAATATATAGCTTAAATAGTCCTGCGTTTTTTTCTAATTTTTTTCCTTTTGTTTACATAGAAGCTCCAATACATGCCAGCGTTTCTCTTTTTTACTCCTATTTTCCCGATAATTTTATAGTACTGTTTCTTTCTAATATTTTTAAGCCAACTAAATCTAAGTTTTTTTTGTTCAGATAAGGTGTTCATCCAATTAGTGGTATCCGTTCCCTCTTTTGTCTTTACAGTGTGATGAGAATTCTCACTATCATTATTTGTGACTTTGATGTTATTCCTTATGCCGTATGTAGGAGAAAAAAATTTAGTAATTTCCCCCACTTGATCGTTTCTTCTATTTTTTATTTTGTAATTTATAACCTTATTATGATATATGGTACAGTTACCCAATGGAAGGTAGGAACATCTATAGTCAAATATGTTCCTCGAAGCTTGGTTTTTTTCATTTATAAAATTATTAAAATTGATACAGTTATTAATTCTCACAAGTTTATTTAGTAATTGTGCTGCTACCGCGGTGTGTTTATGGTCATTTTTATACATTTTTCCAATTATAGGAATGCAATTTATTTTTTGAAACATCTTCTACGGGGAAATGTATTTGGAACACTTGAGATATTTGCTGCATATTGCATATGAAATGGTTTTCTACATGCCTAATCGTCAAACTGAAATTATACTTTTATGTGCGAAATTATGTGCTTATATATATACACGAGTGTTTAACATTGTGCTACCGGAGATTTTGTAAATGGGATGATTTGCTGGAAAGTATATATTTTTATTTTTTGTATTTTTACAAATGTGTGTCAAAATTTTATATTAAAATTGTGTTAAGAACATTTTTGGGCATACTATCATTTTTTAAAATGGTCCATGTGCATATTTTAATTTTGGAGATGTATCGTGAAAACATGCATAATCCCGAATTAGTCGCAGTACTCACAATTATATTTTTGAACCGCTTGTGTTATGGGCGCATTTTATTTGCTTCCCAGCGTGTGGAGATTTAAAATAGTGGCACAAAATTATGCGAATAAAATTGTGTTAGCAAAAATAATCCAAATTTTTATGATGATAAGGATACATTTGCAAAAGGGAGGTGGGAATGCACACATGCATACATATACACATGTATACATGTATACATATGTATATATATAGATATACTGTGTATGCATAATTCCTTTTAAATAACAAAATCACCCACACAACAAGAGCTGAAATGAAAAAGCTTATTCATCTATGCTGTTTCAATTCATTACTATTATTCTTTGATTACTAGCCAGTTGTATGCAACATAAGCCAAAAGTAAGATAAAAGGGCTTTTGGTAAATAATACCAAACTATTGTGTACAAAAAATTTCGGCGTTGTTGTTGGAATTCATACCTTTCAAATGATTTTAAGACAAATTATTATGCACCTTTGCTCAAATTTATAATTTTCAAAACTACCCACCAAGGGGTACATATATGCATGTTACGTAAATCTACCCATGGTAAAAAAAAAAGACAAAGTAAATTTCCACAATGTCGAATTTTGTTTATGACAAATTTGCAGCTACATGGTGGATAACCCATAGCATACGTAGTAATAAAAATACATATATCTAAATGATAGTGTATTTATAAACGTAGTAGTCTAGTATGGGAAAAAAACAGAAATGTGTATTGAATATTTCGCGAAAAAGAAAAAAAAAAAAAAAAATTCAAATTTGTTATCCGTACCGTTTCTTATGTTGTCCGCGCAGAGACAAACTTAAAATGTAAGAAAAAAAAAAAAATTGAAAACATATATAATCAAAGAGACATAATTGTTATGAGTATATTAACTAGTTAATTACTAAATTACACCACATTTTATGCTCAGTAAAAGGGTAAGTTATAACTAGTACCCATTACTTCTTTTATGGGATCAAAAGAGAAGTGTGCTATACATATATGTATATATAATATATGTACACAAGTCACATGTGTTTTTTCTTATCGTTGATACTATCATTTGTGTACCTTTTTTTTTTTTTTTTTTTTTAAACATTTTTAATTTTTTAAAAAAAAAAAGACAGGAAGCTGCTCTACTTTATAATTTTTTTTTTTTTTTCAAGTTCCCTCGTACTTAAATATGTAATAGCTCATTTTTCTCTTCACTTTACTGTGACAAATGCAGGAAGTTTTTCCACCTTTTTTTGAATCTATATAATTATTTCGAGTATTTTTCGTGTCCAACTTTTTTCGATTTACCGAACAAAAAAGAAAAACAAACAATGAGACGTTTAAAGGTGTGCAAAGATTCGCAATTTTTTTTTTTTTTTTTTTTTTTTTTAAATCAAAATAGCTATTTGAAAAGAAGCATTAACTTCTTTTGTTTAATTTTTTAATTTACTTTTGGCAATTTTAAAAATGAATTTTTTTCATCTTTCAATTAAAATATTTTTTCATAAATTAATTTTTGTTTTTTTTTTAATTTTAAATTTATTATTTTTGAATTTGAATTTTTTTTTTTTTTTTTTGTGCACACTTAACGAAAGGAAAATATAATTTCTTTTTTAAAAAAAAACATCCATCACAAATTGGAACTTTTTGCTTCTTCAAACTTTCCATCATCTTAATTATCTTCTTTTCCTTTTAAATATAAAATTAACATAATTACACAATTAAATAATTAAATTCATGCTTTATATTCACATTTTAAGTAAAACACATTTATTTGCATAACCTCCTTGGTCCCCACTATTGGTAATTACACATTTAAAACGATTTACATAAAATTTTACACAGTGGTATATATTGAGAAAATAAATGTTTTATTATAATATATTAACTTTATAAGCAAATTTTGATATTTTAAAAAAAAAAAAAAAAAAAAAAAAGTTGTACACCATTACAAGGGAAAAATAAAATCATTCTTTTTTTCATTACTTTTTCAGGTAAGGATCATTAACAATTATCAAGCCTACAAATAACACATTTACCTTTTGCCGCAGAATTATTGGCTCCTAAAAATGGTAAAAGAAAAAAGAACGGAAGATGAATTTTAACTTGTAAACATGTATATAACAATTGTGTACGCGAATGTTTACTAATTTTAATCTTTTACATTTGTAACACGTAGAAGATAAAAACTTTTTTTTTTTATTTTACATTCACAATTTTATTGTTTTACGCACCTTCATGAAGTACAAACTATGCATTATATTGCGAAAAGAAAATGTAGCTACCTGTTCTTCTGTCCATTTACCCACAATGTCAAACCATTTTTTATATGGCACTGCATTTAATATTCATATCCATATGGAGAGTAACGGTTGAAAATGCGCACAGATGTAAATATGCACGCACACTTTTACTTTCCAATTAAGTGCACTTAGCCCGGTGCCCAAGCTAATTTTTCCAAGCGCACTATGTAAATGATGTTGATTTGATGAATACAACAACATGCTTTTCAAAACCACTTCTTTGGAGGGGTGTTTCAAAAATGCATTAAAAGAGCACGCTTACACGCTTGCAAACGTTCTACATGAGGAGGAGGATCAGATCGGTGGGGTGAATATATTAAGTACATATTTTAGCGTTAATTTTGTGAATATTTATTTTTGGTATTTCCAATTTTGTTGAGTCATATACATGAAGAATTTAGGTGTATATCCCTTTTTTATAATTTATAAATTTTTTTTACAATACAATTTTATTCAGTGTCACTTTTGTTATATTTTTTATATATAAAAATATATATATAATTTTTTCATACATCTTGAATTTATTATATTCTTGTGCAATTTTCGTATCAACTAATAAAACTAGATTACTTGCAAAATGGTACTTCAAATAATTGAGTATATTAATTGTTATTAAAAAAAAAAAATAATAATAAATGATTTGAGGGAGAGAGTAGTGAAAGAGGGAGAATATCCCACATCACCCAGTATTAGCATAAGATCGTTTATTACTGAATACTTGTTTTATGTTATTTATAGTTTTTCCATTCATTTTGTTCTTGCTACTTTTGTAATTTATACACTTATACCCTTATGCATTCTTCACTTAGAACACAATTTTGTGCATGAATTAGTAAATTATCAGTCATGCATAGGAAAAAAAAAAAAAAAAAAAAAAAAAAAATTGTAGTTAATTCACATTTTATATGTATATTCGAAAATTAATATCGATTTATATATTTAATTTACATTTACCCGATCTACAGGCTACAGGATCTGAATACAAAAACGCTCCCCTTAAGTTACCTGCAGAGGTTGCAGAAGAAATAGCAACCACAGCAAAAAAACTTGTTGAAGGAGGAAAGGGAATTTTAGCTGCTGATGAATCGACTCAAACAATTAAGAAAAGATTTGATAACATAAAAATAGAAAACACTGTCGAAAATAGAGCAAGTTATAGAGATCTATTATTTGGTACGAAAGGTCTGGGAAAATTTATATCAGGTGCAATTTTATTTGAAGAAACATTATTTCAAAAAAATGAAGCTGGTGTTCCTTTAGTAAATTTATTACATAATGAAGGAATAATACCAGGAATTAAGGTTGATAAAGGTTTAGTTGCTATTCCATGCACAGATGATGAAAAGTCAACCCAAGGATTAGATGGATTAGCAGATAGGTGTAAGGAATACTATAAAGCTGGAGCAAGATTTGCAAAATGGAGAGCTGTTTTAGTAATTGATCCTGCAAAAGGAAAACCAACTGATTTGTCAATTCAAGAAACGGCATGGGGATTAGCTAGATATGCATCTATATGTCAACAGAACAAACTTGTACCAATTGTTGAACCGGAAATTTTGGCAGATGGATCACACACCATTGAAGTATGTGCAACTGTAACACAAAAAGTGTTAGCATGTGTTTTTAAAGCATTACATGACCATGGTGTATTATTAGAAGGAGCATTATTGAAACCAAATATGGTAACAGCAGGATATGATTGCCCTGTGAAAACCAAAACACAAGACATAGGTTTTCTTACTGTAAGGACTTTAAGTAGGACAGTTCCCCCATCACTTCCAGGAGTTGTATTTTTATCAGGAGGCCAGTCTGAAGAAGAAGCATCTGTTAATTTAAATTCCATCAATGCACTAGGTCCTCATCCATGGGCATTAACATTTTCCTATGGTAGAGCATTACAAGCATCAGTTTTGAACACATGGAAAGGTAAGAAAGAAAATGTTGAAAAGGCTAGAGAAGTTTTATTAAAACGAGCTGAAGCCAATTCCTTAGCCACATATGGCAAGTACAAGGGAGGTGCAGGTGGAGCCGATGCAGGTGCTTCCCTTTATGAAAAGAAATATGTCTATTAAGTTTTTTAACTACATGGAGAAAAAAATTAAAACGAACTAAAATAATATAATATAAAATAAAATAAAGAAGAGAACAAATTAGAAAATTGATTAAAACCAAACTGAATTATTGGCTATATTGCATAAATGTGTGTGAACTAATATGGAATATTTCAGATAGATATATTGTGGCATTATGAAGACTTACTGGAATATCCCAGTAAATATTTTCTCATATCTGAGCATGGTACACATATAGAAATCTACATACTTCTCTCACAACACGACCATGCTTTTGCATCCATACCTACAAGTATGCGCATATATATCATGCAAGCACTAGATAATTCTTTAGTTCGATGTATTTTTATGAATATTTTTTTTTTATGATCCCTAAGTCCTTATATATATATATATATATATATATATATATATATATATATATATATGCATATACACAAAACATACCTGTATTATAAGCATATATGATAGCTATAATTAAAGAAGTGCTTTGACCGAGTTCCGACGAAGGTTGCACAAGTGCATATGTATGTATGTTCATATGTACAATATGTGCGTATTTTCATATGTCCTATCGATTTTTATTTTTTACATATGTCAAAGTCATTCAATCAAGCCTTTTTAATAATAATTAGAAACAAGTTAACCGAAAAAGGAGAAAAAAAAAAAAAAATAAATAAAATAATAATAATGAAACACACAAAAAGGAATAATAGTAATGATGAATGAACAAATTAAATGATTAATCAATTAAAGGTTTGAGCACGCACAAATTGTTTCCCACATTTGTATTTCCGCCATTTTTTTAAAAACGTCTGCAAATTTTAAGATATCATTGTTTTGCATTTTAATTTGATAAGGTATATTCTTCCAACACACAAAGTTGCAATTAAAGAAAAAATAGACACAATTTTTGTATTTATACTTTAAAAATATAAAGTAAATTAAAAGTTATAAAAAAATAAAAAAAAAAAAAAATGGGAGAAAAGAGGCGTTTAACTGGGGATAAAAAAGGGTGATAAAATACAAAAGGGGTGCAAGTACAAAATTGATCTTATATATCCTTATGTACATAAACACTTATAGATACACATATTTTGCAGAGTTTTATAAGAGGTTGAATAAATGATTGACTTTTCCCCCGTGCCCTGCTAATCATTGCATATATTCTTTCGTACATACTCTTCAAATAATAATACATGTAAACTATGTTCACAAAAGAAGGAGAAAATTACAAGCCACATTATACTGTATGTAGTTACAAATCTCGATTAATTTGACAAAGACTAGGAAAAATTGCCGATCTTGTTTACTTTTTTGAAATGTCATGCATAACCGTGTCTGTGTTTTATTAGTTAAATAAAAATAATATAGCTGTAATGGGTAAAATGTGAAGCAGAGTTTAATGTTTGGTAATAATTAAAATATAAAAGAGGGCACTAAATCTTACAAAAAGATGGAAAAACAATTTTGGTTAAAAAAAAAAAATAAAATAAAAAGAAGAAGCATTTCTCATACATAACATACAAAAATAAATTTTATAAATGTTCGATTTGTTTTTACCTTAAGACGCAACCTAGCCAACTGGGAATGAGAACCTTTTGATACTCCCTGAAAATTATCTTGCTAAATAAAATTTAAAGACAACGTGCATCATTAGAACATAGAAAAAAAAAAAAAAAAAATTGAGGAATTTCCTTTTGAGTTATTCTTTAAAAAAAAAAAAAAAAAAGAAACCTTACTTAAATGAGGAAGCTACAAGGCCAGAAAATATGGGAGAAATTATGTTACTCTCAAACACTGTATTCAGTTCCCAGCATGTTAAGGTGCAGAAGCCTGTGGAATTGCAAGTTGGGGGGTGGGGAAATAAAATGTATATAGTATATTTAAAAAATAAAATGATAAAAAATAATTTAATGACATATTAACTAAACAAGAAATCATTTTTCTTCTTAAAACAGAACATCTTCGGGTATGTTGTATTTCACAGTAATGTCGACTTAATTAAGCGTATAAACAAGCATGGTGATTTGTATTTGACTGTAAAAGATGTTCTCCTTAGGTACGTATACATATAAGTGCAAATGTTTAGCACCTAATGCATATATTTGTATTCATACATATATATGTATTTGGATTTGTGTATGTATATTTATATATGTGTGTCTTTCGATATGCATGCCTACATGTCCATAACGCAAGTCTAGAAGCGAGGAAATTTGATATCTGTATGTTTTTCTTTAAGTTAGATAAATTCGGGAAGGGAAACAACTTATAAGCAAATTTATTATTTTTACAATTGCTGTAATAGTTTAATTTATTCGTTGAACATATTTTTCTGTGATGACATAAATTTTGGGAATATAAAAGAATTGTATTGTTAGAATTTTTACTATGCGTTTTTGTGTAAAACCATTTTTTTATATAATGAAAAAGAAGATTATCATTTTTATGCAAAAAGAATTTTTTGTATATTTCATGTCGAAAAACATATCCAATTATAAAACCATTTATATACATACGAATAGTGTACATTGATACGATGTTTTTACATTTTATTTGATTATCCTCCATCATATCGATAATTTTTTTTTTTTTTTTCGTAAATATTTTCCTGTAAGCTTGATAAATTATTTATCTGTAAACGTGCGAGCTTACATACATGTATTATTTTTTATATTTCTACTCTTTTGTTTTATTATCCATTATGTTGTATTGTATATAATATATATATATATATATATATATATATATATATATATATATATATATATATATATATATATATATATTGTTTTTTTTATTTTTGGTGAAACGTTTCTTTGTCGTAGTAATAGGTATAAATGGAAGAACGAAAAATGGAAAAAAACTGAAACATAATGCATGTGGGCACAATTGCACGTATGTATAGACTTATACGTGCCATTGTATGTGCCTATTCTAAAACAGCGTATACTATTTTTTTTTTTTTTCACGTTTCTGTTGTGCACATTTAGTGTGGTATAGGCTTTAAATAATTAAACAGATGAGCGTGTGGTATTCAGATTCGCATGTTTAGAAAAATTGAAAAAAAAAATATATCATGGGGGTTTTTGTTCTTGATTTATTTTTCGGCATGTTTTATTATACCATTTGACAAAATTTTTAAGATCACTTCGGGATATTTTTTTTTTCAGAGGAAATCTGGAAAACCATAATTGGGGGAAATGAGTAAAGGGAGAAAAGGACAGAATTACTGAGGGGTGCAGAAGGATAAAAATTTTTTTCCACTTTTTTTATATGCATAATTTTTTTTTCTTTTTTTTTACCCCTTTACATGATGATCTTTTTAATATTTCCAAGTTTTGTTTCCAAGTTTTTGATGAAGCACAAATTTTTATTTCTTTCCGCCATTAAAATATCTAACTGCTTTTTAATATCTTCATTTTTTTCATTTATTATGCTAATTTTTTTGAGCATGTTATTTTTAAAATTTTCCATATCATCATAAGCTTCTCTTTTTTCTTTATTCAAAAATTCTGTAATAGTGCTTTTTTTTTCTTCATATAACTTAAGATTAAAAGGGTTTATTAAACTAGCCTTTTTTTCTGTGAGGATGCAAGGCTCGGAAGACAAGTCACTTAGCACGTTTTGAAGATCGTCTATCTGTTTTCCCAGTTTTGTATTTACAAAAGAGGAAGAAAATTATGGTTACATGTACAAATGGGTGTCTACTTATGCGTATGCGCGTCATGCATTGGCACAGGAACAGGAACATATTTTAACTCCCAAAAGAGTGTGTATGTTTTTTGGGGTTTTTTTTTTTTTTTTTTTTTTTTTAATACTTTTGTTCTTAAGCCTTTTTGTTCTGTATCCGTTTCAATCATTTTGGGATAAAAAAACAAAGGAGCAAAAATAAAAATGTCAAGGGACTTTTTATAAATACGCTCCAAATTGTTATTCTACCACTACCCCAGGAGCGTTAAAAAAAAAAATGATTAAATGGTACAAGCATTCAAAAGTGTATATGAAAATATGCACATTAGCCGTACTTCTATTATTACTCCATTAACACTCTCATAAGTTTATAAGTATTATTCATCTATTTATAATACATTTTATGTGATTTTATATTTAGTGTTTAAATAAATAGTAAATCAACGTTATGAACACATTTCAGATGGTCAAATGGCTAATTTTATTTTTCCTTATTTTATTTTTTTTAAATTGGGAAAGTATAGTTATAATGGCGTCTAATTTTTTTTTTTTTTTTTTTTTTTTTTTTTGTGTTAAAAAGGAGCTAAATGTGCTAGATGATTACTGTAATTAATGATCGATTTTATAGCAACGTTCAAATTTAAAGAACTCAAAAACTGTTATTTAGTGATTTTTTTTTTATTTTTCCCACTTTTGTTTACATTTAACTATAACATAAAATTGTCTATTATTTTGACGCTTGCACAATTTAGTGAAAGGAAAAATTCATTTTCTCGAGTACATAAAGATATACTTCGTTTAAGAATGGACATATCAACTTAAAAAAAAAAAAAAAAAGAAGGACCTAATTTGCGGAGAATATCTGTATGCTGCATCCGTAATATGCACAATTACTAAGTATAATTTCTTTCATGCACTTTTTCTTTTCTTTTTTTTGTTTGATAAGAGTACACAAATTGTAATACCAAGTGGTAATGTCCGATTAATTGTCTTACTAGTGTATTTCGAAATAAAGGAAATCTAAATAACAGGACATAATCTTGCAGAAATATCATTTAATATCATAGTTTTTTATACTCGCTTCTAAAATTCTCTTTTTAAATAGTCTTCTTAATTATATTTATTAATTTTACTCATGGGCCTCAAGTTATCCCCTCACCCTTTATTATGAATACACATGAACTTTTTCACTGTGAATAGCTTTTTCCATTTTTACACTAGTGGAAATAATATTTTGAAACAACAAACATTGTTATTAATAGCACAAATAATAAAATAAAACAAAAATAAATAAAAGAAGAACGAAATGTTATGTGTGAAGCGCTTTGCTTTCAAATGCATAATTTTTCTTCCTTTTTCTAAATTCAAATGAAGGTAATGTTTTATTAATTCTGTCATGAAAGATAGTAGAAGGGTAAAATTGTAAAATAGCCTAAATGGTACAATATATTATGTTAATAAGATATTACACCATTTTTTTTTTCTGCTGTGTAATGTCAGTTTGCCATAATTTAAGCAATTTTTTTTTTTTTTTTTTTTTTTTTTTTTTTTTTTTTTTTGGAACGTACATACATCACTATTAACAGAATTATATTCTTCAATGTATTTGAAAAAACAGTCAAAATAGTTAAATAATTAAAATTATGCAAGTTTTTATATTGAAAACTTCCAGAACTTGCTATAGTGTGCAAATAATGTGAAAGATTCAATTGCTTTTCATCAGGAAAGATGTCCATAAAAAATTAATTTTTTTGCTCTTTCCTTTTTTTTTTGGGGGGGAGGGTTCGCTGCGCTGAATAGACTCGCACAACCCATTTCGTTCATGAGTAAAAAGAGATGGGAAAAAAGAAAAAACAGAAAAACAGAAAGTTGTAAAATGTGAAACATCAAAATTAGGAAATAATAAAATTAGAAATTAGAAACATAAAATTTGAAACACACGATTTGGAGTTTGAAATGTAAGATTTGCAACTTGAAGCATAAAACACTCAACATGAAATTGTAAAAACAAAACAAGAAATCTGAAATGTGAATCAAGAGCCATAAACTTACATCTTGCTAATTTTCAATTTTCAAGTGTAAAAAAAACGAAGCCAGAAACGAAGAATACTGCAGCAGAGCAAATCTATCGATCTACAAGCAAAATTACAAAGAAGCAGTAAATCAAATATATATCGACGAAAAGGAATAACAAGAGAAAAGAAAAAGTTTATAAAACACTAATATTAAAGAATTTCGGCTTGATAAAAACACACATATAACTAAAATGATCTACAAAAATGTGTCCTGGTTAATGGTTCAAATATAAGAAAAATGATTTTCCCAAAAGGGAAGGTAGAAAAAAGAAAAAAAAAAAAAAAAAAAAAAAAACTAAATAGTGGAAGGCTCCTTTTTTTAAAAAAACATTACAATTAGAATCAACCAGAAGTAGTTCTTCCACAATAACCTTCATAGTATAATATACATTTTGTTGCATATGTATATGTGTACGCACCTGTACAAAAACGCATATTCAGTTTAAGACATTTGAACAATCAAGGCTGTAATTAGAGAGGAAACATGGAGAAAAGAGAAAACATGGAGAAAAGAGAAAACATGAATGAAGAAAAGGTGCTCATTTCTGCGGAAAATATCTTCCACGATATTTGTACCTTGACCTTGAATAAAAATATTGAAATAGACATAATTCAAGAAGGGTAAAAAATCAAAAAAAAATATATACGTAAATAAATAAAAAAATTATCAGTAGAAACTGTAATAGTAGTATCTACAGTGTAGTAGCTCATGTGCATACATATTTTTTTGTCAATCATTTTTCCTTTTATTTTTCTCATTTTTTATACACAGGTTGCTGAAAAAGATTATGGATGATGAGGACTCTAATAGTATTCAGTTCGTCGAAGAGAGCTCAAATACACAGGGCGATTTAACAAAACTTAATGTACATTTGAAAGTAGGCGACAAAAATTGCACTTCAAAGAAAAATGAATTTAGATATTTAGATATTCATATTATCATAGATTTTAATAAAAAGAAATTAGGTTACAGTATAGACAATTCAAATATTCATAAATGCTATCACTACAGAATAACAATTATGCTAGATCATATAACACAAGGAGGGCTCACATTTAAGGATAGTATTTTATATATATATAATGGAATTAATGATAAGAATTCCATGATTTGTTATTGTTTTCAAGATGCAAAAATTGTTGATAAAATACTAAACGGTAACGGATCAAACAATTTAAATACACGTAATAGGGATGATATTAAACAAAGTATGACATTTTCCACATCTGACAAATTCGAAAAAAATATGAATTGGTACGAGCAAAAAGATAACTTATTTTTACATAAAAATAAATATATAGAACAGTTAAAAAGAGCTCCCATTTCGTACTCTTTTGAACAAAACATTATCTTTTCAAATGGTTTAAATGATGAATCGGATGAAAACAAATTGCACAAATCGTCTCATTTGAAGCATGCAAAAAGAGATTCTTCGAGGTGCATAGAACCATATGTAGCGGGTGACTTATTATCATCGAATAAAGAGCACGGTGGGGAGGAATTGAAGGAAATAAAAAAAGAATACAATATTTTAAATGGGGAAGCAAAAAAAAGCTTCAGTGGTGAAGTGGGGATTGTAAAGGGGACCAAAAATGGGACAAAAAAAGAGAAAAAAAAAGAGGCCAAAAAGGGGGACAAGAAGGAGACAGAAACTGGAACAGAGAAAGGGAGAGAAAAAGCAAATGTCTTTAGTCAACGCGAACTATCTGAAAATGGAGACACAGGAGCAGAAGTGGATGTAGTAGGAGCAGTTAAACAAGAGAATGGAGTAAACACAGTATTTTCAATGAAGGATATGGAAGAAATTAGTCATTTTCTTCAAGATGATTTTATGAACAAAAGAGGTAAAGGAGGAAATGCACTAATTATAGGTAGTAGGGGAGGAAAATACATAAGAGAAGATGAAAATAGAAAAAAAAAATTTATGAAAATTATGGATGAAAATATCCCATTAACAGTTATTTTGTCAGATAAGGGGAATGATATATGTAAAGAACTAATTAACAAATATTCGAGATATTATCGGGATTTTGTAGAAGAAAGGGTTTTAGGTTGTGGTGGATTTGGATATGTGATGAAGGTTAAAAATAAGAGATTTAACATTTCTTATGCATTGAAAAAAATAACTTTATGTAGTACGAAAAAAAAGGCGTATTCTTATCCAAATTCCAGTAGTGATATAATGAATGAAAACAATCGTTATATAATGGAAGAAGCGATAATGATTGCTAAATTACAACATGAAAATATTGTAAGATATTATGATGCATGGGTTGAAAATAATATAGATTATTATCTACATAATGAAATAGAAAATAATTATGAGCATATCAGTAAGAAGAAGAGAAATTATGCACATTATATGGAAGAAATAATAAACATGCGTCATTATTATGAGGAAAAAAAAGGAATTGATATTAATGAGAAATATTTATATATACTAATGGAGTACTGTCCAGGGAAAACGCTTAGAGAGGCTATAGACTGTGGAATTATATATAAAAATGAGAAACTCATATGGGAGTTGATAAAGCAAATTTTGAAAGGATTGCACTACATACATGATATGAAAGTAATGCACAGAGATATAAAACCGTCTAATATTTTCCTCCAAATAAGTGATAATGTTTTAACAGCCAAAATTGGAGATTTTGGATTGACCACACGAATTGATAATAACAATAATAACATCAATCCATCTGCAGGAACAGTAAATTATATATCTCCTGAACAATTAAATGGGGAATATGTGGATCAAAAGTCTGACATTTTTTCATTAGGTGTTGTATTTTTCGAAATGTTTCATGAACCATTTTCTACTCTCATGGAGAGATCCATAGTTTTGTCCAATTTGCTTAAAGGAATATATCCTGAATATATAAAATCTGATCAGAAAAATTTTCAATTTTTATCCAAATTATTAGCAATAAATCCAAAAGAGAGATCTTGTGCCTATTCCTTACTACATGAAAATTTTCTTTTTTCCTTTGAAAAGGATTTTACAGAAATTTATAATTTAGTAGAAAATAAAGGAAATTGTGAAGAAGTTCATACTATAATTAGTACCCTGTTTGATAAAACTTATAATACTAAAGAAGAAGATGTGGTTAAAAAAGAAGACATGGTATCTTTTCAAAGTGCAAAAATGTTTATTGAAGAATCTGACATGAAAAAATGTATAAAAAAGAAAATTATAAAATCTCTTAAAAAGAGAGGAGCTGTTTTTTTAATTACTCCAATTATTTTACGTAATAGATATTATATAAATCCAGAACATAGTTATGTAGGTGAATCTAACTGTTCATATAACTTGAACAAGAAAAAGGACATTAAAACATCAAACATTTATATTAATACTAATAAAAATGATGTAGAAAGTTTAGTATATTTATTAGACATATATGGAAATAGTATCACCCTACGACCATCTTTTTTTTTCGCCTTTGCTGAATATATATATGAAAATATTGGGTGTTACAATAAGTATAATGAATCCACTTTCTTTTTAAAATTTTATGCGAATGGATATACATATAAATATCCAATCATAAAAAACAAACCATCTAAAAAAGTTATTCACACAGCAATTTATCCAGAAGAAATAGAAAAAATATTTTATTGTATTCTAATTAGTTCCAAAAATTTATATGGTCAAGAAGAATTAAATTATCTTTCTATATTTTCCAATGCAGACATTTTTGTATCTGTTTATACATTATATAACCACATATCATGTTTTAATAAATTATTATTTATATGGTCTTATATTGATTTACTTCCTCTAATACTTAATGAATGCTTAGACATACCAGCCGATATAAGCGAAGAAATGAGTATTCAATTAAAAAAAAATTCGACCTTACTAGCTAATAAATCTTCCATAATGCCCATACTACAAAAATTTAAAATAAATAATAATAACCTCCCAAAAATATGTGATTTTATTTATACTTTATTTCAACTAAAATGTGAAAATGGTAAAGTGGAAGAATATTTAAGTGCTTTGGATACATTTATATCCGATTTTTTAAGCAAGAAGGCTGGTGATCATCTCCCCTCTAATATAACCTCTTGTACTATACATGGGGATAAGACGAGCGTAAATTATGCAATCAGTGATAACATCACAGGTGGGGCCAGTATTAGTGCTAATCCTAGCGGTAATGTTGGTACCAGTGATAGTGCTAGTAGTAGTGCTACCTGCACTTGTCATGCTAGCAATATTGGCAATGTCGGCAGGAATTACAGCCCAATTTCTAGTACAAACCATGCAGCTAGTTCACCACTCAGGGCAAATGACACATCTGCTAAAAAGGTACATATTATTCTAAACGAGAAAACGAACACTAAAGCAGTGAAAAATGTAAGAAGCCATTCGCTAATAGATATAGTAAAAAAAATTAATAGTTTTATAGGAACAAGCACAATGATAGAAAACACTTGTTTTGATTTATTCCTAAATTACGAAGAAAGTTTGTTTTCAAATGAAATTATATTTTATGTTATCGCTGAGGGAAAGAACAGAGATATAATAGCATGTGGTGGAAAGTTCGATAAGGTCCTTCAGAATATGAAAAATGGTGCAGATCGTGGAGGAGCAAGGGGAAGTATAGACAGCAGCAATGGGGGAGCTATGGCTAATCATATGAGAGAAAACATTTGCAATGGCATGAGCAATGACATGAGCAATGATATGAACGAAAACATCTTTAATGATGGGAGCAATAACATCTGCAGTGCAGTGGACTTTGATACCTGGAACGTGCTAAACTGTGACATCAAAGATGATTGTACTGATTTTAAATTATTAAATATGAAAGCATATGGAGTTGAAATTTTTGTAGAAAAAATATTTTTAAAAGTAATCGAATCAAATGAGAAAACACCAATTAATGTTCCATCAACTGCAGCATCTGATAAGACGCAGATTTTTAAAAATTTTTTATTATCATCTGATCATCAGAATAATTTCTCTTGTTCAACTAATTTAATTCAATTCCCCGCTAGCAATTGTTCATTTAGTTATTCTTCTCCCAAGGTGCTTATTCAGGTATATAAAATGGCAGTCCTTCTAATAGCTTATGATTTGTCCAAAAAGTTGTTAGATAAAAATATTCCTTCTTATATCTATTTTTCGATTAATAATGCAAACACGAAAAAAAAAATCAAAAATTTTAAGCCACACAAAATACGCTTCATTATCTCAATCAAGTCATTCGGTAATGACGCTTCTATTGATATTCATAATCCAGTAAATATTAATAACGTCACTTATAAGGTTTTTAATTCGAAAAATGAAGATTGTAATTTTATGCAGCAAGAGGAGCTAATAAATTATTTAATTAAAAATGTCTAGTTTTTTTTTTTTTTTTTTTTTTTCACTCATATAAACGTTTGTGCTATAATTTTGCATATTATCATATATACTTATTGTGTATAAAAAAAAAAAAAAAAAGTGAGACAGGAAAGTAATTTACATATACATATATGCACACATATGTGTCTGTGTTTTCATGAAAGGTTCTAGTGATAGAGTTTATACATATGAAAACGAGAGGGACCATTAGGTTTAGTTAAGTTTCTTGTGCATATAATTTTAGCACATTGTGGTGAAAGGATATTTGTTAGAACAACAGATCTTATAATTTGATGATTGTTGTGTATATGTACACATAACTAAAGATTATTTCCTTTCATGACTCATTGTTATCTTTTAATGTTTTATCCTTCCTTATTTGTATTTTTTGAATATTATTAATTTTACTAACATGATTCATTTTATATATTCAATTTATGATTATTATTAATACCATTTTGTCAATGTTATGAAATTGCTCTCTTTTTTTTTTTTTTTTTTTTTTGTCATTTTCTGGCTTATTTTTTCAAGTTTGAAATGTGGTGTACATATGTAATGTTTTATATTTTATCATCACCCCAGATATACTAAAAAAAACAAATAATGGAGTCCAAAAAGGGGGTTTATATGTTTGTGTACGGAACAAGTATATTTGTACATCCTTCAAAGTGGAAAATAAATAAATATTCCTTTACGTTAGATGATATATTTTACAATTTTTTTTTAATTTTTTTAACTAGATGAAATGTGATACAAGCACATTATGCATAACATTAGTATGCTTTATTATGGATACATAAAATGTATGTACATAGATGAGTAAATACATGTGCATCATCCACTTTTACCATTATTAAGAGATCATTTAATGAATTTTCAAATACATTTATAAAAGAAAAAGCATGGTATATATTCTTAAAATTTCTAGCACATAACAATAGTAATATAGGTAAGATTTGTCTTACACATTTCTTTTTTGTTTTTATTTTTTATTTGTGTAAATGACTGTATGTTGCTTTAGAGCAAACAGAAGATACTAATTAACAGTAATTTATAGGAACAAGTGACATTAAGTTGTTCTTTTCCTCACTTTTTTTTTTTTTTTTTTTAACTTAACCATTATTTTTAACCTTTTTGAATTATATATTTTTTTATGTTTTTAGAGAATTCATCGTAATGAGTTTTAAAAAAATGCAAAAAAAACGAAAAAAAAAAAAAAAAAAAAACTTAGGAAAAGCACAGTTCAATCGTGTAACCCTTTTCATCATTGTGTTTCTATGTTGATTATGCACAAAATGAACAACCAACAAAGAACATATAAAATGATAAGTAAGAAATTAAAGACGCTCTTATATATATTTTTGCATTGTTGTGTGCGTTTTTTTTTTTTTTTTTCTTTCAAAATATAAATTAAGTACAGCAAAAGAATGGATACACGTTTTGCATAATTTTAAAATTACGCATATGCTGCTTTTAGAAAAAAACTCAAGAAGTCGCCATCCAATATGTGAAACACAGTTGTATTTCAAATTAAAGCAAAGTGAAAAGAGATAATTTCCTTAAAGGAGTTAAAAAGATGAAATAGCAAAATTAGGGGATACAAAATTTAATTAGCTTTAAGCTTTACACTTTCAAAAAATGTTACAAAAAAAGGAAATACTTACATTTGAATACTATATTTTTTTAGAGATCATCCAAATTTTCATTTTCTTTAATGTGTTTAATAGCCTGCTTGTTAAAAAGAAGTAAAAATAAATAGCAACACATGATGAAACACTTTTTTTATGCGATAAGTATATATATTTACATGTATACATTTATATATATACTGAAAGAAAAAAAGAACATATTTCGCATACTCCTCACATATATATCATTTTTCATTAACTTACCAAAATGGAATATTCTGCTAAACAGGTGTCTTTATCATCAATGTACATAAATTTTCTTAAAATGTCAAGACCTAATGGAAAAAAAAAAAAAAAAAAAAAAAATGTTCATTAATCATAGATTTCATGTGCAATTCAACATGTTTACCCACTTTTCATATGACTAAGCTTAAAAAGTCCAGTAAGACTATCATTTTTTGCCTGAGGAGCGTACCATTTATTTTTTTTATATAATTCGATATAGTACTATCTGAAGAAAAGTTGGCTACAAGACTAATAATATATCTATTTAAAACAAATTTATGATAAATAATTTCCTCCTTTTTTGATAAATGATCATTTCTCATTCTAAATATTGTTTTTAAATAAGTGAAAATAACATCAATAAATTCTTTTTTTTCTGAACAAGACAGATAATCCAATTCTTCATAATGGTCACTAAAAATGTTAGAAATAAATAAAATTAGCTTGAAAATTTCTAAATTGAAGTTTTTTTTATAATATAGAAACATATCCATACAAAGTGCATTTCTGTTGTATATATCATCGATGTGAACCTCATTAAAATTGGAAAAATAATTTATTTCGTTTATATATATTAGATTTTCCTTTATCTGCTCAATTATATTTCTGTATAAATTTTGATATTTTGAAATTTGTTCTACTTCTAAATTTTTTTCATCAAGGATATTATATACTGCTTCAAGGATGAGTCTATGTATCAGTGCGATGTATTTGAATAAATAACTTTTATTATTTCCTCGATTTATAATTTTCCATCTAATTGGTATGGTATTTTTCTTAAAAAAAGAAATAATATTTTCATTCATTTTTTCAATGTGCTGATAAAAATATATATTAAGTAATTTTATATTTTGTAGAATTTGTAAAAATAATTTATTTTCATTTTTCAATGAATTTTCAATAAATATATAAAAATAGTTGCAAATAGTTGCTTTTTTTTTAATTTTTTTTAAAGAATCCCAAAGAGACAAAAAAAGAATAAAAGAAAAATCTTTCATCATACACAATTGTTCATAAGTTCTATGGTTTATTATAAAGTTGTTTAGGAGCATAAATATATTATCTTTATTAAGTTGTTTTGTTATAATGTAATAAAAGTATGATGGGTAGAGAAATTGAAATATTTCCGTATTATTCTCATTATGAGTTATTAAATTAATTAAAAATATTAATTCGTATTTGTCCACTTCAGCATATAATGAATGGACTTGACTTAAATCGTTGCTGTCCATGTTTTTACTTTGATTCTCCTTTGAGTTAATCAAACCTACATTTTGTTCAGTTTCTGTGATTGTACTATTACCACCATTTTGCCTCCCTAGAAATAAGTTTTTGTATATTTTCTTTTCTGTTATTTTTTCTTTAATCGAGTCATTATGCGGAATATAAAATATGAGAATTTTTAACGCCTTTATAAAGTTGTTCAGGTTGTTTTCGTCCCCATCTGTTTCATGTTCTACTTTGTTTTTGCATTTAACTAGTAATTGAATAACTTTGTTTTCTTCATTTTCGTCTAATTTTATAGCCCCTTCTGGATTTCTGAAATTGTAGTATTTCTCAATAAATTCAGCTTCATCGAAGGGCTCCGATGCCATATTTTTTTTTGGTTACCACTTGGTTTAGATAAATATAGGTTAAGGTAGACTTGTATTTCTTAAAGAACAAGCTAATCCTTATTTCTCTTAAGGGGTTAATTTGATGTATGTTTGTAAATAGGGGTAAAATGGGTATGGATTCATGTTCGCTGACATATATGTATATGTTACATGTGCTTATGCGTAAAAATGTATGTTGTACTTTGTGTTCTTCCTTCATAGCTTTTATCACCTAATTTTTCATACCATCCCAGTTATTCTCATCTCCTTCATTTTTTGTAATTTTAGTTCTTCCCATTTTTTTTTTTTTTCTTTTTAAAAAATAATTCTTTACAAAAGTTCTTTATACCAAAAGTATATTCACCACTCGACACTTAATATTTTTTTAAAATATCCCGGAAATTTTTCTAATGCACAGATGTATATAAAGGTATATATTTTACATAGAAGTGGGGTGGGGCATCGTTCATGTTTATAAAACATTCCTTCTTTCTTTTTTTTTTTTTTGTTGTTAAACAACATATAAATTACTCACCAATTTGGTAGAGCATTTTTAAAAAGTAGAAATTTCATCCTAAATTCTTTTAATAAAAATATAAGGAAAAAATTCGAAAAAGTGAGCATAAAACAACAATACAACTTAATTGTTTATACTTATCTGACAGGAGCAGCTTCCACATTTTCACACACAAAATGGAACAATGTGTAAAAGATGGGAAGGAGAGTCTATTTAGTTCGATCAATGACATTATGAACATGCATTTATATGTGATTAATCTTGAAGAATTGATTATACAATTTTTTTTTTTTTTATTTAAAAATTCATTATTTTTTAATGATGTAGATATGTATTTATAACCCACCTTTACGCGTAAAGATGGAAGAACAACTGGTACGTACAAAATAGTCTATACCCATCCCTTCAGCAAAAAAAAAAAAAAAAAACAAAAAACAAAAAACAAAAACAAAACCATACACATACACGTACAAATACATACGCACACAAGCAAGTAAATAGATGATATATATACTATATATCCTTTACACTAGGTAATTACTCATATGTCATTTTTTTATTTTATTTTAAAATAAATTGCATATGCATTATAATCTAAGGGTTATTTTTGAAAAGATCAAAAATGATAACGGTGAAAAAATGTCACTATGCTAGAAAATGTATTCATAATTTTTCCTGCACACCCATGGTTCATCATTATTAATGTGAAATGCGTGGGTCTAGAAATAGGGAATCCTATTATGGAATAATGTATAAGGATACGATAAAAAAAAACTTCAACACAAAAATGAATCTAAACAAAAAATTGTAATAAAAGAAAGAAGCTACAAAAAGTTGTTTATTAAGATTCAAATTTATATTTAAAAAAAAAAAAAAAAAGTGAATTTAAATTAACAAGATAACATGAAAATGGTTATAGACCATGTCCTCTTAATTTTGTCGCTTCGGTTGCTAACTTGTCAATCTGTAGAAAGGTTAAAATAAATAAAACAATAATTAGACGCACGGCAGAATGTTTGGGTGATAACACACATGTTTTATAATACAAATCAGATAATTTTGTGGATAAATACTTTCATAATTTTTTTTTTTTTTTTTTCAGTGTTACCTGTGGATCGTAATCAGGGAACTCTTTAATCAGGTCAAGAATACTATTTCTCGTTTTTTCTATCAATTGTTCTACAGTCATACCAGGAGTTGGATAAAATGGTTCCCCCACGGAAAAATATACAGTTCCCATGTCGTGTAGTTTTGATTTAATGGGCCATACATTATTTGTTGCATGTAGTGCACATGGCAATATTTCACAGTTATTTTCAATTGCAAATCTAAAAAAGCCTGTTTTGAAAAATTGCAACTCTCCGGTAATAGAACGTGTGCCTTCGGGAAATACAACTGTGCTTATATTCATGTTTTGATATAATTTACATAATTTCATAACCTCTTCAGTTCCCCCTTGTTTAACTTCCCATCCACCTTTTCCTTTAGTAAAATAAACTGGAATATCTCCTGATAAATATAATGCCTGTCCTCCAATAGGTACATTATATAGTGAGCTCTTAAAAACGAATTTTAAATTCCATTGTATGACACCAGCATTAACTATCCATGGGTCTAGTGAAGACAAGTGATTGCAAAATAAAAGAGTTTTCGATACTTTATAACCCTTCTTCGCTTTTCTGATTATTTTTAGTTTCCAAAATGGGTTAAGTGGGCACCACACTATGATGAAAAGGGGGAAATCGAAGGCGAATGAGATGTATACATATATGCATAATCGTTCATATATGCATATCTACATATGCATGTGTAGCATGCACTTTCCTCTTTTCGTTTCAGTTGTTTGTATGTGCTATTTTCCCCTACTTTCATTTTCAAAATAATTGAAATTATTTGTGGCACTTTTACATGTGTCGTACTCAAACTGCTTTTTTCAAATAATTTTAATTTTTCATTTTTCTACTTACTAAGACACATGAAAAGTCTAAAACAGTATCCAAGTATTGTTACCCGAGCCTTTTTGTTACATATAATCAGGGGAAAGAATAAAATGATGCATATTATTTGGCAGCCTAAAGCAAGCGTCAATAAAATGAATAAGAATATTTTAATGTAAACAGTTATAAGGAACCTAATAACAACATGTGATTGTTTGTATCTCTTTTTTATAGAATCATCCATTTTTTTTTTTTTTTTTTTTTTTTTTTTTTTTTTCTTGTAATTAATTTAGTACAGCATCAGAAGGGATAGGAAAATTAATTTTTATTCTTTTTAATTTTAATCTTTTTTTTTCATAGAAGAATAATGCTTAACGAATAGTGCCAGTGCATTTTAATAAGAGTATTTTTATACATATCCAACACATCTTCAAAGTAAAATATATGGAGAAAAAGAATTATAATTTAAAACTGGAGAATTTTTTACAAGGGGTTTTAAATTTTTAAAGGGAAAATATTATGGCACATAGTACTATGTTGCCAGGAGGTTAAGGAAGCATTTATAAATTCACAACTACCCAAGCGATTGAGCATTATTGTGTATATTTTATATGAATCTTAAAGCTAAAATGGTGCAGAAAGCAATAGGAAAAGGGGAGGGGGGGGAAGAAAAAGAAAAAAGTTTGTGTGCGTAAAAACGTTTTAAAATTTTATGTAAAAAGGCTGTTTTTAGTACGATAGAAACTACATCATGTCAATTCTTAATATAGGCATCACCAAAAAAAAAAAAAGAAAGTTACAAAATGAGATGACACGTGTTGACGTGAGTGAAGTGTTTGATTTTGATATATCTATTTATATATGTACAAATTTATAAACACATGGGATATAATACCTAACATCGACTTGTAACACATATGTATAAATATATATACTTATACACGCGTGCACACATATTTAGGGGATGTGATCTATCCATTGCAACAATTTAAGGAAAAGCTTTTCATGGGTACATAAATAGTATATATATATATATATTATCATAGAACGCAGAAGGGAATGAGGTATTTACAACAATATTGTCGTTATAACACCAATTCATGTTATATGTTTTCATTTGCCGCTGATATGCGTAATTTTTGGAACACATACATGGAATGCCAAAAAGAAAAATAAATAATCATTAAAAAGTGAAAATGTACAGCAAAAAAAGAAAAAAAAAAAAAAAAAAAGGTGATAAAGTTAAAAGAAACACTAACTTACATTGTTACGCAATTGCATTTTTCTGCAAACCATAATGAACATTGTACATTACACAGTAGCTGATTTGACACAACAGGTTAATTAAATTATTTACATCTTATTTGTGTATGATAAAAAAAAATAATAAAAAAAGGAAAAAAGGAATTTTTACACTCTCTAAAATCGATGACACTCAAACGCAAAATAGTGCAGATATTTGATGCACATACATAAAGATGGTTTCGCAGAACTGAAAAATCTATACGAGATTTATGACTTTTTTAAATGCACATAAATGAAACTTCCTCGAACTTATTCTCTGCAATTATAGAGCTGTATTATAAATCAGAAATGAATTTTTCCTGAATACACAAATTGAACACTTCTTAAAGTTAAAGGATAAGTAAAATTAAGCTTTTCCCACCTTTTTGATGTTTTCAGTCCTATATTAAAAGGATAATCAACAGAAGGGAAAAAAAATGCGCATATATATATATATATATATATATATATATATATATATATACAACTTGTCAGTGTGGGCACCCATACATGCAAGCAAACTCTAGCTCATTTTAACATTTGCAACATCACTATAGTGGATTCATTGCGAATAACCTGAATTTGCGAATTCTCTTCTTTTCATTGTCCAAGTACTCTTTTAAGTAAATCTGCTTTTCCACCCCAAACTCATCTTCGTATTTGTCTCCAAAAATTTCTTGAACTTCCAAATCCATCTTTTCTCTACCGAAACGCACATACAAAATTTGCAAAGTTTTTTCCACAGTTATATAACCATTCATTTCGTAATCAAACATGAAAAATTGAATAATGTTGTATAGGTCACTTGGTATTTGCTTCTTTTTATCATTTACGCATCGCAAATATAAGAAATAAATTTCATCATAATCTAGACAGTTGTCCATGTTGTCATCGAATTCCCATATCATTCTTTCGACTTCACCCTGGAAAAAAGGGAGAGGGAGAATTAATCCTTTTTTATTTATCTACGTGTATATTTATTTTTTATCTATCTACTTGTATATATTTTTTTTGCTTGTCTATTTATTTATTATTTTGCTTGTTTATATATTATTTTGCTTGTTTATTTATTTATTATTTAACTTATTTATTATTTAACTTATTTATTTTTTTTTTTTTTTCTCATCTCTCAACTTCTCTCCCTTTTCGTCTCTCAATTCTGACAGAGAAATTCAGTTAAAAGCTTCTCCCATGTACATACTCCATAAGTAGATATTTACGCTATCCTAATTTGACTAAAACCATATTATCTGTTATATGCAGTTTACTTGAATAAGCGCTCATTACAACGTAATAAAAATGATTTTCATACAAACGAAGGACACAATACAAAGAGCAAGAAGTGCACTATACACTCTCATTGTTCGATTATTACTACGTCATTTTGTATAAAGATACAGAAAAAGTAAAAAAAAAAAAAAAAATTATAACATAATATAATAACAAATGACTCGTTTATTTATTCGGAAAATGAATTAGTGCATATTGACATAACCTTAGAAATCTTGTAATTATATTTGTTCAAAATATCATGGAGATTGCAAACTGAAATTTTCCCTGTATTATCTTTGTCCATCATCTTAAAAACTCTCTGCAAATTTTTTTTTTCAGTATTCGAAATTTTTTTAAAATTTTTGATGTCTAATGGGGCTATAAATCCATTTCCACAAATATAAAAATTAGGGTTCTTTTCACTATTTAATTTTTCAATAACTGGTATATATGGTTTTTCATCCATTTTTTTTTTTTTATTTTTTTTTTTAACTATTGTTTCTCTTTGATTATTCTAGTGGATTCTTAATTTTGTCAAATTTTATATTTATTATTACGCAGTGAGTAGTATTTCTTTGGTAATAACATATAATTAATGTAGAGAGAAATATATTTGCAAATACTTTTCAAGTGTGCAAAAATATAAAAAAAAAACTAAAGTTAAAGTGAAAAAAGTTATAATTCTTGCATTGGACAAAAAAAAAAAAAAAAAAAAAAAAAAAAAAAAAAAAATTAGGTAGAGATAGAGAAATATTAAAAAGTTTATTTATAATATAAAAATATCTCTCTTTTTTTTCGTAGTTACTAAACCTTGGGGGAAAAATAACAATAAAATGTCCTAATTAAAAAAATAAAATTATTTCCCCCTCACCCCCTTTTTTTCATATTCAATTTTGTCGTTTTTCCTATCCCATAATACGTTATAGATGTCTAACTGCATAATAAATAGCAAACAAAAATTATCTCACTTGTGTGTATGCCTTGTGCGCATGAATAAATAAGTATGCACATAAGCATGTCAATTTTTTTCTACAAAAATGCACCGTGATGTTGAAATAACATGGAATAACACTAGATTAAGATAACGAAGTGTGCTTTATTCTGATTTACCTTCATGCTTTTTTTTTTTTTTTTTTTTTTTCCTTTTTTCAAACATTTTAATGTTTAAGTTTTCGAAATGGAAAAATCCAGAACCAGCGAGGCGAATAAAAATAAATTTACTAACTGTGAAAATGGTGAAAGGAGCACTAAATATGAAGAAGGAGAAGAAAAAAATTTATCTTTTCTGAAGCCTACCTACTTTATTCACAATAAAGAAAAGGCTTTAAAGGACTTTATTAAGAAAAGAAATGATCATTTAACAAAAAATAGTGCTCTAAAGGACAAGAATACATGTAACTATTTTCAGATCATCCCAAACATCGTTACCTTTACTTCTTACGCCCCTTTCAAGAAATACGAAAGGGTGGTAACATTAAAGTAATTTTGATCTCTCATAGTTGTAACAAAAGATAAACCAAAATGTGTTAAGAGAATTTCTACTAACTCTTTACATATGTACTGGGTTCAGAACAAGTGATCAAAGCTTATGGTCAATGGCCTAGCAAAAAATATTTTGTCCTTTTTGATAATAATTCGTTTATATAAATTTTCTTCTTAAAAATTGACTTTTGTAGAAATATCGAATCCAATGCGAGAAATCTCAAGATCAAATTAGAAGACAACCATGTATTCAAAATTAAGTATATATCGGATATAAAAAAGAAGGTAAACATTTAAAATAATATGCATGTACAATGTGTAAATGATTTTTTCTTAAAATTTTTATACTTGTTCACATTCACAATATCCTTATTATTACTCAATTTTCGTAGGTTGCACCAGGCATGCTATTCAGTTTCAAGGTGAGGAATTTAAAGAATGCAATGCTCATGTTTATTCTATTCTATTCCATTCTATTTATTTATTTATTTATTTTTTTTTAATTATGAATAAGAGTGAGATTTAGAGATTCATGTCCTATAAAAAAGGGAAAGAGCTCTTTTTGAAAACTTGAACACAAGACAAAAACTTTTGGATATGTCAACGTCCCGCGTAACAATTAAAAGTATTTGTGAAATATGCATTTTTTTGATGAATCTATGTTTCTTTCCTATAGGTAGAATTTTATCCACAGTCATGTGATAATTATGAATGTGATCTGGATATTCATTCCGAGGTATGATAAGCATTTACATATTTATGTGTTTCCATGTATGCTTCCCTACACATATATTAAGATAATATTGTTGTCTTGTAAACTAGAATCAGTCTGCGTACTTTTATAAGAATAAAATTTTGTATTTCTATAATTGGTATATCCACTGTTTTTCTTCACCTTCATAAAATTTCATAAGCACACATTTAGATTCTCATAAAAATGTCTGTTTCCTTTGTGTTAATAGAACAATTCCTTCACATTACCCATAAGATGTATGAACGATGAACTTATTTTAGATGTTCAAGACGAGATATTATTAAATGATACACCAATATATATGAAAAGCGAAAAAAGCATAACAATAAAAAATATCGGGAAATATGAAAATAAATTTCAAATCAGCTTAAAACCTCCCTTTTACGTTAATTCTTGTATTCATGTTCTTAAAGAGGGAGAAATAGTAGAAGTTAGAATTATATTTTTAAAAATAAATTACGAGAGAGTGACATTATTGATTCTCCCATAGTCATCAAAATAAATTTTTCCCTTTTGTCCTTTTGTGTTGAGTCTCCATCTACCATGGATACATATATATATATATATATATATACATATACACGTGTATACATACATATATACACACTTGCATGTATATCTACCTGAATGTTCGCAAAAAAAAAAAAAATATATACTCATGTGCATATATATTTTTTTACTCATATATTCATGTCTATCTTTTTACGCGTCCTTACTCACATACATCCACAGGCGAAGATCACGTTTCTTCCTATAGAAAACAGAACTTATGAAGATTACATGATAGTTAATTATGAAAATGTAATACACATACTGAAATAGGGTTTATATTGTAGAAAAAAAAAAAAATAAAATAAAAAAAATGAAAAAAGTTGTTCTAAATGAACATTTTAAAAAATAAAATAATCTTTTAATTTATTAGGGAATAAGCACTTACACAAAAATAAAAGGAGAAGGAGTTGTGGCTGATGTGCTTATAAAAGATAAAGAATTTATTTCTGATGACATCTGCATAAATAAAAGAAAAGAAATTAATATTATCATTAAAAATTTATCTTTTTTTTTGCTAACATATAATATTATAAAATATCATGTGTACGAATATAAATATGTAAGGAAGAATAACAAAATGAAGAATTTCATACATATGCGAATAAGAGCATTTTTAAATGGAAAAAAAAAAAAAAAAAAAAAAAAGTAAATAAAATAATTCCCATTATACAATAGTGGACACAATTTGTTTTTCTTATTTTGATTGTCTTTTAGGATGATCCTTCAATAAATATAAAGGAAATAAAATTAGACAGACGAGATAAAATCATCCAAAAGACATTCATTAGAGATTCAGAATTGGTAGATGAGAACATAGTAGAAAATGTCCTGTACAAAAATGAAGAATATTGCGAGGGTGAATATATTGAGGGGGATGACGTTGACGTAAGTAGAAGTTGCATGAAGCTCAGTGATGATAGTTGCAGTGATAGATGTTCCAATGATAGTGATTTCAGCGACGTCTGGTTCAGTCGAAGGGAAATCCTTTCTGGAAATAACTTGACAGATGGGCTATCTACTAATGAGGATGGAACAAACAAAAAAGAGGAACCCCAAAATGAACGGAAAGTGATACATAACGAAAAATGTGATACTTTTAATTCTGAATATTCTGATAAATCATTTTTTTCAAATTGTGATGATAGGAAAGAATATAGAAAAGAAAAGAAAAAAAAAATTGTAGATATATACCCTAAATTCAAGAAATTATACAGTGATACCGACACAGCCATTACAGTTTCGGTATGTCCCACCTTTGCGGCATTTTATAAAATAGTATTATTCTTATTTATAAAAGGATATAAAAAAGAAGAAAAAATAGTTATATACCTAAAGAGTATAGCACCTGAAATTGTCATTAAGAATAGGGTACAACAAATTGATAGTATTGTAGTGAACACATGTAAAATGGTAACCTTTGAGCTTGTGAATAATAGTCAATATAATGTTCCTATAAAAATAGAGAAAAAAGATGATGAATATGATGAATTTCAAATTGCACGTAGAAAATTCACTATACTTCGGAATTCTACGTACTTACTAGAAATTGTATATACTCCAAAAGTAAAAGGAATTGCTGATAAAACTTTTACAATTCATCAGAAGTACACAAATGTGAGAAATAAATTACAAATAATAAGTAATTGTACATTTCCAGAAATTATATTTGATATAGAACAAATAAATTTCAATCAAGTATCCCACAGTTTTGAATATGAAAAAACGTTTACCATAATTAACAACTCAGATTTTACCTTACATTACTTATTTAATATATCTAAAGAATTAAAAGATGAAATAAAAATTGACAAAAAATGTAATAAATTAGACAAATATGAAAAAGAAGAAGTTATCATAAAATTTTGTCCTAAACAAATAAAAACATATTTGACAAATATCGAACTTTTCCTAAGTGAAATTAAAACATATAAAAAAATATTACCTTTTCACGCTATATGTTGCAAACCTGAGGTAGTGTGTGAACCCGTCTTTTTGAATATAGAACCTATGGTTATAGATAAAAAATACACTGAACGAATTAAACTTCTTAATAATTCTGAAAATACGGATATAAAATATGAAATAATTGTAGATGCAGAAATATATGATATCTGTGATTTAGAAATTTTTGAAAAAGATGGAACAATACAAAGAAACAATTTCAAATTTATTGATATTTGTATAAAGAGTAACATTATAGGGTATATACTCATCGTTGTTAAAATTAAGATATCTGGATGTGATGATCTCTTATTTTTAAATATTAAAGCTTGTTGCACCTGTCCTACTATAAAAATTTCCCCTAGTGTAATTGATTTTGAAAAATGCAACTGTTTAGATGTAAAAGAAAAACTTATTGAAATAAAAAATGAAAGCCCGATTAACACCTTTATCAGCTTGTCCAACAGTTCATCAATATTCAGATTTTTGGAAAATAACTTTTATATAGAACCTTATAAATCCGCTTTTGTTCATATGTATGCTGAATGTTTAGACACGATAGCATATACAGACACACTACTGGTGAATGTCCATCGTAAGCAGGATCTTTCAATACCTTTGAAGGCTCAGGTATTCATTTCTGTGCATCGATTGATAGTTTCATTTGTGCATGTTATTTCACCCTCGTCTCAGCACTTTGTATTTTTAACTTTTTAGCTAATTTTTACATTTCTAAGATTTCTTATTTCATATATTTCATCCATTTTCCCATCTTGTTTTTACTTATTCCAGGGAATGGGGTCACCTATATTAGTCAAGGAAAATTTCATAAGTTTCGATGTAATCTACACGAGTAAAAAATACGTACATGAGCTTATTGTCTCCAATAAAGGAACTAACGAAAGAGGCATATACCTCTTGTTTGAGTCAGAAAAGAAAAGAAAGAAAAAAAATGATAATTCTGAAATTTTTAACGTTACTCCAAGGAAGATTTGTATTAAGGGGGGTGGAGATGTAGTGTGTGTATTAAGTGCCATTAACTGTAAAGAAGAAAAGTGCGAGGATGTTCTTTATTTATATGAAGATTCAATTAGTAAGAAAAATGCATGCAACAATTTTAAAAAAGTAAAAATAGAAGCATCCTTTGTACATCCGGAAGTAGAAATATGTGGTATTGTTAAATTTGTTTATAATTTTAATGAGCAAGTGGGTGTGCAAAAAGACGATCTGGAATTCCTACCTAATGAGGGAAATGGTAATTATTTAGAAGCAGCGAAGGAGAAAAAATTGAAACAACACATCACATATTTGAATGATATGAACAGATTAATGCAAGAGGTTGAAATGAAGAATATAAAAAATGCAAATGTAAAGTTTACATTGTCTACCAAGATGCCCTTTTTTGTTGACCAGGATGTAATAGAACTGAGAGGTATGGAAAAGAAAAACATTCGCATATTTTTTGATGTCGACTTTATGGATAACAAAATTAACAACACATATCGTGATCATCTGACTGTGCACTTCTTTGAAAATGACAGAAGACAGAAATATGAATTACTTGGTGAGACTGTTTACCCTAATATTGTTATGAATAAAAATTCTATAGATTTTCAGTATATTTTAAAAAATTTATTTGCCCAGGAAATAGTTGAAATTAAAAATGTATGTAATTTTAAGGTGTACTTTCAATGGTTTTTTGAAGAAAATCATATCTACAAAAATTTTAATGAAGTTTTTAACATCACTCCTCATAGAGGTTATTTATTGCCTTTCGAAAAAAAACAAATAGAAGTTACATACAATAGCATAAATGAAAATTATTATAACATTAATGTTTTATGTCAAATTAAGAATGGCCCTATGTATACAATGAAACTAATAGCTGGTTATTCCGATATTAAGTATAGTATTAATAAGAAAGAACTGAATTATAACATTCATTATAAATCAATAGGAGAGGACTTTTTAACTATACAAAATACAGGGAAAATTAAACTTTTCATTGAAATTCATTATAACATAAAATTTCCTTCTTTACTTTACACAAATGTAAATAATATTTTTATTGAACCTAACAATAGTAAGGACATCATTTTTTATTTCATACCAGGTATTCCATTAAATGTAACTGAAACAATTTTAATAAAAATTTGCAATTTTGAAGAAATCAAAATAAACTTACATTCCAGAAACATTTCGAACATATTGCTTTTGACTGTTCAAGATATTGGAGACGGATATGCAAATGAAAATGTTGGGGAACTAACAGATTATAGTTATTCATCCGACGTTAATGAAAATTTCGAAAGAAGTAGTGATAGAATGAAGAGCGAATTTAACCATATAGAAAACTTGATAAATAACACCTTGTTATTTACTGATGAAAATTCCTATTATGAAAATCAACGAAGAGGGTTAATTAAAAAGCTGAAAAGGAATTATTCAAAGATATTTTTGTCACTCGGGAAATATATTGAAGAAATATTAGCTCTTTATCACAACCAATCAGGGGGAGTAGTAGAAGGGGTATTTCAGGTGAACCCAGAAGTGGACGAGATGAGCCAAATTGGTGAAGTAGACAAAATGGACGTGATGAGCCAAATTGGTGAAGTAGACAAAATGGACGTGATGAGCCAAATTGGCGAAGTAGACAAAATGGACGAGATGAGCCAAATTGGCGAAGTGGGCAATTGTTCTAGTAGACATGCTAGCGAAATTAATTTGTCTCGACATTCAAAACGTAGATACCATCTCATAGGTATCCTAAAACGTTTCTGCGCTAAAAATAACAGTTGTACAATTTTCATCGATTTGGTGAAGTCGTTTATTTTGACCCAAAAGGATGATGTGTATATTCTTAGGATTCTTACAAAACTGAAGAAATTAGGTAAACACATTCTTCATTTTTGCTTAAATGTATGCCAAAAATTTATGTGAAGATTTTATTGGCTAGGATGTGCCTTTACCCAAGCCTTTCTGTGAAGCGTAATGTTTCGCTAAGTGATATTTTTTTTTTATTTTATTTTTTTTTCCTTTTGTTCCTTATGCTTTACATCGTGTACATTGGACATATTCAAGCGAATATTGTACGGTTCAAATTTTTCTAATTTTTCCTTTTTCACATTTCTCATCAACCCAGCATTAGCAGATTTCGAGAAGGTGTCATGTTACAGCTACGTGAGCAATGAATACATTTTAAAATATTTGAAAGGAATAATTTTAGAAAGTAACATCATGTTAAAGGAAGTGTGTTTAAATTTGGGAAATGTACTTATTAATGAAAAAAAGGAACAAATACTTAACATAAAAAATGTAAGCAGTGAAAAAATAGGACTGAATTACCATTTCATAGATCCAGAAATGAGAGACTTAATAACATTAGTATGCGAAAATAACGAAGTTAATAAAAATGATTACACTAATCTGAAGATTATAATTCAAATGAATCGTTCCAATGAAAAATCATTTTTTGAAAAATTGTTCATTTACATGAATGATAAAAATTATTACACTATCTGCATAAAATTTAATTATATTATCCCAGATATACTTTTATATTATAGACAAATATATTTCGAAAAAGTAAAAGTAAAAAACTGCTTATGCAAAACGAATCGTTTAATAAATACCAAAAATGTGGATATTAAATTTAAAATAAAGAATATCATATTTTATAATAAAAAGTTAGAATATAATCATTTAAAAAAAAAGGAGCAACTTTTTATAACGCCGATTAAGGGAATTGTTAAGAACAATTCTTATTTAGACATTCGAATATTTTTTGAGCCTTCAGATATATATAAAAATGCTAAAATAAGTATTGAACTATTTATTTATCATTCTTGTATTACAAAAACTATTGATGCTTATTTGAATAGCACTAGAAATAATGTGCAGGTGGAGCCGTGCGACATTATATTGAAGCCACTCCTGTGCAATAGTGGAGACATACATGAAAAAATTAAAATCAAGAATTTCTATAATTATTCGAAATATTTGTTCATATACATCTTGGACGATTATTATAAGTACTTTCAAAGTTTCATTTATGATCTTTTGATTATTCACACACATATATATGTAGAAAAAAATAGTGATGACGATTTCTTTTATAGCAATTTGGTGTATTACTTGATAGATCTGTATAAAAATCAAATTAAAGAAATAAAACAGTCTGATAAAGCGAGAGAAGTTGTGTTAAATAATAATGTAGATCACCCCCTAATACTGAATGGACAAAGTAAAGAAATAAACGAGAATCATCACAACTTGAGGCATGAAAGTAAAAGTAGAAGAACACACAATCAGCATAAAAAGGTGGAAAATTTAGAAGTGGAGAATAAAAATAAAAGCAAACAGGTTGTGTTGGAAGATAAAAATGAAAGGGATGAAGAGAAATGGAAAGACAAAACGGGAAAACATAAAACAAAAACGGGTAATGCTAGTGACAAAATGCGTGGAACAAATTCAACTGAAAGAGAAGTAGAAAAAGAAAAAACAATTGAATTAACAATAAAAAAGGAAAAACTGCACGATATACTGGAAGATTTCATACATGAACAAGAAGATAACGTAAACAAATCAGTCACAGTATCGGAACTTCAACAAAGGAATATTAAAATTTTAGAAAATAAAATTTCCATCTTAGAGGAAATCATGCAAAAAACTAAAATAAAATACAACTACTTTGAAGAATATTTAAAAATAATAAGAATAAAGAAAAAAATAAAGGAAAATTACTTAGTGATTTGCCCAAAATATGTAAACCATAAAAAAATTGGAAGATACCTACTAAATAATAATGTTTTTAATTTTGCTAAAAAAAAAAAAGAAAAATACAACGATTCAGAATATGATAACTTCCTAACAATTAATGAAATAATTCGATGGTGCAAAGAAATTAACGAGAAAGATAATTATCCTTCTAGTGTAAAAAGAAGTTTTATTCATTACATAATTCATGAAGAAAATATTAGCAATGGTAGAAATTCACTAAAAAAAATAAAGACCTCTAATAGAAATATGAATGAAAGTTGTGCACATTTTGAAAATTCAGGGATTGAGAATATTTCTAAGCAGATACACCAGGACAAGTTAGATTATTTCATTAGTGAAATGTTAAATGTAGGAGGAGAAAAAAAAAAAAAAAAAGAAGAAAAATCAAAAGATGACATAAAAAAGGATAATGATATGTGTGTAGTTTCAAAATCAGAAAATGTATCTCAAGAAAAAATTAATCATAAATGTAATGAAGAACAAAATGAAGAGGAAACAACAGGGGGTAATGTAAAAGACAGGAATTTCACAAATGTGAGTAAGAATAAATTTAAAAAAAAACAAGATCTAAAACGCATAAAATCAAAAATAGATAACAAACGTGCAACATATATTCATAAAAAGGATAATAACTATATGATTTATAGAACAGAAAACAATGATGCTAGTGGTATATTGAAACCAAAAGCATTTTTTAACAAATACAATATGAGACGTAAGTTCGAATATATGAAGAACTTTTTTCACTTTTCCCTCCTCAATGATGAAGAATTTATGAACGATGTAAAATCATTTTTAAAATTAATTGTGGAGGATAGAAAAAAAATAAAGGGTGAAAATTCTAGCAGAAAGAATAGTAGCTTTGTAAATTTATTTGAAAACATCCTAAAGAAGGTATTACTCTCGCCCTTTTATATGAACGGCGTTGTTTTCTTCTTTAAAAAAAATGAGTATATAAATTCGGAAAACTTTTTTAGAACATATTTAAATCTCAGTTTGGATGAGAATATTCATGTAATTTATTTGAATCCGATAGAAAGTTATGAAGAATTTTTTAATTTGTCTAATCATGAGGAAAGGAAAAAAGAACAAGCAGGTTTAAAAACAGACACTGAGGGTGAAGCTTTGGAGCCGTGGTCAGCTGACAAAGAGGGGAAAAATGTGGGAGAAAAAAAGAGAAAAGAAATAGACAATAAAAAAGGTAAAGCGGTTGACAAAAAAAATGATAAAAAAGTGGACCCTAAAAATGATAAAGAAGTGGACCCTAAAAAAGATAAAAGAGTGGACCCTAAAAAAGATAAAGGAGTGGACTCTAAAAAAAAGTGCAAAAAAATTGAGGAAAAAACGAGCAAATTAACTGATGCACAAAGACTTAAGCGCTTTTATGAAAATTTATCAAAAAAATATCAAGAAAAAATTGAAAGGAAGTTAAAAGAAAAGGAGCAAATCGAAAAAATAATGGAATCATTTAGTGTAGATATCGATTTGAGCAAAGCTAAACATGCTCCATGTGCTTTTGATGATAGTGATAAAAAATATTATGCTAACAAGAAAAGGGAAAAAATCGAATCAACAGATCAAACAGAAAAAATTAATTATACAGAAGAAGCAGAAAAAAATATTTCCATGTTATCACAAATAGACGGACATGCGTTTCAAGGATGTCTAAAAAGGAGTGATAATTTAGAAGACAAAAAAAATAACAAAGTAGTATTCGAAAATGGTATATATAAAATAAAATACTTAGAATGTAAGAACCTGATTGTACAAAATTTTATGGATAAGTTGTATGAAAAAATTATAATTCTGAAAGAAAAAAAAAATTTTAGTAAGCATATAATGGAACAATTGAACTCACACTGTGTTAAAAGAAATGAACAAGTAGACGAAAAAATTATTAAGTATAATAAAAGGGTGAATAAAATTAATAATTATATGAAAAACAATGATTACCTAGATTATGTGCCATTTTACAAAGATTTAAAAGTTTTATTAAGCAATTTATTAAAAGACCATTTAAAAAAAGCAAAGGATATAGATTCTATCAAATTGCTCAACCCTGTTATGATAGAAACTGTTCAGGAAAATTCACAAAAGGGCGAAGAAAGTGATAAAGATATATTGAAAAGTGGAAAAAACATGAGAAGTAACAACATGTATTTAATGAGAATAAATGTTCCTCTTAGTGACAAATTTATCGAGAAAATATATGAAGAGGATGAAGAATTAGAAAATGAAAAGAATAAAAATAGTAACAATGTGATGATACATACAAAAAATGTGGAAGTAGATGTGTTTAATGAAGTTAAAGGCAGTACTTTCAGAGAAGAATTGTGCAACAAAATAAATAATAAGTTTAATATTCAAGATGTTACTATGAGAAGCGGAGGAATTATTAACAAAAATAATGTCGTTCAAAAAAATGTAAAGGGCGTTACACCTATAAATTGCAACAAAGTTGAGAAAAGTGTAAAAACGGTTATTAATAAAAATGAAGAACTTATAAAGTACTTAAAACAAGGATTTGTTCAAATAAGCTTTTTATACTTTTTTATAAATGAAGAATTATGCTTTAGAAAAAGAAATGTTCTTCATGAAATTTCAAAATTTATTCAGGAAAAATATAGAGATATAAACACGTCCGCCTATTTTTTTGATATCCCAGACCCTATAATTTACGACTCTTTTGACGTAAAGAGCTTCATACAGACAAAAAAAAATTTAGAAAAATGTGAAAATAACTTATATAATACTATTGAGAAAAAAGGAACTTATGTTGTAGCTAGAAAAGACGTGCACGAAGAAGACACAGAAGTGAAAGATGAGCGAAAAGAAGAATATGCATATGTTAAGGAAAAAAAAAAAGAACGTACTGAAAATGGGAATATAGATATGGAAAAAGAGACTCAAATAGGAAAATCTAAAAAAAAGAAAACAGAAAAAAAAAAAGACAATACAATAGATGAAGAAATGAAGATAGACAAAGAGAAAAATGAAAAAGACACGCATGAAGATGCAGAAAATGGAAGTAAAAGTGAGAAGAAAGACAAAGAGAAAAAAAAGAAGCATAGGGATGAGAACAAAGATGAGGAAGCCAAGAAGAGTAAGGAGAAGGTAAATGTGAATAGTATACTGAATGAATCGACAAATAAGACAAAGGAAAAAGGAGAGAAGGAAGGAAAAGAAGAATCGGAAGATAACGAGAGAATGAGTAAAAAAAGCGAAAAGAAGAAGAAGAAGAAGAAGAAAAAAAAAAAAAAAAGTAAAACTGAAAAGGTAACAGAAACTGAGGCTATGGAAAGAGATGAAATGCACGAAAACAGAATGAAACTCGAAAATAAAAACGAAAAGACGGGAAATAAATTTACTAAAGAAAAGGAAATTTTAAGCAAAAATTTAACCAATGAAATTGAGGTGGATAGAAAAATGTATAATTCTGGAAGAATGGATATTACTGAAAAAAATTACTTTGAAGAATTAGAAAAAAGGAAGTATGAAATAAAAGATGAGTATGATTATATTTTCTACAATTACCGTAATGCACTTATGGCAAATGAAGAAATAGATAATGAAAAAAAGAATGATCAAAGTTTAATTAACTTTTTACAAAATGACACATCTTATGATGGGAAGGGACAAGTTAAGTATAAAAATATAACGCATGTAATGCTGGAAAAGAATAAAACCACAGAAATTATCATAAGAATTAATACTTGTAAAACAGCTAATATAAAAAAAAAAATATGCTTAATAGATCTACTTGGAAATTATTTTTATATAAATGTTAATATTGTAATCGATAAGCCTAAAATTTGGTCGAATCCTTATTTCATATTTAGTAACAACGTTACAATATGTGATAATAAAAGTAAATGTTTTGTGTTATGTGAAAAATTATACAATTTTGATAAGGTATTAATAGGGAAAAATGTACATTCATTTAAGCATATCATCCAAGCGGAATTAAAGGAAGAATGTGAAGAATATGTTCTAGATTATTTAAGATCATTTGAAAGTGTAAATTCATCTAAATTTCAAGTGGCAAAAATTCAAGCAAAAAACACTACTTCTATTCTGAACAGGGTACATAGTAGTGAAAGGGAGAAAATAAAATTCAAATACACAGATTTGATACAAAATAAGAACATTTCTAAACATTTGTATAAGCATGTGCAAATTTTAAATTTATTTAATTGTTCCTATTTTGATTGCTTTGTTGAACTTTCTTTTGAAAATATGCTACATAGTAGTGATAAGAATCCAGTGTCTAATGAAAATAACAGTGCTGATAATTTGATAGTGCATAATGATTTTTATGTTTATCCTAGTAAATTTTTCATTTTATCAAAAAAGTGGAAAAAAATTATCATTTTGTTTTTACCTAAATGCATGGGATCATTTCTTGAAAAATTACTGCTGTCTGTGCATTCTATAAAAACCGATACAATTGATGGGTATTACAAAAAGGACAATACGAATGAAACCAATAGAAATGATTACATACAAAAATGCGACAATTTGTTATACAACAATATAGATATAGCTAGTAAAAAAATTGAAACATGTACAAGTGATATATTCTCTGTGTGCATAAAAGGTGAAGGAATAGAGTGCTGCCTAAAGATTGACCAAAGTTATATAAATTTTCACAAAATTCTTTTAAATTCCGTTCAGAAAAAAAGTTTTGAAATAAAAAACTGTAGTTATTGTGATCTTTCGTGGTTTGTAGACCATAACGATTTAAAGAACTGTTCACTTTTATGTATAAATCCTATGAGAGGGAATTTGCTAAAGAATGAGAAAAAAACATTAACAATCGCTGTTAACACGGATGTCGTTAGCACGATAAGAAAAGAAATAAAAATTAATTATTTTGAAAAAAATGTAAAGAAAAATGATAAAACAAAAAACAACGTTTATTTTGTTTCTCTCTCTGTGCAAGCGGAAATTTGTAAATCTTTTATCCAAATAAGTTCTGAAATTGTCGAAGGAAATAAGGATGAAATATTCCATCCGTTAGCAGAAGATGACAGCTTTAGGAAGCATAAATTAAGGGATAATCATTTTGGAACCATGTTTTCCTGTCAAAAAATTAAACACGTAGTATTAACTAACTTACCGGATGTTATAGAAGAAGACATTAATTTCAAACATGTACAAGTAAACGAAACTAAAATTTGCTTGTTGAAAGTGAAAAACACAGGAAAAGTTAAAATTTTTTATTTAGCGGAATTAAATGAGGACTTATTTTTGAATTTTATAAGTATGGAAAAAGAAAGCGATAGTGTAAATTCAAATGAAATAAAAATTATAAAACTTAAAGTGCGATCCTGTAAGAAGGTCAAGTTTCAAAATATCCCTCTTCTTTTGCATTTTTACGACATAGACAACAATTACATTCAAACATATAAATATTCCATCACTGTATTTTTCGATTATAATTATGTAAAGATTATTCCATCTGTACTTAATTATGATTCTGTTGAAATTATGAAGGAAGAAACTCGATTTTTTAAAATAATTAATTATGGACATTTTGACTTTAAATATGATATCAAATTGTTAAGGAATAAAATAAAAAATACAGAAAATGATAAAATAGTAAGATACAACAGCACGAAATGTATTAAAACAGATAATGAAACAGAAATAGTAAATCCATTTTCCATTTCTCCACTAAGTGGCACTGTAAAATCAAAGGGAGAACAGACAGTCATGGTTCTGTTTAATTCTTCCGAAGAGAGGCAGTATAAATTTATTTATATCGTTGAGGTCGAGAATGTTGCATCAGATATAAACATAGATAATAGGAAAAATTATCGTAGCATGTTGTACAAGCATGTAAAGGGAAAAAAAAGAGAAACTAGTGCTGATCACAGTGATGTCATTAAAATATTCGCGTCATCAGTTAAGCCTAGCATTTCCTGTGATATAAAAAATATATTCGAAGAGGTTTTGGTAGTAAATGGAACAGATAGTTTTTCCAATTTTTTATCAGATTTTTTAAGCAAAAACAGTTATTATAATATTAATGATAATACACTATATTATAAATATTGCTATGTGAATGAGTACATTAATGAACGAATAAAAATTTCCAACACGTCCGATGTAAATGCAAATGTACATGTAGAAATTAAGGAAATTGATTTTTCCAACTATAAGAACAAAAGTGGAAAGGATAAGGGAAAAGAAAAGATAGAGGATAAGGGAAGAGACAAAGAAAATGAACAAAAACGAACGAGTGTTACTCCAAAACAGAGATCGTCAATTCATTTTAATATGAGAGTTCAAAATTATAATGAAGTAAAGTCAACATGGAATTTGGAAGAAATGAATGAGCAACGTTATAACAGCAACTGTAGCGCCTCTTACAATTCGTACAGTACTATCACAATGGTATCTCGTTATCAACACAAATATGTGGATATGTGCTTTTATTCTAATCAGATAGGAAGTAAAAAATTTCTCGTAAATGTACATTTGATAAATGAAGAAAATGTTTTATGCTTTTCTTTTTATATAAATGTGGAATTTTATTTACCTTCGATTAATTTAATAATTCCACAAAGTTTACTTAAACTCCATTGTGAAGATAAAGTATACGATTTAGGAGATATACACCTGAACAGTGTAATTTCTTTTAAAGTAAGATTAAAAAATTGTTTCAAATATCCTGTCACTATAAAAGTTTTCTTTGAAAACGTGAATTCAGTTATAGACAACTCTAACAGCCACAATCAAGAAAGAAAACAACTAAAATGTGAAGACGAATTAACAATCCCTTTGGGCATTAAAAAAGAAAAATGGAAAACTGAGAATATTAATGAAGATGCGAATGATTTTAAAAATAAGGGAACTCAAGCTAGAGGCATTAACATGCTGTGTGATGAAAATGAGTTACAACAAAAAGTGGAGAATGCAAAATATAGCAAAGATGTAAATTATAAATGTGCAGAAAAGTTAGACAAATATAACAAAGGAATTCACCATACCTTCAATACCGATGAAATGTATGTTCATGAAAAGAAAGACATTTATAATGCTATAAATAGCAATTTCTTTTTTACGAATATTAATGATCAAATAGAGATTCACACAGAAAGTAATATCACCTATTTTGACTATAAAAGTGCTAAAGATTTGATGTATAAAACTAGAGAAAAAAAAATGTACATGCACAATTCTGGGTATTTGTACTTTATTGGAAGTAGTACCTACGTATTAATGGAAAGTGATGCAGCAAGCTTTAAAGTAAAACTTGATAAAAATAAGTTAGAAGATGAAATAAAAAGAAAATCGATACAAAGGAACAATTCAAATGAAAAACATGTTGAACAATTCATTAAACAAGATGGGGTTCTCTGTACAGATAATGAAACTGGGGTAACGGAAAATGTGCACAATGAGATGGGAACAATCGATGTAGAAGAAAAATTAGATAAACAAAAAGGTATCAGAAAGAATAGAGGAAAGGTAAAAAAACAAGATTTGAATAAAAAGAAGGATTGCAACAATGAGAGGAAAATTTTAAAAGATTGTTCAACTGCCACAACCAACGGTATAGGGGGAAAAGAAGTTTTAGGAAGCATAAATATTAAGGTGCTAAATAATAGCTACGAATTTTATAACTTAAAGTTTTTGGGGAATATAATAGAGTCTAAGAATTATTGGAATTTACAAAATTTGAAAAATAAAATAAAAAATGCGTATAGGAGTAAAAACATCGACATTTTTAAAAATCATATAAATTTTGATTTATTACCTGTAGGATTTAATCATTCATTTAAGATTTATTATGTAAACGAAAACAACTACGATTTATTTTTCCATATAGAATTAGAGAAAAAAATGAAAAATATCATTGATATTAAACCTTTATGTGGTTCAATACATGGGAATAGTTCTTTTTTGTTTTATCTACAAATTGACATAAAGGAACCTATTAATTTAGTGAACAAAAAAATACCTTTTAAATTGTCTTTACACCCGTATAATAAAAAAAATGAAAAAATTAAGGATGAACATGAAATATATGATGACTCTTTATTTTTAAGTTTAACTTCAGAAGAAGTAAAATTTTCTTATAACAAAAAAAAAATTATTTTTAAAAATGTTCCTTTCTTTAATTATTCCAAGAGTGAATTACTCATAGAAAATTCGTCCAACATAAAGTTATTTGCTGAAATGAGCATTCTACCGATAAACAGGTTGGATGATATAACATCTGTTTATTCCTTTCATCCATTTTCCAATAAAAATATTATTTCGATGTTAAACAGAATGAGTAAGGGTATGTTACTAAAAGAAAATGGAGAAAACAAAGAAAAGACAATGTGCAACTCTCTATCCAAGCCCACGAAAGAGGAAAACATGAAAAACGGTTTAGAAGTTAGAGAACCTTCCAGAGAAACAAACAAAAGCAACGATATTCATGTCTCTCAGAACCTTTGTGGAACAGATCCAAATGATGAAACGAGTCAAAATATGCCGATTGATGAATTTTACTTAACAAAGTACGATTTGACATTGTCAGATTTTAGTGAAAATATGTGTAACATGGTAGAAAATAATCATAACGAAACATTTAGAGGAAGAAACGAAACATTTATAGAAAGTGGTGACTTAACCCTAGGTCCTGATGTAGAAAGAATGGGAGATGTATACAGAATGAAGCAACCGTGTAGAGTTATAAAAAAATATATAACCATCAACGGAAGGTGTAAAAAACGTGTACAATTGTTTTGCTTTCACCATTTGTATAAGCAACGATTTGATGCTGTGTTGCAAATAAAAATAAAATTTTATAACGAAATAACAATTCCAATTACCATGATGTTCGAAAATTATGAACATAATAATGCATTTTTATTAACAGATTTGAAATATAATGGAAGTGAAGATCAAGTGGGTGAGAAGAAAAAGGCTGAAAAAAGACATAAAGTGTTTGTAATTAGTAGAGGTGTGCTAACAAAAGTAGGTTATAACATATACCTTTTGAACATTTCAAATAATAGCTTACAATATTTGTTTGAAAGGATTAGCGAAATGAATGAAAGTGGAAAAGGAAATTCATCAATTTTACTGAATAAGAGGAAACAAAATGAGGAAAATAAAGAGAGCAGAAAGAATGACAACAATTCTGAATGTATTAATTACAAGGGGTTTGTAAAGGAAAATAATTTTTCTTTAATAAGATTCATTTTTAACATTTTTAATTCATTAAATTATTGTGGACGTTATAATTTACATGTAAACAATAAGCAAGAACAATGCATTGATTTCCATCTAAAGGTAATTGAGCCTTTGGTATTTTTTAATACGTCCTCTATACATATTAATAATTTAATATTAGGAAAAAGATATTGCTTTATTTTTTACTTAATTAATTTTGATTTAATGGATGTTAATTTTGAATTTGATCAAAATTCGTTCAACACCTTCAATAGTAAAAAGGAGACTATCAAAATAATTCCATTTAATGGAATTATAAAATCGTGCTATAGAAAAAATAAATACATGTACAATCAAATAAGGAAGTTAAATAAGGTCATCATTATAAATAAAGAAGATAATGATAGAAAGAAAATGATCATGGAAGGAAACCCCTTCCCTGAGGCAACTTCTATTTCGAGTGATGATCATCAGAGTGACTCGTCCCAAAATGTTGTTCCATGTAGTATACATAATAAGTCATTAGTAGATAGAGAGAAGAAAAATATGAAAAAAAGGATAAAGGTGCATAATTTTGATCATTCTGAAAATAGAAACACGAATAACGACAGTGACAACTATTGTTGCTCGTCCATAGGTTCTCCTGACATGTTGGGATCCTCTTCAAGTCTCAGTTATGATGAAAATAAAATAGGAAAAACGACTAAAAATAAAGGTAACATGTCAAATGATAAGCACAAATTCAAAAATGAATACACAGAAGAAGACAGCTTTTCAGAGTGGGGATATATAAATACATCATGCGAATCGGATACAGATTCTTCCATTAGCTTATCAGATGGGAATAACGAAGAGGTTGACACCAATTACACAAATAAGTTTTTCCTTCTGAATTATTATTTAAAGAGAGTATGGAAAAGCAATAACAAGAAGTTTATAAAAGATCTTAACAAATTTTTAGGAAAAGGATGTTGCAAAAGAATTAAATTATTTTTCAAACCACATCTTGAACAATTCTACAATTTTAGATTGTTATGTAAAATAGATACAAAAGAGGAGCCTTTACAAATGAATTTCAAAACACAGGTTAGTAAAATTAGTATGAATTGTTATATCGAAAATTTTGATAATGAAAGAATAAGACTGAATTTAGATAATGACATATCAAGTAAAAAACAAAAAAAATATAAAAATAACATGGTCAATATTTACGAAGTAATAGATTTTAAAGATACGTTAATAGGGAAAAAAAAAATTTCCAATATTGTTATAGAAAATTTAGGAAATTTCGATATATTTTATAAATACTATTTACAAAAACAGGATGAAGAAATTTCTATAATATGTAGTGAAAAATATATTCCACAAAACACTCCTTTTACCATTTCTGTTGAATATATGCCTTTAAAAAATCAAATATATGAAAATTATTTGACTATTAATATAACAGATTATTACCTAATTAATTTAAAAATAACTGCAATTGCAACAAACTTTTTAATTAATTTTTCATTTTACAATTATGATTTTGGCAATGTTATTTTATTCCCCCTTCTATATAAGGGAGAAAAAATAAAAGGAATAACAAACACAGACCACAGGTTCAAAGACAGTTTTTCATCAGATGATAGCTCCTTATCGTCTTTGATTTCTAATTTTAAAATTAATGAGAAGGAAAGGAGGATTAAAAGGCTACAGGAGGAGGAGGAAGAGGAGGAGAGGAAGAAGAGGAAGAAGAAGCAGAAGCAGAAGGAGGAGACTAAGGAGAAGGATGCAAGGGTGATACAAAGTGCTGAGGAGAATAATACGGATTTGGAGCGTAAAAAGAAGGGGAAGAAAAAGCAAAAAAAGAAACAGAAGGAAAATAAATTGAAGGAAAAGACAAGTGAAGATAATAGTACAAATACGAATGACAAAAAAAAGACAGAAAAGAATGCAGAAAAGAAAAAGAGAATTCATAAATTTAAAAATGCTGAAGAAAAGGAAAAACAAAGGAAAGAGAGAAACGCTGACCCCAAAGATGATAATAAAGAGATACAAAATGAACAAGACATAGATAAAAACAAAATGAACAGTGAAGATATGAACAAAAATAGAAAAAGTAGAAAAGACAAGGTTGCGTCTGCTACAAAATCAGAAATTAATGAGGTAAAGAACAAAATAAATTACACTGAAAACGAAATAGATAACCTTTCAGAGAGTGAAAACACCACTGCAGTAGAAACAAAACTTGTAATTAGTAATAATAATGAAGAAGATTGTTATATTGAATATGAGCTGAATGAGGAGTGTCTAAAAATAACAAACCTTAGAAAAAAGATACACTTAAAACGAAAAGGTAGAATATGTCTTTTTATTCAATTTAAACCAAATGAAGAAAATAACTATAACTATAAAATACCTTTTGTAATAAACGGAGATACGACAAAAATGGTTTATGTCCACATAAAAGGATCAGCGACAAATTTTAGGTTACCCCTTTCTTGTAATCACTCAAACGAGATTCATTTTAAGGATGTTCATGTTGATAAAGAAAGCATTAACAAATTCACACTTCATAATAAAAACTCAGAGGATATATCTTTTAAAGTACGGAATTATAACCTTTTGGAGAAATATAATCTCTCCATTATGAAATTTGATAATTCCATTTGGCATAATTTAAAGAAGAAGGAAAAAAAGACATTCGAAATAAAATTCGTTCCTGAAAAGTATGTTAATTTACAAATACCTCTATATTTGAGTGTAGATTACAAGGGAAAAAATATTGCTTATTATTTAACAAGCATTAAACTGAGTAGCATATGTTATAAAATAATTCTCAAAGAGAATTTATTAACTTTCAATAAGACAGATATACAAAGAGACATGATAGACTCAGAGAGTGTAAACCAAGTTGGCGAAAAAGAAAAAGCTTATCAAATTAATCAGATTAACAATGTACACGAAATTGAGGAAATTAATGATATTAAGGAAAAACTATTTAAGTGCGCAATTATTAAGAACTCCATAAAAAGTAGAAAAGTTCAACTACACAATAGGGGAGACATGAACGCTCAGTTTCAAATCGTTTACCCGCAGAAGTATGAAAAATTTTTGCATATATATCCAAAAAAAGGAATTATATTTTCTTTTAACTTAACAAACATTTACATTTTTGTGGACACAGATTTTGCAAACAAGGATTTGTTCCTTAACGATGTTTGTGTTGATTTATTTCCAAAATTTAATAAAATTAATAGCAGAATTGTTTTAAACATATTTATTAATACGCATAATGATGTAATTAAGTATAAAAGTGATTATAAGAATAATTCCAAATTAGTAACTTTAGGAGAAAATGAACAAGATGAGAAGCTCACCATTTATGAAAAGCTCCAAAATGAAAAGGGGAAAACACGAGGTGTAGTCCACTCTGAAAAAAATGATAATACTGAATGCAAAGACAAAAATGTTAATATGATTTTTTTAAAAAATGAAATCGTTATCACTTTTTTGACAGAAATCAGGAAAAAGATAAGCAAGACTATCGAAATAAGTAATGAAACGGAATCAAACTTTAAAATGAAATATAAATTTTTAACAAATGATAGCAACTTTTTTTCTCTTGTAAATCATGAAGATGTTGTAAAATCGAATGAAAACAGAAAATTTCAGATTGTTTACAACCCACTTTTTGTTCAAAAAATGAAGAAAAATACTAATAATTATCACAACACATTGTGTTCAAAATATCTTAAATATTTTCCCAAAATTCACCACATATCTAAGTTGGTTATATATTACCCTAACAACGTTGCACAGAATTATACCCTTTTAGGCTATTCAAATAGTGCAATTTATGAGAAGAAGAAAATTTTTAATTTTAAGTCTAAGGTTTTAAACAATGCTTCTATTAGAATAAAAAACTGGTTAAATGAAAATCAGACACTGCTTATTTCATATCAAGAACATGACAAAGACTTTAACATTTCGAATAATGAACATTTGTTTTTTTACGTGAGTAAATAAAATTTTAGTATAGTGCTCTCTTATATGTAGATTAAATTAGTTAATACCCCTTATGGGTGTAGTAGTAGAAAATTTGGCATATTAGCAGAAAATATAATATATGAACAAAAAAAAAAAAAAAAAAAAAAAAAAAAAAAAAAAAAAAAAAAAAAAAAAAAAAAAAAAAAGCAGGAAAATAAAATTTAGTTATATTAAGCAGAATTATACAATACGGTTAATATATCAGAATTTTTTTAGGTAGAGAAAGACCCCCTTGGACCACACAGCTGCACGCATTGATTATAGACATTGAACGGTTATAACTATGTAACCTCTTTGTTGTAAATAAAACAATGCATATTTCTGTTTTACTTCATTATCTGTAGGTTCAAAATAAGATCAATCTGTCAAATAAAGAAGAAACGAACGTGCCGTTTAAAGTTATATCATTAAGAGAAGGAACCTACCATGTGATATTAACCTTTTCCAATGAAAAGTATGAAGATGTGTATAGAATACTTCTACAATTTGAAATAACGAAAAGCGAATTTCTATCCATAGGAAATATAAAGGGAAATAAGAAAGAAGTATTAAAAGAGCAAGTTTGTATCTATAACCCACTGGATGAAAATATAAAAATGGATGCAGTTCTTGATTATAATTATGCATTTTTTGATAAATCAATAGTTCTTGAGAAGAAAAAAAATAACAACATTAACATATATTTTTGCATCGTCAGAAACGAAAGTGATAGAAATGTCATAATATCGTTTACTAATAAAATGATTGGTACATATAAATTTAAATTTATTCTGAATGTAAACATAGACGACTTTGAAGATAATTTTTATTTCAATACTGATTTAGGATCTATTCAAATTAATGAAATATCATTTACAAATATGTGCAACCATAAAATTAACTACGAAGTAGTCATAGAAGATTATGACGAAAGCAACAAAAATTCAAAACAGATATTCCATTGCGTTGATAAATCTGTCAATGCTAAATCTATGGATACGAATTTTTTTTTAAAAAATGAGAAGCTCAATAAATTGACAGACAAAATTGATTTAACCATCAAGTATACCCCCTCAGATATTAGAACGAATAAGGCCGTTTTGAAGTTACTCTCTAAGGAGGGAATCGTTTACAAGGTTGCTTTAAAAGAGAAAGCGAGGAAGAAAAAAAAAAAAAAAAAAAAATTATGTACAATAATGGATAAGCTTAATAATGGAACAGCTTAATGATGGAACAGCTTAATGATAGAATAGTTGAATAATGGAATAGTTGAATAATAGAATAGTTGAATAATGGAATAGTTGAATAATAGAATAGTTGAATAATGGAACAGTTTAATAATAGAATAATTAAAATATCAGGCAGTAAGCGCCTGTGTATACGAATGTATACACAGGTGCATAAGCGTGGCTATGTATAATATATATGAACAGACAATTCACTATAGCATTTTTAAAAATACACATAACGCTAAATTTTTTTATAGGGACTGCTAATCGGAAAAAGTGTGGCACCGAAGCCAAAGGGACCTATATTCTGCTCATCACAAAAGACGACACTTATTTCTTTTATGAATCCGTTCTTTCTCTTGAAGCAATTTTATTTAAAAGTAATAATAAACTCGCGAATACTAAGAAGTTCAACTGATTCCAAATACGCATGGGAGACGCTCGTACATTTGTGTACATACATGTACATACACATACGTGTATGTATATATATATACATGCTCATGTGTACACTTTTGTATGTGTCTTTATATTTTCTCATTTCCCCTCATATCCCCACTCCTCTTCACAAAAGGTGGACGAACATTTCTCTGTTCCATTTGAGATGACCAAAGTAGAAGCACGCCAGACAATTCAAATACCAGTTAAATGCAAAGCAACATGTGCTACATCAGGTAAAAAATAAAAAAGGAATGGGAAAGTATGTAGCTTAATGGGGTCGCACATATATGTTTATATGTATGAATATGTATGTATGCGTGCAGACACAATTGTTCTTTTACGTGACTGACCAGGTTATATGGCCATTTAGCAACTTTGCTCTTCCTGGTCGCTGTTCTTTTTTTTTTTTTTTTTTACACACTTTTCTAAATAATTTTTTTTTTTTTTTCATACATTTCTGCTTACACTTCTTCTTTTAAGGTAAACTCGTAATAAAATCAGAAGATGACATTATTTGGATGTATTATTTAACAGGAAAATAAAAAAAAAGGCAGAAATAAAAAAATAATAACAAAAGAATTACTATTGAATAATATCATTTTTTTGTCCAAGAAGATGCAATTGTCTCCAATTTGAAAAAAATCATGTCTATACTTTTAAAAAATTTGTCATCCTTTATTTTTCGTTGCCATAAATAAAAAGATCTTTTCTTTTTTCTTAACATGTAATAACCACGTGCATTTTCAAATTTATTTTCTATAATATTTACAGTTAAGTGCAACCATTTGTAAAATGAGCTCCTTATAACTTTATGAATTCTCTTTTTTTTTATCTTTAAAATAAAATAAAACAAAACAAAGGAAATTAATATATTCATGTATACACGAACATTAGTACATAGGCACCTGTCGGGTGTACATATGACGAATGTTTGTTATCATTTATCATTCTAATAAATTTAACTAGTAAAATTACTACGTAGTACTTTTAAGTATACTCCTTTTGTGATCAAAAATTTATTTTTAAGAATTTTGAAGAAGCGGGATTTTAGCATTTTTCTTTGTTTCGCATCCAAGAAATGGGTGATCGACTTTGTAACACACTTTGTCAACTTACTTGAACATTTATTTTTTCTGTTTTCATAAGGAAATAAAAAATAAAAATAAAATAATGAATACACATGATAAAATATAGTTACAATTATAACAAAGTAAGGAAAGAAAGTTTTATATAGACATTCAAAAGAGGAGTGCGAACAAAAGACAAGTAAAAAAGGGAACTTGATTCACATACGCGACAGCAAACATATCACATGAACCTCAAAAAGATATGTACGAGAAAAATAAAAAAATAATAAACGTTCAAAAATAGTGTCAAGTAAAAAAAAAAAAAAATAAATAAATAAATATAAGCACATCCTACAAGAGCTATGTTATATAAACTTTATATACATATATACATATATATTTATTATACACATTTTTAACTTACAGAAAGGATATAAAAACTAGTTTCCTCTTTCTTCGAATATCACTAAACTTAAAAACACAGAGAAGGCTTTGTAGTTTATAATATTCATTCAGAATTGCATAAAATGCTCGTTTTTTCAATTTAGTACGGTAATACTCCTTAACAACTTTTAATTGCTTAGCATACTCTGCTTTCTCTTCTTCTATTTTTTTTTTCCCCCTGAAATGTTAGTTTGGGTATTTATGGATGTAGGGTGATTTTTTTTTTTTTTTTTTATGTTATTTTCATTTCTTAAACTGTGTGTAAAATTATAGAATTTTTTCCATTTCGTTACAGTATATTATTAAACTGGATCCTTTTGGCCGGTAAAAGTTCATTGGTAGTAGAATTGTTTCCTTGGACATTTTGTTGCTTAACTTTGTCAATGAATTTTTGCATTTATTTGGAATAGATATACACACATATATGGACTAATGCAAGTGATGTTATTTTGCTTATGCGTTCGTGTGTAATTTAATTCTGAGATTATCAGCATGTAAATGAAGCAGGAAAATGATGTACTTATTATAATTTTGCTTTTCTTATTCTTAGAAACCCCTCAGCAGTTAACTCTTTCATTTTTAAAACGTTGAAAATGTATAAGCTATTTTAACATATTTTCTCATTTTTTGATTACTTTAAGGTATATTTATTGTTCTATTAAAAATTTTTTTTAAAAATTCGAAAAAAAAATAAGAATAAAAGTTTCAATAAAATTTGTTGGAATTACCCGAACATTTTGAAAATAATAAGATATACAAGATTGTGTATAACTTTTAAATGTGTAAAAAATAAAAGTGTGAATATTTATTTTGTGAAAAAAAAAGAAAAGAAAAAGAATGTAACAAAGCATGAGCAAATATGTTAAAATATTATACACATAATTAAATTTTCAAAGTTAATTTAATTCTTAATTTAATAAAGATTATAAATAAAAAAGATTTCGAAAAATTGACTGTACGTACATATAAACACAACTGAAGATTCCAAATGGTTTTGCGTAAAAAAAAATAAAATAAAATAAAGTTCAAAAAATAAAACATGTCATTATAATGATTAGACAAATATATATAATTTAATTTGAAATGTTTCAGTTGCGAAAAAATATACAAACAGGTAATTTTTCGCAGTTCAGTCATGCATTATGTGTGTATGGATATGAATAAATATGTATGTTTACATTAAAAAATTTTTTTAATAATTAAAATGGTCACTTAACATCCTATTCCATCTAATGAATCTCTATCACAACATTGTCTTGTCTGAACCGTCAAGCATTTTATCATTTAAAATGTTTTTATCCATATTATACAAATTGGGATCTATTTTGTTTATATTATTATTTCCATTTAATGTGCTATTATTTAAGCTACTTCCGTTTAAGTTATTTGCAATTCCATCGTTTCCTCCTAATTCGTCTAAATTACTTGCACTTAATTTGTTTTCCCCCAATATATCTAGGTTACTAGCGCTTAGTTTGTCTTCTCCTGATCCGCTTATGCTACTTGTATTCGAGTTTTCTCCACTTAATCCTTCAGAACCTCTATCGACTGAGGCTCCAACATTTGTCTCGGCTTGTGTTGAGGTCGGCACCTGTTCAGTATTTGTGGATGTGGTATTTTCAGCAGGTTTATCATTGGGGCTACTTGATGGCATGTCGACTAGATTATCTTGAACATTCATTAAATAAGTTTGTGCATTTTTTTCCATCATTCCTATGACCCGTTTCGCAAAAAGACCTGTGTCATCTATGGCATACCCTCCTTGCATAGATGCAACATCAAATATTTGCTCTGCAATTTCTGAATTTTGTGAATTCATTTTGTCTATTTGTATTAAATGATTTAACTGTTTAATTATGTAATGATTTGGATTAATTTCCAACACTGGTTGATTTGCTGATTGACCACCAAACATTTCATTTTCTGACATTCCTTGTGCTGTTGCTTGTTGCCTCATGTATTTTTGCATAGATGGGGATATTCCCATTTCTCCTTGAACTAATAATGCAGGAGAGTTAATTAATCTATCTGAGATTCGAACTTCGTGCACTTTGTGAGAAAATTTATTATGTAGCCATCTACATAATATTTCATATTTCATTTTTAATTTGTCTAAACTATCTGTTTTATTTTGATCATTTTCTTTTTTTAATTTCAAGTCTGCTTTGTTTACATCCAAAACATCGTATCCTTTATATTTATTAACAGTTAGGGAGGACAAACAAAATTCATCTATTGGTTCTAGGGAAAAAAGAACATCATAATTTAATGCTTTTAATTTTTCTAAAGACGGAGAATTTTGCGCTGTTTTTTTATTTTCTCCTGAAATGTAATAAATACATTTTTGATCCTGTTTCATATTTTCTATATAGGTATCTAGATCGATTTTTTTATCTCCACTATTAATGGAATAAAATTCTACTAAAGATGCGATTTCTTCTTGATTTTCTTTATCTTCTACCACACCAATTTTTAGGTATTTTCCAAAAGTGTTTAAAAATTTATTCCATTTTTCTCCTCCTGTTTCTTTTAAACCTTTCATCATACTAATACTTTTTAAGACAATTCTTTTATTAATAATGGAAAGCATTTTTGATTTTTGCAAAATTTCTCTTCCAACATTTAAGGGCAAATTTTCACTGTCTACTATACCTCTTAAAAAGGTTAACCATCGTGGTATAGATTCGGAAAATTTATCATTTATAAAAACTCTTTTGACATATAATCGAATTCCTCTTGATTCTTCATCAAACATATTTTTACTCAGTTCCCATGGGAGAGATCCAGGTATGTATAAAATAGAGTTAAATGAAATTTGTCCTTCTACATTAAAGTGAACATATGCTAACGGATCATCATATGCTTTAAAGGTATTTTTATAAAAACTATAATAATCATTTTCAGTTAGTTGTTTTTCATCTTGTTTCCATATTGGTAATTGCACATTAATTTTTTCCCATTCATGATATCTTTTTGTTATAGTTTTCATTTTCATTTTATCTCCATCTTTTAAAGATACTGAATCATCTGGAACTCTTTCATAATCAATTTTTTCTGACCATATTTCAATTGGAAATTTAATAAATTCAGAATACTTTTTGATTAATTCTTTTAACTTATAATCCTCTAAATATTCATCGCATTCTTCTTTCAAATGTAAAACAATTTTTGTTCCACTTGTTTTAATATCTTCATATTCTTGTTCATATTTTTTTATTTCGTTAACCATAAAACTACCATTAAGATCGGAAAACCACCTAAAAATTTTGTTTTCTTTTTTTGTAAAAACTTCTACCTTATTTGATACAAGAAAAGACGAATAAAATCCAACACCAAATTGTCCAATTAGGTTACTATCTGCTTTTCCTTCTTCAATTTGTTTTAAAAATTTGGCAGTTCCTGATTGAGCTATTGTTCCTAAGTTATTTATCAATTCATTTTTGTCCATCCCAATTCCATTATCTGTAATTGTTAATGTTTTTGTTTCCTTATCTGGTTTTATTTTTATTATTAACGCCTTTATTTCATCTACTTGTTCTTTATTTTCTACCTCTCCATCTTTGTTATTTTCTTCGCTTATTGTTTTTTCCATGTCAGTTTTTACAACTCCTGATGAATTTGCTATATTTTGTGCTTCTTTCATTAATTTATCGTTTTGTATTATTATTCTTTTCTTATCACACGCATCCGATGCGTTCGATATTAACTCTCTTAGAAATACATCTTTATCAGTATATAATGAATTAACTATTATATCCATAACTTTATTAACCTCTGCTCTGAAATTATATTTTTCCACTGGAGAACTGTCTGATGTCATATCTTCCCTAATTGTCTTTACATCTTCACTAAAGCTTTTTAATGTATTTCCTTTAAATTCCTTTTTTTTTAAAAACGTTTTATTTATCCTATTGTCTATATTATATCTACTGGCATTTTTGTAATTTAATATGTAGTTTAATTTCTCGGCACTTCGAGCTACATTGTAAGTTTCTACAATGTCATTTGGTTTTAGGAAACCAACAAAAAAAAGGTATAGTATCAGTTTTATTTGGTTAACAATGTAAACATTTTGCATTTTTTATATGTTTTCACGTTTTGTTTCTTTTTTTGTTATTTTTACACGTTCTTTTTTGCGATTTCAACGTTCTGCTTGTATCACTTGGCTTTTGCCTTTTTTACGAAAAAATCTTTTAAGATATAAAAGAATCCTAATACATACACCTTTTTTTCCCTCCCAAGGAGAGGTGTAAACAATTATAAACATATATATGTGCGTGTAGGCAAATGTTCTTAAGAAAAATATGCTAATATATATATTTTAATAGTTATGAATGAATTAGCCACCTTTTACATGTTTTTACACATATTTTTTATTAAAAAAAAAAAAAAAAAAAAAAATCTACATTGCATTAATTATATGAATTAAAAATTAGAAATAAGCCCAAACGTACACTAGTAAAATGTTTCAGGCTCTTCTGTTTTTTTTATTATTTCTTGTTTGTAAAACGTTTTTTTTTTTTTTTTTTTTTTTTCTTTTAAGATGTAACAATTTTTACCTATGTTGCTCCATGTAGTTCAAATGTATTTTTCATATTAAGCTTAACGTTTCACTTTTTCTCACAAGGCGTTTATTTTTTGGGGGATTCAAGTATATGGACATAATACTTTTTTTTTTTTTTTTTTTTTTTATATCCCCTATTTTTATGAACTAAGAACATTTAATTGACTTACTATTCCTTTTTTTTTTTTTTCCCTCCATACCACAATTTCTATTTTTAGCAAATTTGTCCTCTTAATTATTAAACAAAATTAAAGTAAAAAAAAAAAAAAAAAATGTCAAATTGTTGATTATATTTAGTATCAATTTTGATACACAAATATATTTATGGCGATTTCAAACAACCATATGAAGGGGAAAAAAAAAAAAAAGAAGCCATAACAAGGGATAAAAATTGTTTATGCATAAATATTAAGCATTAAATTGGCGTGAGAATATCAAAACGTAGATAGCAAATATATAAATACAAGTGAGGAACAGTACTAAAAAAAGTAAAGGGAGAGGGGAGAAATATTATAACTTAAGCTTGATATAAATTCTGTAAGAATAATGTGTGAAAAAGCCTCGAAAAATGAATAAACCATTGGAAATAATGATGGAACAAGTGGATTTGTAAATAAATGGAAAAAATGAAAACATTTGTTAAATGCATTTATCTTTTTAGAAATGTATGTTTATTCTTTTAAAAAAAAAAAATAATAAAAAACTATGTATGAAGACTCTCGATTTTTCAAGACACATTTTAAAACATAGTAGAACAAATTTGTTTATTTAACATATATATAGAACCCTGAATGTTGAACGAGACAGATTAGGAACAACAAAAAAACGTATAGTAAAAGTGGTCAAGAAAAAGGGTGAAAAAAAAAAAAAAAAAAAAAAGAGCAATACAAAAAGTAATAAACCCAAAGAAAGCACAACAAAATACATAACAAATCAGGGAAAAACCTTAAACAATATAAAAAATAGGAAAATAACAAGTGATCACAGCGAGGTGATTGTGATATTTAAAAATTGTATTTGGGGTAGAAGATGAAATGCTTGTATACACTTGCATACAAATTGCTCCAACATAAATAGTCTCATATGTACATGTAACAAGCATATTTCATATTATACAGGGCATAGGACAAAACATGTTTAGGAAGAGAACAATAAATAATTTAAAAAATCGAAAAAAGACAGAAGATATAGAAAATGAAGAGGAAGAAAATGAAGATAATAGAGAAGTCAAGAAATCCAAAAGGGAAGAGGATCCAAAAGATATTACTTCTAATGGCACTGAAGAAAAAGGCACGCACGAAAAAAAATATAACCTGAATAAGGGAAAAAGTATTAATGATAACGATGATAGTGTTGATGATGTAGTTTGTAAGTTTTTGTTCAAAAAAAAACTAAAAAAATTGAACGAAGAAAGTAACTTACATTTAAAAAGAAAACGTAAATTGATGATACAATCAGAAAATGAAAATAAAGAAGAGAATAATATAACAGAAGATAGAATATATAAAGGTGACTTTAGTGTTTCGAAAAATTATGGTTCTTATGAAATAGACCAAGATTCAAAGAATGATTATAGAGCTAGAATGGAAAGAAATATTGAAATAGGAGAGGAAATATTAAAGGGGAACTTAAAAGACAATGTCTATAGAGGAAAAGATGCTCATGAAAAGTCCTTGATGATGAGCAAAGATAGTTTAGCGAAAAATAAATATACTGGATTATATGGCCCAATAAGAAATAGTGGGGCAAATGTTCGAATGACGCTTAGAATTGATTATGAACCATGCATATGTAAAGACTACAAAGAAACGGGATATTGCGGTTTTGGCGATACTTGTATATATTTACACGACAGGAGTGACTACAAAAGTGGTTGGAAAATTGAACAAGAGTATGAGGAAAAGAGAAAACGAAATGAGGCACTGCGAAAGGAAAAATTAGAAAAATGGAATGAAAAAATGTTGCGAAAGTTAAAAGAAAAGGAGGAAAAAACGGGAAATTATGTAGATGATGATGGTGATAATGGAAAGGAAGAAAAAAATGAACATGGGCCTGATAATAAAGTAGAAAAATCTTCCCATTCACCAAGTGTTTCTTCCGGTACTGAAAAAGAAAATTCATCTGACAGCGAATCAAGTGATGATGAAAATAATCTCCCATTTGCTTGCATAAAATGCAAAAAAAAATGGAGACTAGAAATGAATCCAAGTGTAACAGAGTGCTTCCATTATTTCTGTGAAAAATGCTTTATTCAAATGTTTCAGAAAAATAAAAAATGTTTTAAATGTGGATTACAGCTAAATGGAATTATGAATGTGGCCCACAATATTGTCGACATTTTGAACAAAAAAAAGCTTTCCAAATAGATTACAAACGTTTTTTTTTTTTTTTTTTTTTCTAGTATGTTAAAATTTTTTTTTTTTTGTTACCCATCCAATTTCACCCATTGCTGTTTCGCTTTTGTTTCTAGTGGTTTTTTCATTATAATACTTATTTAAATGAGAGGTTAAAAGGAGCTATGTGAATGGAAGTTATTATTTGCTTGTACACCTATTTAAGCACAAATAAATAATCCCCTCGAATTCTTTTTCCTCTACCACAAAATTGCGTAAACAAATTGAAGTCTGTTTTACACACAATTGTACAAATGTAGGTCATCCAGCACAACACAATTTTTTTTTTTTTTTTTTTGCAGCGCATGCAATTATTTTATTAAGTCCTTACACAACTCGTGTTTTTTTTTTTTTTTCTTTTTTTCTTTTTTAGTGGCCTAAATATTTTTTTACATTTTTGTAGTGTGTATTATTAAGAAAGTTATCGTTATATAAAAGCATATGTTCATATTTTACATTTTTTATAATTGAACTGTTTTAACAGTAATAATGCATGGTTCTTGTTGTCACAATTTTACATTACAGAAGTTATTTGATTTTAATATATATGTGCAACCATAAAACATATGTGTAAGTTTCTTTTTTTTTTTTTTTTTAGTTACAAAAAAATAAATACCTTCGTTATATACACAAAACACAAACGACTTGTAGTTTAAATAAAAAATTGACAATTACAAATATTCCTTACATTCGAAATTCGACGATTGAAATTCTATACGTGCAATAGGTTTGCATATATTTGAACAGAGTGTTTCCCATTTATTTTATACAATTTATTATACATATGGACTAAAAAATTGTATGCTTCATCACTATATATTCAATGTATTATTCATATTTTGTGCGTTTGAAAAAGTTACACTTTGTGACACATGTTTTTATTCACATGCGTGTACCTTTTTTTTTTTTTTTTTTGCTTTTTATTAAAAGAAATATTAATAATTAAAATTCTACAAATATATTATGCAGTGTACAATAAAAAAATCCGCAGCATAACATTTTTTATTTTTCCAAAAAAAAAAATTTTTTTCCCCATGATGAAAAAATAAAAAAAATAAAAAATGAATGCTGTTTTAGTAGCAAAAGCTCACCGCATTTAGTAGGAAAAAATAAAATATAAAAAATTGGATAAAAGCAAAACCATTCTTTATAAAATAATTACGTACATTTCAAGTCATTAATTTTACTTGGATGGAAATTTTAACTTCAATATGTGCATTATTATTTTCCATTTCATTACATGATTTAATAATACATTATATTTAGAGCAGCGTACTTAATATATTCCATGATACCAAAGTATTTACTTCAGTTATTTGTTGCTTTTTTTTTTTTTTTTTTTTAAGTGTGTAATTTTTCTGTTGGAGTGTAAAATTGGATATTTTTACACACATTTAAATAAACGATGCGAACATTAATTGTTTTATTAAATGTTATTATTTACAATATATTATATATATAGGTATTTCTCATTTTACCATGTCCTCATCCCCATTAAATACATGAACGTGATAGACAAAACAAAAATACATTATTCAGTATTGTATACATGTATTATCTGTAGTATATAATTGCATATGTATGAACAACATATGATCAACAAATATTTTAAGAATAATTAAGTATTATAAACGTATCCCTAGTTAGAAGAATAAGAAGACTTAACATTTTACACACACACACACACGTTAAATAAACAAAAGAAGGAAGAAAGAAAAAATTGAAAGAAAACGTAATCAAAAAAAAAAAAAAAAAAAAGGGAATATTAAAAAAGGTGAAATCACAAAGGTGAAAAGCCAATATATAAATAAAAAACCCTAGAAGGATTGATAAACTAAAAATAATTATCGTGTAAAAAACAAACAAAAATATGACTCTAAAAGGAAGAACATAATTATGTTTTTAACATTCGTTTGGGACAAATGTATTTTATGCTTCCTGGCATTCGGTTCAATTCCTATTGGGTTTATAAATAGAAAAAACAAATTTAAGAGAATAGAAAATCACAAATATGCGTTATACAGCACAATAGTTATGAACAGTTTTTTAATATATATAAATAAGTTTTTCGGTCTATTAGGGATATTTAATTTTTTCTTAGGAAATTATTTATGTTTAATTGGTATAACAGGAGGTATCGCAGTGGGCAAATCAACATTTTGCAATTTTCTAAAAAAAAAAGATGTTGTTGTTATTAATGCAGATGAAATAACGAATCAAATATACAAAAAGGGATCCACATGTTACAACAAAATTTTAAAGCATTTTGGAGAGGAAATTCTAAATAATGATAAATCTATTAACAGAACCTTATTAAGAAAAATTGTATTTAATAATGAAGAAAATGTTAAATACATAAATAAAATTACGCACACATATATCATAATAGAGATAATTAAGGAATGTTTAAAATATAAGTTTCTACACTTTAAATATAATGTAGCGATAGAGGCCCCTTTGTTAATTGAAACGAAGTTATATTTATTAACCAGCCCGGTTATACTTCTAAAATCAACCGTAAATAATCAAATAACCCGTATATTATCGAGAGATAAAAATTGTACGTATGACACAGCAATGAGCATAATAAAGTAAGGATTGTAAAAACAAGCACATGTTTTTTTAACATCGTCCCTTTTTTTCTTTTTTTTTTTTTTTTACCTTGCTATTGTTTCTTGCCCATTTTTTATATATATACATGTGTCTTTTTTTCTTTTCCTTTATGAACTCCCTTAAATTTGTTGTATCATACAATTTGATAATTTCAAAGAAATACATTTTCTCCCAAACAGTTATGAGGCAAAGTTGTATGTTCATTGGGGGCTACATTTCACTTCATAATAGTTGTCAATTGCTGCTATCGTGGCATTTAATTATTTGCATTTTGAATAATAAAAATGTGAATATATATGTTTCGACTTGTATATATGTATTTGCAACGTGTCTACACGATTTTAACAAATAAGCCATGTGAATGTGATTTACAAGTTTTTACGTGAAGCAATAAATTCAGTGAATATATGAACACCATTTTACTTCCTCTCCTCACCCTTTAGAAACCAGTTACCGACGGATGAAAAAATAAAGTATGCAGACATTATAATAAACAACGATGGAGATTTACTAGACCTGCAGATGAAATGCGATGTTGTTTATAACAAATATTTGAAAAGTTTTTTCTTTTAAGTGACACACATTGGTTACATAAGTAAGAGCAATCGATAATTTGATTCATTGAGTAGATATATATACATGAAAGTATGAAATTATATTTTTCGTGTAATATTAAAAGAAAAAAAACTTTTTCCCAAAAACATGCATGGTAGTATATTTATATATATACTTTTAAGTGCATACTTATATATGTATGCAAATACATTCATATGTGCATAATATTTATGAACAAATGAAATGCAAAACACGACTAATTTGAGACCCTATTTTTTCCTTTGCCTAATTTTTTCCCATATTTTAATTCCTATTAATTTTTTATTTTGTATTGGATTTTAATTTTTAATTTAACAAATATTTAATTTTTTTTTTTTGTGCAATTTTTTTTTTTTTCAAACTTGTAAAAGAATATTGAAATTTTGTTATTTCTAAATATTTTTTTTTTTTTTTTTTTTTTTTTGCAAATACAAACACTTAACCTCAAATGCTATTTCCTTATTAAATGATCTAAAATATTTTTTTTCACTATTTGTGTAGACCTCTATAGAAATAAAAAACACAGTACCATTAACCGGTCCTCATACATTTCCATGTGTAAAAAATCCAGCAGACGTGCCATTACACTTTAAATATAAAAAAACACATGAAAAAAATATAAAAAGTAATTAAAAAAAGAGACCATGCAAACTATAAAAAATAAAAAGAAAAAAAGAAATTAGCATGATTTCAAATGAAAAAAATTAATGTTTGGAAAAGGTCAAGCCAAAAGAAAAAAAAAAAAAAAAAAAAAAAGGGAAATAAAACAGGGTGAGAAATAAGGGTAAAAAAAGAACCAAAAATATAAGAAATTTGTGATTATTTTTAAATATTTACCTTAACCCCATATCATTTTTGTAATACCATTTTAAAATTATTCTCTATGTACACTCTTACACATACGCACGGAATGATATTCCAATGTAAGCATAATTTACACTTGTTTGTGTGTGTTTCTTTCATGTATTTCCCTCTGCATGATCATTAAACGTTATGAGAAAATATGATTCACGAGATCATACTAAGCCTTATAGGCCAAACAGGGGATATAATAATTTTAGTGGATAAAAGGAGAAATAAAACGAAGAAGGATAACAATTTAAATATAGATGAATACTGTTTTGAAGTAAATAATAACATTCACATATTTTTAAGTTCAGAAATAAAAATAATTAACGAAATTGTTCAGTTAGGTTACTGCTTTTACATAATAAATATCTTCTGTTTGTTGGTGAAAAAGAATACAATTTATAAAAATCTGACGCACATACATAAATTTAACAAATTAAATGAAGAACGAAAAGGAAGAAAAAGAAAAGATTATGCGAACGAAAAAATACAAAGAGATGAAGACATCCCAAGGAATGCAAGTTCTTCTTTTACAAGTTCGTCTTCTACAAATTCGTCTTCTACAAGTTCATCTTCCATAAGTTCCTCTTGTGAATCATCCTCTTCAGGCAACGAATCAGAAGAGATTAATAATTTGAATAATTCATTCCAAAAAAGAAAATACGAAAAAAAAAATGAAATAGATAACTACTTTGGTGTAGTTTTAAGAAATATAAAAAGTCTGGATAATGTAAGTCCTTATGGATATTATGCAAATGGAATAAGCAATGAAATAAATAAATTTATGAGGAGATATTTAAAAAAAATTAGTGAGATCGAAGAATATATAAATAATAATAGTAATACTCCATTAACACAAATTTTAACAATGCTAGAAAAAAAAAGAGAAGAAATAATAATAATTATAAATATTATAAAAAATTATTTAGAATTTCAAAAAAAGGAAGAACAAAATGTGTTACAAGGGGAAAGTAGGAATAAAACAAAGGAAATTTTAGACTACTTGTATGAAAATTGCTTAAACGGAAATTCACGAATTAAAAGCATATATCATAGATATTTTAAAAATTTAGGGAAAATACTGTTACATCAAACATTTTCCTGGATGCTTTATGGACAGCTATTAGATCCATATTATGAATTTTTTATTCAAAAAAGGCAATTTATCTACTCAGATGATAAAAAAATTTTCTTATCACCAGAAGAATTATATGAAAATTTAACATTAACCAATGTACAGAGTTTAAATTTTGAGTGGAATTATTTATTCTTTCAATCTGTTTCAAATCTGCCAGACTGCTGCATAGACAAAGTTGCTGGTCGAAAAATCTTGTTCATAGGAAAATCAATTCGTATATTAATTAGAAGCAATAAATGGAGTACCAGTGATATTACGAAACTCTTTTCGATTACCAAGATACTGTCAAAAGCGTTTGATGAAGCTCCCACGAATGGAGGGTATAAAAAAATTGCAAGTTTTCAAAGAGGTTATAATACAATGAACAATGAAAATGGTGTAGGTAGTGAAAACGGGTTGTACCATGCAAGCAGCTTGAATGCCACAAAAGGTGGTGTGCCTACGAATACTAATGATTACTTACGCTCTTTAAACATTTCGAGCTCAGACAGTTCTGTTAATAGTTCCGATGAATATTCTTCAGATTCTAAAAATGAATCTATAAACTTGTATTGTAAAGAAATATTTGATATTACAATAGAAAAGATTAGAAGCATAGTAGCCTATAAGTTGTGGAAATATATAGTTAAGGATATAAATTTAATTAAAATATTTTATTTGTTTAAAGACATATATTTACTAAATAATGGAGATTTTTATGATTATTTTTTAGAAAAATCTTGGTCTCTTATGCACACGCCTCCGAATTCGAAAAATGAAATTCTGCTAAAAGTTTTAGCATGGAAAAGTTCATCTATGTTAGCAGAAAATTACTGTAAATATATGTATGAAAACAAAGAAGATAAATTAATTTTAGAGAAATATGAAAATATGCTATTTACAGAATGTAATACTAATGAAAATGAGTCTATCTTTTTTAACAGCACGAATGGATACTATTTTGACACAGATAATTCAGAAAATATTATTTCGAGATATTTTTACCCTAGAATATCTTATAAAAAGTTCTCTTATGATTCCTTCGAAAGAGAAAAATATGAGAATTTAATATTAGGTGGCATGTGCTATATATATGATAAAAAAATCGTTCTAAATGATTTTTACAAAGGGATACAAACATTGTATAAAAAAAGATACTACGATTACGACAACATTTTTAGTGTATGTATAAACAATTATAGACAACAAATACTGAGAGGATTTAAACATGGCTTCGATTTTGCTGTAAATTTTAACAATTTTTTTGATAATAAATATATTGACGTCAATAATAAAAGTAGTACAAGTGTAGAAGCAATGGGTACACACAATAATACAAAACAAGAATGTAATAATGAAAATTTTCTTGTAGGTTGCTGCTTTGCGTTGGTTATCCATTCGGTGAAAAATCCTTTACTTTATAAAGCAGATGTATTGAATAGTTCTTTAGGATATTGGGGATCCCTAGGGGATTGTTTATCCGTTGAAATAAAAGTAAAATTTTACGAAAAGAAAAATAGCAAAAAAGACAGTACTACCATATCTAAACACGAAATCGATCACACTATTCAACATGCTAGCAGTTTTAATAATGTGATATTAGGAGATGTCGAAATAGAAGTTTCCCTGTTTATAGGGGGAAAAGGTATATCCTCTTTTGTTCATAACAGTGGTAGTTACACTGTGGATTATGCAAAAGAATCCATTTTAAATAACAAGATTTGGGCAGACAATATAAACCATGAAAAGAAAAGGCTATATGAAGATATGGAAAACAATGAAAATTATTTAAGAAAGAGAAATACGAATAATGTAAATGTAACAGATCAGGATAACTTAAAGAGTGAAAATATGGAAGGAAATAATAATGAAGTTACAAAACAACCTGTGTTAAAAATTCAGAGCAATAAACAAATATTTCATGACATAAATAAAAATACGTTAACAAAATTTCGAGTTCGAATAAATTGTTTGAAGCATTCTTTTAGTGTATATATACAAAAATTGGATGAATATAACATCCAACTGAATAACCCGAAAAATAAAATAAAACCAATTATACATATTAGAGCTCTAGATATGACACAAGCATTTTCCCTCGATATTGGAAATGGATACATAGGATTTTACACGTCCCCAATTTTATTTAAACACAAATTATTGAAAAAGAAGAATAAACTAAATGAATGGTTCAAGCGATTTTACAATGATACTTTAAATGCTGATTCTACTATTTATAAGAAGAATTTTTTTTTTAACATGGGAGATGAAAAAAATAAGGAAGTTATACAAAATGAAATAAGAAATATAAACAAAATAATTTCGTACAAGAATTGGAAAAATCAAATGAAGGGAGAAGTGGACACATGGATGAGCAGGAATAATAAGGAAAAAATGAAAAATATGCTTATATTCAGTTCTTATGACTGTTCAGTGGAAATATACAAATGGTTTCATCAGTCGTATAAATCTCCCATAGAAATTCCTGAAATTGACATAGACAATGAAACACTGATATTTTATGATAAACAAATAAATAAGAATATACAAATTCATAGTGGACTGAATTTATGGAATAATATAGAAATATATTTTAAACTTACATGGCCAATAGCACTAATTATTAATACGAGCACTATATACACTTATAATTCTATTTTCCAATTCCTTTTTCTTCTAGGTAGAATTTATTATAATTTAAAAATTTTATGTTATCATAATAGACATTTATATAAATACTTAAATTTTAAAAAAGGGGGATTATTATTTTCTTACTTGTTTTCTATTAGATATAAAATGCAATTTTTTTTTTTTCATTTGATTAAATATTTACAAGAAGATATTATTAATCATGAATACAAGTTAATGATTACACAAATTCACAAATCGAAAGATTTTGAATATACCAAATCTATTCATGACTTATACATTTCTCAAGTTGCCACGAAATGTTTTTTACGTGTTCAAGACATAACAAATCCGTTATTGGAGTTGATAGATACATCTTTCAAATTTTGTTACTTCTTTCAGTGTTTAATAGAAAACGAGTTGTTTACAGATATATTAAACTACGAAATGATTAGTGAAGATGAAGAAAAAAAAAAAGAAAAAAAAAAAGTGGATATGAAAGAGGTAGAAAATGATATAAATAATGACAATAGTGATAAAAATGATAATGATTTAAATCAAGTTATTGAAAAGTTACTACAGTATAATGATAACTTTAATGAAAAACTAGTTAGTGTTATAAACGAAATGATGAACATAAGTTCAAGCAGTAATCATGCTTATCTTATTCATTTGTTAACTATACTGGATTTTAACGGCTACATAAACAAGATAAAGGATTCTAGGATCAATAATAAATCCATCGATGCTTGTATAACTGATAGCACTAGAACTGATGGTAGATTCCAAAATGAACAAGAGGAGCGTAAAATTAATCCTGAACAAGATGGTGTCATGATAGAGAGTGGTAATCTCAATTTCACTAAAGCATTCAATGACAACATGGAAGATGAAAAAAGGGATAGCAACAAGAGAGATGATAACAAAATGGAATATTCGGACATTGAGAATATAAACATGAGTGATAATTATTACTTAGATAAAAAGGAAATTTACACAAACAGATTACTAAGCGGGGCTAACATTTCACTAAGTGGTATATCACAGAATATTAGCACAATGAATGAAATTCATGGAATGAGCAATGTAAACGAGGTTGTTAATAAAAAAGATTTTATAAAAAAGAGAATAGTTAACAAGTTTAGCAACTTGTTGTGCAACAATGTTGATGAGAAATGGAACATACAAATGAGCAAATTAAATGGTTACAACCAAAATGGCATACCAGAATCGACTGATAAAAGTCTTATCAGTGGAGGTATTATCCCTACTGCTGGGGTTAATAACCTCAGAAAATACATAAATGACAAATGTTACTATAGCAGCTGTAATAACGTGAACTACAGGAATGAGGGCGGCAGCAATGGATACAACTACAACAGTGAGCACTCCTATAACTATAACAACTACAACGTTTTAATTGACAAGTACTCAAATATACTCAACAGCTACACGCATAACAGCAGCAGAGGAAATTCGGTTAATCCGGCCCCACAAAATTATGTAAATAATTCGAATTTAGAATCATACAAGACACCGTTAGATGTAGCTAAATTAAGACATATAAGTGGCATTCCAAATATGGCGGACAATATGAACATTGCTAATGTCGGAAACATTGGTACTGGCCCCAATGCTCCCAGCATTAATGTGTACAACATAGATACTGGAATGTACCAAAATAATAATGTGATAAATTATGAAAACAGTCTGATAAACAATACAGTGGGAAGAATGGATTTAAATAGCAGAATCAATTTAAATCAAAATATATTAAATGTTAACTACGGTAAGAATAATAACACGACAACTGATTTAAATAGTCACCACGACTTAAATATTAAAAAGAATTTTAATGTGCAACAATTATTGGACAATTATAATTATAGCTATGATGGGTTCTCGGAAAACAACTCATTTACAAGCCATAACGTGAATAAACTTAGCAACGAAAATAAGAACACATCCCAAGGATATAACATTTCTGACGCTTCTAATTATGGCAATATTCCCCTAAATATTTATAGAAAGGAAAATAACAGCATACATGAAACAAATCGTGAAAAATAATAACTTTTTCCAGAATAATGGATCGATTTTTACTCATACAAAGGAGGAGCTTTCAATTAAAGGGTAATAAAAGGATATACGAGTTTATGTGCCTCCAACAGTTTGTTCATGGATGTAACAACCACCATTTTTGTATGTATGTAGTTTATGCATGTGTTCACCCGTGTGTCATATGTACATATTTTAATCATGCTACTTCCATTCCCATTTTGCTACATCTGTGTTGTATGTTAATGTCCCCTATTAATTATATGAAATTTGTATTTTTTTTTTTTTTTTTTTTTTTTTCTCTCTGCATAAAATATATCGTGCTTCAAATTTTTGTTAAACTTATTTTTTTTAGTTCACTATTTTCCCTTTTTTTTTAATCAGTATAAAATGCTTGTACACGTTTATCGCTTATGTGGCTGAACAAAAATAAGCAAATAATTCACACATTGCACAAATTCCATACGACTGAGAAAATTGCACAAATTTATATATTCAGAATTGTATGCATGCCATTTTTCAGTTAACATTTCTTAGTTCACTCTATATAATGTACTATTGCTTTTGTGTTCACTTGGATAATGTGTTTATGAGAAAAGGGAATCGCCGATTAAATTATCCTGAAGAGAGAGTAATGAACTTTTTGTTTTGTAACTATATTATATTGTATGGCACAACGAGTGCCATTTTGCAGTGCGAGCTATTTCGCAATTTTTTTTTTTTTTTTTTTTTTATGACATTCTACACTGTGCTATAAATAGCCAAACTGCACAATGATATCGAAAAAAAAAAAAAAATAACATCTGTGTAAACTGTCACATCACATGTATATTTAGTAAACACAAATTTATATGCCATACATATCCTAGGGTATCATATTTTGAGATGAGGACGTTTATATTCTGTTCAATTTCTGTAGAAATTTACACCTTTTTTTGTGAGCAAAAAAATGAAATTCAAAAGTGCGCAGCAAAATTTTTGTATGTAAAAAAATTGAATAAATGTGGAACTTGGCAGATATATATATAAACGTATATATATGTTTACATCTATGTGTAAATGTACAGTTCAACATTTTGGGGGGCTAAGATTGTAACAAGCTTACACGCCTTTCGGATTGTTTTCCTCATCTACAGTGTAGTATACGTAGGTACTGTTTTAAACACGTTCACGTTAACACACATGTGCTCATGTAATGAAAAATATATTTTCCCTCCCCCATTACCTTTCCTCTCAAAGTAAAGAAGAAACACACAAATTTCATGATAACAGTTTAATATAAGATATGTCATTAGAATCTTAACAGATTGGATTAAATTTTACTCCGACGCATGTTCTGTTATTTTTTTGTATATTTTTGCTAATTACAGAATGGGCTATAAAAATGTATCTAAATGCATGTTATTAAAGGATAAATTGGATTTTGATTTTATCTTTTCCATTTATTCCCCCAATGAAGGCTATAATAAAATAAGAAAAAATACCTAGAGCGTATAATATAGCTGTATTCTATGATGGCAAGTGTACTGAATTATTTATTTAAAAATTTTGTTTTAAAAGAAAAAAACACAATTCTGAAATGTGATATATGGAAACGTCGATATTCGAAAATAACAAGTGTTAATGTAAACAACTGGAATAACATCCATAAAGAAATAATAAATAAAATAAATGATAGTGATTTTGTTTCGATTGATGTAGAATACACAGGACTCCATTTAAAAGATGAGAGATACATATCTATTGATTCTAGTTATGAAGCACATTGTTATGGAGCCAAATCTTTTTTTCCATGTCAAATTGGAATAACTGTTGCCAGGAAGAAAGACGTAATTTTGAAAGAAAAATGCACTGCAGACGAAGATTACAATTTCAAAAAAAGGAGTATACATAATATTAAATTATTAGGACATAACAGTGAAAAAATAGATCGGAAATACTCTTCAATAAATTATCAAGAATGGGAGATATCACCGTACTGTATTTATGTATTTCCAAAAGAAAATAAATGCTTTAGTGTGTCAACGACAACTCTTATATTTTTAAAAGAAAATAATTTTGATTTTAATGAATGGATATTTAATGGTGTTGGATATTTAACACCAAATGAAGAAGAAGAAAGAAAAAAAAACATTTTTGAAAAAATCGATGAATTAAAAAATTTGATGAATAAATGTAACACAAAAACTAGGAATACACACGGAAAGGAGTGTAATGGCAAAAAAAAAAAAATTGATATAGAGAAAATTATTCATGAAATAGAAAATTATAAAATTGTTGACGATGAGGATAAAGAAGCTGTTATTGAAATAATAAAGAAGATTGGAGTTTGGTTATCTCAGGGGGCGAAGGACAATCCTGTGGAGAATTTCATTCACCAAGGTGATAAAACAAAATTGTCTGAAAAAGATGACTGTAAAAATATGTGTCCAATACACGAATCAGAAAATGGAGAAAAGGCGTCCTACTCGCGTAATAACAATGTAGGATCTCCAAAAAATGGTAATAAAGCGAATGATAACAATAGCATGGGAACAAGTTGTCATAGAGCTTACAGAAACTGCAATGAAGAAGATAATAATTCAACACCTAGTGGAAGAATAACTGATTCCGTAGGAATTGGTACTTATAACGACATTCTTTCTGTTTCCACTACCAAAAATAATCATGAATGTTGGGATGCTAAAAATGAAGATCCATCATTCGGATATGAAAACCAGGGAGATGGGGAAAAAAAGACGAATTTTTTGTTTGATTCTAATAAAATTGATGATGATCCATCAGATTATCCGTTATATATAGAAATTGAAAACCCGTATCTTCGATTATTAGCTCATACATTAATAACGAAATATTTCAATGACATTTTCTGTATATCTGTCAAGGTGAACGATAGAAAACATTTAGCCATCTATAGAACTGAAAAGGATTCATATAAAGAACAAATAAGAACATTTGAACTAGAAATAGAAAAAATAAATGAAACAATTGGAGTAAGATTACTATTTGATGTAATTATAAAAAATAAAAAAATAATCATAGGGCATAACTGTTTTTATGATATTTTACATATATATCAGACATTTTATCATGATTTGCCAAATTCTATTAGCTTATTTAAAAATAAATGGACAGAATTATTTCCATACACATTTGATACGAAATATATGAATGAAACGAATGAATACTTATATGCATTAAATGGACCCGCAACTCTAAAGGGTTTGTGTGAATATATGGCTTCTCTAATTTCGTCTAGCAATGATTTTGATTTTGCTTTTAATTTTATGAATGGTCATTCAGATCTTCCTCATTGCTTCATCCCTCTTGTGAAATCGGAAAATCACGCTGATTCATGTGGAGAGATAGATAATTCGTTGGAATGCACTAAAGGCAATAATTCAAATAATGAAAAGAACGAGGAAAGAAATTCTGAAGATATGAAAAATTACAACAAGTGCGAGAATATGAGAGATGAAACGTGTCCAAATGGAAGAGAATTGTTTTATACCCCAATAAGTAACCATGATAACAACATAAATGCAAGAATGAGTGATGAACATAATGCAGGTTACGATAGTCTCTTAACATGTCTACTTTTCATACTTCAGTGCCATTATATATTGAGAAAAAATAATATGTTGTGGAGAAATGTTTATTTTAATAGAAAAAATGGTATGAACGAAAGTGAAAAATCTTTTTTTGATATTTTTTTAAGTATGTGTAACAAAATAAAAATTGTAAAGACACAGCCAAATGTCGTATCGTTAACTAGCACAGAAAATTACGAAATGGCAAGACATTTTTATATGTATGGTTATCCAAATTATTTTAAAAAATGGGAAATAATGAAAATTTGGTCCCCCATATGGGTATCATTAAGTAAGGTAGATGATCAGTCATGTTGGATAATAGCCAAAAGTGATGATGACGCGAAAAATATTAAAATGATATATAAAATGTTGCAAAATCCCCAATTTAAATTGTGTACTTATGAGGAGTACTTAATCAAGTTTAAATCGAAATAGCAAAATCATTTTATTTGACAAGAATGCATATGCTTCTCTCCGCTAATATGTATTCGTATACCATCATAAATAATTTTCCCCCCTTTATCAACACACAGAAGAAGGGGCTGCATATTAGAAGTGTGTATAGATATTCTTAAAAGTATCCACATTATTGTGAAGAGGTACATGCATACGTACGTCTTATTTGTATATTTATTTTTTTTTTTTTTTTTTTTTTTTTTTTTTCCATATTTTCCCTTTTAAATTCCACAAAGAATTTCCTAAATTTTAATAATTTGTTTATGATAATTTTCCCTTATTTAATTATCTTAATTGTTAGTTTACACATGCGCTTCTTTTTAATAAAATGTGTTACATTATAACATAACACACGAATGTGTCATGTGAGATATATTTGTTTTGCATATCCTTGTATAAACATGAACACTTATAATTCTATATTATATTGGCTTATTGAGACCATTCCTCCATTCCCCCTTATTTTGAGAAAAAATAGTTTTTAAGTCAAGGTCAATTTTTTTAATTGACTTGTTTTAAATGGAAAAGGTTTATTTTAGTAGTAATTTTTATCATGACAGTTATGATTAGTTATCTTTATAACTTCTTTGCAAAAGGGTTAATACAAGAATGCAGAAAATAATTCCGTCATACGACAAAAAATACTTTTTGAGAATGTAATTGGGAAATAATAGGGATTATTGAAACAGAACGATATACAAAATGAAAAAAAAAAAAAAAAAAAAAAAAAAAAAAGGTATATAATTGAACGGGTATAATATAGCAAAGTTGTGTGTCTTTTGATTCCCTATCTCAGGAATATTTATTCACTACAGAGATAACAGATCAACATGTAATTTTTAAAGTCGACATTTCTGTGCCTAGGGGGGAAAGAATTGTATAAAAACTTATCTTACAGCTCTTGACAGTTCATGTATTATAAAAGTATTTTTTCGTGTGTGTTAATGAAAAATGCGAAATAAAAAATTAAGAAACATAGTTTTTTCTACCATAGAAGAAATACCTAAGTTGATGGAAGGCAAAAATGCAGTTATTTTTTATCGAGTATTTTAATGGTTCATAGAAAAAATTACAACCTTCGTGGTTAACTTTCAAAATTTATTGCCTAATTTCCTCTATAAGTTTCGTATCCATTCTTAACTCCTGCTTCAATTTTCTTCGGTAGACTTTTGTTTACGTAATAAAGCACATGTATATATAATATCACATGTTACCCGTATATATGATATGTATGCACATAGCAAAATCCATGTGATGCACAGGAAAAAACGTAAGTATATGTGCAATTGGAATTTTTTAAAGGAATTAAGCAATGGTATATATAAAGTGAACATATTTTTTTTTTCTACTATTTTCTATCAACAATAAAATTTATGTTCTAGTGTAAAAATAAATGCACAAAGCAACAGGATATAATATAAAGGCCTTCCATTAAATAAAAACGGCGAGAGGAATAAAAGGGAAAAAAAAAAAAATAAATAAATTAAAATATTTCAAAAAAAACAAATTTGATACAATAAATTAAGAGCAGGGAAAAAGCATTGTTTTACACATACCAAAAAAATAATAAGGTAATATTCATGTAATGCATTTTACTTTTTGTGTACAAAATTTTCCTCTTTTTTTTTTTTTATTTTTTCTGAAATATGATGAAACATGAACGATATCGACAATAAAAAATTCAGGAACATAAGTGAAAAGGTCCAAGGAAAATACATCCCAGTCATAAAATTTGGGGGAACAAACAAGTACATCAATAAAAGTTACAAAAATGATTCCGGTACGGCCTTAAAGGAGATACAAAGGCCATAATGAAACATGAATTACTTTATTGAATGTGCTTATGTACATACACCTACGCTTGAGTCAATCCAGTGTCGGATACTTCTTGAGGTCTCTTTGTTTTATGAACCGTCTTTATATTCGTCTTTTTTTTCGTGAACCTAGTTTGCACTAATGAATCCAGCTTGTAGTACCTGTCTCACGTGTAGCTCTCCCTTACGCGGTTGCTGCGTTGCATAAGAAGCTCACATATACATACATATGCATACAAATATAAATACATTATACATATGCATACAAATATAAATACATTATACATATGCATACAAATATACATACACATACATAAGCATACACACATACATATGTACCAAAAGAACGCCCTCAAATGAGGCTTACTTATTTTAATACACTGTTTACCTTTCCACGCAGATGCAACAAATAACATAAGTTTTATCGGAGATAGTTTCTGCACAAACAACGCGGATATATATTATGATAACAAATATGGAATTAACAGAGTTTGTTTTTCCCCTCAAGGGAAATATGTAGCTGGTTGTGGATCAAACGGCACAATTTACATATACGACTTGTATGAAAATAAGCTACTATCAAAAATTTGCACAAAGATTGACAATATTAGAGACCTAACAATAAGTGATAATGACAAATATATATACGCATGTGGTGATAATAAAATTATAGAAATATTTGATTTGTATGAAAATAAAAAGAAAATTAACAAGGATGTTTCGAAATATGTTGATGTGTCAATACCTATTTTAATTAAGAATAAAAATCGCAAAAAGGACAATTGGTTTAATACAACAACTGACAATAATAATGATGCTCATAGAAATTGTAGTAATGGCAGTAATGACGAAACAGTAGCAGGACTTAATATGAACAAGGCGAAGAAGAAAAAGATGAATATGCTTGATAATGCCTATGTCCCATTCTATAAAATTAAACATAAAAATTTTACAGATAACAAAGTTGTATATGTCCCAATATATAACTATAACGACATGATTAAAGGTAACATAAATATGGTAGACTTAAATTGTATTAAAATAAGAAAAACAAATCAAATTATAAACAAGTCCCTATTTCTTATTAAAGATGCACATGAATATAGTACCTCCTGCATAGCAGTACCAAACATAAGCAACTTCTTAGTATATTCAGGAGGGGGAGATGGATTATTAAAAATTTGGGACATAAGAATGAATTTATTTGCCTTAAATAAAAGAAGTAACAAAAAAACTATTTCTGATGTCGTATTTTTAGATAATAAAAACCCATATGCTTCTATATGTTCGCATGAAGATGTATTGACTAGCATTAATTTTAACAACACAATTAATCATGAAGGTGCATTTAAATTGAGGAGAGCAGAAAGAAAGAAGGAAATTAAGACAAAACTAGGAAAACAAAATGATGTTGACATTAAAAATTCAAAATTGGAAAATGTATTACATAGCTGTAAAGGGGACAAAATGGGGATTGAAAAACATTTCACAGACGAGGGAGATAGTAGTTCATCTTTTTCATCCTCTTGTTCATCTGTTTCTTACTCCTCCATAACTTTTGATTTAACGAAAAATAAATTCAACAACATTCTCATGACAAGCGGGTATGATGGGTATATTCGATTGTACGATATAAATAATAATATTATAAAATCTTTTTATGATGAGGAAAAAAGCATCACGCATTGTATGTTTAGTTATAACAACAAATATATCATTAGCACGAACAAATCAAAATATACTAAAGTTTTTGATTTTATTTACTTCAATAATAAGAAGAATGCAAAAAATATGGCGACGTACCTTACAAATTATAAATCCTATTATTTAAACAAGCAGAATGATAATAACCAAATGGGACATGAACTAAATGAATATAGTAATTGTGGAACATTTTATGACGACAAATTTTCAAAAGATATATATAACGATAAAGAGTTTCATCCATGCAATATTAAGAACATTTATGAAGATAAAGAGTTAGAAGAAAGAATAAAACATATTAATGAATTAAACAGAGAAATAAATAAGAGTGAGGAGAAGAAACCCTTGGGTAGTAGTGATGAAGGTATGATTGAAAAGAAAATCGATTCAGATGGCACTTATTCTAATACAGATTCAAGTGATTTTGATGAAAATACCATAAAAACGAATACATTTTATGAGCATGTTAACAAAAAGTTGGAACCAACATGGTCCCTCTTTGTAGACAACATGAAATATATGAATCTTATACCGTATGATGAAATAAATGAAAGCTTAAAGAAAAACCACGAGTATGTTAAAGAGCATTATAAAAATTTGCATCGTAATATTGACAGTAGTGATCATATTCGTGACTATAACTGTGATCATAAAAATTTGGAAAATCAAACTTATTCATTGCAAAAGGATGAAAAAAATCAAGTTTTGTACTATGAATTATCAGATATTATACATAAAGAAACGGAAATTCCAAAATTTTATTCCTGTGTAGCTGGGGACAAATGCATTATTCCATCAATTGATACATATGCACACGTATATGATATATATACAGGTTTTCATGTTAATACTATAAGTAACCTTTACTTACCAAATTATCATATTGACCATTCATATTTTGACTCACATAGCTTAAATGAGCCATTTTTTAAAAAGAGACAATTATCTTTTTTAACAAGTGCTGACACTTACCCGAAGAACCAGAATATTATTGCAACGTCAAATGGATACCCAGATGGTTCTATTGTTGTTTGGATCTTTGCTCCTTTTTAATTCAGATGAAGCATTGTGCTATGTGCAAAGAGGGAGGAGAGGGGGTGCAACACAAAAAAGGGATTTTCGTAATAATTTTATTAAAAGAAAAGATATAATTTCTGTTTTTTTATCATACATATAAAAAAGTTCATTAAATTTTATTACTTATTTTGTTTTTTATTTTATTTTTTTTTTTTTGGTATATTATTTATTTTTAAAAAATGTGTGTATAAAAATTGGATACAATTATAACATCATTTATATGGAATAAAATTAACTCTCTGCAAATTTTTTAGATTTACACGGAGATGGGGTGCATATTTATAAATACATGTATGAGGGCATATATGTGTACAAAAACGTATAAAAAAAATCTTCAATTTAAAGAAGACACAAATTTAAAAAGGAAAAAAAAAAACATTATGCTATATTTTCCTCGAGTTTTTCTTCATAATCGTAGTAATTAACTGGGGTACCTCCTGGAACCATAATTGTTATATTTAAACCATTTAGCAGTAATTTTTTTATTTTATTTACTTTTTTAACGTTGTTCACGTAAGTGTATTCAGTAACATCTTCTAGTACCTGCGCAAATAAATCAGATGGTTGATATATATGACAGTATCCGTTCTCCAAATGGGGAGAGAGGAGATAATGCAAATGCATAAAAATGGTTATATATGTATACTCTTTTTTTTTTTTTTTTTCTATATTATACCATATTGACATATTCATCAAAACCAACTAACTTTCCCACTATTTCTTTGTCACCTTTCATCATAACCCATATTTTACTGCCTATAAAAATTATATGAAATGGGGAAGTTATTTCAATTGCCTAAAATGTAGTATTTTTAACGGGATACATATGCGAAGCAATGCCCTTCTCCCTTCCATTTGTCCATGTTACATTTTTACGATTCTATGTTTCTATAGTTCTTTAAGCGCGCAAAAGTTCACATATACATATATATATGTTTGTACGTATGTAACTGGGCATACATGTATGTTCACAAATCTGAACTTAAAAACTGAGAACATTTTGGATGATCCACCCTAACCTATACACTTATCCATCAAGGCAAGAGGCAAAAACGTTTCTGATCCACTTATTGTAGCCATTATTACTAAATAACGCAAAATGGAATAGGGAAAGGAATGTTCCACATAAATATTTATGTATTTAGATCTATAAATTCGAGCATGTGAAAAAGTTATAAAGTAGTACTTATGTGCCAAAGTTTTTCTTTCTTCTTACAACACAAGCTTAAAAAACGTGTAAACACCTATTATATAACACTTGAAACAAGTTATTATTGTAGCTTTATATATTTGCTCTCTTCTTTTTTATTTTGTGTTTTCTTTATTTTTATGTTTAGAAAAAAAAAAAAAAAAAAAAAAAAAAAATATTGTAAACTTTTTTGAAAATTCGATTATGGATATAAAAACAATTTGCACAATTTTTAATGAAGTGCTTTATTTTAAAACAAATATTAAAAAAACATATAACCGAATGAAATTTAAAAAACGACATGATGGATTTTGTTCAACGGTGGGGGTAATGCATATATATAAATTAATTCGCAATGTGTGATACCTTGGAGTGAAAACAAAAACATGGGATTAATATGTAATGGTAATTAAGAGAGTTGTATAAATTAAAAAAGTACATATATATATATATATACATATGTGGAGAAAGAAGATGCGCAAGAGGAAGTAAAAAAGTTTAGTAGTTATGTAGCTTCGACAGGGTGAACGAAAAAAATAAACACATTAAAAAATGCCGTATAAATTATTTAAGCGAATTTTAACAGAAATGGAGACATGGAAAACAAGAAATGCAGTGTTGTAACAAGGAACAAATGTGCACATGTATAGAAGGAAATTAATAAATATACACAGAGATCATGTGCACAAAAATAGGTAATACTACCTAACTGCTATCCGAATTCATGATTTCTCGCGCAAACTGCTTAAGAGATCGAGGTAATTTTTGAAAATTATTTTCTTGCTTTTCAATAAGAATCCTGATAAAGTACCTTGCATATATTAAATTTAAGGTACTCATATTTTTTCTTTTCCGTTTTAAAACTTCAAGAGATTTGTGATAAATGTCGTAATTAGTGCAGTCTAATTGCAAACAACAAAAAGGGACTTGTGTCAAAACATGGAGTGAGCAAAGCTCAATATTTTCCATGTATTTCTGTGTTAACAAGTTTGTAACTTCTATTTCTAAGTCTTTGGATATGTAGCATAAATTAACATCATTATTTTGGCGCAATTCATCTGTTGTTCGTTTCGTTTGATCATTTTCCAAAGGTTTTCTCTGTTCTTTTGTGTGGTCATATATCCCTAGATTATTACATTCACTATTTATTTTTCCCCCTGTATGATTAGGTTTTTGTATATATTCCTTTATATTGAAAGCTTCTGAATTTTTATTATTTATATTATCATTATCTCTTATTGGTTTTTCATGAATGTTGGATAATTCACATGTTGTTTGACTTTTATAGCTGTCGGGATCAAGTAACTTATCCATAAATGATGTATTACTTGATAAACTTTTTCGTCGTAATGCATCTAAAACTTGAGCAATTGACATCATGTCCATTGAAGGGAGAATTTTCTTAATTTTTTGGAGAGAAATAAAATAAAAGTTATTGTCTTTAACTTTTAATTTAGATAAGGACCACATGATATTGCTAAATTCTCTTTGAGGAATCTTATCAATAATTTCCATGACCTTATATTTCAAACGATTTAAAAATATTTTATTTTGGTAATTAAATTTTGCCATATAATGAAGTGCATTTGTAATATTTACATAAGACAGGTGATTAATAAAATTATCATTGTTCATATACTTAATTATATATTTGAGTATATTAATGTTTATATTGCACTTTGCAAATGAATTCAGCAACAACGTCAAGTGGTGCGGTTCTACATCATTTTCCTTTAAATTTTTGTAATATTTTTTTGTAAAGAATTTAAAAATATCATAATTATTAATATTTAATCGACTAATCATGTTCAGTATTAAGATGGAATTTACAACACTCAAGTTGTTGTGAATATGTTCATCATTTTTTATTTTATTTAATATTAATGTTATTATTTCGTTATAATCAGATGAATTTGGTGATGAATTCCTTAATTCTACATCATGCGAATTTTTATTTACAAACGACTTCGTAGAGTTCATTAAAATCTCCTCTTGTAACAAGGTAAAACTACTTAAAATAATTGTTAAATCTAAGGTATTGTACGTGTCTATGTTTTTCTTAAAATGTTCTTTAAGTGAATCAATATTTCTGTTATGTCCTAAACCAGATTTCACTAAATCTGTCGAGATGGAGAATGGGAAGAAGTGAATGGATACAAAACATACTAATTGATCCAAGTGTGGAACACTTGTCTGGGTAGCATGTATAACCGAATTAATGAAGAGAAATTTTTATATAAATTTTTTTTTCAAAAGGCTTAATTGGAAGCAAATATATACCATAAAGAAAAATAAAAAAAGAAAAGCATGCCATGTATGGATATGTACACATTTGCACCGATTTATGCGTTCAAAGTGATATAAACGCCGAGTGGCTAATATACCCTCATATTTAACTTTTGAGTTTTTTATTAACGGTCTTACTATGAAAAATGTTTATAGTCACAGATGCGGGTATCGCATTCATTCTCTTAATAACATAACTAAAAATTGATACATTGAATTGATTATCATAAACTTGCGATGTATGATATAATTTAAGTATTTTATTTATTTGATCAAAAGAGTATCTGTGTATATTGTTTTTAAAAACATCGTAGCTAGTTCTTAATATTTTCCTGTCTTTATAGTTGTTCTCATTGTATTTTTCCATTATTTTAATTATTTCTTCATTTTCAAATTTATCTATATTGTTTATAATTAGTGAACTTAATTTTTCCTTAAATAGATTAGTAGACTGAGAGGCGTCACAACTATTTATTTTGTGTACATCAATAATGGCAGTTTTCAAGAGTTTCCTCATTTCCCACAGATATATATTTTTATTTATTTATGTCTATGTGTGGGGATTGTATTTATTTTGCTTGTAATTTTTTCTTTTCTTCTTATATCTTTTATGGGATATTTAACATTTCTCTTTTTAATTTACGCCTTTGTGCCTGTTGCAAACGATTTATATTTCCACTTTTTTCTTTTTTTTTTTTTTTTTTTTTTTTTTTTTTTCCTTTTAAAAGAATTTTACATTTTATTATAGTATACGTACATACATGTGCACATGGGATGTGATATTCTATACATGCATTTTCATTTACATATTAGAATTGATAATTATTTATTTTTGAACTTTTTTTTTTTTTTTTTACATTATTTCTTATCAAATGTAAGGTAAAATGTAGAAACAGAAGTGTTCTAGCCATTTGGTGAATAGGAAGTTCTCCCTTTATAATTTTTTTTTGTTTGTAATTTACGACAACGCGAATATGACATTTTTTTATTTCCTACTGTTTATCGATAAATCATTGATTAATAAAAAGGAGAAAAAAAAGAAATATAAATATATACATTTTTTTTATTGCTTACTATTTTTAATAAACGAAGCATTTGTACTTTATATTATGTTATTATCACTATATTTGTTATTTTATTTATTTTTATTTATTTTTTTTTCTTAATGTTAGATCCTTAAAAAAAAGAAAAGAAAAGCTATTCCCATTTTGAAGGTTTAAATTTCAAGGGACAAAATGAATAAAAGAAATAATATTTTAATTTTAACTAATGTTAAAATTGATTAGTTCGACTTTTTTTCTTTTATCCCATTGCATATTTGTTTAAAAGTTTATTAATATTCTTTGCTTTAATTTCTTTATTCATAATTAATTATCCATGGGGATGAAACTGAATTTTAATAAATGTAAAAGCAACCTATATAACATTGTTATTAAATTGGAATTTTTTCATATTATTTTCTACTTTTTTCTTTACATTTTTTTCAACTTTTTTAAGTTGTAAATTTTATCTTCCAACATTACAGTTGTTATTATATTTGAAACATTTTCAAATAAATGAGCCAAACTAGGGGTTATTACGAATTGTTATATTTTTTGGAGGGGGGGGTAAAAATGGGACACTTTTAAAGAAACAAATGTATAATGTTTTCTTAATCACACGTAGACGTGTTTATATATCTAACTAGCTTCATATATGATACACGTAGGCACACAATTGTATATATGCACATAAGTATATTTTTTTTTACATATTACAAATATGTTATTTACTTCTCGTTTATGTTAGCTTAACATTTCACATAAACTCTGAAAACGGCAGCATAAAATATGTGATGAATATATATACATTTTTTTGGTCCATTTGCAAAAAATGTATTTCCCATTCACATGAAAAAAAAAAAAAAAAAAAAAATCCATGTAAAAGCGTGTGTGAAATAGGACAAAAAAAAAAAAAAAAGTGAATACTGAAAAAGAGCATTAAAATGCAGTAAAATCACGAAAGAATTTTTTTATATATTTTTTATTTTTAATCATTTTTTATTTGGAACATATATTTTACATTTTCTGATATGATTAACATTTTATAAAAATATAAAATAGCAAAATTGCACACCTGTATGTGAGAAGAATGTATATATGTTATGAACACTTGTGCACATATAATACGCACGTTTATACATACATTTGATATTATTTATACAAAACGATAAAATTTTACATTATGGTTCTTTCATCTCTCCGCAAGGGACATGTGAACACCTAAATTAAGAAAACTTTTTGCATGTGGTAATTTGAAGTTAATTTTATTTTTTATGCATACTTTTATTTTAAACCCTTTTGTGTTTCTTCCATGTGAGCATAATTTAAATTAAAAAAATACAAATGCATGTATATATATATATATATTTATATTTATCAAAATAAATCAAAGTAATTAAATAAAGTCATACGGATCAAGCATTTTCTTTACACAAAATATAACTCATGTCACATTATTATGAGAAGTTTAACAGACCTTAAAGCGCTCACGTATTTAAAAAGGTAAAAATGTTTAATGTATTCTCAGCAGCCTTTTTAGACAATAACTCGAACAATTTTAATAGTATTAATAAGCCCATTAATAATAATATAAATAAAAGTACCAATTTAGCTAGATCTATTTCAACAAATGTAAATAATGAAAATGACAGAAGCAAAAATTTGCCATTAAAAGACAGATTAGCCACAGTGAGGAATGCCCAAAACATTCTGAATAAGAAAAATTTAAATAAGACAGATGAAACAAACAACAGCGGAAATAATAATGATGGCCTGAATACCAATAATAGTGGTAACAATAATGAAGAGAAAAATGTTGCAAGCAATAGTAATGCCAACTTAAACGAAAATGAAGAAAATGATGTAAATAAAGCAGGATGCTCCACTATTGAGAATAATTTGGGAAAATTTAAAAATTATTCTAGTGTCGTGAATGAAAAAAAAAATGAAGAACTAGAGAAAAAATTAAAAAAGAGAAAACGTAGAAGAAAACATGTAATATTAATGGAAAGGATGAAACAAAAAGAAAAGGAAAAAAGAAGACAAAGGGAAATGGAATATCATCAAAATAACGATGAAGATGATGAAGGACATGGGGAGGAAGGCGAAAATGAAGAACGCAATAATTACAAAGTGGTAGGAAGACGTGGTAGGCCATCTAAGCATTCAAAAAACAAAATGAAAGAAAAATTACATCAAGAGGAAGAAGATGAAAAGGAAGGGTATAATGACGATGCGGACGAAGATGACGATGAAGAAGGGAAATATAATAATAAAAGCAAGGATGCGGAAACGAATTTTTCCAATAAATTTTACAATTCAGGAACTAATGAAAGGGGCACAACGAATATGCACACCCTATCTTTCAGAAAAAATATGAATAATAATTCGAATACAAACAGAATTGATAATAACGATGCAGGATTAAAACCAAAAAGAAAAAGACGGAAAAAGAAAGAAATGGAGGAATATCGAGCACGTTTATTAAAAGAAAAAATGCAACAACAAAATTCTTTGAGCAGCGTTTTAACTAAAACGAACAGTTTTAATAATAATGGAAAATTTAATAACAACAATAATGAAAGTAACACACAAGGAGAAGTTAAAGTAAAAAGAAAGAGGGGAAGACCGAAAGCAAGTGAAGTTGCAGCCATGAAGAGTTCTAATGATAAATTAAAACAAAATGACATAAGAAAATATTGTAGCAAGAATAGCGACAATCAAAGTATGAAAAGGGGAGGTATGCAAGGACAAAATAAAGGAGAAGGAGGAGGAAATAATGAAGAAGAGAATAAAAACGTTTTTAAAATAATTAAAACGACTATGCAGGAAAATACTGCATTCGTAAAAAAATCTCCAACTGAAATAATAGAATTAGAAAAAATTTATAAAAATAATATAAAAAAAGGCGTTACTTGCATACCTTTAAATTATCAGAGTAAGGGAGGAGGAATGGCAATTATATTAATAGGTGCAGGAATAACGTATGGTCCTGTAAAGAACTCCTACGGTTTTATGACATTTCTTGTTCTAGATTGTCATTCAAATAATTTATTTATTGATACAGGAATAAAAAATAATGTTATTGAATGTGAAAAGCATATGCAATTGTTAATTAGCCCAGGTGATATGTACATGTTTAAAAATCAAAGTCAGGAGGTTGAGGCGCGGTTATTACTAATAGTGTGTAACAAAATGAATCAGCCATTTGATGCGAAAATGCATATAAAGGACCCAGAAATTAATACCCATAAATAGGTGGACCAGGGCAAAAAACTACAAATGATATAGGTACTGTAATACGCATGGATATATGGATATATATAAATTCATACATATGTACGAATAAACCCAGCTGTTCATAAAAGGAAGTGAATTGTGTTTTTAACTGAAGGAGAATTTAAGGTACACAAAAGGGGGAAAATGTGTTCATAGTTAAATAATGCAATTTTTGATCCGTATAGAGATTTTTACACACCTAATAATATGCATGTATGCGCAAAACATATATATGTGCATCCATAGGACCTAATGTAACGACGTTTGAGGATGGGATTTAATGTGTTATTTGAAATGAGCACAAAATTATAAAATTGTAAATGTCTGATATAAAATACTTTTCGTATAAAATCGCATGTTTGTTGTTCGTATGTATATACATATATGTATATATATGCATTTTATTTTATTTTATTTTTTTTTTATTACTTTTTTGTTGCACTAGTTGAGCAGCATTTTGCTCATCAATTTATTCTTTTATGTATTTTTTTATTTTGCATAACATAAAAGATCAATGTGAAAAATTATTTCACACTTTAAATATTGTAAGAAGGTTTTCATTATAGTGTTCATTTTTTTAAGTTATTAAAAAAGTTATATATAATACACACACACTATAAAAAATTTAGTGAAAATTTTTTTGATTCATCCTACTTTTTGTTTTATGTGCGGCGTTTTCATATATAACATGCCATTATGGTCTTTAAACTTTTCGTGCTACCTGCGTCATTCCTTTTTTTTTTTTAAACCATTTTAAAGATAACATCTGATGTAAGTTTATGTTGAAATATGTGCACAGCGTGTAAATATGCTCGTAACACGCATGTTTTTTTTTTTTTTTTTTATGTGTAAAATTTAGCAATTCTGGAAAATATATTCCATCATTAAAATAAAAAGGGATACTAATTATATGTGATACATAATTTACAATTCTTTTTTTTGAATTTCGTGTAATTAGGTACGCTTAAGTGTGTGCCTCCTCCATCCCTATTCCTCAGTAATTATGATATTCCTACTTAATTCTTTTTATCCCACACTTCATAGTTGTAAGTCCTTAAAAAAAAAAGAAAAAAAAAAAAAAGAGCACTCTTATTGAAATAAGGAGTTAGCACAACATATGTAGGCTTGCATGTATAAGTTTAAGCATATGGACACACGCACATACACGTTTAAGTAATTGCACATAGAATATAAATTAGCGAGTGCTTATTTATTTATTTTGAGAGGGGGCATTTATATAAAATTAACACGTGAAAAATTCTATTTAACTTAAGCCACACTTAAAAAAGGAATTGCCTTAAAATGTGTGAAGACGAATGGAATGTAAAACTAAATAGAGAATGTCACAAGAGTAATTACACAAACAAAACAAATACATAATGACAACTGTTGCAGGCTCATTTGCAAGTAAAAGCTTATAATAAAAGGAAAATGAAAAATAGAATAAAAAAAGAAACTTTTAAGTTTCTTGAAATATTACGAAAAGAGAAAAAAAAAAAAAAAGAAATAGCATTTAAAAATAAAATATGCATTCATTGTAAATTTTTCGAAGTAAAATTAAAGTACTGTTAACCCAAACTAGTAGTATTGATTTATCTATTTAAAGGTACATTCTACAAAACAGTTTGGGTTGTTGCATTAAGGTATTACAGGTTTGTGTGTTTTATTTATTTATTTTTTTTTATATATTTATATTTTTTTTTTCTGTGTACTCATCAAAAGAGCATAATTCAATTACACAACATCACGTGTGTTTAGTGATACCCCTTTTGAATGTAACAGTAATATATATAAAAAAAAAAAAAAAACTATGCTAAACAAGGAGGATTATTTACTTTCCCTTTTTGACATAGTTGAAGGGTTTAATAAATGCTGTATATTGTATAAGAAGAAATATTGCAGCAGTTTTATTTTTTCTAGTAATGTACTCACGAAAAATGAAAGAAATAAGGATACACAGGATTTTAAAAAAACCTTTAATGATTTTGTAAGTAAAATTGAATTTTTACACATGCACATTATAGAAAAAAGCTCCTCACAGGAGAACATTGAAAATATATGTGTGAATCTCAGTAATTGTCAAAAGGACAAAGAGGAATATAAGACAATTCATAGCAAAAGAAATGATCTTTATGGGGACCACGCTGAAGTTGAATCGATTCAGGAGAACGATAGAAATTCAAACAATGAAAAGAATCAGAAGGAAAGGAGTAAAAGGAAAATAAACGAAAATGTAGTAGGGACAAATAACGAAGTAGAGAACATAAATGAGGAAGATAAGGAAAAAACGTTAAGTCATCCAAACAGTTACAATGTACAAACGAAAGTGAAAAAAATGAATTACCAAGACACGTTCGAAGTGCTACACTCAGATTTTAGTATCTCAGAGGATTCATTGGTTAATACAGATTTCGATGACGAAAAGGAGAATTTAATAATTAGCAAAATAAACGAAGTTCTAATTAGATACGTCACATGTTTAGATTACACGCTAAATGTTAGAAGAATATCAAGGGTAAATTTAATAGAGGAAATTAAAGAATTTTATAAAATTCATAATAGCAGTATCAAATTAAATGAATACTCTTCCTATTTAAATGATGAAACTATAGATACATTAAAGAGATGTGTGGAAAATAATAATTTAAATGTGTTGAAAAAATATGAAAATATTTTTAAAAATATAACATTTTTTTTCTCTATCCCGAAGAACTATTTTTTTATAAAAAATTATGATGATCAAAACAGGCACATTTTCCCCACGTCCTATTATATGTCTTATGAAAAAGGTTTAAATGGCATTAATAATGCACATACATTATCAAATAATTCATCAAGTATAAATGGTAACAACTACAACTTATATACTGATAACATATTAAGTGAAAATAATTCTTACATTAAATTTAACTCACCAACGTTTGGAATGCATGAAGAACGCCAGATGTCTCCCAATTTTGGTGCAGTGCAAGAAGGAAGCAAAGATGAAAATGATGAATATAACGAATTTGATAACCCTTCCTATTCACAAAATGGTGAAACAGGTAATGCCTGTTTTTCATACAGTTCAAAGAATGGACATAATGAAAAAAACGATCAAGAGTTAAATAAAGTTACAAGTTTTATATCAAAAAGAGGGAATTATATGTGTGACTCTCCCTCTACTTTTAGTATTGGTAACTACAATAATGATGATGAAAATGGGAAGCCTGTTAAGTATAAATCAGAATTAGAAAACTATTATATGTATGATATAAACAATATAGACAACAAAAAAAATAATTTACATAGCAATACAAGTGATTTTTATCAAAGTATAAGCGACTTTTACAGAAGTAAGGAAAATCATAGTAATTTTTATGAAGAAGATAGCAATACTTGTATGAAAAACAGTTCTCATTATTTTAATAGCAATGAAACAAGTGTACAAGCGAATAATAAAAGTTATCAAGAAAATGAAAAGAATATAATTCATTTTTGCTTTGATGATGAATTATCAAGTGCTATAACTATAAATAATGAATCCTCCTTAAGTAAAGAAGTAGATGTTTGTAAGCATTATCATTTACATGATAAGGATGTAAAAAATACAATGAGTAAAAAATCTGAGCAGAGAAATCAAAATATACCAAATGAAGAACATAATGACAAGGATGAAGAAGCAATAGAATATGAAAAAGATGAGCGCAAATGGCTTGATGAATATTGTGAGGGAGATTACAACTTGTTTAGGTCAAAACAGATAAAAATGAAAAAAGAACTAATGCTCAGTTCGTCAAATGATTTATCTATTAACGAAGTAAAAGAAAAAGAATATGCAAGAAAGAAGGAAAAACTGATAGGAGAGGCAGAAATGAATAGTAAAACCAATGGTATCAACATTTTCCCCAAGTCTAGCTATACAGGATGTTACAAAGATATAATTACTGATGATCAAAATAATTTTGACAACACGTATAATTCAATCAACTTAAAGATCGTGTACGAAACTAACAAAAATGAGTTCAGTTCCAAAGGGGAAATGAATTTTTTCCGAGGTCAAACAATTTTAAATAAATATAAAGTAGTAAAAATTTTGTCAAAAACCAAGTTCAGTACCACGCTTAAATGTTTAAATATGCTCTACAGAAATGATAAAACTCAGGATGATACAAAGCAATTAAATGTTTGTACACAAAGTGAGTATGATGAGCCTAAAATGAGTGCTACTACTGATGTTTTAGAATTGAATACATATACAGGTTTAAAAAACTCCATAAGAAAAATGATTCCATATGACAATCATCAGTTAGACGAAGAAGATGGTCTTTCGAAGGAAGAATCCCTTTTGAGTAACAAAATGATAAGGAAAAAAAATTACAAATACGTTTGCTTAAAGGTAATGAAAAATGGAAAGAGTTTCTTAGACCAAGGACTATTCGAATTAATCGTTTTAAACATGTTATCAAATGAAAGTATTGACACAAAAAATCGTAAAAATAACACACTTACAAATAAGAATATTATACAATTGTATGATTATTTTTATTTTAAAGAACACTTAATTATAGTGACTGAATATATGCAGAGTGATTTGTACAATTATTTTATTAAAAAGGGAAAACTAGGAACTTTAGGCCAATTACAGATATTGGCTAAAAATTTACTGGAAGGATTGGCATATATTCATTCAAAAAATTTAATACACTGTGATTTGAAACCTGAAAATATTATGATAAATATGAAAAGGGGAAAAAAGAAACTAAAAAAGTTTCATAAAATGAAAAATGGAGGAAATGATACTGATTCAAGTTTATTACCTCAGGATACCATTAAAAAGAAAATTGTGTCTACGCATAATGATACCCCTATGGCAGAAAAGGATAGGATTTGTTTAATAGACAATTTGAGCGATAAGGATTGCAGTACTGTCAATATAACTATCACGAAAGAAGAAACAGAGAAGTATAAAGGAGAAAAAAATGAAGGAACGCAAAAAGCCGGAATTCATGTGTTAGAAAAAAGTGATAGGAACGTGAGCAGCTTTTGCGAGAGTTCATCAAATGTAGTAGAGAACGCATATTTTCTGGATAATCAAAAGAAGAATTCCAAAAAATGTGAAAAAATTTCTATTTTTAGCAGCAAAAAATTTGAAAAAATAAAAATTATAGATTTTAATAGTTCTATATACGAAAGCGACAAACTAGAAATGTATGTTCAAACAAGATCTTATAGATCTCCTGAAGTTCTTTTACAACAAAATTATGATAAGAAAATTGATATATGGAGTTTAGGATGTATACTATTTGAGTTTTTAACTAAAAAAATTTTATTTGATCATCAAAATATATATCGCTTCTTATACTCTATAGCGTCTTATATTGGACCTTTTCCATTTTACATGATAAACATCTGCAGAATACCTTACCTTTTTACGAAACATGGTTTAATTATTTTGAACAAAATAATCATTGACAAAAGTTCTGATAACTGTGTTAAGGAAGAAGTACTTGATGAGTTGGATGACGAACAAGTAATATTTAACTCAAAAGATTTTTTTCGTTTAAATAAACAAGAAAATTCTACAAATGATTTATTAAAAAATAAAAATGAAAATCATAGTTCTTATTTTTTACCTAAACGAAATCAAGAAGTTTATTATGATGTTTGTTACCCGAGTGACAATTTGCTAAAGCATAATTTTCATATTGATGATCTGTTGTTTATAGATTTCCTTTTATCATTGCTACAAATTGATCCCTGCAAGCGACCTAATTCTGATGAAGCGTTGAAGCACCCTTGGCTCAAGCCAAACATTTATCAAGATGGCCTATGATTCGAGCTACTCATAGACATATGTATGTGTATATATATGATACCTCAAAACGTATAACATAATTACACTTATGTAAATGTTAAAAAATACGCTATGCTGTGGGAGAATATGAGCAAAGTTTTGTTTACACCCTGGGTTATAGTTTCCATCACAAAAAAAAAAAAAAAATACATAAATAGATAATAAAATGAAATAATAAAATATATAAATTAAATTGAAAAATCATAGCAGAGGGTGTGGATGGCGCATCATAACACAGGGGAGGATAGCATAGCAATGCTTCCGATATATCATTTAGAAATTACAAAAATTAATGCACCGTGAAAGAGAACAAGAAAACCTAACACAATTAAAAACTGACGCAAAGAAATGCTATGTAGTGTATATGGAACACATTTTCTAAAAATTATGACATAACAAATTTGTTTGAGAAAATTAATTTATTTTTCTATCTTTTTTATATACTAATAATTTAACATATGTATTTTTTTTATTGTGTTTGTTGATTTTTTCCCCATTAATTTTGATGAACATCTAACTGTTGTTTCTCCATGAAGAAGCAATTCCGTTAACGCTTAAAATAATTAAAAAAAAAAGGGATACAAGATTTTATTTTGCCAAAAATTTGTTCGGATTTTATAACTAATTGGAATATATGGCCTATATTTTTTCACTAAAAAATGAATTAATCATATTCACTTTTTAATTTCCTCGCTGTTTTCGCCACCTACAGTGTTTTTTGTTTCTTCCGTTTGTTCTCCCTTATTTATTTTATTATGATCTTCTTTTTTATTTTGCTCTGCTGTGTTCATATTTTCTTTATTTTTCTCAGAGTCATTCGGTATAATTCCTGGTTGTTTTTCCTGGTCAACCACCGCTTTATCCTTAAGGTTAGAATCTGCATTATCCTCTTTGTTATCTGACTCAATGCTATATTTGGTCAACAAAATATTTAATAATTCCTCGAAGATATTTTTAAATTGATCATTTTGATTGTTATCTGTGTATAAAATGTAATATACGATAACTATACTAATTCTGACATTGATTTGTAATTTGGATATGTTCTTAAAAACCTCGTTGTCACACACTTGTTCCTTTTTTTCTTTTTCTGCCTTTTCTACATCTTTTATATTGTATGATTTCAAGAGACTCTTTTCTTCTTTATTTAGAAAAAAATAGCCATTTTTGATATGTGAAAAGCAGTTAACATGATGATCCTTTAGACAATATGCATAAGACGATGAAACGTATATAATATTTTTGATGTTTTCAATAAAGGTCTCTTTATAAATATTTAAAATTTTCTTGGCTTCTTCTTTAATGGTTAGCAAAGCATGGTAAAAATGCTTCAAAAAGTAGTAAATGCAATTACTTTCACATTTGGTTTTTGTTACAATTTTATTACACGTCGTTTCATTATTTAAGCAGAGTAGTTCATACAAATTGATATTATTTTCTTCCATACAATCGTTTTGATGTGAACTTTTCATTTCATCGTTTCCGAAAGTTGAATTTTTTTCCTTTTCCTCGTTTTTCTTTGTACGCTTATCATTATTATCATTATTATCATTATAGTCATTATAATCGTTATAATCGTTATAATCATAAGAATCCCCTAAATAATTTAGTAACGAATATAAGAAGGACAAAATGATATGACTTACAAAGCTAATACTCATACTTTTCCTGTAACAAACGTTATCATACGTTAACATTTTTTTGGCGTACAAGTAGCTGAAGTAGTAATTGTATTGCTTGTGCAACATTGTGTGGATATAATAATCATTTGCATAATTGAATAAATTGTTTAACACATGTAAATTTTGATCCACAGTTTCTATGTTTTTGTAATTAATAATACAACCACAATTTTCGTATTGATTTGGTTTCCACATTTTGTCGGATATATCGTTATTCTTTTTATTGTACAAATTGAAGTTGAGCAAGGCTTCCTTGCAATAATTATTCTTTGAATTTAAGGTCATATTTCTATTATTATTTTCGCAATTTTTCTCATCATTTTCTTCCTCTCTTTCTGTCGATTTGTCTACATATATATTTTTGCATATAAAGGGGAAATAATAATTGTATGTAATTAACGGTAAAATAATAAAGTTGCTAATTAAGTCTATTAATTTTTCGTCCCTATATACGTATTTTTCATGTTTATTGTTTTTTTCATTTTTATTATTATTATTTGTATTGTTCGTAGTGATGTTATTGGTAGTGGCGTTATTGGTAGTGGTGTTACTGCTAGTGGTGTTACTGCTAGTGGTGTTACTGCTTGTGCCGTTATTGGTAGTGTTTTTCCCCTTTGATTTTTTCACCTTTTTGAAAATGTAATTTTCATTAAATAGGAACTGTTGCAATTTTATGTAGGCTTCACTTCTTGTTCTCTTTGAGCTAAATGAGCATGCCAATGATAAAATAAAACACATCAAAAGAAATATATACATTTTTTTTAATTCAATAATTTTTTCAAATGAAATTTTGTCATTATACTTTTTACACAAACTGGAATTATAGTTATCATCTTGGCATTTTTCTTTCAAGTTATCTATATTGTTTGTCTTCATCGAATTATTCATATACATGTAAATACTTTTGTAATATATATTCGATATAATATGTAAACATTCCGAATTAATGGAAGCTATATGTGCATTAATTTCTTCTTTTTTATTATTAAAGTATAGTAGATACGGAAGTAAGGAGAGTATAATATTTTCAATATTGAAATTGTTCAATTTTAACAATACATTATTATTGTTTATAATATTGTTAATGCTTTCTGTGTATATTGTTGCCTTCTCTAGGTAAATATATATATCTTTATCGTTTAAAGATATATTTGTATTATTTGTATTTTTGTATAATATATTATTCGGTGTAATCAACTGTAACATGTGTAGATATATGTTAATGATACAGCTATTAACATACACATTCTTTGATATTTTCTCTAATACATATATTATTTTATCGATAAAACAATATAAAATATTCTTCTTTAGAAACTGTAAAATGTACATAAGATATATTCCACATAGAAAAAAAAATTTGCTATTTTGTTCTTTAAGTTTTGTGTACCTATTCTCAAAAGATATGTTTACTTTCGTTTTCTTTAATCTGTTTTTGCTCATTTTATTCTTACCATCTTTATATATATTAAAGCAAATATAAGAGAAATTGATAATACTCATAATAAGCTGTTCAATGAACAACCAATCTTCTTCTTCTGATTCTGTTTTTGGAATTTTTATTAGAAACATATTCTTTTCAATATCATTCATAGTTATTTTTTCTCCCTTATAATTTAGATTTTTATCGATATTTTCAAAGTTTTCCTCATAAATGTGATAGAACGATTTATTGTCGTTTAATATTTCTTCTTCTGTTACATATTTTAAATCTTCCATTTGATCGTATTTAAAAATACTATTATAAATATTAACAAAAATGCTGCTATCATAATTAACTAATAGGAATTTATTTAACAAATTAAAAAAATGCTCAAATGTAATTACTGTAATTTTTAAATGCATAATGTATGTTTTTATGTATAGATCAATTTTAATTTTTTCAATTAAAAATTCATTCGTTTTGTCTGTAAAGTTGCATTTATTCACATTCTTCCTTGAATTTGTTTTCACCTTTATAATTTCTTTTGTATTATGTACTTTTTTCCCATTACTCGTACCATTCAAGGGGATACATTTACGATTCATTTCAGCATCACTAAAAGTTTTATTTTCTTCTTCATTCTGTAGTTCGCTTTTCTGTTCATCATAAATATGGCCAACCGTGTGGTTATCATTGTACCAATCATTCGCATGAACTCTTATTTCATCACTACTATCATCCATTTCCGTTTCACTGCATGAATCATCATTCCCAACATCGTCCTCATCATTTGTGTATGAATAAATTTTATAAAATTCATCTTGATATTTGGAAAGCTCATCATTTTTTGAGGTATTTTCTTTTTCATGTTCAACCTTATTCCAGTACATATCCTTTTCACTAACATATAAATCATGTTTTCTAATAAAAAAAGAGTCACTAGATATATCACTGTATTCTGAGTCACTAGAAGAGATATTTGTAGAATTATCTGTATCATAAATGTTATTCAAAGTAAGGTCATATCTATTTTTTTTTTTTTTTTTTTTTTTTTCCTCATCATTGTCCACTTTAGCACTTTGGCCCATATATGCACTCAGCGCTTCATCCGTATATAAATTGTTTTCAACGGCTATTTTTTTATCCTCGCTTTTATCATGCTGTTTTTGAAGAGGTCTTTCTTTATTTATCTTTGTACTGCGCTTCCTGTTCATATTGCATATCATATTATACAACACATAGGTGTAGTTTATCTTAATATACATAACGTGAAAAAGCATTTGCGAAGTTAGTAATTTTTCTTTACTCGTATAAAATAAATCAAAGCAGTTGTCTGCATTTATTAAAACTGGATTTGAATCATTTATACTTTCATGTGTATTATGCGTACTTGTGTATTTATCATTTGTTGAATAATTGTGATTTGTCATAATTTGCATTTTCATACTTGAATTATGAAAATCAGATCTAGTGTTTTGAACTGTGTTATGCGAATCTTTTAGTTTAGTAACTGAACATTTAATCATTAAAATTTTTATTAAGTACATAAAACTGTTAATATTTAAATTGGTAATCATATTATTGTAAAAATCGTTTATAGTAAAAAAATTATATATATCTAATTTTAATCTTTTATAAATGGTAACATTGTCAATAATAGAGCTCATATCCATATTTTTCGAATCTATTTTAATATGAACATACACATGATTTAAATTGTCTACATCATCTTCTTCCTCACCATCATTATGTTCATCATAATCTTCATCGTTTTCATCATCTGTTTTTTTTATTTCTGTGTTCGGTGATGATGATTTCATTTTTTCTCTATTTAACTGTTCATGTGTTTTATATATTTTTTTTCTTTTCTTTTTTTCTTCATCAATCTTCTCAGAGTAATTTTCTTTGAATATAATAGATAAATTCGTATTTTCATTATTATTATGTCGTGAAAAAAACATGCTACTAAATTCATCTATCCATTTGGACTTATTCATTTTCTTAATATTCTTTTTGAATATCAAAAATGGGTGTTGATATATTTCTGTTATACTTTTATTTGTATTATAGGTTTCAACACAATTTCCCTTCTTATATTTCCTATTTAGAATATTCTTATCATTGTTAAATTGGGTATTGTTTACATATATATGAGGATAAAAAAATATTGGAGCCAGATCTAGAGTAATTAATTTGCATAATGTGTTTACATATACTACCCATCCGTCTCGAAATAAATTATGACATCTTTTAATAAGATGAAATAAAAGATATATTAATGACTGTGATTTTTGTGTTAAATAGAAATTTATGTATTTAAATATGTAACATAATTTGTTAATATTTTCTATATCGTTATAATATGCTAAATTATTTATTGCCATTTTAAATATACACAGACAATTTTCTGTCAGGCTGTAATCATTAGTACGTTTAAAAATTTCAAAAAAAATTGGAATGAAATTATTCATAATTAGTAATTTGTTTATATCAAATTTGTAAAAATATACTTCCTTAGCTTTAAATGAATGATAATTCTTATATTGTTCTTTTCTTTTTTCTAGCAGTTTCCAATATTGATTATCATTAGTGTACGAATTTTGCGTATTTGTGAATAATTTAATTTCTTCATGTAATATACAAGTGTATAAATTTTCTAAATATATTCTATCTATATTCTTCCCGTTATTTATTCCCCTATTATTTTTAATAAATTCTTCCAATTTCATTTTATTTTTCACCTGATTATTATGCAAATCTGTGTTCAACATAATGATAGAATAAGTTAAAATGAATATTACATCACTATTTTCAACAATCACATACTTTTTTTGGATTTCCTCTTCACTCATTAGTTGTATCTTTTTCGAAATAAAATACACATTTCTATGTATATAATTTTCTATGTCAACATCTTTTTTAAAATTTATCTTTTCATAAGCACTCTTATATTCTAAATTTCTTTTTTTCCTTCTCTTCTTTTCATGTTCAATTTTTTTCTGTGTGTCTGATATATCTCCATTCAGCTGAATCATATTATCTCCTTTCGCGCTATTGTTATCATTGTTTGCAACCTTTTCACTTTCTTCATTCGGTTTGTTATTATTTCCATTACTACCAAATTCAGTGGAGTTATCGTTCAGGAAATCTATCAATAGGTATCTCTTTGTATTAGCCAATTCTTCCTCTTTCAACATGCAAACAACTTTATCATCCTCCATTTTGTATACCTTATCTAAATCTTCACATATCGGATTTGCATAAAAAAAACACAAGCTGAAATGTTCTAATATCCTTTCGATTAATTGTGCTTCACCAGGTAATTTAAAACAATGTAGAAATAATCTTAACGATGAAAGTAACGACAAGTTACAGAAGTCAAAAAGTCGTACATATTTTTTTAAAATGTTTATATTTTTTCTGTGTGAAATATATTCTCCTACAAATTCTTTATCTAAAAATGGATTGTACCTCAAAAATTTTGCTATGGATTTTAAAAAATGTTCATCTTCCATTAAATTTTTTTGGCCATTACAAATGCTCTTTTTTTCTAAATTATTTTGTGAATCATTATTTTCTGAGTATGCAACATTTGACTTGTTCGTCTCATTATGTTTTTCTTTTTTCTTTTCTTCTATATCTAAATCTTTTTCTTCATTTTTCACATGCATATCGTTAGAAATTTCCTCTGATGTTTTGGTTTTACATACATACATGTTATCATATATGATTGTATTGAGATTTCCATTTGGATTAGCACTTTCTAACGATTCCACATTTGAGCAAGATTCTCTCTTTTCATCCTTTTTGTTATTATTATCGCTTACTCCATTGGTATTTTGATTATGTAATTGTTCTTTATCGTTATGATCATTGAATGTTTCATTTTCTGTACCTTTTATAGTGTCATTGTTTTCTCCGATTAAATAATAGGAATTCTTCGTACCTGAATTAGGTTCCTTATCTTCACATTTATTTTCATTCGTGATATTCACATTGCAATTAATGGTATCTCTGCTGTTTACAGCTACGACTGCAATATCGTCATTATTTTTAGAGTCGTCCAAATTACATTTATTATTAAATTTATTATCATAATTCATTTTTTCGATTTCCATCTCTTTGGAAACGCATGATTTTTCATCATATGACGGATTAGAGTTAACAATAAAATTTTCATGTTTATGTATCATTGCTGAAGAGAGTATAGAATCATTTCTATCGATCTGATTAAAGGTATCAGTGGTTTCTATCATTTTCATTTTGATTAATTCCTCAATTGATTTATTTTTTAGTGTATTAAAAATTGTTGCTGATTTTTTTAATATTTCTTTCCTTATTTTTTTTTTTCTCATTAAATGTTCTTTATTCTTAATATAGTCTACTTTTATGAACTCTTTCACATGTTCAAACAGTAGTATGGAACAAAGGAGTATATAGTTTCTATCCTTACTTGATGTCAAAAAATTGAGGGAATATAGTTCGTTCATGTTACTTTTTTTGGATTCGCATCTTTCTAATGCATTTTCCATGTCTTTTTCATTTTTACTAATATTTTTTTCATTATTATCCTTCTCTTGAATTGTTTCTCTTTCTTTTTGTTTCCCTTTAGATGATGCACTGAAGGAACCTACCGTGCGTGTATTTATTATTTCCACATTTTCTTCCTTGTCTGTACATTTTTTTTTTTGTATTTTTTTTTTTTCATCCATTTTCTCATTGGTGATTCTACTTCCATATGTGCTTTTCTTGAGTTCAATTTTTCCGCAATTTGTTACATAGCCGAAAATATCTAAATATAAATCATTTCTAAATTCACTTATTAGCTGATTTGTATATCCACTTATTTCATTCATTCGGTTATTAGCATCACTTAAGAAGGTACTACTACTACTTTTATTGTTGTTACCAACACTGAGTGTAGTACTAGGACCGACATATGGAATTAATATATGCAAAATGTTCTTTATCATTTTAAAAATAACTTCATTCATAATGGTTGTATTGTGAATAAAATTAACACATAATTCTAATACGGCTCTCAAAAAATTTTCCAACAAATCAGATGCATATAAATTAACATCATGATTGTAATAAATTTCAAATAAAACATTTTCTAGACAAAAATATGACAACGTTAGCAAAGCCGTTTCTGTAACATTTTTGGAAGGACTTTTTTTCAGTATGCTTAATAATATATTAATAAATATTTCGTTATAAATACAAAAATGCTTTTTATAAAGAATAAAAATATTAATGTACATTCTCATTGATCTGCACATTAGTATATACGATGAAGAAGTAATGTGTAAAAATAAGCATCTTATAATGTTAGATAATGAATCAAAATTTTTATTTATTAACGTATATCCACAGGTTTCCAATAAAATGTTTAATAATCTGAAGGATAATATATTAATGCATTCTAAATTATCATTAGAAATTTCATTTTCAAATAAGTCATTGTATAAGCCGATGCACTCCTTCGTTTTTAATAAATCCGCTACAAATTTATTTTTATTATTATTCATTAGTATAAGAATGATAGTTAATATATCATTTATGAAATCATCATCTATGTTGGTAGAAGAATTCATTGAAGTGTTGTTTGTTGGATTTTTGCATATGATACTAGATGTATTAACTACAGTGCTGATAACATTGCTCATACTTGCTCTTAGGTTATTGTTCGTTACATTATTCATTACGATGCAAAAAATGTTTTTTATTATGGCTTCACAATTTCCCTTAAACAACAAGGAATATTTATTATTCTTGTATACTTTAAAAATGTAACAAATTATCTTTATAATATTTTTTCTGTCAACAACTTTAATGGCATTGCACAAAATGTTATTAAATAAAATTATGGTGTCATATAATATAATTTCTTCATGATTAACATTGTTGTAGTTAATAGGTGCACATAGCAAGGTTTCTATACTAATGTTAATAATATTATTTCCTTTGTTAATTAAGAAATCTGAATTTTCTTCTTTTTTAAGATGAAATTTTTTGGATAACTTATAATTTTTTGAAAAGAAATGATATTTTTTTTTTTTTGGTATTTTTTCATTCATCTTGGATGATAACACTTCGCTATCGTCATTTTTTTCATCATTCACTTTGACAGAATTGTTCTCATGCGAATCATTTATCTCTTTTTTATTTAAATTTCCGTTTTTATTATTCTTAATTTCATGTTCATTGTAAACGTATATAAATGATTCACGATTTCTTCGAGAATTTTCATCATATGTCTTTTCATTGAAATAGCTACTATTGTATTTTAATATATGGTCTAACGAATGCAATGCGTTTAATTTTATTTTGTAAAAAATATTATTATTTCTTATAATATTTAAAAAGGGAGCTATATGATATATATCTAACTTATTATTAAATTCTTGTATATCTATTTCTTCCTTTAAATTGTTATTTAAATTGCTGATACTATTGTATAGGATAAATAATGCGTCTACAATACTTGAATCTAAATTTTTATTATATTCATGTTTTTTAATAACTGATAATACGTTTATTATTTCATTTTTAATAATTGTGAATATATTTAATCTCGTCAATTCATCATGCAGAAATTCTGGGTTCAGGTAATCTACTGCACAGTTCTTCCTATCATCATTGCTTTCATAATTGTTTTTAGAGATTATGAATTTTTCCATTTTTCTGTTTTCATAATATTTATTATACTCCATTTATTGCAAAAATGGGCATAAAAATATGTCACATTTCTATCAGAACGGTTCTTATTTTTTCTTGTATTTTTTTTTAAGCAGTTACTTTTAACTGCGCCTAATGGGAAACGGAAAAACTGTGTAATCGTTCAGAAGAGTTATTATCCGCTTTGCACAACAGGGATAGATGTATGCACATGGGGAAGATTTTCTATTAATTGATAGTATTTACAGACACACACAAACACATAAATGAACACATATATACAGGTATTTCACGTCAATTTGTTATCCTTGTAAACATTTTTTTTTTTTTTTTTCCAGTGATTCCTTTGCGTAGCCAAGCTACAACAGTTCAAAAGGTGCAATTGTTGCTATTTCAAAGATTCACATATATTATGCACACATTCATAATCTTTTTTATACATGCAATATTGTTACTTTATTTTTTTTTTTTCTTTTATACTAAAACATAAAATGTAATAATGAATTATCACTATGTTATCCTTCACGTTCTTAAAATTCTGTTTATGCTATCAATTATGGATCACTGCTTTTTTTTTTTTTAAAAAGAAAAAAATTTTAGAACAAATTAAGTATTGTTGGTATGCTTCAAAAAAAAAAGGACATACAAAAAGATACACTTTTTCTTGTATAAGTTCAGAAAGAACGTTTTCTTTTAATCGATTTGCATGTTTTTAAATGACGATATATTTCTGAAAAGGAGAAACATGAAAAAAAACAGGAACATGAAAGAAGAAAATTGTAACATTCTTCTAATGTAAAACAAGGGCTATTTAAAAAAATAAAAAAAAACTCCCCATTGAAATGTGAAGAAAAAAAAAAAAAAAAAAAAAATGCTTTAAAACTATACACAAGAGTAAAAAATGACCTTACAAATTACTAAAAAAAGATTAGAGGAAAATATATGTTGCTTCAAAAGAAAAAAAAAAAAAAAAGAAAGTGGGTTTACATGTGTGCCCATATGAGTTTAGGTATAAAAAAATTCTTCGATTTCAATCAATTGTTTTTGTTTTTGTTTTTGCTTTTGTTTTTTTCACATGCACGTATAATATATGTACACATATAAACATAACAAAGTTGGTCCCCACTTTCCCAAAAGAAAAAGATATCGTATCGAGTCCCTTATTTTTTTTTTTTTTTTTATGCTTATTTTTAAAAAGCTTCTTTTCCTTCTAATGCCATTTGGTGGGAGAAGAAAAATAAGAAAGGTTACTACTCATAAAATATTATATCCTTTTAAGTGAGCTGGAATAAGAAATTGAGTTATTCACAAAAAAACTGATAAATATAGCGCTTTATTCATGAATCACATTTTATAATATTTTTTTTTTAAATAGTTTTTTTTTTTCTTTTTTTTTATTTCTCTACACCCCATCTCTATTTTTAACATACAACCTTAACCCCAAGTTTTGCACCCCCAAAATTGGAAAAAGGGGATCCGAAAGAATCAATATGTCCCAGGATATATGTAAAAAAGAGGATACATAACAATATATGTATGTACATTAACGTAATATTTGTAAGGACGTAAAAATTTGTATGTAATTTTTCCTATATTTATTAGGAGCAAATTGCGCATAATACGAATATTTGTTTTTTTAGAAAATATACGAATTTGTATATAAGTTTAAAAAAAATAAAATAAAATAAAATAACCATATTTCACAACTGTGATTTGCATTTTATAATTAATTTTAAGCACATATTTGATGTGATGTATTTATTTTTAAGATTTTATTTCTCCCAATTTGATTTATAATTTGGAATTTATAATATTATCTCCAAATTAATTCATTTGCCCACCTGAATAGAATTCAAGTCCAATTGTAAACGTGTCTAAGGTGCTTTAGTCGGAAAAGTGGCCTTTTAAAATGTATATATCTTCGTGTGTAACATGTGTACAATACATATGAATAAATCCATTAGAAGCACTTAGGCACATTAATAGGATGATAATAAAATTTGAACGAATACACCTCTTGAAATTTGTGAGAATAAAATGTCGTTTCAACAGCACCAAATCGGTGCTATCTAATGAAAATGTAACAAAAATTAAGGAGTTCCGAAAAATCACAAATTTGTCAGTAGGCACATGTAAAGATATTTTAAGCAAGAATGAATATAACATTAAAAAGGGTGTAAACTATATTTTTAAAAATTTTAATAAAAATTACGAAAATAAAGAAAAGAAGTTAACAGAAGGTTATTACTGTTTATTATCAAAGGGAAACTTAACAGCGATAACTGAACTAAATAGCTACAATGATTTAGTTTCAGAAAATATATTTTTTAAAGAGTTGTTAATTAACTTGTGTAACAAATTAATTGATCATAACGGAACTAGAAACTTGAATGGTTTGAATTTGGACAAAGAAATTGTTTCTGATTATTTGCACCTGTTCTACAAGGAGAACAAAATAAATATTGATAAAATGCTAAAAAATGTAGAACATATAAACATTTTTAAGCATATATATTTTAAAAGAAGCATAAGCCAGCTAATTAACTATACATCTTATATTTTAAATGATTATATATTTTTAAGAAAATATTTACTCCTTGATTTAGATAATCTGTGCAGTCGCTATCAAAATATGTATATAATTAAAAAGAAATATCACCATAAAGAAACAAAAATTGAAGATTTTATTTTGTGTAAAGGTTTTTCTTTTTCATTCTTATTTATTAAATCTGATGAAAATATTCCCCAACAAACCAAAATAATTTTAGAAAAATTAGCTTTACTTATATGTATAAATGCATTGTTATATAAATCAAAAAGGTGTTCCATTTCAAACGGGTTTGACATTCAAAATTGTTTTTATGTAAATTATTTTGGTGCTTCCACTAGCGAATTAGAACAAAAAGAAGATACCTATTCTATGAGAAGAGAAAGCGAAATGTATATTACGAAAGTAAATTCTGAAATTGACCAAGGAGATGATGTACAGTCTGTTGATTTTATGCAAAATAAGGTTCAGTCGTTTTGCATACTGTATGAATGTTTAAAAAAAATGGATCATAAATGGTTAAGAAATATCTCTAAAGAAAATATAACATTTATAAGATTGATTAAACTGCTTGAGGATGAATTCAAGATTAAAATTTTTGTTAAAATTATGTATTCTATGCTTAATGAGGATATACTCATTTTGTAATTATTGTTAGACGAGCACCTGTTCAAGAATGAATTAACAAATTTCTTATTCGGTTGTACGTTTTGTATTTATTAATATATATAACACACACAATACATATGTGTACTCATACTTTTATAGTTATAAAATAAGTTTATTTTAAAGGTTACTAATTCTTCTTTAGAAAAACATTTTTTAATCCATCTTATGCTTTTAAATGATGTTCTTTTATAATAAATTTTGACAAATGGCTATTTTTGCTTCTGAACAAGAACTTTACACATTGTATTATTAAGTAAAAAAAAAAAAAAAAAAAAAAAACATAATTAAAAAAAAATTTGTACGTAAGAATTTCTACATCAAGTTATAACAGTTTAAATGAAACCCTACGATTCTTTTGTATATAACTGTTTTTTTTTTTTTTTTTTTTTTTTAATATTTATTTTTTTTCCGTTTCACATAACTTCTTTCTCATGCCTCTTAATTTTGTCTCTTTTTTTTTTTTTTTTTTTTTCCACATTTGAACCTTTATCGTTAGTACAATTTTCATCCTTTGTTTTATCTCTATTTTCATTTGTGTTCTCCCTGTCATATATCACCTTGCTCGTTTGTTTCATCCTAGCCATATGTGAATTATATATATGTTCAAATTTATGATCTGGAATCTCATTCAAGGTACATAATTTACCTCTTTCTTGTTCTACCATTTCGTTATCTTCTGAATTCGTATTAAAAACGTTTAGGAACGATTTATCCATATGATCTCCAATTGCTTCTTTTGAGATTATTTTGTTATAATCTGTTCTGAAATTATGCTCATTTGTGTTTACATTAAAAATATCATTGTTGTCATATATATAATGTACGTCATTTTTGTTTAAAGAAGGATTATTTCTTACGTTTGATATCATGTGGTCAGTACCAAGATAATACATATCACACATTCTTCTCCTACTACAGTTACTACTTCCGTTATTTGCAACATTTTTATAGTTACAGAACGCATTCTTAAGTTCTGTTATACTCTTTAAATGGTTTTTGTTCTCCTCCACTTGGGGATAACTCATTCTATCGTTAATATTATTATTAGTGGGATATCCTGTAATGGAATCACATTTTATGTCGTTCTCTCCTTTTTCATTTAGTACATCTTCACTATTGTCGTTAGTACTCCTATTGGCAATGCTGCTGGTGGAATATACATTGGGGAAATGTAATAAACTTGAATTCATGTTGTTATCATGTTTTCCATTGCTAGTTGTATCATAAAAAATGGTAAAATTTCCAGAATCACATAAATTTCTATTTTGAAATAATGATTCATCTTTCTCCGAGTCACTCTTAAGAGAACAGGGAATATAATCATTGTTGCAGTTAGTGGGAAAATAGAAAATCTCACTTTCATTTCTTCTATTAGGGATTTCGACCTTTTGAACAATATTATTGTTCAATGATTCGTTTTTTTGGATAGGATTGATAAGTGTGTTGGTTCCAGAACAATTGGTTTTAGATGAATTATCTAAATTTTCCTTTTTTAAATATTCTATTATACAATTTTCCTTATAATTATGGATATCTTTTTTACTATCATTTAATTCATCTTCAAAACCTTCCCTATTTTTTTTACTTTTCTCCATTCTGAATTTTAAATCATTATTGTATTTATTTAGCATTTTTATTTTATGTTTGCATATAGAACATGTGTATTTTTCTTTCATGATAGATTCATTTTTTGATAAATTTAAAATGTCACTATAGGTGTAATTTTCTAATTTGAATAAGTATTTATCACAGAATGCACATTGTATATAATTAACATTATTTGATATGTATTCATTCCATTTTCGTATTTTCTCAATAATTTGATCTAACTTTTTTGTGTTTACAATTTTATGTGAGACATAATTTGAATTACTCTTTTCGCTTAAGTTCCAATTTTCATTTGTTAAATTAAAATTATGTGAAAGCTCATTATTACTCAAAAGATATTTAAAATGGTTTTTATTAAAACTGTTTATTTTCCCCTTATACTTCGTATGAGTTGTGTTGTCATCATTGCTGAGAGTCTTGCAACTACCCTTATTCTTGTATGCATGTGAGATATCTCTTTTTTTTTTAATATATTCTTTTTCATCACTCTCACTTTTTTGGAGATCATTTATGTGTAGACTACAAAGGGGAGATGTGTCTGTATATAGGAGTTCGCTGATGTCACATTTTAATTTTCTTAAGTTGTGTTTTTTATCTTGTGGAATCCCAAAGTAATTTCCCTCTGTGTTTGCGCTTAAAAAATTAGAAAAACATGTTTGTTCATCTAAATTATAATCATATGTTTTTAGATTTTTATCTCTTTTAGTTAACTCTTTTTCACTATCACTCTTGTGCTCGTTGAACATTTCATAATTTTCTTCTTTCACCATATTGCCTAATGTGTCCATCATGTCACAATAGGAATTATAATTTTCATTTTTTATAAAATTTAAATGTTCATTTTTATCACAGTTTTCTTTTTCATGATTAAAATTTATTTCATCCAATGCTGTGTTACGCAATACGTGGCCTTCAACGTTTGGTGTGGAAAGTTCCATGGAAGATACTATATTTTCACTTTTCCTCAAATAATCATTATGGTCTTTTTCTATTTCTTGAATTTGCATGTTATGTATCCTTCCAGATATGAACTTTTTTTGTAATGGGTTACCTTTTCGTGTTTCCTTTTCTATCCATGTTGCGTTTTCCTGTGCAATATCATTTTCATTTGTTACTGTCTCATTATATAGAGTATTTGTATTGCACTGTTTGGTTTTTTTTAATTTTTCTCCTTTGTTACATGAATAATCGTAATTATTGGTGATTACATACATAGCACAGCTATTCAATGAATCATCAGTTGCAGTGTTATCCAGTTCCAGTGTATTAAACTTCTTACACTGTATGTTATTAACCTTTTTTTCTTCTATTCTGTGTTTGTCATTACATCTTCGTATATCATTGCTACCCATACTGTGTTCACCATATTCATTAAAATTGTCTATCCATGGTTTGAACAATTTGTGATTTCCATTTTTGCCTGCTTCATGTTCTTCTACTTTTGCTTTTTTTTCCTGTTCTTCGCTTTCTTCATGATTTTCACTTTTTTCGTATTTTTTGCTTTCTCCTTGATTTTCACTTTTTTCACGTTTTTTACAATTTTTCCCAGTTTCAAAATTCCTTTGCACCATCATTCCTCTGCTATTACAAAGTGAATTTACTATTTTATCATATGAGCAATTCAGCTGATCCATATTTTTTCTTCTCTTTGCACTGTCATCTGCATCATAATTATTCTCGTAAATATTAATGCAGCATTCTTTTCGCGCTATATGATCTATTTTGTATATTCTTTTACTATTCATAGATGAATTGTCTAAATCATTGTGTAGATCGAAGTTTTCTGAATGCTTCCTCCCCTCGTTTTTTCCTTTATTATACATATTAAAATAATTATTCGTGTGTTTTAATCTGATAGAATTTACAATATGCTCGGTCTTATCCTGTATTTGGAAGTTCTTCTCTTTTGTATCTTCTATGTGATTGTTTGGTTTTATATCAAAATTTGTAAAAAATTTGTTTTCCTCAGGAGCATTATTATCATTTAAAGTAAAATCGTTTATAATATCCAATGAATTTATACATTTAGAGGAGTGAATAAAGCTTTTTATTCGTGTAGTATCATCATATATATGTTCATATTTTTCCTTTTCATTTACCAAATTAAGATTCTTGAAATACGGGTTTTCCTTGTTTAAATACATTTTGGTATTATCAGTAATGTTATTAATACAAATATTTTTATGATGTCTATTTTTTCCTTTCTTTGGTATATTATATTCTGATTGGGTATTCGTGTATTTAGAGTTTCCCAATATGTATGTACTATTATCATATGTAATTTTTCCACTCCAACTGCATTTTCCTCTGCTCATACTGTTACATACGCTAGGATTATTATCCTGATTTGATCTCAAATTTGCGAAAGTAATATTATCATTCATTTTCTTAGTATTGTCTTTATCTACAGTGCAAGATATATTATTATTATAATGCTTAATCTCCATATCTGTACTTACTTTGGTAGGGGAAAAACAATCATCTTCACAATAAGCACTATCACTGGAATTACTAAATTCAGAGTTTGTTCTTGTTACATACATATTATGAGCATCCTGTGAGGTGTTACGATTTAAATTTTTTCTCGTTTTTTTTTTTTTATCAACGTGAATATTTTTATTTGAGCTATTATTTTTTGTAATTCCATTATCGTCTATAAAATGTAAATATTTTTTATTTGCATTTTGATCAAATTTATCTTCTTGTTCATAATATGGCTTTATAAATAACTGAGATGAATTTTTAAATTTTTTACAAAAATCACCTTTTTTTTTGTCATACAAAATGTCGTAATAACATGTATGGGTTTTCATATAGGATACATGCTTGTTGTAGGAAAAAAAATCAAAGAACCTTTTCAAATGCAATTTTTTTTTATTATAAAAGTGAAAAATGTTTGTTGATGCATATTCTAGGTTCCTTAAAAGATAATTCGGGGATATACTATATTTCGTATACAATTGTCTAGAATTTTGCAAAAAATATTTAGACAGTTTCATAAGATATGCAGATTTGTATTTTAAATATATTTCTCCAGAATGGTGATTTTTGAAACTTCCACTTTTTCTCACACGTATTTTATTCCTTGCTATACTAGAAATAAATGCCTTTTTGTTTAATGAATTTGTCAATATTGAGTACCCACGATGAAGGAATTTGTTTTTTTTTTTTCTTATAATATCATTCTTTTCTCCCTCATTTCTGATAAAATTAGTAATGTGTCCGTGTCGAAAAGGATAATCAGTATTATTTATAGAATTTCCTTTGAAAAATTGCACCCCCTTCTTTTTCATACAACCATTTGATGTACTTTTCGCAAATGGGATTTCGTTTTTCAGAACCATTCCACTTTTTTTTTCTAAATGTCCTTTCTTTGTTTTATTTAAATAATCTTCAATTCTTTTGATTCTTTTATCTGTTTGAATACAAATTTTATGCAAATTCGTTTTGTCCTTATGTATTTCATGAAAAATATGTTCTTTGCATTCTTTGCCACCATTTTTTCTAATCTTATTTGTCAAAACATCTCCCTCATCATGTGAATCATATAACTTATTTCCTTCTGACATGCATCCATTTATCTGGTACAAAAGTTCGTTAATTAAAATTTTGTCATCTCCGTCACACTCTTGTGTAAAACCTTCCTTAGTTGTATCGTCAATTTTCATTTTTACATCTGTATTAATGTTTTTTCTAAGGTAGTCTCTCATGCTATTTAAGTAATTATATTCCTCCAAAAGTAGAAAATTTAGTTTATATTTACATCTATGGTAAAAGGATAGAATTTCCAAGAGAATATGTTTGTTCCCTTCATTATTGTCGTGCTCATAATTGTGCATATCTCTATTCGAATCATTGTGCATGTCATTGCTTAAGTAATGAGCATAACGTTTGTGCTCCTTTATAGACTCTATGCTTTCCCTCCTATGTGAATCGAACTTTTTCTCATTAAGCATAACTGTGTTAGAAGCATTCAATAGATTATTTAAACAGTTTTCTTTCATTGTGCTATTCTTTGTATAGAATGTTTTACTCCCTTTTAACTTCTCACATGTTTCAGCACAAGGGGCGTTACTTATGGTGTAACTTTTTTTCACATTGTCATCCATGACATTGTTTAACATAATCGAATTAAACAAATTTGAAATTTCGCCGTTCGAGTTATTTATTTTTGCATCCTTTTTTAATGCACAGTTTGATGAAGACAATTCCTTTTTAATTATCCCATCTGAATAATTTATTTTATTCTCCCTAATATTTTTTTTATTTTTAGTGTCAACACATGTAATGTTTACGTCCTCCTCATTTTTTGATATGTGCATTTGGACTTTATTTTCATATACTTCATCATGCTTTTGATCATGTGTTTTTTCATCCCTTTGATCATGTGTTTTGTCATCCCTTTGATCATGTGTTTTTTCATCCCTTTGATCATGTGTTTTGTCATCCCTTTGATCATGTGTTTTGTCATCCCTTTGATCATGTGTTTTGTCATCCCTTTGATCATGTGTTTTGTCATCCCTTTGATCATGTGTTTTGTCATCCCTTTGATCATGTGTTTTGTCATCCGTTTGATCATGTATTTTGTCATCCCTTTGATCATGTGTTTTGTCATCCGTTTGATCATTTGTGGTTATTCTATCTCTATGCACGTCGTTATTATTATGAGGAGAATTATCATCATTACTCGTATTACGTAAATCATTTTCAAAAGGATAATTTTTATTTATATCCTTATAGGAACCGGCATTCATTTCATCCATAATATTGTCATTATATTTGCGATCCTTTAGTACATGCTCACACGGTGTAAACATATTTTGATAAAATTGATTATCATAGAAATTGTTCTTGCTTTCTTTAATGTCTTGAATTGATATATTTGACGAATGGTCATGGTAATCCTCTTTTACGCTCTTAACATATTCACTGTGAAAACTATATCTTGCATTTTCATCGTTCTTATATAATACCCTTTTTGTTGCATGGGTATACTTTCCTATATCTATTCCTATTCCATTATATATTGTTTGAGAAAAAATTCGTACGTTCCTTTTTTTCCTTTTTTTTTTTAATACTATGTATTGGAATTTTTTATAATAGGAGCTATCCCATTTATACAAAACATTTTCATCTCCTAATTTTTGAATTAAATTCAACTTATGATGAGCACGCTCATTTGTTGGTGCTCTTGTGATAGATTTTTCACTATTTTGAAACATATCCCTATTGATATAATTGAGTGTATTTTTAAAAATAAACATTTTGTTATTAGGATTTATGATTTTTTTTTTTTTTTTTTTTTTTCTTCTTCTTCTTCTTCTTCTTCCATTTCTGTCTTTATATTTGCATTTGTCCGTATTTTCTTCATTCACCTGTTCATACATTTTCCCTTTTTTTTTAATAGTGCCAAAATTGTTTTTATGCTTTGTATAATTATCATAACTTGTTTCAGAAAAATTACTCCTACATGAATGTATGTAATATTGATCATCTAACTTATCGTCATCAGTACTACTACATTTGCTTCTTTCTTCATGTTTTGGTAGTACTTTTTTTCTTTTATTATATGTTCCATTTCCAATAACATCTGCACTGGAAAATTGATGGTAAGTGTCTTCATTTATATCCACCTTTTGAGGGTGTACGTTGCTATGTTTAATACAGAGATGAGAAGTGGTTGCGCTTTTTTCATATATTAAATTATTTCCATTATATATAATGGATGAATATTCTTTATCACTGTTACTCTTCCGATGGGTTGTCTTTTTTGCATATTTTTCTTGGCTCTTTTGGTAAGGCTTTTCTTTTGATACATTTTCATTTACATGTTCATCTATAAGTGATTTTTCCTTGTTCTCCATTTCGTTCACTGTTTTTATCCTACTCCTTTTTTCCTTTCTTTTATCAATATTGTTGTTGAAAATGCTGTTAGAATTTTCATTTTCACATTTGATGTGAGTGTTATAGCATTCATCTTCCTTGTCAGGATAAGGAGTAAACGCATCGATTTCCCTTTCTAAACGTCTAGTTTTGATTTTCAAAGTGGAATATGTTTTCTTCTTATCATTCAAAACTTTTTTAAACTGTATTATTGATTCAGTTAAGTGGTCTTTATTTTCCTCATTTAGATTTTTTCTTTTTGCATTTTGATTTTCAAAATTTTGGTTCAAATGTTTCAGTTTTTCACTTTTATCTTTTAATTTTTCATTCTTAGTTTTTATATTTTCCTTTTCAATTGTTTTAAAAATTCTTTGAAAAAGCATATTTTCTTTTATATTGGAAAGGTCGAATTTACTATTAGTGGTGTTGAGTTTTGTTTCGTTAGTGTCTTTGTTAAAATCAAGCGTACTTTTTGTGTTTTTAGAAAACAAAATGGCAGAATATTTCTTAGTACTGTTCTCCTTTTTCCTAAAGCTACATTCTTTGATTTTTGTATTTACATTTTGCCTCGGAGCATCTGTTGGAATAATTAACTTTTGTATTTTTATATTTCCATTATCTCCATAAATGGAAATTCCTTCACTACTTCTTTCCAGTGCCCCATAATTTTGTATTTTCCTGATACTCTTTTTAGATTGGGATAGTTCATTTACTAAGCTGTAAAAATGGGAATAATAAGCATATGCATCATTTTGTATATACATACACGCAAATACATATGTATTGGTTTCATGCCTATGTGAAGATGTCTCGGAGTAAATAATACTATTACACAACATAATGCACTTCCTCCTGTAGGAATTTTACACACAGACATGTATATGTTAGATATGTAGCATTTGTATATAATATACATCAACATATTTCTCTCATTCTGGACATTTTCCCATACTTTTCTAAGTTTTTATCTTCCGCAGGAATTAACGTAAAACATTTCGGCATGAGCATGTTACACACGAGCATGTGTAGATTGTAAATTTTGTTAGAATGTATAATAATAGCAAAGGTTGAAAGTGCGGTTGATTAATGTTACCTTATTAAGTTTTTATCTTGATTATTTTTTATTCTGTCTTTTAAATTTTTTTTTTTTTTTTTCTTTTGTTTTTTTTTTTTTTTTTTTTTTTTTTTAAATAATGTACCTCCCTTTTTTGTCCTTTGTATTTGGATAAAATAATTTTAATTATTCTCAGAATTAGCAAAAAAATCTATACGTACACAATTTGCATTGTTCTTTTGTAAATAACATTTTGTATGGGGAATTGGATACATGAATGTGCTATAAATCTTATGTATATGCTCTAGTTACAATAGAAATTTCTTTATATTTAGCCAAATATAATTTTACTGGCTTTAAAAATATTTGATTAAAGTTCAAAATAAGTTAATCATAAAAATTTTTAAATGCATATTTTTTAATTCAATTTTATCTTGAATTTAGATGAATATGCTCTGTATTTAATTGCTAAATTACAGGAATATTGAATTAAACGTGTAAACATTTGTGAGCGCATACTACAAGTGTGCACAAAATTTCACTTAATCGCTACATCATAATAGGGGGAAAAAAGTCATAATAACAAGGAAGCATATGTCTATTCAAAATATTTTATAAAAGTATTTTATATTTATATATGTATATTTATCTAATGTACATTGTTAGAAGCAAAAAAAAAAAAAAAAAAAAAAAAAAAAAAAAGTACACTAAAATTATACATTTACTGGATTGGAGAATAAGCTTGTTTCATTAATGTAATATCAATAGCATTTAAGGAAAAATAACGAGACACTTCTTAGCAATAAAATTTTAAGATCATTTTAAAGTAGTATATTTTCTGTTCGCATAACTGCATTTGTCGCTTGTACGACAATAATAGAGCAAGCAACACGTGAATATGCCCTTTTCCATTACATTTTGCTTCACTTTAATTTATTCGTTTGCTTGTTTATTTATTGCCTATTTTCTTGTTTATTTATTTTATCTTTTAAGTTAACAAAGGGGCTTTTTTAAATAGATGAACCCACAAATAAATATATGTTAATATATGCAGGTTTTTACACACGTATGCAAACGAATTTGTGTATGTGATGCTTGAGTTAAGGTAAAAGTTATAACCCTATATGAACATTTTTTATTTTCTTAATGTAACATTTCACAAGGACCTTTAATAAGTAAAATATTAGCATTACACATATTCGTATTATTTTATCATGCTCGAATAAAATGTATTAAAGCGTTAACAGGTAACGCTTGGTTTTTTTTTTTTTTTTTTTTTCTTCTTCTTCTACTCTCTACTTATTTTGTTATCAGCCTTAAACTTTATTAAATTGTGAATTGCTCTTTATGGCATTATTGAACAAAATTAATCCGTTTTATATATGTAGGAGAATGGCCTTACATTACTGTGCTCATTCAAATTTGTAGTTTCTACTTTACAGATGTAAAACTATATTTTGTAATGAGTATGTAAATGTATTAGTATACGTGCAAAGTACAAAGATGCTAATCTACGACCAACCTTCTTCTATATATCCACTTGGACTACAGGATACTTCCCGTCCCTTATATTCTTGAACAGCATTTTTCTCAGTAAACTGATATTCGACATTATCAAGACTATCTTTTTCGGGTTGATTTAAACCTTGTATCTTTTTCAAGATAAACATAGATGTTAAAACTACAACTACACCAGCAAAAAGTGTTATACTTGCATATTTGAATGTTTTTGTGTGATAGGATTCACTTTCACTACTTTCATTTTCGCTTTTTTCTTCGTTCTCAGATCTGATTTCTTTTTCGATTTCCTGTGTATTCTCTTTTTCATTTTCTTCTAATGTATTTATCATATCCTTTTGAATATGTTCATCTAGGAGCTCATTAACCTTGTTAGACATATTTTTGGGAAAAGGATTTTTCATATCATCTGAATCTATGATAAAATTATTCTTACCAACAATAATATATTTATCCTTTTCTAATTTTCCATTGGGGGATTTTTTATAGTATATCTTATGAACACTTTTTGTGTTCGAGTAATATTTATATGGATTCTTATCTTTATCACCTTGCATGTTTTTGTTATTTTCTACAAAATCACCAAGAATTTCTAGTTTTTCATTAACGTCATCCAGTTTTTCACTATGACTTTTTTTACTATTGTACGCATTGACTACACTATCAATAATTTCATTTATATTTGTTCTTTCTATGTTCTCATTTTCTGATACTATATTATTTGATTTATCTTCGGGCAATAAGCTTATTTTATCTTTTGTATGTATGGTATCTAAATCTTCATTGATTTTACTGGAATCTTCACCCTTTGTATTATCTACATTTTTCATGCTTCGTATATCTTCTTCTGCTTCTTTTATCTCCGTTTCCCCTTCCATTTCTTTATTTTTGGATAACTGTTCTTTCATTTCATCAGATTTTTCTCTTTCATTATTCATTACAGTTTGTTTATCAGTTGATACGTGCATATTTCTCACATCGCCTATTGTGTAATCTAAATTCTTTTTATATTTTTCTTCCATTTTTTCTTCATTATTTGTTGAATGTGCATTATCTTCTACCATTTCTCTCTTCTTGTCTTCGATTTTTACTGTTTTATTAAAGGTGTTATCATTATCTTCATGAATTTTCTTATTTATTCCAGTATTTTCGGATTCTTCCATTGTTTTACTGTCGTGTATCCTTTCCGTTGTATTTTCTTTTTCACGTTCCTCATTAATAACATCGTTAGCTCTAATATTTATCGGATCATTCTCTTTAGTACGCCCTTGTATATTTTCACCTTCATCAAAACTATTGTATTCGCCTGTACGTTCGTCCACTCTTTCGTCTTTATATTCGTCATTATTTTCCCCTCCTATGATTCCTTCACGAATATCTTTGTGTTCAATTTCATTCACGGCTCTATGCTGTCCAGCATCAGTACTCGTAATTACATCTTTATGTTCATCTACACTCCTACCTCTGTCAGTAGACTTGTATTCACTTGTAACTCCATCTACATCTATACCTTCAACGTTTATTCTTGGCTCACCAACATCTTTATTATGCTTTCCCATATCCATATTTTCCACTATAGTTTTATGTATACCTGAAACTATATCTACATCTGCATGCTCACCCTTTGTTCCCTCTATAACTTTATGTTTTCCTGAAATTGCATTTACATCTGCAACTTCACCCTTTACTATTGGTTCAATTACATCTGCATGCTCACCCTTAGTTATTCTTATTTCTTTTTGTTCACCTGTAACTGCATCTGCATGATCATCCTTGCTTCCTCCTGTAACTTTATATTCACCTGTAGCTTCATCTACGTCTGCATGCTCACGCTTGCTTTCTCCTACATCTTTATGTTCACCTGTAGCTGCATCTACACCTGCATGCTCACTCTTGCTTTCTCCTACATCTTTATGTTCACCTGTAGCTGCATCTACACCTGCATGCTCACCCGTGCTTTCTCCTATGACTTTATGTTCAACTGTAACTACATCTGCATGCTCACTCTTGCTTTCTCCTACATCTTTATGTTCACCTGTAGCTGAATCTACACCTGCATGCTCACTCTTGCTTTCTCCTACATCATTATGTTCACCTGTAGCTGCATCTACACCTGCATGCTCACCCGTGCTTTCTCCTATGACTTTATGTTCAACTGTAACTTCACCATTTATTATTGGTTCAGTTACATCTGCATACTCACCCTTGCTTCTCCCTGTAACTGCATATGCATCTTCACCATTTACTATTGGTTCAATTACATCTACATGCTTTCCTTTGCTTTCTCCCACGTCTTTATGTTCACCGGTAACTACATCTACATCTTCACCAATAACTTTATGCTCATCCACATCTGTAATCCCACCAATATATTCATGCTTAACCACATCATTATGTTCACCTGTGATAACATCTACATTCTCATCTTCACTATTCGTTTTATGTATACCCATATTTATATGCTCACGTATATTATTTTTGTGTTGATCCACATATTTACCTTCGTACATAGATTTATGTTCACCCGTAACTTCACCTAAATTGGGGTCTTCACGCACGATTTTTCGTTCATATTCACTTTCCCCTTCTACTGGATTTTTTCTATCACCAAAGTATGTATGCTTTTCAATTATTTCATCTGCTTTATAATGTCCATTCATTGTATTATCTGGTATTCTATGTGTTCGATCACTTTCATTAACTGGTTCATTTTTCCTCTTAGATACATCTGAAAAATGATCATTTTTTATAGCATCCTCTGATTCTGTTTTATGGGTACGTGTTTGATGTTGTGTTATGTCTGCTTTTACCTCCCCTTCTTGTATTTGGTATTTCTTTAGAATATTATCTGACGATATTTCTTGTTGTATATGACCATTAGGGATTTTATTTTTCTTCCCCATTTCTTCTTGTGCTTGATTTTGTGCTTTATGCTTACCAGACAATATGTCTTTTCCTTGAATATGTTCACTCCTTATTTGATCTTCCTTCACATTTTCTATTGATATATCATCTCCTCTTTTAATATTATGTGAGTCTTTATGTTCTGCAAAGTTTTTATTGATTATGCTGTTTTCCCTCAGCACTTCTTCTAATTCGGTAGGACCATCCGTATTATCATATGTATTATCACCCGTATTATCACCCGTATTATCACCAGAATTATCACCCGTATTATCACCAGAATTATTACCCGTATTATCATCAGAATTATTACCCGTATTATCACCAGAATTATTTTCTACATTATAACCCGTATTATCACCAGTATTATTTTCTATATTATAACCCGTATTATCATCTTGAACTATTTTTTCTTCACTCTTTCTATCTGTTTCGTGAATACTGTCCATATCATTTGATCCTAAATGTTTTCTTATATTTTTATGAAATGTTTTATTTGTTTCTATGTTTTTATCAGATACCTGAACATTGTTAATATCATCACCTAATATTATTTCTCCTTTATTCTCATCTTGAATTTTATGCTTTTGTTCATTATTTTCAGCTATTAATTGCTCGTTCCCTGTACGAACATGCATATAATGTTTTTTTGTATTTCCTTCTTCCAAATTTTTATGTTCATTAACTGATTTTCTTGATGTTTCCTTTGTTTCTTTCATGTATTTATCACCTGTTTGTTCACCATCTGTAATCATATGATTCCCTGATTCATTATCAGAATTTGTGTCTTTTGTGTGATCATTTTTATTCTCTTCTTTATCTTTATCTTCAAATTGATGCTGGTGTTGGTGTTGCTGTGCAATATTCAAAGGATCTATGCTATCTTTTACATCTTCTAAATTATTCCCATTTATGTTTTCATTTGTTCTTTTATTTTCACCATTCATATTATCACTAGTAGTGTGATGTTGATGTGTTTTTGTTTCATCGAGAATTGTAGATTCTACCAAATGCTCATCCTGATATAAATTGTCCTTATTCATTTCACGTGTTACATGAGATTGTTTGTTTTCTGCTATGTTTTCATTTGTATCATGTAGGTCTTCATTCGGTTCATTAACGCGTTCATTTCTTCCGTTATTATTCTCTATTTCATGTTCACTTGATGATATTTTCTCACTTTCTACTTGTGGGAATGGACGTTGATTTATGGAATCATCTAAAACGTGCTGATTATTTATATTTTTTCCTCGTAATTTTTTTTTGTTCAAAATTACATGTTTTCCTTCATGTCCTTGACTTACCTCTTCTTCATTCACGCTTACATGTTTAGTTGCTTCATGTTGTATCTGTCCCTCTATTGATTCCTCACCATTTGCATCTTCTTTTTTCGTATTGCTCTTTATTTTATCTTCTCCTTCTACACTTCCTTCCTTTTTATCCATCTCCGACGCTCGTCCTATTTGATTAATTCCTACTGTAATTTCATGAATGACACCTTTGTCTTTATTCCCATATTTGTTTTTACTTTCTTGGACTTTAATGCTGTCTTCACTTGTATCTTGTTTATCTATTTCTTCCCTTAGCGCATCTTCATGCACAGCTTCTGTTTCATGCACCTCTTTATTCACGTCATTTCCTTTATATGTATCATCTTTACTAGTATTAACAATTTCACTTTCCTTTTTTGAGACATTATTATCTTCGTTCAAATCTGAATTCTGTCTATAGACCAAGTTGTTTGTATCCTCATTTGTACTTTCATAAACAGGTAATTTATTATGATTACCTGTAGAATGTTCTTGTGATGAATCTACGATACCTTCTCCTGTGTTTGTAGTATCACCAACATTTGTAGAAACAACAGAATCAGTTGTATATTCATTATGTTCCTTCCTATTGTCAATTGGAAAATTTTTGCTATTGCTAACTTCTGAGTTTATTATTTGATTATTTGAAGAATCTCCACTTGTCACATTGCTCATATTTCCCCCATCTGGTAAACTGTTAGAATCATTTTCTTCAGTTTCATCTTTATCTATTGTGTCAGTGGTATTTGGCACTGCTATTTCAACTGTTTCATCAAAATCATTACTGTGGACAATTTTTTTCTCTCTTTTTTCTTTTTCATTTTCTCCTGTTCCATGATTATTTTTATCGTCCACGCGAATGGATTCAATTATTTGGTTATTATTGTCTCTATCGCTTTCATCACTGACAGATACCTTTTCAGCATTTTCAGTCTCACTTTTTTTCTCTCCATTTACAAAGCCTTCATCACTGACAGATAACTGTTCAGAATTTTTAGTTTCACTTTTTTTCTCTCCATTTACAAAGCCTTCATCACTGACAGATAACTTTTCAACAGATTCAGTCTCACTCTGTTTCTCTCCATTTATAATGTTTTCATCACTGACAGATACCTTTTCAACAGATTCAGTCTCACTCTGTTTCTCCCCATTTATAATGTTTTCATCACTGACAGATACCTTTTCAACAGATTCAGTCTCACTCTGTTTCTCCCCATTTATAATGTTTTCATCACTGACAGATACCTTTTCAGCATTTTCAGTCTCACTCTGTTTCTCTCCATTTACAAAGCCTTCATCACTGACAGATACCTTTTCAACAGATTCAGTCTCACTCTGTTTCTCTCCATTTACAATGCTTTCATCACTGACAGATACCTTTTCAACAGATTCAGTCTCACTCTGTTTCTCTCCATTTATAATGTTTTCATCACTGACAGATACCTTTTCAACAGATTCAGTCTCACTCTGTTTCTCCCCATTTATAATGTTTTCATCACTGATAGATACCTTTTCAACAGATTCAGTCTCACTTTTTTTCTCTCCATTTACAAAGCCTTCATCACCTACAACTACCTTTTCAGAATTTTTAGTCTCACTTTTTTTCTCTCCATTTACAAAGCCTTCATCACTGACAGATAACTGTTCAGAATTTTTAGTTTCACTTTTTTTCTCTCCATTTACAAAGCCTTCATCACTGACAGATACCTTTTCAACAGATTCATTCTCACTTTGCTTCTCCCCATTTCCAATATTTCCGTCAAGTATTTTTCTGTCTTTAGAATTTTCACTACCACTTATATTCTTTGTATTTGTTTTACTATCCCTTCTCTCATTTATAGCACCAATATTAGTGTCTCCTCTTCTTTGATTATTGTCACCTGCATTTTTCTTACTATTTGCATTTACAGATTCAACCACTTGACCTGTACTCGGATTCTTTTGAAGGGTAAAATTTCCAAATTCATCTATTACGCCTATATCATCCCCCATTTTTATGTGTTCAAGCAAGCGCTTATGATTTTTAACGAGAAGGTGTTGTCTTTCTATCATTTTTCTCGATTTATTTTCCAATTGAATTTCTGATTCATGTATCTTTCGTGCATAAGAAGTGTTTTCATCTTCTCCCCACTTTCTTTCGTCAATTATGTTACGTTCTTTCACTTCTAATTGACGGAAATATTTTGCGTTTTCTGAGAGTGTCAATGATAGATCATCATATATTCGATCATACCCTTTTCTCCTTTGCACACTTGTACAAACTGGTAAATCTGTACAGGTATCATATTTTTCTAATATTTCAAAATACGAAGAATACGGTTTAAATTTGTATCCATTATCACAAATTCCTCTGCATTCATATATATCACTTTTACATTCATCTTTATAATCCTCTTTTATTATTAAATTATAATTAAAGAGATTTTTACAATGAGGAATATAATTAACCTTATTATCGATATAATCAGTTATGGTAATATTTGATGGAATAGTTCTTTGTCTTTTCCTAAATTCACAAGGTCCACTCCATTCAGACCAATCATTATACCTTGCACAAGTTGCACCATATTTTACACTATAACAGAATTTCCTTAGACTCATTCGAGTTTTAAAATCATATTCATTATTAATAAAATATGCAAAAGGAGTATCTGACTCACTACTATAACTCATTTCTGAAATACGATAAGCCACATCTTTCGAAGCAAGTGAATCATCAGAATAGAAAAAAACTCCCAAATCCCTACTTCTAATTTCTCTGATGTAATTTATTAATTCATCTGGATATTCTGAAGAGCCCATATATCCAAGATTCTTAGAAATAACTATAATATTGGGGGCTTTTTTCATATTTGGATTGCCTAATATATTTTTTTCATAATACTCTTTTAATGATGTAAATAAATCTGCATGCTTTGATTTTGAAATTGCATAAAGCTTGTATTTACTCTGAAACATTTCCTTGAATTTAGGCAAGTTAATTGTGTACATTTTTTTACTATTAGTATACAAAATTTTCTCATCAAAAAAAGAAATTGAAAAATAACTTGGATTAAAACCAGTCATAGAGTTTGCAACTCTTGCAAGGATATAATACAATTTAGCGGCATATGATGAATCATAGAATTTTTCTGAACTTATTAGAAAGTGCACATTCAATCCTTTGCAATGATCTCCAAATACATTGCTACGGCTCTCTAAATATGTAGAAAAAAAAAAAAAAAAAAAAATGTCTTTCCATGTATACAAAAGGAGTATGTATACATGGGGAATACATAAAAATATGTATAAAATATAGAGATATATTTAACTTAACAAACATTCAAGTATAAAATTCTCTTGTCTATTAATGCTAATACTCGGCTTGGTAATCATGGATAACTCATAACACAAAAATTACGATCATGCTCATGGTAAAATTTTATTATATAAAAAAGTAAATGATTATTTTTAGAAAGAATGATGGAATCTTATTCACAAGAATAATTCATGTAAACAATTTCATCAAGTGATTTAATGAATAAACACACGGGGTTAAACGTTCTCTCTGATTATGAAAAAAATGCATTTGCAAAATTGTAGTGTATTATATTACTAAGAAGAGAAATAAAAATATCTGAACATATACATATCACATTTTAGTGTGTTCTTTTTTTTCTCTTTCTTTTTTTTTTTTCCTTACCTGAATATCCCTCTTTTATAAATAACCCAAATGACAAGGGCAAAAGGTTTAAGATACTTAATATGATTAAAAAATTCATTTTAAAGATAAATAAAATTAACAGAATAATATATAGGAGAATAATTTTTTTTTTTTTAAATGTTAGAAGCTAATTTGGCCTGCTTTAATATATAGTTCTATAGTTTTCTTCTGCAGCTATATTTCTGTCTAAGGTTATATTTTCCCTTTTAATTTTACATGCATTACTAGTCTTCTTTTTCTCATTTAATTCATAACATTTTTAAGAGCATTTATTTATTTATTTTTTTTTTTTTTACTTCTTTTTTTATTATTAACATATATATATATATATATATATATATATATATATATTTTTATGACAACAGAATAATTCTCTTTTTTAAATTATAAAATTCACAAGTGTTCGCACGTGTGTAAATATATAAACAAATAAAGAGTGTATACTCAGGGATAGATCTATAAAGATGTGTAAAATTATTTTCTCAACAAAAGAAGTGGAATGTAAGAAAAATAATTACCTAACTGACATTTTAAAAAAAATTATATACGCAAACATGTAAAAAAAATTTTTTTTTTTCTTTCTTTTATACGAGGAAGATTAGTTATATATAAAAAGAAAAATACATCACAGGAGCAACTGTTTGTTTATGCTATCGGTTATAAAAGGAAACACTATAAAATTGAGTTGTGGTGTTTAATACATTTTAGTAGAATTTGGAATATTTATTAAATAAGGGTCTTAGATTATGCGCCATAATTATTAGAAATTAATGCATGCAAATTGGAAAAAATAATAATAAAAATATAAGACAAAACAAGGTTCAAGTTATTTGACTCTTTTTAACTTTTTCTTTTTTTTTTTTTTCCCAAATAAGACACCTACTTTCACTTCTAGAAGCACATCATTTAACAACATTTTACATGCCTCATTGTAGAGTTGTATATATACCTACGTTTTACATATGTTTTTATCATAGTGGAAACGAATTCAAAATAGAAAAGAAAAAAAAAAAAAAATAGATGGCTTTAAAGAGCCATTATTTTTTAGTAGGATTAATAGCATGACTGTTAAAGTGGCACTATGCTTACAGCAATTCACATCATTTTTGTTGACAAATATTATTGAGATTTTGCTGTTTAGGATTTTATTTTTTTTATTCTATTTTTTTTTTATATGACTCATTTTCACACACCCAAGATTATTTCTTCTACTTAACACTTTACCACTTTTGCATTAACCATGATATTTTATATGAATGATATGAAAGTGCGAATATATACAAACAATTATATTAGAAGTATTTAAATATTATTTCTACATCTTTTTATTTTGTGTATATTATTTAGATGTGTTCTATATTAAGCTTGTATATATGCTTAATGTTGAAAAGGTGAAAATAGTGTAGACATATTTATTTATTAACAGTTTTCCTTTCGATAAATCAGAAGAAAAGCCAGTTAAAGGGCTTGCATAAGAATCAATATTAACACATATATACAAGCAAATATGTATATATTTATTCGTTCACTTGTTTATAAGTGTGTGTGTTCATTTTGCACTACTCTTTTTTTTTTTTTTTTTTTTTTTTTACCTAATTATTCGCACTAAGTTATAGGGCAAACGTTTACTTGGTATTTATTAAAAACATTTTATACACAACTTCATTTTTAAAAATTATTAGGAAAAAAATAATCAGAGTATAATTGGATTAAACATTTTGTTTCATTTTTCCATTATTTTTCTTTAAAATCTAGGTCTGAAAAATTTTCATTATTCAAATTTTCTAAGTATTTAAAAAATTGTGATAAAAGAATTCAAAACCTCGTTTTGTACTAATTACTTTGCTTGTCATCGTTTTATTGGTAGAATAATTGAAAAAATGAAGAAAAAAAATAGGAAAAGACGAAAAACGAAGATTCTCAAAATTGTCATAATTTCATCTTTTCGTGCGTAAAATTTTTTTCTTATACTTCTTTTTCCAAATAAAAATTCCATATGTAACTAACCTACATGCATGATATAACAATTATGTGAACTTATATTCGTCTATGGGTATATATATGGTTCTAAGCTTTGGATTAGGGGAAAAGTTGTAAAAAAATAGCCTTAATTTCTCGCAGTCTTTATTATTCATATAAGCATTTATGCATATACATGTGTCCATTGCATCATAAAACTTCTTATTCGACAAAAGATGCATTAGAAAAGAAAAGAAATTAATAGGGAGAACTGAAGAGTCAGAGTGCATATTATATGAATATATGTAACGAGAAAAATCATGGTAAAATGTTAGCACCAATAAAATTTTTTTTTTTTAATTTTATACATTTGTTCCATATTTCAAGTAGTGTGTATAAATCTATGCATTTGTGGATATTTTTTAATTATCATATTTTTAAAAATAAGGGGGAGAAGAAAAAAAAAAAAAAAATTATATTGTTCTGTTATCACATAAACCTTAAACAAGCAACAGTATTAAGAACATTTTTTTTCTTCTATTCAGCCAAACCTTTAGAACTTTAGTTTATGTTTCACACATGTAAATGCTAATTTCAAGGGGCTTATAACGCAGAAAATGAATGTAAGTATTTTGGAGGTTGTTGCAAAAAAGGATTGTATTTATGTTTTATTTATTTCAAATTAATTTATAAACTTTTTTAAAAGATACATAACTGTACCAATTCTGTATCCATATAATTGAGCTCACATGTATTACACATACACTTACATGTCAATGCGTACTTCATTAAGCACTCCTTTTTGAATTAATGAAATTTTCTGTTGGAAGAAACATCGAACTGCATGTAATTTCTTTCAATCTCTTTGAAAATTAAAAGATTCCAAATAATATTCAACAGATATTCGAGTTTAACCATGACATCTCAAAAGGAATATATAATAATATTATTCATCTTTGCACACTTCTCTACTACTTTTTTTATGTAAAAAAAAAAAAAAAAAAAAAAAAACATTACACTAATTAAACTAATTTTACTAAATTGTGAAACCTTGCTCTATCAAAAAAAAGAAGGGAAAAAAAGAAAAATGCATGGACGAAGAGCTAAAATTTGTAAAGATGAGGAAGTTAAGCTTGAAAAAGCCAAAGAGTTAATTCCCCTTGTAAACATTTTATTAAAAAAGAAAAGTGGAAAAATTTATGATAAAGAATACATCGAAACGACATCCATCATTTTGAAAAAATGTCCCTACTTACAAACCTTATGGAATTATAGGAGGGAGTATTTTGAATATGTAAAAAATATGAAATTATGTGAAGGTTCAGGAGTTAACATTATTGAGAAAAGTTAGACACGAAGTAGTTAATATTGGATAATATGAATGCTAAATTTTGTGATTGACAAACATTACAAAAGAAAAAAAGATAATCATGAGATAATAACTAGTTTTAATATACACATTTTTGTGTAACATACTCGCCCAATTGAGGGTTTGTGTGAGGGGTGGGAGATAATTTTTTTACCAGTAGCATAACATATGTGTGTAGTATGTCCTATTAATTTTGTTCTTCATATTTATAAAGAAAAAAAAAAGAAAAAAAAAATATTTTTTGAAGTTTCTTTATTTGCATATTTTTTTTTTTTTTTTTTTTTTTTTTTTTTTACATAGGTGATGAAAAAAAGGATTACAATAAGAACCTACTTCACGAATTAAAAACTATGATGAAAAATGAAAATGTGATGGTTGAAGAAATTTTAAATAAATTTAGTAAGTGTAATGAATTATGGTTCCATAAACTATGGATAATTAAAGTCTGTCTAAAAAATAATTTTATAGATATTTCTGATTTGATAAAAGAATTAGAATTTTGCAAGAATTCCTTCTACAAAGATGACAGGAATTACCATAGCTGGAATTACAGATCTTATATAATAGCCTGTATACAAATATATGTGAAAAAAATAAAACACGAAAAAATGAAGAATGAGAAAAATGAAAGGAATGAGAATAATCACGTTTGTAAAGAATTTGATAACGATTTTAACATTCATGAATCCAATTATGAGTTGTCAAAAATGTTGATTGAAAAAAATTTTTCAAATTTCTCTGCATGGTTTTTGAAGTATACCATATGTGAATCGTTAATTAATATCAATAACGAATTAAATTTGATAAAAAATGCAATATATACTGATCCTTTTGATCAAAGTTTATGGGAATTTTATAGATGGTTTCTTTTTCAAAGAGGTAATTACAAAGAAAAGGTATTTTTTATTCTTTTAGAAAAAAATTCAATTTTTTTTTTTTTTCAAAACTTAGTTAAGCTTAATATATCCAAATCAAAATGCTATGATTTAAATAATGAGGAAGTCAAAGGGGAATGGGGAAAACATTTCCTAATTCATAATAACCCGAACAATAATTTTGAATCCTATGTGTACTTTTTTAAAGTTACTGATGAATTTGTTGGTAAGAATATTTTTAATAATTTTAATTCTTCTTTAAAATTTTGTATATATTATTATAAATATAATATATATGAGCCTGGAAAAATACATTACGAAAAAAATGTATTGCAAGATCTGATCGTTGATCATGAATATTTAAGTGAAGAAGACAAGTTTGAATACAACTTTAACTACGAAATAGATTTTTCAAAATTTTCAAAAAATGAAAATTTTAAGTTATTACTAGATTACGACATACAGAATAGTGAAAATATTCAAATATTTTCCAAGTCTAGTTGTGTAAATACATTCTTCTCTTTGTATAAATATATAAGCTATTCTAATAAACTGCTAAATACAGCCAAACATATAAATCTCTTTTCATTGAATTTGGAGCTAGAGCAAATTGATGAACTCTTACTTTTGGAAAACAATTGCAAATTCGCCTTATTTACTAGGTACGACAAGGAGGTATTGCGTCCCCATATGAGTTTCTATTTTGTTGTTCATATTGATTCACACCTTTAAATATTTACACATATTTTACGAGATAAATACAAAATAGTAATCAGTTGGATTATTTTGGTACATACATAATTTCGCAAGTGTTTATTTGAAAAGAAAACGTGGCGCACCAGCCAACAGAAAGATCCCATAATTCGACCTTTTTACATATACATATGCATATACATATGAATATACGTATGAATATACATATGAATATACATATGAATATACATTTACATTAACACATTTAATACATGTGAATTTATGTGTATATATATGCGTGCTATCTCGTGTGCTTAAATATTTAATAAAAAAAAAAAAATAATAAAGTAAAAACACTTCTCATTTGCAGATTTGAAATACTAAAAAGGTTAGAAAGATTCGAAGAACTTTTTCATTTACTTAAGGTGCTAAAAGAAGTTGACAAAATCAGGGAGGGATACTACGAAGACTTGGAAACAGAACTCAGAATACAGTAAAATTTTCATTACACTTATCTGTTTTTATATTTATTACAACATCCTTTTGTATTTCTCATCATATTGTATCACACATAAACATTCACCCACCCACCCCCATTTGGTTGTAATATTTTTCCTTATATAGAAAAAAAATATATGATTACTACGAGAACTCAGAAATAGGTTAAGAATATTTAACATAAAAAAAAAAAAAAAAAAAAGTATACTTTACTACACATATTTTGAAATTACAATATAGCATGAAGTAGAAATTTTTTTATTCATATCTTTTTTCTCATGATAGTTGACAACGACGAGTTAGATCTAAGTGGCTTAAATATTGATAGCATAATTTATCCTCTCCTAATGGAAGCTTTTTTTATACCGAACATTAATTTGTCGAATAATTTAATATCAGAATCGTAGGAATAAAAAGAAAAGAAGAACACAAAACAAAGCAAAGGCGAATATTGCACGTTTTTCGTTTTAGATTTTGTGCATGATATTTATACATAAACACACAAGCATAAATATGTATGTATATATATGTGAACATTTGTTGATGTATATTTATACGCGCTTCATTTCTGACCTTCTCTTTAGGTGCACAGGAAAATTTACTGTAAATTTTTTATACAACCTGAAGGAACTAAATTTGAGTCATAATAAAATAAACTGTCTTGTCACACTAATGAAAAATTTGCATAATCTAAAATTATTGGAGAAGTACGTTACACAAAAGTGGGCATAAGAAATCGCGTTGATGTTGTCCTAATTTTTTTTTTTTTTTTTTTTTTTTTCTTTTCTCTAAATTAATTTAATTTTCTTTTTTTTTATTTCCCAATTTGTGATTTAAAAAAAAAAAAAAAAAAAAATTGATGTAGGTTTGATGTTAGCAACAATCCTTTAGCAAACATAGATGAAGATATGGATAACTTCACATTTGTTACATTACCCCAATTAAAGTGAGTCAGATAGGAACACGAGAACGAAATGATCTACATTTTTTTTTTTTTTTTTTTTCTTTGCATGGATGTATAATTTATTCACTCATCAGCCGTGTTTGATAGGCACGCACTAGAAAGAATTTCTGTCGTTTCTTCTTCACCTTGTTATGAATGAATGTTATGCAGATAATGACGCATATATAAATTAACATTTTTATGCATATACAAAATTATGTTCCTTCCCTCACTTTTTCTGAAGAGAAATTAACATTAGTGATAGCAACATTTCGCTGTTACTGAACCAAAACTACAAGCACATAAACGAGATTAACAAGTATAATGTTGTGAAGAATAATAACAAGGTAATTTTATCAAAACAATAATGTGGAGAATTACAATGGTATATATGTGTAGCGAAAAATTGTGATGCTGCTTGGGAACCAACATTACAAAATGTGATAGTGAGAAATAGTGACCTGCAATTTAATTTAGTGAAATATTTTTTTTTTTTTTGTCATCCTTCTGATGTATTTTCCCTTTGATGTGATAAATAGAATAGTTTAGAAAATTCAAGATAATTTCAGTATAAAAAAAAAATATATATATGTAAAACCTTCAAATAAAAATACACATACATGCATGTTATATGCTCCACACGCTTCAAATTTGGGCTTATTATATTGAACATTCGCATAAAAATTCCACTTTGTATGTTTGCCCGAATCGTACACATAAATGGTGTAGTGAGACAACATAACAGTTGATGAATTCAGCAGAATAATTTATGTCCTCCTTGGGATATTTCCTTTTTAATTCATAATCAAAAATAAAGTTATTTTCAAAAATTGTTTTTATTCAAGAAGAAATAACAAAAATAATAAAATAAAATAAATATGTGAAACAAAAATTACACAACAAGAGAAATTTTAAAAATGTATTTAATTCTTATTAAAAAAATTGCAAATATATAGGTTTGTTTTAATTTTTTTTTTTTTTTTTTTTTTTTTTAATTTGTAACAACGTTTAAAATAGTTCTAATGGAACACTCAATATATTTTCATGTGTATTTATAAAAATGCTTTTAAATTATATTACATCAACAGGATTTTGGTATACGTTAAGCGGTCGGAAAATAAACATATTAACATGGATAATACAAATATCGTGCAACACATTTACTATTGTTTTTCGTTCATTTTTACATAAAAACGTAAAAAAAAAAAAAAAAAAAAAAAGAACAAATGAACACTAAAAAATATTTAATTCATTCTATCATTGAAAATGACACAAAGGTACAGATCCTATACATATGGTTGTATTTTTTTTTTTTTTTTTTTTTTTTCCACCCTTGTATAAATATTGTTGTCTAGTATTCATAAATCACATAACATAATAACATTTTTGTCTAAAAAATTCATTAAATTTGGAAGTTATGATTTTTCTTTTTTTTTTTTTTTTTTTATAAAACTAGTTATTCTGCCCAGTAGTAGTGCAATCATTAAGAGTACACAACGTGGGATTTTCATTTTTTAATAGGTCCAATTTTTCTAAGCTATATACCTTCTCATTTCTATGGTTATTATACATATAAATAAGATTTACTTCATCATCTGAAATGAAAAGTTCATCTATATTCGTTTGACCATTATTTTGCACAAGATTGTAGATGTTTTCATCAGCGTTATTAGGTGTGATTAGGGACACTACATTATTTGTATCATCTCCTAAGTTATTATCCATACTATGAATTATATTGTCTGTACACCTTATGGATCCATCATTAAGTAGGACATTTCTTTTGTTGTAATCTCCTTTCAAAAATATTTTGTTAAATAAATAATGAAATTTGAAAAAATTTCCATTTTTTTTATTGCATAATTGATCACTATAATTTAGCATAAAATTATGGTTTAACTTAAATTTATACACATGATTGTTATGTCTTATAATAAATATGTTCATTTTGGATAAAATAGTTTCATTCGTGTTGTTGTTACATCTTTTTTTCTGAATGTAGTATTTGCTTTGTTTGTCTTTTTTGAACTGGTTCATAATGCAACGACTGTTTTTGGATACCTTATTACCACTATTGTTGTTGTTGTTGTTGTTGCAATAAGCTGCTGTAAGAGTGGAGGTAGTATTGCTAGGGGAAGAGCCGTTGCTTGATGTGTTCATGCATATGGTTCTACGCATCTCCTGCGAGCACTTCTTCAAGTAACTGTCATAACTAACATAATTATTATGAACACGGTCTGATTGTAACATCCCATTAAAGTTCTTTACTAATTTACATGATTTCCTCACGTTCTCTTGTTCTTTGTTATTTCTGCAATTGTTATACTGAACCTTTGACTGAGTTTCGAAATTTTGCAAAAAATATGTATCTAGATTATGTTCGCATAAGGGTTCTTTTTTATTATTCACCAGAAAACAGCTATTGTAATTGTTTTCCACATAATTTAGAGGCATGGTAAAAACTAAATATTTTTGGTCTTGGTAAAAGTATTGACTTTCCCTCTTCGTTTTTTCAATTTCGTATTGAATAAGTTGAAAAATGGATTTCAAATTATCATTACATGAATAGGTATTTGTAAAATCTTGAATTAAAAAATTAATTCTATCTAAGTCCTGTAAGTATTTTTTGTTAAGATAATTGTCCGATTTTTCCTTATAGTTTTTTATAATATTTGAAAAATCTAGCGAAACAGTGTTGTCTAATCTTAATGTTGATACTTTGTTAATTGTATTATGAGATTCATTCCAATTTCCTTTGTTTATGAATAGAACCTCATTTAGGGAAGACTGGCCATCCAAATATGTATTCATAAAGGGGTTGTACATGTGCACACATTTGTTATATTCCTCATTAGATGCATTGATAATATAGATGTTGGTAGCATTATCAATACCTATGTCTTCTCTATAACACTTCTTTTCATTACATGCATTATGAGCACTAAGATTATTTTTATCACATGAAATTAAACTGTTCCTGTTTTGTACATCTTTCAAAAAGTCATTCGGTGTAATGACATGGTTATTATACAAACCTACATGGTTTTTAAATGGTATATTGATGTTAGCACTCATGTCTGAAAAGGGAGTACCTGTAATGTGTATGCCTCTTTGGTTATTTTCATCATTATTACAGAGGTCTCTATTGGTATATGTTTCCTGTGGATCCCTTTTTTTTTTTTTTCCTTCTTCTTCTGATTCTATACTATTTGTTCGTTTCATATCGTATGCATTTTTTTCAAAATCGTTTTTATTTGAGCAGACATTTAACTTAGCGTGTTCAAAAATTTTCTGCTTTATTCTATTAAAAGGATTAACGTTATTTGCATCGTATTCTTTTCTTTCGATTTTTATGTTACTAGGGGTTGTGGAATTATTAATATATATTTTCTCCATTTCGTTATGCGTATTGGAACTTGTTTTGTAAAAATTTATTCTGGAATCTATATTTGAACCCTTTGTATTTGAAATTAAGTAAAAGGGATTTTTTTCTACACTCCTTTGAGTGCTTTTCATCTGCTTTGATAAAAAAATTGGATGAGGAATATAACTTCCTACATTTTTATGGATTCCAATGTGATCCTTTGCCATATCGGCTAAGTTTCCTTCCCTTTCATCCTCTTCTTGATGTGCATTCGTTCTATATGTATGGGATTTATTATGAGATGATTTTGTTAAGTGTTCAGATTGTCCTTCATTATCTGCTATTTGTGGATTGATAATAACATTCTTTTTGTTGATATTACGCACTTCTTCCTTTTCTTTCGAGGTAAAAAAATGGCTGCTCCTTATTTCATGAAATATTTCACTGTTTACGTCATCAGTACTAGGATTTTCTTTTATATTTTTATAATTTCCATTTTCCCTATATTTAGTTGGATGAACTTGCAATTTGTGTACGTATATATTTTCGTTTGATTGTATATACAATTCCTCATTTTTGCAATTCATGTTTATACTTGCATTTGTGTTTGCTCTTATATTTAAGCATTCATCATTTTTCTTCGTTTCATGTGAAGTTAGCAATGTGCTAATTTTTTTGTTACACTGCGTGTTTAAATTATCCTTTAAAAAAACGTCTGATTCCTTTTGATAGATTTTTTTATAAGCGATATTATCATTTGAAATATTTCTGTTTTTACTTTTATCATCTTCAATAGTTTTATTGTGTTCGAAATATTCCGATGGTTTGTATATATTGTCTTCACTCCTAATTTCTTTCATTTTGTACTCCTCATAGGCATTTCCATTGGAATTATTTGGATTAATACTGGTCCTATTTAACATATGTTTTTGTTTTTTCGATAATTTATCTTCATTACTACACATCGAAATGTTGCAAATTTCATTCTCATTTTTGAAAAAAAATTGTGATTTCTTTTGTTTGCTATTATCTTGTGCTAAATATTTGTTCATACTTTGTTTCTCTTTTGTTAGTATTTTATTACCTGGGGTTATTTCTTCATGTGTAATTAAATTTTCATAATTATCGTTTTCATATCCTTTGCTTTGATTGATATGATATTTTCCTCTAAACAAATTTACAGCGTTATTTTTTATGTTATTTGTTGAAGAAATATATTTCAAATGTGTATTCCTGTTTTTTAAATTCCCTTCTCCCATGGACGTATTATTCTTAATTGAGTACATACTTTGGGAGGTATTAACAAATTCATCATTATATTTAATGTAAAGTTCTTCAGTCTTTGTTCTTTTTGAGGAGTCTATACTTAGGGAGTTCTTAGTGCTTTTACTCTTTTCAGATGCATAAGTTTTACACTTTGATATCGATATACCTTGGTCATCTGCTGATGCATGATTTATGTAGCCATGGTTTATGTTAATATCATTTTTGCTTATTTTTTTCTCCATTACTCCTTTTCCATTTTTGCCTGTGCTACTTTTTGTACTCTTTACTTTGGTTGCATTTTCTGAAAAATTTTCATTTTGCTCATAATTTTCCATTTCATTTTTGGGCTCATTTTCCGTTTCATTTTTGTGCTCATTTTCCATTTCATTTTTGTGCTCATTTTCATTCTTCACACTGGCACAAATTTGTTCAGCCCCATCGGGGGCTAGCTTTTTCACTGATATGAGACTCGATCGTCTTACACATTTGCTATCATTTGGAAGACAAAAATTTTTGTTACTTCTATCAGAGGATGCGTTACTATTGCGAATGATACTAGAGTTTTTCAAGATCCTAATTTTGTCCTTTAATGGGTTAAGATAGGTGCTATATGCTTTTCTTGAGTTTTCTTCATGTTCTCCGTTGTTATTTTTATTTCTGACAATATTATTTTTTTTGTTTTTTTCTGTTATATTATGATGGATATAAGTATCATTTTTGACTTTATTTTCAGTGGCATTTTCTTCTCCATTTTCTATACCCGAATTTTCCGTTCCTTTAACAAAAATTGTACTTTTTCGCTTATGCCTTTTGTTCATTTCATTACAATTAAAAAAACTTAATTCAGTTTTTTGACTATTATGATAATCCTTTTTCTTCTTCATTCGTATTTTCCCTTTTAAATTATGACTTTCATTACTACCCAAATTGTTGCTTCTGTTGCTTATTTTACTCATGCCACTGTGCGTGCTACTACTTGGACTTTGATTATTACGGCTATTGTTTGTGTTTGTTTCCTTGATATTTCTAATACCAATAAGATTAATGCATTGGGACCTTCTATGCGTTTTCTTTATAGAGTTCATTTCTTGAATTTCCTCCTCTTTCATATGAAAAGATTTATTTGGAACGGAATTATTATATTGAATTTCATAATCCTTGTATTTTTCATTAGTCGACGGATTGAAGCTACTACTACTACTACTGCTACTACTCGCGTTATGATTTTCTCTCTTTTTGAGAAAAAATTTCTTACTATTATTTCCTTTGTCGTAACATACATTTTTACATGTGTTAATAAAATCGTCCTTGTTACTTGTTTCATCTGCCTGGATTGAACAGACACATTGTTCATGATTCGAAATGATATAATTTGATTTTTTCTTTATTTTGGACTTGTCTAAAATATTCATCTCATTATCTGATGAATGAACTTGATCTTGTGCATTTCTTTCTTCAGCTTTTAACAATTCCTCTTTGTTACTTTTTCTTTTTTTTTTATTCTTCACAATGATGTTATCATTATATTTCTGAGAATTTTTCCATTTTTCTGAATTTTCCCTATTTTCACTTTTATCTCTACTATAGTTAATGCAGTTGTCATTCTTGCAATACCTCTCATTATTTGGATGAATGTGACAACCGCAATGTTTATCACAACTGCTACGCTTGTCATAATATGCACATCTATCATACTTGTCATAATCATTATCTTCGTTACTATCACTATCCATTTCATTGGAATCGCTAGCCACATCCAGGTTATATGGATTTTTTGAACGGATCACATTACTTGCGACGTGATTTTCATCTGTGTCATAATAACTATTATCCCTTTCATTTTCATCATCACCTACATCATCATTGTCGCTGTTGTTATAATTACCTTTTTTTAAAGTGTTACATTCGTTTGGATATTTTCTATTGTTGCTTTCAACAATGTCTTTACAATTCCTGCAATTATCACTACACGATGTGCGTCGTCGATGTTTGCTTTTCAAAAATTTGTCTTCAGGTTTTATGTCATTTTTATATTTATAATAATTTCTTTCCGCATTGTTACTATCGCTTTCGTTGTAAGGTTCGCTCCCACTATCCTTTTTATTTTTATTTATATTTATTATTTTTTTTTTTTTCTTCTTCTTCTTGTTCTTCTTCTTGTTCATCACATATAGCATGGATGTATTCCCCAGCTCACATTTGCAATTATTTTGTCCTATAAGTATTTCTGATTCGCTATAACGATCCTTATTTATCCGAATAATCGCATTAATATCTACTGCTTTATTATTTGTACAAATTTTGCTACGGTTTGAGTTATGGACACTAGCATTGTATGGACTCGCATTCTTTTGGTTACCGTGGTTGTGTATAATTCTATCAACAAAATTGTAATTTTTCGAGTCCTCGTAAATACAACTCATGCAATCAATTAACGAATTACTTCCGCTTGGATGGAACTGTTCATTTTCTTGTTTTTCTTTGATATTTATTTTTCTTTTGATATTATACTTTTTTTCGATAGCACTTTTGATTTCTTTATCTCGCACAATTTTGCATTTGCGAATGTTCCTGGTTACTCTATTTTTGGATTCTGAAAAGCATTTGATAGAGCTACCTTCTGATGATTTGGAATATGATGAAATGTATTTGCTTGATAATTCTTCATTCGTTTTCATTTTTTCATTTTTTTTATTTTCCTCGTGAAGGTAAGTAACATGTCCATTCCATTTTGTATTAAACTGAGATTCTTTATCACTATCTACTCCTTTTTTGCAGTAATTTTCATCCTTCTCTAGCATGATTTCCTTGCCATCCATTTTTTGTTTTTTGTTAAATGAATCAGTTTTTATACTTTTCTTTGTATTATGATTAAAATTATTATTCTGTTTTTGCAATGTTGTTTTAAAAATATCTGCCCCTCTTTTATCAATTTTAGATCTGTCATTAATATTGGGTGCTGCATTACTTGGCATTGGACTTTTCTTGTTGGCTGGGTTAACGCACGGGTAGCCGTTGCTGTTGTCATGGTTGTCATTTCTGAGCAAGCTTTTATGGTTTTCATTTCTGAGCAAGCTTTTATGGCTGTCACTTCTGAGCACACTTTCATTGCTTCCATTTCTAATCACACTTTCATGGTTGAGATATCTTTGGTTATAGTCATGATTGTCGTCGATCCTGTTGATTCCACTATTTCTTTTAACTTTATCGTTACCCTTATTATCAATGCAGCTACTTTTACTACTACCATGTTTACCCTTATGACAAGGCATTTGGGATACATTATCAGGATTCTCTTTTACATAATGATAGAAACTGAAGGGATTTTTCTGAAGTATTTTTACAGAACTGTCCTTATTAAATTCATCTGAAATGGTTTCCTTTTTTTTTAAATATTCATTAAGTGCACTTTTGTATATATTATTAACATTGCCATTGTCATCTTTTTCCAGAAGTTTCAATGTTTCATGTGAACTTGTATTATACTTATTTGCTAATTCTTCCTTGAATAATTCATGTTCCTTTTTTTCTATATATTTCATTTCATTTAAATTGTGATGATCAAGCAATATTTTGTTTTTTAAATCTTCTTTATTGGATAAAGATCCTTTTAATACATGAGAACTATTATAGTAATTATTACCTTCATTGTTTCTCATGTTCATACTGAAGCTGTAATTATCGTTACTGTTGTGATTGTTGCTTTCATTGTGGTTATGATCACTTGGTTTAGTGTGCTCTGCATTGTTTCCATATTCAGTGTATTCACTTCTAACATTTCCACTTGCAATATTGGACAATCTGCTATGACTATCTTTGTTTATGTTCCCGTTTTCAGTATTTTCATTTCTAATCCCCTTACTATCATAAAGGTATTTATGCTTCTTTTTATTTTTCAAAAAATTTAAAATTCCTATATTTGTATTGTTACTTTTTTTAACATTCAAATTATTGAAAATGTCATATATTTTAATTCGATTGCTTGTAGTATCCCTTTCAATAAGTTGAAGTCTCTCTCCGAAATGTATGTTTCCATTTTTTGCTTGTTCATCCATTTCTTGAAAATTTTTATTTTCTACCTCTTGATCATTTTGTGCAGATAATGAATTTAACTCATTTTCTCGTAATGGCATATCGATGCTTTCCGTTTTAATGTAATCACAGTTGTCATGTATTAGATTTTCACTTAATGAACTTTCGTGCACAAAAGGAAAGCATTCTCTTTTTTCACTGTCATAGTTGCAGTTTCTACTTTGAGTGATCCGTCTGTTGCTACCGTTGATGCATCTGTAATTATGACTACTATTACTGCCATTGTTTTGACCACTATTGTTAACAGTACTATTATAATGGTGTGCAGAGATGTAATCGTTGAGATAATTAAAATAACTATTATAATTATAATCAGAGTAATCATTATTGTTGTGTGCAATAATGTCGTTCTTGTTTACCAAGATAGTACTGCTAACATCAGATATACTATCATAGTTTTGCTTTGAAATGATAGCATCACAGTTGCTGTTTATATTTTCTATACCCTTATTAGTAGTTCGAATTAAATTGTTATAATGATTACTTATCATGTTGACAATTATATCACTATTTTTGTTACCGTCATTTTTATTTATGTTGTTGTTGTTAATACACTCATTGGACAGAATTCTACTTTTATGTTCATTTAGACTTAATATGTGGTCATTAACTCTTTTCTCTGAATTTATAAATTTATTATTAATTGCATATTCCGGGTTTACGTTATAACTGTAATTCTTCAAGTGTTCATCTATCGTTTTGCTATTCACATCACTATTTTTACTACTATCTTCATCTATTAAGTTATCACAAAAATAGAGGTAATTATTATTTAAGTTACCCTTTTGCATATCAAAGCGATCTAAGTAATCTTTTTCAACATTCTGCACCATGTGTTCTACATCATTTTTACTGTAATTGCTTTTAACTGTTCTACCATTAGTTTCTTTTATATTTAAGTTATTGATAGAATTTTTTTTTGCTATAAATTCATCGTTCAAGCTATCAACATTAACACATTTGTACATTTTGTTTCATCAAATATTGTGTAATCATAGCTTAAAATATAAGAATTGAAACATACAGAAAAAAAAAAAAAAAAAAAAAAGGGAACAGAGCCCATGCGGAACAAATATGATGTGTTTATTTATTGTTCTCGTTGTTATGTGTGTCAGCATGCTTGTGTGCATGTGCTAATTTTCCACACATATATATATGTAGCTGCATAACGTTGTAACAAAAAAAAAAAAAAAAAAATTTACTTTATATATATATATATATATATATATATATATATATATATATATACTTAAATGTTTATTATATGTGTATATGAAGTAAAAAAAGATGGGATATTTTATAAAGGAATAAACTAGTTTAATTTTAATAAATACGAACAATGGGTAATATGACTAAAAAAAAAAATGTAAATAACGAAACTATTTCGTTTTATCACTTTTGATCAAGTCGGTGGAGGTAGATATAAAAAAAAGAAAAAAAAAAGTAAAATAAAAGAAATGAGTGAATATCACATTGTATAACAAAAATGCTTTAATATACATACAAATTTCGATATATATACCCAAGTTAAAATGTTCCGTTTTTTTATTAAAATATGCAATCCTTGTTTTCACATGGTTTGTGTTTTTATAACAATGCCTTTTTGTGCATAATGTCAAATAGTAAGGGTGTCAAAAATATCTTTATATTTATATTGTTTACAGCTATATTTTAGAAAATTTATATACGTGTATATCATATGAAACACTTTTTTTTTTTTTTTTTTTTTTATATTTCTCCTATTTTTAACTGACGGGCCAAGAACTCAATGAACGCAAAATAGAACGTGTATAAAATAGATCTTCTAATAATGTAAAACAAAAATATAATTCTTTCACATTTTTAATGTACATTATTTTTTAAAAATTTTCACATATTGCAAATGTTTATATTATATACATTTTAAAGCACAAAAAAAAAAGAAGAAAAAAAAAAAAAAAAAACATACCCTTTGAGAATGATGCGTAGGTAAAAAGTATGGAGTGTTTCCTATTACTAAAATGGATGTACTATTTTGTAGAAATAGATAAAATGTGCAAGATAGGAATATACATGACGATAACGAAATTTATTTTGTATGAACAAAAAATTTTATGCTAATACGCGTTGTAGAAAAGCTTTCAACAATGTTCCAGCATTTCAAACGAAGCTTTCAGTTGCAGGGATGATCTTTGGAACTGAATACATTACTTATGCCTTATGCATTCATGTATACATAATATACATATATATATTCATGCGCATAACGCTTATGTACATAGACATTCATAAGTGCTTGTCATTTAAAATGAAGTGGACAAATGGTGACATAGAAATAAAATAGTTTATCCCCATATGTTCACAAGAGTGAAGCTGAGTTCCTACAGAAAACTATGCCAAGTTGTAGAAAAAAATTGGGACTTTGCAAAGAAATAAAAACAGGAAAAGCTTAAAGAAATTATTATTCTTTAGGACAAAAATTTTAAGTTCATTTATTATTTCTGGTTTTAGTATGTTTCAATAGAAATGTCACTGGATTGGAAAAAACAACACTTAAACACTAAGGCAGTTTGAAATGGTGAATTTTTTTTCTTTTTTCTTTTGTTTCCATCTTTTGGATAGATAAACCATTGGTTAATTGTTTTCGATAATAACCAATTAAAGTACAAGGCTAATTTACTATGAAATATTGTGATAGAAAGTGCGTAATATATGTAATTGTAAAAAAAAGCACAAAGATGAAAAATTGCCATTGTATTTGCTAGCCTTGTAAATTTTATACTTTGCATATTTTTGAAAAACTAATAATGTAGGAAAATATCTCAAAAAAAGTGCACTGTGTAAACTTTTAATTTAATTTTTTTTTTTTTTTTTTTCCTTTCCTTGTTATTTTGTGTGCTGATATATGAAATTCCGTTCATTCAATTTTAATGATGGAAAAAAAAAAATATGACTTACATTTGTTATTCCTTTTATAGAATATAATATTCAGATATTCTTTTTTCCCTTGAGTACACACTGTATTTTGCTTTTTTTTTTTTACAATTACGGAAAATTATTAAATTCACATTTAACCATTGCCATTAAGAAACAAATAAAAAATATTATATTTAAACAAAAAAAAAAAAAAAAAAAAGGAAAAAAGGTTTTCGAAAAAATGCATTATTGATTTACATAAATATGATCATGTATTGGAAATAGTAATTTCCAAGCACCTTCGTTTTGTGATATACATGCAAGCATACATTATATTACACAACATGGAGGTTATATATACATTAAGTTGATTAAAAAATAACAAGTAGACATGTGCGGGAAGGCGTTTGTATTATACTTGTGACATATTCATACATGTGCAAATGTATAGACGGGGGGAGATTTGCTCTATTTTGCAAATAGAGTTATGGAAGTAATAAAAATAATTATTGTAATGCCTATAAATGTTGGCATTTTTTCTGCACTTGCAATGTTATATGCATTTTATCTCATCTTATATTTTTAAGCATAAACATATATATTAAGTATTTGTGCAATGATAACAACTCTACATGGGAAACCTGCAAGAAATTTCTGAATTTGTTTAAATAGTATAGTCTTATCAATACATAATCATCATATAACTATAGTTTTTGTAGCAATTTTTTACATCACTTTAATTCTTTCCTTTTCTTACGTGGAATATGATTTTATCCTCTTGTTGAGAAATTAAAGAGATTAAAAGTTGACATATAGTTTGGAAAAAAAGAAAACTGCAATGTATGGGTATGTACATATATATATATATATATATATGTAAAAATATTTTTTAAAGGAGTACACAGACTTTTGCTTAGGACTTGATTACGTTTTCCCATGTGTTGATTATTTTATTTTTTGTTTTTGAATTCATTGAAAAAGAAAACTACACTGCTAACTTATTTAAGATGTCGCTTCAATAAAAAAAAAAATGTATTAAAAGGAAATTCCAGTTTTGTAAAGTGTATGTTTTAAAATTCAACATAAAAATGATAACAAAAAAAAAAAAAAAAAAAAAAAAAAAAAAACATGTACAGATGAACAAGTGAGTAAAAAAGAGTTAACTAAAAGAAAAAACAAATAACTAATATAACAATTTACCGAATTTTCGAAATTTCAAATAAAACGAAAGGGGCAATCTTTCACTCAGAATAATTGAAAAATCGAAAGCAAATATTACAGTGTAATTAAAATATAGCCTTCCATTTGTTTACTATACACGTTTAAAGTATATGTTTGAGTATAGAGCTTACGAAACAAATATGCAAATTCCCCATGAAAAATCATTAACGTGAAAAAATTTAGCATATATATATATATATATATATCAAAACGAATTAGCAAAATTAGCCACACATTTGCTATACACAGTCATATAGCCCTTATTAGAAAGATATTATAAACTATTTGTTCAAGAAGATGTGTATTTTAACATTAGTAAAGGACGATATAAGATCTGATATTTTAAAATTGATTCTTGATTTTGTTAAATCCGTGGTGATAAAAGATGATAAAAAAGTAGTATTTCCCGAAATACGATACGAAAAGGTAACAAATATATACTAGATTGGGTGTATGCATTATACAAAATTTTGTTTATATATGTGCATTTTCTATTCAAGACGGAAAGGAGACTTTTCCAGATGGGGATCAGACCACTGAGTGATTTATAATACCATTTTTTATATAAATTTTTGAAAGATAATTTTTCCATACGATTGATACATGTCATATATATATGCTACCTGCATAATTTTTTACATAGTTTGTTTTAATTGGATAGAAACAGAAAAGTGTTCAAGTGCTGCCATCTTCCCCTTGGAAGATATAGCCTTATATTATATTATTTTATTTTTTTTTTTTTTGACTAAATTATTATCTTCATGTAACATATAATTTTTTTTATTTTTTTGTTTCGATTTAGGATTGTATTTACATATTTTTCCTCCATATGAATTCTATATTTGTATATTTATTTATTTATTTTTTTTTTTTTTGTAGAAAATTTCGTTAGAGAGTAAAGACAAAATTCATAGGGATATGTTTTGCACCCTTTACGCTGTTATTGATATTTTTGATTGTTACAAAGAATTATTCAATGAAGATGAGGGTAAAGTAAGCGAAAATGAAGAATTCATTTTCAATTTGGCTAGCAATAAATATATCCTGAAACAGGTAGATTTGAAACACATGAATGATGTGTTATGCGAAAAATCTTATCTTGTTTCAAATAAACATGCTTCTATAGCAGATATATTTTATTTCTGCTGTTCTTATAAACAGATGAATGAAATGGCAGCAAAAGAAAGAGTTGAATTATCTTGTATTCATAGATGGTTTTTGCATATTCAAGAAACCATAATAGGAAATTTCACAACATTGAAAAAAATAGACGTGCGAGAAAATTTAGAATCTATGTTACATAGCAAAAATATATTGGACACAAATGAACGAATGAACAATTTTGGTATAAAAGAGCGTAGGGAAGATAAAAAGGCAAAAATGGCAAATGCAAATTTTGAATATGCCAATGCTAAATATGCAAGAGGCGAAGCCGCAAGAGATGAAAGCGCAAAATATGAATATGCCAGTGCTAAAAATGTAAGAGGTGAAAACGCAATAGGTGAAAATGAAAAAAATAGTAAGCAAAATAAAAATGTTCAGAAAAAAAAGGATGAGGACCCTAGAAGTTTAGATGATATTACTAGGTTAAATATTGTGGTAGGTTATGTAGAAGAAGTAGAAATTCACCCAGACGCAGATACGTTGTTTTGTTTAAGGATAAATGTGGGAGAAGAAAAAACTAGACATATTTGTAGTGGTTTAAGACATAAAAAGAATATAGAAGATTTATTGAATAAGTATGTTTTAGTTTTAGCAAATTTAAAAGAAAAGTCATTGAGAGGCAAAAAAAGTCATGGTATGGTATTATGCGGATCTTTTAATGATAAAATAGAGTTACTTAAACCACCATCTGGAGCAACCATTGGGGAAAGAATTATTTGTGAAAATATGAACGTCAATGAATTACCCGATAAAGCATTAAGTTTTGATAAGGAAAAAAATCCTTTTTTTCATATTCAGCCACATTTGCTATTGAAGAACGGAATAGCGTATTATAAAGATGCTAAGTTGCTCTCATCGAAAGGGGAAATCACTTGCGTTTTAGATCAGGGAACCATTTCATGAATGCTTCTCTTTTTTTTTTTTGCGAATAAGGGATTTATGTATGTTCGTATGTATCTATTATATGATATTATGTTTTAGGTGCTTGTGCTATGTATAACCGTAATGAAGCGAAATGGAAAATTTTTTTCTGTACAAAAAGGAAACAAAAGAGTGAATTCAGACTAAATTGTGTATGTGACTAGGTGTGCACAAAAGGAAGGAAATGAGAGGAAGAAACTATTTGAGGACGATAGGATAAAAAGCCTTCTCCATTCTTCACGCTCTCCCTATATATATATATATATATATATATATATACATGTCCACAAGTTTGTATTTATGTAGTAATTTTTTTTTGCTTATATTTTTACGAAATGACAAAAAAAAAAAAAAGTTTAGCTCCATACTTTTTTATTAATTTTTTCCTAATATTTAAAATTAGAAAAAGAACAAAAATTAACAAAAAAAATGGAAAAAACGTATCAAATAAAAAATAATATAAGATTACTTTGTGTTACCATACGCCAATATCATATAGGGTTGGATGCTGCACACCCCTAGTCTGAAACTGAACAAGCTGATCGCATGTTTAACCACTTTTGCTTGAAAATATAAAAGAGGAAAATCGTAAAAATGAACATTTCTACATAAGAGTAAGTGAAAAATCACTTACTTGGAAATTTCAATTTGAACCCTGGCCATTTTGTTTCAGGCAATTATGTAAGGTTAGCATATATGTGTGTTTTTATATTCTTATACTTCGCTTATTGCAATTAAAAAAGAAAAATATTAAAAAAAAAAAAAAAAAAAAAAATTGTCATATTTTTTTTTTTCGCGTATATTAAGAAAGCTTTTTCGAAAAGGTATAAAAGCGAATAGAACAAATATAACAATTTTTGAATGAACGAAAAAAGAAGGTTTTTTTTTTTTTTTTTTTCTCAAAACTGAAATCGTGCTCTAGGAATTGCAACATTGCATACTTACAAATACATAGATGAATTACCTAGTCGAATGAGAATTCAAATGAATTAACAATTTAAGTACACAACAAAATAGCTATATGCAATGATGGTTGACCATGCATGAATACACCATTAAGCACGTTGCTCGTCAATGCAAAGATGGAATTATTAAAGTTTTTCCTTCGAAATTATTCGAGCCTACATAGCAAATTGAGGGCAGAAAAAGCAAATAAAAATGTATACACAATTAAGGGGGATGTAGGTAACAACAATGTTATAAGCAGAAGACAGAAGGAGAGAAGTACGAAATTAGATATAAAAATATATGAACAGTTAAAAAAAAAAATGCTAGGGAAACCATTGAATAAATTACAGAAAAAATACATGAACGAAAAACGGCAAAATTTTGCGCCCATATTTTTGGATCAATTAAAACCAAGAATGATATTATACAAAACAGCAATTCAGGTAAATGAGTTACCATTGCCCAAGTATCCTGAAATAGCATTTATAGGTAGATCAAACTGTGGAAAATCGACATTAATTAATGAATTATGTGGAAGGACAAATAAGGCTAAGGTGAGTAAATTACCCGGATGCACAAAACAAATTCATTTTTACAAAATAGCAAAGCCTTGCTTATTATGTTTAGTCGATTTACCAGGATATGGATTTGCACATAGTAAAGAAGAATTGAGATTACAATGGAATGAATTTACTTTATTTTATTTAAAAAATAGAAAAAATTTAAAAAAAGTTTTTGTTCTTATTGATTGTCGTGTTGGACTAAAAACAAGTGACAAGGAATTGCTACACTTTTTTGATAGATATAATATTAAATATCAAATAGTTTTAAGTAAATGTGATTTATTGAATACAAAAGATTTAGCTGTAAAAATTCAAATTGTTAATGAAGAAATTACATGCTTTAAAAATATAGAAACCCCAATTATTCCTCTAAGTTCATTAAAAAGACAGAATTTAAATGAATTAAGGAGAGAAATTGCCAGATATCAGTTGAATAAAACTATTGTAAAGAATAACATTGTAATGAAAATAAATGACCTAATTGAACAGAAGAGACTTAAGAAATTGAAGGGACTTGGGGAGTCTCATCATGCAGGGAACCCACACGATGTTACAAGTCAAATGTGTAACCAATTGAACAACAAATTGGGGGATGAAGGAGGAGATCATTTTAATTTCCTTAAGACTAACACCCTTGGTAGGAATAATCAAAAAAGTAAAAATAAAATATTCAATCCAAATGAGACTCATTCTAAAGATATACTAATCAGTGATGATACCATTTCGGAAGCTTTAAATAGATGGAAAAACTGTGATAAACATATTGAAGATACATGTTTTAACAAGTATATGAACAGCTATATGAAGTACATAATAAACGGGATGCAGGAAAATTTTCTGCACGAATGTTATAAAGAATTTAACAAGAATGACCTAAATGTTATTGACGACATCATTGAAAATTGTGACAAATTCGGTTACTTTGATGAAAAAATAAAGGATATATCTCAAGGGAAGCTAAAAAATACAGCACTGTTTGACATGAAAAATATTCCCACATGTAGGAATGGGATAACGTATATGAACAACAAGCAGAGGAAATATAAAAAAGAGCTCAAATTAATGGAAGATCAAATAACTGAATGTGAAGAGAAAAAGGGAAAGAATGATGAGATTGATAGGAATAATGTATGTAAGGGTATGAAAGTTAACATATCTCGGCGCGGTAGTACAAAATACAACATAGAGGAAAACCCTTTAGTATCTCCCAATGAGATCTGTACAAATAAAAATAAGAAACATTACATGAACAAAGGAGAGATGACATCAGAACATATGTGGGATGCTGGTCAGTCAGGTGATCTGAATTATTCTTCAGGTTATACAAAACATTTAGAAATTACCTACGATGAGAAACATAAAAAGGAAATTAGTAAATACTCAAATGAGCTACCATTAAGAAACGTGGATTCGATTGAATTAGAAAAAGAATTACTTTTGGAGAGTTTGCATTTATCAAATAATAAAAAGAACAACAATTATGAATATGTCCATTCTGAAAATGTAAAAATGGAAAATTTATTTGAAGAAAATAAAAATAAAACATGGGATGATTATTTCAAACGCATGGATTATTCAAAAATTAAGGGTAATGTTTTATTAGAAGAAGATGATACTTATACCTCTGAGGATTATGCAAGTGGTTTAAAAAAATCCAAATTAGGCATTCGCAATAATGATCCACTGTCCAGTTATACATTTAATATAAATGATAAAGATACCCATGAAATATATGAAAAAGGAAAGTCAGATTTGTACAAGATATACAGAAGCAGACAGTTAGAAAATTTATATATACAAGACAACTCGAGTTTGTTTGGATCGAACAAAAATGTACATAAAGGAGAAAAAGTCTCCACAGGAAATTCTTCTTCACAAGGTGCTAACAATGCAAGGAACAAAAATATATCTACCCCGAGTAGTGTTTCCAACGAGTCTGTTATGAATAAGAAAAAATCCCTAGCAAATGGAGAAGAAATAGATATGAAGAAAAATTATATAGGTTTAAAAACTAGATATAAAATTATCAAAGGTACTAAAAAATTAAAATTATTTGGCAAAAAAAAAACAAGTGAAATTGTTCCTGTTCCTACAGATTTAGCTACTGATTATTTTAAATTAAGCAATAACTCCACATTTTACGATAAAAAACAAAATAGTTGGAATTATATTAACTCTAAATATAATAAATGGCTTAAAAAAATAAACCGTAAAAAAATTTCTACAGAAATTACAAGCCCTGTTAAAAAAGTTGATGTAATGGTGAGATATGCACAAAAGCAGGAAAGCAAATATAAAAAGGAGAAAAATAAATTACTCATGCGAAAGAATAACTTAGGTATGATCACAAAACCACCTAATCATAAGAAAGCTAAAAAAATTTCAAGAAATTATACCTTATCTGATGAGCAAAAGATATTTGATAGGGAAGCATTTTTTAAGTATCGTGATGTCCAAAAATGATATATGTGTTGTCTTGAATTGTGTGTATGTAAAGTGTTAGTAGGAATGCTTTTTTTATAGTATATGAATTTGTGGACCCTTAAATTTCACTCATTTTCGAAGGTGTAGCTTTCGAAAGATTGACCAATTTGTAATGTGAATATGAAATTATATTCAGGTACAGTCTATTCTTATATAGTTGTTTCGATTGATCATTATTTTATTTTATTTTTTTTTTCGAGCAAAGGGAGTTACAAAGAAGTTGCGCACATTATTTTTAATGGCCCTTCTGTTATATCTTTATTACCCTATGGTATGAATAAAATTTTGTCACTCCAGTAGGATGGAGAGTTTACATTAGAGTATGTTATAAATGTGTTTACAATATATACATGCGACTATATATGTGAATTGGTAAATAAGCATACAGAATGATACTTAATAACAATTTGTTTTTTCATTTTTTTTTTTTTTTTTTTTTTTTTGTAGACTTGTTAAATAATCAATTTTTTGTCCTTAACTAATGATCTCTTATTTTGTGCGGTATTTTTATATGCCAAGAAAAAAAAAAAAATAAAAAATACATCTTCTCTATACATTTTAAATGATAACCATATATTTTTTGCTAATACATTTTTGCTGCTTTATACAAATTTGTCTTTTTTTAAAAGTTCATGTGATTTTTTTTATATAAATCAAATTTGAAAAAAACGAGGATTTATGCACATGTACGTATTTGCGAATACATGAGTGCGGTACATGCAATAATGTTTGCTATGTAAGAAAATTGGCTTAGCACACATCGAAACAGCATTTAATAAACATGTCCCCTTTTGAAAATTTATGCTTTTCTCACTTTTCTTTTAATATGATAAAACTTTGTTAATTTTGTATGAACTATTTTCATCCGCACTTAATTTGAAGAGAAGTTGCATATTTTTTTACGATAAGCACATTTTTTTTGTTGAACAATTTTATTTGCCCAGCGTGCACCTCTAGGCGGAAGGGGTATAAAAAAAAAAAAAAATAAATAATAAAATAAAAAATAAAAAACATTTTTATTATTTTCCAATTTGCCTTCGAATGTTTTTATGTAAAGGTAATTATTGACACATTGAAGGCACTTGTATTATCTGGAAATCCTATTATAAAAGCAGCACTGTAAAAATCCCTATCTTGCAATATAGCAATATATATATATATATATATATATATATATATATATATATATCGCAGATATATACATAAAACCATACAAATAAACACAAGAAGTATTTTTTCCTATCACGCACAAATGGAACAATTTATAGCACCGTAAGTAGAAGGAATATCAATAAGAAGAACGATTTTTCCGATCCAGTCATATCTGCTTTATCATACTTCTGTTTATAAATATGCGTACATATATGTTCATGCATATATATAGCTATACACATGCATGCCTATATGAAAATCTGTACCCCCATCCGTTGTTTTTTTATTTTTTTCAAAACTGTTAGGAGAGTCAACAAAAAGTACCTGACCAAATTTTATAACAAAAATGTTCGAGTAGTGGGCAAGGTTTTAAAAAAGGAGGGAGACGAACTTACCCTGCAAACATGTGATAGTAAGAGAAGACTTTGTGAATGTGGAATGAAAAAACCGTTGTTCATATAAACATAAGCATAGATCTGTACATATCTTAATAGGCATAAAAATGTATATATGTATGCATATATACACACACATGTGTACATATTCACATGATGTTGTAACATACAACGTTTTTACCGCTACACCAAATGATTCTCAGATGAAGAAATAAAATGCATTTTAAATGAAAACCAAATGGATGATAAGTTAGAGCAATATGTAGAAGTTCTAGGAAAGGTTAAGACGATAATTATTATTCTTACGTACTTGTTTAAGAAAGTTTCTAATGCATGTACTGGGCAACCAACTGCATATACATGTTATGCACCATTTGTCCACTTTTTAGGTGAATGAAGATGACACCTTAAGTGATATCGTGTACGTACAGAACGGCGGTAACTCTTTAAGTAAGGAGAAAAAAAAACATATATATATGTAAGGCAATAAGGGGGAATACTAAGTTGCATGTGCCGCGAAGTGAATATCATATTTCTATATTTGATATATATACATACAAGCAAATGTATCCATGTGCTACTTTTGTACATCAAAAATATCAAACACAATCCTGAAGAGGAGAAAGAAAAAATGTTTTATAATTTTGAGAGCTTTAAACACATCTCAAACATGTCTTCGTTCTGAAGATATATCTATATACCATACTCTAAATGGAAAAAAAAAATATATATATATATATATATCCTAATTTGCAACTTTTGTTATATATTTCCCTTTTAACAGATTTAAATGAAATAAATAATTTAATAAACATAACTTTCCTCGAAGAATTTGGGGAAATTTTTTAATTTCTTTTAACGAAGAATGTTCTTGTTCGTGCACACCTTTATTCAAGGCGATCCAGATGATTACACAATGGAACTTTGAATGATACCCTTTATGCAATTCATTTTTTACAATAAAATTATCATTTATCATTATTATCACTATTATTATTTTATTACTATATGTATATTTTTTTTTTTTTTTTCCATAATGTTCCTATTTCGCGGAACATTTTAGCCCCTATTTTTTATTTTATTTTTTTGGGACGACAATGTTTTTATATTAGCTCGATGGGGCTTATATTGCGTGTACATTTTGATAGCCCCCTTTTTTCTTTTCACTTTTTTCTCGTCCTTTTTTTTTTTTTTTTTTTATTTTCTTTTTTTCCTACACTTCTTCATTTTTTAATGCTTACAGTCGCTCATATCATAAAATGAACAATAAAACGTTATTTTTATTCCTCAAATTAAATTGAATTAAATGTAAGAAAGAAAAAAAAAGGGCAAATATGAGACCCAATGATTTAATTATTAAGACTAAACATAATAGGCCATGTTGAAAAGTACATGCTATTGGAAAAATTATTTAGAAGCAATTTTAGAATATTATCCACACAGTAAAGTCTAGTTGAATATTTTCCACTTAATATTGTAACATGCTTAAGGATGAATAAATTGTAATATATGGCGCGATGTACAGATGGAAAAGTGCAATTTACAAGAATTAAAGAATTACTTTTTCAAATTATCTTTTTGATTACAATTGTGCGAAATTGTTTTTCATGAACTACATTGAGTTTGGCTTCAAATTGTGACAATAATAAAAAATGTTACTGTTTCTAAAAGGAAATATGTACTCTTTTTAATAACATTTAAGGGAATTAAAATAGGAAATTATTTATACACTTTTACATTTTCTCAATACTAAAGTGCAAAAAGAGGGGTGTATAAAATATAAGGAATAGAATCATTAATAAGACAAAGAGTAGCGATGATTTTACTGCCACTTTTTTCCCATCAGAATATCTTAAACTGAATAAGTAAATGTGAACATATGTGTATGCGTGCATAAGAATACATATCGTTCATATATGTATATATACATGTGTGCTTACACAGGCCCTCTCATATGAAGAATTAGGTACCTATACATATATGTCCACACATATATAAGGAACAATTTCCTCGTGGAAAGTTCAAAAATGGTGCTCCTCAAAATTCTGAAGAAAATAAAAGAAAAACAAAAAAACATAAGGATAATCATACTTGGGTTAGATAATGCAGGAAAAACTACAATCGTGAAAAGGTTATTAGGGGAAGATATTTATAAAGTAAGTCCAACCTTTGGATTTACCATTGAGGCTTTACATTATGATAATCATTTGATCAATATATGGGATATAGGAGGTCAGAAAAGTATTAGACATTTCTGGAAAAATTATTATGAAAATGTTGACGGAATTATATATGTTATTGATAGTTCCGATTTATTTAGAATACAGTTATGCTCATATGAATTAAAACAAATTTTAAAAGAAGAGAGATTATATGGTTGTTCCTTGCTGATTTTATCTAATAAAGTTGATATAGCGAACTCTTTAAAAGTCAATCAAATTGTTGAGGTAAGCATGTACCTGTGTATGTGAAATTACACGCATATTTTGCGTTCGTTTTGTTCGTTTTTATAATGTGTACATACATAATTAAGAACGTTCGGTAGCCTTTGTGCATTTCAGTCGAATTTATATCTGGATGAATTCAAAGGAAGTAGGCTTATTTGTCCTACCTAATGTGTAAAAGTGTAATTTATTACTTTTCTGTGACAGTTTTTGTGACTATTTTATGCTTTCATACATGCACACATATATATATATATATATGCATACGTTGAACAATTCGTTTTTCAGATTTTGAAGTTAAATGAAATGAACATAGACAGGCACTGGTGCATAAATGAATGTAGTGCTTTTTCGGGAAAGGGATTGTTAAAATCTTTTATGTGGTTGATCGATGACATAAATTGTAGAATTAGTAACACTTACTGATTTTTTTTTTTTTTTTTTTTTTTTTTTTTTTTTTTTTTTTAATATCTTGTTTTTTTTTTTTTTTTTTTTTTTTTTTTTTTTTTTTTTTTTTTTTTTTAAGTCAAGCTTTCGTTTATGTTAACTATATATCTATTATTTTTTCCGTTTTGATAAACTAATACATTTTGTGCATTTTTTTTTTTCCGTTATAAAACAAGTTTGAAGTTTTTCTTAAGTTAAAGGTTAACGAAAAAAGTAATATGCCAAGAAAACACTTAAAAACATGTTACAACTTTGCTTATCGTTTAGGCATAACAATATATATATACTTATACATAAAAGAGTGCACATATATATACATACACGTAAACGCTATAAGTATGGTTAGGTAACACAATTAAATTAAAATAGCATTTTTTAAAAAATGCATAGGGATTTAACTAAAGGTACAAAGCTTTTAGTAAAAATTGTCACTCTTTAGGGTTTATTTTCCTCATCCCATACATGCTCTGAATATAAAAAAAGGAGGTGAGGGGATGGCGGGGAATTGATAAAAATTTGTTGGAAATAAAATAAATTCTACATTAATCCTCCGTTTCGTGCCTTTCCGTATATTCTAATTGTCTTATAACTTCTTTTTCCAAAAATTCGTGCACATTTTCTTTACATAAGCAAACTGTATCACTGATTTTTTCTATTACGAAATTTTTGCCTTCATTCATAAGCAAAATTATTTGCATTGTTGGCTCGTCACATTTCACTAAAACTCCTTTTATAGCAGTAACCATTTTCACATTCTTTTTTCAACTTTTTAAGCTTTTGTCATAAGTATTTCATTTATATATGATTATTTTACCCTGAGTGATTGGTTCAAAACCCATGGTACTTTCTCTTTAATATATAGCAAAAAAAAAAAAAAAAAAAAAAAAAAAGAAAAATGAGAGAATAATGAAGAATTATCTTATAAATTTTTCATTTTAAAAAATATTTACAATGTGTTAAGGTGTGGTACGATAGGAACTTATATATAGAATCATAACTGCATTACTTATTCTAAATTATATAAATAATTGTGACAATTTCTTTACCAGGAATAGTATAACTTTTGAGTATATTTATACTGAAAAAAAAAAAAAAAAAAAAGAAAGTTATAGTCTTTTGGGAAAGGGGAATATTACATGAAAAAGTAGTCATGGCTTTTTGGAAAAATATGAAAATATGTGTATAACACATAAACTATTACTATCACTACTTCACCCACGGAAAAAATCTGATTGTAAGGAAAAAAGAATAATGCAACACTGGGCTTAATTAAATATGTGAAGCACAGTACAATTGCAAAAAAGTAAAAGTGTGAAATAAAAAAAAAAAATTGAAAAAAAAAAAAAAAAAATATCATAAAGCAAAACAAAATGAATGCACGTCGGGTGGACGATATATGAAAATGCATTTGATTGAACTGAAGAGTTTTTTTTTTCAATCACACGATGAGACATAAATAAAACAAGCTTAAATGCAACAGCACAAAAATTTAAGGAAACCAAAATTGATAATCTCTGCAGTTGAATTGCCAAATAAATTTCAGGCATCAGAACAAGTTCCTACGCTTCCCCTAAAGCATTTTTAAAAAACGAAAAAGAGCTAAGATGAAGTAAGTCGTAGGAGAGATGAAGAAACATATGGCAATACAGAAAGGATTGCGAAAAGTTCCTTGTCCTTTCCATATATACTGTGCATAGCATATAAGTTTATATATATGCATACGTATATACATGCATACATACGTATGTGTGCATTTACATATTCACCTTCCCGCGAGAATGCATTTACAATGACTGGATTTATTTCATTTCATTTCTCTCCCTGAACACTGTTTTCCCTTTTTTCAGATTTTTTAAGCCTAAAAAGGATCCAACATTGGACGAAGCGTACGGTAAGAACAACTTATGGGAGCAACAAAAAAAAATAAAAAAATAAAATAATAATAAGAACACCATGAAGAATGTGTTATCCTTAAAGGTTTATATATTTTTATTAATCACATATACAGCAGATGGATGAAATAAATGGATGCAATATGTATATTAATATATTCATGTTGTAAGCATATACATATGCAATGGTACGGCCCGAAGTAAATGCAAAATTGCAAAAAAAATTACGTGCACTCAATTGCCTTTCCTGCATCACACTTTAGGAAACATGGACAAAAGTGTAAAAAGTATTGATGAGAATATAGAAAAGTATAATAAAGAGCTAAATATAATTAAGCAGAAGATCGAGGAGGAAAAGAAAAAAAAGCCAATGAATCAGCATGTAATTAACAATTTAAGAAATAAAGCTGCCGTTATAATAAAGAGGAAAAAAACGTATGAAAATAATAAGGAAAATACACTTGGAATTCAATTCAACATAGATCAAATAAAATTTGCGAATGATAATGTTCAAATGTCAATTGATACATGTAAAGCTTTAGAGAATACAAGTAAAATCTTGAAAAAAAATATAAAAAAAGTGAATATTAATAAAATAGAAAAATTACAAGATGACCTCTTTGATTATATGGAAGAGGCAAAAGAAATTGGAGAAATTCTGTCTTCTTCATATGATATACCCTTAGAATTAGATGAAAATGAAATTGATGCTGAATTGTCTTTAATAGAAGATAGCATACTAGACGAACAAGTAGAAGATAATATAACAGATTACCTAGAAAATGAAAAGGAGGAAGAAAACGAAGAAAAAGTGACACCAAAGCAGGAAGCATCTGCTGCAGAAAAGAATACAGAATGTATTAAAAATAAAGAAAAGCACACTGAAAATTATTACACGCAGAAGGAAAGTTAAACTGGAGAATTACTAAGAAAGAAAAAGAGACAATCATTTACATACATATTCGAAGCAGTTAAATTGTGTCAAGTGAAAAAAATAAAATAAAATAAAATAAATAAACAAGACAATTTTACGTGTTTTTCACTTTTTTTACCATCCCTCGCATGGTAGTAAACCACACATGAGTTACATGTGCATGCGTGCATACATATATACACCCCCCTATATATATATATATATATGAATGTAAATTTGTGTTTTCCGCTTTTCTTATCCCCAATATAGCGCAACTGCTGTATAATATGTGTGTATATTACCCTAGTGTACTAGCATGAGCAAGGTTTTTCTTAATTTTGGAGTTTGCACTCAGCATCGTAGCCAATGGTATATACATATGTGCATATATAATATGTTTATTTTCACACGTACTAGTTAAAATTGGAATACGATTCAACAAGTCCTTTTTTTTTTTTTTTTTTTCTTTTTGTAATCAATTCCACAGCATTAATGATGGGGTCGGTCATACCTTTTTAGGTCATCTTTTTTTTTTTTGTAAAATATTACATCATTTTAACATCTTTTATTAAGGAAAAACGTATTATATTTATGTGAAGATTTATCCCATAGAAAGATGAATTTGTTTAAGATCCATTCACAATTTTTAATTAAATACCTGGAAAAGATACACATTGATCGAAATTATATCAATAAGAACGTTTTTCCTTCAACATTGCTTTTTGATATAAAGAGTGGAGAAAAAATGCTATACGAAGAATTTCACAAAGCAGACAAAAAAAAGTTTTATTTTCTTTCATTTAATTTTAATAACAATTTTGATATGTTACTAAAAGAATTCACAAAAAAAAAAAAAAAAAAAAAAAAAAAAAAAATAATAATAAAATGGAATAAAATAAAGTAAAACAAAATAAGAACAAAAATCACTTGAAAAGAGTTATAAAGGTGTACACAAATGAGGATAATGTAATAGATAGTTGTATTTCATTGGATCATGGCCATGTAGCATATAATTGGCATAATCCATCGGACTGTAGGTATGCTCTGGGTACATACATATTGTATAGGTAGATATTCACTAGCATAGACATGCGTATGCATAGATAAAGGAGTTCAAGGATCCTTTTTAAAAATTTTGGACGGCTTATACTTACTGTCTTGTTCAGGTGGGGACATGAAAGGCCAATAATCATGGAGGCACTTTTCGAAAACGTGATTAATAAATGTGTGTGTGTGTTTAACACATGGCTTATACTGATATAAGGAGGAATAAACATTGTTATATATGCATTTGTTTTTTCGTGTTGCAGAAATGGATGGGCTTTTAAAATAAGTAAAAGCATCATGGTCAGTTTCGAAATATTTACTATTAAAATAACTGCATTGATTGCTCATATTATAAGCTCTTATTTCTGAACAAGCTATGTGGTGACAATTATACATGTCTATATTTGCTCTAGCAAAATCAAAAGCATGTATAAGTTCATGAGTTAATATATATTTTAGCTTATAATAATTACTAATATTATTTGAACAAAGCCAAATGGTGTTACTTATGGGATTATAGCCACCCACATAGTTTGAATTTTTTTTATTGTTACTGCTATTGTGATTGCTACTGTTGTTGCTATTGTGATTGCTATTGTGATTGCTACTGTTGTTGCTATTGTGATTGCTATTGTGATTGCTACTGTTGTTGCTATTTTGATTGCTATTATTATTGCTACTGTTATTGTTGAACGAATGCAATTCTGAGCAAGAGCAATTTTCTTTGCTATGCGGATGATGATTACTTTCATTATTAACAAAAATGTCATTAACGTTGAAAGGTGAAGTAAAAAATCCTGTAATTTTTTCAAAAAATGTTTTCTTCTGCTCTTTGTTATTTGGACAATTTATGTATATAACATTGATTGGACGATTCAGAGCAGATAAGGAATCAACTAATATTTTAATTCTATAATTATTTAACATAAAATACATAAAAATTTGCAACTTAATTCTGTTATAATGACTTATATCATCATTAAAATGTGTAATAATTTTTTTTTTTTTTTTTTTTTCCTGTGCATTATTTGATAAGGAATTTTGTGCCAAGTGCTCTTTTGTTAAATGTGTCTCTTGCGTATAAATGTTTTCCATCTTATTTGTGCTACTACGTTGTGTGCTAGACTTATTTTCTACATCTTTTGTAGAATTATCGTTTATTTTATTTTCCCTTGTGTGGGGAGAGTTTATGTCGTTATTATCATTTGTTGTGACGATTTTTGTGGAGATTGTTGTGGCATTTTTTTCATTGTTCCCGATTTGAAAGGAATACTTGTCTGGGTTCGGAGCGATGGTGCTAACTTCCCCTTCAGGAGGTGTAAAATTTTTATATTGGTGAAAAAATTTCTCATGCTTCTGAATTATTGATTTAAAATTATCATTTATATTGTAGTTGATTACAAATAAATCATTATAGTTGGGCCATTTGCAAAGATTTTTATATTTCAATGAATACTGTACTAAAAATAATAAGTCACTAAGCTTTTCTTTTTCTTTTCCATTTTTTAAAAGAATTTGTTGTACATTCTTTTTTGCATCAAATTGCTGAATTTTCTTATTAATTTGTTTAATATTTTCCCTCAGATGTTCTACCTTTTTGCGTATTTCTTCCATCTTTTGCCTTTATGGTCTACGAAAAGAACATAAAATAAATGAAAGCCGTACTTTATTTTTCTTTAACATGTTTGTCAAATTTAGCTTTATTTGATCCACTTTCTATGACCTTTTCACGTTGCATGTACTCTACGTCATTTTTTTTGTGTTTCTAAAATGGTGACAAAATGGAGCAAAAAACAAAAATGAAGAAGATAGAGAGGAAGACGATAGAAAAAGAGAAAAAGGAAAAAAATTGATTAAAATCATTAGAATATTCTTTTCATATTTAAATTTTACACAACTTTAACCAAAGTGAAATTGAAATGTTAAATCAGGAGCACTTTTTAAAGTGTAAATTCACCTGTATGTAATCGAGCGTACTGTTTTGATTCATTTCGTTTTATTTTGTTTTATTTTGTTTTATTTCGTTTTATTTTGTTTTATTTTGTTTTATTTTGTTTTATTTTGTTTTATTTCGTTTTATTTTGTTTTATTTTGTTTTATTTTGTTTTATTTTGTTTTATTTTGTTTTATTTTGTTTTATTTTATTTTATTTTGTTTTATTTTGCATTTTTTTACATTTATGTATTTTCTTTTACTCTCCTTTTTCATTCCTCCATGTGTCTCCTACGTGTTTAAAGGAATGCTACTATACCATTTCACCAAACACGAAATAATGGAATTCACGAGTGGGTGAAGCAGAATAATGGAATTTACCCAAAAAATAAACAACTGTATTTTCAGCTTAGGAGCGATATGTTAGCCTTAATGTCTGTCCGTGAAATATGCATACGGGTTAATTATGTGAATATATATATACATATATATATAACATTTTAACCATATTGTAAAAGAACAAACGTGTGCGTAAATTATTCATTTGTAAATAAATATTCATAAACACATTTTGTGTACATGCGTTAACTTCTCTTTTATGAAAATAAAGCAAATATATACAGATACACATACCTGATCAATAATAAGTAAATATAACAAAAACAAACATATAAGTTTTATTAGAATTTTTCTTTATAGAGTACACTACTCCCCACCCCCACTCCCCGCACATTTATTTAAGCAACATTTGGCAAGTTAATGTAAAAACCTTTCAATTGTTTACTACGTTTATTATATGTTAAAATATGATCACCACGTGGGGGTAAAAATTGTTATATCATTTGTTACATACGAAATATATGTACATAAATGCTCAGCACATTTTGGCAAATTCGAAGATCACATTTTTCTAAATTTGCCATCACGTGAAGTTTGAAACGTCGCAAAGTAGTGGCATTACTAGGAACCGCGGTAGGGCAAAGAGGAGGTGTAAACGAATTAAACAAATTAAAAAAGTTTTAAACGCTAATCAAGCTAAACATATTCAAAGTGTTACGTTTAACGTGTGGTCTGTAACGTGTGGTCTGTAACGTGTGGTCTGTAACGTGTGGTATGTAACGTGTGGTATGTAACGTGTGGTATGTAACGTGTGGAGTATAATAGTAACCCCATAATTAAGAACTTGCAACGCATAATCCTCATTATCATATTATGTTAAATAATTGGGTTTACAGGCACAAAAGAAGGATCCCAGTGTATATTTTACGGATAAAAAGGAACAGGGGAAAACAACCAACGAGTATAATATTTGCACGCTTAAAAAAAAAAAAAAAATTAAATTAAAAAAATTCCCAAGTGAGTAAATACATATGTACATATTATACATATCCAGAAGTTTCATTTTTTGCTACTTTTGATTTTTCATTTTAATATTTTTTTTGGAGTTTTCATAAAATTTAACTTCTGTGAATTTTTCTTTTAAACGCCCTTTTAAAAAGCAAAATGAATTAGGGAACAGAGTGGCTGCATATTTGCTTGCGCTAATTTAATAACACTCTTTCCTCATAAAGATACTCTAATATGCATATGAAAATATACATATACAAGTGTATGTATATGTTCACCCTTTTAATATGAATGCAACATAGATATACACTTTTACCATTTTTATCATTTTTACCATTTTTATTATTTTTACCATTTTTACCATTTTTATCATTTTTACCATTTTTATCATTTTTATCATTTTTACCATTTTTATCCATTTTTATCCATTTTTATCATTTTTACCATTTTTACCATTTTTACCATTTTTACCATTTTTACCATTTTTATGACTTTTCCTTTTTATTGTATTGCGGATGCCAGGCAACACTGTGACCTCGTAATTTTTTCCCATACGTGAATTTGCGTATGTATTGAGCTAAGGAAATTGCAAATATTTAAGGCATTGGTGGGATATTTAGAATAGATAAGAAAATATTGAGATATATGCATGTACATATATATGTATACACGATCATTCTTTACATACATTTTGATATGTAATGCATTTACACATCTTGATTAAAGCATACATTCAGCTGCACATTACGGCAGCGAATAGGAAGAGACACACAGAAAGAGGTACTATTTTTATTAGAACAAAGAGTTGGGATATATGTACACGCTCAAACATGTCCATTTGTTAATGTCATTTGGGTTGGATGATTGTCCTATATAAGTTGCATTGTATGTGTAGGGAATTTGCAATATGTCCATGCATATATAGGTAGATACTTAAGGAATACATGTACCCAAAGATATAAATGTTTTACAACTCTCTGCCAATCTTTTTTTTTTTTTTTTTTTTTTTTTTTTTTTTATGTTTGCACACGTGTAATATATCACGAAATTACCACATTCCCCTTTCGTTGGGCAATTTGAACAAGATTAGTAAGATAAAATGGAATCACCAAAAGGATCAATGCGTGAAACATATAAAATTTTCTGCTCAAAGCATCCTCTGAAAAAATTGTCTATGCCAAAGAGTGATTTGGTATGGTCCTATTACGACATAAACAGCAAGAATGAAAACATAGTGATATTTTTGCATGGAATATGTGGGACAGCTGGATGTTATTTTTATCAATTAGATGCATTAGGAAAATTAGGTTTTCGAGTTATATCATTTCAATATCCATGTTACAATTACTTAAAGGACTGGATTAAGAATATGTGTAATATATTAGAATATTTAAATATCAAAAAAGCCCATTTTTTTGCTTCAGATTTAGGAGGATATTTAATTCAGATATATGCAAAATTATATCCGTCAAAAGTCGAATCATTAATTTTATGCAATTCGTATAGAAGAACAGACGATTTTGCATCAGTTTCAGCGTTTAGGAATGTGTATGGGAAATTATATAGTTTTTTACCACATGTTTTATTAAAAAAAATAATACTAGAAAATTACATATATGTAAATTATGTAAACATAGATTTAAAAGAAAAAAATTCACTAGAATTTATGAGTAATGAAATTGACTTAATATCTTCAGCAGATTTAGGAGGAAGAATTGGTTTACAGTTATCAGTAGAGACTGTTGACAGAATACATATGAATGATGAATGTATTACAATTTTGCAGACTTTAAATAATACCTATTCAGATAGTTTAAATGAAGATATGAAAAAGGCATATCCTTTTGCGAAACACGCAATTATGAAATCGGGTGGTTCTTTCCCATATCTAAGTAGATATGAAGAAGTGAATATGTACATTTTGGTTCATCTTAGAAATAATTGTAACGCTGTATTTGTACAGGAGCAAATAAATAGTATGAGTTATATGAACCAACTTAAAACTGAAGAGATTGATTTTGAGCAATACACTGCTGGAAAAAAAATTGGCAAGAAGAATGAAGGCAATGTTAATAAGATAAGTGAAGGAATGTGCAATATTAACACCATGAATCAATCCCACATGAATGCATCTAGTTACGATATGTACAAAAATAATTATCATAATAAGAACAATTGCACGAAGGCGACGACCACATTTTCTTATAGGGAAAGACACAAATCAGATGAAGACAAAAAGCAAGTCGTACATAGCATGAGACAACATAAAAAACAAACGGATCGGGAAGATAGTTTCAATTTATATGAACATGAGAACAATAACAGCTATGAAAATCTCAGTAGAAAGGACACATTTACTAGTGAGGAAACTGTTAACAACAATGAGTACATTAATACATCGTCATGTGGAAATTATGGAGGACGAAGATATGGGAGTGAACATGGTGGAAAACATAGCGATACACTTGGTGAGAAGTACAATTCCTCTAAAGACACGCATGATGGTAGAAAAAATCCCAAGTATAACCATCAGCGGGGAAACTTACATTGCAATCAAAATCTGTACGAAGAACAAAATGAAAGTTACAAAAATGAAAACAATCATAAGAATAATGAGCTTCCACAGGAAACCAACTCGAATATTTTGGAAATAAATCATAATGATGGTTATTACAAAAATAGCTATCAGCAAGCGAGCAGGGACATGACACGTGAAGATGATATATATGGTACCCTTAATAGTGATTATGCATACACCAGTAATGAAGACATTCAAGTAAGTAAGGGAAATATACTTAACCCAGAGGAATGTTACAAAAAGAAACCTATAAAGTATGTTGATAAGTTAAATGAAAATAACGCACAAAATAACCGTGTAAATACTAATAAGAATGACATTTTTTGCCATTTTTAATGCACAAACATAAGTTTTTATAAATGTGACAGGAAGGTTATCTCCATCTCTTATTTTTTTTTTTTTTTTATTTTTATTATTATACGTGCCATTTATATTTCTATCACGTTTTTCCAGAATAATGATGTAATGGGAATATGAATGGTAAATTGACGCCATTTTTTTTTTTTTTTTAAATTTCGCATTTTGGTTTTTTTGTTACCCCATTTCACGTTTCCTATTTTCCCGCTTTTTTTTTTTTTTTTTTTTTTTTTTTTTTTTTTTTTTTTTTTTTTTTTTTTTTTTTTTTTTATTTTTTTTTTTTTTTTTTTTTTTTTTTTTTTTTTTTTTTTTTTTTTTTTTTTTTTTTTTTTTTTTTTTTTTACGTACTTTATACTTGTTTGCATTTTTTTGTAAATTTGATTTGTCACAGTGTCATTTGTCATGTGCCCATTTGTGGTATCGTAAATTTGCTACTTCATTCTTTTTAATATGCCACAAAGTTTGAAATAATTTTATTTTGCCATGTTTTAGGTTCGTTCAACCGAATGAATGCCATTTACTTTGAATTTGTATATTTACATTTTTACATAGGCACGTTTGAATCTTTTTAAAATAAACATGCATTGAAAAAATTATGTGCAAGTTTTTCTGATTTCCCTCCTCCCTTTTTTTTTTCATTACATCCGGACTTTTGCACATAAGTATGGCAAAAACTTGCATATTTTTTTTATATTTTCTTTATTTTTAATAAGAACACATATATATACACATATCCGCTTATACACCCGTTTTAGTGTTAAAATGAATATTATTTTAAAAGACTAACATACGATAAAAAAAAAATAAACAAAATTAAATAAAATAATGTAAAATATATACACAATAAAGCGACTGGAATATAGGAAATATAAGGAAAAAAAAAAAATTATAACCCCTTTTTATATTTGATATATGGAAAAATGTTAAAGCAAAGGTCAAAATGACGCACTAATGCAACACTACTCCCTGAGTAAAAAATAAGTTTTCTTTTTTTTTTTTTTTTTTTTAATGTTCGTGTTAAGCCATGAAAGTGAGGAGAAAAGCGGAAATAAGATGGACATCACAGAATTTGAGATACCGCTTTTTTCACCAAATATTACGGAAATTAATTTCGGGATCTTCGACCTATGGCTCCAAGGGCATAATGGTAATGAGGGGGCAGAGAGAGTGGATGAGAGAAAAAGTGAGAAGATAAAAGAGTGAAGAGATAAAACTGAATTGAGAGAAACAGGTGTTTGTATGCATCTTCGTCACACTATTTTCCCTTCAGTTCACCCTAGAGCAGTAAAAATAGAAAATAGACTGGCGTTTGTTCACTCCCGTTTCCCCACTTGGCAGAGCATGAAGTGGTGTGTATGCTACAGAACACCTTCTACGCTGATTTGATCAAAAGAAAGAATGAGTTGAATAACAGTTGTGATGGAGAAGGGGTAGAGAATATAATAACAAACAAGGAAAAGAACGATAATACAATGTATAAGGAGAAGAATGAACATGTTAAGGAAAAATACAAAGACAATGTTTTTTATGTAAAGAATAGAATAATGAATATATTTAATATTGATAATAAGGAAAGTGATTATATAGGTAATAATATATTTTTCGATAATTTTTTATGTTTATATATAAAACACCAATTTTATATATTTAATATTTTATCTCATCATTTAACAAATTTGGACTTACGATTTTCCAATTTTTATATTTCTATAAGCAAAAATAAAGCTTTAAAACTGGTAAAATATTATTACAACATAGATTTTAATTTGGAGAAAGAGATGATTAGATATAAAAGCATTAACAACATATCAAAGTACACGAACGAATTGGTTAAAATTACAAATATACATAAAACATCAGTGAAAAGACAAATAGAAAATATAAAAAATATGTGGAAATACATAATAAATATTTATGAAAGGAGAAGTATAAATATAAGTATATTACAGAAAAAAAGGAGAGTAAGTATGAAAAAAGTATTAAAATTTATTAAAAAAAATTTTCAACTTTATAAATTTTTTATGAAAAAGGAAACAGTTTTAGATATAAATAATGATAATCATTATCGAAACAAATCTTTTTTATTTAAAAAAAAAAGAAAAAGAAAAAAAGGAAAAGGAAAGAAAAAGGGACAAAATAATACTAATTCAAAGAATGAATATCATCAATATAATATAATCAAAACTTTAGAAAATCTTGTTGGTATTTATTTAGCTAAAAGGTATTTTCGTCTCTACTGGATTATAGCTTATCATATCGAAGTACCAAAAAAAATTAATATCCCATACCCTTATTTTAACAACATCATTTTATTGTTATTGGAAAAGTTACAAATAAATGATTTGATCTTGTCCAAAGAGTACATAAATGCAAGCAAAGAAATATACAAAAGGTTCAAGATTAATAAAAATATGGATATGCTGAAGAGTAAGTTGTGCAGTCTAGCTGACATCAACAACTCTCTCCGGACGAGAACCTTAATTCGTCTCAAGTGCATCATGAATCTTTTGTGTTCCTTTAGAAATGTAGGAATTGAGAGATCGTGTTAGATCATTCGTACATATGGGTTACATACCTCGAGTGTGCCATAATATATATATATATATATATCCATAACTGCCGGAGTATTTTTTCGTGCACTCATTTATGCTTCAACACAAAACATCACTTATGAGGCACGTTCAGATGGATTAACAGTAAATGATTCATCTGGCCTATCAACATCATTACAAAGGACGGGCAGAGTAAATTTCCCCATGAACTCAGACGTATTTCAAACCTTACATTTGTCCACATCGTCACTTTTCCATATTTTCCGTATTGCCACTTTTCCATATCTACATATCCCCACTTCACCATCTCAGTCCTACGAAATAACCAAGTTCCTGCTAATATTTCACGAATTGCAGAAGAACGAACCATTTACAAATGAGAAAACGTTTATAAAGCAGAACATTGGCAATAACAATTTTGTGAATAGGATGATGTGTTTTATAAAGTAATTCGATCCTTTTGCCTACGTGCACGATATATATGTATATGCATATTTATGCATACGTGTATGCAGATGAGCTTGCGAAATGTAGTGAAAGGGATAATTAAAATGTTCTTATTTTTTAAGTTTATGTGCATATCTCATTTATTACATCGTCTCTCACTCACTCCCCCATATACCCTTACTTCATTGCAGAGAGGCGGAAAACTATTCGAAGAAAAAAAAGGCTGAGTATGAGACTTCAAGAGGGAAGGAAAAAATAAACATTTCGTAATGATTATCATTAATGGGATACTGAAATAGTTGCATAGAATGAAAATTTGTATAGTTCAGGGTGCACACCGTTGCTTCCTTTTTTTTTTTTTTTTTTTTTTTTTTTTTTTTTTTTGGCGCCATATGCTACACCCTATTTTTTTGCATTATTTGATTACATGCTCATTGGATTAATTGTCCATTTTATTGTCCTATATTCTGTCCCCTATGATTCCCATTTGCTGCTAACCTTACTGCGGATTTTGCTGTCGATTTTTTTGTATATTTACATACTTCGTTCATCTTTTATTTTATGAACACACCCGGATGTATGTGGACATATTTTCCTCCCAACATGAGGTTTCATAATTTCTCAACTATTCAAGTATGCCAAGTTACACACAAATGGTGCATAAAATTTCACTCCCATATTTTATTCCTTATATGTAGGCATTTTTTATAGTGAAAATGTTAAAATCGTGGTATATGAAAATTTTTACACGTTTCTAGGTTGACCAGCAATATATACATTTGTGGACGATTTTGTTTTTTTTTGTTTTTTTGTATTCTTATTTGTGTTCTTATTTGTGTTCTTATTTGTGTTCTTATTTGTTTTCTTATTTGTATTCTTATTTGTGCTCTTATTTGTATTCATTTTTGAAATACTTGGTGTGTTAAAAAAAAAAAAAAAACTTTTTGAATGAAAACTTTAAAAAGAGTAAAATAAAATGATAAAAGTGCAACAGTGGCAGAAGTTGAATGTCTTATGGAGACACAGTTACGAAACTATACATTAGTTTATATTTATGTTTGATGTTAATGCATAGGCATGTGCTCTTTGTCATTTCATGAGAACACTCCATTTACTTTTGTACAATTTTCTTAAGTCGTATTGTACATTTAAAAAATTCGGAAGGGTATATACTGACACTCCGTGTGTGTATAGTAGTGGTGGTGATAATGTTGTTCGGAGTTCTTACATAGGTAAGAGTTTTAATTGCTGAGAATAGCTTCGTTGGTTGTTATTTATTTTGTTTTATTTTTTATTTTTTTAATTTTTTCTTATTTTTCTTTTCCCCTTCGTTTAGAGAAAATTCAGTATCAATGGCCAGATATTCCTGATCAAATAGTTCAATAAATTTTATAATAACAGTACAAGTTTTTTTTTTTTTTTTTTTTTTTTTTCCTTTTATATGTTCCCTGTTGGTCTATTTGTCATCATCATCTTCTTCTTCCTCTTCCTCCTCTTCTTCCTCGTCTCCCTCATCGTCGTCGTCTTCTTCATCATCTTCAGCGACATAATCCTCTTCATCATCATCATCCTCATCAGCAACATATTCTTCTTCATCTGATTCTGAGAGTTCATCGCCAAAGTCCTGTTTTTTATCATTTACATTTGCATCATCTTGAATATTGATATTTTTACTTTTTAAGAATTCGAGCAAAGGAACATACTCATTTTTGTCAATATTGGTATATTCATAACTCATTCCTCTTTTATGTTTTATAATAAGCGAGAAGAAACGATGTTGATTTATATTTCCAGTTCTTTGAAAACTTAATGTAACAATATCATCAAAAGAAATTAAAATAACAGGTTTGACAATAAAAAGGAAATATTTATTTAAGGGATATAACTGTCCACTTGCTGCTCTATAACTACAAGTAATACCATGTTCATTTTTAGCCGTTCTATAATCTCCTGGAATTATGGCATTTTTTTTAACAAGAGCTGTGAAAAGTCTTGTAACTACATCGTATGCTTTTCCTGAAAGTGTTTTTTCTAATTTATATTTTTTTATATGATCTTCACTTGCATTTATATCTAACTCCATATCATCATCATTGTTTAACTGAATTAAAATAAAAGGATATTCCGTTTGTCCTTGCTTCATTTTATTATTTAAACTGAATATTAGAACGTATTGATTTGAATTACTTTTGGGTACTAATAACATTTTATTTATATTAGTATATTGGACAGTAAAATCATAAGATTTTCCATGTAATTTAAATGATTTGGTGTACATTTCAATTTCATATCTTCCTCTTGGAACAAGGAGAGGTATATTAGCAAGGGAGGCAATACATTCACTTTTCGAATCTCCTATATTTACTTTATCTAATAAATCATTTTTAAAATTTTGAAAGTTTTGGTTTTCATCATTTTCATGGGGGTAATAAAAACGTATTTCTGATAGCATGTCTTCATTTGTTTTTTTATTTTCTTCGTTTTTTAATTCCATAGCTATGTCTGTTTTTATTTGTACATTTAATTGATTAATATTATTTGTTGGTATACTGAATGCATATTTATTGTCTATTTCAAATGTTATGTTTGAATTTTCTAATTTGAATTCTCCCCAATTCCACCCACGAGTAGTTAGTTTTCTATTAGCTAATCGTACATTAAAATATTTCTGAAAATGTTGTGTTATTTCTGATATATTTCGATCTGGGAACCCATCAAAAAAAATAATCAAATTATCTTTCTTTTCATTAAGTTTCAAATGTAATCTATTGTTATTATAGCTAGTTTTTATCCATTCCGCTTCACTTATATCACTACATTTGTATTGATATACACTATTTGTTTTTTTATTTTTCCACCCTAAAAACTCATTCGACATTCTAAATGATCCATAGTCACACCCTCCGAACCCCCGAATATTTCCAATGGAAATGACTGGGTTCCCGGTTGAGCTACTTGGGTTCTCTCCCATGAGTTCTTACAGGGAATGTTTTGTCAAGTTTCTGTGATGTCAAAAAAAAAAAAAAAAATAAATAAATAAATTGTATTGGAAAGTTATTTTTCTTCGAAAAAATAACACTTGTGTGCAGAGAACAATTGATGTCGAAAATTTCTTGGAAAAATGTCCAATGTTTTATCACTTTGTTTTTTTTAAAAATTGAGAAAAATAATGATTGCTCCAGGAATTCTGCCCAGGTTTGTCAGATATTTTGAGTGTTTCCTATGAGGAATGCAAAAATTTTATATCTCCCGAAGATTATGCTAGCGTAGGATTTATAATATAGCAAGGAATAGGCTTTATTTTCTGCATAGTAAGAAGGGTACGATGTAAAAATCAAAATATATATACATATATATACCAGGCATATACATCTGTGTATATGTTTAAGTGTTTTGTGAGTACTCCCTTTGAGTTACACAAGTTGTTCGTACGTTTCCACATGCTGATAAGCTGAAAGAGATATTCAAACAAGAGCGCAAATGTATATATATTTTTATATGACCGACCGCAATGTTTACTAAATTAGAGTTAAATACTAAAAAATATATATACCCCTATTTATATACATGATAAAAAGGGTATGGAAAAATAATTTTTAGGATCTTATGTTTGTTTATAGTATACTATATTGTAAAGTTTACATGCTTAAGAAAAAAAGCTAAATTTAAATATATATATCTCAAATTTGATATACTTAAATATTTGTATGTTCTTAGGATTTTACCTTCTTTTGCCTTCCCCTTTAGCGTCTACGAAGATTGTGAATAGGTGGGGAGGAGGTTCATCATTGACTGTGTAAAATAAAAGGAAAGACTGAAAATTGGGGCTCAGGTAGTGTGCAAAAAAAAGGGATGAAAAGGCAATGAAAATGGCTGAAAAAGGCGATGAAATGTGGGACTGGAAAAATAAAAAAGGACAATGGGGAAGCCCAAAACAGAGAGTGAAAAAACGGGTTATGTTTCGCAAAAAAGCACAGCCAAAATGAGGAAGGAGAAAACGAGCCAGGTAATGTAAAAAGAGAAGAAAAAAATGAAAATAGCTATATGTATGATAAACTAAGCATTTGGGAACTTGGCAAACTGGACCAAAAAGTAAAATAAATATAAATAATTAATTTGGTATAAAAATAATTAATTAATTAAAGAATTAGTTAAATAAAGAATTATTTAAATAATTAATTAATTAAATAAGCACATATAGCGAAATCTCATTGTAAAAAAAAAGTTTTTGAGGGCATGGGCGGCACACAAACAAATGGTATGTACGAGGCAAACGATGAAAAACACTTGTCCTTTTAAAAGTGATTCCTTCCAAGTAAATGCTAAAAATAGTAAAGAAAAATAAATTGAGAGAAGAAAATATATTAAGTTCACAATGAGAATAACACGTAAGAGGAAAAAAAAAAAATAATAAAATAAAATAAAATAATAAACATATATACCACAAAAACTGTTAACAAAAATTAGGAACATAAAAATTTAAGGGAAATGCCTTCGAGTGTCTATAAAATTGACAGTATATTCTGGAACGTATTTAATATGGAAGCATTTTCTATATGTGTAGATAAATTTTCTCCACTTCATCCCTATTTATGCTTGAAATGTGTTTCCTTTATGTATTGCGCGACATATTAAAATTTGTACAATATGTATGACTTTTTTCTTTTTTTTTTTTTTTTTTTTTTTTAATTCATGTTTCATACTTGTTGGAATTTCACATAAACGCCTATTTTTACAAACATTTTCCTTTCGTTTATGAGTGTATTATTTTGGCATTTCCCAAAAATAAATGAAAGACAGGAAAGTGCAAAAACGTTGACAGTTTTGGTGTGAAAAGTAGAGCCAATGGCAGGTGATAGGAAAAAAAAAAAAAAAAAAAAAAAAAAAAAATTAAAATAGTAAAATAGTAAAATAAAACAAAGCAAAATGAAGCAAAATGAAGCAAAATAAAACAAAACAAAATGAAACAAAATAAAACAAAATAAAACAAAACAAAATGAAGCAAAATAAAACAAAATAAAATTGTCTAAAGAGGAGGAAGGAGCCACAACGTATTCCCATTTTGGTAAGCATTTCTGCGCGTAAATATAGCACGCCAAATTTTGCATACAAAACTTCATTACAAATAATTTGGAGTATACACACGAACACTAGTGCATATAAGACACAGAACACGAGACTACAAGCGTTTAATTATCTCACGAGTTCATACGCACACAAAAAAATAAACGTATGCTTAGCAATATAGCACACGCATCGTTATGTAAAAGCGGAAATTCTTGTGGGGCGTCATTGTGAATTATTCTAAAATGTAAAATGATGGAAAACAAAAAAAGGTCGTTGATATGAGCAAACTTTCCAGGGTGGCGCAAAGGAAGAAATAAGCAGACTTGTGCGCCTGTCTTTGCGTAACGTAACAGTTCGGAGTGAAAAAAAAAAAAAAACAGAAGTTTATATATATATATACATGTATGCATTACGTATATGTACATACGTATGGCAAAGGTGCCCTGTGCAAAGTAGAAAAATCCCCCGAGCGAAAAAATGTAAACGAGAAAAAGTGGGCAGTTCAATCTCTATTATGGAGTCACACAAACGTAAGCAAAATGCTTTGTTATGGATATACCTACTATAATGGCTGTTCCTTTTCACGTGAATGTCAAACGATATATTTTTACACCCGCTCATGTGTGGCATCCTTTTTTTTTTTTTCTTTTTTATATGTAATATGTGGTAACTCTCATGATCTAGTACTTGCTTGAATTTCTACTAAAAATGCTCATCCACTTTAATTTGGGGTGTAATAAATTTAGTTCACTTTTTTCATCTATTTTGTTCCCGAACTTATTCTGAATATTCTGTTCATCCATGCTATTTTTTTTCGTATTTGAAAAATAATGAATGGATGTTTTGTTTAAATTCAGATAGCTCCTCAAGTTATATTTAACTGTTGGGGAGGATTTTTTGTTGTCATTTTTTTCAGTAGCCTTATTACTATCGATGTTTCCTTTGCAGTTGTTTAGATTAAGTCCCTCAGGGGTATTCCGTTTCTTCGATTGACAGATATTTTTGTAATTTCTATATGGATTACTCTGGGATGATGAATAGAACATAAGATTATTTAGAACATCAAAATTGTCTGGTATCGTGGCTAAATTGTAATAATAACAAATTTTATTTTTTTCATTATTCTCATTTGATTTTATGCTATCAGCAGGTACTGCAATTTCTGTGCTCATTAAAACGTTCTTGTGTGTATAATCATTTTTTACATTTTCATCATAGGACGTACGAAAGAAGTTATTCCTTTCACTCTTCATATCGTCGTTTATATTATGTATAAGGTGATCTGTGCTTTGTACATTCGAATTAACAGTATGATTTTTCTGTGCACTCCAGAAGTTCAAAGTTTTTAATTGTTTACTTTTGTTAGATTTGTTTTCCTTGAAAGTGGTTACTTTTTTATTTTTAGCTAGTTGTTCACTCATTTTGCTAAACATGGATTCATGCAGACAATCGCTCTTTTGGGGATCACTCTGAAAAATCTCATTTTTGTTTTTTTCGCTATTTTCACCCATTTCACTCTTTTCATTTTTTGTTTTATCATAATTCAGATTTTCCTCCTCCAAATTCGTGTTCAACATGTAAATGTGCTGTGTGTCTAGGTTTGAATATTTTCCGTCATCTTTTTCTAGCATGTGAATGTCTTTTAAAAGGCTACCACTGCAATGACCGTTACCTTTATTGTCCTTATCGCTTTCTTTATGTGTGCATTTAGAGTATTGTGTATCAAGGATATTCTGAGTATCATTTCCAGAATTTTTCAAAATGGAATTTTCTTCTTCTGCTAATGGAAAAATGTTTTTGGTGCGAACGTTATCATTTTGAAATGGGGCCGAGTTAGAACCCCCTATAATGACTTTTGCATTTCTGCAGTTCTCATCACACGGATTGCAAGCATTCTTAGTACTGTTTGGATGGTTTTTATTTTGTGAAATTTTTAAAAATGCATTTTTAATCGATTGTTTTTTATCACTACACTGATTTGGATTAGAGCATATAGTTGAAAGAGTTACGTTTTTGTTTACAAAAATTAGTTCATTATTTTCATTCCATTGTTTTATACAATTGTCCGAATTTTTATCTTTCTTTTTTTCATCCATTAACTTATGATCATCAACGATTGAACATGTTTCTTCCTTTTTGTTTATTTCATCTTCTGATATGTTAACTGATGTGTTTACGTTACTAATGAGAGAGTAATATTTTCCTACCTCGTCATATAAAGATATGTAATCTTTATTTTTAATTGGATCCATAAGCATGCAAGAATTATTTGTAGCATCACCTTTGTAAATATCACATAAATCTTTGCATTCGATGACTATGTCATGATTGGATTTGTTACATATCCTATTACTACTAACGATGTATCTATCGGGTATTACATCCTCAGAAAGGCTTTTTATTTCACTAAAAGGATATTTCTCCATGTGTGCGACTTGCATTTTTTTAGTCACATGGATTACGTTGAAATCGTCATTTGATGGATGGTGTAATGCGTGGTCTTTTAAATTTAATTTTTCACACATATTGTTCTTACTGCTTATGCGGCTCGCACTGCTCATACGTCTCCTACTGCTCCAGCTGCTCATACTGCTCATACTGCTCATACTGCTCATATGTCTCCTACGTCTCCTGCTGCTCATACTGCTCATACTTCTCCTACTGCTGAAAGTAATTCGATTGAGTTCACTGTTTCCATCATTAAGTGTACCCTCTTTTTCATAAAGCATATCAATGCCTATGCTTGAAAATTTTTCCCCTTGAATAGACGTTACATCTCTTTTATTCTCTTTTTCTATGTCCTTATTTCCCAACTTGTTTTCATTTGTATGATGATCCTTTTGCATGTTGTAATAATTGACAAGACTAAAAGAAGGTTTACTTTGGGAAAGATAATCTGAAGATATCTCAGTAGGGTTGTCCTTTTTTTGAATGTTATAATTTTGAAATGTAATGTTAATATTTTCGTTAGTAACAATTCGTTCATGTGAAAGAGAATATTTCATCATATTCAATTGGTATCCTTCAGTAGCAGAACCTACTCTTTTGTCATATTTGTTCATATCATTTTGATTCTCCTTTTTGTTACCTAAAAGTGTATATGCTTTTTCATTATGCTTAATAATCGATTTGTTCGATTTGTTTATATATTTCAAATTAATTCGATTGAATAAAAAAGATCTATGATTTTCAATATTATTATCCTTAGATCTGTTATTAAGACTAACCCCCACTTGTAATTTCCTTTTGTAAGAATTTCCCTTATGAGTGTCACTTATCATACAACAGTGATGGTGATCATTGTGTAAGTGTTGGCTATTCCTATTACTACATTTCGGAGTTGAATATTTGATGTAGTCAATTTTATTTGACGAGAAATAGAAAGATTCGTTATCACTTACATATTCGTTATATTCTTGAGTTTTATTATGAAATAGAATTCTTTTCTTGGAATCAAATTTGACATCCCTTGATAGTTCATTTTTGATACATGTATTCATGCGAAACCATTTATTATGACAGTTAAAATTTATTATATCATTTTTACTTTGTCTGTAGGATATGTCTGTGGTTGTACATCTTTTCACTACTCCATCTGAAACGATATCTTGTCTTTCTTCAATATGTTTTTTGCTTCCTGTCACCCTTTTTCTAAAACCTATATTAATATTTTTTAAATAGGTTACAAGTGGCAAATGACATTCATTGGTTTTTCTTTTATTATGAGAAAATATTTTTTCTAAATTGATATAACGTTTCCTGTCATAATAATTCTCACATTTTAGAGGCACTAAATGGAAGTCCTTATTGTTGGCATAATACAATTTTTTCAACATCAAAAATTTATTTTTTTCTTCCATTTGTTCTCTATGCATATGTTTGCTCTTTTTATTTTTCAATCCTTCTTTGTTAATATTTATTTCATCATTTGTATCTAATTTTTGTGTATCCTTTAGATGGTTATAAATTGTTCCCTTATTATTAATGTAGCATAGGGATGTTTGTCTCCTTTCTTTTCCTTTTTCAGAAACATCACGTTTTGAAATATTAGATATGTAATATTTTTCTGCACCGGTTTCATTTGTTGACTCATTCTTGTGTAGTTCGTTTGGTTGTGTTTTATGTGCGCTCGACTTTTTGTCTTTTATTTTTAGCCTCTTAATTTCCTTCGAACTTTTGGGTATATCTCCTACTGCTGTGTCCTCCTTGTTGTTATTTCTCTTTTCGCTGCTACTGTTGTTGTTGTTGCTGCTACTGTTATTGTTGTTGTTGCTGCTACTGTTGTTGTTGTTGCTGCTGCTACTATTGTTGTTGTTGCTGCTACTGTTATTGTTATTGTTCCTATTGCTGTTGTTGTTGTTACTACTATTGTTGTTTCTACTGTTATGGTTGCTACTATTATTGTTGCTACTATTATTGTTTCTACTGTTATGGTTGCTACTATTATTGTTGCTACTATTATTAATTAAAAAAAAAATTTCGTCCAAATTGCTTATCTGCTCTTCATCCCCACTTTGGTCGCTCTCTGATTGACTTCGCTTGAGATCATCGCTTATATTTCTGCTATTAATGACTTTTTTTTTCTTTTTTTTTTTTTTTTTCATATTCGCCTCACTTCCATCGCTGTTGTCACTAACCCTATAGCTTCTGTTGAGGTGGCTCTGGTATTTTCCTTCTATGCATTCATCCTCTAATGTTCTACCCCCTTTGAGGCCATTTGCATTTTGATTTTCTTTTTTGATGGTAGAATTATCTTCCCTTATGCAAGTCTCTCTGTGATTGGTCTGTTGATCCATTTTATAACCAGTTTTAGTAATGTTACAGATTTGTATTTCGTTGTTAACTGCCCACTTTTCTTCTTTCCATTTTGAGTTATAATTGCACATTTGGATATTATTATTTGAATGGAACTGATCTTTTCCATTTTTTTCCTTATTCTGGATTTTCAAGTTATTGCTCTTCTCATGAGTATAATCGTTAGGTGAAATGTATTTTTGTTGTGTATTGTGAGAAAAATACGATGTATTCATACTTGTGTCCTGAATTTTGTCTTTCGTTGCACAATTCTTATATTCATCCTTTTGAATCAAAAGGTTCAGGGATAGCACATCTTCTTTTTTGATACAATCCTTTAGTTGATTTATTTTCATTAGTGGAAGGTCCGCTTGGTTGCATCCAGTCTCATCAATAGTGATAATTTTTGTTGTATGTTGTGATTTGTTTGAAAAAAAATGGTTATTGACATTTTTAATTATTTTTTTTTTTTTCAAAATAATACAAGTGTCCTTCTTTTTCGAATTATCTGAACATATTTTTACTTGTGCATGGTTATTAGAAGGAACGGTTAAATTCGATCTGTTACTGAAGTCTGAGTTAACAAAAATGTTTGGAGTTTCATTTATGATGATTCCTCGATTGGTGTTTTCATCTGTCTTTTCATCTGTCTTTTCATCTGTCTTTTCATCTGTCTTTTCATCTGTCTTTTCATCTGTCTTTTCATCTGTCTTTTCATCTGTCTTTTCATCTGTCTTTTCATTCGTCTTTTCATTCGTCTTTGCATTCGTCTTTTCATTCGTCTTTGCATTTGTCTTTTCATCTTTTTTCACTTGTTGTATCACATCGGAGTATCCACTAGACAGAGTATTTCTTCCCTCTTTGTTTCCATCATTTATGTTTTTTTTCTTTACATTTACTACTTGTTTATTTAACACATCTGACTGCTTTTCAGATGCAAGGATGTGATAACCTGCTACATCTTTTTTCCATTCGTAGCTAGCTAATTTTGCATAAAATTCGTTTTCACGATTTTTAACAAGAGGGTCTTCTTTTTTACCATTTGATGAATATTCATTATTTTCCGTCTTACTGGTTTCAACATATTCTGAGATTCCCCTTCTATAAGCCAACAACTCCTTCGAATAATAATCAGAGTTTATAGGGACACAATTGTGAGAATATTTAACTTGATGTTCAGGTAAAGCAAAGGAGGAAGCATAGGTACGTCCATTGATTTGGTTGTTTAAATATCCAATATACATGCCTTTATCATCATCATAATAATAATATTTGTATTGTACATTATTGTAATTTGTGTTGTGAGAGTATAAAAAATCATTTGGTGTATTATTATTTATTTTTCCTATAATGGGTGGATTAATGTGTATGGGTGTAACGTTTGTGCAATTGGAACTAATAGTATTTGTTGATTTTCCACCATCACTCAAATTGGAGGTATACTTGAATTTCGAATTTGCATCGTATTCCTTAATTCTGTTGTCCAATTGACATTGTTCATTATTTTTTAAAAAAGTAGACCTAACATTAAGAGTTAAATTAGTGTCACTTGTTCCTTTTGACAAGTATAAATTTTCATGTGCATGATTTTTTCCCATTAAGTTTTCTTTATAAGGTAGTAATAACATATTGTTGGTTTGATTTCTATAAATGTTGTTTTTTTTAATGTAAAAATCGTATGTATTATGTATTCTTGGAGAAAATTGGATATTCTTATTCATTTTTTTCATTATCTTATGTTTATTTTCTTCATCATATTCTACTTGTGTTTGTTTATTATCATAATAGATGTTGCTATTCTGATTATAATATTTTCCATCCATGTATCTGTTGCTCAGAATATTATTATTGTAATACGTTTCATCAACGCAGAATTTACTATCATCAATGTTTTGATTGTTTGTCATGAGTTTTTTTAGACAAATTTTACTTTTATTACAATCATTATTTGTATCTTTTTTGTTTGTACTCATGAGTACTTCTTCATTTTTTTCATTGAGCGTGTGTCTATCTAATTGTCCTCGTTCCTTTTTATTTGTCTTTAGGATTCTTTGATTTTTTTTCATTGTATGAAGGATGTCTGCGTAGACATAATTTACCTTCGAATCCTGTTCTTCCTTTGGCTGTTTCAGTTTAGTATTCAGAACCCCTTTGTCATCGTGCAGGTAGATGTGGCTTTGCCGATGGTTGCTGTGCCAGGGAAAGATAGAGTTCTTTCCAGAAAAGTGGTATATTTGTCTCTTTTCGTTATTACTCTGTGGAGAGATTCCTGTGAGATCTCTAACATTTGGGTTCGTGTTCTGGTTCGTGTTCTGGTTCGTGTTCTGGTTCATGTTCTGGTTCGTGTTCTGGCTCGTGTTCTGGTTCGTGTTCTGGTTCGTGTTCTGGTTCGTGTTCTGGTTCGTGTTCTGGTTCATGTTCTGGTTCATATTCTGGTTCGTGTTTATGTTTGGGTTCACATTTTGGCTTGAACTTACGTATGGAACCCCGCTTTGAACCGCGTATTGTAGTCCCTGCGATGTTCTGTATGGATCTATGTTTGTCACAACGTTGACTAAGCCACTTATGATCCCACCAACATTTCCATTTCCAGTAATGGTACAAAAATTGGTAGTAGAAGAGAGATTTTCTACCTTTTTGATTAAGTATAATTTTTTAAAAGTTTCAAAATCTATATCGTTTTTACCACTAGTGTTGACATGACAAGCTACAGTTGACGAAATGGGGAAATTCAATTTTTTATGTGCATTTGATATTTCTAACTTTGCTTTTCCTGTATCAGCTAGCCATTCATGATTCATCACTTCTTCAAGGGACAATCGATTATCTGGAATAATATTGAGCATTCCTGAGAGCAAGTTTCTGACATTCATAGAAATTTTATTAATTCTATTCTTAGGAAAAACAATTTTATTTTTTATAATTGAATTATGTGCCTCTTTTACATTTTTCCCTTCATTATCAAAAGGTAGCAATCCGAATAACATAGCGTACAATATAATTCCTAGACTCCATACATCTGCTTTTTGGCTATTATATCCACTAGTGTTATTACATCCTAATACTTCAGGTGCAGCATAACTTAAGGTGCCAACAATATCATGATGTAATTTATTTTTCTCATTAATACAGCATGCACCAAAATCTCCTATCTTCAATTCATATTCAGAACACGATGGTAATTTCCCTATTCTTATTAACGTTTTTTCTCTTTGACTTAGCTTCTTTTTGCATAAAAATATGTTTTCTGGCTTTAAATCCCTATGAGACACATTATTCTGGTGCATGTACTGAAGCCCTTGTACTATTTTTCGAAAGAAGTATTGTGCACTGAGTTCTTCAAGATGCAGTTTCTAAAGGAGGGTATGAAAGATGTGTAGGTTCTTGTCTAATCGAATATTAAACTATGGAAATGCTTAAGAGATAGTGTTCTCTCCAGGTGCTACTTATGCACTGATAAAATTGGTATACACAAATATATACATGCACAAGTGTATACAGATAGGGGTAAATACAAACAAAGTGTATACAATTTTACAATCATGTGAAGGGATTAATCCTTACATTTTTAACGTAGGATATGAGGTCGCCCCCATCACAGTATTCCATAATTTGAATAATTTTCTCCTTTGTCTCAAGCACATTTGTTGTTTTCACAACAAAAGGATGATTCATTCTGCAGGAGATTTGGATTTCTTCCTTAAGTTTTTGAAATAGCTCTTCATCGCCTTGCACAGTGGATTTATCTATTGCCTTTGCCGCTACAAGGGTGTCTGTGAGATGCACAGGTTGGATTTGGAGCACATATACGTATATATACATTAGTTTATTTGTCTATCTATTTATTTGTGTATTTACTTGTCTATCTATTTATTTGTGTATTTACTTGTCTATCTATTTATTTGTGTATTTATTTGTCTATCTATTTATTTGTCTATTTATTTGTCTATCTATTTATTTATTAATTTTTTTTTTTTTTTTTTGACTTTTGGTTAGGTGGCATGAATTGCATGTATTTGCATTTTTTCATGCGCATAGAATGGATGTAATGGTAAGAGTACAATGGTGCAGCTAACCTGTATTTTTGTCAAAAGCCAAATGAACCTGACCAACGGATCCAGTATTTATTTTCTCAAGTATTATATAATTCTTAACACTAAAATATAATAAAGTATCAGATAATTTTTTTTTTGAACACCTAGGTTGAATTCTTTTTCCATCTGATACTAGCAAATTAAATAATTTCTGACCCTTATTCATTCCTCTAAACATAAAATCATCAATATGTTCACCCCATATTAGTGATTCCGGTTTTTTTGCTTCAAAGGTGAGATAAGAGATGAAAATGGGATACAAGTAATGATGAAATTGATATTTCTAACTTAATTTAATCCTAGAATAAATTTATTTCTATTCATATTTTTTCTCATAAGAAGTGTTGAAGCAGTGGAAAAAAAACGTGCATTCACGCTTAGCGAGAGAGAGAGATAGAGATAGAGAGAGAATGAAACTCCATTTATATTCATGCTTTGTCTAAAATATAATCTCATATTTTCGTCTTATTTTATACTTGTTATGAAATCGATGAGGCTCCTTACATGCGGCATGGAGGCATGATACAACTTTAAGAACTGTAATGAAAAATGGAACGAAATGTAAAGACGAGTAATGTAGGGAAAAAGAGCATGATGTCAAGTGATGTACCAAAAAAGCAGAAGTAGAAAGATGTATAGTCGAAGTAGTCTCAGCATTACCACATATATATGTACATATATATGCATATATATATTCATCTAGGTAGTAACAGTTTTGAATCATGGAGTAATAAAAAAAAAAAAAAAAAAAAAAAAGTCACTTATAAATGAAAATATCAGCAATATGGTAGAACATATGAATTTTTTTTTTTTTTTTCTTTTATGTTTACCTGCCAAATGAAAAATATATCTTCAGTTATTTCTAGATCATGGTCTGTTATAGATTCTACTTGGGGGAGCAGTCGAAGTTCGCTGTCCCATTCGGTTCGCCATTTGTCGGTAAGAACCATTTGGAAAAATACAAAAAATAATGAATGATGTATGATGTATGATGAATAATAAATAAAAATCAGAATCAGCGAATAGGGTTAAGAGGGTGGGAAATATTGGATGAAACAACAAATAGGTTTGGAAAATTGTATGATGTGAAAAAATAAGCACAAGGAATCATGTTGATACAAATACAACTCGGAAGATAGTTAAATACAGACCAAATTGACCACGAAAAAAAAAAGCAAAAAAAGCAAAAAAAGCAAAAAACGATGACCTCGACTTTGCAATATAATGTCTCATTTTTAATTAACATATTTTTACAAAAGAAAAAAGAATGATATTTTAAATTGTATAGGCCATATTTATCGGGGTAGATGGTAGGATGGGACAAAAAGACACAAATAAGTGGCGGAAAAATAGGACAAATGTACAGGTAATCAAATGAGTAGTTAAGCCACGTGGACAAATCAACAAATGGGAAGACGTGGTGATAGAAAGACAGATTGACATATTAGTGCTCTCTGTTTTTATATTAAATCAAGCAAAAGTTGTAACAACACTAGGCAAGATAATTTCTTGTTAAATCAAATCACGCAGATTTTTGCGAAATTTGGAAAAGTAGGAATATATACTTAATATAATATGATTTTGTAAGTTGCATAAGAAAAAAAAAAAAAAAAAAAAAGGGGGAGAAGAAAGCTATTTAATGAATATTGCCTCTTTTTTAAGAGTTCTAAAATGATCTTATTTATATGCCTTTTCTGCATTTAACATTTTTAACAATTCGTATTTGTGCATGTGTAACCACATGCAAAAAAAACAAAAAAAGAAGTGCCAAATAAGGAAATTTTTTAATTAAGCAATAATATGTTTATATATTTGTTCATTTTTTTTTTTTTTTTTTAATTTGTAAAACATGTATAAAAGATGAAAAAGAAACAATTTTTTCACAAGAGTATGTATTTTTTTTTTTCTTTTTTTTTTTTTTTTTTTTTTTTTTTTTTTTAAAAAAAAATTTTTTTAAGGTTTTTTTTTTTTTTTTTTTTTTTTTTTTTTTTTTTTTTTTTTTGTGTATGAGCAACGTATTCATAACCACGCATGCGTATGCAACTTTGGAAAATAAGAAAATTCAAAGTTGGCACATGTGTAACATTTAAAAAAAAAAAAAAAAAGAAAGAACCAGCAAAAGACATATACGAATAAAATGTAAAAATTACGATATAAAATAAATATTCTTCATAAAGTATAAATCATTTCTTAAAAAGAGAAAAAGAAACTTGTTTTTGTCAATTAGACTTACAAAAAGTGGTATATGGGTGCTTATATAATTAGAGAAAATTTTGCACATAAAAAATTATAAGTAGGAAATAAAAATTGTGTCATATATCATGATAATAGGGTGACTCGGATGGGATGTAATGTGGTTTACTTTTTACGTACTAAATGTTTTTAATTAATATATTTTTCACCATATTTTTATGCGTGTGCACAAATTTCTGGGCTGCCACTTTGGTAAAACATATTCTTATGAGAGTGCCTTTGTGGATGAAGACCTATACAACTACGTGACATGGAAAAAAGGAAAAAAAAAAAAAAAACATTTGCAGGGACTTACCAAGAAGTCTACTTTACAAAAATGGTTGTAAGGCCTAAAGAAATTAAATATGTATATATATATATATATACATACACGTCACCCTTTCATTACACTTATATTTATACTTTCATTTTATTATTTTCAGCACTCAGAATGTATGCTCTTGTTTTCTCTTAAAAAAGATAATACCTATTTTAATTTTTAGTTAACCCATTCACCACGTCATCTCAATGCACTTTTTTGCACAACATATCCAATATTTATATTAGGGAATAGGAAGATGAATGTATTATTTTCACACGAAAAATGGATCTAACTCAAATGTGTTCATCTAACAAAAAGCTCGAATCCATTTGACATTAACTGATATGTAACATTTAGATTAATGGAAAGAACAAAGGAATGTGGTCAAGATACTAAGGCAAAAAAAAAAAAAAATAAATAAATAAATAAAATAAATAAGAACATGAGAAGCTAAAAATTGGATGATTATTCTGGAAGAATTGCACATTATATTTGTGCACATGAACGAAAATTCTATGCCACTGTTTATGTTTTTTTTTCAAATCATTAGGTCATCCTCCATTATGTTGACGAGAAAACGATAAAGCAGGATGGGATGGGTACAAGTACATTCAAAAGAAAAAGAGGGGAAAAAAAAAAAAAAAAAAGTAATAACGCAAGTTAACTATTACTCCTTACTTCTCATTTCATTATATTACAACCCTTAGAAGGGTTATTAAAAAACTGAATCATTTTTGTGGAACAAGAAAGGGAGATCAATGCATTTACACAGAATTCCCATAAGAAAAATTTATAAATTGCCTTTTTTTTTTTTTTTTTTTATTTTTTTGCGAAATCATTATTTCATTTTTCTTCCTAAGTAATAATACACAAGTACATACTTAACCTTTATTTGTTATGCTCTTGCGCTTTATCGTCGTTTTCTATCCTAGGCTTCCCTTTTCTTACCTACTCCTCTCAGTGTATCTCTATTTCCTGCACCTTTTTTTTTTATTTTTTTTTCTTTTTTCGTGATCGATTTGTAAATAAATCTCCCAATATTTTGTAACGTAGAAAGATTATTTCTAGTTTTTTATTTTCTTTTTTCTTTATTCTAATTCGAAACAGAAAAAGAAAAAAAGTTTTCCAAAATATTGGTATTTGAAAAAAAAAAAAAAAAAAAAAAAAAACTCACTAGGAAAAAATAATAAAACTATGATAAGAATGTAATAAATAAGCTCAGTAAGCATGTGGAAAAAAAATATAAATATATTATATGTACATATTTGTATGCTTCTTCAAAAAATATTTTAAGAAAAATTATGACCATATCATCTATGTGTTAAACCCTTAATCACATTATATATCATTCCATTTTTTCCTGTGATATCACAGTTGTATAAGAAGCATTAATATGTCTTAATTTTATGCTCTCTCTATGTACATATAATTGCTACATGTACAAGTGTGTGCCTTAAGCAAAGAGATACACATCACCCATGGATCAGCAGTTATAAATACATAGAGATGGAGAACGTGAAATGATGTATGGCGCTGATTTAGCCGTAAATTCTCTGTGGCTTTCCCATGGTACTCTTAATATGCAAGGTTCTAATATTTTGCCAATTTTTTTTCAGAAGAGAAACTAAAAAGTTAATTGCATGAACAATGTTAGATCTTAATTCCTCTTCTTTCAAATTGGCATGACCAACAGGTACACCCATACATAAGACTTTTTTTAGTTGAAATTTAATTGATGATTTTAATTCAAGAATCTTATCATTTATTTTATCATTATGTGTAATGAGGGAAGGAAACTTTCCTGCTTTATTTAAACCTGGACCAAGTAATTTAGGAATTTGTGGTAAGATTACCTGACTGGCTAAAAATGCATCGTATTTTTTTGCTAACTTTTTAACTAATGTTTTATCTTTATTTAATTTCTTCATAGCTTCAATATCCATATAATCTAACTCTAATTTTTGTGCTTCTTCAACATGTACGGCATCTCCTAATATACATACTTTTAACTTCTTTCTTACCTCATTAGATAATTTTACCGTTCCTGAGAAACGTTTGTCTCTCTGCGTGTCATAATCCTTCAGTCCGATCTGAAGTTCGATGGTTTCTACAAATTTTCGCTTTTTCTGCCTTGTCCCTTCGAATACATCAGCTATGGCCTTTTTTAAGAGATCCTGATTTACCTTGCTAAAAAATGAAAAGAGCGAAGTGGTGGGGAGAAACAAATGAAAAAAATGAATTAAGGATGGAAGAATGATTATATTTGGGAAAAGAGGAACGCGTGCATGAAATAATAAATACATAAATTCATGAGTTAAATGATGCAAAAAATATGGAAACATAAAATGATTACGGTAACCAAAGGCACATATGGTATGTGTAAAAAAATAAAATGCGATTAAAAAAAAAAAAAAAAAAAAAAAAAAATCGTATACATCTTCGACCTGTGTGCCTTCATTGAACACACAGCGTCATTGACTTTTTTATGGTCAACATAAAACGAAGTGCTTAAGACTAAAAAAATGCAATGCTGTGTAATTTCATATTTAATTGTATATTTATTTCATGGTCACTTGGACCATTCTTGTTCTTTTATCATCTCGTTTTTTCAAAGGCGTTAGGATGTTAGTGCCTTGGCATGAAAAATTCCACATTTATAAACGAGTTAATAAACGTGCGTGGATATATATATAAATATATATATATATAAAAGGTACACACGAGAACAAGTATAATATACGTTTATACATATATACATCCATATGCATATAAATATTTGTGTTTGCATGGAAGAGCAGTTCCTTCTTGCATGTTCCCCGACATATATTATATATAGGAAGCATAAAAAGCATAATAATCCTATGCCTCATTTAATATATCATTACCTCATTGTGTATATATGTGGAGTTTATCAAAATAAGGTACAAACTAGCGTTTTTTACAGAAATTTTTCTTAAATTCGGATATATATAAAGAGTTTTCTTGTTTTAAATAAAATAGTCGTTTTTGTGGATAATTTCCTTTTCAAAGAGTTATGAAAAACTTGTCGGGAAAAAAGAAATTAAAACAGTGTAAAATTATTTTGTAGTTGATTCTGTTTCTGGTTTAATTTATTACAAAATTAAAAAAAAAAAAAAAAAAAGAAAATTGATTTATATATATATGTATAATTTGAAATGTAAAAAATTTTGGAGATTACGAAATTTGCGATTTATAACTGCAGTTAAGCGGTTAATGGGTAAAAATAAAATAAGCATCTGTAATATACAAATATATATATTAGCATGCATAATCGCTGTTTTTACATATCATTTTATATATATTGTGCTATTTTAATTTTTTTTTTTTTTTTTTTTTGCAATACTGTTGTAATGTAGCAAAAATATATTCAATAAAGGTAATGAATAAAAACATAAAACTATATATATGTTAAGCCTACCATAAATCACACATATATCTTTTGCAAGAATAACAAAAATCCAGGGTTCCAAAAAAAAAATTATATACGAAAATTTATCTTAGAAGAAAAGTTTATACTATATTTGAGGGGGGGGGGGGGGGATATAGCTTTTTTTTCATTCATTTTGACTCCTTGTCAGTGCACAAAAAAGATGTAAAATTGTACACGTTGAAAAAAAAAAAAAAATGGCAAAATTAAAAGAGTGGGGTCGCCCCTGAATGAAATAAAAGAGAATTATAAAAGGGGGTAAATTTAAACCACCAGAGAGTAAAGAGCACCGGATAGTGTTCTGATTTTCAAAGTAATTCTCTTAGGCGCTAAAAATATATCCCGTGTTATTATGTGTAGTGTGAAAATTTTTCGTAAATTTTTGGGGTGGTGTTAGCACGTATCTATTCTTCTCGTGTACTATTTTGAAACAAATTATCAGGCATTTAAATTTGCTGATATAAACATATGTATGAGAAAGTAGCATATATACTATATACATATTAACATGTAAGGTAATAACGTTCTCATTTTGTGCGTGAGCATTTTCACAAATTTTTATGTTTCATTTGGCAAATAAAATTAAACGTAGTCAGAAAAAAAAGAGTCACTTAAAAACAATAGGCGCGTGCATTAACTTACAGATTTTTATATAAATTAATATTGCAGTACAGGGAAAAAAAAATAATACCACGTAATTTATGTAATATACAATATATATTACGGCTTTTACACGAATGTTTTCATTTTTTACATTATATATATTTTGTTATACATGTTTAAGCCGAGGTAAGGCAAATGCTCTTAGCGCTATGTTTTTTTATATTCGTATGAAGGGTAATAAAACTCTTTTTGAAAAAAATGGCTAAAGGAATTCGTTTTACAAAAAATTAAAAAAAAATGAATACTTTTTTAATTAAGGAATAAAATATTTGTGGAGTAAAATATTATAACTTTTTTTTTTTTTTTTTTTTTTTTTTTTTTATTCGTTAACGCCATTATGAATTTTATTTTGTTCATATTATTTGTAATTTATGTTTAAAAAAAAAAAAAAAAAGGGAATTATTGAGATATAAATGAGGCCAAGTCACAGTTAAATGTTTTTTAACGCATAATGGAAATTAAGTTTTCAGGGAAGGTAAGACTCGCACAAATACATGTACTGACACAAGCACATATATGTACATGTCCATAATTCTTTATGCATATTTAGAGGAATAAATACCATAAAACTTATAAGACAAAATATACTTCTTTCCATCATATACCTTAATCACACCGTTATGTACATATGTCCATTGCCATAATAAATGAGAAAAAAATAAAAAAGCAAGTGAATATTTTTGTGAAACGAAAGAAAGAGGATATTTTATAAGTATATCGTATTTGATTCATTTTTTTGAACAAGATAAATGGTAAAAGAAAAATATTTATAAAAGGAGTAGGTTTTTCTCTTACTTCCTGCATCTTATGATTATACCAGAGCATTGAAGCATATACAAAAAGCAAATGAAGACAAGTATTCATAATATGTTTGTATATATACTTAAATTTTTTAAAACATCACTGTTTGAATGATTAATGCAAGTGTAGTACCATAATATAAAACGTACAAGGGACCTGCAGTGCATTTTTTCATTTTTATTTATTTTTTTTTTTTTCTTCCCATGCGAAAAAAATAGTATTCATGTAACCAAACCTTACTACATTTTAAAGAATTATATGTAATTGTTCTCTTTCCTAAAAAAGCAACATAATATTTTATTACTAAAGTGTTAAAGTGAGTAAGAAAATTTTTTACATTGTTTTGGAACCCCTCTTTAATATGCATTCGCTATTATACAGGTGTGTATGTAATTCATACATAACGTAGAATGACTAAAAATGTTATTATTTTTAAATAACAAGGTACATCATGTAATTGGTTTTTATTCACGAATAATTGCCCTTTCTAGTGCTAAATGTATATAGCATAATTTTTTCATTGTAAACACTTGCACATAATTTTCCCACCACTTACAATTGTAACATGACCAATATATAAAAATACAGATGTCTTACGAAACAGAAGATATATAATGTGTGCGAAGATTTAGAAAAAATTAAATAAAATAAATACATATGTAAATTCCGCAACATTGTGATAAACCAAGGGAACATTATATATATTAACATTTTTTTTTTTTTTTTTTTCAACTGTAAAAGCGTTAATGTAAAGAAAATCATAAGCCTTATAAACTAACGAACGCTGTTACAGTACACACACCCATGAGACCCCCATCGTGTGCAATTTTTTTGCAATAGTAAGAATAAATCTGACTGAAGAGAAATTTAAGTATTTTCACCTAATCACATACGCAATAATTTTTTTTTTAAGATATGTTCCCACAAAATAATGAAATGTAAAATAGTAATGTTATATGCGATAAAATATTCGGGACAAAAATAACAAAAAAAAAAAAAAAAAATAGTAAAATAAATTAATGACACATTAAGAACGTGTTGATAACATGTTGACAATAACATAAATCAATTAAATAAATAAACACGATTTTTAAAAAGGGTAAAAGTTTTATTCAAAGTTTACAACGACGTGAATTTTTTATAACGGTACAGATGAAAGTTAAAAGGTATGCATGAATTATAAATATGGTAGGTTTATATGCTTTTATCACGTATAATTTGTGCGGCTTATTTTGAAATTAAGAACTTTGTGTATTAGGTAAATAATCTGATTGTATTATAGCATTCCACACACACACACACACACATATAAATATTTTGCACAAGCAAGAAAGCAATAGGGTTTGCTTTAAATTCCTTTATTTTATTATTTTAATTCATTTTTAAGGAGACATTTTAACAAATATGCTGAATGGCGCGTACTTTGCAAAACAAGTGGCAGTCATTTTATCACTTTTGGAAAAAATTAAAAGCTACCGAAAAATGTTTCTTACAAATTATAAAAATGTTCATATTTTTTTATACTTAATATAACTGCATAAATAAAAAAGTGTATATAATATATGTAAGAATTTTAACAGTGTACTTATTACATACTTTATGAAGAAGCATTTTTTTTATTCCCTCTTTTTATTATTTACAAATAAAAAAAATAAAAAAAAGTGATGTGGGATGATGTTATTTAAATGAATGTACTTCTCCTAGCGTATTAAATTAGTTATATTTAGATAAGAATTTTTGTTATTCATATATTTCATCAAGTAACACTAGAACCATTTACTTCACAACATTTTTACAAAGTTTTGGTTCATATTTGAAAATGTGCAACAGAACAAGTGGATGGGGAGATTCTTACGAATTCACGATAGCTTCTTTATGCATATGTAAAAAAAAAAAAAAAAAAAAAAAAACTTAACATTTATTTGTTTATACATGTATAAAATAAGATATCTAGGAGGCTGAAAATGCATAAAATATAGAAGAACATAATAAAATTATACATTTGAAACCCCTCAAAAAATGAATGAGAAAAAAAAGGTTATTTTTTTTTAAGTTATAAACATGCAAACGATTATATATGAAAATTTAAGCATATGTATATATACTAAGCATATCTAATATTATATAATATATATATTACATATGAAATAAAATATGCACTGCTAACAAGTAATATCGACGGACAGACAACGCACTAGCTCAATAATTTAAAAAGCGAAAAAATTAAACTTTATAAAAATGCTAGATTTTTTTTTACATATACTGTAATAAATAGAAAGAACAATCACAGGCGGCAATGAACTAATTGTATGTATATATATGAATGAAGGCATTTTGTTTACATCCCTTGTGTAATTTATCTCAGAGGGATGAAATAAAAAAATGTGTTTTTTATATAAACATATGGCATGTATATATACTTAACAATGTATAAATATTATATTTTATATATAAAAAAAAAAATGAATTAATTTGGGTAAGAAAATATTGTCGAGTGTTTTTACATGAATACATTTTATATGTTTATGCATAATTATATCACTACCCGTTTTTACATATATTGAATAATATCATTAAAAACGGCTCTTTTGTTTTCTCTTTTTTTTTTTTTTTTTTTTGCCTTCTTAACAAAATATTTGTACGCACATCAAGACCATGATTCAACATGTAAATAAATACATCATTAAGTATGCTATATGCAGCAGTAACAATATTATTAATTTATTTCCCATACTTATTAAACGTATAATTTCATTTTAGGTATATTTTTCTTTGCTTGCTTAAAATTAAACAGTTTTGCCACGCCCGCAATGAATATGTTATAACAATTTTAAAAACAATTTGTGACATATGGACATGAGTAGTATATAGTAGCACATTCCAAATATATTTATTTTTTTTATTAACTCTCATTTTTTTTTCTTACTGAAAATTTTTTTTTTAAACGTAATTTTTAATTAGCCTTTTTTCTTTTTTTTTTTTTTCTTCCTTTTTTTTTTTCACGCTTTTTTTTTTTTTTTTTAACTTTCACCTGTTTTTGTACATATTTATTTTTTTTCCTTTTTATTAAATCATTCGTTTCTACGAATTTCATTTTGTTTTATTTTTTTGACATTTTGGATTGTTAAATTATTGCATATATTTTATACATCTTGCTTTTTTTCATTTTAAAAAAAATAAGGAAAGCTGTACCACACCAGTATATATTGAACAATATACGAAACAGGATATATGTATATGCGCATATGTGTATAAAACGTGTATATATAAATATGTACAAAGTGTATATGCAAGTATATATATAGAAACGCTTATATAAAGTTATGTACATGTATGTACATATAAGATATACAAGTTTTGCAAAAGGTTCTAATAAGTTCACAAACGTGCCAAAAGAAGTATCCTTAGTATACTTTGTTTCTAAAATGTAAAATGGTGGATTCACCATCCAAAAAAAGAGCATTGAATACCACTGACTATAATAAAAAAGAAAAAAAAAACATGGTTAGCAAAAAAAGTAATCCCACTGAAACTGCTGAAAATGTCGAGGAAAATATCGATAATGCAACTGTTGACAAGAAGAGTGAAGCTTTGAAAAAAGAAAAAAGAAAAAAAAAAGAAAAAAAAAATAAAGAAAATGAAATAGATAAAATCAATGACGATGAAGAACAAGATGAAGGAAATGATGAAAAAAATTTAAAAAAATTTTCAGTTGACACAAGTGAAAATGATGATAAAGATGACGATGATGATGAGGACGATGATGATGATGAAGATGAAGACGATGACGATGAGGACGATGATGATGATGAAGATGAGGACGATGATGATGATGACGATGATGATGAGGAAGATGATGACGATGATGATGACGATGATGAAGATGATGACGACGAGGAAGAGGATGAAGATGATGAGGAGGATGATGACGATGAAGAGGAGGAGGATGATGAGGAGGAAGACGATGAGGATGATGATGATGAAGATTTTGAAGATATGGATGATGAAGACGAAGATGATGATGAGGATGATGATGATGATGAGGATGATGATGAAGATGAAGACGATGAAGACGACGAAGATGATGAAGAAATGGGTGGAGATTCCAAAAAGGAGGGTGAATCACATACAAAAAAGGACAGTGACGATGAAACATTTGACTAATAATAATATGTTAACATATATATTTTTATAAATTAAAGAGAAAAAAAAAAAAAGAGGAAAAAAATAAGATGAAAGAAAAATATATTTTAACCTCTACTCCTCCCCCCACACACACACACTCTTCATCCCTCAATATATTTTACTATTTATCGTTTTTATAAACGCAGGATATAAATAATATACAAATATGTTTCTTTAAATTATATCGCACAGTTTTTAAATGCGTATTTGTGTATTTTATGTGTTTTCTTATATTATAAAATTTATATATAGATGTGTACACATATATACACATATGCATAATGTGTACATTTATATATATAAAACATATGTTACACAAATTATTGTACCTTTACACATTTTTTTCTTTTTTTTTTTTTTATAAAAACTGTTACCTAACCTTTTATTTTTTTATGTTGCAATTTGAACATTTAAAATATTTTGCATAAATACTACAAAAGCAAAAAAAAAAAAAAAAAAAAAGAAAAAAAAAGAAAAAAAAAGAAAAAAAAAGAAAAAGAAAAATGTACTAAAAAATAACTAAATTTAAAAATTAAAAATAATAGAATTTGAACACAGATAAAAAACTATTAAATTATTTTTGTTTTTATATATTGAAAAATGCATTTTTATCGGGGGAGTGAGAGGGGGGGGTATACGAATGTACATGCGTATGCATATGTTGCCCATTTATATGCTGCCTACACATGTACAATTAACTTATTTATGTCATATGCATAATACATATATATATGTATAATATGCATACTGACACTTACATAATTTAGTTTTTTTTTTTTTTGAATAGAATTACCACGTTTTGCATTTCTTTTTTTTTTACAGTTTAAAAAACTGAATGTAAGTTGTGTAGAAATATTTTTCAAATAGCATTCTATGTTATTTATGTATAACCTATGTGTAAGATGTTATAGCAATTACATCACGGATAAGAACGTGTTGTAAACATATGTCTGTGCAAATGTATTACATGTATATATATGAGTGCAACTATATTTTAATTTGGCGCATTTACTTACCAACCTTTATATTTTCTATTCAATTAAAATATTACAAAAAGAATAAAAAAAAAAAAAAAAAAGTAATTATGTCTAACTTTAAAACAATTATGCCATTTTAGTGTTCACAGGAAAATCGTATTCATCTTGGGAAAAGGCAAAAATATATAGTGCGGGATAAATACGTATAAAGAATATATGTATAAGGTGTAGGCATATATTTTGTATATATGTATAAATTTGTATTCGAAACAAAAAAATATCTCCAAATGTGTTACAAGAGAGGAATTTCCTCATAAAGCATTTTAATCAACTCTTGTTATTCCTTTTTTTATTCTAAAGCAAATATGACGTTCCTCATTTTCCGTACACAACAATCGTGTAGTAAAGGAATGTGAAAATGTGTGGTAGTACATGGGTTACATTTAAAAAAAAATATGAAAAGAAAGTAGAAAAAGAAATGATATAAACAACTTCATGCTAAATTCATCCTTAAAAAAAAAATAAGTGCGTATATTATAAAGGCTGTTTAGGGGGTTGCTTAAAAAAATACCTTGTGCTTTCACAAAGATGGGGAATGAGTAAATATGTTATCTGTTATCCTCTATCTTTTATATATTATTTTATTTTTTTACGCAAAAAATAGCCACGAGCTAAGATCCACGAAAAACATTTTAAAAAAGCTAAAATTGTTTCATCATAATTGTAATTTTACAATATGTTAATGTATGGAATGCACAATAGGATATTAAATATTTCAATTTTTGTAAAGTGTAAATTTTGCTGCGCAAAAAAAAAAAGAAAAAAAAAAAAAAAAAAAAAAAAAAAATACAACAATTATTTGTAGAAAAAATTGTTGAAATTTTGACCACTGTAGAAGAACAATTCCGTCCTTTTTTTTTTTTTTTTTTTTTTAAAGCATGAAAGTGATATAACATAGAATAGGATTTTTCTCTGTGAAGATATTAATCCCGAATATATATGATACGTGCAGGTGAGAATAATTTCGGGGAAAACGTTGGTACATTGCAAAATGAACACAAATTATCCTTTGTGTTACAAGTGCAAGAAGAACAACGCTATAGTTTGGACAAGGGAAAAATCATGCAAAGAGTGTTTTTTACAACTGGTGGAATATACATTTAAAAATACATTAAGGGAAAAGTGTTTATTTAAAAACAAAGGAAATCATAATTATCAAGTTGTGCAACAGTACGAAAAAGAAAATGAAAAACGGAAAGATATACAGGAAAAGAAGTGTTTTAAAATGCTTGTTGAAGATGAACATGTTCACAACATAACAAGAAATAATTTTAAGCATGTAAACACAGGAAAATATGTGAAGGAATCTGAAAAAAATGGAAAAATTATGATGAACACCTTGTATGTGCAACAGGAAAAGAAAAGAACAGCTATAGCATTTTCAGGGGATATATGCTCATCTTTTCTTCTCTTTTCATTTGTCAAATATTTAAAAAACGTGAAAAACAGAAAAAACGATTTTTACCTAACGAATGAATATTGCATTTTTAGTGACATAATATTTGTAGACATTTTTGAAGATGAAAATTATATTTTTAAGTTGATAAAAAGCATACAGGAAATTTTTCGTATTTTAGAGGAAAATGATGATTTGAAAGGAAGGATAAAAAAAAACGAAATGAATGAGGAAATGATAAACACTGAGAAAGAAACATTGACAATCCAAGGTAACGAAAAAATACATGATGACATAAATGATGAATCGAACCCCTCAATAGACAACAATAAGATACTGTTCATTAATGGAGTGTTTAAAAAAAAAGTAAACAAAGTACATTTTACAGTATTAAAGAGCAATTATTTTGTGAATGAGTGTTATAAAAATGAATTTCTAGTGTACTATGACTTAATAAAAAAGGAAAAAAATTATTACTTGAACTACATGAATGAGCTAATTATATACAACAACATTTTAAAATATGGTATAGATGAGAATATTAATTACGTTTTTTGGGGTAATAATGCAAATAATATCTCTAATAAGTCTTTTTTATATACCATATTTGGCAATGGAATAAATTTGCCCATATGTACAGCGTATATAGATAATAGATATAAGAACATAAATTTTATTAAACCATTGAAGGATCTGTTGAACAAAGAAATATATATCTATTGTTATTATAAAAATATTACATATTTACACAACACATTGTTTGATAATAATATTGTATATAGAACTATAAACGAAATGTTGTCTACCTTGGACTCGAAGAATAATACGACGTCTATAATTAACAATACAATTGGAAATTTGGTCAATTTGATGAATGTACCAAATGTGATAAATGAGATGAATCATTCAAATAGGAGGAAACATAGCCATGAATGTATGGAAATGAGTGAAGGTAAAAACGTGAAGAATCACAACTACAGTGATATAAATATGCACGATGCTGTAAAAACTGGCAATATAGGAATTATTCCCAAAATATCTCACAGTTACAATGGTTTTGAAAAAGATTACAAAATGAATTGCATGAAGGAATGTGTAAATAATTATAAAATATGTTCTGCCTGTTACATATGCTCAGGTAATAAGGAGACAAAGGAAGAAAAAACATTTATAAAAAAATTGAATAAAATTCAGTTGTCAAATTTAGAAAAAATGAAATATACGAATTTGATTTGTTCCACATGTTTGAGTATATTTTCATCTAGTGAGAACTGTGTAAATCTTTTCAATGTCTTTTTTTAATATTTCAATTATTAGTAACAAAGAATTCCATTTGTTAAGTTTTTCCATTATTCCCTGTTATCAGTTTTGCTTGTCACTATTCTTTCCTATTAACACCGCTTCCTCGAATTTGTCTTTATTTGTTTGGCGCATTGGTTTTTTTTTTTTTTTTTTTTTTTTTTTTAAATATAACTTATTCCCTTCGATTGATCATTCGAGTGTGTTAACAGCAGGAAAATTTTATTTTTTTCCCTTGTCATTTAAAAAAAAAAAGAATATACGAATAAGTAGAGAAATGCACAAAAAGGAGGTAATTACAACCAATCGTCGAAATTAGTATTTTCCTTTTTTGTTCTTCCGGACTTTGTCTCATAATATTGCTTATTTTCCATGGTTTCCTTTTAGAATAATTTTAAAGTAAAGTTATTGGTTCACCCCGCATGTGGTTATGTATGATATGTGCGTGCATAAAGTGTGTAGTTATGTGTGCATGAAATTGTGTACTCATGTATGTGTATATATATATATATCTTTATATATACATATATATGTGTATATATGTACATCTACTGGTGTGAGTTCATTCGCGCTGTTGGGTGCTTTTCCTTTTCGATGTCTTACATTAGGGACTTCGTTATCCTTATGGATGTGCATTCGAATTCTTCTTTTGATTTTTTCAATCTTGTTAATGTGTATTTTTTCCTGTTTTTCCACGTGCATCGGGTCTATCTGAGGCTGTGCACAATGCCACGAAGAATTAGTTACATGTGCACATGGACACTGTAAAGGAGTACATTTGTGTGTATGCAGTTCACATAAACACATGCACATATACATATGCACATGAATGCGCTTGTGTTTATGTTCATGTATGTATGTATTCATGTAGCATCAGCAAATTTTTGTTATTTATGAATTTTGTACCTTAACTTTATTAATGTAGGAATCAAAAAGGATTAACTTGTTTAGTGAATCCAATTGTTCTGTCCACAATTCGCAAATATTCTTAAGGGAGTAAGAACAAACATGAAGTTTTATATATATGTTTGAATTCGAACTACATGCATTGAATTGCACATTCATAAAAAAGTGTGTATTAGTCCATGTTTTCAAGCCATCCGATACATGTATGTTGATTGGCATATACATAAATTCACTTTCTTATCTACACTTTTCATTATTACATTGTAAATAACATAATTTTGATACGCATCATAGAGAAATTTTTGTATCTGCTTAATGTCTTCCTGCTTGTTAACATAAGGCATGAGACAATTCTCGAAGTATTTCAGTTCTCCTTCACTATACACTTGGTGGATAAAGTGTATATGAGTGTGCAAATATATAGTTATTAACTATTGTGTGCATATATACATGTGTACGTACATGTATACATATGTACACACGTATACATACATATATATATATAGGGAAATTCATTTGTGCAGATATCTTATTATAGCACAGAATGGCCCCTTTTCAATGAACCTAGCCAAGCTTGTGCTATATTTTTTTTTTTTTTTTTTTTCTCCTAACTGTTATTAATCGGAAAATAAGACAGAGGTATTTTTTGTCTTGCTATCTTGATCATTTCTTTCTTTTTGTTATCGTCCATTTTTATTTCTCTAATGATTTTTTCCAATTTTGTCAGTTCATCCTTTGCAGTAAAAAGAATAGATACGATTTGATGTGTGTGTCGAGAAATTGGAAAATATGGCACAATATAATAATAGCACCTTTATATATAAATGTAGGTGCTAAATATGACCGAAGAGAAGAATAGACATGCATCGATAGTTTTCTTCTTTTCTTTTTTTTGAAAACCTTACTGAACTGCTAGCATACATCTGAGACAAATACTGGTAATTGACAAAATTTGAATAAGAAAAATTATAGGAAAAATTTATAGCATCTTGTATGATTTTCCTCTTAAGGTTAAGTCTCTCTTCGCTAGTCATACTAGAATAGTTCTTTTCTGAATTTTTATTTACACTCTTAATTCCTATGTGCATTTTGCTGCTTTAACGTTTGACCTTACTTTTGATATTATTTTTTTATATGGAGTACAAAAGTGTGACTCGCACTTCTTAGTGATGGGGTTATGAATTTGAAAAACTGAAAAATGTGGAGCGACGAGGTGTGTAAACTGTTAAGAAACATTTGTACTAACACACAAGAGCATATGTATGCGCGCGTATACATATATATGGTTGTGTGGTTGTGTAACTGTGCAGCTACGTGGGGAAATTTTTTGCCATTTTATCTGCATATAACATATATGACAACTGCACATGTCTCTTTATTCAGCCTTTTAAATTAGTTTCCGTCTGTCATATGATAAAACAAATTTGCTCCAAACCTAGATCATAGGGGAAAAAAAAAAAAAGTAGAAAATAAAAAATGCTAGAAAAGCAATAACAGCACCAAAAGGATACAATAAATATGAAAATTTTTTTAAAATTTAACAAAAAAAAAAAAAAAAAAAAAAAAATATATATCAACAAAAAATGAAGAAAAAAAATAAAATAAAAATAAGTGGGAATATCATATACACTTACCTTTTGGCTACTTACACTGAACGAAAATGAAAGGAAATTTTCGTGTAAAATGAATGCTTATATGTGCACGCAAAAAAAAATGAAAGGCAGAATCACAATTTTTTTTTAAGAGATGATTAGGATAAAGAACTTGAGGAATATAGCAAAAATTGGAGATTTACTAGGTGGTAGTGGTGGTGGTGTGGAGGAGGTTATTTTTCATTTCGCTGTCTTTCATTTTGCTGCCCATCATTTTGCTGTCTTTCATTTTGCTGCCCTTCATTTTGCTGCCCTTCATTTTGCTGTCCTTCATTTTTTTGTCTTTCATTTCGTTGTCTCTCTTTTTGTTTTCATTTCTTTTAGTTAATTTTACTGCACTCTTTTGATTTCGCTTTTTTTCTTCACATGGGTGATACATATATTTGCCAATTTTTGGTACACAAGTTGGCATACGGGTTTCCCCTTCACAAGCGTCAAGCATTTTTAGTCTTTTTAGTCTTACTATGAATTTAAAAATTAACTTCGCGATTAAATATTTAAATGGAGAGAGGAGAGAAATTGCAACAAAGTCATCGTGGTAAAGTGAAAAGATGTGGAGATAAACAAAATGGATTAAATAAAATGAAACAAAATGTGAGAAAGAAAGTTGACGTTGGCTTCTTGTGGATGCACGCACTTCTATAATTCAGAAGTAACAAAAAAAAAAAAAAAAAAAAGGTATATGTTTTTAAAGGTTTTTTTTTTATTCATATATTTTGTGTCTATATTTTATGCATATATTTTATGCATATATTTTGGGCATATATTTTGGGCATATATTTTAAGCATAGATACGCTATGCAAACAAAAAATGTTATCAAACAAATCGGGGATAATGTTGTGCGTGTATGTGTTGGTTGGGTCAGCCCATCGCAGACCGCCTAAGCGTCAAAAAATAAAATAATAAATAAATAATGAACAAAAAATGAATAAATAATGATCAAAAAATGAATAAATAATGAACAAATAATGAACAAATAATATAGAAAAAATGAACAAATAATGAAGAAAAAATGGACAAATAATGCACAAAATGAAAAAGCTAAAGAGTGAGACATTTGCGGCAGAGTAAACAAAATATATGGTGATTTAATTAAACAAACATGAAGAATTCATCTTTTTATGATACTTAAAGGAGAGGTATACAAAAAAAATTGATAAAATGGACACACAGGAAGAAATAAAAAAAGGGAAAAGTTGATTTTCTATATAATAATAACTATATATAATTGGAGAAATGGTCAAAGATAAATATCTAAAGAAGGATACAATACTTTGAGAAAATAGTTGATCCTTTTTATCAAAAAATAAAGATATGATTGTTGGTATGATTGGCTCTATATAAGCATAGGAACATGAATGAATGAAGCAAATACTTATATATTGAAAAATTAGATTGTAATATTTTATACTATGATAGGTTAGTAAAATTCCCGTGCTTTGTATGATCAGGCCTATAATTGCCGTCCCTATAAATTGAATTAAAAAAAAAAAAAAAAAAAAAAAAAAAAAAAAATGAGATATAATAATAATAATAATACATTTTCTCTTTATTTTTGTGGGGTACGTATAGTGTGCCCTTAGATGCTAAATTGTCTTGCACATAACCCCATCTTAATCCAACCATCCTGTTCATATGAATGTGAATGTATATATACATATTTCTACATATGGATTAACAGTATGAATCCTTTCATACCGTTGTATCCAAATGTTTTGAGGATATATGAGAAAGAAAAATATTGATAAAAGATCATGATAATTCCACTCAAGGACACAAAGACGCTGATTTGTACTTGTTTGTTGTCTGTAGAACGGGGGTGGGAGAAATAATGGAAAAGAGGACGAGGTTAAGATATATGGATAATCTATTTTGTTTTTAATCGAGAATGCAGATAGAGATGCAAACACACACACTATAAGGATAAATATTCAATAATAATCACATGCACAAATCATGGAATGCTTAGTGAATAGTGTTGTTGAATGATGAACGAACCAGAGGAAACATTGTCATTATAAAAGACAAAAAATATATTGCTCATCAAATTGGATGAAAAGGCTGAAGTAAATCTGAACAGACAAATAGAAAGAAGACATTTGAACTTGTAAGAAAGAGCGGTGTTAACTAATGAGCACATTTTTTGTTTTACATAATGGGTTAATGTTGAAATGTAAAAATAATCTCGCCTCTTCAAAAATTGTTGATAGGATGACAATTCTGAAAAGTCATCATTGTAATAATTAAAATTTTTTTTATTATAATTAATATCCGAATAGTTTTTTTTTTTATTTAGTATGTAACTATTTACAGAATTTTCTTCTCTTTTGTAACTAGATGTTGCATATTTATTTTTTATATTTTCAATGAGATTAATATTAAATTCTTCCTGAGCAAAATCATTTTTTAAGTGTGATGAATTTTTCCTGCTATTTCTTGTGTTATCCCCATATTTTATTTTGTCTCTCTTAGTATCAACATTAAGTGTAACTAAATTATTATCTTGAAGAATTTGTTTTCTTGTATTATCTTGACTCTGGGATAGTAATTCGCTGGAGATTGTCAAAACGATTAGAAGAGATACAATTAATCCAATGGTATTAAAATTTAATATGATTTGAAAATTAAATATTGTTAAAAATATGGAAGATAACAGAGGTCCTAGGATTATACCAATTGCGTTAAATATATTTATATATGTATAATAAATACATACATTTGTATCAACTAAATCGTTAATAATAGCATTAACTACTACTATAAAAACTGAACTACTTCCACATATAATTCTGTTAATGATTAACAAAGTAAAATTTAATTTTATATAAAATAAATACATACCAATTAAATTGAATATAATTAAAAATACTAATAAATGTTTTTTATTAAGTGATGAAAAAAATCCTATTATCAAACACATTACACATTGAGAGAAGGAATAAAAGCTTAACAATATTCCTAATTCTTTTACTTGTATTTCGTAATAATTTAGTATGTAAAATGGTAACAGTGGCTGCAAAAATGACTCAAACAATGTTTTGATAAACACAGACAGCAGTATTTTGAATAGAGTTTTTTTCTTGATTCTTTCATATTCTTCATTATCATGAAACAGATTTCCATCATTCATTTGCAGTTTCATTCTATCTACTTACTATATTTCTCATTTATGTTGAAAAGTTCACGCGCACGTGCATACAAGCATGCATATATATATATATATACATACATATATGCATGTATGTGCATATATATATTTTCACGTGTATACTCACCCACTGTGCTCTTATGTGTTCGTTCTTCCAATTTACATACTATGTATTTGTTTAACTCCTAACGGATTTCGCTCACCGATGATATGTATATTTGTGTGGTAGTTTTTCTTCCTCAGGTGCAATGTGCCTCATAGAGTTTACGCAACTGGATTGATGTGCTGTGTCGATTGATGATATACAAATGGGTTATCTGTATATGTATATATGCAACTGGATTGATGTTCTGCGTTTCATGGACGTACAAATAGGCTCTGTATTTTTTGATATGTTTTCAATGCAGGTGTATATGCACATGAGTAGATGTATCTATATTCATATTTTTAAACAGTTATGATAGTTGGTTCAATAGCATACATGTATCCACATATGTGTACATAATTAACATACACCAGGTGTTAAACATGCAAATTTTGCGTGGATATCTTAACGGTTTCTCAAAATAAGCTTCTTAACAGAGGTTTATGAGCAGGTGGGAAAAAAAAAAAAAAAAATTTCCACAAAGAGTAAAGTTCAACGAGGGGCACAAAAAAAAAGTATATCGCTTTAGCGCTTTGTTGCCTTATTTATTGTTTATTTTATTTATTATTATTTTTATATATTATTATTATTTCTATTTTTTTTATTTTATTTATTTATTTTTTTTATTTTTTTTTTTTTGCCATATATTTCTGCTACCACGAGATCACATCACATGTGGTCACAAGTACAAGGATTTTTTTTTTTTTTTTTTTTTTTTCCATCTCTAAAATGTATACTGCATGTATAGCTGAACACACTGCAATTATAGCAAGATTGGAAAAATTTTATTTTAAAGAAAAAAAAAAAAATTTCCTTAAAACACTGCAATAAAAATAAAGAAAAACAATACATCTACTGATAAGCTCTCTTGTAATTGCAATAACGTTCAAGTTTTACGTAAATGCATGCTATGTATGTCGCACAAGCAAGGTGCATATTTGGCTCAAGTATATACATAATGCGTACACGTACTTACATATAAGTACGAGTATACTTTTGTTTGAGAGATGCACCTGCACGAGAGTACTACTCTCTCCTTTGTGAATATAAGATTTTTCGCTAGTTAAGAATATTCATCTGTATGCTATACCATAGGTGCATTTTGCATTCGTTAAATAAATGTTTACTGCACGTGCATGCAAACAAAGTGTACGTCTTTTCGTTAGACCTACGTCTTCCACGATGGTAGGATTATGTGGATATGTAAATGAACATGCGTTCATACATATACATGTGTACTAATGTATGTCATGTGTGTTTCGATCATTGAAAAGCATAATAATGTGTGTCAAGGTATCTTGTGGGCTAAAAAAACCAGATGCATTTAAAATAAAAAAAAAATATATAAAAAATTTATTGAATTAAGCAACCTTGTAACAAATTACACAAAATAGCACAAATCCGCATTAAATAATCTACAAACAGTAAAACATTAAAAAAAAATGTAAAAAAGTCACAAGTCCACACATATTACACAACCTTGCAAATCACACAATCGTGCAAACTCCACAATAGTACATTCACACAAACTTTGCAAATTACACAAAGCCCTTGTAAACCACCCTAAATTAAGGCATACCCAACCTACGTGAAAACAAAACCATCCAAGGGAAGAAAAGCACATATAACAAGGAAGAAGAATTGCTAAGTGATAATCAGTTTTCCAAAATTAAGGAAAATAAAAAGAGTTGATAAAAAGAAGAAGAAAAAAAAAAAAAAAAAACAAGTATTCTTTCGCACAGGAGCTAAGCCCAAGTCGTTTAATACAATAAAAAATCTCATAGCAATACAAGGAAGAAAAAAGAAAGAAAGGAAAAAAAAAAAAAAAAAAAAAAAAAAAAAACAGGAAAACGCGAAAAAATCGAATTGACAAATTTCTTTTAAATTTCCACGTAATTGTTAAAGAAGCGAAATCCTCATATATTCCCCAGTCTGAGAATTACCCCGAGTATTTAAAGTAACAAGAAAAAGCTTTAAAAAAGCAAACCAACAAAAAACGATTGAAGAAGAAAAATATAGAAAAGAAATTCAAATGAAAAGAAAAAAATAACAATTCCCCAACAACTGAAGAGAAATTTACATAGGCATTACTACACATATATATATATATAGTTATATTTTACTAACAAAGGCACATTAAGAAAGAGCGTAGAAAATAAAGTGCATTGGTCCTAAGCAAAAATAAAAAATAATACACGTGGAGGCTACGTAACCTGAAATAATAATACATTTTTGAAGATTTTTTTTTTCCGCTTAATTTGATTTAATTTAATATAATTTTCTTTTCTTTTTTTAGAAAGTTCCAGATAAATGAAAAAAATATATATTTTTTCATTTTTCTCTACATTGTGTCACACGTGTTTCTTTATTTTTTCATAATTTTCACGTGATTATTCCTTTTTTTCTCGTCCTCTTTTTTTTATTTTTTTATAAATCCTTCTCTTTTTACCTTATCACTCATTGTCCATTTACAATATATTCTTCATTTTTATTTTTTTTTTTTTTGACCATCTTTCTTCCCCAATTTTCATGCGATGTTTTCACAACATTTTTGCCTTTTGTTTTTTCCTTGTTTCACGAGTTATTTTTTTATCCTATTTATTTATTTTTTTTTTTATTACCGTTCTATTTTGCATAAAAATTCCGTGTTTGTTCCCATTTTAGTGTTCCATACTCACCTACCATTCCTGTGATTTTTTGGATTTCTTTTTTCATTGATAGTGTTACACAGAGATGAACTGCACGCATCGATTGAGTAATAGTGATATTCCGTTTTTTTTTTTTTTTTTTTTTTTTTTTTTTTTTATCAGTTCTGCCATCCATGGAGTGTAGTTTTTACATATATTTATTCTTAATGTATTGACAGCGAGAAGAGTACACAGACAAGACTATATCGGAGAAGTATTGTGATATCTACATTTATTTTGCATGCACACGGGCAGTTCTAAGGGCATTTGATGTATAATCATTTTCTCTTGATCAAAGAAAAAGGAAAAAATATATAACATATTTGAATGCACATATAAAGATTTAGCAAACAAGACGCACAGAGAAGAAGCAGCAAATCAGGTATACTCAACTGTTAAGGAGTAGAGTGTGCGAAGTTTTTTCCACCTCAAGTGTTAAGGAGCGCACGACAATACAGTGAATGTGCAGAAGCCCACACGGGTCACAAACTATCGTAGAAATACATGTCAAATATAGGGAATGAAAAAAAAAGGAAAATGGATGCCTTTTATATTTATTCGGATAAGGGTAATTTGTTAGTAGAACAAATTTTTGATAAGGATATAAATGGGTACTTGGTGCAGAAAGAAATGACAGATATGATATTGAACAAAAATAAAATAGAAAGATCTTATTGTATACTGATAAATGATGATTATGATGAGAGTGTAATAAGAAAAAATTATGATGATAAGTTTATATTTTTTATTAAAAGAGATGATTTGTATTTTATTATTTTAAAAAAGGATGATAAAGATCCCATGATGATTATTGAGATAATGCGAGAAATTACAAATATTTTTAAAAAATATTTTAACATAGAAAAATTAAGTGAAAGTATTTTAATGAATAATTATTCTGTTGTAAATTTTTTAATTAATGAAATATTAGTACAAGGAGGAAAACCGAACATATTTGTAGATGAAATTTTGAAAAATTTAGTGAAAAATGATTCTGGATTTCTTAATGAGACTTTGAAATATTCACCTATTCCAAATAATTTGTACAATATGATTGCACAAAGGAAAAACAACTTAATGTTAAATACGTGTAAAGACAAGAATATAAATTACAGTTATAGTAATGGGACATCAATTAATTCGATGGATTCTAGAAATGTTTATTGGAGATCAAATAATATAGTATATTCTTGTAATGAAATATATGTAGATGTAATTGAAAACGTAAATTGTGTTTTGAACAAAAATAATCGAATAATTCATTTTTCAGTTCAAGGGAATGTTATTGTTAATTGCACAATTACAGGATCACCATTAATTAAGTTATATTTTAATAAAAATATTGATTTGAAATTATGTCATCTACATTTTACTGTTAATTATAATATGCTAATTCGAAAAAGTATATTAAATCAAGAAGAAGAAAAAAATGCAATTCATTTCGTGCCCATGAACGAAGAATATATGATCATGCAATATTTTGATTATATTCCTTTAGAAGATATTAATAAGAGGGCCTTATGTAATAAGGAAAATAGTACTTTTAGTACCGTGGATGAACTAACAGATGTGCTAAATTTGAAAAATGGAAATATTGAAAATAGTAATACTGGCACTAGAATAACTAAGAACACGCAAGAAGGTAATCAAAAGGTAGATAAGAAAAAGGGCTTGACAAGTGGAAGTATAAAGCCAGAAAAGGGAAATGTTATGGAAAATGAAAAAAAAGAATATACATCTGTGAATGCTGAACATCTCAATCACACTGAAATGATGAAGAAAAAAATTCGAGATGAAATTTTTTGTGAAAACTGCAACAATTTTAAGAGACCTTTACGAAATAAAAAAAGTATCCATAAGAGTAATGCAAAGAATGGATGGAAAAATATGGTATGTGTATGTACTAATAATAAAGGGAAGAAGACTGGAGGGGATATCCAATTAAATAAAAGTATTAAGAATAATAATATTAGTAGTAATAGTTTTCTATTGGATGATGAAGAAAATAATGAAAGGTATTTACTACCTGTCAGTGTTAAGGGTAGTGTTGTTTATGTACCATCAGAATATATGTACAGCATCAAAATTCAGGTTAATTTGAATAATATCAATAAAAATAATAATAGCAATATGATACTAAATAGTTATGAAAATATATTTATGAAAATTCCAGTACACAATTTTATACGATCTGTTAATTTTCAGTGTACTATTGGGAAAATGACATACAATGATAATGTAGGTTCAGTACTATGGTATATTCAAAATGTTGTAGATACTAGCATACCCATATCAGCAAATATATTCATGTATATAAAACCGAATGAAGATGGACTATATTATAATCATGATTATTATTATGATAAATTATTAATCTGTAGCAATAACGACCTTTTTAATGGTATTTCTGATACTACTCAAAAAAATGGAATTTCAAATTATTGCTATGTAGGTATGCACAATGAAAAATGCAATAATAACGAAACAGATATTTACAAGGACGATTCGATTGAATACTATAATGGGAATGCATGTGTATATCCTGCTTTCAGTTTTCCAGTCTACATTAGTTTAAAAATTAATGGTATAGCAATTTCTGGAAAAGGCGTTGAGAAAATTGAAATTGTTGAGCCAAAGAATTTGCAAGTACGTAAGGCGTGCAGATACACCACTTTTTATAGTCATATAGAATTTAGAATATAAAAAAAAAAAAAAAAAAAAAAAAAAAAAAAAATCATGCATACTTTATGCAGTTTAATGGGTACTGTTCTATGCAATTGTCAGTTTAAGAAAAAAAAAAGAAAAACATATCTGAATACATGATGTGTTGATATATTCGCTTTTACAAATATCCCCTTTAAATGTACCAAAAAAAGGGGAAGAAGAAAAATATCAACTTAAACATGTAGATAAAGTAGGGCACGAACAGAGAGATACAAATGTGTATCATTTTGTTACAAAATTATTAGTACACTTTTTTATGTGTATTTTATTTTAATAGATTAAAATATATAATTCCTTGAATACTTTTTGCTTTTTCTTCATTTTGGCCTTCTGCAAATCACATATGTTTGCCCTTGCCTAATATTTTCGATTCTGTCAAAAGTGAAGTAAACAAATTGAAAAAAAAAAAAGAAGTATTATATGTATGTATATATATTTGTATATATACATAAACCCATAGAACGTATTGGTGAATGTTTGCATAAATGATCCCCCACAGTATAAAAATGTGTACCAAGTTTTATAGTATTCTCAAGGTCCAAGGAATCATCAACTCTGCGCGATGGGATAGGAAAGAAAGAGAAGGAAATATTGAAATGATTACAATTCAGAAAGTGAAAATTCATAATTTTGAAACATTTCTGAAGCATGTATGATGATTTTTGTGTACGTCCATATAGTTCTTTTGCAGCTAGTAGAAGTAGTAACAGTAGTAGCAGTAGTAGCAGTAGTAACAGTAGTAGCAGTAGTAGCTGTAGTAGCAGTAGTAGCTGTAGTAACAGTAGTAGTTAATTTTATGATTGCTTTTCAAATTGTGTATATTTTTTTATCCCATTTTTATCCTTTTTTTTTTTTTTTTTTTTTTTCGCATCTAGTAGTAATAGGGTAGTAGTAGTTAACTTCATGATTGATGATAAACTCTTACACATTTTTATTCCATTTTTTATATAACCAAAATATACGTATTTTTATTCGCTTTTACCTGCACATATTCTTATGGAAGTCAACGTTTTTGTACAACTTTATAATTTCTAGGAATTCCAATGACTATAAAACAAAAGAAACAGCAAAATAATGAGTAGTTGATACACCATCTATTCATAGTTTAAATGTAATTTTTTTCGTACATCGTGTGTATATATTTATTATTTGGTTACTTTATAGGATCTGCTGATATTTCCATTTTCTCGCTTTCATGAAGTGATGGTACGGTTATGCGATTGTGTGTGAGAAGGGAATTTGCAATGATGAAATTTTTTTTTTTTTTTTTTGAATTATGGTTTTCGCCATCCAGCGAGGAGGTGACTCAGTTTGGCAGTTTGAGTGTGTGACAATTTTATTGCTTTCATGTGCTTATCTAATCGGCTGTTTGTCTATCCAAACGTCGTTTTTGTTTTGTTCTGTTTTTTTTTTTTTTTACTACTTTTATTTTATTATTTTTATTTTATTATTTTTTTTTTTTTTACTACTTTTATTTTATTATTTTTATTTTATTATTTTTTTTTTTTTTTTACGTTTTTCTGAGTTATCCGCATGAGTATTTCTATTACTAGCTTTAAATTTTTTATGTACTGTAGCATATCTTCATTGGAGTGAAATTCAACTTTTTCCTAAAAGGGGTTTCCCACGTGGTGGTATGGAGGGGAATAGAGATACGTATCATTTGATATGTAACCTCTTACACCTAACAGCTTAGGTGCATCAGTTGATATGTTTTTTCCGTGAGTCCATTTGTGTATGCAAATGTGAAGCATTATATGTTAAATGGTACATTAACGTGATTAGTGTGTGTAATTAGTGTGTATGCTTTGTCCACCATTTTTGTAGCAGATTTTATTACCTCCATATTAATTGAGTTAAAGTAATTATTTTGTTTCTCTAAGAACTTTTTTATTTTGTCCATCTTGATGTTAATGTCTTCAAGTTCCTTTTCACTTCACATTGGGTTAAGGAAATGTTTAGGAAATGTTTAGGAAATGTTTAGGAAATGTTTCGGAAATGTTTAGGAAATGTTTCGGAAATTTTTCATAGATGTGACGTAAATGTTGCATAGGTGTGTGAATGTAGAAAACAGATAAGAGAGAACTGCTGTAATCATCCAACTATATCAATGTTAAGAGATTAATGAGAGGAAAATTCCGTTTATTGTTAAATAACTGTAAAAATACATACCTTGCGAAGACAAGCTTGTACAGATCATACATATCCTCTGATATCTTTTCCTTCTCCTGATATAAGGCAAAAAAAAAAAAAAAAAAAAAAAAGGGAAGAAAAAAAACGGAAGTGTTTATGAGATGGTGCCGTGTGGATACATACACACCAAATCGCATACTTATCCAAACTTATGCATTATAACATTTTGAATTTTCTTCTTTAATATATTTTTGTCCTCTGAAAATGTGTTTATAATTTCATTATTTAGGGTTATATATTCTTTAATGGCATCCTAAGATTTATTTATAAGGAAGAGAGAAAAGTGGGGAGAAAAAAAAAAAAAAAAAAAAAAAAAAAAAAAGCATGTCTAATCTGAAAAATGAAGATAAAGAATAGTGATATGTTCGTGAAAATGACAACACAATGTGTAAAAATATACTGATTTTTTTTTTTTTTTTTTTCACTTCGAGCTTCTTCTGTGATGACTCTTCCTCCTTTTGCAACAAATTTTTTTTATTTTCAATGTCTAGAAACTTTTGATTTATGTCATAAATATCCGTAACTCCCTTAAGAGGATATATTTGAGATGAAAAAAAAAAAAAAAAAAAAAAAAAAAAAAAATTACAAACTGTAGCGTTGATGGCAATTTGCCTTTACGGTATAATAACAAGGACATATTTGGTGTATTACATCCTAATGTTACATATTTGGGATTTTTTGTGGAGAACCCAATTTATTGTCCTCTTGCATATTTTTTGTAGCTCAACCCAATTGTTTATTCACAATGGCATTATGCTTTTGTTGTTTTTATATCCCTCTAGCTGTTCATCTATATATGTACCCACCCATTTTCTATCCATTTCTCACCCATTTTCCACTCGTTTTTTTATTTTTGGGCCCTTACGGTTGCTTCCCTCAGCTTGGATATTGTGGCATATATGTTGCTTGCATTTTCAAAGATGTTGGACGCGCTCAGTTTTAAGTAATTGTTGTATAACAAGTAGTAAATGAGAAGTTTCTTGAATTTTTTTTTTTCTTTCACCATGAAAGCTATATCTGCGTTGTGCAGTTTGTTGTTTTTGTATTCGTTGATCATTTCCCTATAACGTGTAAAGAAAGAAAAAATGGGCCATGTTTGTGTGCCAAATATATCACATAATATGTTCACTGTTCAAACCTTTAGATGTATGCATAAACCAGTGTTAAAAATATATGTCCCTCTGGTGCTTGTGAATTGTAAAAAAGGGCGTTAGGAGTGACTCAAAGAATGTATGCATATATATACACACAGGTGGAAGCATGCATATACACACATGTGGAAGCATGTATATATTTATATATGTTTATACCTTCGTATCCTTAGTATATTGCTATGCTCCTTATTGACATTCATATATTTGAGTATTTCTTCATTTTTATTTTTCGCTTTCACAAGTTCCTGACAGTAGAAAATTGGGATATACAGGAGAACGGCTCTTCTTTTACACTGAAATTTATTTATTTTTGTAATCCTTCTATATTTTCATTTTTAGTTTTGCTTCATAGGCATAGAATCTACAATCATGTAGACACGTGTGTGTATGTTTACACTTTTTGTCTCCTGGAGTGAAGACAAATGAGCACCTTACCGTTTTTTTCTCATCGATAGATTTTTTCAAATTTTTATTTTCTGATGTAATTTTTCTGTTAAAAAAAGCGTGTATTGGGAGGGGTGAATGAAGGGACGCAGCATTAGTGTAAAGATGCAAAATTTTGAATATGTTTTTTAATAGTGTGATCCTAATGGTATCCAAAGAATGTATGCTTATTTATTTATTTATTTATTTTTTTTTTTTTTTTTTGTGTGTGCGTATCCTTATTTGGTATTACTGAATGGTGTTATGAAGTTGTCGTTCACTATTTTTAAGACTCGTAACTGTTCTTTCTAAGGAGTTCAAGTAGAAGTATAACATCTTTTTTTCTTTCTGTTTCGTGGTAGAAAGTACAAGACATGAGAGAATGAAAGTATGCATTGTGAAATGGGGGTGGGGTGAATTCTTTTCCCAGGTGAAATGTTCATTTGTTTTATCATTTTTTTCCCACTTTAGTTAATTACCTTAACCCTTTGTAACATTATTTGGTATGTATACTTAGAATGCTTGAGATTTTCGAATTTGTTTAATATGTCTTCATTTTTCGATTTTAGTTCCTCGTGTTCCTTTTGTGTGAATGTACGTAGAGGTGTGGAATATTTTTGTATGTGCACTGCACGTGCAAGAAATTATGCAAATGCTCAATCAAAAAAGGGAGTTTTCATATCCTTTTCTCCCTTTTTCTACTTTTTGTACATTTGACTCATTATAAAATAATTTCCAAATAAACAGAAATCATGGTGTGTGTGAAGCTTTGTCTTTCCTTTTATTACAATTTTTTGTTGCACTAGGGAAATTTTGTTCAGTTTTAATTCCCGATTAAGGAGGTCTAAATTTTTCTGTAAAAATAGGGAATGTATGATGGGTATGAAGATGGAGAATATGTGTCTTTATATATACCGTTCGTCCATACGTTTGTTTTCTGTTTCTTCATGTTTCGATTTGGTGGAACTTCCACTCTCCATCCCCATGGTCTTATTTCTAATCTCACCTTAGTGTTTTCATACTTATTAAATGTGGTTTCCCCTTTTTCCTTGATAAAGTTAAATTTCTTTTTTACTGAATACACAATACCTTCTGTATTTTCGTTCAGTTTTTCATTGTCTTTCTGAGAAATGCGTAAAATTTGTTAGACGTTGCAGGTGGATGTTCATGTTGATGTTCATGCTGGTGTTCATGCTGGTGTTCATGCTGGTGTTCATGCTGGTGTTCATGATGGTGTCCATGTTGATGTTCATGCTGGTGTTCATGCTGGTGTCCATGTTGATGTTCATGTTCGTGTTTTATTTTATTTTTATTTATTTTTATTTTATTTTTTTTTTTTTTTACGTTAATGTTGCTTAAAATGGTTCGTAGATATCGGTTGCTTATGTGGTTACTTCATGTTCGTGTAACAGTATTTCTGGAGAAAAAAAAGCATCTCTCAGAGGCAGGGTAGGGCCTTTTTATTTCTATGTACCTTATAGAAGGGCACCAAATCCTTCAGATTACTTATCTTGTCATTATTTTGATTTTTCATTTTTCATTGTTCATTCTTCGACTATTCCTATTTCTTAATTGTCCCTATTTTTGAACTGGTTCCTATTTTATTTATTGATTTATTTATCGAATTATTTATTTATTTTTATGCTGTTAATTATCCAGGGAGAGAGATAAAAGTGGAGAAAAACACAAATTCCTGCAATCACGTTTCGTGATTGGGCCCTATATTTACGGGTAGCTTTCATATGCATACATATATGTATATATCATTTCTAGCATGTGAAAAGAATTCCCATTTTTTTTTTTTAATCTTTTATTTACCTCTTTACCAATTTATAAGCATTGGTATTCTTGAATCCTGTGTTATATTATTGTTTTTTCAGAAATTTTTTCATTAAAATGGGCCAAGCAAAAATAAAATAGGACAAAAAAAAAAAAAAAAAAAAAAAAAAAGCACAGCACAGTACAGAACAGTAAAAGCGGAGCGAAAAAGACACATAAGATAAAAAAATATGTAAATAAATAATTAGGCAATATCTTGCAATGTCACACAAAAAAGATGCTTTATTTTATTTTTTTTTTTTTTACATACATATTTTTGCAACTCTTCTTACGTCACTCTTAAGTATAAATGCGTTAACAATTATAATGTTTCGCGTTAAAAACTGCACCCTTTTTTTATATTTAATTAAAGAGAACGAATGTGGTCATTTCAAGGTACTAACAAGACAAGTAGTTAATTTGATGGATATATGTATATATGTGTGTGAATATTTGTACATAGAACATAGTCATATTTTTAATGAACCTCTATGAAGACAGGTACGAATATTGCATATAGACATACATGTGTACATGTTTCAGAACTCATGACTAATATTAATCTGTAACAAAAAATCAATGGATTAAGTAAATTTAGAAATCGGAGTGAAAATGATTATACATCATATTTTATATATATTTTGTTCAGTTTGTTTAAAAAAATCACTAAAATTTTTTTTTTTTTTCAGAGGCATAAAAAATTATTAGGTTAACCAATGAATGTAAACACATACACACACATGCGCGCAAAAACTCAAGAGCGCCCATATAGTTTCATCAAAACGTGCGGAAAATTTAAAAAAAAAAAAAAAAAAAAAAAAAAAAAGGGATAAAAAAAAGAGATAAAAATAAGACAGAAGTTGGATAGGAAAATGTGAAAACAAATGTATTTTTTTTTTTTTTTTTCCCTCTTTTTTTCTTTAAATTATGCAAAATATTCTTATATCATCAGTCGAACCCATGAATTATGTACGTGTGGAACTTTTACTAAATAGTTTTAATATCTACACGTTATAGACATATATTGTAATACCTTTCTCTTTTTAATAATTATAATAGTCTCTCACTGTTCATAACATAGGACTCAAATTTATTTTAGGTACATAGCCTGTTCAGCACATTTACACAAAAGGATACACATATATATACACACATTTGCGTATTTTTCAATTTCCCTTTTGTCTGGCTTATGAATTGGAGACCTTGTTTGTTAGGAAGGGGTAGACAAAACCGTGCCGATAACATTCACTTGGGATATTCCTCCATCTGGATGTAGAGAAATTTTAAAATGTGTTGCTGTTCTTTCCATAATAGTAAAATTATATTCGAGCAAATTAAAATTGTAAAATGTTTTTTTTTGGTCATTTGCTAGTTTACATGGTGGTAGCTGAAGCCAGTCAATTTTTTTTTTTTCTAATTTTTCATCTTCTTCAAATATCCTTTTTTGTTCTAACAAATCTAAAGTGAGAATATCAATACAATCTAGTAAGTAAATCTGGATGTACTCTGGATGATCATGTTTATAATTTCCTATATCGAAAGTAAAATTTTCAATAATACCCCTAACACCAAATTTAAAAATGGAAACATTTTTAATAGAGTTATAGGTAAGCGTTCGTAAAATTATTGGTGGTCTATTAAATAATCTTTTTGTTGCAAACCCATCCGTTTTGTACGAATCGATAATATTTTTTGGGTGTCCTTTGTATGTATCATCACATTGATGATATATTAAAGTACAGCCATTTTCAGGTTTGTTTAAAAAAACTTTTTGTTTTGACAAAGTGGTATGTTTTTTAAATAAGGAAACAAATTCTCCATAAAATTTTATTTTATTTATACCTCCATCTGGATATAAATTTACTCTTATATGTGTCCATGGTTTAATTAATGATTGATCATTAACTTTAAAATAATATATTTTTTTTTTATTATAACATTTGAGAAAATCTACACAATCTGCTTGAAGTAATTCAACCCATGGTGTATTTTGATTTTCTAAAATATCTGATATGCATTTGTCTATTTTATAGGATTCTAGAAAATTATAACTTTTTCTCTTTATAGTTTTTTGTTCTTTTTGCTCTTTTTGCTCTTTTTGTTCTTTATCTTCTGCTTCATTTATTATGTATTCTTCTTCTTTGACTATATCATCTATACAAGCATTATCAACAACTTCTATTGATAAATGCGGACATATATCTTCTTCTATGTTTTCAAAATTTAATTCTATTCCATATATAATACTTGGATATTTTAGTTTCAGGATTAACCATTCATGTCCTACATCCCTTCTTCTTCTGGTTACCCATCCCATTTTATCTTCGATCATTAAATTTTCAGATTTACTAATCGATTCGTCAGTTACGAACAGAACCTTTGAGCCGAAATGTTTCGACAAGACATTATTGAAATTAAAAAAATTAACTTCATCCTTGCATTCGATTTCTTTCGATGGAATTTTCACATTTTTACTCACAATCCAGCTGAATATATTATTAAAAATGTTTAAAATTTTTCTTTTCTTTTTTTCCTTCTTCAGTTTATAGCTTTTTTCATTATTTTCTCCTATTGTTTCGACATCCACTTGGGTTTCTATTCCATCTTTTTCTCCCACTGCTGCTTCGTCCTCTTCTTCACCATCCCCTATTTCGTGCAATTTTCTTTTTTTAGCGATTTTCGACTCGTTAGAGTTCCTCAATGTTTTGCTTTCTTCCTCGGTGGTTTCTTCTTCCGTGTTCATTTTGTGTGTGTCAATTTGTGCGTGTGAATTTGTATGTATACATTTGCTTATTTGTTTGCTTCTCGTTTGTGTATGTTTTCATATATGCGCCTTAATCATTCGTGGGCTCTATTTTGTTTTATTATTTTTTTCTTTATTTCCTTTTTCACCTCCCTTACCAGCCTGCGTAGAGCGATGATAAAACCACTTGTTTCTTGCTCTTTAAAGGGTAACTGCATTTCGGTATGTATGCATATACACATGTGTATATATATATATATATATATATATATATATATATATATATATATATATATATGTTTGTGGCAAAAAAAAAAAAAAAAAAAAAAAAGAATTTACACATAAATGTACTATACAGCAGGATGGTGTACTTGCACAAGGATGAGTCACAATGAGTTCCCTATTTCTTTATTACGTGGAAAAAATGAAGACGTTTTTTTTTTTTTTTCTTTTTTTTTTCTTAATTTTTGTATCCTACAGTTAAGTATCCAGTTGTGATGAGACATTTAGATTTCACTTTTTTTTGGTTGTAAAAATTTTGAGAAAGAGTAAAAATATTCACAGAATTTCAAAGATGCCACGATGTGTTGCATAAATGTGCGATATCACTGTAAGTATGGGTATTTTTATGGTGTACATAGGTATGTGCAGGAGAAAGTGAATGCACATGTGAAAATGAATATGAATGTGCTTTTGCAAAAAAAAGGAAAAAAAAAAAAAAAAGAAAAAGAATGAAATAAAAATAAAAAAATAATCGACAACTTTTCAACTAAAAAAATCAAAGTTGTTATCTGAAATAGTGTTGTTGATGGTAGTGTGTACGCTACTGTTATGATAAATATCCAAACAAAGATGGTCCAAAATGGGGGAATAAACAATTTGTGCTTTTTATATTCAAATTTTTAACTACGAAAATTGTTTACCAAATGAAGATATCAATGTTGTTACAATTCCATGGTAAGGTACAAAGTCATCGAGTTGACGACATTTGGGAAGGGTAGCGGTAAGTATGAGAGAGTGGTAATTAGGTTCTCATTGATTTCACTCGTACTATTGCTAACACATGTGAGAAGCAAAAATTTGTAGAAAGGTGATTTGCATAAATGTTGCAAAACATTTATACCTTGAGAAACATCGACTTTACAAAAGGGTCAAATAAAATGCACAGCGGACGGTGTTACACTTTTCGGGAAAAGGATATTATTCCACCCTCAATACCCCCTCGTGAATATCAACTGAACGAAGTGGCTGCAAGTACAAATATTTACACAGTATTGTGTTTATATATATATATATAGAGAGAGAGAGATAGAGATAGATCAATATAGGTAATCATATACTCAGATGTGTTAACAAATCACTGTTTATCTTTCCAAGTCTTATTTACATGCACTGAGGGATGCGTAAAAATATCTTGGGAGTATATATATGGTGAGGAAAAGTTTTCACTCCTATAGGAATGATATAATATAATATTATAATAAGAGTGTGTGTTCACCCAAATATTTCCCAAGATTTTCCACAATTCATTCGTTGAAATGGTGAAAGGGAAAATATGAGGGGGGAAAATGAATGTCGCGATATGTTGAGGGCCTTGCTTATGCAATGTTTTCATCTTTATTTTGCTAAGCATGTGAGGAAAAAAGGAAGTTAAGCGAGGGGGAAAAAAAAAAAAAAAAAATAGAATTCATAACAGATTTTTTTTTTTTTTTTATATATATTTTTGCTTCTTAAGAATAATGATGTTTATTGTCCTCCCTTCAATATTCTATACGTACTTGTAGGTATATTTTGAAAACACGGTGCAATGCAGCGGTGTGCTTATTAAAGGCATGTTCCTTCACGCTTTTCTGTTTTCTTTTTTTTTTTTTTTTTTTTTTATCCATATTCTTCGAAAATGTTATATTAAATTCGTTTGCAGGATATGCATATGTTTTTATTTTTTATTTTTTTTTTTTCCCTCGTATCTTTGTGTGCGCACAACATTACAATGATTTTGATAATTGAAAAATGGAAGCAATGAAATAATTATTTGTGTGAGAAAGTATCCTCATGGTGACACATGTAAATGATAAAATGGGGATTTTATATTCAAGATTTATTTATTAGAAAGGGGTAAAAGAAGAAAAAAAAAAAAAAAAAACAAAAAAAAAAAAAACAAAGAGAAATAAAAGATCAATATTGAAGCAAAAATTAAATTGACTTAAAAAGGAAATATTCCGATTAAGAATGTCTAAATTTTAACAATTCTTTAAGATGACTTTAAAAAATGATAAACCCACAGAAAAAAATATATTCCTTCACAACATGTCATAAGAATATTCAAAAAAAAAAAAAAAAAAAAAAAAAATTTAATGCAGTGGACAGAGTTATATTGTGTTCGTGTGTCATTCTTGAAATTATAAAAGACAGCAGTCTCTTACTGCTTAATAAGAAAATCAAATTATGATGAACAGAAAAATAGCATTTATAAAAAAATAAAATATAATGAATTTTAAATTCATACTTTTAAAATTAATTCTATAAGTTCCTATGTAAGTTTTTTTTTTTTTTTTTCAATTTTCCTTTTTTCATTTTTGATATAACATCTGTTCTATCACCATTTATCATTTGTCCCACAAGGGAAAATAAAAAAAATAATATAATCTCATTTGGCGGTAGCAGGGGATTGATCGTTAAAAGGAAGTAACTGTGGTAAGGCCGTGAACAGAACTTTTAATTTTGTTATATTGGAGAATAACAATGGTGTATTATATTTGGAAGCAGTTGCTTTTGATTTAAGGAATGGTTATATCGTAATCAATGCAAATGTGAAGAAAAAGCAATTCATACACCAACTTGAAAACAACACTATATGCAACTTTTTTCCGAAAGTTGCATCCCCCCCCTCCTCCAATTCCTCAATAGTGATGATAAAAAAAAAAAAAAAAAAAAAAAAAAAATTAAAACGCTATTTCTCAATAGTTCAGGAAATACAAAATGTTTTTCATTTAATGAAAAGGATCATTTGTTTAGATTAATAAAAAAATAAAAATGTGGTAAACAAATTTTTTCTATCTTTTCCTTCATCTTTTTCTCTATCTTTCTCTCCATCTTTTTCTTCCCCTTTTTTTTTTTTTTAACACACACATTAAAAGATACGAAAAATTGAAATAAATTGTTTTGACAAAAGAGGCATAGTACATGTGAATGTGTGCATAATTATAGTTACAAATCCCTTAAATAAAAGTTAAAAAAAAAAAAAAAAAAAAAAAAAAAAGAGATAGACTTGAGTATGCATTAGCGTGTGTTTTTTTTTTTTTTTTTTTTTTTTTTTTCCCTTTGGCATTTTTCACTGAGTGAAAATTAAAAAACTTCAGGCAAACTGAAAAAATAGATTAACTGTGGTCTTCAAAAAATGAAAATAGAAAGATCACATTTTTGGTACACGTATTTGCATTCATATATGGCTCTTGTATGTGAAGGTGAGAATCCAAAAAACCAAGGAGAAAAAAAAAAAAAAAAAAAAAAAAAAAAAAAAAAAAAAAATTGAACAAATTTTAGAAACGCTTGTTTACACTTTTTATCTTTTAACAATTCTAAAAGTGGAAAGGTGAATTTTTTAATCGCCCTAAGCTGTAACCTAGCTCTTGTGTTTTATCTTTAAATTTTTCTTATGCACTATTTGTCTAAGGGAAACACTACAAGGAGTGAAATAAAATAAGATTGCTACACAGGCAGTTAACACATTTGACTTGAAGCTTAATCAACGGTTCTGTTTGCTGTGTTTCTTCTTGCAAATTTTTTTGATTAATTTTAGAATACGTTTTGTTTTTGCATCATATATTTATTTTATTTTATTTTTTTTTTTTTTTGTTTATTTTCTTCAGCAACCTTTCCCCCCCACACGCTCATATCAGTCCGTCTGCGCACCCAACAAAAGCAGGCTTGACTCGTTACACTTTTGTGAAATTGGTTAAAAAAGCTATAAAAATAAAAAAAAATATATATATGTATATGGATATATGTATATACAAAAGAAACAAACATGTAGTGCCAAAATTGAAGCTTCCCAGCACAACACCAGAAGGAAAAAAAAAAAAAAAAAAAAAGGAAAAAACCGAAAGCCTGAATAAGGGGAAAGACATAATTTTTTCGTTAAGCCATCGCAACGCTATTCTCAAGTAGAATAGCTGCAGTTATATCCCATGGATATAATGAGAAAGGAAAAAGTGCAAAGGAATAGGATTGAGGAGAAGGATGACAATGATGATAGTGATAACTTCCAAAGTGTATACAAAAGAGTAGTAGTAAAGAACAGGATTTTAAACGAAAAGACAAACAGCAAAAATGCATTTTTAGAGATGTTAGAAATAAGCAGAGTTAATGATTATAATATAATGATGAAATATGAGTACATACTAAAGCTGTGTTTTTTTAGTAGCAATGTAAATGTTTTAAATGTATACAGATTGGTAAAGTCTGAATATGAAAAAGAATTTGATGAAGTAGCAGCTTATTTGAGAAGCAATATTTTAATTAGTATAATGGATACGAATCAAATAAATGATAAGAGTGAACATGTAGGTGAATATTTTATAAAAAATTATGAACAGCTGAAAAATTTCGAATACATAATAGGGAATACAGATTATCCATTAGGATTTGAAAAAAATACTAATGGGATATTTCGAGTGTACCTATTTAAAATAATACCTAGTAGAACTCTCTTATTAAATGAAACTAATTTGGATTATATAAAAAATGGCGAAATTCCAAATAATTATGATTCCATTGCAGTAGATAGAGAATTATATTATGAACAAATGGGTTCATTGAATCTAAAGCCAGGTGGAAAGGAAAATGAAACAATAAGAAGCGGTTACACCAAGGGTGGTAATAAGAGCAATAATACAAAAACTGGCACAAATTATAGCTATATATATAAAGTAAAATCTGCAGAACAAGTTCTACCTTTATTACTAATTGAATTTGAATTCAAATGCTTACGAGTCGATATTAGTGTTCCTATATGTGAATACTGCTACACTACTAAAGCTATTTATTATTGTCATAATGATAAAGTACATTTATGTGATGTATGTGATATAAAACATCACGAAAAAAATAGAATTTTGAAAAATCATAAAAGAATACATATATCAGAATCACCATATCAGTTTGGGAAATGTGCGTATCATCCAAACGAATTAGTGGAAAGTATTTGTATGAAATGTTATTGTAGCCTTTGTTCTAATTGTCTCTTAATAGGGAGCCATTCAAGGAGTAATTGTCGTAATCATCCCATTGTTAATATAAAAGATGCGTTTATTTTATCAAATAAGAAAAAGTCATTAAGTGATATAAATTTAGAAAATAGGAAGATAAGAATATTGAATTTGCTAAAAAAAAAACACAAATTGTTAGCAGAGATTTACTCTAATTATACTTCATTACAAAAAAGAATAGATACATTGTATAAATATATAATTGATGAATTAAAAGTTTTAAAAAAAAAAAAAATGCAATTTTTAATGGCATTGAAAAGAGCGGTATTGTCTCAATTGTTAATAATCGAGTGGACAGAAGCTTTTTTTTTTCACACAAAATTATCATTGAATTTATCCGATTTCATTTTATATCAAAAAAAACATGAATTGGTTATTCAATTTTTAATGGCAAATAATTGGAAAGACCTGAATTTGATTAAACATGCACCGTATTGGTTATTCCAAAAAATTTTTGTCAAATCGAATTTATGCATATATGAAGATAATTTTTTTAAACTCAATTTTATCAGCCCAAAAGATCTCGAAAGTGGAATTCCCAAAAATAATTTAGTTAAAAAGGGATGTATTCTGAAAGCAAATGAAAATCGATTAGAAGACATGTACAATTTTAACAATGTTCTTAATGATAAGAAGGGATACTTAGGGTTATACGACGAAACAAATTTTGAAGAAGAATCACAGGAGGGGGGAGAGGAAGAGAATGAAGAAGAAGAGAAAAAAAAAAACAAGAATCAGACTAGTGTTAAATACTCAGGGATAGGTTCTAACGATGTGGATGAATTATCGAAAGAAATACGAACGAATCAGTGGAAAAACATTTCGTTCAATTTAAGACATACGAAAGAAATAGAAGATACAGGTGAATTAAGCACACATGAGATTCAAAACATTTTAACATTGAATAAGGATTATTCATCATTGTACGATTTGACAGAGGATAAACCAACCAACAGTAATTTGTTATGCGGACTATTTCGAGATGAACATGAGTTGAAAAATTTACAAGATAGGAAAACCCCACTGAAACAATCACATATGTACAAAGAATTGTGGAAACATTTGGTTAATTACAAATATATAAATGTTATACATATACTTAAAGCAAAGTGCAGTTTGAATACCTTGCTGTTAACTTATTCCTTTTTTAACGTTTCTAATTATTATGATTGTATGGAAGACATAGTGAAGCACATAATTAAACATGAAATATACACACTACTTAATAAAAACATTGACTATCATACTAAGATGAAAGTAACTCAAGTTTTGGATAATGTGGCCACTTTGTTATGTCTTCGAAGATTTAAATTGGCACCACTAATTGATAAATATATAGAATTATGCTTTTCAAAAATTGAAAAGGAAGAAAAGGAAATTCTTTCCTATACGCGACAGAAACAGAAAAAAGATGAACATGTGTATGAAAACAGTTATAAACAAATAGAGAAGAATTTAACATCGGTAGAATTATCATTTGGGAAAGTGGAAAGTAGTAATAATATGCATAATGAAAATGTTCCTCTTATGATGTTAAAAAAGGAGCAAAATGGTTACTGCAAAATTGAAAAGGATAAGGAAAAAAGCACCAGTATTGAATCAAATGAAAAGAAAGGGGCCATATCAAGAGGAGTAAATAACATTTTAGAAGTAGATCAAACCGTGCTTGAAGAAGACAATACAATTATTGAAGACATAAATACCAAATTGGATGAAAAAGAATTCGTGAATATGAACAATCTTAATGATGCAGATGATGATGTATTGTGCTTAAATATAGATGAAAAAAAAGAATTCTCTATTTTAAAAAAAATAAATGAATATATATATATATATTTGGAAATGTTAATAAACGACTTGGTAAATATACCCCATAAGGATTTAAATGATGGAATACGATTAATATTTTATTTGATACATGACGAAATAGATGGAATGAATAAGAATTTAATGATGAATGAAAAGAAATACAGTATACATACCTTATCCTTATGTTTAGACTTATTCCTAAACTCTGTGTTATATCCATATATTTTTTATGTACACGAGGAAAATGTGAATGCACAGATACGGACAAATTACATGCTTTATCAAAAGGTGGTGATTATGTTTGGTCAAATCTTACGAGAAATTTCTATATACATTTTTCAAATTTACAATTTGGGCATGTACGACAATAATTTGAAGGCTTTTATAAATAATATTAAGGATAATAAAATACTCCTAGATAAAGCAACCAATGAGAAGATGTTTTTCCTCGACGTTTCTCAGAAGGTTCGCGTTCCTCTGCCCTTATTGGGAGCAAATTTTTGATAGCCCCCTTAATCTGACCATTAATACATCTATTCCTATTCCTATTCCTATTCCTATTTGTTTTTTTTTTTTTTTTTTTTTTTTTTTTTTTTTTTTTTTTTTTTTTTTTTTTTTTTTTTTTTTTTTTTTTTTTTTAATTTTTTGGGGTTTTTTTTTTTTTTTTTTTTTTTTTTTTTTTATAACGTTCTTTTTTTTTTTTTTTTTTTTTTTTTTTTTTTTTTTTTTTTTTTTTTTTTTTTTTTTTTTTTTTTTTTTTTTTTTTTTTTTTTTTTTTTTTTTTTTTTTTTTTTTTTCATATCTGTTTTTGCTTCTTTGTTTTTATGATGTCAATTGTTAGGGGCTTTTTCTATAGACTAATTCTTCTTTCAAAAGAAAGGAATTATTACCTGACCTTTTGCTTGACACCATCGCATAAAGACATTCCATTTTTAATTATTCCTCACTGTATTTTTAGCTTTTCAAATGGATCATCAAAAATTTGGAGTCGCCTAGGTTCTATTCCCCTATGAAGTGGAATTCTAGTGAGACGGTGGAAAAAAGTTACGAGCGCATAATCAATGAAATAGTTAGTATTGACAAATCGTCAGCAAATAATTGCATAAATGAAAATGTGGATTATAACGTCTTATTCAGCACATCGAATTTTAAGGAGATATTGTCTCTTTGCTACTCTATACAAAACAGTTGCACATGAGTAACGGTGCAAAATAGCGGAAAAATAAAACACAAATCCTATGAAATTCAATGTAAAACGGTAACTATAATACACACCAGTAGGTGTGCAAACAAATGAGGAGATATCAGAACATGCATCATTAATGTGCATGCACTTGGATTCAGATGGTTGTGACAGTTGGTATGAAATTTTCCAATTGATGAACGACTGAAAAGGAGAGTGGCTAGAAAAGAATTTGGAAGAATAATTGACAGAAATATCATGTATGCATATTTAAGCAGAGGCGTATGGATAACTGAGCACTGATAAAATATTCATGTGCTCTGGAATATACTTGTTACGAAAACATTTGAAAAATATTCTGAAGAGATGAAAAAATGAGAAAGAGATGAATACATAAAGAATTTTATAACGGTTTGGATGGCAAGGACGGCATGGATGGCATGTATGGAATGAATGGCATGAACGTCGAGGTTCGTGTTTGTCTATTCCTTTCCTGATAATTGAACTCATCGCGAAGGGTTTAAAAGGAGTATTTCTTACAAATGGTTTATGTTTTTGTAAACATGTGTCCACATATCTTGGGGTGATGTAATTCCACATGAAATGTGATAAGTTTGCGTTTGATTAAAGATGACATATAAGACCAGAAGGACATCTAATTTTTCGATTTTGTTCAATATGAGATTATCTTTTAATAAAAATTTATTCTTATGTTTTAGGGGAAAATGTGTTAACTGCATACCTGAAATTTTATCAATAAAGAATTTCAAATCCTTTGTTTTTTTATTTAAATAAGATAATTTGGCATTTTCTATTAGGTAGTCAGAATAATTGTAATAATTTTTTGTAAAATTATGAAAACTAGAAAGAACTTCATTTTTTATAAGATTTAAATCTTTTGGATTTGTCTGAACAAATAAGGTAAAAAAGCCTGCAAAATATTTCTCATAATTTAAAAATTCAAAAGAAGAATCATATGTTAATTCTTTTTTTTCTCTCAAGTAATGAAATAATTTGCTATTTAATATGTACTGAATGACGTAAGATATTGCGTTGAAAAATAAAGGATTAGTATATAATTTTTTTTTTTTTTTAAGCAGTTCTGTGAAATTTTCTTTTTTGTATTGTTCCAAGTTTATATGACTCCTAATTTGGTAAAGCAATTCTATCAAACTGTCTTTTTCGATTTCTTCTTCTTTACTTTCCAGGTATATAACCTTTCTTAAAAAATGTAATAAGTATAGCGATATGTGTATCCCATTACTTAAGAACCCAAAATGATTTGCACTTTTTCCCATGAGAAGAAAAACAGCGTGATCTTCTTTTTCTTTTAAGTACACATAAGTAATTTCTTTGCTTTTCTTTTCGAAATTCTTGAGTGGGCATAGGAGATTATACTCATCGAATAAAATGTCCATTTTGTTATGTATACCATTTTCCGACATGGCATATTTATCGACATGCTGATTCACACCCACGTCTTCTTCCTCTTGTCCCCTTTCTGACAAATTCGTGCCTATGTCTGATGAGCTTATGGATATGTCTCCATTCCCTTGGTCATGAGCCATTAGAGGGGGATTTTCTTCTCTTCCAACGCGTAATGTTCCAAGGTAGTGTAGTACATAATAATGAATAAAATTGGATAAATTCCCCACAACGGTTAGTTCAAATAAGGAGGAATCGCTAAAAAGGTGCTTTAACACATTTTTAACCGTTTCAAGGTTTATCTTTTCGGCTTCTCTGATGTCAAAATTCTGGTATCCGATTGCACCGTCCGACAGGTACGAAATAGTTTGGCCAAGCAGGAAGGACTAAAAATAAATATAAAAAATGTAAAGCGGTAAAAGTGAAAAGCGGTGAAAGTGTAAAGCGGTGAAAGTGAAAAGCGGTGAAAGTGAAAAGCGGTGAAAGTGTAAAGCGGTGAAAGTGAAAAGCGGTGAAAGTGAAAAGCGGTGAAAGTGAAAAGCGGTGAAAGTGAAAAGCGGTGAAAGTGAAAAGCGGTGAAAGTGAAAAGCGGTGAAAGTGTAAAGCGGTAAAAGTGTAATGCGGTAAAAGTGTAATGCGGTAAAAGTGTAATGCGGTAAAAGCGTAGAGATAAAAACACAAAGTAAAAATAGAGTTATGGAACGGAAAATAATTAAAACATTTAGCACACATATGCACATAGCAACAGACGTGCATTCCATTTGGTGTGGGGTGTAACGAATTAGTGGTTTATATACCTGTAGACTATTCTTATACTCATAGAAATCTTTCCTAAGTTTGTCCACGACCCTTTGGAGAGAGGATTCCTCTATTCGGGTTTGTAATAAAATATTGTTAAGTATGGAAAAGGCAGAGTTAATATTATCATACTTGTTATACGTAAAAATATCAATAAAAAAATATTCGTCATTTACATCGATACATATATTTATGCTCTTGTTACTGCAGTGAATTTCTACATTTTCCCTACTGATGTTTTCTATTTCTCCCCCCTCAAAGAGGCAAATAATTGAAAATAATAATGTAAATACATTTTCTTTTTTTTTTTTTAATATATCATTATGTGGTATGATTAATCTCAAGTAGATATGCTTTTTGTCTATCTGTGTGTTATACAAGTTTACTTTTATTCCGTTTTTCAGTTCATAATGTTCAATTTCTTCTTGCCCTTTCTTTGACAGTACATAATTTTTCAGATTCCTTGGATTCATTTTATCTCCTTCTTTTTGGTGCTGCATCTTCTGTGTAACTCTTTGTCGATTCCAGATGTCATTAAATATGTTATCCGTTTTATTATCCGTTTTGTTATTCGAGTTCACTAACATGTTTCTATCGCGCGAGTTATCAAACGTAGTTTCTACCACTGTTAGTTTTTCTTTTTGCATATCATCTATACCGTAACAGGATTGGAAGAAGGGAAAATTGGGGGCTGTGTCAAGAATAGCTGCTTCTTTAAACTTTGCAGAACTGTTCACATTGGAGGCATGCTCTAGAATTTGCAAAGGACAGAAAGGATTTTGATCGTCCAATTTGATTGGGTTAATTTTGTTCAGAATGAAAGTAAATATATCTTTGGAGGATATTTCTAGCTTTGGTTGCACATACTTAGCCATGTGCAAGTTTTTTGTTATGTTTTCATAGATATATTTGTTTGAAAGTAGTGTATTTTGGATGTTTATAGAATAGTCCGGTACATGAGCTAACGAATTGATGTTGTTTATAAACAATTTTTTTACATCTGCTTTGTTGAATAAATTGAAGTCATTGTGTGGGACATGAATAATAACACAGTTTGGTTTAAAATTAGTACGTTCATTGAATATGTTAAATAAATATTCAAAATAAATTTTAGCAAAAGCGTTAATTTCTTCTATTTTTAAATTATCAAAAGTTTCTTGCTTCAATTTTTTTTCTCTCACTTCGTTCAGATAAATATGTTTACATGAATTATAGTCGATAATTTTTTGGATTTCATCTGAATACATTTCATTCATTCGTGTTTCCGAAATTTCTCCTTTGTCTTCACTTGCTTCATTTGCTTCATTTGCTTCATTTGCTGCATTTTTTTCATTTTCTTCATTTTCTGGGTGTGTCAGCTTCATATGCTTTGCTCCTCCTGAACTGCTGGCAGGGTTTTCATCACCTGCGCTATCCTCGTCATACTGAATCTCATTGACCCTGTAGTTTTGCAATTCATCATTACTAAAGCCATAATCTCTCAAACTTTTAATGAAGTTATAAAAAGCTGTTACAGTTTGAGGGAATGATTTTGTTGTCGTTTTTATTTCTACAGTTCTGATTGTAGCTCCTTCGTTAATATTCGTATACTCATTAATATCTATACTATTAAATAGGTCACGTTTGTATATATTGAATCGAAAAGACAGACAATAAAACATGACATCTTTCATTACATATACTTTGTAATCTTCCATAGTCCGAATACTCTTTATTTCCTCTTTCAGTAGTATATTTATATTGACATTATTTAATGAATATTTTATAATTTCAAAATCTGTTATAATATTTGTATTTTTACATGGCTTGTTCAAAGTTTTTTCTTCTTCCAAACTTGGTTTATATTTTTTATTTAGATAAGCTCTGAATTTTAATTCACTCATGGCTTCGTTCTTAAATTCCTTTCGATATTCTTTCAGCTTCTTTGCATCTATGATGTTATCATCCAGGCATGTATCACCATGTTCGTCTCTGTTATCAGTGAATTCGCTTTTTTTACCCTCCTTGCTTTTTCTGTCTGTGCTTGTTTTTACTTCTCCTTCTCTTGCTTCCCTATCATTTATGTTTGCACTTCCTATGCTATATTCCTCACTTTGATCGGTATGCATCCCATTTGATGAAATTTTTTGCGTGTGTTCATTTTCTGTGGTATACTGACCAAACATGTGCACAATTGCTGGTAGGTTTTTATTTCTAGATCTCAATGTGTTGTCATTTAGTATGTTAAGATATTTTATTTGATCAGATGTTAGATCATCCTTCTTCACATGCTGGAACTTTTCGCTTATTAACTTTCGACATATGTCCACGTTTATGTCTCCATAAACATATAAGTTTACATTTTCTGTTCTGAAAAATAAATCAAAGTATTGTTTGATGTCTTTCTGTTGATATCTCTTCAGCAGTTCGAGTTTTCCGATGGGCAGTCTATGGCTTAGTCTAAGGAGTGGAGGAAGGGGGAAAGTGATTCGTAAAAATTTGGTGTAATTTTGTCAGTTCAAATTTGGTGCAATATGGTAAATCAAGAGATTGAAGAGAAATTATTTGAACGAATGTTGAGTAGAGGGAACTCGAAGTTTCATGGCCCATTTTTTTTTCATTCTAGTATTCTCACCTGTTTTCCTTATGCAAAGTTTTTATAATGTCTGAGTTCATTTTATATTCCAGGGTATTAATAATGCTGTACTCTGAAAAAATTGCCTTTTTCTCCTTAATAATTCGTTCTTTATTAAATTGTGTATCTCCTTTTAGAACTTCCACCATGGTGTCAATACATTTGGACAAGATGGTATGTTTATAGTTAAATTCTTCAAGTGTATAAATATCATAATTTTCAATTTCATCTTCTCTAACATTTTTGATTACATTATCATACTTAAAATGACTAAAGGAATTTTCTTTGTACAAGTTATTGTTAAGACTTACACTTATGTAAAAGACAATATGATGAAAATCTGTGTAAGCATTCGTTCGTATGTTTTTGTCTATAATATTTTTCCTATTTCTGTAGAGGGTAATGGGGTAAGGAGGAGGATGATTTACACGTGTACGAAAAATCAAATATGTTTCAAGAAAATCAAATGTATGAATTCACTTCTTTGAATAAACAAAAAAATATATATGAACATGCAGGGGAAAAGAATTCACAGTGATCCTTCTTTTTTTCTTACTTAGATCCCATATAGGAAACGTGTTCACATAGGTGACTTATCCCTTGCTCATTTTTCTTTTCATTTACACTACCAGTGTTTATTTCCATGTATACATGCATCTCCTCGTAATTATAGTCAATAGGGTTCATGTACTTTTTATATTCATTAGAAATTTTATGAGACGGTAGTATTACATGATTTTCATTATTTAAAATGTACATTTTTTTATTTTTGTTTTTTCTTTTTTTGTAAATGATACTGCTCAATCTGTTCGGCAATTCGTACTTTATTAAGTCTTCATCTTCTTGTAATTCTTCTATCTGCAGTTAGATTTAAAGAGGGATGGGTGAGTATTATTTTGAGATGATACAATATGCATGTGCACAATTGCAGAAAAATAGTGCTATAAGCACATGATTAATGAAATGTTTTTCACACTCTTTGAGTCCCGTTTGTAATAAAATGAAATTTAAAACAAAAATATAGAAACAAGTGTCAATTTTATGTACAACATTGATTTTTTTTTTTTTTTTTTTTAAATTCGTGTCACATTGTCCGCATGAAGGGGTGTGGAAAATTGGGGAAAATAAGTAAAATGAAAAAGAAATGAAAAAAAAATATACATATGTGTATATATAACTGTGTATACACACATAGAGTAAAAATCTAAAATTGAAGTGTTACAAGTATGAAAAAAAAAAAAAAAAAAAAAGTTAAAAATAAGAACAAAAGGAATATTGTATTTTGTTCAGATGTGTAGCACATTTAATTCCCATAAAAAAGCACAGATTTTCTTGAACTTAAAAATGGCTGTTTTGTTTAATAAAAAAAGGAGGCGTAAAAAAAATTGCTGAAGAATATGTTATTTTTGTGGCCATGACAAGGTAGGCAAATGGGCTCAATTGTTTTTTTATTGTATCACATTACATTGTATCACATTACATTGTATCATATTACATTGTATCATATTACATTGTATTATACTACTCTGTATTATATTATATCTTTTTGTTTTATTTTTTTTAATTTAATATTTCTTCCTATTTTATCCATTACAACGTGAGTTCTATATTAAAATTACTGTTCAAATCATCGTCTATGTCTATATTGCTGTTATATAAATTTTTCATGTATAATGCGTACTGCTTAGCAAAATATGTAATAATTATATTTGCCCCTGATCTTATATAACTTTTAAAGAGTTCTGTCAAAATTTCATTTTCAAAATTTATATTTTCATTCATACATTTGACATAATTTTTAATCATCATATATTCACCAGAAACGTTATAAACAGCTAGGGGCACATTTACATTTTCTGTTATTCTGTTTCTAATCTTGCTTATTATATCTAAGTAAAATAAGGAAGGTTTGACCATTAGGATGTCAGCTCCTTCTCTGATATCTGCAATGAGCAGTAGAGGGAAGGGTTTAAAAAAAAAAAAAAAAAAAAAATAAAATTAAAAAGACATACAAAAATTTGGTTTGTGTACAAAACCATATGTTCTACGGTATACAAATACATATGTACACTTTTAGATAAGAATAAGACAAATGCAAACATGAATACTACGAACATATATTTATATTTAAGAATTTTTATTTTATTTTATTTTTTTTTTTTTTCATTACGCTTTTCCACATGGTTAAGATCGATGTATGTGTTGAAGTCGTGTTGATATGATTGCTTATTTTTGACGATATTTTTGGAAATGTTTGAGTTTAGAATTGATCTAAATGGTTTATACAAAGATGAGGAATATTTGCATGTATATGATAATATTAAGACATTTCTAAAATTATAAAAATCAAGATTTTTCCTAATCTGCTCAATTCTGTTATCCATGGAATCACTCGGGCAAACAACATCGGCCCCACTTTTAGCTAGGCATAAGGACTGTGGAAAAAAAAAAAAAATGGAACTAATGATTTTGTTTGTTGCTTACTTTGATTTTATTATTAGGACTGGAGTTGTTATTGCATGCATTGTTATTAATTTTATTTCTATTTCTCATCGCCCTTAATCATTTCCATCCCCATTAATCATTTCTATCTCAATTGTCGCTGCCACTTGTTTCCTTTCACTTTGCACACACATGTGAAATGTCGAAGGGGGAGGGAACGCTTTCAATAAGATAATGTTCTTAAATGATGTGAACCTTTTTCAAGTTCTATTACCTGCATAACAAGGGTGTGGACACTGATGTCGTTGAGTATTTCTCCCTTTTTCTCGTCATATATTCCATCGTGACCGTATATGTTGTATGGATCCAGGGCCACGTCCACATATATTACAACCTCATTTTTAAATTTTTCTTTTATTTTCTTTATTGTGTTACAGAAGTAGCTATTTTCGTTGTAACATTCGAAGCAGTATATCGTTTTGTTTTCTTCTCTTACTACTGGAAAAAACATAAAATGGTGAATATTCAGTTGTAAGCATTCTTCTATTTCTTTCACTATTCCTTCAAAGTTGTATGTATATATTCCATCCAATTGTGTTTCTCTTTTTGGAGTATCCTATGGGGGTGGTGGTGGTGGAAGGTGGAGCAGGGGAAAAAAAATGTATACATAAGCACGAATGATGTATGCATGTATGCATATTTGCTTTTGCATGTGATTGCCTATAGTACCTCTTCATGAATAAACATCGGGTAAATAAAGTTGGATATTCGTATACTAGTGTTGTTGTACAATGAACGCAAATGTTTATTCCTCTTTATTCGCCTTTCCCTCCTATTTGTTTCAATATATATATTGTTATTTATGTCTTTCGCAAAATTTTTCAAGTTGCATTGGTTTGCTACATTTTCATTGTACATGTCTTCAGTCGATTTCTCGTTTTTACTTAAATTGCACAAATTCTAATTATGATTTTTAGAATTTGAAATAAACAATGCGTTTTGAATTAAAAGAAATTCTATATGTATGCTTAATATATTGGGTCATTGAAATGTGCATAATTTTTGTAGAGTTTTCATCAAAGAAGTGATTACAGAGAAGTACGGAGAAAGTACAATTCAGATAAAATGGGGTAAAACAAAAGAATGGGTAACGAGAACATTGGTGACAAGTGAAGAAAAAAAAAAAAAAAAAAAAAAAAAGCATTACGTCAAGCGGTATTAACATTTTTATCCCCACAGTTTAACACGAATAAGAGCAACATATGAGATTTTATGACATAAATTTGCACTTCATGCACATGAAGAAGCACATTTACATTTCACTAAGTACGTATGTAAAATGATATTTGGGACGGACGACTTTTTTTTTTTTTTTTTTTTTTTTCTTAGTTTCAACGTTTTATAAACTTGGTTTAATCAGCGATTTCTTTATATTTTTATTCCTACGTTATTATTCTGAGGGTTATTCCATCTTCTTATTGGTGATTTGTATCTCTGAATTGGCGTTAGAAGGGAGAGAAGGATAATAAACATTTGTAATGTCTTTTATTTGCTTATATACGATGTTTTGTGTGTACACATATATATATGCACATCATCTAAAGTGGATAATTGTTACCTTTGTTGATTGTGGTGAATACAGAATATAGGCGTTTTTACTGAAGTTGCTATTAAGACAACATACCAAATTGAGCAGAGAAAAATAAAATAAAATGATTCTGTTTATTTTTATCATTTTCGGTATATTTTCCAAATAAAACTGTTAAAATGATAAAATAAGCACATTAAAGTCGAATGCTTACATGGAACTTTTTATTTTTTCATATATAGTTCAAAACTGAAGAAGCTCATTGGTGTTGGGAACAAAGGGCGAGTTGGATAGGCAAATACTAATATGTAGCTTTAACATTTTTCTTTATTTTTTTTTTTATTTTTATTTTTTCTTTTTCCCTTTTTTATTTATATTTATGTTCCTTTATTTTGTGGTTGTATAAAACTGCATAATTTATAAGCACTACAAGCACTACTTTATTAAATGACACTTATATTGTGTTTATTTCGTTTTTGCAGTTTTGAGGACTATATGCTTAATGTTAACTGGAAAAAAAAACTTCTACCAACATAACAATTTTCGGCTGGTTTGGCGCTTGAAAAAATTATTGATTAAACCCACGTTCATTTTTGTTCATTAAGGAAATGTAGGAATATTTCCCATAAAATAATTTAAAAAAAAATTCATTCTACCGTTTTGCTTACATGTATATATTTATATATATGTGTAGTTATGCTCATATATATATACTCTTTTCAAGAAACACAGAATATCATTTTGTTAAGAAGCAAAGAGGTTTGAAATTTTAGCTATTTTAAAAGTTCGTAGAAAAAAGAAACGAGGGGTGTAGATGAGTTCAGGAAATAATTATGTTAAAAATTTGGTTTTCTTGATTACATGAATACACTGGAATGCGCCGTTGTCACGACACAAGTTTATGGTAATGTATGCAGTCAAAAGGTGCTAGCATATGTATTATTTGTATATATATATTTTTTATGCATACTTGTACATATGCATATTATTGCGCAATAGTGCTTGCAGTTGAAAAAGGGTGTAAGATATATAGGAATATCCGTGAAAATTAAAAATAAAGCAAAAAAAAAAAAAAAAAAAAAAAAAAAAACAAACACACAAGCAAACAAAGAAATAATTTAAGTTTGCAAAGTGCGACAAACATAATTACGATTTAAATAAAGCAATATCATATATAAAAATAGCTAGGTGTAAACTATCACCCTTTGTGAGGGAAATTTACTTCCCTGTAGTTGAATTGCTATATCCTTTTAAATGGTTACTTGTTAAAAATCAAAACTGCTTTGTTAAATGAAAAATGATTTCTGTTGTGCTGAAAATTTCCGGAATGAACAAATACAAAAAAGCAAAAAAAAAAAAAAAAAAAAAAAAGACCCTGAAAAGGTGTAACATTTTGTACAGCATAAAAAAACATTATTTTATGACATACACTGTCTGAATATATTTGGAGATAAAAAGAACAATAATTTGGAACAATTATATAATTATTGGTTCAGTCATTTTTTTATATATTTTTGTTTTGGAAAATCTCCATAATCATAGATTATATAAACGTCGTTGCTTAGTCCTTTGCCTATACAAAGTTTAAGAATCGCAGTGCAGTCATTTTGTCATAAACGGTGTTATATTATTGGAGATAAAAACAATTGTAAAATACGCAAAACCATATTTCTTGTGTTTAACTTAAAACGTAATGTAAGAAAAAATGCTTGATCAATTTTGAGATGAAAGTGTTTGTGTAAACAGTTTTATGAGCTAACCATTTTAGCTTAGCTTTTTTAAAAAAAAAAAAAAAAAAAAAAAATCTTAATCGTAAATGTAAATGTAAAAAAAAAAAAAAAAAAAAAAAAAAAAAAATTATGAACAGTGCAGAACTTTTTAAAATTTTCCATTTTTTTTACGATTTTTTTTATTTTTATTTTTTTGAAGCTCTGGGATATGATATATTGCATTTTACTTCACTTTTCACGTTCGCATTTTGTTATTCTTTTTAAAATATCTTATTAAAACACAAACGTTATTCGTTTTATCCAAAGTTCGGGATGTCTCAAACGAATAACGTAAAGTAAACAAAATAAATAAAAAGGCGAAATACTCTTATGTCCTGAAACGTGAAATAATACATGGGACATTTCATACATGTATTACTACGCCCCTCTATTTTTAACAAATATAAACAGTACTCACCTTTATGACGATATCGTAAAAAATAGACATTTTTTGAGTTGGGCGCATTTTTTTTTTTTTTTTTTGGATGTGTCTAGAGCATTATATAGAATACTTGTATTTTGTACTCCATCAAGCGTAACAGAGTGAATATTTGCATACGTGCACGTTTACCCCATATAAGTAAAGGCATTCCCCTGTATATTGCACACTTTTATTTAAGAGCTACTTAACAGCATGCACATGTTCATTTAATTCATTGAAACAGTGATTTGAAGTCACTCCATTATAAAGCATTTATGCATTATGATTCATTTTTTTTTTTCCTTTTTAAATCATCTGACGTGAGAAGTATATATATATATATATATTTTTAATTGAAAAATTGTCAATTGATAGCATATTTTTAATAGTAAAAAAATTAATTGTAAAGAGTGTCATATACCTGCGCCCATGTCTGAGTCGACTTTTTTTTTTTTTAATCTGTAACTTTTGGCAATACGACTTAACAACTAAGTGATACAATTGCGTGCATTACTTTTAGCACGAGCTTCAAAAATGCGCATTACGAAGAATGTCAAAATTAGAATAAAAATTGCTTTTTGACAGATTGTTCTAGAAGTTTTTTTTTTTATTTTTTTTTCATTTTATAACATTGCTTTTCTCTGCTTGTAGCTTCTGGCCACTTTTACACCATTGACATTAATGCGTGTCACTAAATTTTGAAAATAATTTTTTTAAGGAACCTTAGTATTTTTTTTTTAAAATATTAACATACACATTATGTACATATATACTCGTGCACATTGCACCTTGCACCATTTCGTTTCATGTGACATTTGACTGCGCTTCACCTCATGTTAAATTGCTTTCTTTATGTATACACGTAAATGTTACTAATTTTATTTTATTTTTTTTTATTTTTTTTTTCTCCACGATTCATGTTTTATTAAGAAATTTTTTGAAGTTTTTAAATAAATGTGGAAATAGCGGTTGATTAGTTGGTTATGTGAGATTTATCATCTGAGATAAGAAAAAAGGGACGATATACACACATTCATGTATGTATTATACATGCTCACATACATATATATATTTATACATGTTATATGTAACCACTTGCAACCAGGGAAACCACCTTAAATTAACTACTTTTACCGTCCCCAAAAAAAGAAATGGATGTTTTAAGAAGGAATAACGTGCTAAATCCGAGAATTAAAAGGAGCAGGAGTATAATTGAAAGGGAAGAAGGAAACCAGGAACATAGCAGCAACAATAATCATCAACTTGTCATTTATACGAATTCTTTTAAGAACAATTCGTTGTGTTATGCATGGAATGCATATTTTGATAAGAATAAAATAAAAAAAAATATTATGGTTTGTTGCGATTTAAATAAAATTTGTGATGATATATTAAAAGGAGTGGAGAACAATAGTTTGACAATTAAAACATTTTCCTTTTTACTTATTGGAGTATGTAACATATACAAAAAGAAGGTATATTTTATTGGTCAAGACTATGATTTTTTAAAAAGGAAAATTCTGTCTCTATACAAAAATAAGGATAGTGATTTGAACGATCCCACACTAACTAGTAAGGATTCCAAGAGAAGAAAAATAGGAAAAGACAATGAAGACGATAGTAATAAAAACGGAAGTAAAAAAAGATTAAACAGAAATTCACTTAATATAAAAAGGGGATCTCTCAGTATGAACGAATTCATTCCATCTGTAATGGACGATTTTACAGCAAGAAGATCTCGATTTTCCTTAAATGCTGATGAAATAAGTATTGCAGGAACGCAGAATAATGGATATAATGACATGTTTAATGATAATGAAATGAATAATCAAATGCTTATGGATATCTCTGGAATAAATTATCTTAACTTTGACACAGGAGGATATGATGATAATGATAATATTAATAGTAATGATAGAATAAATAATAACCATATTAATGTTAATAATGGAAGTATAAGTAATCGTAGTAGCATGGGAAATTATCATGTTATGGAAAAGGCCTTAGATGGTTCATACATTTCTAGAAATAGCATTCCTATGAACAATTTTGATGGACTAAATTCGCATAAATCATTGTCCGAGGCATTTAATGACCCCATGGATAATTTTAACATCGAAAATTCTATATTGAACAATATGATTCCAAAGAATATGTTTCCCAATTTGGAAGATTCGATGAATGAAAGGAGCAATATGATGGGAGAATTCAATAATTTAGAACTGAATTCAATGCACAGGAGCGATGGGTTCAATTGTATGAATCGTTTCAATGATGGATCGGCTAAATTGGACAATGCAGAGAGAGGGAATTTCCTGAACGATTATACCAATGTGGGAAATGAACAAGCGTTCCACGGGTATAACAATGGTATGGATTCATTTCATCAACCTTTTGGAAACATAAATGCACAAGAAAATGAAAACGGAATTATGCTGAACAGCAACAATCGAAATAATTTAATGAACAATTTTAGTGGTATTATTAGCCCATCTAGGAATTTGTCTAATGTACCTTACAACCTTTCTCCAGGAAATAAGAATTTCATGGGAATGTATAATAACATGAATACGTCAATGAATAACAGAAATGATCTATGGAATTTGAACCCGTTTATGAGTATGCATTCATTGAATAACAATAATGTAGATCCAAGAAATAATTATCCTCATTTTTCTCAAAGGATTCCAAATCATAATAAATTTGGAGATTTAGATATGATGAGTAATGTTATGGTAGGAAGCATGTTCAGTCCGCAAAAAAAAAAAAACATGTCAAAGAAGAATGACTATTTGGGAGCCCTAAATTTTGAATCTTACCATAATTTTGATTATTTTGATCAGAAGGATGATGATGCATTTATTAAGAAATTGAATACATTGCTTGGATTGGATGACGATGAAGAAGAGAAGGAAGCAGAAAAAGGAAAAGTGAATAAACCAGGTGAAGATAAAGGAGTTGATGATGGAAATAATATAAATGACGAAGAGGGAAAACAGAAGAATTCCAAAATAACAAATGCTGAGGAACATACAAATAACCAACTTCTTGTTATTGAGGGTCAAGGTAAAGATAAAGACAAAGAGGAAGCTTCTGTTCTGAATGAATCATCATCAAATCAGCTTGTAGGGAAAAAAAGAAAACTAGAAAAACATACTATTGATAAAAATTATATGATTAAAGATTCAGTAATGAAAACGATGATAAAAAATGAAAGTGTAGACTATAAGCATTTTTTAATAGATACGATAAACAACGAAATAAATGAAATGATGCAGAAGGAATATCCATCATTTAATTATTTCTTTTTGCAAACAAGCAATGATAAAATAAGAGCAGTGCACAAATTAGAAATAAATTTTGGTTATGAATCAATGGATTGCGAGAAGAAGAAAAAAATATTTGAAAGTTATTTAGCGTGTTCAGCTAATAATAAATCCTTTTTATATGAAAATAAAAGTGTGTTTGATCATTTTAGTATAAAAAAATGTTTGGACAATATTGATGATAGTATAATGTCTAATGATAATGATACACTTTCTAATCACTTCCTATCATTTGATGGGATTCACGAAGAAGGGACCATGAAAAGTGATAATAATATGATGATGAATTTTGAGGAAGTGCGAGAACAATTTGATGGAATGCAATTTGACATGCAGAATGTGAACTATACAAATGAGTATAAAAATAGATTCAGTATAGATCCATCTTTGTCGCAAAATGATCAGATAGATTTAAATTTGAACGATTTAAATTTGAATGATTTAAATTTGAACAATTTAAATTTGAACGATTTAAATGTGAACGATTTAAATGTGAACGATTTAAATGCGAAAGGTTTAAATGAAAAGGATGACATGGGATATAGTTTACACTTAGAAAGTCAAATGTCAAAAAGTTTAGTAATACAAGGAGAAAATGGTATCACAGAAAAAAATGACGAAATGAGTGAAAATGGAAACTTTTTAAATGATAGGCTGAATTCCGAATTTGATCCCTCGACAACGTCCCCTTTAAATTTGTCTATTACATCAAATTATGACTTCTCAAATGTTTTTACTAAAGACAATGAAAGTTCAGTACTGGATGATAAAAATGTTCAAATTGACATAAATTTAAATCAAGACTTTGATTTAATTGTAAAGGAGTTACTGGAAGTGTATAAAAATTTATCTACGAAAATTAATTACATTTTTTTTGATCTAATAACAAAAAATAGAAAATCGAAGGATGAAATATCTGTTCTGTTTTACATCACTTTACACTTGGCAAATTTGGGGTACATACACATTGTGCAGAAGCCTATACTGCCCGACCAGTTGGCTTCTTATAGTGAGAACTTCTCGAGGCCTATATTAATTCAGTACGTAGGTCAGAGAGATGAATGAGGTATCATCTGCCATTTTTGCGTTAAGCGATTGGATTCGTTTGTGAATTAACGAATGTATGGGAATTTGCGTTTCCAGTGACTGTATTTTTTTTGTCGGATGATGTTCTCATTGTTGTGTATACATGCATGTGGTTTAGGTTGAAGGATGGTGTGTGCTATGTGTACATACTTATACATATATACGCATATATATACTTACATATATATGTATATTTATATATATATTTACCTATTTCATTGCTGCCTTCTTCGGGCCAAGAAACCAAATATCTCTAGCTGCACATGTGGGAATAGAAATAAATACTTGAGTTCGAGCAAAAAGCAGATTGTTTCTTCCATTTTTCTGACCTTTTTGGCCTTTTGACTTTTTTGCCTTTTGACTTTTTTGACCTTTTGACTTTTATGACCTTTTTGAATTTTTTGACCACTTTAGATGTTTTGGCCATTTTTACATTTTTATGCGGTGGGCGCGTACCTTACTGCATATATCGCAGGTGCCCACTTTGACAACTTTTTAAAATTGTAAATTAGCTATTTAATATTCTGAATGTCAAATGATTTCTGAAAAGGCAGAGAGATAGTTGTTCTGGAGGCTAGTTAACAAACATATATGCATAAAAATAATAAGATCGTGAAGTACACTAAAGCAACATTACGCACAACTTCCCCTCCAAGAGGCCATAGTTTAAAACTTAAAAGTTTCTTTAAATAGAAAGGAGGATATGCAGGGTTAAAAAAATAGTTGGTCCCTGTCACATTCAAGGAATAATAATTTCCCAAGGGATTTATTTTAATATGTTTATGTGTATGTATATATGTACTTGTATATGTGTATATGTATATGAATTTTTTTTTTTTTTTTTTTTTTTTTTGGTGGCACCTTTTCTACTTGTAAAGGGTTGTATGTATTTACACATTTTTTGTGTACGTGTATATGCAGATATGGGGTAAGATTGCTTTTCATTTGTAAGTCACGCAACGAATTGAACAGGAGACCTCGATGATAATTTACAATTTTTATTTCTAACAAATGGGAGTTAGATTAACGTGATGAAAAATATATGTATATTTCTGAATAATGGTTATTTTTTTCTCTTTCATTTTTTTTTTTTCAATAAATGCAGCGTGATACAATATATAAGTTTAGTTGTACCCAACTGAGATATTCCTTTCATGATGAAATATGTACACACGTTTGCAAGAAAATGTGTAGGTATATATTCTTGAGAAAGTTGAATGTCTATTTTTGTAAAAAGTATTTTTTTTGGTAATAATTATGAAGTGATACGTACATTGTCCTGGGATGTTTTTTAAGGTTCCTTTTTTTTTTTTTTTTTTTTTTTTTTTTTCACGGATAAGAGTAGCTTTTAAAAGTTTTCATATTTTCCCATTTGGAAATTTCTCCGTTTTCACATTTTTGATTTTTGGTTTTTGGTTTTTGATTTTTGGTTTTTCTTTTTTCTTTTTTCCTTTTTCTTTTTTCCTTTTTTCCTTTTTTCCTTTTTTCCTTTTTTCCTTTTTCACTTTTTTTTTTTTTTTTTTTTTTTTTTTTTTTTGACACGCTTGGCTTTTTAAATACATGAAAAAATTGTAACCTTTGCGCAATAATTCTTTCTTTTTTTTTTTTTTTTACCTATTCTTCGGTATACTTCATTTCCACTTTTTTTCAAATTTAAATAAATACATTTGTGATTATCCTGAGTAATGAGCATATATATAATTTAAAATTATGCGATTGTATGTAAGAAAAGCATACATGCATTATATATATATGCAAGTATGCAATTATGTAAATATGCAAATATGCATATATATATGCGCTTATGTGTGTACTGCTAAATTAAGTACCCATCCATACCCATTTTAAAAAGTCAAAAACATTGCTTTCCATATTTACTAAAATGTATTTGTAAGCATTCTCTTTTACATTTTCTGAAAATTTGTAAGATTGTTCTTGTCCATTTTTTTTTTTGACATAAACGATAAAGTGGACCAAAAACGGATCAACACAGGAGGGGAGAGAAAAACAAAAAACAACAAAAAGAAAAGATTACTCTTCAAAAGGGGCAGTAATCTTATGAAAATATTCGTAGCACAAATGTACATTATATTACAGTAACCGAAAGTAAATTTTTTTTTTTTTTTTTTTTTTTTTTTTTTTGCAAAGGAAAATAATTATAACTTGTCTAGTGTTTACTTTTCAGGACATGTTCCCTTTTCACATGCACACTTGTTTTAGTTGTAGGCTACGAGGAAGTGCCAGATGTAAGGAAGGGGAACCAAGAGTTACTTAGTTACTTAGTTACTTAATTAGTGAGTTATTTTACTAGTTACTTATTTACTGGGTTAGTTATTTAACCAGTTAAGTGACATCATTAGCACGGTTATATTTCTCCAGTGTAGCTACGTTTCAAGTAGTTGATCCAACTATGTTAATCAGACGTAATGAAACAACTGCACACCAGCCTTAGAAAAGAAAGAAAATAAGTGATAATAATAGGAATAATAAAAAAAAAAAAAAATAAAATAAAATAATAACAGTAACAATAACAATAACTAAATAATAATAATTTCAATAATAATAATAAATTAAGGGGAATAGCAGAAGGGATAAAAATATTACATTTTGAAGTGAATTCTTACATTATATTGAACTGAGGAACGCGTGGTGAATTTTTTATTTTTCGATATAGTTGAAGATATCTTCATATATATATTAAGTAATAGTGTGGATGTTTAATGGATGAATATTTTTGACAACTGTGTCTATTTTCCATTTTAAACAAGTAGAAATGAAAAAAATGAATTTGTATCATTAATCTAGAAACATGAACAATGAGTGATGATGACTTTTTTCAAGATAAAGGAAGCAGCTCATTACAGTATATCAAGTGCAAGACCAGCACAAAAATAGATGATATATTGAAAAGACGAAGAAATAAATTAGTAAAAGAGGAAGATACACATGAGGAAAAGGAAAAATGGAATCATCCTTCAGAGGAAAACACAGTGGAGGAAGGTGGCCAGAAAGAAAAAAGAGAAGAGAAAGCATTTATGCCAAATGAGTGTAACAATAAAAGTAGCGAAAGAGTAAAAGATAGGAATATTTGGACACGAGATAAAGGAATGAATTACCAAAATGAAATGTTATCGTTTGAATACAATAAAAATGCTGATAAGAAAAAGGAATTGTGGGAAAAATTCAGAGAAAGTGGAAATAGTGAATCAATTTATGAAAGGAACACATTAAAGGAAGAGAAAAATAATGAGAATGATAGGACGAGTAACAACCAACTTGAGGAAGTGAACAAATATTTAAAAAAAAAACAGAGTTACGCAAACATAATGAATAATGAAGAAGAAGTAAATTTAGGAAAATATTCTTCACGAGGTAGATATAATATAATGAAAAAAAGTTTCATAAAAGATTCAGTGAAAGACATTTCTTTCTATGATGAGAAATTGAAAAAAGGAAGTATTAAAAGCTGCATTAATTTGTCTACATTTGATAATAATACAGAAAAGAATAAATTAGTTGCATCAAAATCTTTTAAAAATTTAAGCTCTTTCGAAAAGGAAAAAAGTAATAGTCAATTCTATCAGAATAATGGTGTGGAAAATATAAATTATGTAAATGATACTTTGGGATGCAATATGAACAACATACATAAAACTCCAAGCACAGAAATTCTTTTAAGAGAGATAAGAAGCCAAGGCAATAGTAACAGTGGTTATATTGGTTATGCTACTGGTCTTGGTAATGGTGATCATAATGAACATGTGTTTCATAATTGTCACGAATTAAATGGAGAAGAAAATTTTTCAAATTTGAATCAGATGTATCTAAACGATGTAGATTTAAATAAAACTCCAAGTAAGAGTTTTTCAAAAAGCTACTTCGAATATATAAAATTCGAAACAGCTGGGAAGATGAATATGAGTGAATTGGAAACCCCTGCGAATTTGAACGATGAAAAGGATGAAGAAACTACAAATACTCCCTTTATCACATATTATTTGGCTGGAAAAATTAGTAAAAATGCAAATGATGAAGAGGAAAAGCTACATTATGCACATGAAGATGAACAAATTCCAGAGAACAGCCCAGGCATAGAGGTTGAAAAGAGTTGTAGGAATTATTATCCACCAAAGAAAGATTTTCTTACACTTGATGGAGCGATTTCCAAAGTAGAACAAGAGAAACAAAAGAGTAATAATTTAATTATGAAGGATACGGGTTCTAAATCTCATTTGGTTGAAGCTAAAAGTATTGCTACTTGTAAGACAAGTGAGATGATCATTCATGAGAATCTAAATGTCAAGAGCTCTGATGAAAGATGTGAAGCACGTAAACATGAGGAGGAGGATCTTTCAATTAGAAACAGTAACAAGGTGGAATATGATGGGGTACACACATTGAAGCGTACGGGTTCATATAAGTACAATTTTGTAAAGACAAAAGAAGAATACAATAACATGTTAAGAGAAAAGAATAATACAAATGAAATATACACAAATAGTAGTAATACTACTAGAAAAATAGTATCAAATAATAATGTAAGTTTTACTGATAAAATATTTTCATGTAACGAATTTCATATAATGAATACAAAATCGTTTAGAGATAATTATTTTGATAATGTAGGTTATAATAACAAGGATAGCAGCATGCCAATGAAGATGATGAAGTTTAAAAGTGATATAATTAGTTCTGATTGTGAACTTAAAAGGAGTTTAACAGTTAGAGATGTAGCACAGGTAAATTCAATTCCAGAGAAACAAATTTTCCATCTTTATTCTTCTAAATCGGATTCCTTTGGTACAGATAATCACAATTACTCTATCCCATGGAATCATAAAAAAAAATCTATTGGAGATGAGGGATCTTTTGATATAGTAGAAAACGGGCAAGCTATTATTTCAATGATGAGTAAGAAACAACATATGGAAATCGAGCATTCTGGTGATATTGCAACTTATCGAAGTTCCAGTTTTGGGAGTAAGCATAGAAGTAATGATTTTTCAGAAAGGTTGGATAAAAATATGGGAGTAGCTGCCTATATTGTCAATGATAAGGGAAAATGTTTTGATAACATAATGTTTAATTCTTTAAAAAAGAGCACTTTAAAAGGGGCTAGTCAAACTGAAGACAGGTGTGATAAGTGGTATCAACCTGAACATAGGAGAAATATGAATGATTCTGCAGATTTAAGGAATAGCTGTATTAACGATAAAGGAAAAAGATGGAGTTATAATAACGAATTAAATGGTGAGGAAGGAAAGGGAAGTAAAAGAAGTGACTTGATGAACTCAAGAAACGGAATATTTTTTACAGAATCGAGAAATTTTCCAAGATATAATGATGATCATAACACTTCTCACAAGTATATTATGGAAGGAAAAGAAAAAAAATTTTACTCTAATAATTTTGAAAAGTTGTATTCAAAGAGGAATAGCCAATATAACCATGTTGGAGAAAGAACAACAATAGGTGAAAATGAAATAGGAAAGAAAAAATATATTACTACAGATATTTGTGGGGTGAATAAAGAAATATGTGATAGAATTATCCATTTGGAAAATGAGAACACAAATGAAATGCAAAAATTGTTAGAAACATCATCAGGCATTGGATATAGGTATAATGGAAAGGAACATGGTATTTTGTGCAGAAAGATAAGTAATGATAATCCCAGTTCTAATTTGTGCTATGAAGAAAAGTTAAATCAAAATGATTTTGACACCTCATGTTATCATAGGAACACCGAGTCTATAAGAGAAATTACGAATAACTGTAATGGTAGCATAAATTTTGAAAAGAAAAATTGGAAGCCATCACATACCCAAAGCGAATTTATACCCTATGATGAAAGGATGAAAACAGAGAAAAAGGAAAACTCAAACATTGTGACAAATGAACATACAGATGAGAACAAAATTGTAAATTTTTATAATGAACCAATTATGAGAAGAGAAATATTTCCCTTGGACAACAAAAGTAGTGTAAATAAATTAGGGGAGACAGCAGATTTTGGATGTAAAGAAAGTAGTGACACATATGAATCCAGAAATAATGAAAGCACTGTTAAGATCATATGTAACGATGGTTACATTTGTGACAAGAAGGAATTAGTTAATGGAAATGATTTGAAGAAATACTGGTTTGATTACATAAATAGCAGTTTTGGCAGTGTCAATGTGAATGACATACGGGGGTTGATTTCTAGGAGTGCCCAGAGACATACGCAGGGTTCGTCAACAAAGACCCCAGTGAGTGGTCCAGTGAGTGGTCCAGTGAGTGGTTCAGCGAATGGTTCAGCGAATGGTTCAGCGAATGGCCAAATAAATACCCCAGTGAGTGGCCCCATGAGTGGTCTAGGGAGTGACCCGATGAATGTCCCTGTGAGTAATGTGGATGGCTCTTCACCCAATCAAGCACATAAAATCATATGCACATCACGAGATAATTTGGAGGGAAATAATATCAATGAGGCTACACTGGCAAAACTAATTCGAGATAAGATAAGAGACAGCATATCAGATGTAGTGGAAAAGTTATTGAATGAAAAGAACCCAAATATAATGAGAACGGTTGTTATGAATGAATTTTCAAAAGAAGCGAATTCAAGTCGAACATCAGATTTTTTTTCCATTATAGAAAAAGAAAATGAGGCACATTATAGTAGCTCAACTGAGAATTTGACATGTCAAAGGAATAATAAATATAGTCAACAGTTAGTATATGAAGATGTAGCATCAACGGATGTGATAAAAAGGGATACAGGGGAAAGCAGCTATTTGTTACATAAGAATAGAATGATTGACAACATGAATGAGGTAGGTAAAGGTAGGGAAGATAAGGTCGATAATAGTACTAAGACAACATGTTGCACAGAAGAAGGGCTTGAGAAAAACTGTGAGAGAAACGTAGGACTAGCTAAAGAAAGGAATGAAGAAACTGTATTATTAGATGAAAAAGATATGCAAGAAATAGAAAAACTGAATAGTCATCTGAAATTAAACAAGATAAACAAATCAATCGATGTAAATAAAGAAGATGTAGAAAATAAAAAGAAAACGAATTGGAAAAATCTTCTGTACAATTGTATTGACATAATTTATTTACTGATAAATGAAAATAACATAAAGAATAATAAAATAAATTCAGTGTTAGATGAGATAAATAAATTTAGCGAATATGAGAAGAAGATAAGGCATTTAAATGATGAAAATGAAAAATTGAAAATTGAAATTTTACAAAAAAATGAAATCTTAAAAAAAAAAGATATCAAAGAGAGAACAAATTTAAATCAAAAAATTACAGAACAAGCGAAGAAAATATCCAATTATGAAAAAGATATTTATATGTATAAGAACAAAACCAACAAATTGAATAACAATATAAGTAATAAGGACAATGAAATAGATAAGTTAAAAAAAAGATACCAAATAATGCTTGATGAAATAGAAAAATGTAAACAAGATGCAAACAATGTTTTGAGAAAAGTACTGAATAAAAAACATATGAACTTAGTAGATAAGCAATGTCTAGATCTATCTAAATATTATGAGGTTGAGATGAATATGCTAAATAAACAAATTAAAAATTTGAAGGAAATTATTAAAAATGAAAGGAAGGAAAAAATTATGTTGAGTAAAAAATTAAATAAATTTTCCCTTAGTAGAGAAAAGTCTGTAGTAACACCCGGGACCAAAGGAGCACAATGGCACAACGTGCGGAGTGATGATTCTACTGATGTCCACGAAGATGGAGAAGGAGAGGAAGAAAATTTCAAAAAGGGTAATTCTATCGAGCAGGAAACATTGGAATCGTCTAATGAGGAATGCAATAGTAGAAGAAATAGACACGAAAATGACGCACCAAAAAAAACGCTTGAAAATACGCTTGAAAACGCAGCAGAAATGCAGATAGACATTAATGAAAGAACGAAGGAAGGCACATATAAAAAAATGTGTCAGAATTTATTTAACGAAATGAGTGAAATTAAAAAAGATTTTGATAATCAGAAAATATTATATGACAAAAAAATTGAACAACTAGAACAAAAGCAAGAACTGCAAAATATTAAAAATAAATTAGATGCATCTGAAAAAATTGTACAAGTATATCAAAATATTTTTAGGGAAAATGTAAATTATATAAAGAGTGACAATTTGCAAAAACGAGATTTTATTCAACATAAGGGAGAAATTCATAATATGCCCAAGGATGAAAACAAAAATTATGGTTATCAGCAAAGTGCTGACAAAGATAATTTCTTAAAAAATGAAGATGCTACCACCCACTTGCTTCGAAATTCAAATAAAGGTAGTTACGACGATTTAAGTAGATCTTCTCTTGCATTTTTGAAGAATGATAATAACCAAACCAATACTGCAATGTCTTGTAATTTCACAACCCCTTCTGCAGAATTTTTTATGAGTAAACCAAATGTGAGATATGATTCAGGAATTTCTCACATGATTCCATTCGGGGTTAATAATTCTTATTGGGGAACTGTCCCGTTTATTAATACCCATGGATCTGTTGATACTCAGGATTCTAAAGGAACCGAGGCCTTCAATGGAGAAAGGGGTTCAAGCAGTATTGCTCAAAATAATTATCTGAACGAATTTGTAAAAATGTATATACAAAATAATCCAATTAGTGAATCTATCGTCAATGGATTAAAAGGTTGTGAGATTTCGAAGTGGAAACAAATAAATTCAGAAAATATGTCCAACAATGACTACAACAATAGTAATTTACATCAGAATTTAATGAAATTTGAAAAAACGGAATTGATTAATATATTTATAAGTATATGTAATGAATTAAAAAGTGATAATATATTTTTTCTAATTGAATTTGTAAAATTTTTGTCATTCATAGTTTATGAACAGTTCCCCTTATTCACTTCTTTCTTTTACAATGTGGCATCGATCGTTTCTATAAATTCTGCGAAGTTTGATGAATGCATAAATATATTGAAAAAATGGAAAAATCATTATATACATGGGCAGAGGTATTACACTTTCAGGAGAAATATCTTATTAATTTTTCAAGCCGATTTAAAGGATGCCAAAAGGAGTGACATCGACAGAACTTGTTTGAATCTTGTGAAAAATTTATACCAGAAAAACATGGAGATGTCCAAGTATTCCAACGTAAGGCCCGTTAAGCATGCGTACATGCATGCGTAGATACATACTTACATATATGGGCACTTGCATGCATACATATATGGCACTTACATGCATACATATATGCATTGTTTGGATATGACTACACTGATTGTTTGGAGAGATGACGTTGTCGTATGCTCCTCTTGAAGTGTTTTCATACATGCTGACGTTTAACAAACGAATTAAGAGTACCCGGTTAGTCTCATCACACTAATGAGACGTACTGATATTAGAACCATCATAACACGAAAGAGATACATAAGCATAATAACAACCCATTTTCATATCTTCACAGGACTCCATCGAAAAGGCGGAGTATATAATTAATAAACATTCGAAGGAAATTATAAGCAAAGTTATTAAGACGTACATGAACCTGTACAAGATTGACAAGATTAACAACATCATACCGCACATGAATTCTATGAACTCAAAGGTATTGATGAAAAAAACTCATGAATCTATATGTTTATTTTTGATTTGTACATATCTATTCCCTTCACAGAGACGTATAAAAACATGTGCATACTTAAATAATACACTGTTCTTTTTTTTTTTTTTTCATCTTTTTCGGCGCATGTACACATATTTTGTAATTTCATGTTTTTTCTTGTTCAGCTCAAAACGCAATCTTATTTTGTGAGATCCATATCGTCTTGTTTGAATTTGAGCAAAACGGATACGTTTCAGGAGGTTTGATAGAAGAGCAAATGATGAGGTTGAGTGAAAATGGGGCCATGTCTCCACATAATCGTGTCTCCACATAACCATGTCTCCACATAACCACGTCTCCACATAACCACGTCTCCACATAACCATTTTCAAACAGATTGAGCGTAAAATAAAAGGGATATCCTCAACAAATGTTATTAACGAAAAGATAAAAAACAGGTATAATAATTCGAAACTTGAAAAAAGAGATATGTTGTAAACGTACGTATTAAATGCATGGATAGTGTTTACATGGATTTGTGTGTTGAAAAAAATTACATAATATAAAAGGAGAAAATTATCTTCACTTATTTTTTTTCCCTTCCTCTCCCCCACATGCTCAAACCCAATTTCTATTCAAACATTTTTGCAGAATAAATATAGAAGAAATAGACGAATATTTGGCAGCATACACAATTGTGGGTACACTGAAGAAATATCTGAACATTACCCTAACTCAAGACCTGTTGCCTTCGATCTCGAAGATCATTCAGAAAAACAAGTCCTCTATGTGAGGGAAAGTTCGGTTGAACCGTTACACTTTTTTACCTTTTCTCCCCATTTGAAATTTGAAAATTTGAGCGTTTTTTCATTTGAACATTTGATCTTTTTTTCATTTGAAAATTTGAGCTTTTTTTCATTTGAACATTTTTTTTTGTTGAAATTTTTGGCTTTTCTATCTTTTGAAATACATTTTTTGCCTCACTCTTCATATATACATATATATATATGTTTGTACATTTTTACGAATTGGTCTTAATTCCATTCATGCATTTTTCATTCAATACCCACAGTTTGGCATCTTTCATTTTTTTTTTTTTTTTTGTTTTGTTTTTTTATTTAACTTATGAAATATATATTTTTTTTATTAAAAAAAATAACTATATATATATATATATATATATAAAGGTGTAATGAGTAAATCGATCTAACCACGCCTTCAAGGATCATGAACGGAACGAGCACACGAAAAAGAAAAAAATATATATATATATATATATATATATATATATATATGTACATATCTATGTGAGTATACATACATGTGTATATAGGATACATGATTCAAATAATGTGGGATCTCATAAATGAGGGTAATGAAACGTACTTAAAATGATGTACTGCTGTGCGTCTACAATACAGAATGGGTACTTTTGTGTTCTCATGAAGATGCAAATAATCATAGTCATGAAATCTTCATCCATCTACTCCTCCATTATTATCTCTATTTTTTATGTTTACATGGCACTCTTGATAATTTCAACAAAAGATGGTTTGAGAGAAGCATTACCTACTAAGAACCCATCAATGTCTTCTTGTTTAATTAGGGATGAGCAATTATCGGTATTAACACTACCACCATATAAAATTCGTATTTGGTTAGCTTGTTTTTCTCCACACTTTTCTTTCACTATATTCCTAATTTCTTTATGAACAGCCTGTGCTTGTTCTGGTGATGCTGTTTTCCCAGTTCCAATTGCCCAAATTGGCTCATAAGCCAAAACAACATTATCAAAATTATCAATTAAATCCACAAAACTTTTCACTTGCTTTGTGATAACGTCGATGGTTAAATTATTTTCTCTCTGTTCTAATGATTCACCAAAACAAACAATTACTTTCAAATTATTTTTTAAACATTGTTGTAATTTCTCCCTAACATCTTCATCCGTTTCTTTGAAATATTTTCTTCTTTCAAAATGTCCAATAATAACATATTCGATATTTAAATCTTTTGCGATTTCAGCACTTACTTCTCCTGTGTACGATCCACTTCCATATTTCGAAATATTCTGTATTCCTGTGTGAAACTTTTCGTTCAGTAAGCTTTTAGTATATTCGTAATGAACGTTCACAGGAAAAATAACAACATCTGGGTGAGGTGTGTGTGAGGGGGAAGAGATGAGCATGTAGACATGATGAAATTGGTGTGATGACACTGAAATCACTCAGTTGGTATGGTGAAGTTGGTGCGAAGACACTGAAATAACTCAATTGGCATAAGAGAGTGACAATCTCTATCAAGGGGATGAACTATCTCATGTTTGATACTCACCCAATTTGGAAGGGTCAAAATTCAACTCATTAAATGTAGTTGTCAGGGTCTTTATATTTTCCTTGGTTCCATTGCATTTCCAGTTGGCTGATATGAAATATTTCCTCGTCATTTTGAAAAAATGGTTTTAACGTTAATAATACATCAAGGGTAAAATTTTTTTTTCTTTTTTTTCTACAAAGATCTTTGAAGAATGTAAAGTGGAAATGTAATGTATATTTTCGTCTGTATATGCATATGTATATATATATATATATATAAATGCAATACAGCTAATAAATTCATATGCATATTAAGGTGGGAGTGATATATAAGGATAAATATCTTAAGGACAAATGTGTGCGAAAAAGCGTGAACATGAGGCATGTAAGAGTAAATGAACAAATGTATGTAATGCACATTACATGTACTTTTGTTAGATATATTTCTTTAGCTATATTATTTCTACAAAAACTTACGTTGCAATAAACATACGTTCCTAACTTTTAAATTTGGTTTTTAAAACGTGTAAAAAATAAAGAGAGACATTTACAACTTTTTTAAAAGAATAAAATAAAGAAAAGAGAAATTTAGAAAATTATAAATGTGAGCTAAAAAAAAAAAAAAAGAAGGTTCTTTTTAACAATGTTAAATGGAATTTAATTGTGGAATGATGATGTAGTTGTTTTAAATAAGGGAAGTCGTGTTAAAAAAAAAAAATTTTATTTTTAAAAAGGTGTTATTATATTTTGCTTATTTTTAAGGATAGAAAAAATGTATATGAAAATGGAGACATGGTAAAATAAATTTGCTTGAAACCAAATTAATGGTGTTTTTTTTATTTTCATTTTTAATTTCATATGTAGCTTTTTTTTTTTTTTTTTTTTTTTTTTTTTTTTTTTTGGGTTTTATTTTTTGGTAAGGGGTTTTTTTTTTTTTTTTTTTTTTTTTTTTATTTTTTTTTTTTTTTTTTTTTTTTTTTTTTTTTTTTTTTTTTTGTGGGTTCTACATTACGGTAAGGGGCTTTTGTTTTTTTTTCTTTATTTTTTTATAATTGTCGTCGCTATGCGCACATTTTTTCCTGCCCTTAAGTGTTATTGTGTACTTTTCTGCGCGCTGCACAAGAGAACACATTCCGTTTGTGTAGTACATTTGTGGCTCGCTTAAAATGCATGTATAATAGATTGGCATTTCAAAAATGCATAACCGTGTGAGAGAATTGGTTATACGTTGATGGGTTAGAAGCCTGGTGTAAAAGGGGGAGAAATGGTGGATCCAATAAAATATATATCCGTTTTTGCTTGACTAAGAAAAAAGAAATATTTTAAAATATTAATGTATTTGTGTATGTAGAGTGAGATCGAGGAAAAAATCTATTTGTGCGATTAATCACATTTATGTTTTTCGTTCAGTTTCGAGTTAATATATATGTTCATATACGCATGCACGCACATGGCAGATGTGTGATGTTGGTGACACGTGCTATTATTGATGTCCATTTTTCCAAAGGTGTAGATTTTACATGAAGGTAGAATATTTATACATACAGGCTTTTTTATTTTACCTACACATTACAAAGTATAAATAAGCATAAAAGAGGAACTGAACTAAATGTGATATAACCAAAAAAAAAAAAGGGGAAATTGAAAAAAAAAAAAAAAAATTCTCTGAATATTCACACACGTATATTCCCCTTTTTACAACAAGTGTTATTCAAACGTACATAAAATATGAACCAAAATGTGTAGGAAATAAAAAGTACACGTCTGTTCATTTGTCATAGGTTTTTTTTTTTTTTTTTTCCCCTTTTTTAGCAAAGGAGATTATTTCTTTTTTTTCGCAAAATGAATTCATCCTTTATCCAAGTGAACATTCCCTTTGGTATGAATTTATTTTTTTTTAATTATTTTAAGGCTACAGTCTAACTAGTCATGTATAACTTCAAAAAAACAAAAAAACTTTATTTATATTTTGTATGTTATCAAATTTATGTAAGGAAGGTTCATAAAAAATGTAGATCATCTACATTTAAAAATTTCCCATATTTCACACACATATAAGCACAAGTATGTGTATGTAAGAAGCGATGGGGGAGGGGGGTACATATATATATATATATATATATAATATATATATATTTCTTTGGGGGATAAATAGAAAGGGGGGGGGGGGGGAAACTTGTTATCATTATTTTATATATTTTTATAATAAATAAAATAATAATACATTAATATGGAATGAAATGAAATATGAAAGAAAAAAAAAAAAAAAATGTTGGATGGTAAGGGAAGAGGAAAATTCATAATATATGAAAGTAATAAAAGAAGGGGATTAAAATGCAAAAAAAAAGAAAGAGGTGCAGTGTTGGAGGAGGAAGAGGGAAATTTATAATATATGAGATGCAATAAGAGGGGAGGATTATATTGTGAAGAAAAAAAAAAAGGGGGATGGGGGACGGGGGGTTAAATAAAATATATACAGATAACTTAATGGGGGCTTTTATATGCTTGAAAAGAAGAATGTAAGAAGATGTAAACATGAAAAAAAAAAGAGACGTTTGGGAACAGGAAAATGTAAATGAATATATACTACTGCTCACATATGTACACACATATATATATATATATATATATATATATATATATATATATATATATATATATATGTATATATATACATGTATATATAATTGTGACTTATATGAATTCCACCCCCACTCCTCAAAAAAAAAAAAAAAAAATGCTTTCCTCCTTTTTTATTATTTTTTTTTTATTAAAAAACATTTCTTATTTCTTCACACTAATATGTTTTATGAAATTTTAACTTATCTTAAAAATTAATGGCATAATATTGTTTTTTTTCTTTTTCTAGCTTTTTTTTTTTTTTTTTTTTTTTTTTTCTTTTAATTAACAAAAAAAAAAAAAAAAGATATTACCACAAAATGTTTAACTCGGCGAGTAAGGAAGAAGGATGGATATTACAAATGATTTTTCTGTTGATTTTTTTGATGATATCTCCTTATTTATAAAATTTTAGATGAAATCATTAAGACACTACTTCTCGCTATCAAGAAATGTAAATACTAATACCAATGATACGAATATTTACACGTGTGATCTATGATTATATATTGATAAAAGCAAATTCGTGAAAAGATAACTACTAAATAACACATCGTTTTTTCTGAACTGTTTCATTATTTTTATGTTGTTTGTTGCTCAAATGAATGTAACTCTATATTCTTCGTGCATTGTCTGTGTGTAAATTTTTATTTATTTATTATTATTATTATTATTGCTTTTTTTTTCGAATGTTATAATTGAATGTTAATTGAGAATGTTGCTGATTAGTTACTTTCCAAAACTAGTATATGCTAAAAGCTGTCCACAAAAATATCACGTACAACAATCTCATCTTGCTTACATATAGATCTTCTCTCTCTACCAATATCCCATGTATTTTGTGACTATAGCTAGCATAACAATAAGTATTGGTATGAGTTTACTGTCAACAAAAAGCTTGTTGCAATTGTTGCTATATGCCTTAAGCTGATTTTTTAAATTCTCGTTTTCTTTCTCCAGTGCTGCTTTTTGCTTATCCACAAAAACACAGTAATTTAGTAACTCGTGATATTTTCTCTGCATGCCAGGCAGGCCTCCTTTTATGCCTTGGTTGGGGAAAATGAAGGGTGTGCAAATGAGTGGGTATGTGTGTCAGAGTATAGGTGTATATATTAATATATGCACATGTGGAGGTGACCATGTGTGCGTGGACATGTATATATATATATATATATATATATATATATATATATATGTGCATGTGTAGGTTTTTTTTTTTTTTTTTTCTCCTTGGATTCATACCTTCCGCCATATTGGCATCATCAGCATTTAAGCTATTTTCCGTGTAATTTAAATTGTGATTTTTGTTATTCATCTCAGAGAGGGGGTTATTATTCGAAGGCATATATGAGTGAGATGCTTTTGTGGAACTTTCATCGTTCAATACAACCACTAGCTTATGGTCTTGTATTTCATTTTTATTAACAGTGATCCAGAACTGCTTGTCGACTGTTGTGTCATCATCTACATTTAGACATTGTACTTGGAATTTATCATTTGAAATATTGTCTTTATCAGACAACGGTTGTAATATGATTTGAATTTCAATTGTTTCTCTAACGTTAATTAGTCCGAATGATGGCCGAACCAAATAATTATTGGGTGCTGTAGTTTTTATTTTAAATGCCACTTTCCTATCACTTATATTTTCTAGTTTAACTACTTGTGTCACTGCTTGGAAATGCACCAAGGGAAATTCTATATTTTTTTCAGGGCTCACTTTTAGTAGTTTCATTTTTTACGATTATCAGGGGATCCGTGTTGATAGAGGTAGTTACAAATGTCTATTTATTATTACTTTTTTTTTTTTTTTTTTTTTTTTTTTTTGTAATATCTTCAACTATGTTGTTTGACCTTATGTTGGTTTTGTTTTGAGTAATTATAAAAATGGTCCTTTCTTTCTCTTTAATCTTTTTAACGTTGATCTCTTTTTTCTGTCCTTTTTTGGCTCCTCCGTTATTTTTTTGATTCGTCACCCCTTTACCCCTGTATTACTTCTTCTTCTTTTTCTTCTTCTTTTTTTTTTCCCCCCCCCTTTTCTCTGATTTTTTATTCCCTCCAATAGTGACGTCACAATTTTCTTTTCCACTAGGGGATGTATGTCACGTTGCACTTCTGATGTGTTTTACAATTCTTTAGGATGTATACATGTATCATAAAAACATATGTACATATACGTGTATATATGTATAACATAAGGTTGTAACACGAAAATTTGCAATGCTCCTTGGTAAGGTTCTTATTGTTTAAGCATTGGCATGATGCGAATACGTAATAGGGTGTACGTAAGTTTATGTAAATGTACATGTATAGGTATGTATATATATATATATACATATGCATAAATTTGAACGTTTTATTTTTTTCTTTACAAGAAAAGAGGACTTGTTTTTGAATGCAAAAAAAAAAAAAAAAAAAAAAAAAAAAAAGTGTTGATAAATGGAGAAATGGGGAGCAATTGTGAGAAATTGCAAAATGAAAAGTAGTCACCAATAAATAAAAAATGTCAAGGAGCAAATATGAATTCGAAAAAAAAAAAAAAAAAAAAAAAAAAAGTTAAAAAGTTTTTATATATATGGATACACAAAGTAAAAATCATCAAAATAGCTGCTCTCTTCACTTGCATATATTTTCTTATTTTTAAAAGGAGGGCTTATGCAATGTGCTCATGTGGACTTATATATATGCGTGTGCGCAAATAAATGTATATACGTTTAGCATTTTTATATATATACGTATATATACGTACTTAGGTCTCATGTATCGATTAAAAGGGCTACAAAAGTTTATACTTCTATGTTCTTATATATGTATGTATAATGTATTATAAAAAAAAAATTTTCAAAACACGCCGAATAATGAAGTGAATTGCTTGGATATCTCAAGAACAGAAAATTTGGAGGCATAGGGATTATACATAAAATGTTAAAAAAAAAAAAAGAAAAAAGAAATGCAAAATGAGTGAACAATATGTAAATAAATGCTTAAATATATGGGTATGTAAAGGAGTTAATATATGGGTGAATGAATGCACAAATACATGGGTAAAGAAATGTTTAAATTAATTGCTTAAATATATGACTGAACAAATGAATAAACATCTGCATGAACATAAATACATAAATTTATGCGTGAATAACAAATACATGAACACAATATTCAAGCAAATAATAAAATGAATAAATAAAAAGTAGAGAAAAATGGATAAGGCAGGAAACAAGGCATGAAAAAAAAAAAATAAAAATAAAAAAAATTGGAGGAAATGAAAAATTTAATTAAAATAAAAAAAAAAAAAAAAAAATTCGTAAAAATTTCATTTAATAAGATGTCTTTCCCCCCCTTTTTTTTTTTTTTTATTTTTTTTTTTTTTCTTCTTCTTCTTCTTCTTCTTCTTCTTCTTCTTCTTCTATTTCCCCACACATTTAAGGGGAAAAGAAGGGAATATATGTAAAAAAAATTGTAACTTTTTAAAGGTATACGTATGAGTATATGTATGTTACATATACATGTGTGAGGCACAGTTTCTTAAGTGGCTCCTATTTTATAACTGCACCTTATAATGATATTTTACATTTCTCTCATCTGTTTGGATTCGTTATTTTCCATATAAAGGCAAAAGACGGTTGAGAGAATCCTGTGCTAATGAATCACATTGCCATCAACCCCTTTGGAAGGGTTGAATAATTGTGGCGAGGCAAAGAATAAAAGAGAGAAAAAAGGGAAAAGAAAGGCACAGTGTTACACGAGATATATAAAGGAGGGACACGATATTCATCTAGTCTATCGACACAAAGGTGATATGTTTACGCTTCTTCAAAAATACACAAAAAGATGAAATGAAAAAAATAAAATAAAAATATAGAAGGAAAGAAAATGTCAATGTGCTTAGTGTTTCATCCCCCAAGTCACACCCAGTCCCCATTCAATTATGTTTTACCCTAGTTCTGTTATATTCCCTGAGAATTAGTAAAATGTGTATTTATGGAAAATAAATACCAAATAGTGTGTGTAAACATAGGAATAATGGATAAGCATAGTGTGATAATATATAGGTTTCAAAATTGGTGAATATAATAAATTGAAAAAAAAAAAAAAAAAAAAAAAAAAAAAAAAAAAAAAAGACAAAACGAGGAATGTCTATGTATGACATTGGTGAATCATAAAAATGGATAAAGGCTTTTGGTGAACAAATTTTATAGCCAAAGCCAAGTGACAAAAAAAAAAAAAAAAAAAAAAAATTAGCAGAAGTATGTTATTCAGCACTTATAAATGGAAATAAAAATAAGTAAATATACGGAGTCATCTTCTCTCATTCCTTGTATATATTACAAAAATGTATTTTTTTATTACAAAAATCCACTTGCTTTCTAAAAGATTAAAGCAATCGTAGAAATGTTAGGTGTCTTTTTTTCTTTTATTTGATGAGTAAGTTTAATACCAACCGTTCTATTTATATGTAATTTTCTCTTCACCCACTGTTTCTTTTGTTAATATGTATGATTCAGCAAGGTTAATTTTTCCACACAGAACTCAATCGAATGGTAAAATAATTGGAATGACAATTGGTGGGGAAATACCAAGTAGTCCATGACAAATAATATACGACTAAAAAGGGGTATTACATTAGTAGGGTATCCGCATTTTTTGTTCTAGTTAAGAAAAAAAAAATTTACACGTCACAAATGTAGCTCTACCCAGAATATGACATTTATGTATTATCTTCAGCTACATGGGGGAAATAAAAAATAAAAAGAAATATAAAATAAAATAAAAAATAATAATGATAATAAAATTACAAAGTTTTTGCCCTAGATAAAATACTACATATGTACATGTAGTAGCTTCTACTCCTTGCGATCATTTTGTAATTATGGTACAACGTTTTTTTCCTTTCCTACTGTTCTACACATGCGCAAGAACAATTTGTATACATTGGAGTGTGCGATGTGCACTCTTCTGAACAGCACAAAGAAACCATATGATTAAAAAAAAAAAAAAAAAGTAAAAATAAAATATATTAATAAAAAGTAGCAAAAAAAAAAAAAAATGCCAAAAGAATTACAAAATAAATGTGCACAAAGAATGGTGAGGAGTATGATAGATCTCTCTTTTAAAGCATCAGAAACACATGTATCTATTTTTCATGAGTATTAAATGATCTATATTACAAGCTTATAAACTTTTGGTGAAAAGTGTGGACTCAACATGTTAACCGCAGAAAAAGGGGGAAAAAATGAAATATTAAAAAGCAGATGTATATTTTTAAACCTCTCCTCTATGACACATTATTGGTCTCCCTTGGAGGATGTTATTAAAAGAGGAAAAAAAAAAAAAAAAAAAAAAAAAAACATACGAAAAAAAAACGAGAACTTACTCCAAAATTGTGTACATTTGTCTGTATACCATGCTAGAGATATAGGAATTTTTTATTTTTTATTTTCCATATTTTAGGAGATGTTCATGAAAATTATGAATTTTTCACAGAAAATTAAATCATAAGTTCCTTCTTTTAGTCTTATCATATAATTATGTTAACAAGGAGAAAAAAAAAATAATATAAAATAATAAAACAAAAATAAAAAGGGGATTAAATATTTGAAAGAACGATGAGTTCACTAAAATTCCCCAATGTCAATGTTCAGGGTACAACCCACGAGGCGGCCAGCAGTAAACTGTTATAGTGAAAGGAAAATAATGAGAAATAAGAATCCAAAAAAATGAAAGAAAAAAAAACATAATGTGTTATTTCATACGGACCGATATAATTATATGAGATCCCCTACTTGTTCATTTATTGTTTTTATCAGCTTCTACCAACATCACAACCAGCCTTTGTATTGTACGAAGATTGTAGACATATGATATGTACATTCTTCATTCTTATTCCTTCCTACAGTTCAGCCGTTAATCTAGGATACTACTCAGATCCATTTTTGAAATATTTTGTCAAAAGGATTGAGAAAAGAAGTCCTCTCATAAATAGAGGTTTGTGAACAAAAGCTTTTACATTCTGAGGCATGTGATTGTATGAATTAAGGGCTCGTTAATGCACATTTTAACTGACAGATGGTTATCATGGAAGTTGGATATCGGACCAATTGGTCTTTTGTCGAACATATCTGAACACAGTGTTTTCTACGCCTTTTACGTCTGCTACCAGGTGCTTCCATTTTGTTGATCTGCTATGTTGTTGATCTATTAAGTAGTTGATGCACCTTTTTTTTTTTCCTTTTTTTTTTTTTTTTTGAAAGGTTATTATGCCAGGGTTGCTGCATTGAGAAAGTACATTGAGCTCTTTTTCAGATCTCTGGAGAGGGTAAAATATAGAAAATTGAAAGGACGTTCAGCATAGTGTTGAATGGTTCTACGTGTGTGTATACATAAGTATGTGTCCCGGTGTATACATAAGTATGTGTCCCGGTGTATACATAAGTATGTGTCCCGGTGTATACATAAGTATGTGTCCCGGTGTATATATGACTATGTGTCCCGGTGTATACATAAGTATGTGTCCTTGTGTACACATATTTTGATTGAAATAATTCGATGAAACTCTGCCACAATCGTGACATGTCTTGCAGGAGGAATCTGTTCAGGTAGTGAACATAGGGGCCGGTTTGGATACCACCTTCTTTTGGATAAGCGTAAGTGTGGGAGGGGAGAAAAAAATGGAAGAACATTTTTTCCTTTTGAGAACATGTTAAAAACACAAGTTCTTCGTTATTCTTACATAAAAATAGGAACAGCACAAAAATGTAGTTTACTATGAAATGGATTTCAAAGAACTACTTAGAGAAAAAGCTAACATAATAAACCGTGTTGATACGTTAAAAAGTTTTTTAAAAAGTTTTGAAAAAGGTTATGAGTGGGACGAAAATGAAGGTGAAGATCTTATTTACTGTGCAAACTACAAAATGCTTTCATTCGATTTGAACAATTCAAGTTTATTACAGAAAATTTTACTGACTCATGGTTTTGATATTTCGTTGCCAACATTGTTCATTTGCGAATGTGTTTTAATTTATTTGGAGATAGATAGCAGCGACAATTTAATAAGAACATTGGCTGAGCTTATGAAAAGTACTTCTTGTATATTAGTGTATGAACAGGTATATCTCATGCTTGTGTTTGTCGTATGTTGTGTTTATTTTTACATTTGTTAATTAGTTGCTTGTGAAACGGAAGACATGTTTATTTGACATATTACAAATGCGCACAATCTCCTTTTGCAAAACCTTTATTTTTTCTCAAGGTCAACCCAAGTACAGCCTTTGGAAAAGTAATGATAAACAATTTTAATCAAAGAGGCATAGAATTAAAAAGTATTTTCAAGTATGACAATATAAGTAAACAACTTAATAGATTTAAGTCTTTGGGATGGGATCATGTGTATATAAGTGATATGAATGAGATATACGATTATCATTTAAATCTGGATGAAAAAAAAAAAATTGAGAAAATTGAAATGTTCGATGAGTTTGAAGAATGGAGACTGTTACAAAACCATTACTTCATACTCGTTGCGTTCAATTCTTCTGGTGACTTAAGCATGAATGCCTTATATGAGTTTTTAAAAAACAAAAAAAAATAAAAAAGCACAACTTGCAAATGCATATGAGAACACTTCCCAAACTTCAAAACGTAATGTGTCTATGCTTTGCTTTGTGTCATATGATGTCCTAAGTAACTATTACTAATGTGTATCTCACTCCTTGAAGTGTTTTTTCACCTGCATCTCTAATTTTTTTTTTTTTTTTTTTTTAGTGCCTCCTCCAACTTATCCCAAGGAAGAGGAGTAGGAGGAGGGGTCAATTCTGATCGCACTACTAAAATAGATAACCCTGTACATATTTGTAAGCATAATAATGGAATGTGCATATGTACGTATATATTTGTGTTATAATGTGGTATATTGCATTAAAAAAACAATGACTATCAAATGGATGTATAATTTTAATGGGCCAACTTTTGTACGTTTGTAACACGGTTGAACCGAATTAAAGAATAAATTAATTGTGCTTAACACTACAAGGTCAAGAAGCGCACAGAAGATTCGACGGCATGAATGAAGCAGTAATGAGGTTATTGCCATATATTTTGGTCTATTTTGGTCTATTATGGTCTATTATGCTTTATTATGCTTTATTATGCTTTATTAGGCTTTATTAAGCTTTATTGTGCATGACTGTGCTTAACTGTTTTTTTTTCTCTTTTTTTCTTCCTTTTTTTTTTTTCAATGTAAATGGAAAATGAGAGATGAATCTTACACCATGTCGCCCATACCCCCGTAGAAGAAATAGGAACATCTTGGTGGGTCGTACAAGAAGGCAAAAAAAAAAAAAAAAAAAAAAAATTATAAATATATATAACCCATGCGCGTATTTATTACAAATTACGCATCACTACATGCGAAGTGCATACCTAATAATCAATCACAAAAACGCACGAATTATAAGTGAAGGATGGAAAAAAAAAAAAAATGATAAAAATTCCAGGTTCGACAAATTTACCAGGGTAAAAAGTGTAACGTGAACACTAAGTTTTAAAAAACAAACCTTTCCCTTGAGAATGAAAAAAAGGAAAAAAGTGTTCAAATTTTAAAACATACAAATAAAAGAAAAAAAAGTGTGTGAAAAAAAAAAAAAAAAAAAAAAAAAAGAAAAAAAAAAGAATAAAACTAATTAGAGAAAAGCAAACCTATAATTTTTGATTATTCATTTGTGTATTTTTTGTTTTTTCATTTATTTATCCATTCATTCGTCCATTCGTTCGCAAATGAGTACGGGATTTTCATCTCCCGCGCTATTTTTATTTACTCATTTTAAAACAGAAAGTGCAAGGACAGGGTATACAGGATATATATACATAGTAACACATCGCCCATTGGTACTTGAGAGTATTATACCATTTTAATTTTCCTCGTTTGACGTGTCAATATTCAGGCCTTACCCCCAATTTTGCCCAACTTGTGCCTACGATGTTTATATTCGAAAACGCGCAACACTATTTTAACTTTTTTCGAAATTTTAATGGGTGCTACACGGATAACAAGCTGTTGAAATATTTTTTCAAAAAAAGTTACAATAACTGGTTTAATGACCCAAGTCAATATAATTACTATTTTATATCCTACTATGCAGTAGCAATTTCGTTTTCTGTATTGATGAGACATTTGTTGTTTAATCCAGATGTTCATTTCAGGAGACAAGACAAGAGAAGAAATATTGTTGATAGATATCAACATCATGCATATTCAGTTCCTTATTACAACCACTGGTTAAGAAACTTTAGTCAGTCTTTTAAAAGCACACTAATAGATAATGAGCCAGATTATCAAGATGAAGACCCTTTGAATATTAGACCTAAAAGGGTCCAGTTTTATGGAAGATTCCCTTTTTTCTTTGAGGTTCCAAAGTACGGTGTTGATGATCCATATTATGAAAAAAACTCCCATAAGTATATGCAAAACTATTACGAGAGTATTGGATATGTAAAGCCAAGGGAGACACAGCATATTTAAGCTGTAAGCAGAAGAATGAAGTAGAAGAATGAAGTAGAAGAATGAAGTAGAAGAATGAAGTAGAAGAATGAAGCAGAAGAATGAAGCAGAAGAATGAAACAGAAAGAACAAAATTTGTCCAAGTGGACGGAGGAGGGTAAGTAAACAACTTTGAAAACGCATTGGCATTCCCTAAATATAGGGTTATATATGATATAAAAGGGGAAAAAAAAAAAAAAAAAAATGTCTCTTTGGGTGCTTTCTTTTTCTTTTTTTTTTTTTCTTCCCCCCCCCCATTTCATACACACTAAATTAAGCACATTCATATGTGACGAAGTTGTAACTTCTCTTTTTGTAGCTTATAAATAGTACCCCAATGTCACTTCCTCCCCTTTTTTTTTTTTTAAACTCCTATATAAAAATTATGATTTTAAAAGATTTTTACGTATTCAAAATGAAACTTTTTAGAAATTCACGAAAATGTATGAGGCTTAAACACCTCGTTGGCACAATTAATATGTTCATAAATATGGATATGTACTAAAAAAAAATAAAAAAAAAAAAAAAATAACCCTTCAGCCTTCATTGTTGTATTATTACCTTATTGTTGCTATGACCCATTTGATATTTCATCATTTTTATCCAAACTACTTACAAGTATTGAGCCGGTAAATGATCAAGTGGGTAAGCTGCCCAATATCAATGGCACTATTCGTTATATATAAACGTTGAAATAAAAATAGGCTACTACTTTTATCAGAAATCCACCCCACCCTTTTGCCAAAAAAATAAAATAAATAAAAAGATAAACTTGTGTGGTAAAAAGAGATATTTTGTGGGTATTAATATTAAATTCAATTAAAAGGTAGACCCCTTTTTTTTTTTTTTTTTTTATATTCGCCATGTTTTTTTTAAAAAAAAGAATAAAAAAAAAAAAAAAACAGTACTGAATACATAAAATTTTGCAAATGTTATTTCCCTCGAAAAGGTAATCTTTGCATATACATAAATACATATGTACATGTGTGTGTGCATATACATTCGCGCATATGACGCCACTGTAACAAATAATCTCGTCCCTATATGAGGATTTAACAAATTTAAAAATGTTAAAAGTTATCCGTTAATTTTTCATTAATGGTATAAAATGAAACAAAATAAAACGGGTGTGTGGCGATGACAGTGAATTATTTTCCATGTGTGTGTTTGTGTGAACAGGATATATATATATATATATATATATATACATATGTTTCGATTGAATATAGATATGAATATGCATAAAAACATATGTGCACATGATATGTAACACGTTCGTCTACCTAATGATTTATCGCAGTAATCACGATTATTAGTGTTCTCTCTTATCCTTGACTCATCCATCTTTATCCACTTTTTTTTTCTTTTTTTTTTTTTTTTTTTTTTTTTTTTTTTTGTTTATAGATTTTTTTTTTCCCACTAAAAAGGAATATTTTTTTTTTTTTTTTTTTTTTTTTTTTTTTTTTTTTTTTTTTTTTTTTTTTTTTTTTTTTTTTTTTTTTTTTTTTTTTTTTTTTTTTTTTTTTTTTTTTTTTTTTTTTCCTTTACCTTATTTTTATGCCTTTTTTCTATGATATTATTTTGTGTTATAATTACATACATAATTATTTTCTTGCACCGAGTATTGGTGATTAGGTTGGTAATAAATATTCTGTGTGTTAGTGTTCATAAACATTTTTGAATGAACATTTAGTTTTACGTTTTGTTGATCATTGGAATTTATATTTGATACGATATTATTTAAATGGTTATGTATAAGAGTGTTATCTACATTTTGATTAATAATATTTATAGATGAATTCTTCGTTCCAGTACCTTCTGAATTATTTATCATGTCATTTATACAGTTTTCATTCATTCGGGAGTTTATTTGTTTATTCATCATTGCAATTGTATGGTTTTTTGATTGTACGTTTATCTGATTACTGAATTGATCGCTCATGTGATTCTTTCGTGAATGTCTAGGATGATTATTAATAGGATTGTTAACTAAATGGCTGGAAATCAATCGATTATTCGGTAGGCTGTTATTCGAAAGTTGATTTTTCGTGCGATAATTTTTTATGTGGCTATTTTTGACCAAGTGCTTTTTCATTAATTGGTTCCCATTCAACTGATTTCCAATTAGATGGCTGTTATTCAATATGTTATTTTTTAATCGATCGTTGTTCATAAGACTATCGTTGATTAGTTCTTCGTTCAAAAAGCCGTCATTCAGTTGACTCTCATTCAGTTGACTCTCATTCAGTTGACTCTCATTCAGCTGACTCTCATTCAGCTGACTCTCATTCAGCTGACTCTCATTCAGCTGATTCTCATTAAGCTGATTCTCATTAAGCTGACTCTCATTTAGATGATCCTCATTTAGAAGATCCTCATTTAGAAGATCCTCATTTAGTAGATCCTCATTTAGTAGATCCTCATTTAGTAGATCCTCATTAAGCTGACCATTATGTAAGAAACTGTCAGTAATTCGGTTATCACCTCTATGTGGAGTATTTACCTTGTGAATGATGTGTTTCCCAAGGGTTTTTCGATTTTGAATACCTGCAATACTTGTAGCTGCAGTTGTTGAAGCAGTTGATGTAGTAGTACTTGTGGCAGTTACACCATTGTTATTCATTTTGAAATAATTATTTAGTAAGTCCTTATTTATTTCCACATTGGATTTTGTGGGTATGTGGTTTAGATTCATCATATCATTTTTTAGATTAGTTGGAATGTTATTATAATCACTTAAATGGATACTATTACTCTGTTTGATAAAATTATTTTTTGAATTATTATTTTTATAAAAATTTTTGATTTCATTATTGTTTAGCATTTTTCCGGCTATCATTTTTGGTATGTCACTGTTCTGTGTGTTTTTATGACCAAAGGAAGAAGAACAATGGGAAGTATTTTTTGTAACGGAAGAATCATTTAAATTTATATTTGTCATATTATTCATAATGTTACTTCTTGTAATATTGTTAATAATATTCCCATTTGGTATATTTTGAGTGTTTAAATTTCCACTAATTTTGTTACACCCAGTTTGATTATAATTATAAATATAATCTTGCTTTGGATTCATGACATCATTTGCTTTATCATCTGTTTTAATGCTTTGATATGATTGAAAATTTGAGTTTATATCATGAATCTGCATGTCTTGTATAGATGGAAGTTTTATACGAAAATTTTCTTTTTTCATTTCTTCATTATTCATATTGTTGTAGTGGCAATATCTATCAAGTGAAGATGTTGTCACTGCATTATGCAAAGATGCTGATGAAGTTAGATGTGTATTGGGGTTCATATGGATGTTGCTATTACAATCAATGCTACCATTTCCATTACGTCCATTATCATTTGAAACGTTGGGCATGTTAGACAAATTAGACATGTCTAACGCATTTGCTGTATGAATGATGTATCCAAATTTATTTTTCAGTTCCTGTAATTTTTGATTTGTTGGATTATTCGCACTGCTAATGTCCTTGTTTTGTATAGTGTTTGGAATGTTTACAGTTCTACTGGTAGATATATTTTGATGCATTTTATTGCATATATTAGCGGGTTCAATCAGTATGTTCTTTACATTCTGTTGTTTGTAATTTCTTGTTATATCATTGTTTAGAGAAGAATAACCTTTATAATTAGAATCATTTGTGTTCATGTTGCTGTTCCCTAAATTATCATTTGTTGAGTTATCGTTCTTATTCATACAATTTCCCCTATTGTTGTAATTAGCTATGCCAGATGCAAGAGCACATTGGATTCTATTGCTACTGTGGGGATTCGGATGAATATTATTACACCCTTCCAAGTTCTTATGAACACATTTTTCGTTTATGCTATTTGAGCTGGAATTCTCTTCCGAAAAATTACTGTCTTGATTAAAGTTGAGGAATATATTATTTGCGATATTAGAAGGAAGGTTGACTGAGCGTATCGATGGCTTATCTGGGTCATTATTCTTGTAATTGGAATTTAAATTTCCCATGAAGTTATGAGTAGTGTCGGAGTGGTGAACCGTATTGTTTGTGTTCTTCATGTTGGCTATTTCTAATGCATTTGCCGTATTTAATTCGCTCTCAGATATTTCTGCAATTTCTGAAATTTCAGCATTAAACGTCTGCATGTTTAATCCACTTTTATCATTGCTTACCGTAGAATAAAGATTATAGTATTGCTTCGTTGTGTCGAAATCAGCCTTATGATTGTTCATATAATTTGTACTATGATTTCCATTGTTTCCAATTCTGTAATTGCCCCTGTTGCTGTGGTTGTTGCTGTTGTTGTTGTTATTGTTGCTGTTGCTGCTATTGTTGCTGTTGTTGCTACTGCTGCTGTTGTTGCTACTGCTGCTGTTGTTGCTACTGCTGTCGTTATTGTTGTTGCTGTTTCTTTTTGTACTTCCCTTGGTATTCAGATTGATGAATTTTATTCTATCTTCTATGGGTATTAGATCTATCAAGAAATCGAACACATCCCTTTTACAAGCAGCGGAAATTACATCCTGTTTTTGCAGTGTTCTTCGTTTGCTTTCTTCTGTAAACTTCCAAGCGTAGTTAGTTAGTTCCATAATGAATAACTCACATGCTTTTGCCAGTAAAACAGGGGTATCTGCTGATACCATCTGATTAATTTTTATTTCATCATCTTCCTTCATAATTTTTTTAATTCTTGAAATGGGTAAATTGTGGGTTCTTAAATCATCTACAGTCATATTTAATATTTCGTTTAACTGATTTTTCCAAAAGGTGTCAACCTCGTCATCCTTGGTATTTTTAATATTCATATCTATATATACTGATAATCAGACAAGTAAAAAAAAAAAAAAAAAAAAAAAAAAAAAAAAAAAAAAAAAAAAGAAAAAAAAAAAAAAAAAAAAAAAAAAAAAAAAAAAAAAAGGGATAAACATGTGGACACAAGAGCACAAGGGGAGGTGGTCAGGTAAATAAAACTTCTTCGAATAATGTACCTTAACAATGACTAATTAATCATATCATTGACAAAACAACAATGTGAAATAAGTACTATCCAATTGTTTTTTCAAATGCACGATCATGCATGAAACGTTTTATGAATTATACACCACCCTTTTATGCACTTCGGATATGCAAATAATATTTGGGTGCGTAAAACAAGACGCTTTAAAAAATGAACCTACACCTTGGTAGCAAAAGAAGTACAAAAAAGAAAAAAATAATGAAAAAAAATGAGAAGAAAAAATAAGAAAAAAAAATAAGAAAAAATAAGGAAAAAAATAAGAAAAAAAAAAGAATAATATTTTCCTCGTGAAGAGTTTTATCAGTTCAGTATGTGCTGGACACTTAATGCACACAAATAAATGCATATTTTGTGTTACTTGCAATTGTATCTTTGAGATTGTATATGTATATATATACACGAACATAATATTTTAAGCAATTAACCAGTAAGTTGGTAAAATATAAAAAAAAAAAAAAATAAATAAAAAGGAACCTTCTATTTCTACTTCATTGTTATTCTGGTATTAAAAACTCTTTCTTCAGCACAAAATGTGTATAAATAGATTTCCACAATTTATGCTGTTGCTTTATATATATCATAATAGTTACTTAAGAGGACGTCAAGATCCTAATACAGTACTGCTAACTTGGTTATATAACACTATTAACCCTGTTCTGGTCTAATAATGTAGCAAATGGTAAATGTGTAATGTCTCTTCTTTTCTATGCTCCTCAGTGTCTATCTTTTTTTTTTTTTTAATCTGAAATCGCTATGAGGGGCTAAATAAAATTACTACAAATGAAAAATTTCACTGCACATATATATAAATGTAAAAAAAAAAAAAAAAAAAGTACGCATGCATTTAAGCGTCTAAATATTGCGAAATAAAGCGACACAAGAATAGATAAAATTTATTTTCCATTTATTTATCCACTATTTTTCTCTTCTTTTATCACTTTGTCGTTATGCCATTTTTTTGATTTGTCCCTTTGTTGCCTTATCGTTTTGCCACTTTGTTATTTTGTTATATAATTTTCTTTTTCTTCCCTCCACTTAAATCCTTCTGAATGGAGAGGCAAGAAAATAGAAATGGAGAATGCAAAAAAAAGAGAAACAAAAAAATATACATACATCAGAATATATGAACAAGCGAAACGGTTGTAAAAAAAAAAAAAAAAAAATTATTTACGTTTTCATTAAATTTTTGTGACCAAATAGGTTTTTAAAAAATAAGAAAGATAGCTCATGCATAGAAATATACGGTCCGCACGCATAGGGTAAACTCACGGATGCTCTTATGATGTGTGCGCACATGTACATGTGAAAGAAATAAATGAAAATGCTTCATTGCCAAATAAGTTGTGTAATTTGTCATTAACGGAAAACGAAAAGGAAAAGGAAAAGGAAAAAAAAAAAAAAAAAAAAAAAAAAGCATGAATAAATTCACAAAACTTGTAATTATCCTCGCACCCCCCCCCATTGCATTAATCAAGCACACATTTATATACGTATTCATAATGTGCATAATATGTAACAATTTTATAACTACACATGTGCATTAGTAGTCACTAAACATTAAAATAGAAAACATTACACATTTTAATAAAACCGATGAAACAAAAATATTTGATGTGGTGCAATTTCCATGAACAACTAATGAAAGGGAGAGGAAAAAAAAAAAACAAAAAAAAAAAAAAACAAATTAAAATAATACGCGAATATCCTTACACGTAATGGTCGCAGTTAGATAAACGAACGTATGTGCCTATATGTGAAAATAAATGTGGTAAAAATTAGAGCTACGAATGGAGAAAAAAAAAATACAAAATAATAAATTTAATAAATAATGCTTAAAATGATGAACCACGGGGGTGTAGAGTACTTGGCGAAACATGTGTATATATATTCGCAGATGCATACGTAAATGGATGTTTATAAACGTTCAATGGTGCACATTTTCATAGATATACTTGTGCACGTGCTTGTGTCTTACAATCCAGAAGAATTCCCTTGCAAGACGGAAAGGGGATATGTTGTTCTAAGAATATAATTACTTATAAATAAGAGTGACATAAAAAAAAAAAGAGTAGGGGTACGAAATTAAGAACATATAGATATGGAAAAAGCATCTGTGCTTTAATCATATACACGTGCGTATTTGTGTAAAACTTCGTTTGTACATGTCACAAAAGATGATGGATGAACATTCAGCGTTCTTTTTCAAAATTATTGAAGAGATTATGCACTTGTTTACACAATAGATCAAAGAAAAAAAAGGAAAAAGAAAAATAAGTCTCTTTTTTCTGTGGATTTATTATGAATTTTCAGCTTGGGTAGTAGTAGTGTCATGTGTATGTAGTAATCCTTTTTTTCTTCTCCTTACACCTGCATTTTTGTTATGTTATCTGGAAACGTTGAAGTTGTCGAGATGATAATGCAGAAAATTTGAATCAAATTTCCTTTTTGTGCTTTGCCATGATTTTTTTTTTTTTTATCATAAATTGTTCTATGTTACTATGAGGGATTCCATATGATGTCAGTTAGTGACAATTGAATTCTCTGTACTTGCCACTTTTTTGGATTAGTACATAAATAAAAATCAAACGAATTGAAACAAAAAATACAGCAAGGGCAGAAAAAAAAAAAAAAAAAAAAAAAAAAAAAAAAAAAAAAACACAAAGAGCTGCTCTGAAAAAAATGTGCACATGTACATGAAGTTACACGTATCTGTATATTTTACAAATCGACATGTGAATACATAATTAAAAAATGTAAAATTGAAAAAGAATTGGCCTATATGTGAAACTGGTTTTCCTTTTTCTTTTCGTTTTTGCTTTCAATTAAAATTTACAGTTTTCACGTGTTGTTCATATTTACGTATACAATTTTTCTTATGTGTCCATTTTCACACGTGAAAAAAATAGAAAAAGAAAAATAATAAAATAAAACAAAATAAAACAAAAAAAAAAAAAAAAAAAAAAAACAAGTTTGTAAAAATAGATAAAAATAGCAAAGTGTAATGAAAAATACGAAAAATGACAAAAAAACAAGCAAAAAAAAAAAAAAAAAATGTTTATGTATATGCAAGCATTGTACAAACTTATTATGGAGAAATTGTCAGCATTCAGACAAAAAAAAAAAAAAACTTATGGATATTATTTATTTATATGAGGAAACATTTTCCCCCCTTAATGTTTCTTTTTCGGTTTTGTCAGGAATAAAGGAAATCGTTTTTATTTTTTTGTCATTTTGAAAAAAGAAAAAAATAAATATAAATAAAAATGAAATGGAATATAAAATAAAAAAAAATTGGAAAGGAAAATTCTTGTTCCCATGTGCACGCATAAAAACATGTTACGAAAAATTATATTATTGTTTATTTAACAAGTAGGAAGGTTTCTTTTCATACAATGTACACTTCTTTAAGAAACAAAAGTGTTTTTTTTATTCCGTGCGTCTAGTCCATTAGTTTACTGGTTCGTTCATTTGCATGTACTTTGTTTTATTTTTTTTATTTCATTTTTCATTTTTATTTTTTTGCTTTTACTACTTGATGATCTTCATGGTGCCATTGCGAAAGCATAAAAAGAATCACACGTAAAATTTTTCTCTTTATTTTTTATGCCCTCCATATACAAGACGGCAAACAACAAAAAAAAAAAAAAAAAAAACTTAGTGGCATTGATGTTCGAAGCAGTATTTTAAAAATGAGGAAAATTAAAAATTTAAAAGACGGACAGGAAATATTTTTTACCTATATAAAATTGTGAATTGGCAATAATGGAAATCCTTAAAATATATAAAATACATGATTTTATAACAGCGGATAAATGTGCCTACATATGACACGTGTACTAACGGTTAACCTTTTATTTGAACTGAATTGTGCGAATACATAGAATGCTTCAAAAAAAAAAATAAAATAAAAAAAAAAAAAAGAGGATTGAAATATCTTCCTATGTACACGTATATGTAAGAAATTTGTATATTTTATAAATTGAGAGTGATTGATCATTAAGAACAGCTGCATGTATTTTTCTTTTCTTTTCTTTTCTTTTCTTTTTTTTTTTTTTTTTTTTTTTTTCAGTATCCAAAATTGTAGAGCCAATTGGATATTGTAAAGTGTTAATTGTTAAACGTGGTATTGGTGATTTCTCATCAGACAGTTGTGTATAAGACGGGATATTCCCTTTTTTTTGTTCATTCATTCTTTAATCATTAAATACGAAAAGAGAGCTTGGTAAAAAAAATAATATATATACCTATTCCCCAAACATACATATAATCTTCCTTTCTATCACATGTTCCTTTGTGATACTGTAGTATGATCATTTGTGATAATGTATGCATATGTGAGCCTACTAACATGGAAAATTTGCATACTTTTTCATCTGGCATTAATAACACATGAATCAGAATGCGAATTGTGCAATCTGTTTTATATTCGTCCTTATTAACAATGTTAAAATGTGTTATGTAACGGGATGTACTTATATTACACACATGTGTGTGCAGATAACGGTAGCAAACTGTATGCGGGCATGGGTTTGGCAAGTTGTTGTAAATTTTTTTTTTTCATTTTTGTTACAATATATTTTTACATTTCTTGTAAATTCTTTGAAAATTCTCAAAATTTAGATCATCCCCTTTGGGAACTGTTGTTTCGACTTATTGCTTTTCCCCAATTTTGCACACGTGAATATTTTGGGGTTACTTTTTATTACTTTCGTGCTAATCGATTACTGTGTGGTTAATTCATACTATTAAAAAAAGCAAGAACGGGATAAGGTACAAGAAACATAATTGCCGTGGAGAAGCAATGATACACACAAAAGTGCACGGAAATTTTCTCGTAAAAATTTGCGTACAAGTTCGTGTACAGTTCGCTTAAAAGTTCGTATATAAGTTTGTATAAAAGTTCACACATGAGTAGTGACATTCATAATTGCAATTTCTCTCCCTATGACATGCACGATCATAGCAATACGGGTAAATTGGTTTTCTTTTTTTTTTTTTCTTTTTTTTTTTTTTTTATAAGCATAGTTAGAGAAGCAGAATGGTCGATCTTTTTAAAGAAAAAAATATTTCCCTAAATTTTTTCTTAATTTCATTCAATTTAGCGATATCATTACCGCTATGCCTTTTATAATTTTAACACATGTGTTTCATTCGTATATGAATGTTCTTATGAAGTCGCGTATGTTTTTTTTTTTTTTTTTTATTTTTTCGTTTTTGCACCCATTTTTATGTGAATAACATTCAATCATAAATAGAAAGGAATAAAATACATCCATATATGGTAAAAGCAAATTAAAAGAAATAGAACGCTAACTAAGGTGTATGAAATAAATATTTTTCTTTATGCAATTTTGGCGCACGCAGGAGGTTCCCTAAACCAAGGGTTTACTAGGTATATAAAATTAATTTATAAAAAAAAGAAAAAATTGGTCAAATGTGTTAAAAAAAAAAAACATATAAAAAGGCCAAAATGAAAAATTAATAAATTTGTTAATTCTCATTTTAAGAGAGCTTAATGAATTATTCACGGCCAAAAAAATCGAAGACATTTATGTATTACCATAAGCATAAACTTTTTGGAAAATTTCGTTCAGTGGTATATGTAATGCACATGTATATGTATACATATATGAATACGTACATGCATACAGTCCTTTTTTTTAGTTATTCACACATGCACACGGTCCTAGTTTCACATTTGTTGTGCAAGAGGCATAAAACAAAGGTAGTTCCCTAGTACCCGAACTTTGAGTGACAGAACATTTTTCATTTCTAGTGAACTCTCTAATGCTGCAGGGGAAAAACAACTTTTAAATTATAAGTTGTAGATACATACAAAAACTAGAGGATATACTTTCGTTTTTCAATAGTAAGGTCATTCTGCGTTATTACTGGAACAAGGCAAAGACAACTAAAACAGCGAACCACACACGAACTATTTAACATAATACATATATAATTTTAAGAGGAATATGAGCAAGCCAAATTGAAGAAAGAAGAAAACACATTTAAAGGACACAAAAGAGAAGAAAACAAAGCAAAGAAAAATAGGGAAGAATTGGAAAAAATAAACAGATAAATAAAGGAAAGAAAAGTAGAAACAAGAAAAGAAAAAAAAAAAAAATAAATAAAATAGAAAAAAATGAGAAGAATCAGAAATATCGAGTTTTTTATAAAGGGGAATATATTTTTAAAGAAAAATGAATTCAACAAAATATGTAAAAGAACATTTGGAGGAACGTTTAATCATAACATAAAAGAAAATGATCGAGTCCCACCAGCTTCGGAAAATCCAAGTTACAAAAATTTATTTGACCATGCAGAAGATATAAAATTATGGGAAATAGAAGAGAAGGAAAACATTAGTCACAAGAAGGTAGAAGATTTATCTGAGTTGGTTGAACCATCCAATCATCCACATCAGTATGAAGGTATATTTGTAAGAACAAGGTATGCGCATTATAATCAAACAGCTGAACCTGTGTTTCCAAGAAAACCAGATTTAGAAAAAGGTGAACTAGCTAGTGGTGCAAATGTAACAAGAACAGATGTATGGAATAACCCAAATGAACCCGCCGTTGTCTCAGTTGGTAAATTTGAACCGCATAATTTTAGACCAGCTGGTTATGCAGAAAATACACCGAATCCAGATAGCATAAACTCAGATTATCACCCAGACTTTAGAGAATATAGATTGAGAAGTGGAAATGCTGATAGGAGAACTTTTATGTATTTTATAAGTGCATCATATTTTTTTATTATGTCATCAATTATGAGATCTACTATATGTAAATCAGTACATTTCTTTTGGATTTCAAAAGATTTAGTCGCAGAAGGGACGACAGAATTAGATATGAGAACTGTAAGTCCAGGGGAACATGTTGTAATTAAATGGAGAGGTAAGCCAATTTTTGTAAAACATAGAACCCAAGAAGATATTCAAAGAGCTAGAGAGGATGATAAATTGGTGGAAACTATGAGAGATCCACAATTAGATTCAGATCGAACCATTAGACCTGAATGGCTAGTTAATATAGGAGTATGTACACATTTAGGTTGTATACCGGCACCTGGGGGAAATTACAGTGGCTACTTTTGCCCTTGTCATGGTTCCCATTATGATAATTCTGGTAGAGTTCGACAGGGTCCAGCTCCTTCCAATTTGGAGGTCCCCCCCTACGAATTTATTGACGAAAATACCATCAAAATTGGTTAATTCTTGTTTTATAATTTTAGCTCAGTAGTGGAGTAGCTCAGCAATACAGTAATGGAGTTGTACAGTTGTGTAGTTGTGTAGTTGTGTAGTTACGCAGTTGTTGCCACAATTTTTGCTGCCACGTGCACCTGATGGGACACTGGCGTTGGTACAATTAAGGCAGACTAAATGTACGGACCAAATTAAAGCATTCATTGAGAGACGCACGAATCATACATACGTGAACCAAAAATTTCCGCTTGAAAAGTCATATCTCGTTCGTGAAGGTGAATGATTCATAACAGGATAATCGTTGCTTCATTTTTTTTTTTTTTTTTTTTTTTTCCATTGTAATTGCTCACTACACATTTTATTGGTCCGAATTTTTTTTTTTTTTTTTTTTTTTTTTTTTTTTTACGTGCCAAGGTGTGTTTTCATAGGAATAAAAACAAAATACTCTTTTAAAATATTATTCCATATAAATATAGATCTGTATATACATAGGTCTAGGTATAGAGGATATCATGGATTTCAATTATGGAAAAATATTTTACAAGAACATCAGGAAAGAATCCCCAATGGATTTGTTTGCCTCTTACACTTTTGCATATTCCTTAATATTAAATATTTATTTCCTTCACACGTTCTCGTATAAGACATGTTTTTCATTATTATCTTTTCTATGTTGTAAAAAAGAAAGGACAAAAATCTGAATTGGTCACATTTTTTGTCCATAAAATATGCGAGAAAAAGAAAAAATATGGGTGGACATTACAATTATAAATTATTTGTCTATTAAAAATGGTATTATGTAGAACGACCGTGATCTTGTATGTTAATACTTCCTTCTTTATGACAATAGCTGTTTACATATATACTACCCCAAAAACATAGAGAACACCAAATATACACATATGGTGAGTTCCAAAATATAGTCAAATTGTAATTTTACCCTTTCAACTGTGGAAATTGTGAAGATTATTCCTTAATTTCTGCCTTTTCCACAAAATTTGGAATCGAAAATATTTATTAGAAATTACGTTTTGAGTTTTAGAATGAAGGTACCACAATGGGTGTGGGTATTTCAAAATACAGTGGGGCCACAAATGTGTAGGTACGCATACACACATATATATATATATATATATATATATATATATATATATATAATGTATGTACATATGCTCCAACGGTCGACTACACCATAGCACGAGAAGTTATACATGTAGGCTCGCGTATGGTAAGGCACTTTTAAAAATGCCTTAGCGTTGGTAGAACAAAAACAAATATGCGACATGTGAGAGACACAAGCAAGTGTATTCAAACGGGGAAGTGGAGCAATGCAAATTGATGCTCAACTGTGTATATATATATATGTGTGTACATATATGTGCATATGTATAGGATAGCGAGGGCAATCTTCCTGCTGATTATCGTGCCTTAATCACATATACATGATAGATACAGCTTTTCTTGAGCGAGCGTGTATGGCAACAAGACTCATCACACTTTATGTGACACAGCTACAACCCTGAATATACCTGTTTAACTTATTCGATAAATGCTTGTACATAAGAAAACAGAAAAAATTGTTTATAAGGAATATGATAAAAAGAAGGACTAAAAGAACGGCCCACAAATTTCCGCTATTCTGTGGAGTATTATATGTACCACCAAAGAGTGATCCATCATATTGTGTACTAGTGTCACGAATGTGGCTCCAATTAAGATAATTTATAAAAATTTTCTTGAGGTATTTAATTTTGTATAGGATATAATTTAAAAAAGATAAACTTGTGAAAAAATTGTAAACTTTATTATAAAATGTTTGAATTTTGTCTACTGAAGATTTATAATAAATGATGGGTGTTTTGAATATGTCGTTATGACAATGATTTTCATAATATAAAAAGTTGAATATAGTTCTTTTTTTTTCTTTAAATAAGAATTTGGCATTTTTATCATGAAATGAATTTTTATTATGCAACAACATATTTTCTTCCTCTTCACCACATAAAGGGAATTTCTCTCCCATAGAACTGGAATTACTACTACTGTTTGGAGTCGTCGCTCTCCTTCTTCTTCTTCTTCCTCCACCTGTGGATTTTTCGAATAGGTATATTTTTTCTATCTCATCATAGAGTATATCTTGTAAATATTTACATATAAACTGGAGTGAATCAAGTTGTTGATTCTTTTCATTAATTGTTAAGATACAGATCTCTTTCATTATTTTAAATAATGACTCTGTTTTGTTTCTATTTTTATTTAGATTTTTCATATTTTTTTCATTTATCATGATATATTTTAATAAAAGATTAATTGTATTTTGTAAAATTTTTAAATTTGACAACAAATAATATATAATTTTTGTTTTATTATTTGTAATTTTTATAACATCTTTTAATTTAGAAATTACATAATTATTTTTATTTTCAATTGTTTTTACTTTGTCTACTAATGTTAATAAGGCATGTCCTCTAGTATTTTTCGATCTTTCTTCAATTTTTTCTTCTCTTATACAATTCTGTTCATAATTATTGTAATGTATATGATCATTTAGGACATGATCAAATTCTTCGAGATATTGTAATTTATTTTCTTTATTGTTTTTTTTTTTCCCTTCATCATTTATAATTTTTTCTTTTATTTTATTCCCTGGTTTCTTAATAATTAATGGTATTTGTTTTCCTGATTTTAATACGACAGAGTACGTTTTGGATTCATCATTATCATGGTATTCATTTATAATATCATACACTTCATTTATAAGTTTATTATTATTTTCTTCTGTCTCTTTTATTTCATTTAAAATTTTTATGCTTTTATCATTTGGTTGTTCTCTATGTTCTACATTCACAAGGTTTTTTATTTTTTTCTTCTTTTGTGTCTCTTTGTGCATGTTTGCTTCGTCCACATATTTTTTCAGGTACTCGTCTGAGTATATAATGCTTTCCATTTCCCCCAAGGTTAGGCACACGTCATCCTTAGACACACGATTTGGTTGTGCATTTCGCTCCAATTGTGCACTTTGATTTGCTTCTCTGTATCGATGACGAATTTGATTGTGTTGATCTGCTTCTGGATGTTGAATTTTCCCCCCCACTTTCAGCTTGTTCTCATTTCTGGTAATGTCGTTTTTTTTTTTAAGATAAATATCTCTCCAAATGGATATACGATTCGTAATTAGACCCATAAAAAAGGCCGTTACAGATCCATAGCATGTCTTATTTATGGATTGAAAATATGTTTCTTCATTTTCTTGTATATTTTTTCCTACTACCTTTTTGGAGTGCAATAATTTCCCCTGATTTTTCACCCTATGAAAAAGGTCCATAAAGACGCTTATTCTTATATGTGCAGATTTTGTATGAAGAAGCTTACTTTTTGATGTGGTAAATTTTTTAAAAAAAAGAAAATTATTTGTTAACTGCTCTGAGATGACATTTCTTATATAATTTATATTCATATTCGCTATTTCGTTTTCATTTTTTTGGATTAATAGGATGTTAAAAATGTTTTCTATTAATTTTGTAAGCAGTTTCCTATGATTTGGACTATAAATTATAAAAAATATGCAGTGTCGAGAAGATAGATTTTTAGATCCTCTTAACATGTGTGCATACATTGTAAAGATGTTAATTACTGAGGGGGGATCATACTTAAGGAGGAGAGATTCAACACTTATTTGTTTATTTTTTGTAGATGCATAATTCAGTTGATCCTTTGGCTGGGTTACTGCATCGGACATGTATTCATCTTCCCAGAATTGTTTTTCATTTTGCTTGAATTCCCTACTCCCATAAATAACTCCCTTATCTGTATCTTCCTCATCCGTGTATAAATAATAAGAGAGGTCTCTTTTGGAGAATCTGTCAACCCTTTTGCATGTTCTGCTTTTATAAAATTTGAAAAAAACGTAATAATGTAATTCGTTTTCTAGTGATAATTTTTTTTTCTTCTTCAAAATGTGTAAATTTTGTAGGATATCATAGCATTTGTTATGATTGTGAAGGCTAAGTAGCGTTTTATTTTTCATAAGATATATTTGATGTGGTAAATAAAATGTATTTTTCCAGTTCATCACATAATCAAAGCAATATTTTACAAATTCCAAATCATATATTATGTGACGTTTTTTTAGTTCATGAAATAGATACATTATTGTGTAACCATCATGCGAATGTTTATCAAAAGGTAAATTTTGTAAATCTTTAAGTTTATATGGTTCATTAAATTTTTCCAAAATGTAGGAGGATAGAGTATCCAAATCCTTATGCGTGAAATATCCCGAGGTATCACAAAGTGGTGATCGAAAAACCGATGAATACATATAATGGAATTTTTTATTATATTTCATTTTACTAAATTTTGTTAATAAAAATATGTTTCTAAAAATATTCCATTTTTTTGGATGGATTTTAATTTTTATTTCCTTCAATTTGTTGTATCTGCTACGTCTTGAGGGGTGTGTTTTACTTGACATGAATACAAGATATTTTCTGATCGTTGATTTGATTAAATTATTTCTAAATGTAATTACCTTATTAATTTCCCTTGCTTGTTTATATAAACATATCATATCATGTTTGCACCATGAGCGATATTTACATGTATTAAGAAACGGATGCATATGTTTATTCTTCAGTAAATTATCTTGCAAATTTTTTATAGAATCATAATTGTAACAATGATATTTGGGTGGTTTCCTTCGATAACGAATAGCACTTGAACTATCTGGAAATGTTTTCTTATCATTATAGTTCCTAAACAAACCATTAGGTATATTATATTCCTGTGTCTGCATATGCATAATACCTCTGTAAGAATTTACAAACACCTTTTTTAAGAGAAGGTGAACTGGGGAAAGAATACTCGATCGAGTTGTCATATAATTCCCCCTCTTTTTACTACCAAAGAGTGAATCCTTTGCACTGTAAAGCAAATGATCCGTTTTTAAAACATCATCTGAGTTGTAATTATGATAAGTGATAGTGTTTCTATCCCTCATGAAGTATTCAATATATGGAATATATTTTTTAATCACATTTTTATACGTTATGAATGGATAATACTTTAAAAGTTTCGATATTTTTAGCTTGTTAAAATTTTGAAGAATAACATATTTGTTTTTCATTGCCTTGTTCAAAATAACTACTGCGTTTGATGTTCCTTGTTTGTTGTGATATTTTTGATTTAACATATTTTGTTTTGTGCTTACGGTTGAGCTGGCGTCAGTTTTATTTTTCTCTTCATCTCTTTGCTGACTTTTGTTAATTTCATCATCATCAGCAGCAGCAGCAGAAGAAGAAGAAGAAGCATCAACATCTACATCAGCTTTATCCTTGATTATGTTCCTTTCATTTTCTCTATTTTTGTCTTCAAACACATTGCCTATTTGTTCTGTTAAACGATCGAGTACATGTTCGTTAAAATGATTCGTTTTGGAATATTTTTCAGTAAGTTCCGTGTTCATTAACTCTTTTTCGATAAGTTCAGTATCCATCAATTCCTTTTTTATTAACTCTGTGTCCATCAGTTTTGAATCCATTAGTTCTGTGTCTATTAATTCTTCTTCGATTGTTTCTGCATCTAGGAATGCGTTTTCAAAAGGTGTGAAATGATGCCCCTTTGGATGAGGTTTCGTGGAATTATGTTCACTTGTGTGTGTTTCTGCACTGTCGGGTTCTAGAGAATCGGGTTTATTTTCTTTGTTCTTATTTTCTCTATGTTTTTTCTCTTCTCCCCCATCGCTTGTGGCAGCAGCTGGATATACAGCCTGCTTACGCTCATTGTCTTCAAAAAGGACCTCCAAATTTTCTATTACCTGATGATCTCCAATTTGTTCCTTTTTTTCGTGTACATAATTATCATGAAATTTTTTTTCAACCTGAGTAGTATTATCATCTGAATATATTTTATCACTAAGCATATCAACACCAGAGGAAGCAAAAATTTGCAGATGTGTCAAAGTACAATAATAATTATTCTCTAAATTGTGATGCGACAAAACAACAACTTTCATATACTTGACCCAACAATTATCTTCTTCATAATTTTTACAATATTCATAAATGTTAAATAATTCAAAACTTTTTGTAAAATTTGTTGCAATTTTCCCTAATTTTTTCCATTTTTTTGTCGGGTATACATCACTGCCTAAAATTTCGATAACTTTAAAATTAGATGCATAATGTTCTAATGAAACTAATCCAATTTTCTCAATATGTATAATGTCGCTAAATGAATATATCCACCATATATCAGAATTGCACGGAGTCAACATGTAGCTATCATAGTCGTATTGTTGTATGGACCGAATGTTAATTATTCCTTTGCTGTATTCAATTATCTTCGTTCCTGTGTCTAATGACCCGAAATCGATTTTTAGCTTTAGACTCGTCAGATTGTAGTTTTCACCAAGAATGTATTTTTCTGAATGGGGAATGATACAGATGTGAGTGCGTATGTGTATTCATGTTTATGTTCATACTGATGCTCATGTTGATGATCATACTCGTGTGTTTTTGTTTGTTTGTTGATGGGTGGCGCATGTGATAAATGGTTGGAATTATGAAATAATGCGGAATGTAGTTTTTTCAGTGTTGTCATAAAAAATTTTCAAGGGAATGTGTATAGACATTAATCCATTTATTATCCCCCATTTTGAATACATACAAAATTTTTTTTTTTTTTTTTTTTTTTTTTTTTTTTTTTTTTGTATCTCACACATACCTGTCGATGTACTGGTTTGGTTGTTATGAATGTCATTCATGTAGTTCGTATCTTTGGGGGTGAAAAAGCTTTTTATAAGAAAAAACAAAAAATTTATTGAAATTAAAAACCACCATATCATATTCTTTGCCTTCCGTAATAGTAACGTTTCTTTTTTTTTTTTTTTTTTTTCTCTCTTTTATTTACTTTATTTTGTTTGCTACTCTACAATTTTGCAGACTATATCATCTGTGTGTAAATATCCCCCTCCCCTTATCCTTTGTTTTGCCGCGTTTACTGCGCACTCCTAACGTGGGATTTTTAAGCGGCTATTTAGACACAGGTAAGCAGGTACTTAACTTGGTCACTTTCGAAATTTCATGGTGCATTATTGGAATTATTTGTCGCGCCGATTTGTGTAGAAATGCACCTGCCTAATTACATGTATGAATGGCACATACTATTATCTATGATATATGCTTTTTCGTATCAGTTTTTTTTTTTTTTTTTTTTTTTTCCACTAATTAATTAGGTAGTTTTGTTGTTTCTTTATCTGGATGCTTTTAGTTAACTACTGATATTTATTTCGTATTTAACAAATATATATATATATATATATATATATACTTGAAGATTTGTTCAATTTATTCAATTTGTTTTTATCTTGTTTTCGCTAGCTGGGGAGGGCTACAAATGGAATATGATTTGCTTCTTTAGAAATTAGATAATGGAATATGTTGGTTCACATATATAGCACAGACGGCTATAGGCTTATTACAACATTTTGACTAATATGTCTACTGTCTTGGGGTCCTCCTCTTTCCCTTGAATCAAGTACAGAACACAGATGATGCAATTTTTTATGCCTTTGTCTTTTTCTTTATTGCATTTAATTTGAAAAAATGATGAATATGCGGTAAATAAAAAAATGGGACGCGATGTGAACATATAGTTATAGAGAAACGAACAAATGGATTACAAAAATATGAACAAATAAGCAGCGCTGCCAAACAAATAAATGGCGTTATAAACAAATAAACAGCGCTATAAATAAATAGGCAGCGCCATAAACAAATGAATATTGTAATAAACAAATGAATATTGTAATAAACAAATGAATAGTGTAATAAACAAATGAATAGTGTAATAAACAAATGAATAGTGTAATAAACAAATGAATAGCGTCATAAACAAATGAACAGCGCTATGAATGTTATGGGCAGCACTACTAACGGATGGTACTACGAATAAACGGATTGTGTTTTGAACAAACGAAAGATGTGTGTAATGATGTGATTTTATAAATCCGTAGGCAGAGTTGCATAAAGCATGTATTTGTGTATTTACATGCAATCACATAAAGGTAAACATTTATCACGACCTCTCTGTTAATTTAAAAAAAAAAAGCTAAAAATAAAAAAAAAATAAAAAATAAAAAAAAAAAAGTGAATTGAAATGAAATGAAACTATAATAAAATTGAGCCCTTTTAATTTTTCAGTATTTTTTATTTTGTTGTAGTTTAAAAATAACGTTCCCTTTTATTTTTTTTTTTTTTTCCCCCCCGTTTTTTGCCGCGTTTTTGTTGCATTATTGCTACATTTTTGCTACATTATTTTTGGCGCACTTGCGTCAAGCGCTTGCCGATTTTTCCACAAACATATTTGTGGTAAAAATGATATGAAAATTTTGTAACCACGGGGACAAAGGAAGAAAACTACACATTTGGTTAATCCATTTTTGTTAATTATGTGTTATGAATGCTTCATGATATGCATGTTTTGCTATGAAATTTGAGTATAAAATTTGCCATGAAATTTGAGTATAAAATTTGCTATGAAATTTGAGTATAAAATTTGCCATGAAATTTGAGTATAAAATTTGCCATGAAATTTTGCTTTAAAAATTGCTATGAAATTTTTTCTATGATATTTTACGATGAAATTTTAGGATACACGAATTATATATACGTAAAGGTTCATAGTACTTTGTCAGAATTATTTATTTTGTATTCCTCCCTGTTGTGCATACTGTGCAATGGAACAAAAATGTAAAAACACATTTTATTTAGGTAGGAAATATTACCCATGGGAATGAAAAGTTCCTTAATGGGGAAAGAAGGATTGTAAAAGGCATAACGAGCATCATAAAAGTATAACGAACTACACTAAGGAGTAAAAAATTTGTTAAAAAAAAAAAGAATATTCCATAACTGCATTTATTGTTTACCGGATTATTTTATTTTATTATTTTTTTTTATCACGCCCAGACAAATTTGTCTAGCTTTATTATTCCTTTGCTTTTATTTCTTGTTAATGAAAAAAATTTTCTCAGTAATATTACATGGGCTGCTCATACGTAGAGTACACATTCATGACTTAAAAGAAATATTTTTATTTTTAAAAATTTCTTGAAATGGTGTTGAAGTATATATTTATATTCCTCATTATTTGAAAATAGTTCTTTCCATTTTTCTGAAATGCTTGTATCGTTAAAGTCGTAAAGGTTTTCTAAAAAAAGGTATCCAACGAAAGAATTTTTATGGTATTGTATATAGACACATTGTTGGCAGCGGAAATGCATAAACAAATCGATCGTAATGTGTGTTCTGGACTTATGATGAAAAAAAAAAAAAAAAAAAAAAATTGCAAGTCTGAACTTACGTATGCAGAATGTTTAAGACATACCTATCTTTTTTTTGTTGACGAGAAAAAGGGGAGATATATCCACTTGTGTAATAAAATTAATTACGAGGTTTAAAATGTGAAAGTCGACGGAGAGGTTGTTCAAATAATTCATAAGCTGTGAAAAAAAAAATGGAGGGAAGGAAGATGAAAAAAAAAAATTATTTTTATTTCTCAAAGTTTGTTTCAAAGGGAGGATATGATTAATTTGAGAATTGTAACTATATCGATAAGATTAAGAAAGATAAACTAGCAAAAGAGCTAATTGGTAAAAAAGAGGATTAAAACATGAAGAAAATTGAGTTCAATTGACGTTTGTCTGAGGATAGGAAAAAGTAAAACATGGACAATACGACGATATAACAACTAATAGAGAGCACTTACAACTTTCAGAATGTTTTTTAGAATTTCCCCATGTGCATGTATGTGCTGTAAACTTGTAAAAATATTTCTGAGTATTTGAACCCTTTTCAGTTTACATATGATAGATCGGATGTATGTCACTAACGCATTTTTCATATTCTCTTCTTGAAATGATTTTAAAAAGATGGCCCTTTTTGTATTTTTAAAATTGATAAATGTACTATTGGTAAAATAGGATATATTTTTATGTAGTATTCTTTTTGATTCGGTTGATAAATTGTTATCTAGTGTAATTTTTTTTTGTTTATTTATCTCATTTTTTTCGAAAAAAGTAGAGGTAAAAATATTGTGTACTGCATTTACGTAGGAGAAACTAAAGTTTGAAAGGGAAGGGGAATAGTAATGTGAACTTAGCAGTAAAATGTTACATCTAATGGATTCTAAATGTAGATCTTTTTTTTTGAGAAATGAAACGAAATGATGTAACTCTTTTACGTATTTCTTGTTTATTAATTTCATTATTGGGTAATAATTATGAATTTTCTTATTTGTATTATTTTTTATTTTTGTTTTTATTTTTTTGATGAGCGAGCTAATTCTTTGCAGCATGGAGTTATGTTCAAGATCTTGTTGCGATGCCCGTCCAGCAGAGTCGATATATGTTTTTTTCTTTTTTAAATCTTCATATTGTTTGTAATCTAAGAAAAATTTATATAAAAATGTTTTCTGTAATATACTTTTTAAGTTGTCTTTAGAAAATTTTTTTTCTTCTTGTGTGTCATCATTCAAAGCAAAATAATTTGAATGTGTCATTTCGTCCATTGTTTTATAATGCGTATCAATAATGAATTCATTCTTTGGGTAGTTATAAATAAAGGAAAAGCAAAAGTACAAAAAGAGGAGACTAATAACATTTTCCGTTTCGACAGATGATGAGTTTAATTTGCTGATACTATATGATAAATCAGTCAGTAAAGTGTACATAGCCCTTTTTAGGTGCATCTTATTTTTTTCATTTTCTTTATATATTCTTTGTATTAAATTAAATGTGTAGCAAATATTTTTAATCATTTTTATCACTATTTCTATTTTAAAGTATTCACATTTCTGCTTCACACAAAGGTATTCCGTTAGACTTTCAAATAGTTCCACCTTTAAGGCATATGACTGTGTATTTACACTGCTTATATGTTTTGCAACTTTCTCTTCTTTTTTTATTTTGCATGAGATGTTCTCAAACAGTGTTTTGCTAGGAGAAAAAAAACGTTCGTTTGTTTGGTACACAATTATTTTATCACCCACGTGTGCCATTTCAGATTTTGGTTCGATGTTTCTAGCGCACCCGTGTTCTAACGGTTCCGTCACCACAGCAATTTCGTCTTTGTGGAGAATTGAGGAGATAATATTTTTCAAGCATAAATTATTTCTGACAATTAAATCTAATTCGTAGAACCCTCCCATCAAATGACAAATTAAAATGTTCATGACTTTATTTCTTATATTTGGATATTCATATGTATGATTTCTTAAGTTTACTATTTCTTCAATTTTATCATAATAGGAACTTTCATTTTTAATGAGGAGAATGAACAAGTATATATGGACAAGTGCAGAATTTGAAGATGTAGAATTTTCTACATTATTTAAAAAAGAATAAATCTCATTTTGTCTTTCTATAAGTGTAAAAATACATAACAAAATGTTTATAACATTTTGATAAAATCGATTCAGATTTTTTAAATTCAATGATCTCATCATGGTAATGCAAAAACTGAATGAAATGTTATATGTATTTTTTTCTTCTAAGATGTTTTTGTTCAAGATTTGCAAATTTTGTCTAGCTTGGTCAACATATGAAATATGGTTTAAATTGAATTTGTTCAGATGACTTATAAAGGTGGAAAAAAGTTTAAAATTATTAATTCCTTTTTTGAGATCCTCATAAATGGAACATGGTAAATATCTGCTTATATCTTCAATCGAGATATAAATTTTATCTATATTTTCTAATAGATTTTCCCTTGTTTGTTTAATCATAGCACATATTTTTCTTGCACTAACAATTGCGTAGATGGTGTATATATATTGAACATAATTTTGGGATTTTATATTATCTAATATATTCCATGTTTTCATTTGTACATTATTCACATCAGTTAGTATATTTTTCTCAAAGTGAGTATCTTCGACGTTGTAACTTTTTATTTCTTCTTTTATCATATTCAAGCATCTGTCACATGTGTTTATGCATTCACTCAATTCGTTCGTCAGTAGGTACAATAAGGATAAGTTGTTCAACATCTTTATTTGTTCTTCTTTAACTAGTTCAGATCCTGAGGTTTAGGGGGTAAAATGGAGCAGTAAAGAAAGAGTTAGATGTGGTAAACATATAGGAGAATCACACCTTATGCAAATGAGATGATCACAAAAATGTTTTCAATTCGATTCGTTAAAATGGAAGGTACATGACGTTAGGGACAAAAAGGGAAAAAAAAGAAGAAAAGAAAAAGAAGCAGAAGAAAAAAGAAGAAAAGAAAAAGAAGCAGAAGAAAAAAGAAGCAGTAGAAAAAGAAGCAGAAGAAAAAAGAAGCAGAAGAAAAAAGAAGCAGAAGAAAAAAGAAGAATAAACATTACTGTGAAAATATAGACACCACCGTGTGCATAATCATAACTGTGCCCCTTTTGATCTCTCGCTCATTAGCTCACCGTTAACTAAATAAGAATCAACCGATTTTAAGGTCTCTAAACAACTTCCAAAATCGGCATTTTTGAAGTACAGCTTCTTCGCCTTTTCTATCAGAATAATTAGAAAGAAGTTTTTAGTTGATGTAAAATTGGGAATTTTCTGCTTTACATTTCTTGATTCTCTTGCAGGGAGTTCATTCCTTTTCATTTGCGTAAACTTCAATTCGATGACTTTTTTCTGCACATTTTTTTGATCTTGTAGCAGTAGTACTTTGGGTTTGCTGGTCATGGTTAAATTGGAGGAAGATATGTTCATTGGATTGCTACTTTCTCTTTGTCCATCAGTGAGTTCGTCTATGTATGTGTTTATTTTGTTTGAATTTTTTTCTGCAGATAGATTCTTATCATTGTGGTTGTCTATATTTACATATGAGGAGTTCATCCTGTCTACTTTATTATGCAGTTCTGGTTTATCCATTTCACTTTCTTGAGAATTTTCATATATCGAATGGATGGCTCTTTTACGTATTTCTTCCTTTTGATTTTTCAGCTGCTCATTTCTTAGTTCTTCTAATTGACATTGTATGTTTTGTGCATCTTCCTGGAGCTTTTTGATGAAATCTTCTTTCGAATTTTTGTCTTTCCTGAGTATTTTCTTCAAATCATTTATACTTTTTATTCTTCTGTCATTAATTACTGATTTGAATTTCTTTTCTTGAGCAATTAATTTATTTTTTTCCTCCTTTGTACATTTTATCAAATTTGGATATGCTACATTTTTGTATATTAAGAAAATAGTAAAATAATTTAAATGTCCCCATAATTTTTTTTCCTTTTTTTTTAAATTAAAAATAATAAATTTTGTATTTTGTCTAATTTTCACATGTTCTTTGTTCACATTTATTTTATCATACAAATCAATATTCATCATTTCATCTTTATGGTTTATTTTAATATACATTTCTGTAACTAAAATGTCTTTCGTCTTTTCCATTTCGATGACTTGTTCATTCTCCCAGCAATAGTTCTCGATGTATCTCAGATCAGAAAACACACTTTCCTCACTATTTTCCTTTTTCAATTTTATCTCAATGGAATCGAAGTTTTCTCTCCAGCTAAGTTCCATGGTGTGTAAAGCAGGCTGAGTTATCGATATGATAGATATGGTTTGCTAGACCACTTATTAAATATTCTTTAGGAGTGTTTCTCTCAATTCTGTGGATACTGCTTCATCTGTGTCTTCCCACAGATGGGGTCCATGGATTGGATGGGGTTCGAATATAGAAAGAGTAAAAATGGGTAGACCCAAAACGTAAGGAAAAATATCACAAGGGAAACAAGTGTGCCAAAAATAATTGATTATAAACAATGCGATAGAAATTAAGAGTGATGTTAAGACAAGGTAATTTTACAAATACCTAGAGTTTGAAACAAAAAATTTTAAAAGTTGAGTCTATCAATATAGTGTTACACAATTTAGAAACGTTGCAGTTTTATCAGTGTACTAATGTGAGGTATTAAATATGGAAAACAAAAAAAAATAAAAAAAAATAAAAAAAAATAGAAAAAAATAAAAAGGACACGATAGGATAAGCATAGTTTAGTGTGAATAAGTCCTGATTTTAATTTATTCAACACAAATCTGTAAGTGTGCCTGCATAAGTGTCAAGGAAAAAAAAAAAAAAAAAAAAAAAAAGATATGATAAAATGAAAGTATGATAAATTTGTAATACAGTTGGAGTACCGTTAAATTAAATTTACATAATTTTATCTCAACATAAAAATTAATCATAAATTATGTCAAAAAAAAAAAAAAAAAAAAAAAAACGAATAAATAATAAAACTAAAAAAATGTCACGTAGAAAATAAAAGTACACAAAAAAAAAAAAAAAAAACTGAAGAAACTCTCCATCAGCATATTAAATAACATCAAGAAAAATAGACAAAGGATAAAAATATTCACACTTATGCAAAAGGAATACATATCCATAGAATCATTTTCTTCTATAACCTCGTGATCTATTCCATAGTATGTGTCACTATGTATGTAAACTGTGAAGTGGTAGGTCCCCTTGATCAGGTCTTCCAAGCTGTACAGCAAAAATGTGAAAACGGTAAAAAAAAATAAAATAAATAAAAATAATAAAGCAAAAGAAAATGAACAAAATAGTAATAAACAAAGGAAGTAATTATAAAGGATATGCAGGATCAACAATAGAAAAAAAAAAAAAGGAGAGAAGTGATTGGGAGAATTTGCTTGTACGTACAAACTGTTGGCACTAGAATGTATTTACATCTATAATGTATCATACAGATAATGCACATGAGAAAAAAAAAAAAAAAAAAAAAAAAAAAAAAATGTGGAATCTTTTGATAGTCCACTTTTTTACTAAAAGAGTGGTGTTTTCCCTACATAAACGAGACGGATGATGTTTTTTTTAAGGGACAATTGCTGAACCGTTTAATGGAAATTGATATGTCTTGTGAGATGTCATGAAGGATGGCATACCTGTTTGATGGGAAGGTTGGAGTTTTCGTATGTGTACGTGTTCGCGTGTTTTTGTGTGTAAGCAAGAGAGAGGGTACATATTTGCACAGCCACACATTTGAACAAGTAGTACTACATATTTTATGTAGTATTACAAGCCAAATGTAAATACGTTCACGTGGAAGTATGCATCTATGCAAGTATGCAAAATATATGCGACCGAGTGTACATATGGAGAACAGGTGATACTCTCAGTTGAACCTATTTCTAGGCATCTATTCCCTCGTCCTACCATTGCGTATTCGCTCTGGAGATAGCATTAGAATTAGTATCCCGCGTGATTTTATTAAAAAAATTGAAAAAAATTTTGATGACAATTTGATTCGGATCATGATGTTTCATTTTAAAGAAAAATTTATTTTCATCCTTTATGTGTTTAATACATGGGATATTAATAAGGTCACATTTCTGTTCCTTGGTGTTGTTATTAATATTTATATTTTTATCGAACAATTTTATAGTATTGGTTAGTAAGGGTATTTGAAAAATAAAATCGAGTTGCGTTGTGTCAAAGATGTTGAGAGAATATAGAAATGATTTATCAAACTTTATTAGATCCTTTAAATTTTTGATTTGTAATTGGGCTAATTTATCTATCTGATTTGTACTTATGTCTTTAATTATATGTAGTGAATTTTTGTTGGGTTGAATCCTTTGGTTTATGCATTGATAAATTAAAATTAAAGTTTTTATATAATTATATTTACCAAATAATAAACATATATCGATGAATCCATTTATGACTCTAGCTATCTGATCCATAACTAATTTCAAATCGATGTGATAATCTACAGTTTCGTATGTACATTCATACAAACGGGAAAGAAGCAGGAGGTATGTTTTTACATTTTTCATGTTCATGTCGATATCTAATGGAATTTGATTTCTCAGTTTCACGTTGTATTTGTCTTCATTGTGTCTCAGGGGAATATCGTCGAATTCTTTCGCCTGTGCAATGAGTGTGAAGAGACCGTAAAAGTCCAGTTCCTTTGTCGACACGTTGCATTTTGTGTAGTTCTTTTTATTCTCTGCAAAGTGGTGTTCTGTGTCCAGGGTTTCTACAACTACTCCGTTTGAGGTTCCCTCTGCTGCTCCGTTTGTGGGATCCATATTTTCCTCTCCCTTCTCTGAGCCATTTGAAGGTGGTTCCAGAGGTATTCTTAAAGTTTCTTCTTGATCTAGCATTCCATTGGTATCTCCGTTTGAGCAATTTGTTGAATGCATATTTTCATCTTTCCTAGAATATTCCTCTATGATTTTATAAAAAAAAGATACGGTTTCACACTTTAGGTAATAAACAGATGCAATATGGCCAAGAGGAGTCGAAGAATACTTGTGTGTATAGTCCTCAAGTGTAACTTGTATGCAGTTATTCATTTCTAGGAATGTGATAGTATTATCTATAATTTTATTAAGATGTTCATATATAACCTTTTTTGCTTGATTGGATAATTTATTATTTTCAAAAAGTTGAACGTATTGTACTTCTTTGATATAATAGGATGGATTGGAAAAGAGTCTTTTAAAATAGTAGGACTTGGTTAAGTAATTAAATATATCTTCTTTATTATTTATAATTTTCGAACATATTTCTGCATTAATATGTTCATTTAAATTTTCTGTAATATTTGATTCAATATTCATTGAATGATAAAGAAAATTTTTTATTGCATTTTTTCTTTTTTCTTGAACTAGTAATATGGCTAAAGCTTTGTCATCAAATTGTGGTCTACCAGCTCTACCAATCATTTGTAGTAAATCTGTGTATGAAATATCTTTATATTTTTTTGTTTTTGCATCATAATACTCGTTTCCTTTTATTATTACTAGATAAGCAGGTAGGTTGATACCCCATGCTAAGGTAGAGGTGCATATAAGTATTTGTATCACTTTGTTTAAGAAAAAGTACTCTACGATATTTTTATCATTTTCACATAATCCAGCGTGATGAATTCCTATTCCATATTTCAGTAAATCTTTTAAATGTTCGTTTTCGATTATGTTAAGATAATTTTGAAAAAGTACGTTAGCAACTTGAGTCTTTTCTTCTCCACATAGGTTTTTGTTCATGAAGGAAATGTTGTCCAATATGTCGTATGTTATATTGTCATTTCTGTTCTTTCTGTTTTGATTTACCTTTTCTAATTCTTCTTGTTGTTCAAATGTGGATAAGACATTACAATTGTCATCATTATCCATATTGTGATTGTTCCCATATTTCTCATAATTTTTACTGTGATTATTGCCTTGTTGATCAGAGATTTTTTTTTCATATTCTAAAAAAAATTTTTTTTTTTTTTTTTTTTTTCTTCCATCTTTTCTCTTACCATCGTTTAGAAGAAACTGTATGTGATTCTTATCATTTAACAAATTTTCTGTATGTAAAAAGTTGAGATTATGCGAACTTAAGTTAAGAGAAATTATATCATATGCTGTAACTCTTGTTTGCCTCCTTGAAGAAACAAATATGAGAACATTTTTTGAATGTGCATATTGATGAATAGAATCGAATACATTTTTATTCATAACTGACATTCGTGCACAATATGCCTTTTGAGTAAATCCTAGAATGTGGGTTTTGCAAGGTACTATACGGCAAGAGGAGGGGAAATTAAAAAGATAATTTTCTTTTACATCTAACCATAATATTAAATCATCGACACTTGTTATGACTGTGGTTAATCCAACTAATCTTATTCTTTTATTTAAATACTGTTCCATATTTTTAAATCGATTAATTAATATTTCAATTACTCCTCCTCTATTTTCTTGTCCAAGGAGATGTATTTCGTCGAAAATTACTAAACTTATATTTTTCATAAATTTTTTATTTTTCCAATTTCTTGATATAACATCTAATTTTTCTGGAGTACATATTATTATATCACTATCTGCGATATTTTCTTTATTTTCATTTTTATCTCCTGTTAATTCTATTACATTTTTGTTAAGCAAATTCTTAAATTTTTTCATCCAACTTTTATATCTCTCATTTACGATGGCTTTCATTGGACATATGTACACGGACTTTTCCTTTTCCTCTCGGAGTATATTTCTCAGTATGCACAGCTCTCCGATAACGGTTTTCCCACTTCCTAATCAGAGGTGAAGGAGCAACAGTGGCGGTGAACATGTGCTGCATGTGTCCATTGGGATGTCCACTGGAGTGTCCACTGGAGTGTTCCTTAGTGTAACAGGTACTGTGTCCCAAAAAACACATTCCTCATGTTGTGACTCCAGCGTGTTGAACAACTGAATATGTTGTTGTATCTACTTTGGGCAGACTGAACTGCATTAAAACCTATGGTACCTACCTGTTGGTGCTCCAAGGAGGATGTTTTCGTCCGTGTGGAATGTGGCATGAAACATCTGAGTTTGAATTGGGTTGAAATACTGAAATGGAAAGAACTTGATATAGCTAGGTATCTTCAGTACTTGAGTAGACAAAGGGACGACTGGGAGTATTTCCGAGAAAATATTTATCTTCTGATTAATGAACAAGTTATTGGTATTGAAAATATGGACGTAGGATAAATTGCACCAATTCATAGATAGAAACTGCACGGTTATTTGTGGAGGCATTTGATTAGATAGAGGAAATTCGAAAGAAATGTCATGAATTTTTTTCCTGTCTTTTTTATGAATTGAAAATTTTTGAAAATACAGTATATCATTATTTAGAGTATTTAATAAGAATAGATTAAAATTTTCTTGTGTATCATTCCATTGATCTGACCAGATAGAATTAATCAGTTGTACTTGAAGATTTATTTTCATAATCGTTTGAGTAATAGGCTGAATATATCCTTCAATGTGTAAATTAGGTATGATATTCTTATAGTATAAAATTTGGTTCGTGTACACTTCATTTCTTAGGAAGAATAAAAGTTCGCTTTTTGTTAATGAGTCAATAGATTCATATGTCAGCTTCTTATTTTCTAATATGTGCACAACTGATTCTTTTAAGTATACAGTGTAATTTTGATTTCTTCTATACCTCCCTTGATAGGTGTGAACATTGTTATTATGCTGGGTATGTTCTTGCTCTTCGCACATTTCTGTTGGGTTTACAAACTTACCTGTGTATGGGAGATGATTTAAATGAAAAGTTGTGCTATCACTTGGATTGTTGATTTTATTTTCCTCTCCTTTATTTTGATAGCTAGAAAATGGCATATTTTTTTTTTCGAGCAACTCATTTTTATAACAGAAATGTCTGAAAACACAGGAATTTAATGGTAGTCTTCTCAGAATGGAGACAATAAGATTATGCGTATTCATAATTAAGTTTGAAATATTTTTTAGTATATTTAAACATATTTCATAGTATGCATATAATATTCTAATAATGTTTTGTATTACATAATTAATTTCACATATAAGAGAAAAGTTATTTATTTGTATTCTTCTGAGATATGATTCAATTAGAATATGTAAGGTCATGGATTTGGATTCATCATACTGTTCCATAATTTCACACTTCGTTTTTAGCCATAAAAAATCGTTCATATCTTCGTTTCGAATTTGTATATTTTCGAATTCTTTTGCTTTACTAATAACGTCAATAATTTCCACATAATTGTTTCTATCTATATTTGAAGCAAAAATTCCAATGGTTTGATAATCTACATAATATTTGGCTGCTATGTGACCGTAAAAGGTTCCTATAAAATCGTTGGTTAGTAGTACTCTCCTTACTAGTTTATTTTCACTCAAGTTTTGAATTGCTTTTAAAATAATTTCTTTTCTTTTCTTGTACAAATGTATATCTGTTTTCAAATCTGCATCGTAGAGATACGGATTTTTTTTCATTCTCACATAGAGGTATGTATATTCTAGCCACTTGATTCCATCTTCAACATTTTTAGTTGTTCCTATGCTTATTTCTGCATTTAAATGATTTTCTATATTTTTTAGAAAACTAGATTCTATGATGGTATTATTTGTTAATAATTTTATGTATTTATACAATTTGATCCTTTCTGTTATTAGAATGGCATGTCCGTGATCTTCATATTGTGGTCTCCCACACCTTCCGAATATTTGGTTAATATTTAGAATGTCTAAATCTTCCATTTTTCCACTTTCTGAAGAAAAATAATTTGTTCCTTTAATGATGACAGTATGTACTGGTAAATTTACACCCCATGCTAGGGTTGATGTACAACATAGTACATTGAAAGCCTTTTTTTTGAATAAATTTTCAACCAATATTTTGTCTGATCTAGACATGCCAGCATGATGTATAGAACAACCAAATTCATAAAATTGTTTTACATATATATTGTTAGATTTTTTAATTTTTTTACATATATCATTATCTGTGTAAAGATTAGTAACAAAGTAATCAATCTCATTATTTTTTATAGCATAATCTATCATGAATTGTATAGTTTTATTAGTTTCATTTCTTGAACATACAAAAATGATACATTGTTTGTCCTTTTTCAGGGAATTTATAATTTCTCCATAAGCATACATATTTTTGGCTATATTTAATTTGTTCATATTTTTTTCATGTATTCCGTATAATGTTTTGTCTAGCTGGATAGATCTATAACTTTCATTAAAATAGAAACACATATCCTTTTCTACTTTGAGAAAATCTCGCACATCGTTGTAATTTGGTAGTGTGGCTGACATTGCCATTATTCTTCTCACCGATTGGGAAGTTTCAGAATATCTTAAAAATCGAGCAACTATCGTTTCAATAACATCACCTCTGTCTGTATTTAATAAATGAACTTCATCAAGAATGAGACATTTTATATGTTTAATTAAAGATTCGTCAGATACAGTAGTGGAGTAGTTGCTATTTCTAAGAAGGATGTCCAATTTTTCAGGCACTGTAACTATTATATGCACTTGTTCCAACTGTTTCGAAGTCAAGCTGTGTTCCTTTGTATATTCGCACACATTTAAATTAAAAATCTTCAGCTTTCTTTGAAACAGGTTGGTTATTTCAAAAACGAGGGATTTCATTGGGGCTATATATATAATTTTGAATTCCTTTGCATTTATGTAGTTTCCTCCGTAGGATTCTGTTCGATCGTTGTAACTGCTGGCCTCATCGCTCGAGGGGTGATCATTTAGGGGATCATCCGTGACGTGCTTGCTACTTATCTGGTCAACCACCCCGCTATCATCCATCGAGCTGTCATTCATCACGTTGTCATTCATCATGTTATCATTGCTTGTCTGGTGATCCATTACTTGAACCCCGCTGCGTATCAAACTCGATTTGGCGATTTTTTCCAGGTTAATGCAGTTTTGTTCACAAAAAAGCTTAATCTGCTGGAGTATGACTAACAAAGCAATGTTAGTTTTTCCACAGCCTGTGGGGGCGGATACCAGGAGATTTTTATTGGTCTGAAAGGCAGCCTTAAAAACTTTGGATTGGACATAATTAAAATGTTCGAACTCAAAAATGTATTTATGCCAAAATGGTAAAGTGGTAACAGGAACTAACTCGTCTTTACTGAATTGGAAATTTTGTAATCTGCTAATTTTGACTTTTGTAACATTATCTGTGTAAGAATATGAAGTATTTTTTGGTACTTGTATTTCTTCTAATTTGTTTTCTTCATTAGGTATATAAATTTTTTTTACATCTCCAAAATTGTTTTCTTTTAATGTATATAAAAAGAATTCAACAATTTTTTCAATATTTTCTTTTTTATTTAATACATTCTTTTTATTATTGATTCCGTTTGCTGTTTTATCAGTTATGAAAAAGTTAGATGCTAGAACCTTTTCCTTTACGTCTACATATTTACTTAACAGCTTTAAATCTCTTTTTATTTTTTCTTTACATTTAATAATATTTATTATAAAATCTATGTGTTCTTCTCCTAACAAATCTAGTAAACTGTTTTCTAAATCTTCTTTTATCATAGTTATGTAAATAATTTCAGTAATTAGTTCGTTTATTTCGTTTAAACTTATCTTTTTAATTTCGTTCCTTTTATTCATAATAATATACCTATCTGTGTTTCCTCCAAATCCTTTTCCGCTACTTAAAATTTGATCACATTTCTCATATAAATACATCAGTCCATCTTCCACTCCTTCAAGGCCGTTACCCTCATCGTCCTTAGTCTTTCCCTTCCCCTTTGGTTCTTCACATTGCTTTTGTGGGTTATTTCTCATATATTTTTTTTCTTCTCTCATCAGATGCAAGAGTTTCCCTTGGAAGGTTAATTCTCTTCTGTCATTGTGAACTCCATTAAGTGTATCATTGAAACTACTACTAGTGCTACTATCACTGTCTTTATCACTACTAGCAGGCCTCGCTAATGTATCATTCTCATTATTACTGCATCTTTTGAAAAATGAGTTTTTTTTTATGTATTCCACCACCTCTTCTATGTCGTATGTTCCATACTTGATGGAATACTCATAGTAAGAATTTTCTTTCACTCTGTTATTTATTCGCAGTTTCATGTTTTCCTTGAGTTTTTTTTTCCCTTCTGCGTGCGATTGTGCATGTGTGTGTATGCGGTTTAGGGTTTATGGTTTAGAGTTCAGGTTTTAGTGTGTATATACATAAGCAAACATATATGAATAGGAACACCAGGGGATGTATGTATAATCCCTTGATTTAACTGCAGAAGATATCATGAAAAATGTAAAATCTTAATCGATGCTTTTTCGTTGTGGATGTTCTTGATTTATTTCGCTCTATTTTGTTTTTGTTGTTATTTATGAATGAAAGGTTGTAGCTTCCTTTTTTGGATTACTGATGGATGAAGTTCCTTCAGGTGTAAATAGTAACTTGGTAGTAGGTGGTGTTGTGGGTGCGTAACCATTGCATGCATACGCATCTACTTCGCACTTTCTATAGTATTATGCCTCATCACGTTGTATATATTATAAGCTGAAAAATTGGGTTCTATTTTTGTGTCATCCTTTCATCGTGGATATTATTTAAATAGCTGTGTTTACTTTTTTAGTATGCAGCATCATGAAGTAACGTTGTCGTTATATAATAACATATATTCTGTTTTTATGAAATGATATGTTTTTTTAAAATAATCTCTTTAGGGTCAGACATTCAAAATACATTTCAAAATGTTCTATTATGAACAAGTTATATGCTGAACCATGTTGCATGTGCATGCAGAGCTAAACGTGTGTTAGGTGTGCATATACTTCAATTCATGCACATATGTGGAAATAAACTTGTTTGATAATTGCAACATATGAAAGATTTTTATTGGTTTAATATGTTAAAGTGTTATCGGATTAAAGCAACCGGATGTTTACATGTGTTCCACTAGGATACACAAAAAAAAAAAAAAAAAAAAGGATTACATAAAAAAAAAAAAAAAAAAGCAAAATGTTTTCCTTTGTGCTAATTTTGTGGAAAAATAGGTAAAAAGGTTCTTCTTAGCAGAATGGTGAGAAAAATGTAATAATAATATTAAAAAAATGAAAAAAAAAGTAGTTAAAAATGTGCGGAAAAGATAAAAAATATACATATATATATTCTTTAAATTAAAAATTAATATATAAAATGTTTCAACACCTGTAGTAGAGGAGTGGTATATTCTAACTGCACATATAGGAAGCTTATAAACATGTATATCAAGTAACACAAGTTAGCAATTATCTATTTGTGCAAATGGGGAAAAAAAAAAAAAAAAAAAAGATACGAGGAAAAAGGAAGTAACTGCGTGTTTCTTTAAAGCATTGGGCACGCGGAAGATTATATCAATGTTAAATTCAAAAATAGCAAAATGGTGAAATATGCCAAAAGGAATGTAGAGGGGGTATAAAAGAAAAATATATTAGTTTGCCTAATTACATACACATACATATATATATATATATATGCATGTATGTGTATATGCATATGTAGGGAGAGGAAAAAAAAAAAAAAAAAAAAAAATGTAATATAGTCATAACAGTAAGAGAACATAAAAAAAAAGAAGTAAAACATACTATCGTTACAGTCGTTGCGCTGTTTGGTGCTATTTCCTGATTGAAGTTAAAATTATGTTTGGGCCATTAGTTGTACCCCTTGGATTTTTTTTTTTTTGCTCCAAGTAGATACATAGGTGTACAAATGGACTTGTGGATATAAGTGCAAATGGATCTGATACAAGCAAGTCAGCTGGCACTGTGATTTTGTCATACTGCATTGAGATCCTTATTAAATAATCAACAGCCACAACAGGCTGGATCGCCCTGAAAATCTTTGTGAATTTCCAAGAGATCAGTTGAATTTTTTCCACATGTGACAAACTTATGTCCAAATAAAAAAAAACCGATAGATAATCCCAACACAACGGCAATAAATAATCCAACATTGAAAGTCATAACAATTAACATTAATAAATAGTCCCATGAATAAATAATAAATGATAACATAAATCTCACTAAATTACTTTTAAAAAGGAGTGCACTTGTCATTACATTAGTGTCTTTTGTCCATGGCAAGGACTGCTCAACTTGTAATCTCAGTAACTTTAATATGACTGACAATATGCCGAATAGGAGGCATATGATAAGGGAGATATAGTAGGACGTTTCCTGATTGGTCATGGGTTCGGGGAGAAGAGTAGTGGACATATGTGTAGTTAGATGCATGATTGGTTGATAAATGTGCAGTGTTGCGTGATATACCTTGTGTTGGATAGAATAACAGCGAACACAACTGGCCCAGGTGGTTAAATGAAGAGCGAATACTCATATGCATCTCCAGTGTGTAGCACCTTTTGATTTACTTACCGTTTGTGTTTCCCAGAATTTAAACAATATAATAGTGTGCGTAGAAAATTGAAATGACATAGGCATCGACATATCCATATTGTGATTTGTGATATTCTCATTGCTCTCACCTTTGAGTTGATAGTTCTTTTCCTTTTGTCCCTTCATATGTTGTTCAATTATATCTCTATACGAATTGTAGTTTTCCCAGCATTTATAAATAAAGGATAATTTATTTTTGCAGCAATAATGGGCACATTCAACGTGTAATGAAGGAATACATTGGTCATTTCCCTTTGAGTTATTATCACAATTTTTTATTTCATTGAAGTTATTATTTGAACCTTTTTTTCCGCCTTTTTCTTGTCCATTTTTGCCGTGGCAGCTATTGGCTCTTGCTTGATGTGTTATAAGTAAAAAATTTATAATAAGGATTATAAGAAGTATGTTCCATGTGTTTTTACTCATTTCTATTGTGGCTATTATGAATAATGTAAAAATTTACAAATAGTTGGGGTGGGAAAAAAAAAAAAAAAAAAAAAAAAAAAAGCCAAAAGAAAATATTACATACGCCAAATTAAATAATATTAATCATGTGGATGGTTAACCTGCAGGGTCTTTTTTTTTTTTTTTTTTTTTTATGTGCAGGATATGAATATATATTTGTACATGTACGTTGCGCAGATAAACATATATTGATAATCATAAAAAATGACTTTTTGTAAATAATTATTTTTCTCCAACTTCTTGGAGATCCTTGTTCATCCTATATACTACTGAAAAGGAGAAAAAATAAATCCTTCCAAAAAAAAAAATTACACATTCATTATGTGCTATTTAATTGAAGCATACACACAGGAATCCAGGCAATCAGGGGTATAATGATAAGATCAAATTAATTTGCAATTGTTTTTCCATATTTTTCCAAATTTTTGCATAATTTTTGATTAATTTTACTTAATTTTGGTAATTTTGTACAAAAGGTGGGCTGCATAAGTACACATATGTTTCTTTACAATTGCATAGTGACCACGTTGTTAATCTTATCTTTAAAATTCTCTATTCTTTCATAGGTTTAAATTTTTCTCATTAAAATATTTTTTTTTTTTTTTTTTTTGGGGGTTTAGCATGACTACTGCTTTCAACTATTTGGGAAATACTAGTTATCTATATGCCGTGAAAATTTTATTTCTTTATGATCCCTTTGAAAAGCAGAAATTGCACCATTTCCGTTGTTACTTTTGTTCCGTATATATAATGCACTTTGTTTTGCAAAAGAGGATATGTTAAAAGGTATATACCTCAAATGAGGCAGAACAGTAACGTGTTTTTCTGGTTCATTTAAGGAACCATATATTTATTTTATTTATTTATATATATATTTTTTTTTTTTCACGCTAAATGTTTGGTACAGATTAAACAAGGTAATCATTTCTTGCTTTGCATATATGGGGAAGCACGTGTGTTAGTCGATTTGTTCCACATTGTTCATTTACGTACATGTGAATACATACATTTTACTTTGGGGAAGAGAACGAATTTTTTTTTCCCTTCCAACTTAATCTATTTTTTTTTTTTTTTTTTTTTTTTTTTTCATATGTGTTACAATTATATATAGTTTTGAATACTCGTAAACTCATATGTGTGAGAACTTATTCGAGGTTTCATTTATAGCGTACTATTCATTTTAATATGAATGAATTTCGGGATGAAAAAAATAAACACTGTACATAATGTATATACACACGTATATTTTTTTTTGTGTTATCTCTCGCGTTTTTTCAACAACTGTGTTGCCATTTCATACACGAAATGGTAATATATGTACACGGTGAGTCGTTAAAAACGAGAAAAAAAAAAAAAAAAAAAAAAAATAAAAAAATAAAATAAAATAATAATGGTAATAAAAACGTGCTATCGTGTGAAACACGGAAAAGTATTTTCACAGACATACATACGTGGTCATAATGAACCTACAAGGTAAAAGATCTCCAAAACGTAATTTCCAAAATTTTCCAGTTAAAATACATTCTTTTTTTTTTTTTTTTTTTTTTTTTTTTTTAATAACAAGCCTCATGTTTGATTCATCATAATTTATCATTTGCTCATGTCTGTTTTTCCACGTTTTATAATGTTGACAAATATTGTGCAACACCCTCTTCTGATGCCTTCATGGCAGCTTTACCCTTTTGCCAATTTGCTGGGCATACATCACCATGTTTTTCATGATGCTGTATAGCATCTATTATTCGCAAAATTTCATTAACCGAACGGCCTATTGCCAAGTTATTAACAAGAAGATGTTGGACGATTCCATTCATATCGATAAGAACAAAAGCTCTTAAAGATACACTATCATCAAACAAAACATTATAGTCTCTTGAAATGCTTTTTGTGATATCAGATAATAAGGTATGTTTTATATTACCAATACCACCTTTTGCAAGTGGGGTTTTTTTCCATGCAAGGTGTGTGTATTTGCTATCTACACTACATCCCAACAATTCTACGTTTCTTTCTTGAAATGAATCTAAGGCTTTATCTAATGCTATAATTTCTGATGGGCAAACAAAAGTGAAATCAAGGGGATAAAAATATAACAGTACATATTTTTTTCCGATAAAATCTGTTAAACTTACTTCTCCAAATGTGTTATCACCAAAAACTGCCTCAGCTTTGAAAAATGGAGCTTCTCTTCCTACATATGTTACCATGGTTCACAACAAATTCTGCTTATTCTGATTAAAATTATTTAAGTGTAAATTAAATATGGCGTGTACACCTGCAGGAGGGAGGGGTTACTTAATTGTGTAAAAAGCTGCTATCTAAATATATATGTACAACGTTGCGTGCGTGAGGAAGGTTTTGTATTTTTGGGTGAATATATCTTTGTGTATTTTGCTAAATGTAAATGTGTTTTTAATTTTAGCTTAAAGTTTTATTTTGGAAAAATAAAAAAAAAAAAAAAAAAAAGGAAAGTTTGTTTAAAAAAGTTTTTGGTGCAAAAATTGTTCTTTTTAAAAACGCTTTACTTAAAAAATGGGCTGGTTTAAAAAAAATTTTTTGCTTAAAAAAGATTATAACATAAAAAAAGAGAAAAGAAGCGTTAATATAAATTCGACACAGAGGCAAATGCCTGAGTTATATGTACAATAGAGTGCACATCATGTAAATGTTTTTTTAAAAAAAAAAATAAATAACTTCAAAGAAATCTGCACTTCTTGTGAGCTCGAAAGAATTCCCGCTTGTGCATAAAAAGTGAGATACACCTACAAATCCGTTATGAGGATACCTACAAATCCGTTGTGGATACATGCATTGTCATACATGGTTATTATGTATTATTCCAACTTTTTACTGCATATCAAAATTTAATGAATTAACTTTTCAAAAAAATTATGCCCTCTTTAGCCTATTCATTAATTTTTTTTTTTTTTTGGAGTGAGGAAATGCGGATTCAGCACAAGAAATAATGGGTAATCTTTATTTTTACAAATAATGTGGCATTTATGTCATTTTATTTTTTAAAATATCCCTCGATCATTTTATGCGCTGTTTTAAAAAAAAATCAGATTAACTATTGGAAGTTAAGGGAGAATATGTTTGTGCCTATGGGAATATGTCATTGTGCAAAGTGGTTATCGTTCATAGATAAAAAGTACATGCAATATATGTGCAGCAAATGTATGCGGTCCCTTAAAAAGAAAAAAAAAAAAAAAATTTAAAAGTTCCATATACACAAAGAGATTTTTTTTAACCCAACGAAATGTCACCTACAGAATTTTTTGTTTCCGCTTAGTGTATAAAGGATTTAATAAAAGTGGATATATATACTTCTGCACACAATTTTCATCGCCCACTCAATCAATACTTTTTTAATGTTCGAAATAAGGGAAATTCCACGTGCTGTTGTGTGTTCATGAATTTGGTGATAAAATAATTTCCCCCGTTATTATCAAGGGAAAAAAGCCCCTTTCCTTTTCCTATAATTTGAATTTTCCTTTTTTTTTTTTTTTTTTTTTTTTCCTTTAAAAAATTGGCAGTTCACTTATTATGACTTATGATACTTGTTGGTACAATATACTTGGACGCACACGCAAATACGAAACAAGCCATTTTTGTGTTTGTAAAATAATGTGGAGAGTTTCTCCCGAATTTATGCTTACAACAACACATAGCCTGTTATTTTTATTTTTACTATTTTAAATGGACCCTACTAATCCATGAGAGTGTGAGGATAACTTTTTCGCTCTAAAAACGTGAAGAACATTTTGTGTAAATTAAGCAGGTATCATTATAAATGAATTAAATTAATATAAACAACGTTAAAGTGAACTTCCCTTTGCATTGTAAAATGAGAATATCAGAAATGTGAATAAATATGCTATTGTGTTTTTTGTTCAATTTAGGAACAATATCAGAAAGGGTGATAACACTGTGTGCGGCACATGACAATTGAAATGTTCTGTTTACGTAGAAATATGAACAAATGGATCATAGATATGGGAAACGTCTCTAAATAATGATAAGAACAGTTATAAACTCCTCCCTAGTTCCTCCTTTGTATAAATTTTTTCATATTTCTATATATTCATTTTTCCTTAGTGGTTGTGGAGGAAAGGAGATATACATGAAAATATGGCAATTCCTGTTATTTTTGTAGTGGTCCGAAAAAATACCACATTTTTCGTAATTTTACAAAGACTACATTTTTTAGCTATAAATCATAGGATTAAAAAAATTTGTTTTAAAAGAATATATAACAAACTATTATTTATTCTCTCTTTTTTTTTTTTTTTTTTTTTTTTATCAAAAAGAGGTAAATTACACAGTTTAAAATGTGTAAAGAAAGAAAAAAAAAAAAAAAAAAAATTGTTGAGCCGCGCAACAAGGAACAAAAAAGTTACTATAAAAAATTTAGCACAAAAAAAAAAATCATTATAATAGGAATATCATGCTTTGATTATTTCATTTTTCAAAATTTATAAGCTGCAGATGGGTTATTTTATTTTATTTTTTTTATGATAACGCCCGTTGAGTACTACATTCACTGCATTTTCGCATATTGGGAAGAAAGCACTTCTTCTCATTGGGACACATAAGATGACTCTCATTCTACAGCATTTGTCAATGTTTGTCAAATATGTTTATGTTTTTGTTAAACTTGTATTCTGTGATAATCGACAATGGGAATTTCTTCTGCATTATCATTAAAAAGCGAATGAAAAACATTATATGAAGATGGGTAGTTAAAATACATGTGGTTTATATTTATCGATTCTTCGATGGAAATATCTGTATTTTCACATTTTTCAAGATCATATAAAATATCGCATTTTCCTTGTGAACCGTCTACAAATTTGATTACAGAATTATCTTCTGTTTCATCTTTACTATAATAGGTGTGCGACTTATAGTATGAATCATACATATCATATGATGATGGTAAATTAAAAACATCTAGGGGTAACAACAAAGGTATGTTAGAATTTGAATCATTTTCTAAAGTTCGGTCAATGTAATTTTTATGTTTAATAAATAAACTGTTATCTATGAGTTGTTCTAAGGTATCGTTTAATGCACCATAATTTAGTACTGATTCCCCATGTTTAGTTTTTAAGTAATTAGAAAAGTGTAAATAAGAAATGCATCTTTCCCACTGATAGTTCTTTATATAATCTAGGGACTTCTTCAACTCCATTTCCTTTTTTAGTTTTGCATTTTTGTCTCGTTGTTTTTGCTCCTATGAAAAAAGTAAGAAGTTCGATGTGTGGCAAGACGGCAAGTGGATTATGATAGTACGAGTGCGCATATGTATTCATTTTTTTTTTTTTTTTTTTTTTTAATTACATTTTTCATGACAGGTAGTAATATGCACTGAAATTTGTGTTGAGTTGAAATAAAGCAGACATCACTCATTTCGTTATTTATAAATTCTGTTAATTTTGAGTATCCTATTTGGTCTATGTTTATGTTTTCCTTGTACACATTCTTGTATATGAGGGGTAGTCTACTAAGGGAAAAACCTGGATGGAAAAAAAAAGAGGGAAAAAGGGAAAAAATGTGGAAAATGGAAAAAAGGGAAGAAAATGGAAGAAAATGGAAAAATGGGAAAAAAATGGAAAAAAGGGAAGAAAATGGAAGAAATGGAAAAACGGGAAAAAAATGGGAAAAATGGAAGAAAATGGAAGAAAATGGAAAAAATGGAAAAACGGGAAAAAAATGGAAAAAATGGAAAAAATGGAAAAACGAGAAAAAAATGGAAAAAGTGATAAAAATGTAAAAAATGGAAAAACAAGGAAAAAAGGTTTATAGAATTTCTTCACATACATATCGCATAACTTAATTTTCGGAAAATGTGTACAAAAGCGTGCAATGTGAGATAGTAGAACACAATGTATTCCCTTATTATTATTATTATTATAACTCTTAAAATTTTTGCTGGTTGATGCGATAACATAACTCACATGCTACTATTACTTTCCATTTGCATAGTGTTCGTGGAGTACTTGCTACAGAGCACACATTTCAAGGCACTAGTACCTATAACACTCTACTGCTGTTGAGCTTTCTATCAATGATATTTTGTTATTCCACTTTCATACATTTAAAATCGGTGGAAAGGAAAGCCAAAGGTTCTGCAAATGTATCACACTCATATCTGTTGACATCAGTTCATGCCAATTTTCACATATTTTTTACATTTACTGAATTTCTATTTATATATACTCGCGTTCACTCATTTTGCACAGAATTTGTGCACAAAATGTACTGGCGTATGCATATGTTCGTTTATAACCTTTTGCCTTTGTTTTTTCCTCTGAATAGGTATGCAGCAAGCGATGGATTCTATCTTTTATGAGTATTATGGAGTTTTCTTTATGGTTCTTTGAATCAGGGGTTTCATTCACGAGCATTTTTGAAACATATGTTTTGGATATAGACATAGATGTAAATATAGGTATAATATTATTGTTATAGTAAGATAAAATGTTCAAATCAATACATTTTTGGAGTATATGTATTATTCTTCCTAATTTCATGGTCCTGAAAATATACGGTCCGGTGTGTTTTAGCGTTTCGGCCAATATGTACCTTCCTCCCTTATGGTTATTGTCACCTGATAGGGGAAAATGGAAAAATGAGGGTAATAAATATTCATAAAGTGTGGTAATAGCTAATTAAGAAAAAGAAATATATTGGAAGAACCTATCAATGGTTTATATGTAGGCATAATATAACAACAATAAATGAAGATGCGTAACTCAGAAACAATAAATTAATTTGAATATCCCAACAATAAACCATGTTCATGCAAGGGCATTACACAATCGAATGTGTATGAAATAGAATGTACTAACAAAGAGGTGCATAAAAACAGCTTGCTATAGGCTACATAAAAAAACTTGGGAAATAGTTTCATAGCATGCTAGGTATGTGTACGCCTAATTGATAGAATGTATTTGCGTCACCATTACATAAAGTGAGCATTTGCAAAAGGTGTCGAAATTTACATTATCAAAAAGAAAGTGTCATATTGCACTAGCCATAAATAATTTATACATTTATGCACGCAGTTGATCGTGTATTTTTGTATTGTAAGGTGTAGCTCAGAGCAAGAAATAACCAGAAAAAAAAAGGAAAAGAAATTTCAACATACCATATAAGAGCACAAAAAAATAACGCTGTACGTAATTTTATACGATTGATGAGTGTTGAAAAAAAAAGAAATATATATATATATATGCATATATAGGGCTAACTTGCATGAAGCTAAATTAGAGGAAAGAAAGATGTGAAAGACACGCCAAGTTGATTAAGGAGTAAAATGCGTACACTTGTATTTTATTCATCTAGCTATACATAACATAGAAAGGTGATATATCTGAGCTAAAAGCCAGCTGTTGATATTTGAGCTAAGGGAATTTATATATATATATATATATATATATATATATATATATATATATATTACATTCGATATCATGAGACACAGTACATAAATGATTTATTGTTCACATGCATATGTATAAAAAAGTAATATGTACGTATTCAATAGAAATTACTTTTTCCATTGTGTACTTACTTGATTGAATCCTAAACCGGTCTATAATATGCATAAATACAAGTGGGATGTATGGTAAAATATTTTCATTGTCGTCGTTAGGATTTATAAAAAAATCTCTGGATATTCCTCGGAGATATATACATATATTTTCATTATTAAAAGATTTTCTAAAGAATATTTTTCCTTTTTTTTCATCATTTTCAAAAGAATTTATTTTATGAATTTCAAATTTTTGAAATTTATCTTCTCTACATATGTTTATAAAATTAGTGTTTAAAACTGTACATTCTGGAAAATATTTATTTATTTTTCTTTTAATTTCATTAGCTTCTGGTAAAATTCTTTCATAATATAAATATTTTATAATTAAGTAAATTAAGTCACTATGTATTTGCTTAATATCTGTAATGTTACCACATTTTTCACTTTTTGTGTAAATCTTTTTATGTAAATTTGCACAATTACATGAAGAATATTTGTTTAAATTTTTAAAGTATACAGAATCAACTGTGGGAGATAAGTATTCATTTTTTATTTTATGATATCTTTCATTTGTGGAATAAGTTTTTTTCACTCCCTTTTTTACCTGTAAATTGTTTTTCATGAATTCATACTTTTTGTTATTTCGCAAAAATGTGTACATATCAAATTTTTTGTTTTTTAGTATTCCCCGTTGTTCCTGATATTCCGTGATGCCACTGCCCGGGCTACAGTTAGTGCTGTAATTTGTGCCATAATTTGTGCTGTAATTTGTGCTGTAATTTGTGCTGTAATTCGTGCCATAATTTGTGCTGTAATTCGTGCCATAATTTGTGCCATAATTTGTGCCATAATTTGTTCCATAATTTGTTCCATAATTTGTTCCGTATTGCGCTCTGAAGTTTACTTCTCCGTGTGCACCATTGTTGGCCCTTCCGCATGCACCACTATATGCAGTTCTGCAAGTACCACTACATGCAGTTCCACAAGTACCACTACACGGAGTTCGGTAAGTATCACTACATACAGCTCGGTAAGTACCACTACACGGAGCTCTGTATATACCACTGCTTATTCCTGCGTTTGTGCCAAAGTTCGTGTTGAATGACTTTCCGATTCCTGTTTCCTGATACAATGTATCGTACATTCCATATACATTTGTAAAGCCTTTTCCAGAGTGCATTCCTCCCCCTGTGCTGTAATATTCCCCTTTGGTCGCTGGGCCAAAGTCTGTTGCTACACTTGCCCCGAGATCTGTGCATACAACCTCCTCAACATTTGTTTCAGCATTTACGTCAGTATTTGTTTCATCATTTGTGTCATCATTTGTTTCATCATTTGTGTCATCACTTGTGTCAACATTTGTGTCCACATTTGTGTCAACATTTTTGTCTACATTTTTGTCTACATTTGTGCCAACATTTTTGTCTACATTTGTGCCAACATTTTTGTCTACATTTGTGTAAACATTTTTGTCTACATTTATGTCAACATTTGTGTAAACATTTTTGTCTACATTTGTGTAAACATTTTTGTCCACATTTGTGGTGACAGTGGTTGCAGCGTTCGTCTCGAGAGTTGTCCCCATATTAGAAGATTTATTCTGTAGCTTCTCCTCCATTGTACCTATGTAGAGATTACCCCCAGCATAAGTTTTCATTTTTTGCATTGAATACTTATCACTGTTTTTTAATTGATGATTATTTGCGTAATAAGGATAGTTATATTTGATGTCTGCACAATTTAAATTGTTTGCAGAGTTCATTATATTTGCACAGTTGCTCGTCCAGCATGTGTTGTTACTTATGTTTCTATGGAATGACATTTTATTTTCATTCTTTTTTTCGCTATAAATTGCGTCTGGTTTGGTGTTACGTGTCCAATCGTAATTAGTGTTTCCAGTGTGAAGAGATAAAGAGAGTTTTAACTCTGATACGTTTTGCTCACTGGGAAAGGTACTGTCATTCATTATGGATGTACGATCGCGTGCTGTGTATTTGGTAGTCCCTTATATATGTGTGTATGAGTGTGTATGTATGTATGTGTGTATGTATGTATGTGTGTATGTATGTATGAGTGTGTGTGTGTATGAGTGTATGTGTGTATGAGTGTATGTGTGTGTATGTGTGTATGTGTGTGTATGTGTGTATGTGTGTGTATGTGTGTGTATAAGTGTATGTGTGTGTATGTGTGTGTTTGATTGTATGAGTGTACGTGTGTAAGTATGAGCCCGCGTGGTTATGATGATGTAGGGAACGAATAAAATATCAGAATCAATTAAATCGATCACGTATCAGTTGTAAGCATGCTGTAAGAACCTGTAGACACGTGTGGAGCCAAATACTTTTGGAAGGTACAGGAGTACAACATACGTTTACTCTTAAAAATATTAGTGCTATAGATCCTTAGTAGCATATAGATCAAGCTAAGTAGCTTAATTAAATTCTTAGAATCAAAAATGGAAAATATCGTTTAAACAGATTCCAAATAATTTAGGAACACACCATTGAACCTTGCCGATTATGAGTTTAGATGTAAAGGAAAAAAATAAAAAAATTTAAAAAAACGAAGGGAAGGATAGAACATAAATTTGAAACGGGACAAAATAAATTAAAAGTTAAATAACATAAATTGGAGTAGAAGAACACAATTCTTAAACGAAATAACATAAATTGGAGTAGAAGTACAAAATTTTTAAACGAAATAACATAAATTAGGAGAGAAGTACACAATTTTTAAACGAAATAACATAAATTAGGAGAAAAGTACACAATTCTTAAACGAAATAACATAAATTAGGAGAGAAGAACACGATTTTTAAACGAAATAACATAAATTAGGAGAGAAGTACACAATTTTTAAACGAAATAACATAAATTAGGAGAGAAGTACACAATTTTTAAAAGAAATAACATAAATTAGGAGAGAAGTACACAATTTTTAAACGAAATAACATAAATTAGGAGGAAGTACGCACATTTGAAGTGAAATAAAACATAACTAAAGAAAAAGAAAGGACAATGAGCTTGAAATAACCTAAAAATATTAGCTCCTTCATGGGAATTTTTTTTAATATAAAGATTTATAAACGTATATGCACGAGTACAATTCAAATGAGTGGGAACAGCGTTTTTATTGATATATTTTGAGCATGGAAAAATTGTCTTGAATACCACACATGTGTATGTATGTTTTTTTTCTACGTTTTACCATTTTGGTAAAACAAAATAGAAGGATCGTGAATAGGAAGCTAGTCGCATCTAGCGTTTCTAAATTTCCTTATTTTACAAAGTGCTGAATGTTTGGGTCCTAAATGCCCAGCTTATGTGAAAAGACACTGATTATCCACGATTTTTTTGCTTGTATATGGGCCATTGACGTCTTACAATGGACGTAGAAAACCAGTTGGTTCACGCAAGTTAGATAGGGGTATTGAGGGCGCCTTTTACATACCTGGGAATCCCCAAAAAAGGGACCCTTTATGGTAGAGATGATTAAATAATCTCAAGGAATATCGAACCAAAGAGGTGAAGAGATATGTGATTCAGAAGAAGTATGTTTCTACAGCTATGCTGAGAGGGTCATAAATATATAAGACATATATTTTTGGCTATTTCAGGATTTATAGCTTGATGCAAAGAGGGCATAAGCTCCCTAGGAATTCATTTTTATATGTCTAATTTCGAAGGAAAGCAAATTGGGGATGTGGAGAATCCTGATAGATATGATATTGTACCAAAGCAAAATTAATAAAATAGTTAGCTCGGAAAATTGAATTTAAAGGGTGAGATATTTATATATATTTATGAATGGAAACGACACTCGGTACACTTTTTTTTTTTTTTTTTTTTTTTTTTTGTGTGTGTGTATGCACATATATATATGCAAATATATATATTTTTATTTATTTATTTTTTTATGTGTACATATATATGCAAATATATATATTTTTATTTATTTATTTTTTTATGTGTACATATATATGCAAATATATATATATTTTATTATTTTTTTTTTTTTTGTGTGTGCACATATATATGCAAATATATATATATATATATATATATATAAATTTTTTTTTTTTTGAATCCTCAGGTTTATAGCCACGTGACGTAATCGCGCTCACTTGGAACACTTTTTGAGAGAAAAAATGAAATAAATATAAATGAGTCCTTAAAAAAAAATGAAAAATGATATAAATTGTGCACAATTTTTATGAAAAACAGAAAAGGGGGAAATTATGGCTTTATCATTTTTCATAAAGAAAAAAAAAAAGAAAAAACAACTCCAAAATTATTTATAACGTGAAGAGAAAGTTGAAAATTAGTATATGAATCCAAATGTACAAAACTATTACACGAATGCAAACAGATGCAAATAATTAGAATTACAGGGAATGACTATGTTCTATAGTTTTTTTTTTTTTTTTTTTTTTGGATCATTATATTATTTAATTTTATAGCAGTACGTATTTAGGTTTTCGCGTGGAAGGAAAAAGAATGGCACATAATTTCAATGTATGCAAAAAGGGCATGCTTGAATGTGTGTATATTTTAATTACCGAAAAGTTGTACTCATGAAAAAAGAATAATAAAAAATGTGTTCATAAATGTTACTATTTTGGTTACTTCAATGATATGAAATGGCAGTAATGGAAAAAGTAATAAAAATAAAATAAAAGAGAAATGAAAAATAACGTTGTTCGAAAATTTCCCTACAGAATGCACCTTCATAGGGGGGTAGTATATATAGCCTGTCATTCGAAAATATATCATATGTGTCTGTAATCAATGTATTTTGGGCCTTCACTTATTCCTTCGGTGAGAAAAAAGAAATATAACAAAAATGTCATTTATCGGTATAATTTTGATACATGCAAAATTCCAAAGGACAATATAAATTTGCAAGTACGGATGGTTGAATGGATGGAATGTTGATATTCAGACATAATTCTACATGAGCAGATGCATTGATAATTGTGTGAACACGCGAAAATATATTTTTTTACTTTTTCGTTTGTTCGCACATGATAACAAAATATTCTCCAAAAAACTATGGCGAAAGTAATCTACATAAGATTTTAAGGATGTTCTATATTCTGGGTCCACTGAAAAGAAAAAAAAAAAAAAAAAAAAAAAAAGAGGATTATTACATTATGCGAATTTCCAATTAGAAATTGTTTATATTGAATAAGGAAATTCAAAAAAATACAATCAAATTGGCATGCTGATAATTACATTCTTAAATGGTCCTCTCATTTTATGACTTACCGTGTGCATTTTTGGGGTCATCAAATTGTTCCCTCAGTAATTCTAATAAGATGGGAGATGGGACATATATATATATGTGTACATACATGTAAAATTCACACATGTATGCATGAGCCCAAGATATTAGGTATATGTGAACATGTCAATTTACGTGATAAATATATACATCAACATTTTACATATGACAAGAAGAAAATAAAACTAGAAGAAAGGTAATTACTTAGTGTGGGGACCAGCTGGGGATTGAAATTATCTATATTTTTTATGTTCAGTGGAACGCAAACTCTTCCTGTAAGTACCATGCGCATGCATGCACACATGCATATGTATATATATATATATATATATATATATATATATATATATATATATTTTTATTGAAAGGTATGATAATTTACGATACAAATATCTGTTTACATACACATGGATTATTTAATTTATCTACTAGAAGGTCTTTTTTCTGATGCCTTATTTGATTGTTTACCTGTGCCATTATGGATGCAAAATGGACTTTTCAGCAAGTGATTAATTTCTTTACTGCAATGGAAAAGAGGCAATATGGTGGAAATGTGGTGTCTGGATTCAGTGAACACAATAACAAAAAATGAAATTAAAGAAAATAAAATTAAAGAAAATAAACTTGAAGAAAATAAAATTAAAGAAAATTAAATTAAGGAAAATTAAATTAAGGAAAATTAAATTAAGGAAAATTAAATTAAGGAAAATTAAATTAAGGAAAATTAAATTAAGGAAAATTAAATGAAATTACATAAAATTATAAAAAATAAAGTAACGCGATTGGAAAGGAAAAACCGATGGGTGTACGAGTTAAGGTATTTTTAGGGAATGTTCTACTTTGCATGGTGAAAAGAACCTACCTAACATTAATATCAAGTCTTGGGTACGTGAAATGAAAAACTAATTCTTTGATATATGATGGGATAATTATATTCGAATTATAATCCTTTTTTTTAAAATAGTTACTCGGGGTTAAGAAGCCGTAGATTGAACTCAGCTGTGGGAAGGAAAATAAAAATATACAACATGTGTACAATTTTCCAAAATAAAAAAGTTTACATCTAAATCTAGATGTGCTTGCATGGTCTGATTGTTTAGGCTACTGAGCACCCGTGAAAGGGAGTTAATAAAACTTTTAAAGAAATTCACAATCGTTTCATTGTACTTCTCATGGATCTTACCTGTTCGAAAAGCTCCTTCGAATTGAAATTATTATTGTTAATAAATTCTCTGAATTCATTAACTTTCGCACTCTTTACAGGATCCACATTTTTCGTCGATGCTGTGAAAAGGTATAGAGAGCGGTGCATTTAATTGTGTGTGAAAGGGGGTTGTGCAAATGCCACGAGAAAGTATTTCTCTAAGGTTCCTCTTCACACGATGAACGATTAGTTAAATAGTTAATTTTTTTTTTTTTTTTTTTTTTTTTCCCCTCTACACTATATGGTTTCTATTTCATGTATTCATAAAATTTATGAATCAAGGATTTTTAATACATACCGTAGGGTAAGTAATCAATTATCTTATTTACATGTGGGGAACCCTTTTTGAAAAAGTCCTGTTCCTCCATCAGGATCTCGAAGTACTTGTAGCATATTTCAAAGGCCCTCCTACAAAATTCATCAAAAGGCCAAAATGTTCAAGTATATATATATGTATTTATATGTATTATATGCTACATAGAATATAATCAAAATAGCTGAAGACGTCCAGCCATACCCTAGTTGTAGCTATGTACGAACACGCATGTAAAATTATGCATGCAATAACACACATGTTGTGCAAATTTTATGTTTCATGTAATACTCAATCATAGGATATTTCTCCTTTCCCCATATGGAGACCTTCTTTTTTTGGGTATCCGAACCCTAGTGAAAGCGTAAAAAAAAAAAAAAAAAAAAAAAAAAAGTACACATGCATTATCAGACATGTCTTATGATGAAAAAAAAAAGTACAATATCTTTGTTCGATAAATAAAAAATACTATAAATTTTTCCCTTTTTATTTTTCTTTTCACATACAGATAATATGTTTAAGTAGTCTGCTAATGCAGCTCTGGCATCAGTTGTGTAGTGACGACATGATTCATCACAAACCTAAGAAGGAGAGAAAAAGAAAAAGTGTGTTTACATATGAGAGAATGCACATGTGCATACATAAAAAATGCCAAAAAAAAAAAAAAAAAAAAAAAAAAAAAAAGTGACATACCCAACAGTGTATTCCTCTTCTTCCAGAGTAAACCCACAAAATATTCTGAAGAGCAAAATCCTCTCTAAGTGCTGTATCAAGAAGTACAATTGCTATGGTTAAGAATTTCCTGAAAAAATGATTTTCCAAAAAGGGATGCGTGAATAATGAATAAATAAATTAATCACAAAATTTTCGTAAAATGTGTACGTTATTATTGAAAAATGCTATTTAAAAAAAAGATCATCTTATTATTACCAGCATAATTTGCAAACCTTCTTGTCATTGCAGCACGTTCTGATGTCATCATAATCGTTCATATCAATATCGAATATTAGCTCCTGAAAGAGGATATAAATTTGGTAAATAGATAACCATAGAATGAATGTAGAAAAGACGCTGTAGCAAAGGAGTAAAAAATAGTCCACATCAATTAATTACCTTTTGAACGGGATGAAATATATCACCCTTTTGATCTTTTTGAGAAACTGGGTAATTGTACACTGCCCCTATATCAAATTTGATTGGTACAAAGTTGGAAAGGAGCTTGTCTTTGAATTCTTCGGGGTTGTTAAAAGACTGAAAATAAAGGGGAGAAATAAAATGAAATAAAATAAAAAGATGGGAAAGGAGGACGAATAGAAGGTAGTCTATCCTAATACCGTAAATTTAGTACATCCTGTACGTAAATAATAAAAATTCCACAGTTTGAGATAGTGAAGAAATATGTATGGATTTTTTTTAAGTAGTTCCTTACATTTATTCATACGATCTTTTTTTTTTTTTTTTTTTTTTCATATGATCATACCAGCCATCTCATATAGATTTCTTCTTTTCCTTGGTCATTTTTTTTACAAGTAAAGGAGAATTCTCTTTTAGCAAAGAAATGCGGATCGTTTAGTATGGTATTTTTTCCTTTATTGTCTTTTTTTTATGGAAAAAAAAAAAAAAAAAAAAAGTTTAGAATATGTATTTAACTGCATTTATATGTTACTTTCTAATTATTTGAATAATTTAAAATTTCCTAAGTTCACAAATTTGTTGCATGGTGTTTTTATTTTTCTATAATTTTTATAGGGTCTTTCTGCAAAGAAATAATGATAATTCCTTTTTTTTTTTTTTTTTTTTTTATTGTGTTATTGAAATCTCAAGGTTGAACCTAAGGAAATTGTTTTTCGAAATGAAAAATGATGTAAAAATGAATCAATCGAAAGGAAAATATGAACTAGAGTATGATTTCTTTGAAATAAAAGGTACTACTATTTACACATTTGTGAAGGGAGTTGTATGTGCCTTTTTTTTCCCTCGGTTTTTACAGTACCATTCTTGTAGTTGAGCCAATTGCATAGATCGTTAATTGGGCACAGGCTTCCTATTATTTGGACATCGTGGGGAAAAATAAAGTATATATATATATTATACATATATGTATATATGTGTACATGCATATGTGTGAAGATACATACACTGGAACGATACTGCCTTTCTCCATGGCACCCTTACGACACATGGATATAGTATATGTATTATGTGTTATCCCCTATGGGATGTGTTAATTCATCTCATTCATTTAACATTGGACACATTTTATATTAACGTTTTAGTTTAAGAAACTCCTGTGTTTAACTGACTGTAGTAGAAAATCAAATCCGTTTCGTTAACAATGGAATCCTTAATTTCGTCAACAATTTCCATCTCCAAATGGGGGTGTAGTGAAATAATATAGGGTTAGGATCTCCTTTTTCAAATGTTTTTAATTTTTATTAATCAGTGGGTGTGCATATGTTATTAGTAATGAAATAACATGATGATGCATTTTAGCACTGTCGTGCTACTTTTGTTAAGGTTCTTCCTTCCGTTTCTGTTTCTGTTTCTCTTTTTTTTTTTTTTTTTTTTTTTTTTTTCCCCCCCCTTCTGCTAATAGTGGGGATGAATTATTAAACGTTTTACAAAATAAAATAAATACATTTATGTATGGGATAGTGGAATAATGTAAAAAGGGAGGTATTTTAAAAAAATTTGGGGGGGGGAAACTTGATTTATGATTTAGTATTTAATCGTGACTCGGCGCGATGTAGACATTACTCTAAAAAAAAAAAAAAAAAAAAAATGAAATATAAGTCCCTTAAATCCTCTCTTTTTTTTTTTTTTTTTTTACACCCAACTCTTTGTACTTTCCTTTTTTATAGCTTTTCCATAAATTCATTGCATAAACTACTCTGTTTATTAAAAATTGTAAGATGAAGAAACAATAATGTGTAATATAATTTTACCCAATTTTGAAAGTCTTTAAGCGGTATGGATAAATCTCAAAATAAAATGTAGAAAAAAATAAAATAAAAATAAAAATCTTTTATATTTAAAAAAGAAAATACAATTTTGTGAAACTTCACCAAGCTTAGCTTTCCAAATGTAACAATAAAAAAAAAAAATAATGGAGGGACCAAAACGGGAAATAATTATCATATTATACAAATTCTCCCTGATACACGCTAAGTTGTGGATAGGGAAATTTTTAATTTTTTCAAAAATTCTTGTTGTATGAAAAAATAGGAACAAAAAAAAAAAAAAAAAAGAAAGAAATGTGTTGAAAGGGGATCTCTTTTTTTGATGATGTAAACCTATTAAATATGATTCCTCATATGCTTCAGTTTTTTTTTTTTTTTTTTTTTTTTAAGTTAAATCAAAAACTAATATGCACTATTGAGTTAAGATAGTTGTACATTTGCTCACATAATGTACATTCCATATAGTGTAGTATTCCCTTTTTGCATATTCTTCAAATGGGGAAAAAAACAGAATCCATAGCCCTCATTCAATGGAGGCATTTTTATGCTCTTTGGAGAGACACAACAAAGTGGATAGGAAAAACTCCATCCTTAACTGGGTATATAAGATTTGTAATATCAAAAGGCACAAAGAAATTTTAAAAAAAAAGAAAAAAAAAAAAAAAAAAAAAAACCATATACATATGTGCACACAAAGATAGGCTATGTACTGGTATATGCGCTTGCCAAAATCATATTTTTTTATTGGGAAAATGTGATATATTCACATATCCCCCCACCGTTTATGGGATAATTTTACTAATAAGTAATATATTCACGATTGTGTCCCATTTTTTTGTTGATATCAGCCAAATATATTTTGGAACATGCTAAACAAATCGCCTTTCCTTTGATTAAATACAATATCATCTAGTATTTTAATGTACTTTTGGAAATCCGGATCATAATTCAATATAAGTCTATACTTATACTTAACATCTTCGTATAATGGAACACTTCTGTATATACATGAGCAGGTAATTAAATAAGAAATTTGAATAGGTAAAGGGACATCTTTTCTATCTAAATTTGGTTCAAACCTATTTATCAAATCTAGTGCTTGTTCGAATTTATCTAACACAAGGAGACATAAAGTTGTTCTTAAAATAAAAAAATCAGATTCACTTGGGTAAGCTTCTTTTCTCCATAGGCATATTATTTTATGTAATATTTCATTATCCTCTAGATATAAAAAATGATTATGCGCTAAGCTATATTTCTTATCCTCAAAATAAGCGTAAGCAATGGCTTTATGGAAATCTAAATATCCAAATATATCGTCGTCATTCGTTGACCACAAAATACACTTGTTCATAAATTTGTACTTCTCTTCTGTAGAATTAGGTGGACATAGCTTGAAAATTTCTATTATTTTTTTTGCATATTCTTCATTAAATCCTATATTATGTTGTGTAAAAATTGTGCAACATTGATACATTAAATCACAGAGTAAAACGTACTGTTCTACCTTGGCCAGCTTTTGGGAAAAATAAAATATTATGCTCATACAACTATTCACTTGATTTTTTTGGAGTTTCCGGTTTATAATTGATTTTATTAGTTGGTGAGCTTCATAGTGCTGTCCTTTTTCTATTTTCTCCTTGGCTATTTTTTCCTTACTTATTCTTTCGCTGCTCATTATTTTACTGTTTATTTTTTCGTTGCTCATTTTCTCGCTGCTTATTTTTTCGCTGCTTATTTTTTCGTTGCTCATTTTTTCGCTGCTTATTTTTTCGTTGTTCATTTAATCTAATGAGATGTTTCTCTTTCCAGATGTTTAAGTTTTTTGCATGAGAAGGGGTTGGTGTATCGTGAATTAATATATATTTTTTTTTTTTTCCTTAACCTCTAAACTCACATCACTTCTACATGGTATGCCACACAAATAGAATTCCTCACCCTGAACACAGAAATGTGTACACAATTCTATGTTTTTTGCAACTGCAGATGTGTTCTCAACAGCCTTCTATAGTGGTGTTTTCCCTTAAAAGTTGAACATATTACATAGTACTAAAGTTGGATATCATGAGTGATTCTTTTATTCTCCTTATATCTCTCTAAGTATGTATATATATTTCTTCGAAAAGTTTTGTATATGCAGCATAAAATTCTCTGTTTATCATTTAACTTCTAACGCACAATAGAGCATTGTACCATTTTTTACTGGGTTGGGGGGAGGGAAGAAAATATTACATATATAACTAGCTAATATGCACAACATATAGTAGCGTTTGATTATTTCCTATTCGATATACTTTACCTTATTTTGGACTCTTACATTTTTTGCCTCAATTCCATTTGATATAATTTGCATTAATTTATTTATTTATTTATTATTTTTTTTTTTTTTTTCTCCTTGCCGCCTTACTTTTTTACCTCTGTTCTTGGTTTAAATTTCTTTTTTTTTTTCTCTCTCTTTTTTTTGTGCTGTTTCATCAACCAACTGCACAAGAAAAAAAAAAAAAAAGTTAAAGGAGTGACATCGTAGCAAATGATAAACAACATAAATTATGTGAAAACGTTTTTGAAAAATAGCTTTTTAGTTTTTTTGTAAAAAGTTCTTGCGAGGATATGGAAAAGAGATATATATATATAATATATACATATATGTTGGGCCCATAAGTATACATAGAATAAAACACAATGCAATAGTGCACTCGTTTATACCACATATATGTTTATAATTTTTTGGGGGTACCCGATTACACCCATCTTTTAGCATTTATATACAGAACTTGTGAGTTCTCTATGGAATTTTTTGAAGCTTTTGTTTTAAAAGCAAAAGTTTTTAATATTTTATGAGGAAACTTAAGAATGCATAAAGTAGCACATCATATTGAAAAGTAATGCTAAGTAGAAAAGTAGTGTCAAAATAAATTTTTTTTTTTTCCTTTTTTTTTTTTTTTATTTTTTTATTTTTCACTTTATTAAACTGATATAACATTCTTCGTAGAGTGGCAAAAGTGCCATGTGATAACTGCAAGAAGATAGGCACTTTTTTTTTTATGACAAATGTAAGCTCATTGTTTAAATTGAGCACCAAATTAGAACTACATTTGTGAAGTTCCCTGAGGAATAAGAAGAAAAAAAAAAAAAAAAGGGAGAAATATTCCTCTGTAACTTTTCTAAATAGGTTGTTTCCATCACGATTGTGAGATCCGGACAATGTTATGAAGAACACACAAAAATGGTGGGGGAGAAAAAAAAAAAAAATACAAAAAATGGAATCAAAGCTGAAATGTTCCATGAGTCTCGTATATCATTTGTATAACACAAACGTAAGATTGATTCCCTATCTGGTTTTTTAGTGAATATAAAAAATAGTGAGACATGATAATTTGAAATTTGGGATTCCTTAATCCATGTGTTGAAAAACGAAAAAATTACCCCAAGTTTATTCAGAAGGGGATGTATACAAAGGGGTGTAAATATTTTTTTCTTCTTCTCCCACTATCCAAGAGTGGCATAATAGTACATATATGTATATATGCATATATGATGCAGATACTAGGACATCATATACTTGTAACATGTAGATGAAGAAAACACGTATTCAGTTGTATCATTATGGATACGTGAAAAAAAAAAAAAAAAAAAAAAAAGTGCTAATTATTAGCTCCTCTTCATTTTACTCTTACTGTTGCACAAATTTGAGATACAAAAAAAGGGAATTTTTTTTTTTTTTTGTCATAAATATTTGCATATATTTATTTTTTGTCGAATCAGACCCATTATTATCAGAACAGTGAGTGAAACATGAACAACATTAATATCGTTTGCCTAGGTGGGGCAAGCGAAGTAGGTAGATCGTGTGTAATTATAGAAAATGAGAAGAGATCAATTATGTTGGATTGTGGAATTCATCCAGCATTTATAGGAATCGGGTGTCTACCCATCTATGACGCTTATGATATTTCTAAGGTGGACTTGTGTTTGATTACACATTTTCATATGGATCATAGTGGTGCTTTACCATATCTTGTTAATAGAACCCGCTTTAAAGGAAAGATATATATGACAGAAGCAACTAAAAGTATTTGTTATTTATTATGGAATGATTATGCTCGTATTGAGAAATGTATGCATATTATGAATAAGAATAAAGCAAATAAAAATAAAAATAACTTGGGTGAAAGTGGAATCGAAGAATATGAAAACAACAAAAAAAGGGGAGGATTATATTCCATTGATGAAAATGGAAGTGATGACAATGATGACGATTATTATCAAAGCTATATGTGTGAAATGGGAGATGGGGATATAAGGCATAATGTATTATATGATGAAAATGATGTTGATGCAACAATGGACTTAATAGAAACAGTAAATTTTCATGAACATATAGAAATAGAAGATATAAAATTTACAGCTTATAGGGCTGGTCATGTTATTGGTGCATGCATGTTTTTAGTGGAAATAGGTAATGTGCGTTTTTTATATACAGGAGATTACAGCAGAGAAGTAGATAGACACATTCCAATAGCAGAAATCCCCTGTATCGATGTGCATGTTTTAATTTGTGAAGGAACATATGGAATAAGAGTTCATGATGATAGAAAAAAAAGAGAAATTCGTTTTCTTAACATGATAACAAGCATATTAAATAATAAAGGGAAAGTACTATTACCAGTGTTCGCATTAGGTAGAGCTCAAGAATTATTATTGATCATGGAAGAGCATTGGGATAGAAATGTACAATTACAGAAAATTCCAATTTTTTATATATCCTCCATGGCTACGAAATCTTTATGTATATATGAAACGTTTATAAATTTATGTGGAGATTTTGTTCGTCAAACACTTAATGAAGGTAAGAATCCTTTCAATTTTAAATATATTAAATATGCCAAATCAGTTGATTCCATTTTAAATTATTTATATCAAGATAACAACCCATGTGTTATTATGGCATCCCCGGGTATGTTACAAAATGGAATTTCGAAAAATATTTTTAATATTATTGCATCTGATAAAAAAAGTGGAGTTATTTTGACAGGATATACTGTGAAAGGTACATTAGCTCATGAATTAAAAACTGAACCTGAATATGTTACTATTAATGATAAAATTGTAAAGAGAAAATGCCGTTTTGAGGAAATTTCTTTTAGTGCGCATTCAGATTTTAGTCAGACGAAAACTTTTATCGAAAAATTGAAATGTCCCAATGTTGTTCTAGTTCATGGGGACAAAAATGAACTCAACAGACTTAAAAACAAACTAACTGAAGAAAAAAAGTATTTGTCTGTTTTTACACCTGAATTGTTGCAAAAATTAACCTTTCACTTTGAGCACAATGATAATGTTGTCACCATGGGAAGACTTTCTCACAATATTAGGAGGTTAGCTCAGGAAGCCGAGAGAAGACAACTGATAGACAAAGGTAAAATTGGCCAATTGAGCCAAGTATTGACAGACACAGGTCAAGGGGGAGAAATAAAAAAAAAAGAAAACGAACAGCTAGGAAGTGATTCAATGGCACAGGATAGGAGTAACCAAGAGAATGAGAAAATTTGTAATGAAAATAGAGAGGAAAATATATTTTCTAAAGAAATAGAGGCTATAATAATTTCTGAGCCGAAAGGAGTCCCATTCATGATCTACGCCAATGATATTTATGAATATACAAATTTAAAAACAGCCTTAATCGACCAGACAATTAATATAAAATTTCCATACAAATTTGAGCTATTGTATCACATGCTTAGGAATGTATATGAGGAAACTTACATGCAGGAGGAGGAGCAGTGGGAGGCAGCAAATGGAGAAGATGTGGAAGATGTAGAAGATGTAGATCATAATGATTGTGGAGGTATTATATTTGTGCAAGATGTAAAAATTTATTATTTTAGAATTGAGAAAATCATAAAAATTAACTGGTATTCAAGTCCAGTAAATGATCTTATTGCGGATAGTATTAATTTTTTAGTTTTAGAATTTTTAGATAGTATGAGTAGTAACAGAAATATTCCCATATGTAATGACATAACAGATGAAAATATATACGAAATGATTATTTCCTATGTTCAAGAAAATTACACAAATGTGGAGAGATTTTCAAAAGTGAAGTTAAAAGAGTTCATATTACAGAGACGTAGGAACAGAGAAGAAATAGAAACGGATAAAGATATAAAAGATGGTGAACATACCAATGGGGATATAAGCCTGAAGAATGTCCAACCTAATTCAAACGATGAGATAAATGAAGTCAATCAACACAGCATTAGAGATAGTGTATACGTGGATAGTGCTAAAGAGAGTGACGATTGTGAGGAAATAAAAAAATTTCTAATTCTTGACAAAGTTTTATTTGATTATATAGATGCAGATGCTAGTTTATCTGTAACACATGATGAGGAAAAAAAGGTTGTGAATATTTTGAATGGGGCTTATTATGAAATACTAAAATTTGAAGTTAAAGATAATAATAACAATTCCGTAAAAGTGTATGTTGATATAGACAACAGAGAGGTAATTTGTAAAGAAATTAACATTTTGATGAAAATTAAGGAAATTTTAAGAAATATAGAAGAATCCTTATTACCCATGTGCTTTTAACTGGAAGATGTGTATATAAAATATCCCTTCTCCCTAGTGAGGAGGGCTTAGGTGTGGGGGGATACTACTTATACTACATTTCATCAGCATGCATATTCGTGTTGATATCGTTAAAAAGGTAGTTTAAAAGTGTCTCATTATTTGTTTATGCATATACTCTTATTTGTGAATTTTTTTTTTTTTTTTTTTTTAAGTAGATTTTTTAAACTGAAAACTTGCCGATATGTTTGCACTGTTTATGTTGCAAAAGGTTTGAAGACAGTTTTTTTTTTTTTTTTTTTTCTTGTTTCATATTAAAATTTTTGGAAAAAACTAATTTCTTTCCTAGTATGACGAATAGCAGTTTATGCTTTTGTTCCGTTGGTAAGACCACAGAAGATGGAGTAAGTGGGAGAAATAGATGTTCACAAGTGTGTACGAAGAATATGTAATCCGAATTGTGCATAACGATTTTTTATGTTTTCGCTACTAGTGCAAGAGGAGAATATTGTGATTTAGTCCTGTTCACGATATTTTTCTGTAGACATTTTTATGTTTTAACTTAAATAATGAGTAATATTTTTTCATTGAAAAAATGTTTTGATGTGTATCATTGGACATGAGCGTTGTATGCTTTGTGTTGCAGGTTTTTAAATGCGCACACTAAGATGAAATAAAAACGCACATGGTTACTACAAAAATGTGTTCTATAGAAAGTGTAAAAGGATAAGCAGCGTTATTGTAAGTGTAGTATCTTTTTCATGTAATTTTTTTGCGCTTAAGCGTTTTTTTGATGTAAATGTCCTTATTTTATCACATTTTATTATTTTTTTTTTTTTTTATTTTGTGTAAATGTGTTTGATACTTTGAAAAGGGTACCATTATTTAACAATTTTAAAATCTTAAAGAAAAATATGATGTTTTCACAAGAAAAAAAAAAAAATAAAATAAATAAATAAAATGTAAAACAAAAAAATCAGAAAAAAAAAAAAAAAAAAAAAAAAAAAAAAAAAAAAAACATTAAAAAAAAAAAAAAAAAAAAAAAATTTTTTAAAAAAAAAAAAAAAAAAAAAAAAAAAAAAAAAAAAAAAAAAAAAAAAAAAAAAAAAAAAAAAAAAAAAAAAAAAACATGTTACAAAGACGATATATACCTTTACATCACAAAACAGCAATAAAAATTTTTTAAAAACACAGAAAAAAAAAAACAAAAAAAAAAAAAAAGGAAACCAAAAAAAGGGAACCAAAACAAACACGATGTACAATTTAAAAATATTTGTATTTTTATATGTAAATATAGGGAAAGAAAAAAAAAAAAAAAAAAATTAAAAAAAAAAATGTTAAAAAAAAAAAAAAAACCTTTAAAAAAAAAAAAAAAAAAAAAATTTTTTAAAAAAAAAAAAAAAAAAAAAAAAAAAAAAAAAAAAAGGAAACCAAAAAAAGGGAACCAAAACAAACACGATGTACAATTTAAAAATATTTGTATTTTTATATGTAAATATAGGGAAAGAAAAAAAAAAAAAAAAAAATTGAAAATGGCGAATTTATACACGTGTATACACATGACTCGTGTGTGTGTATTAACATTTAGACATATTAAAAGGGACACTAAATAGGTTGTTGCTAAACAAACAGGTTGATATTACTATAAAAAAGAAAATTCTGTTAAAGGTATTGAGCATAAAAAAAAATAATATTAATAATAAATAAATAAACAAATGAGATTTTCCATTCCGTTATGAAACGCATTTAATGCTCAAATCGATGATACCAATGATATTTTTCTAGTAGGGGATAAAAAAAAAAAAAAAAAAGAGTAATATTATAAAAGGGGAGAGGGACACATTAACAATTTTCTTAAATGGGTACACCCTAAATTGTAAGGTAGCAACTTTTCTCTCTTAATAGTTAAGTGCAAACATATACGTGTTAGTGCTACAAACACGTATCCCTTTGCTATTGAAAAAAAAAAAACTAAAAGATATTCTAAAAATGAACTTTATTTTATTTTATTTTTCTGTATTTTAGTTACCTTTTCATCAATGAGGGAAAAAACTCCGCTTGTGTTACTGGTTAAAAGCAGAAATGGGAAATGTTGTGAAGAATAATTGTTTGCTCATTTCATGTGTGTGCAAATTAAGGGTACACTTATGAATTCATATGAATTCTCGTATATGCATGTACATGTAATAAAGGGGTATTTTTTTGCAATTACCTTATCCTAAATATGCTCCTAGCGAAGAAGTAATTTTTTTTCTTTCTTTTAAATAACTCCACGTAAATTTTGGTATTTTCCTGTGGGTGTATAGGATAGGGAGCGTGTATGAATGGATTCGTTTTTTCGTGTTCCTCAAGTTTCGCTGCTAATCTGTTTCGGTACTACCATTTTCACTTTTTCACTTTTGTCTTTTTTTTTGTTTTCTGCGCGAGAAATGACACGCAATTGATCTCTCATTTCTACTGCAGAATTACCTGGTCAGAGACGTTCAAAATAATGTACTCTAGAAAGAATATTTTATCCCTCACGATTTTTTGGCATTTCGTGTTGTTTCTCCTATGGAAAAGAAGGTGTTCGTTATAATGCATGCATGTAGGGGTGAGTTATTTTTCACATATAGAGAATGAATATACACGTGGAAACAGGATACTCCAAATGGAATGAAAAATTACCTGACGTACAAAATGTTGACTCCCTTAGGTTTGAGAAAACAACTAACGAAATATTCAATGGAATGGTCCACTTTTGCGAGTGTTGATAATTTTATATCCTTAATAAAAATTAACAAGCACTTTTTGGAAAAACTTATTTGTGATTTTTTCTCCTTGAGTTTACAAATATCTTTCATATATTCATTAAAATTGTTTAATCGTAAGGAAGGTTTCCATAGGGGTTCTTCTTCTGGCATTTCTTTTTTCCTTAGTAGAAGACTTTCATGAGATAAAAATTTTATATCATCCGGAGAGTGATCATTTAGAAAGGACAGTTTAAATTTTATATATTTTAATTTGTATTCCTTCTTGATGTTCACTAATAATTGGGATGCAACGACGAACAAGTCATGGTAGGAAAAATCTTTTTTCAAAATTGTAATTGCCTTTCCGATGCAGTAAGTTAGTAAACCTGTCCATGAAGAGTAACAGAGAAAAGAGATGAATATATGTGTGTGTGTATGGGAAGAAATGGATATTCCCGTTGTTCGTAAAAATTTTGCGCGAGTGCTATTTGGATATGCAGAATGTGTAAACACCTGTGCCTAAATAGACACTCATGTGAAAACATAGGAAAACATGTGAAAACATAGGAAAACATGTGAAAACATAGGAAAACATGTGAAAACATAGGAATACATGTGAAAACATAGGAATACATGTGAAAACATAGGAATGCATGTGAAAACAAAAAAATTTATGAAAAAATATAAAAACATATACACGCTTGTCCATGTTCTCAAATGAGGCGAGCACTTACCCCTAACATTATTTTTGATGACAAGCTCAAAATTTCCTCTATCCTTCACATCGGGAGAGAAGAAAAAGATTGAGGGGACTATTGCATCTTTTGGATTCTTTGGATTCTGTTTCTTTTCCTCCTCTTGTTTGTAAAAATCATGCGACAAAGGTAGTCTTAAGTTTTCCACATAAATGGGTTCAACATGTCTATCTCTTATTTTTCCAAATGTTTTTAGCGAATACACATTCTTCTTACTAGTTGTCATCAAATATGAATTTTTGGAAATTTCCGTTGAATTAATATTTTTGTTATATGTGATTGAGGTATACGTAGGGACAAAATAAGAAGTATATGTAGTATCAAAAATAATACATAATTGTTTTCCACCTTGTAATTTTTTAATTATGCTAAATATTTCATTTGAATAAATATAATTATTTTTTGAATAATCTTGTGGTAATAATGCAAAGTTATTATTTTGAGAGAATTTTGAATCAATTATTTTAATTGAATATCCAGAAAAATAAAAAAATAAAATATCTCCATTATTGGAATTCATAACAAATTCATGTAAATGGTTTATTATATTATTTTTATTAGCTTTCTGAGTAACAAAATTTTTATAACATATATTACAATCATTAAGCAAAATTAACTCATTAAATTTGAACGTCCCTATTAAGTGTTCACACATATCTATGGTATCATTTACGCTTCCTTCTAACAATCCATTATAATTTAATGTGACAAGTAGAGCTTTTCTTTTTCCAACATAAGGGGATTTTTCTTCGTACAAGGAATATCTGCTCGTTTCATTTTTTAAATATAAATCCTTCAATTCTTCATTTTCTCTTTTCCTACTTGGATTTGTTTTAAATACATGTTTATCATACAAACTAAAACGCACATTGTCTTTTTTTTTTCCAGAATCGTTGATACAAATTTGTTCTCTTTGAAAAGTATTCGGGTCTATCTGATGCATTCTGGAATTTCCATGATTATGGTTATTTTTTAAAAGGTTGTCATTTTTCATCATTTCGATTTTTTTTTCACTTGGAGTAATGCTCAGAGAAATGTTATTTCTTGTATCATTTGATGTAATGTTGTTTTGATGTCCTTTTAAATAATCATTAGCACTTACCGCATCTGCGTTTGTGTTTTCATTACAAAGAAAGGATGAGTGGTAAGATTTTTTCATGGTATAATAAGACTCCATTTCGTCTGAACAGCTTTTTTCAGGTGTATTATCTTGCAATTGTGATTTCTTATCAAGTTTATTTTTATACTTTTTTAACTGTTCAAATAATTTTTTATTTTTTGTTAAACTGTTAATACATTTTAGGCAAGTATTTAATTCATTATAGATCTTCGATTTTAGCTGTAATATTTGATCAATGTCGGAATTTACATTTTTTTTTTTTTTTTTTTTTTTTCCTGATTTTTTTCTTTTTTCCTTTTTTAATGTCCTATTATATTCATCATCACTTCTTAAATCAACATCGTTTCTTGTTTCATTGTGGCGTTCCATTCCCGTAGCATGACTGTTTATAAATGCAAATTCTTGTAAGTTCGTCTTGTGCGCTAGACAAGAATGTTCTTTATCATCAGCCGAGGTTGAGGTGATAGATTTTATGTATTCGTTTTGGTTTCTATAAGAATTATCCAGGTCGAGTTTGTTCATTTCATCATTCATCAAATTGGATAAATAAAATGCGGTTATATGTTCATGGTTAGTTTTGATGTTATTTCCTATTTGGTCTTCGTTTTTTATATTATATAAATTTTTTAAACATTGAATGGCGTGCGCTTTGTCATCAACTACATCGATATTACATTCGATATTATGAATTTTTTTATTATTTCTGCTTATTAAGTTCACAATTGGATTTTCCTTATTACTTCCATATGTGACATGAGGAAATTTTCTTTCATTTACATGTGTTAATGTGTTCATGATATTGGATATACTATTTTTCCCATTATTTTCTGTGGAATTTTCTCGTTTTTTTCGTTCGTATAGAAATTTATTTAAAATGCATTGCCTTATTAAATGATTTGTATTTTCGTTCATTCCGCTCATATTTCCAGTAGCACATGGGTTTGAGACATTTATAACTCCATGTTTTTTTTCAAGTTCATGTAAACGGTATGCATTGCTCACTGGCAGATGGTCAAAATTTGGCATGAAATCTAGGTTTGGTTTATAAGGTTCATTGTTGATAGTGCTGACTTTAGCATTCATATTTGTATATTTTTCAAAGTTATTGTTACTTCTCAAAGTATTGTCTTCCTTTTCATACTTGCTAATGGACGTGTCTTGCTGATTAACTGAATCCATATTATCATTATTATTATTATGAGAGTTCGTTTTGAATATGTTATTTATGTATTTGTTCACGTTTATAAATTCTACATTGTTAGCATTTTTATTTTGCGTTCCATTTTCATTTTTTATACCTACTAAAATTTTGGACCTTTTATCTGGGTTGTTAATAAAATTATTTTGTATTATTGTGCTATAGTTGTATATATTTTGTTTATTGTTATTTTTGTCATTATCACTTACAATTTTTATGGAATTACTGTCAGTTCCTATGGAATTTCTATATATATTTTTCATTTCATCAGTGAATAGTTGGTGTATTTTTTCTGTCGTATCACTAGGAGGATGTGTGTTATGGTAATCCATTTTCTTCTTTTGTTCTCCTGTACGACATTCCTTTTTTATACTTTTCAAATTCTTGTTGTCATTCATACAGTTAATCAATTGGGTTATTTTCTTTGAGAATGATTTTTTCTCTTCATTTCCTGCGTTATTATTATCATGTTCTTCTGTTATATTGTTGTTTGTCATTTCGGCCTTCATATTAATCGTAGGAACGTTTGGAGACGATCCATTTTTTTCATTTTGCTTAGGAGATGATGGTTTCGGCTTGTCTTTCGCGATGCCAAAATGATGACTGTGGTTTCTCTTTTGGATTTGGTTGGTCACTCCGTCTGACGGGTTAACACTCCCTTGGACGTTTTTTTGGGGGGCATTTTGTGGATCACTTTTTAAATTATCTTTTGTAGCACCTTTTGTAGCACCTTTTGTAGCACCATTTGTAGCACCGTTTGTAGCACCATTTGTAGCACCGTTTGTAGCACCATTTGTAGCACCGTTTGTAGCACCGTTTGTAGCACCAGTTGTAGCACCAGTTGTAGCACCAGTTGTAGCACCTTTTGTAGCACCTTTTGAATCGTTTTTGTTTTTATAATTGCACTCTTTTTGAGTGCCTCCTCCTGTGAACTGATAAACATTGGTGACAATTTTTTCGTGATACTTATGCCTATCGTCGACCTGAAGATTTTTGTGCGATAATGCACTACTCCTCGGGTTGCCAATGGGTATCCCGGACTTGTGCTCAGAATACAGCTTTGAAATCGAATCATCTTGTTGAACGGAAACATTTGCACTCCTACTTTGAGAGATAGATGCAGGAGTGATATGTTTAATATGATCTTGGTTAATAAATGAAAGATAATTAGGAGGAGAAATGGCGTCAGCACTGTTGCTACTATTGTAATTCCATTTGATATTGTCGCTAATGAAGTTATTATTATGATTGTTTGTGATATTATGACCAATCGGATTGTTAATTCTATTATGTATGGGTTTATTATTTATGAAATAAAAGTTGCTACATCTATGATGAGGTTCATTATGAATGGAGTATCTTGGGGAGGAGATGGGTTTGTTTTCCTCTTTTTTGGATTCATAACTATTTTGTGACTTTTTGGCATTTGATGAAAATATAAAATTGTAAATTTTATTAAATGTATTATTATGTCCTTCACTTTTAGAATTTGATGTATCATTTTTATTTACTTTTCTTCTATAGTAGGATATAGAACTTAAATTTGTTTTATTTATGGATGATGAACATCTTCTTTGTCCTTTCCCTAAATTTGGTAAAACCTCATAAGAACTGAATGACGGAATTATATTTCTATTCTTTTCTTTTTTTCTGTTAAAGATTTTAAAAATATTTTTTGTGAATGCATGTTCTTTGTTCTCAGAAGGATCTAATAGATGGAAGTTAGAATATTTCTGTGTATCATTATTTATGTAGAATGATCCATTGTGTATGTTACTACTACTACTACAAGGAACATGTTTTTTCAACTTTATGTTATTATTACTGTAGAAGTTCATGCGTTCATGAGTATTTAGAAAATCGACATTGTTATTACTAAATGGATAATAGCTATTGTCATATGATGAATACTTGCAATTTTTATATTTTCCATTTTGGTGACATTGTGCTCGTCTGTTGTATTGATCTAGTAGTACTTGGTTATTTTGCTCATATAATGTTTTACAAAATTTATTATATATGTTTCTATTTTCGTTTCCATCATGTATATTGTAGGAGGAAAAATTGTTTGCTATGTTTACTGGGTTGTACTTGGTTATCTTTGGGTGTCCCTTCACATGTGATGCGATATTTTGCACAAACGAATTGCAGGGTTGGCTGGAAATGTAATTGTCATTGTAAATAGCGCCAAGTGTTTCTCTACAATTAACTTTGCTATTGTAGCTGCCATCATATCTGCTACCATAGTAAATGTCACCCATACTACTGCTGTTTTGAGGTCTACATGAGTTTTTATAATGCATCGCATTAATTGGATTCAAATATTTCTTTGTTGATATACTATGATTATTAATTGTATTTTTTCCATAATACTCATTTGTAACAAAAAATGGGGATTTCTTCCTCACTTGGGAGATTGGGGTGAAATCTGGTTTTTCATGTTTGTTCATATAATTCGTACTATGTACATTGATTATTCTATTATTGCTCGTTAAATTATTTTTATTATCATTTTCGATATCTACAGAAATGTAAAAATGAGTATAAAAAGGTTTTTATTTATAAAAAACAAACATGTTTACGTAAATATAAAATATGCACAAAGTGTCTGCGTGTAGAAAATGAAGAACACGCTGAAATATATCTACTAGTGTCACACTCCTCTGAATTAGCAAATTCTATATTAAATAAATTTCTGTATGCGCTTCATATTTTTTTTTCTTTTTTTTTTAACAAAATATACAGAAAATATAATTTCTCGAAAAAAAGCCAGCACATTTGAATTTGGCTAAATTGTTACATGCCGTGAAATTAAAAAAAAAAAAAAAAAAAAAAAAAAGATTCGAGCAGATACATACATAAATAAGACTAACGTAAAAAGAAAAGAAAATTAAACTGTTGTAATATGTACTAGACTAGTGTGATCATAACACAAAAAGGGAAAATGATGCGAAAATCCTTTAGAGAATCATAGAAAAAAAAAAAAAAAAAAAAAAAAAGGTTAATAAGTCGTTTCAAAAAATGGATATTACATGAATATATGCGAATACATTAAGTCCGTGCGTTTTCTATATGCATAATACAATGTAAGAAAAAGAATACACAGACGCTTAAGTGCACTTAAACGATTTAAAAAGGAAAATCTATAATTGTATTTTAGACAGCACCGTACCCTACATTTTTATGTATAGAGTGCGCATATATAAGCGTGCAAAAACGCTTCGGGAAATGGTTTTAAATAGTTACCTTTTATTAGTATCCTTCCTTTGGAATCGCATGAAATATTGGCAGTAGATGTATCATAATCTTCATCTCCAAATTGCTTATTCTGTTTGTATATATTAATGTTTTCATATGAGCTGAATAGGGGAGAATACGTGTTTATGTTATTCATTTTATTTTGCATGAATCATGCGAAGGATCCATGCAAGTTGTTCATGTGAGTAGTTCGGATAACTGATTTCAGTGATTACGACAAATGGGTTCACGTGATTGATTCGGGTAAAACTGGTTTTGCACATGAAATTCACGTGCGCAAAAACTTCATGATTATCAGAAAAAGTACACATAAATGGTTGGTATAATTACAATAAAAAATTTACACAATTTGTTCAAATATGTGCAATTCATACAATGCGTATGAGTACACATTTGCACAATTCACTCAGTAAAATTAATGTGCTCTTTCACAGAAACTGCGCAGCTCACTCAAAAAAAAAAAGGCATGGAAGAATTTAAATTTAAAAAAAAAAAAAAAAAAAAAAATCATTACCAACGGTGGAGTTCTTCACAAAAAAATTGTATACATGTTTTCATCACACTACATTTTTCTTCAATGGGGAATATGCTTAATATAAGCAATTTGATACATTTTTTTTTTTTTTTTTTTTTTATTTCACGACATGTAACAATTTAGGCAAATTCAAATGTGCTAGCTTTTTTTCGCGAAATTATATTTTCTGCATATTTTGTTAAAAAAAAAAGAAGGAAAAAAAAAAGCGCACACTTTGCGCATAAAAAGTAGAAAAAATAGAATTTAAATGGGTCCATGGTAGAACATAACAAAAAGTGAAATAGTGTGAGGTGAAATGTGATGAAGTGGCGAAAAGTGACGGTGTGCGGTATGTATTTTTTTATGATGTGTGATAGAATATGCATATTTTTTTGAATTGAAAAAGCACGACAAAAATTGGTATGATTTTTTTTTTTTAATATTTTCATTCATACATATACATATGAACAAGTGTTGATGGAAACAAAATTTCACTTCACAATGTATATTTTTTACATTCCTTTTTGTAGAAACACACTAAATGTTGGCAGTTTGCATATTACACTTTTATGATAAATGTGTTCTTCTGAATGTGACATTGTAAAATTGATTCATTGGAAATCAAAAATGAAAGAATGAGAAGGAAAAATTGAAACGTATAAAAAAAACCAAAATGGGGAAGATAAAAACTAACGTAGCATCTATGTGTGTGCACGTTGTTCAAGTTGCTCTGTTATATGAATTTTGATTTTTGTAGAAAAAAATGGAACTTCTTTGAAACGCATAGAGAAATAAAAGAAAAGAAAAAAAAAAAAAAAAAAAAAAAAAACACTGTATATTGGTGCGCACAGGTAAAAATTAGAGAATAATAAACTGTGACAAATGAAAAAAAAAAAAAAAAAAGTAAAAAAAAAAAAAAAAAAAAAAAAAAAAAAAAAAAAAAAAAAAAAAAAAAAAAAAACACTGTATATTGGTGCGCACAGGTAAAAATTAGAGAATAATAAACTGTGACAAATGAAAAAAAAAAAAAAAAAAGGAAAAAAAGAAGAAAAAAAAGACGAAAAAAATGAACAAAAAAAGGAAGAAAAAAAAGAAATACTTTTTAACGTTGGTAATACAAATTTGTAAAAGTAAAAATTTTTTCCTATTTACACACAAGTTTTATTTTACCCTTTTGAAGAAATATTACAAAGATTTTCCCTTTTTTTTCTTTTTGTTAAAAGAATTTAATTTTATATGTACATACTATTACATGAGTTTCTGCTACCTGCATATTTTTGCTAATTTAAAGATTAAAATAACTATGCGTTTATTGGCATATGTAAATGCTTGAATACTGATCACGTGTGCATAGTTATGTACGAATATACATATACATGGATGGATATATATTTACAAAATTTGGACGTGAGAACCATAAGGTAACGTGACTCATTCATATAGCATTGCCTTTAATACACCTCCAATATTTACATTCCTTAGGTTCAATTCATTTAATTTGCTAACATTTTTATCATTTGTTTAACGACACTAGGTATGCGCCCAGTTGGGGATGGTATAATTTGTCATCGTCACTTAACTACACCGTCCCGAAGTAACAGACATGGAATTTTCATAATTTGTCAATAACTGTAGGAAATTCCCCATTTTTGCTGTTACTTCGAAATTGTAAGATATGCCAATTTGGAAAATAAAAGTTAAAAGAAAAAAAAAAAAATAAGGCATTATTGCACATAGTTTTTTCCTCCCATTATATATGTACATATATAGGTAGATAGACAGATAGATATATATACGTGCAGGTTGTGTATTTTTGTGCCTTTTTTTTAAATGATAACTGTTAAGCGAGAATATGGTAACTATTTTCTAAGTTTCTACGTTGTTTTTTAAAGGTATGTATGAAGGTTATTAATTTTTTCTACACTTTTTAGCTGATTTTCACCTTTGAACATTTTGGTACTTTTCTTTTTTTTTTTTTTTTTTCCATTAAAAATTATGTATCATGATTATATGTGTGTGGGTATCCTAATTTGAAAGGAAGCTACATTAATGTTATATTTGTTTTTTTTATTATTTTTATTTTATTTTTGACACAATTTACGTAGAATTTTCATGTATTAGGAGGAACAGGGTAACTCTCAATGTTAAACTTCATCCATTTTTGTATATTAAATGATTACTTAAATGACATGTACATACACGTAAATGTAGAGGCACACGCATAGATACATGTACAAACACAAATACATGAATGTAGTTGCTCTTTTGAAAAGTTTGCTTTAGGGTAAAAAAAGCCAACACATTGGCATCAGAAATATGTGTCTTTGTAACGGTATGGAATTTTTTTATTTCTTTTTTATTTTTGATAGGAATTATTCTTTATGGGAATTTTTATTCTTTGGCTATTATTTTTTCTTCTTATGTGCCAAAATAGTATAAATTTTAAGGTGGCCCAAGTTCATTAACATCATCCCACTGACTCTCTTTTACGTTGCAGTTGCAAAATAAAAAAATACATTTTTTACCTGAGAAAACGAAAAAAAAGGACAACATTGTACAAGCTGCTTTAAATTGATATGTTTCTTTAAAAATAATCGAGCATACAAAAAATGTGAAAGTGCATGGAGTTGAGGAATATTACAGAGATGACATTTTTTCGAAATTATGTCTCAAATTTTATTTCTTCATAGTATTAAAACGAATTAAAACTTTGCGTAAAGAAAATTGTATATTAACAACAAGACATGCTCTGATATTTGAAAAGTTTCATGAAGATAACAAAATTGCTATTTTTTTCAGATAAACCTTTTTTGAGAATGTTATAATTAGTACGAATGTTCAGATGAACTATTTCACTCTTTTATGGGAAACATGTGTGAGGAGTTATTTCGTTCTTTATATAAATTAAAAAAAAAAAAAAAAAAAGAACAGTATGAAGAAGAACAACAAGAAAGGTAAAAAAGAAAAACATGAATATATAAAAGTCTAAAAAAGGAAAATTATAACATTTTTACTTTTTTAATATCGACGCAAATGGATAAATCAGTGTACGAAAAAAGTATAAAGAAAGTTTAGCACAGATAAGTGTAAAAATATAAACATAAAAATTATGTGAAAAAAATGGATTATGTGGACGTTAGCCTTAAGTACTATTCTATCATTGAAATGTTGCATAATGCAAAAAGGAAACTGCTGATGAGTTCCTCATTTCCGAATAAAGTAAAAATAGTATACTTTGAAGAAGAACAAAGGTGGATTAACTCATATTATCTGTTAAAAACCTTAAATATGGGAAGATTTGAAAAAGTATTTTTTTTTTGTACTTTGAAATTAAATATTTCGTATTTTTTAAATGATATTTTTTATGTAATTATAACAAACCTTATGGGGCTTAAACAAGTGCTACCACATATATGTATTATATATTCCTGTTGTGATAAAAGATAATAATTTTATTTTTTTTTAAAAAAGAAAAAAAATGGAGAACGGACACAGTGATGGCGAACCATCGTAGCATCCTAGGAATTTGTCGGCTATGCCCTGTTGGGGCTCAGAGCATAGCCCAGTTGGGTAATGTGAGGCTCGAACTCACGACCTCGGGATTATGAGACCCGCGCGCTAACCGACTGCGCCAATTACCCTTACTTTAAAAATGTAAAATTATAAGCATATTGCTTCCTTATCGGATTTTTCTAATATGGGAACCTGCTGCTGAAAAAATCAATGAGTAGTAGAAATGATTATCTTTGCAATTTAAATGATTTTATGAATATTCTGATTAGTGCATATATATAAACACATTTATTAATATACATTCATGTAACACTTGTTTAAATATTTTATTTCAAACAAATATTTTAAGCAATTAGGGAAAATATTTTGAAGTGAAGGGTATTTACGATTAATTACGTACGTATTTTTATTTATTTAATTTTTTGGGAGTTTATTTTTTTAAAAGCAACAAAAAAAAGGGTCATTTGCAATTATCTACCTTTTAGTAACAATTCCCTATGTGATGTGTATTGGTGCAGTAATTCTTCTTGTGCATGAAGGCACAATTTTTTTTCACATGTTAAAGGATTGCAACAATTTTTGATTAACTATATGAATGGGCAAAATGTAAAGGAAACTCTCTTTTTACAATTTTTCTTAATTTGCGTTTCTTTCATGGATACTCTTCCCATATTCATGATATATATAGTCCGTACAAATGACATACCTAACTGATATAGAGTTATTTCTCAGCATATTGGTTTGTAGTGAAATGAACAAAAAAAAAAAAAAAAAAAATGACATTAAAAGTTAAAACGTCTTTATCATTCCCTTTTCACATGAACTTAAGTTTTCATATTTTTCATTAGAGAAATTTATATATGTTTACAAAATATAATTTTTAATAAAAGGGTGAAATAAACGTGAATACACAAAACGCACTGTCTTTGAAACTTGGGGTAAAAAAAAAAAAAAAAAAAGATCAAATAAAAACACATTTAGTAACATACTCTTCATTTATATACTTCATTAACTAAGCAGAACGGAAACTGTTTCTGAAAAATATTGAAATCATGAAAAAGGGTTAGCTTATCTTGACGCATGCATATTTCTTTCTCTTTTAGTGAAACACATTTTTATGAAGCGTAGTCATTCTTTTTTAGTCTAGTGGTGGGATGTTATTTTTTTTAATGGCAAAATTACACTTCAATTATGTATTTCATCATGCAATATATATATGTTTCATTTTACAAAATATGATAAAACATTAGTTTAGGATATATGATAAAAAAAAATAAAATACCAAACTGTTGTAATGAAACATTGTTCCTTTTTCGAACACCACTTTTATTTTTTGCTTTTTTTGTACAATTGAAAACCGAGGTATAAAATAAATAAAGATATATATAAAGAGGTAAATAAAAATCTTCCTTACATTTGGTGAAGTACCAATATGTAGGGAATAATTCCGACAGATGGAAAAGCATTCTGCATATGTTAGATTAAGTGTAGGTTTGCTTCGCATGGAGTTTTAAGATTGCACCGATGAGTTAGCATGGTTGCTAAGTATGACTTCAAATCATTTGGCGTAGAATTTCTGCGCAGAGGTTCGATTCCTCCTTCGGTGCGTAGGAAAATTGCGCATGTGTACGTTATATTTTAAATATGTATATATTATATATATATAAAATATCTTTGAATGCATTTTGATTTTTAATTTTTTGCTGACAATTTGTATGTAAATAATTTTCATCTTAATGGTAGGATAGGGGTGAGATAAGTATAACATAAGAAAAAATTTACTAGGGAATAAGAAAAATAAATATTCTTTAAAAATTTAACATATTTTAAACTTGAATTACGAACGAGTGCGTTTTTTTTTACGTTTTTTCTATTTTTTGAAGGCAGTAAAATCTTCGAAACAATTGATCAATTGCTACGAAATGGAACTGAAAATAACGAGAACTGCAATATAATAAAGAGAAACTCACTTCATTAGGCTATGAAAAAGCAATGTGTAAACATTTTTTGTGCAACTTGAAAAGGTAGGTTAATGTAGAGCGAGATAAAATGAGAGAAGTTTTTTAATTGCTATGGAAATGGGAAGTGTGGCAGTTCTATTAGTGCTCATTCATGTAATTGGTCATATGTGTGTGTAAAATTATGCCAGTACTTATATACATAAGACTAAGTGGAGTAGAAGCTAATTTTTAATATAAACAGTTTTGTTATTTTTAAATTTGAGGAATGGTTTGTCTAATGTATGGATATTATCGGTAAAGAGACCACTACAATGTATTACATATACTTTTGTTTTTTTTTTGAGAAAAAATTTTAATTTGTGAAAAATGGAAAAGTTTTACCTTGGCATATTACACTATTTATCATATCATTAAATTATTAATTATGGCATGATGTTGCAATTTTGGATATATGTAAAATTACGTTTAATGGAAAGGAATATTTTTCAATTTCCTGTTTTTTTGCCATGTGGGTCTAAGGTGAAATATTGTATGTACTATTAGGAATATATATAAAAAAAAAAAGAAAATAAAAAGTAACTGTGTGTCTTAATTTGTGAAATGGGTATAATATCATTTGTACCTTTTTTATGATGTATATACACACAAGTATGATTTGACCTAGTCGTTTCAATGTTTTTGTAATAGATGAACATTTTCATATCACCTTTTTGTGCATATATTTATGTATGTTTTGGAGGTACACCACTAGGGTGGAATGAATGTGTAGTAAGTTTTTTTTTTTTTTTTTTTTTAATATGTGATAAAATTGTTTAATAACAAATGGAGGGACAAATTATATGTGTAGGCGAGAGAACATATAAAAAAGCACTTAAAAAAAAAAAAAAAAAATATATTTTTTATTTTTTTTGAACATGTCATAACTATATTGTCTTTGCTTAGGAAATGCGTCAATTGTTTTAAATAAGTAAATGTGAAGGAGTGTTTGTAGAATTTTCGTGGTTTTTATTGTTCTACGTTTGTTTAATATGTATGCAGAATTTTCCAAAAAAATATACACGATAAGGTATATAAATTACACATTCCTATGTGTACTTATATTTATATTTTGCTTATTTTAGATGTTTTTCTTTATTTTTAAACAGGACGCAAACATTTTCGATTTTTCAAAAAATTTTAACGTCGCGTTTAGCCACATTTTACGATGCGATTTAACAATGTTTTTGTCATCATCATGGTGTATTGTTGTGTTAGACACCTTTGTTATATGGCGTTCTTAGTTCATGGCATGTAAGTTATGTTTTGCCATTTGTTTGTTACTGAAAAGGGTTATTCCTTACACATGTAAGTGTGTCTACATTAATGACTTAATATTTTATTCATGCATCATTTAAAAAAAATTCCTGCACTTCAGTTAAGAAGTTATGCCCTTTTTAATTTTTTTTATGAAAAATCGTTCATGTAACATCCAGAATGAGATATATCCCCTTTTTGTAATGTTAGGCCATAGGATGTTCGTCCTGCAGTGCACATTTTGTATTTTACAATATATAAAATTGTACAGACTTTTTTTTTTTTTTTTTTCTTGTTTTATAGCGGGAATACATATACACACTTTTAGTAGGCATGTTATTTGTGTGTTACAATTGCACACAAGATTTTATTAAAAAAAATATATATTTTTTGCAAAATTGTGTTTATCCAAAGAAAAAAAAAAAAAGCAAATCGAGTAGGGATTAGATATAAATACTCAATGTACGTTATAAAAAAACAAAACTTGAACTATAAGTTAGCAAACGCTTATGGAGTAGACCATTACGGTTTAACCCTAATGTGAATGCATTAATGGGTAAAAACAAATGTTAGATATTTTGGTAACATTTTTCTAACAATAATGCCATTTGTTTCTTACGCCATGAGAAGTGTTATTTCCTAAATTTTAAGAAGGAATAAAAAAAAAAAAAAAAAATGACATGTGCATAAAATGAATGTAATTAAAAACAGCATTGAAACTGAATGCGCGAAACTTAAATAAAGAGGCGCAAAATGAAATGGCAATGAGTAAAATAGAAAATGCAATCTATTAAACGCCAAAACATTTAACGCAATGTGCAAATATTTAATTTAAAAAAAAAAAAAAAAAGAAAAAAAAAGATTGAATCAATCAAATATTTAATCGAATAAGATACATGATAAAGCAAAGGTAATGACAAAGGCAATAAATGGGTAAAGAATACAAAGAAAGGAAAGGAGAAAAATCAACAAACTGCTAGAATGCGAATACTTTTACACATGAATTAACCGAAAGGAAAAATAAAAAAAAGAAGGAAAAATCGAGATGATATATTAAAGATTCAAAATTATGATGAAAATATAAAAATGAGAAAAAATATAAAAACAAAACTAAACCAATACACTAAAGCAAAAAAAATTAACACATGAATACATTTATATATACCTAGTATACATATAAATAAACACTTACATACCCCAGCTAAGTATAAGAAAAAAGAGTAAGGATATAATACAAGAAGAAATTAGGGAAAGAAAACTGAAAAAAAAAAAAAAAAAAAAAAGTATCAAATAGAAAAGGGGAAACAACAAAAAGAGCTGAGTACTACGAACGAGAACATAGCAAATGGTACTAAAAGCAGTTTATGGTGTTGTACAGACTACACACACATCAAACCATAAGTTATATGAGCACTAAAAGTAATCAAAAGGAAAATTTTTATAATGATATTATTGTATAAGCAGAATTTAAAATAGTACATAGAGTATTATTTTTCTTGTTTTTTTCAATATAATATCCCGTACACTATTAATGTTTTTAACATTGTCATTAAATTAGGGGAAAAATGAGTAGATCAGAGGTAAAACTGAGAGTTCTTAAACTTATCGTTTATCATATCTTTTTGAGAACATAGGAATGTATATACACATGAATATTCCCTTGAATAGTTAAGTGTGCATATGAATGGTGCTAGGATGAAAGTGTTATCTTGTTATTATTTATGATTATTCATCGAACGTATTTAACTTTTTTTTTTTTTTTTTTTTTTTGTATTATATCCATATTAATGATGAGAACGTCATCGGGAAGTGTCTTTCATTATCTTTTTTTCCTAGAGTGGATAGGCAAAAATATGAAAGATGATGAGAGTTATAAATTTTGATCATGACTAATTGAAGGGAACATGTTTATAGATTAGTACATATTTGCGCATATCCATATACATATATATAAATACTTTTATGCATGCTTATTTGATGAATATATATATTAACATTCTCCGTTTAAACTTCTCGCAGGATTTAGACCCCGAGATGCTTGAACTGCTGACGTGCGCATTTGACGAAGGAGTGAAAGTAAAAAGCGCAGCAGAAGTTGGAAAAAGAGCAGTAGAATATTTTCGAGGAGATGAATTTGTGCATTTCTTATACAGCAGGAGAGATATGCTAAAAAAGAAGTTCCCCAAATTATTGCAAAATCGAACATTAGCAGATTTAAAAGATATAGAAGATTTTGCAGACACATTCATACAAAAAGGATATATATATAAAGCTCAATATAAGCCAATTAAAGGAATAAATGAAATAGATGAAAATGGGATGTATAGAAGGCCCAAATGGCCTAAAAGATTAATAATGTGTTCAAAGCAAAATTTTGATAAGACAAGTTTTTATATACTAGTTCATGAAAGAAATAAAAAGCTACAATACTTAATGTTAATAACATTGATATCTATTGTATTAATTTGTTGCATGTTTCCAGTATGGCCATTGAGATTAAAATTGGCCATATGGCATTTATCAGTAGGATTTATATCATTAATATCCGTGATAGTAGTTGGTAGATTAATAGCTTTTATTTTCTTCTGGTTTTTTGGAGTAGATTATTGGATATTTCCAAATTTATTTGATGAAGAATGTAATGTTGTTGAATCCTTTATACCTGTCCATTCATGGATTTACAGAAATGACACATGGATTTTAGTAATAGCAAGAATGTTTACTGCTGTTTTGTTAGCTATAGGGATACATCAATTAGGAAAGACACATTCCATTGAAGATATCAAAAATTTTGCAACTCAATCATTTATTGATATAATTGAATGGGGTAATAAAAAATTAGCTGCTTCTCCGGAAAATGTTTCTATGTACAAGTCTTTAGACTCCAAGGCAACATTCGAAGGAGAATTTGAAGATGATGGGGTGGTGTATGACGAGAATGAAGAAAATTACGATTGTTTGAAGAGATGCGGATTCCAGACATTTGAAGAGTTGGTGAGGAAGTGTTTCCTAAAATGTGAATGCATGGAGGTACGCAAAGGAATAGCGGTTCGTCATTTGGATCCTCTCGTCCGTGCATGATTTGTTTACATTTTCATTAAACAGAGCAATATATAGATGAATGAAAAAAATTGAACCGCTTTGAAAATTACACTTTTAATTAATCAGAAAATTTTCTCAAATTTGATAACGTTTTATGCTGTATTTTTTTTTTTTTTTTACAATCCTAATGTTGTGTGGCATACACCTTTTACATTCTTTTTTTTTTTTTTTTTTTTTTTTTCTGCGTTTTTTTTAGAAAATTTTAAAATCAGAATGTTACAAGAAAAAATGTTCAAGGGTGACCAAAGAAGTTTTGGACGAAGCACACAAAGAAGCTTGTTTTGGAAAGAAAAAGGATTAAGAGTATAGTGTGGAGAATAGAAAAAAGAGTTCATCACTCTAAAAACCTTATATGTGCCATAATTATTAGTAGAACGAATTTAACCGAAACGTGACGAAATGTGCATGCGAAATTTACATATATATACATTCGCACGCATATCCCAAGCATATTTTTAATTCATTATGTGTGAGTCACTTTTTCTTCTTCTTTTTTTCATAGAAATTTTTACGAAATAATGCGATTCCCCTATTATGAATTAACATGATTTTAGATTTGTTTCATTTCAGTATATTTTTTGTTATATGTGCTTCATTTATTTATTCCTTTTTTTTTTTTTTTTTTCTTCTTTTTTCTTTTTTTTTTTCTTCTTTTTTCTTTTTTTTTTTCTCTTTTTCTTCTTTTTGCCATAAATTGTGTTTATCCCATTTAATGTGTTCAACATTACAAAAACTACATTTTGTTGTCAGTTTATTCTTTTACAAAGTTACACAAAAGGGTATTATATAAATGTTAATTTTTTGTATTTTAAAATTTAATACACAAGCAATAAACGGAAAAGGAAAATTTTCATTTTTTTTTTTTTTTTTTTTTTTTATGGCATTTGAGTTATTTATTTTTTTTTTTAAAAAATTTTTTAAAGGTTTTTAAAAATCTATGATTCATTTTCAGTGGCATGAGAATTTGCATGTTATATTATCCTCGTTTTTTCCTTTTCTAAATGGACTCGTGATGGAGGAATGTGTAATATTTATATTCAAATGGACATAAATTTTTTGAAACACAATTTTCGGTGCATTCTTAAGCATATGCAGGTTCACGTGAACAAGTAAATCGCTTGAGGTTTAAGTAGGAAATGGTATGTCGCAACGTATAGAATATATGTGTATGAATATGTATATTTATATGTATAAATGTGAAAACACTACCTGTTTGTGCAAAAAATAAGGGATGTAAAAAGTTCATTATTGGGAAGAGAAAAGTAACATGTAATGCGAGAAATGGTAAGAAGGCCTCTCACCATTTGCTAATTTATTTTCTGAGTATAAGTGTATAAATAAAGGACGAATAAGGAAAAAGGGAGGTATACCCGTGGGGACAACAAGAGAACATAGATAACTTTTAGTCACATATTTAATTTAAAAAATTTTTTCTTTTTAATTTTATAAAGTAAGGAGAATAGGAACTGAATAAAATGAAGTTACCAAGAGAAGTTGTTTTTCAAGTAGCTAAAGGATTTAGAGGGAGAAGCAAAGGATGTTTTAAAATTGCACGTAGCAGGGCAATGAAAGCCTTGTTACATTCCTACATTATGAGAAGGCAGAGGTATAGGAGGTTGCGGGTATGTTTAGATGCATGAAGTAGTAAAGTTGGATTTCCACAAATGTGAATGAGTTCCACTTTGGATGACCAATGAATATGCGTATTAATTTTCATATGCAACGTATACATATATATATATATATATATATATATATATATATATATATATATATATACATTATCAATTTTTATTTACACACGGTAACACTTATAAGAATAGTGTTATGCGGATCCCATTTCACCACACGTTTCTCTCAATTTCTGCTAATGCAGGTTCACTGGATAGCTAGCATAAATAGGGCCTGCAGAGAATGGAACTTCACGTATGCGCACTTCATGAACAGTCTACTAAATAATAACATCATGTTAAATAGAAAAAGTTTGTATAACTTATGCTACACTGAGCCAATAAGTTTTAAGTGCTTAGTAGACGAATCAAAATATGTTTTTTTCCAAAGGAAACTAAAATTTAGAGACATATCTCAATTGTAACTGGAACAATGTGTGTAGTTCAATTGGGAATAATTCTTTTTATTCCTTTTTCCAAGTGAACTTTAATTACTCATTTGACACAGTTATCTCTGTGGACAGCAAACCCTCGGGGAAAAAGTGGTCAAAGTTTAACAACAGCAATTGGGTCACTACATATAAGGAATCATATGGAGTTTTGGTAAGTTTATATTTATGATAAAATTTTGCGAATGATTGAAAATGCGTAAAAAGGAGAAAACAAATTAAAAATAGTTGGAAGTAACATAGTAACTTTTCGACAGAAAAAAGAAAAAAAAAAAAAAAAATTACAATGCGCATAGCAAGAAAGGTAGTAAAGTAAGGCATTTTCTCCACTGCAAGTTATCTAGACATGTAATATCTTCCTTATACCCGTTTCAGAAGGAACTAAAAAATTCGATAGCATAATTAACACTGTCATGAATGTAGTCAACATATATCTTGATCTCTTCATTGTTGTACTGCAAAGATGTTTCAGAATTATCGTTTTGATTTTGAAAAAATGAGGAAAAAAATTTGCTGAGGGAGTGCTGAAATTCATTTTGAAGGATAGAAGAACACAAAGTATTGGCTTGATTATTATAATTTTTAGTACTATTGAAAAAAAAGTAAAAATGCATATTATGTTTCTCGAAATTGTTAGATTGTTGTGTTTCTGTTTTTTTTAAGTTTTTTTGTTTTTCGTTTATTTCATACTCAGATATGTTTGTATTGTCTTTTTTTTTTTTCCTATTGATGATATCATCATCCTTAATTTCGTTTTGGGAATTTTCCACAGAAATTTCGCGTATTATGCTGGCTTCTGAATCCTGTTGAGTTTTAACAGAGCTTGAAAATTTTTCTTTTCTTTTTTTTCGTAGTAGGTATAAATAATCTACGAGAAATAGATCATACTTAAAAAATTCCTTGTGAAAATAGTGGTACTCTTTTATATATATACATAAGTATAATTTGTGTAATATATGAATATTAATCATAAGGGGGTGAATAAATATATAGCACTTTATTAATTTTATTAAATGGTCTAAGTTCCTTAATTCACTTTTTATTTTTTTATACAAGTTCTTAAATTGCATGATCAGATTTTCTTTCTCTTTATTATGGTGGATGGTTATGTACTTATTTATGTCATTATTGTTTAGTATTTTTATCATTTCCGTGACCATTACCAGTAGTTCTGCATATAGGTAGAAATATTTTTTATTATTTTTTTTGTATGTTATTTCGCTTGTGCTGTTTTCATATTTCTTTATTTTCATTGCGAGGCTAGTGTTTTCTTCAAAATTGAAACTTTTGAAATATTCATATATTTCGTTGAGAATGTATATAAATACAAAATATATATTTAAGTCACTCGAAATACAAAGTATGCATTTTTTGAAGGAGTTTTTATTTTTTAGTAGTAATAAATAAAGATGTAAAATGGAGAATTTTATTAGAAGTAAGATTTCTTTACTTTTTTTCATTTTACTATTTTGTAAAAATATTAAGTTGAACCACATATTTTCATTTTTTTCAAAAGTAAATAACAAATTTATTATTCTTTCATCAAAGGACGAGTTGAGAAAACAGGAATTAAAAAATATGATTATATAGTAGGTTTTCAGAAGACATGGATCTTTTTTTTTTATATATTTAACTAACACATTGGCTAATTTTAAAATTTCATTTTTATTGTCAATAAATATGATCTGATAGCTCAACAATTGTAGAATCAAAACGATTAAGTGGTTGTTTTGTTCTATTTCCACTTTAGATTTGTTCACATTATTGTCAAGTTTATTGATAATGTAGTTAATTAAAAATTGTAAAAATTTACTTTTACTAAATTCGTTACTTAATTTTTTAATGCACAAAAAATAGGTGATTTCTCCAATATCATGTCTTTTCCTATTTTTTAAATTATCAGTAGCGTATTTTATTATATTCATTTGGTTCTGTCCAGAGGTGGTGGTGGTGTATATATCTTCAGCTTGTTCTATCACATTAAGTGTATTTTTATAAAAAGAAAAGTCAAAAAAATACGAATTTGTGATTATTAAATAGAATTTCAAAATAACAGAACAAAGGTATGTTCCCTTTTTATGTTCCATGAGCTCTTTTAAATAATTGTTCAGGATGTCCAAACAATTTAACGTATTAGAACAAAATTTGTATAAGGTAAAAACGTCATATATAATAAAACAAGATAAAAAGTTAAAGAAATAATTTATGTACATATAAGACAAATATCCAATTTCTTTATTTATATGTGGCATACTGTTTTCGTTTAAAATATTTATTTCATTTTTCATATTATTGTTCATGTATAAATTGAATGAATTCCATACAGATTCTACAATATGTGTGTTCACAAGATATGCAATTTTTTTTAAGAGGGTAGATATATATTTGTACTTAAAAATTAGTGATGAAATATTGTTATATATTTGTATTATTCTGAAGCAATTTATGGTATACAGAAATAGCAGTTTTTTATTTTTCCTCAGCTTTTCAATTGTGGTGCTCATTATGTGAGCATCTGATTGGGTTGTTTGTTCAGATTCTTCTGGTTTGTTTTTGCTATCGATCGGAGGTTTTGCATTAGGGGAATTCTTGTATACCTCTTCGGCAGCTTCGTTGTGCACATCTTTGTTGATTTTTGCTCTTCCCATTTTTTCTTCTCCACAGTTTGCCTTTACGCCTTTCACTTTTCTACCATTTACTTCACTGCCCTTCACTTCACCGCTCTTCACTTCTCCACTTTTTACTTCTCCACTTTTTACTTCTCCACTTTTTACTTCTCCTGCCTTCCCCCTTTCTCGCTTTTTCCTTCCCTCTTCCCTTATCCTGGCAAGGGCCATGATTGCTCGAGAACATTTCTTATTCTTCGAGGGAGGAGAATCGTTTATTTTTTCTTGTATACTTTTGGTGAATTCGTTTTTAGTGCATTGAGTGAGAGTATCTTGTGATTGGCTTTCTTTCGTCATATTTTTCAAACATTGATTTAATCCGTATGGAGGATGTTCTTCATTGAAGTGCGTTTTTTTTTTTTTTAAATTATTTTTTTTTATCATTTGTACAAATTTCAAATGTATATTTAAAAGGTCTGAATTGTAGAAGGTGGTTAAATGTTCCAAAATATGTCTTGCTATTTGCATGAGAATATTTTCTTTTATTTCATAATTGAATGAGTAATAATCATAAAAAAATAAAAGGAAGAATAAAATAATATTAGTTGTTATTTTGTTTAAAAATGTTTTATCATTTTTTTTAAAATGTAATTGAAAATATGCTAAGGTGTCATTTCGATGTATATCTTTATAATCTTTAGACAATGTCTGATTCAACAGAATGTTGTCATTTTTTTTTTTATTTTCATTTTTGGTAGTATATTTATTATCATTTATGATATACAAAATAAATAAGTAGATATTATTATTATGAAATATGTTACGAAGTACCACATTTTTTATATTTTGATCTGTATAATTTTCTAAATTTTTGTTCCAATTTCTTTTTTTCATGTTTATTAAAGTTTGGTAAAATGTGTCTACTAATGTATCATCTGCTCTAATTGGAATGGTACTTTTTTTTTCTTTAACAATATCCATTTGTTTGCTTTTCACATATATAATATTTTGAAAAAAGGAAGGTAAGGTCAAGACATTTTTTACTTGCGTAAAAAAAATATTGTACAATTCGTTTAAATATATATATATGTAGGAAACAAATATGTACAACAAATTTTGAATCATAACTTCATTTTTTTTTTTTTTTTTATTTACTTCTTCCTTATATTTTAAAACGTATTTCAAGTATTCCTGTATCATTTGATTAAATTCATCATAGAATTTTTCATCTTTTGACAACAGTAATGCTAATAAATTTTTGTCTTTGAAACACATACTGACGATTAGAATGTAGTAGTAAATTTTGTCATATATAAGTTCCAAGTTATTTTTTTTTTTCTTTTCCACTAGGAAATAATTGAGGAAATGATTTATGTAAAAATGATTATCATGGCTTAAGTTTTGTGTGAACATGATACGCTCCCTCTCTACGTGCCTTTGTTGGAAAATTCCTAGTTTATCATTGCTAATTACGTTCATTTGTTTAGAATTATTTTTGTTTACTTCATCTTGTTCGTTTCTGCTGTCATTACTAATGCTGCTGTTTGTGATGTCATTTGGTTTTTTTGTTGCCATGTCTGTTTTATGCATATGCTTTTGAGGAATGTTAATTCTGGAACTGGTATATTTAGTGTCTACGTGTTTAGAATTATTATAATTGACAGAATTATTCTGGTGGAGGGTCGTATCGCTTGTACTTGTGCTCGTTCGGCTAGGATAGTCATCCTGGGGAGGCCATTCTATTTTATTTTTGTAAAAATATATTTCGTACTTTTGCAGATTATTCATTGCTTCCCTTTCATCACAAAATAAGAGTTTTATGAAAATTTTGATAAAATATTTTTCCAGGATTTTGGCTTCTTTTAAAGTGCGAAAATTTATGTAAATATTTTTTCTACTTAAGTAGTAGAAAATTTGTTCACACAGAATTGATATATTGTCCTTTTGGTTATTTTCCTGGTTTTTCTTTTCATCATGTGGATGTTTTTCATTTCCATTTAAACAGAAAAAAAAAGGGAAATTGTCTAATGAAAAGCTCAGAAATAGTACAATGGATAAGAACAAAATTTTGATTTCTTCACAATGAGTACAATATATGTCAATCATAGAAACATAGTTTGGGTTGGCCATTTTATTCTGTTGATATTTGGAAATTTGTCCTTTTATTAAGTCATCTTCCTTGTTAAAATAATAGTTACTTGGATGATCATAAGTCTCATCCTGATCTACGTTCATGCAATTTTTATACTTACTTATCGAGTACTTATAAAACAATTGACAATAATTTTTATAAGCATCTTCCTCTCTCAAAAAGTAATTGTGTTTGTTCAATGTGTTTTGTTGTTCCTTATTTGTGTCTCCATTACTTCCCTTTGAAATTCTGTTATCAGTCTTAAAAGGGGGTAGAAAATCATTACAAATTCGAATATTTTGAATATATATAGCATATTTTAAAATAATAAAATAAATATTCTTTACGAATTTACATATTTGTTTATCAGCTTTGTAATATTTTAAGAAATGAACTAATATTTGCTGTTTTGAATAATGGGAACTTTTTATAAAATGTTCTTTTGAAATTTCATATTTTAATACTTGAAGTGTATATTTAAAAAAAAGGAGTAACAATTGAATATGCAAACATTCAATAATTATGTCGTTGTAAATATTACAGAACTTAGTCAAGATGTTCACATATCTGTTTAGGAAAACATGTTTGAAGGTATGCAAGTTTCTGGTTCTTTTGAAGGAACTCCTAGCATTATTGTCTTCAAAATTTGGGGAGATTCTTCTGACATCTCTCTCAGTGATACAGTTGTTGTAATTGCGTTTGTGCATGCTTATGTTTAGGTTGTTATTGGAGTGTAGTTCAGTTCCACTACTGCTGTTCACTTCACACTTTGCTTTTTCGTTATCTTGAGAATCTTTTTTTTGACTATTTTCTGGTACCCTTTCTACCTTTGCTCCATGGATGAAGATCGTATAATCATGGTGTATTAAGATATCCATATTTATGTATGATATGTCATGATTAACTAAATGCATGTCGAAGAAATAGCCCTTTCTCATAATTACATGGAGCATGCACAAAATGTTTTTTAAAAAGTATATGTCTAATTTGAGATAATCCTCTTCTTGATTTTGAAACGTGACATTTTCTACATTGATGGTCTTTTCAATTTCGTACACATTTATTAGGTTGGAGTAAATGTTGTTGCCGCTAGGGTTTGCACTGCGCTTTCCACTGAGGTTGTCGTTTGTGCTTATCTTATTTTCTGAGATTGTTTCTCTTTTATTCTTTTTCTTTTTTTTTGTATATTTAGAAAGTATGAAAAAAAGAAAATTAACTAAAATGGAAAAGTTTTTACTTCTCTCTGTTTTTTTACTCCTTATGCGCCTCTCCTCTTTTAGCAACATTGGGTTTCTTCTTTCTTCGTCAGGTACGTCGCAATTGGTATCATCATCAAGATCAATAAAATTTTTTAGTGGATCCATAAAATTAAATTTATTACTACAATCAATATAATTATCGTGAAAACTGTTCTTTATTCTTATATAATAGTTATCTAGATCCAGAAAATTGTAGATGATATTTAAAGCAAAACAGGAAATTTTATTCTTCAAAGTTGTCGTAGTAACTGATGTGTACAATAGTTTGTAAACAAAAAGGGAGAGATCTATGTTTTCGTCTAACTTGTATATTTTTTCTTTAATATGTGTTTTCTTCTGTAATATTAGATGAATGTATAGGCATATATCGAAAATGGCTAGAAAATGTTTCAACAATATCAAGTTTGCATGAACTGACCTGTTCAGGCCAATTTGGGTACTCTCACAATTCGCATAGTTTTCTTCTTTCCTATTCACTGTCAACTGATTGTACATAAAAAAAAGAAGTTTGTTTAAGTAAGGAAACACAGTGCTGTAAACTAAATTTATGATATTAACTATTTCGTCGTAGTCATTTTGAAGGAGAGAATATATGTGCTTATTTGGAATATTTCCCGAACTTGTGTTGATAACATTTTGTTTCGATTCTTTTCCATCATGAAATTGTTTACTGTGTTTATGAGAGAATTGCTGATCTAGTTGTTTATCACACTGTTTAGAGAACTGTTCTCTGTCCTTTTGATTATAATGATGTTCCTGATTTTTCTCGTGTGTAAAATGGGAGTGATCTTTTTCTGTATACAACAGCTGCATGTAACAATTATTCAGGTAGGAAAACAATTCATTCAAATTATAGATGTATGGAAAGTTTATTTCATTATCTGTGCAATCATTTAGTGGTGGTAGGATTTTTAACACTTGTAACAATTTGTCAATGTAGGAGGACCCTTTTCCTAATATATATTTTGTATTCAATGTCGTATTTAAAAAAAGAAAAGAATTTATATTTGCTATGGGGAATGTTATAGTTTCTGATTTTTCATTAGATCCTCTTCTTTGGTTAAAAATAGTTGTGCTACCACTTTTATGATGAATCGAGTGTGTTGTGCTGTCAAATGGTTTACTACAAAGGCTTTTTGACAAATAGTAATATTTATTAACAAATAGGAAGAAGGACCTAAATATATTATCACTACTATAGTTTCCGTAAAAGCAGAGTTCCTTTTCTTTTTGATTCAACTTAGAATCATGGAACGTGTGCAGATAAGAATACTTAGTGGAAAAGAAAAAAAAAGATTTTAACTTTTTAATATTTAGAAGAAAATTGTTTGGGTGTAACTTTTTATAAAGCCAAAACGGAAGGAAAAATATTATTTTTTTTTCTATATGAAATGATGCTTTGTTTATATTATCCAGTTGATTCGGAGGCTCATCATTTTGTGCGTATTTATTTTTCCCTATGTGCCTATTTCTATATAGATTAAAGAATTTGGTGCTATATTTTTGCAACCCGTAAAAATTTGATAGGTCTTCCCTTTCGCTACATGAGATGTGTACATTGTTGCTATTATCTCTGTAATACCCTTTGATGTGTTCTACCTTTATTTCGTTTATTAGAGAATTTTCTAGTATGTTTGTGCAACTTTGTCTTGGTGAGTTTATTTCTTCAGATATTAGATTAATGGTGTTTTCTTCCTTTTCAGGATTCATTTCAATTTCACTTTTTCTATTTTTGCAGTCTAATAGCAAATGTGGTTCTAAAAATATCCTGTGCTTATTTAGTAATAAAATGTTTTGGTCAAATATTAAATAAAAACTTAAGCTAGTTGATAATGCTTTTATAATATCATTTTCGTAAAAAAAAAAACAAAATATGTGAGACAAGTAAAAATACTTCTCTTTGTATATTCTTTTACATACATTGCTATTCCTACAATTAGTAATGAGGAGCAAAATGATTATTTTTAAGACATATGTAAATGATTCAATATTATTTGTATTCGTTTGATCTTTCGCTAAAATTTCTTTTATCAGTTTTGTGTATAGAATTTGTATTTTTTCATAAATTGAAAGAAGAAAATCGTCACTGTTGTGTAAATCTTTCATTTGTTTTTTATCTACTGGGATTTTCCTTATATGCATATTGCTTGTTCTGAATTTTGCATTTCTTTTCAAAATAAATGACATTATGTGATCAAAAAGATGTATGGGAAATTCTTCCCTATTAATGTCTATGTTTTGAAAAGTTTGAATGATTACCGCTTCGTCGTTTAGATCATGATTAAGTATAAAATGACTTATGTAAATGTTTAATATATTTGTGCTAAACTTCAAGTCACTTGAGAAGTTAAACGTATTGTTATATTGTTTCTGGTGATTTTCTTTTTTTTGTGCAGGCTTATATGAATAGTGGTTGTGATGATCTTCTTTTCCTTTCAGTGGAGATTCATTTTGTCCGTATATATCCAAGTCCACGATTCCTAAATCGTTTTTTGTTTCTCCAGGATTGATAGCAGTGCATTTTGAAACACTATTTTTTGAGACGTTTTCCACCTTAGTGAATTTTATTCTGAACTGGTGATGCAGCTTCCACATTATTTTAAGTGAAAGGATCCTCTTTTTTTTCTTTCTTTGAAATAGAAGGAAGTACAAATTGTGAACATTTAAAAATACGTTTTTGTAGAAATAAAGGAGGTTGGTTATTGATTTCGAAGTTGTTCCATTTTTCATGTTATCAGCATTGTTTTCATTACTATCGCTAACATTATAGTATGCGAGAATAATGGGAGAAAAATAATTGACATACAAAAAGTCGAATGAATTGTAAGTTTCTGGCTCAAGTAGCATTATGTATTTCTTTTTAATGTAGTATAAAAAAAGTAGAAGTTTTGAGAATATTTTAATATTTGATAAGAGCATTTTTTTTTCATGTATATCTTTGTCCTTGAGTGAATCAAAATGAAGTTCTATTCTTTTCTTAACATTTTCAAGTATGAAAAAGAGATAATAATTTCTTATTTCCTTTTTGCTATATACACACAATTCGTATATAATGTCAATAAATTCGTAAATTAGGAAAGAGGGTATGTAAAAATCTGGAGAATATTTGTTCATATTATTGGTATAGAAAGTAGACGGATCAAATAGATCATTATTAGTGTAATTATTTATCTCCACTTTCGTGTTACTATCTAAATTGGTAAGGACTATTTGAGACGTTTCTAATGTAGAATATTTGTGTTGGTCACATTGGTCAATATTTTTGTTTGAATATTTTTGACAATTATCTTTCGCCAAATTTTTTTTTTCTTTTCTTTCTTCCTCTAAATATATATCGTATTCATTTTTTCCCCTTTGAGGAAAAGCGTGAGTAACATATTGTGTGCCCAGATATTCCTTGGGGATTTCTTTTTGGTTTTTCTCACCCGGGTTGTTAATTATGGTGTGGAAATTATTATTGTCCATTTTATTATTTTGTTCATAGATCATATGTTCCATATGTGTATTTTCAGAGATGATTCCATTTTTTACATATTTGTCTAATTTGGTGTTATGGAGAAGATTGTTCTGATCAGACATGGCCTCCTTATAATTACCGTTCCTCATTTGGTACTGAAAATGGCTGAATGGATAGTGCACAAATTGAGTATTATCTGTTAAGTTATTGTTTTCCCAGTGAAGCGAACTCTTTTGATGATTAATATTAAAAATAAAATTAAATAAAAAAAAAATAATTTCTGTATTGTAACTATATATTACCGAAATAAGGTTATGTAGAAGGAGAATAAAATTTTTAAACAATTCGATGAACTTGATATTTTGTGGAATATTTTTTTTATTTTCTGAATGGTGATTAAATGTTAGTATGTACATTTTATTTTTGCATGCGCTTAATTTGTCAACAATAAACTGATACATGGATATGTTTTCTTCTTTATAAGATTTCACATAATTTGTAAAATTGTTATACTCAGATGTTAGCAGAAAGAGAGAGTTAAATAACATTCTAAAATTATTTTCTACTACTACTTTGGTAATTTTCTCAATAAAGTGGGAATCAAAAGGTAGGTTTTTCACTTGGTTGTCATGAACTATGAGCGATTCTTGAGTTGTAAAATTGTTTAATTGTTTTTTTTTTCCGTTCTCACTGTGTAAAAGTAAAATATTGCAAAACTGTTTTATACAATTCGATGTTGTATTTTCATTTCTATTTTGTGCATCTACTGCTGTGCAATTTTTCACAGAACTTTGGGTGTCTAAAAAGTCTGACGATTTAAATGGTTCCAGAGTTTGAAGAAATACTGCATCATTTGCGTTGATCGAATTTGAAAATATTTCATTAGCTTGGTTGGAGGATATATCTTCTGTTTTATTTGAAGTGTAGTATTTTTCTAGAATTTCATTAAGAGTGGAATAGCTAGTTGGGATGAAGAAAAAAAAGTGGAAAATATTGTTGCTGGTGTTTATAAAGGTAGAAATGTCTGAATGGAAATTAGTGGTTCTTATTCCCGATAGGTTACTCATACCGATTATACCACTTGTGCTGTTTTGACTATTTTTCAAAGACCATGTACCCAATTCTTCTTCTCTATCAATGTTACTATACACAAAGAATATATTTGACAAGGAGTAAAAGTAATGGACTAGGTCATTATACTCCTTATAAATTTCGTAGTCGTAGAAGAAAAAAAACATTTTAAAAAAGTACAATAATTCTATGTGATGAGTGTTTAAATGCATATCGAAGAGAAAAAATTTAAATAGGTCAATTAATTTCGTTTGTATCTTTTTCATTAAAATGAATGATACAGGTGTGTAGTTAATGTATAGACAGACAATTTTCAAGACCTCTACTTGTTTAGGAGTGTATTTGTATGTTCTGCGATATGAAGAATTACTAAACATATCAATATTTTCAAATTTATTTTTTTTTAAATCATTAGACGTGTTGGAAGAGGAAGACGAGAAATTGTTTAACTTGTTAGTGGTTAAATTTTTGGAAATATAGTTACTATTTTGAGTCTGATTCTGTTTTGACTTTTTATTTCCACACCCTCTAAAATTGTTTTCTTCGATGTATTCAATGAGAATTTCCAAATGTGAATTTATTTTCCTATCTGATTCACTAAAGTAGTGCAATAATATATTATACAAAAAATCGTAAATGATGACAAAGTGGTCTATGTGAAAATTAAGGATAGAGAAACTTTTATCTATGGTACTAATTTTGGAGTGGGAAATTTTTAATATCTCTAGCATGAATAAAATTAAAACTTTAAAAATATAGGTGCAGTTATTTTTTGTTATGAATAAATAGTAATACATATCGTTCTCATTAAAATGTGAAATGGCATTATCATCTCCCGTTTTTCGAAGTGCCCTTTCTTCATTTTTTTTAAAATAAAATGTATTTATATTATTTATGCTATTTATATTGTTTTCTGATAGTAGGTTTTTTTTTTCCCTTTCTCTGAGGAGTTCGTTCAGATGATCTAGGCTTTCATTGGATTTTTCAATTTGATTTTTTCCAATATAGTTGTATTTTTTTCTACTTTTTCGAAGAAGAAGTAAGTAGAATATATTTTGATTAATTAAGAAAAAGAAGTTATTAAGATAAATACTGTGTATGCTGTTACATAGACATTCCCCCTTTTGATTTATGCTGATATACAGACTATAAACTATGATGTATATAAGGTATGACAAATTGTTGAGAAGGTTATTTATATGATGAAATTCATTTACTGATTGATTATTTTCAACATAATTTTTGTATATATATTGAATATTGTAACTAAGTGTGTATAAAAACTTGTAATTAAATAGGAGTGAATCTTTGTTAAAAATGTATATATATTCATTTAAAATTTTGTTGACTTCTTTATGCATATATGTTAGATCATCTACACTTATTATTTTTTTTATTATGTTCATTCCTAATAATTCGAAATAGCTGAATTTCATACTTAGGTAGAAATGCAACAGGTTCATTTTGTTAATATAATTTTTTATTTTATAGCATATGTTTTTGTTATATACATGTTTATTATTTAAGTATGTACAATAGGACATGTACATATTTTCTTCTTCTTTGCTTTTATCATTTAAACTTTTTCCCTTATCACTCTTTATTGAATCGTCCATTTTTTCTATCCCATTTATTTCCAAAAAGTTCCTTTTGAACATGTCAAAGCAGTCGAAGAAATTATATAAATAGAGAAATGTGTAATTATTTAAAATATGAATATAATCTCTTTCGTCAAAGTTGGAATGATTTTTTACAACTCTGGGTATAGACAAGGATCCACAATTAAAATAAGCATATTCTTCCCTTATTTTGTTAGCTTTATGCATCTTATAAGTTAATAACAAATGTATGCTCTTTTTATTCACTTCATTTTTCAGAGAATATAAGGAGTTGTAATATTCAAAGTCATCACTTTTTGAAAAATTGTTTTTTGTAAATATGTTTACGTAGTTATTTTTTTTCATTATTTGACTTATGTTCATTAGATCCTTTTCAGGAATTATATTATCCTCATTGTTGAGTAATTGTACAGAGGCATTCTTTGTGTTTACTCTTTCTTTCTCAAGAGTGTGGTAACCTACCTGTGAGGAAATAATCGTCGGATTTTCGAGAGTGTGATTTTTATTCAATGATAAGTCATTTATATGTCCTTCTTCATTTAATCCTATATCTCCTGATTTCTGTTCATCTTTGTTTTTTTTCTGGGAATTTTTTCTTACATCAACATTTGTGTTGGTTCCAAGAAGATCATCCTCTACATTTTTGCAGCCATCGATCGCATGGTTTTCATCACCTGTTGCATTTTTTACATCTAACATAGATGTACGTTCATCAGTGTCCCATTTTAAGAAATCTTCGCTTTCGTTGGCATTATATGCACGAATCAGTTCTATCAGAATTTTACCTACCTGATTGTATTCATTGTTATTATTTTGTAGCTGCATCTTGTCACATGTTTTTATGCACTTGTCTCCACCTTTTGTATCATTTAACTTGCTCCTGGCATTGTTGAATTTGTACTTTTCTTCATTCTTTTTGAAATGAGATAAGAATTCCTTGGTGAATGTGTATATGCCGAATTCTTCGAATTTTTTTTTGATCTCTTCATCGGTCTACATTTAAACGTGATGTTGGGAATTGAGTGGATAGCAAAAATATTAGTCAGCGATTAAGAGACATATATTTGAATGGATGAGCTTATTGCATAGAATGAGAAAAGTTAAAAATAGAAACAATGCACATAAGACAAAACGATAAAGGAAATATGTTAATTTGTAGCAGAACAGTACAGAAGAAAGAGTAGTTGACGTGATATCCTACGTATAAAATACATGCACAGATATTCCAATGACAAAGAAAAATAATTTTTAAGCAATATTGAATGATAGTTATATTATAATTAAATTATGTTTATTTATAAAAGGGCCGAAAATATATATATATATGTTTTTTTTTTTTTTTTTTTTACCTCTATTATGCGATGAACAAATGTCAAAACGTGTATTAAATTTTTCAGTGGAATAGAACAATTTCTATCATTAATGTATCGTAGGATAACGTCAAAAAAATAGTTTCTTTTCTTAAAGTGTGTTTCGTTTATTATATTTTTTTCATATTTTTGTATTAACATGATCATTGATCTATCTCGAATTTCATCTATATTGTGTCCTAAATTGCAAGGAATGCAAAAAATATTATTGTTGCACTTACTTTTATATGATTTTTTTTTTTTTTTTTAATTTTAATAGGGTTAGTTGTAGAGGAGCCTTTTTTCCTTTACGCTCTGATACTGTCATTTTTGTACGCCCTTTGGGGACAAGCTATTATGTCAACGTTTATGCAAACAGGTACGTTCATGTTTATTCGAACAATTATGTTCATATGTTCATGTGTTCATATGTATATGTTTTGTTTTGTTTCAGAGCATATTTGGTTGTACCTATTTTCTGAATAAGGTTGCTCAGCTTATCGTCGTCCATTTTGAATGATGCATTGAAATGACACAAGATGGTTCACTAAGGAAACAAATGATGAACCGGCAATTGCATCTATGTACATGACCTGTGCATATGAATGAGGTTATTCTCCCCCCAACTATAGTAGTAACTATTGTAAACACTACTAGACAGAAAAAAAAAGGAAATAGGGGAAATGATATATGCTACATTTGTAACTTTTTTTTAACTAATAAAGTTTTTAAATTTTTAAAGTAAAATTCCATTATTATATATTTAGACACGTTAGCTGATAGAACTTTACTTTCATTTTTTCATCTTGTTAAATTGTGCATTTGTTTGAAGAAAGGAAGCATGATACTATGAATTAATAAGTAATATGCTAAATTATAGGGCAGAATAAAAGATAAAAGATGTGTTGCACGTTAAAAGTTATTTGATATGGGGAAACTTATTTAGACAGGGAGTTATGTTTATTTTCAGGATTCATTATTTTATACGTTTTTATTTGTCCGCGGGTTTTTGGTGCTCCTTTGGGTATTTTTTTTTTTTTTTTTTTTTATCTCTCTTTCCGTGCACAGAAACATTTTGCAATGAGAATTTCACACCTTGCATGTCATTGAAAATAATAGACTACTTATATTTCCACCATTTCGATTACAAATAATTTAAGTTTAATAAGGAGTTTTCTGATTACATTAAAAAATGCGGTGTAATTTTTTATTTCTTCTACAATGAATAGGAATTATGTGCTGTCTAAAATGGGTACACAATATAGTATACATATATATATATAATGATAGAGGTATGGAAATAACTCCACTCTTTTTGAAGGAAAGACAGCGTATGAAAAAAAGTTACACACATTTTTTTTGTTTTTTTCCTTTTTAAAAAATGAAACAATGTTAAATTTTACTCCCATTTTTGGTGGTAAACTCTTTCTTGTTGAGTTTTCACTTGAACTCCCATTTATTTTTAAGGCTCCTTGGAGAAACGTGCGCGGGAGAATCCCTGCACGGTTACGTATATATCTGCGCTCTCCATACTGATATTTTTCAAATGTTTTATTTATTTATTTTTGTTTTATTTTTGTTTTTTTTTAAATTTCTTTTCGTTCACATGAAAGGATGTTTCCATGTAAGGGTATAATTTCTCGTTTTAAATCATGTACAAACTTTGATAGTGCACATTTGTGAGTAAAAAAATTACTCAGGTAAAAAGGAATATATGAGAAAAAAAAAAAAAAAAAGAACAATTTGAACTGCTTTGCTATGTTAAAATAATGATGCTACATTATTATGGTCTTCTCGTATACAAAAGATCATTATAGGTTCTTAAAACGGCCTTATGAGGATATATAAAAGGATTGATTTTTTTCGATACGTATATGTGAATTATTTGTGGGGTGTTCTTTTTCGATTGAGTAATAATGGAACAACTTTTGTAACTCTGTTTGCTTGGTTGATATTGCAAAAATGAAATAATGTGTTTTGCTATAATGAGGACGCGAACATTTCGTGGGAATTTTTTTTTTTTTTTTCTCATACGTTAATATATACACATATTAGTACATAAATGCTTCGTCAGTTGTTTCCCCATTTTAAGAGAAAATGAAACAAGCATTCCTTAGTTCTTAGCTGCAAGGTAGGTGTAACGCAGTTAGAGATAATAAAAAAAAAAAATAAAAAAGAACAAATAAGAAATAACAAATAAAAAGAATTACTTTTTGGCAAGAAAAAGAAAGAAAGCAAATAAGAGTAGTGTGAAAATAGTGTAAATGCCTTGTGTACACTTTTGAGTAATATTAGCAAATCTGGAAATATAAAATAAAACTGACGCAAAAAAAGATATATATTAGTTCTTCTTTCCCCATTTGATTTATTCGTCCAGCAGAGGCAAAGCATTATGGGATGTCAATTGGTAAAAAAAAAAAAAAAAATTTAGCTTGCTTATCCTTTTGGTGTTCGTTATTCAGAATTAATGGTTTTTTTTTTTTGGAAAAAAAAAAAAAAAAAGAGAGAAAAAAATGAGGTATGCTTTATAATGTGAGATTATGTAGCACTTCACAGCTGCAAAGATTAAAAACATGATTTTTCGCAAAAATGCAACAGATTCATGGAATATGCTCTCTCCTGACATCGTACGAAAGCTCATGGTGGGAGAAAAAATTCCGGAGTAACGAAATAAGAACTTTTTCGAAACAAAAGACGAGGTAGAAAAATTGGCAGAATGGTTGATGATAACATACATGTAATTCAAAATGACCCCTTAATTATAGTGGATAAATTTCCATACACAAAGAAGAAGGAAAGAATCACAGGTATGTTGGAAGATGCTTATTTTATATGTATGCTCATATACATATATGTGAACGTATATATATTGCTTGTATACGCATTTTTCACAATAGTTCTAACATATAGAGATGCTTAAAAAATTGGGGTTCATGAAATACTATTATAAAGGAATATGTGCAATGAACTCAGATAAGTATTTCATTGATGGTACAGTCTGTGAACCTTTGGTTGTGGTAAGGAATGAGGGGATTTTCCCCTCCACATTCCAAGGAGACGGGCATTAGGAGGAATAAAAACATGTTAGAATGAACACACACTTATCAACAAACATTTTGCAGAGAAGTACACATGAACATATGTGCGCAGAAACATATGTTGGAAATGTGCCCTTTTGCAGACATATGTGGAACATGTACCTGAGTACACGATTTTTCAAAATGTTTGTATATAATGATTCCCCTTTTTCCTTTTCAGGAGAAAAAGAAGAACAAAAAAAAATTACAAAGATATATTTTCTGACGCATTTTCACGCCGATCATTATACCAAGATAAATAAATATTTTCATGAGAATATTTTTTCGTCCACGATAACAAGAAAATTGTTAATAAATATTATTGGGGTTAATGAAAAATATATACACAATTTAAAAATTAATAAGAATTATTATCTTTTCAATTTCGAATTAATTTTTATTGATGCAAATCATTGTCCAGGATCTGTAATTATTTATTTTGGATTTGCAAATGGAACAAAAATCATACACACAGGTGATTTTCGTTACTCCAATATTCACACATTTTTGATAAAAAAACTTCTGAGTTGTAAAAGAAATGAAAAAGATAGAGAAAAAAAAATAGAGCAGTTGAAGGATACCAAATTAGAAGAAAAAATCAACAAGAATGTGTTATCAAATGAACTGAAGAGATACTTTTTCTGGAATGGTGAAAAGTATAACATCCATTTCAGTGGCGGAAATTTAAATATATATAAAAAAAATACATACATTGTAGACATTGAAGAATTCAGATTAGCATATTTAAAAAATATTGAAGATTTGATTTGGGGACTTAAATATGTGGAGAAGGAATTTTTTTTATATGATTCTATTGAGGAAGAAAATTATTTTAACTTTTTTATTTACGTAGAACTGTCTCTATATTTTAATCAAAACGAATTGGACATTATTCTCCTACATGACAATGATAAAATGTTAAATGATAATTTAGTAATTAATAAAGAAAATGTAAAAAATATTCGTTTTGTCTATGGTTGCATTAGAGAAGAGCTAAAAGATAGAACCAGCCATTACAACGCTCATAACATGCCCATTTTAGTGAAAAAGGAATTGTTGAATTTGTTAGATAATAACTTCATGTTGCAGTTTAATAGTCAAAGGGGAAACGAATTTGATAATACTAATTATGAACATGTCAAGGTAAAAAACGAAAAAGATAACGAAATAAATTTCTCACAGAGGAGAACCTATGAACACACAGATGTCGTAGAGAAGCACATAACAAAGGAAATAAAGGAGAGAACGAAATTTCTCACAAAATTAGAAGAATATGAAAGTAGCAAAAAAACAAAGGTCTCTTTTGGTATGAGCGAATCGGATGAAAGCCCCAATTATATAAAGACTATTTACCTGGACACTACATATGCTCTGTCAAAAAATAATTTGTTTGCCCCACAAATGTATTTAATTAATTTTATTATTTATATATGTAAGAGGAAAATACGAGAAGATTCTGCTGCACAGGGGTTAGTGGTAGAGACTAAGAACAAAGCGAACGTTTTAAGGGCAGGAAAGCGAACGTGCATGCATAATTGTAAGAAAGAAGAGGAGGAAGAACAAATAGCTGTAACAAAAAATGAAGAAAAAAAATGGACTACGAATGATGAGATAAAAAACGAATCCGTAGGAGAGAAGGACATGGAAGAAAAAAAAACTCGCAAGGAAATGAAAAGCAAAAATAAAACTTTATTTATGTTTGGAACTTACAACTTAGGAAAGGAAAAAATATACCTTAGTGTGTCTGAAGCATGTAACATGAAAATACATTTTAGAAATGAAAAAAAGAAGACTATAATTGAATCCTTTTTGCAAAATAAAAATATGTTAAGTAGAATAACTGATAATAAGTTAGAAGCTCAAATACACATAGTTGATATTAATTATTCATATATATTTCCTAAAATTGAGAAAAACAAATTTAAAAATTTGATAGACGAAGAAATTGAAAAAGAATTTGATTCTTTTTATTATATTATACCTACAGGATGGGTTAAAAAATATTCCTTTTATCAAAAAAATGACATTTCCATTTTTTTAATACCATATAGCGAACATTCGAATTTATCAGAATTAGAATGCTTTGTAAAATCTATCAAGCCATGTAATATAATCCCAACTGTGTTTTCTAATCCTCAGGAAAAGTTAAAAATCCTAAACTTCTTTAATCCTCATCTTAACTTGCAGCGGGAAGTGTACAATTTTTTAAAAATAACTGATAAAAGCTGTTTTGATAAAAATAAGAAAATATCAAAACAGAACGAAAAGTTGAACAACACCCAGAAAAAAGTTCAAACAGGTAAAATCAAAGTGGAGAAAATTCATAATGATAGCAACCAGCACAAGCTGACGTCGTTTTTTCCGTTCTTAAAAAGGCAAAGGAGGTAACCCCCCTATGAGGAATGCTATCTTGATATAGAATCCTTACTCAAAGTAGATGTAGAATTTCTCACTGATGTGAATTCTTACCTCATTAGATGTGAGAATATAGAATTTAATGCTTCACATTTGTACATTTTATATATCCCAATAGGAGTCCATTTTTATTGGCCTCCTTATATCTACCGTTATTTGCATGCATAAGTATTTTTGTGTATGTCTTTATGATTATCTACTTTAGCACACATGCTAGGTCATAATATATCTTTAAATTTTTCGTCAATATAAATATGACATATTTCTAGTATTCCTGAACAATCATTTTTAATGCCATTGTCTTATTTTTTTCTTTAATATATCTTCCTTTTTTTTCTGTCCTTTTGATTGGTATTATGTTTTGTTGCATGTATTTAAGCCGCATTATTTTTGCATCCTTGAGCTTTATTGCTATTGCTATTAGGATTATTATTATTTTTTTTTTTTTTTTTTTTTTTTTTGGTGCAATTTATTTCCCTGTGCATTAAATACACTTTTTTCAAAATTCCACATCAGATATTTATGGATAAAATAAAAGAAAAAAAAAAAGAGAATGAATGAACATAACTGAGCATAAAAGTAGCTGCAAAAAAAAAAAAAAAAAAAAAAAAAAAGTAATCCTCATTTAATTTTAATAAGAACAGAAAACGTCACTACATAGCTATTAATACGAGTGTTCATACGTATGTATGTATGTGTGTGTTTTTTTTTTTTTCTTTCTTTTCACCCCTTGGGGAATGATTTCATAATTTGTTATCCCTGGACATGGTTGAAAAACTTTGATATATAAAAAAAACATGGGAAAAGGAAAAAAGGATAAAACTCCAAAGAAAAAGGATTTGAGAAAAAAGGAGAAAGTATTTAATACATTGAATGAGGTATTAATAAAGACATCGGGAAGAGACACAAATGGGGAAACTAAATATTTTGAAAAGGGTCAAAATGACTACAAACAAGATGAATTGTCATTAACTTGTGAGGTGCGGGCTGAGAAAATGAATGGTAAGAATATATAAAAAAAAGTGCAAATAAATTCCAAAATGATGAGGATAGAACAATTAGTACAAGAATTTTACTCGTCCTATGAGAGGGGAATGCATAAAAATAGCACATATATCCACATGAATGTGTATACAAATGCACACATACATACCATTTAATCCCCGTTGTATGCAATGCAGAGAACTCAAGAATCGAAATCGCGAGGTGTGATACGGAAGATTATAGAAATGACATGGGGGGAGATAAATGCAATATTATTTCGCCTAGAAATATATGTAAATTAAAAAACTTGAAAAATAATGAAATATTTGAAAGCAATATGCCAGCAACTATGAGTGTAGAATCTCCTTTTGAGAAAACAGATTCCTTAATAATCCACAAGGACAAAAGTTGTTTCCATTTAAAAGGATACAATAAAAGTATTCAATTTTTAGAAGATATGGAAAATTTTAAAAAGAAAAAGCAGAAAATGGACGAAATGGTTATGAATATGGGTAATAAAAAAGAAGATGACGATGTGGATCCAAATAAACATGTGTATCTAAATGATAAAACGAGGGATAAAGAGATGTCGCCTCTCAATGTGCGCGTAATAAAAAAAAAAAAAAAAAAAAAAATCTGCATAAGCTCAATGCTAATATTACTAATGACCTCAATGGCAATATTTTTGGGTAGTGGGGAATAGTATTTGTATATATAAATAACTATGTTTATGAGTAATTAAGTTTTCTGTTTACTCTTCAGAAATTTTCCACAAGTTACAAATTCTAAAATTCATATGAACTCCTTTGTGGCTGCTCCCCTTGGTTTATTCTTTGACTTGATCTAGACGAAATTTTACTTTGCTATTTGGACATTTTACTTCATACCATTTTGCATGATTTTATATCAGTTTACATTGTTTGGTATCATTTTACACTATTTCATATTGTTTTATACTAATTTTTTTTTTCTACCGCTCAGGAAAAAGAAACCTTGTCCTATAAACTGAAGAAGCAGAAAAAGATTGAAAAATAGTAAACATCGTTATAAAAAAAAAAAAAAAAAATGTAAATGTAATAACATAAAAGTTCAATAATTTATTATATCAAATTCTACACTTTCATCTTTTTTCCTCACGTCTTCTCGTTTTCTCTTTTTGCATAAACCATGAACACGAAAAGCAGTAAAATTAGTAGTGAAGAAAAAGAAAAATACATGAAAAAATACATGCTTAAGTTGGAGACACAATACAAAGAAAAAAAAGATGAAGATTTAAAAAAAGAAATAGAAGAACAGAAGGAGGAAATAAAAAAATTTAATGATAAAGAAAAAACATTCCTTAATTATTTAAAAAACCCTAGATTGAATTTGTCGAAAAATGAAGATTTGAATGATTATTTGTCTATTAGTCCGGAGGAAATAGTAAGTTGGAGTTCTACACATGTGTTAAAAGACTTTGCTTTAAGGAACTAGAGAAAAAAAAAAAAAAAAAAAAAAAAAAAAAAGAGGAAAATACGCAATGTGTTATATTATACGAGACATTAAGTATATTTGAGGGAATATATCTCAATACGTATACACATGTACAATGTCATTTTTCACAAAGTGCTTTACAGATGTAACGAAGGACGAAACTCAGATAAGGGATTTATTAATCACAAACAAAGGGAATACCTTACTACATGTTATTATAATACCACCGTCAAAAAAACATTTTTTCATAAAAGACATAATTAATGTGTACAACAAAAATGAAGAAAATTCTAAGAACAATTTAAATAATCAAATTGCCCCGGGACATTCCTTAAAGGTAAAAAAGAAAAAGGGAAGGAAAAATATAATATATGGTAAAAACATGTTAATTAAACCTTGTATGGATAAACACAAAACTTTCTTTCCTCTTTTTCCTTTCTTTCCTTTTTTTTTTTTTTTTTTTTTTTTTTCCATTCCTATTGGGAAGATTAAATTATGTTACAATGTTTTCACCATGAAACAACAACGGGATCAGATAAAAATATTGTCAGAAGCTGGGAATAAAACTATAGATGTATGGATAATTAAAATAAGAAATAATAAGAAAAGATAATATTAAAATAAGGGAGTATAATGGGAAGATTAATATATACATATGTGCGTACGTGTATAGTTTTTTACACTTTTTTTAAAATTTCTGGTTTTTTATCCAGTGGGAAATGTGGCTTTTCTGAGCCATTCCCCTGAATGAACATGTTATGAAATTCCCCCCTTTATTTTTTTCAGATAAAAACGTTTGTTGGAATGCCGAAAATTAGATTCCAGAAAAATTTTAATTTTGGACCGATTCGATCTAACGAAAAGAAAAAAAAATCGTAATAAGATTATTTAAAAAAAAAAAAAATATAAAGAAAGATATATTTGATCATCGAAAAAAATATCCTGTGGAGTTAACAGAACAGTTCTCCTAGCTCCAAACAGATCTTTAACTATTTTGTTATTTAGCTAACTGTTTACCTATGTATTTTATTTCCATTGACTCAGATTTTATATAAAGAACGAAGGGCAGGAAACTAACGTATTAATATTACCAAAGAAGTTATTTAGCTTTTATGAGAAAAGGGAGAAAATTGAAAAAGAGGAAAACATTTTAAACTTGCTTGTAAAAAAGAAGGGGAATTCAAGGGAAATTCGAAATATAGGAGATTGTGGAAAAACGAGCGATGATAGCAAAATTATCGAAATAAAGGAAAAGGAAGATACATATTATACGTTCAATAATATAAAAAGCTATTCGTACAATTTTCTCTTCCTATACAGAAAATTAACTCAAAACTTTGAGGATTTATATTTTGAAAATGTTTTGCAAGATTGCTATTATTTGAGCTTGAAAAATTTAGAAGAAAAAGTCGTTACATTTTCTTTTAAGTAAAAATTATAATAGGAACTTTGCGTTTGTCCATTTCTCATTCTTTCTTCGCAAATGATGTGAAGTCATGGGAGCATCACTTGTTTATACAATTTGATGCAATGTGCAATTACGAATGGGCATGTTACATGTACATTCGTGTATGTGTACTCATGTATTTGCATATATACATGTCTGAACAAACTTCTACTAACGCAGAAGCAACCAAGTGGGAATTTATGAAAAGGACTATCTTATAGTAACAGACATTGAATGCAACTTTGGAGAACTGGAAAATAAAAAAAAATGTGATTTTGTCAATTGGAACCAAATGAACGTTTTTCCATTTTGCATTAAAGCCATTATTGAACCTGTGCTCTTAAATTTGTTACATATAAATAGAAATGTGATAGGTATGTTTTTCTTTTCTTTTCCTTCTTTCTTTCTTCCTTAATTTCTTTTTATTTTTTTTTATGGATTTATTTTTTTTCCCTATATGTTTTAATCTAATATGTAGAAAAATCACATTTTTTTTTTTTTTTTTTTTTTTTGCATTATTTTATGTAGGGAATCTTTACGAACAGAAAGTTGCAGAATATCTACAAGGGGAAAGAAGAGACAACTTAAGTTACTTTTCTTATAGCAACTCTTTAAACTCATATAAATTTCCGGACGTCCAGGTAGCTACATGTTATTCAGCAGTGAAATGTTACATACATAGAGTTAAAAGATGAATAGTTTTAGTTTTTTTTTTTTACTTCCAGACGCTTTACATAAAATTTTCTTCTCCTACGTTTTAAGGTTAACAGCGGATACAATGTCATTGAATTAGAAGTTCTAAACAATGGTTTGATTGATTTAAAAGTATTATGTAGCATATATATAAAGACAAATGTGGATAGAGAAAAGAATAATATATCTTTGGACAAGGAAGACAATGGAATATACTATTATGATGAGGTGTTTGATGCCACATATGCACATTCATTGTATGACAAAGTGGCAGAAGGAAAATTTACATTGAAGGAAGATGTAAAAACAAAGAAGAAAAAAAAATTGTGTCCTATATATATATCGCCCAAAGAGTTCACTTTGTCATATAAAAAGAGACAAAAAATATACATAATTTTTAGACCACAAGAAAAGCATGAAAATTACAAGAATTATTGTTTCGTTTTGGTATTAAAGGATCTAAGGAAAGGATCAGATATAAATATAGCTGATCTGCTTGAAATACAGAAAAATAGAGTCGAGAAAAACGATGGTTTCCCTTTAGTATGTATTAGGGAGAATAAAATAATTAAAAGTAGAAAATGGAACCAATGTTTTGGAAATGATATTTCAAAATATGAAGTCACATCTTCATCAGATGATGAAACTTGTTCAAGTTATTCTGAAATAAGTGATGAAGAAAAATTAAAAAATAGACAGATCAAAATGAAAAAATATTTTAATAAGAAAAACAAGAAAAAAAAATATATCTGCTTCTGCATGAATATTCACGCAAACATAATTAAACCTAAAATATATGTAAAGACGAACAAATTGACAAAATGTTTTTTATTGAATCCGCTTCATCTATTTAAGACCAGTTTTACTATAAAAAATGCTAGTGATTTTTACGTTAATTACTATTTTGAAAAATTAATTAACTTGTCGGATTTGTCTAAAGGGAGAAATGGTATTTTGTTAAGTAAGGACATATGTGTTGACGAGAGGGGAAGAGATGAGAAGGCGGATGATCAAGTAGTTAAAAAGGGTACCCCTAAAAATGATGCCACAAAAAATGATACGGATATTGGTGAGGAAGCATGTAAAAAAAAAAGAGATGATCCTTTTAGAATCAAAGAAAGGTATATGGTATGCTATTACAATTATGCAGATGTGCTGGCTGATATGAGATTGAGAAAGAAATGGGAAGAAAAAGAGATTATAGAAAATAGAATTAGTGGAAGTGGAAGATGTTGCGGTAATAAGAGAAAGGAAAAAATAAGCGATGGAAAAGGGAACAGTTCTAATGGCATCAAGGTAGAGAACATCAAAACGATAGAAAAAAAGGAAAAAATAGATAAAGAAATAGATGAAATATTAAGTAGGAAAAATATGAAACGAGAGAAAAAAACTAGTAGGGAGGTTAATATACCCCCTGTGGATGAATGTTATTATAATTTAAACAAAAGGATGATAAAATATTTCTACGAAATGGGAAACAGTAAAATGGTTACAATGTATGTATTGATCAAAAATTCTGTGAATGAGATTTTTAAAATGGAAAAAGGTGAAACTAAAAAAATAGGAGGAAATTTTCAAATGGAAGAAAGAGCAAAATTGGATGCAGAAAATAGCTTGACAAAAAGGATAAATAATAAAAGTATGAATGTTGTCAAAATTGAAAAAGGAGAATACTGCTTAATGCCTCATGAAAAAAAAAAAATAGTTCTCTATTTTTTAGTGAATCATTATGGATATCACGAAATAAATATGAATGTAGTTTTTTACATGGGTAAATATAAAATAAAAAAAAATGTTAAAGGGAGAATACTAACCAAGTGCAAAGGTGTAGAAATAAGTAGAGATAATTTCATTTTCCGGAATAGTTATTCCCATTATTGCTTTTGCAATATGGTAGAAATTAATAATTTAGACAAAGATTTAAAATTGATAAAGCTCCAACATATTGATGAGAAGAAATATGACTTCATATCTTTGTATATGCTTTATTTATATGCCTTCAAACACAAGGGAAAAAAGAGGAATATAACCAATCGTGAGGATTTATTTAACAATTTTAAAAGAGATGTTAACGAATTTGTAGAAAATGAAATAGACAAGAGGAATGTTAAACAGGAAGGTAGCTTATACAATTGTAACATTTGCAAATGTTCCTTTAAATATGATTGTTGTATTTCTTTTTTTGAAAGTAAGTTTTTGACGTATAATGATGCAGAAAATTATTATTACTACTTTGACAAAGAAAAATATATAGTGGAAAATGTAAAAAGGGATAGCAGAATAGATAACCAGCTAACTGATTATTTTCATTTTAATAACAACTTTAAAGGGATTTATAAATATCACACAGATAAGGATTTATATATACATAACAACAAGACAGAGCACACAAAGAACCTTTTAATTTACCCATCCAATTTGTTATTACTTCCGTTAGGAAAAACATTTTTCCTCTTTTTTTTTTTTCTCCCACACGCGGGAAATATAAGCCTACCTCTCAGCGTAATGAATCAAGAAATAAGCAACACGTGGCGTGTATCGCTATGTAACATTTAGTTGTATTCACAATGAAGTATTTTGAGTAGAACAAAATTAGTACTTTTCTAGCTGTATAAATGAGTAAAGAAAAAGTGGCAAAAAAAAAAAATTACTTTAAAAAAAATAATAAAAAAGTGTCGTAATTTTACTAGGATTATATATTTTATCCGATAGATGGGATGCATGTTTGCAGATTTACAGTACATCATTTTTGTTTTTTTATCTTCCTCCTTATTTTCGAACATATATTTAACAATTCTTTACTTCTTTAAATTTTTCATTTAGATAAATTGGAACGAATTTTATAAAAAAGACATTTTTATTGAGGGAGAGTGCAAAAATGTAAGCATAAAAATCAAACATGATAAGAAATTAGGGGAGACTAACATAATTGATACGAAAAAAGGAGAGAAAAATGAAGACATAAAAGTGCGAGAAAATTATGTAGGAATATGTAGTGATACTTTTCAGATAAAGGTAAAAAATTTAAACGAATTAGATATTTCATATAAAATATTCTACTCGAAGAATAACGAATTTGAGTATAATTATTACAAAAAAAAGTACATGATGATTTGGAATTGTTCTCCCAAATTGGATTACTACTATGAAGATTTTGACTCCTTTATGAAAGTTAATAACATAAAAAAAGCAAAAGGAAAAGGCTTTTTTTTTCAAAGTAATGAAGAATTAAATAATGAAATTTCCACTCTTATAAATAAACACAACATAGATGACACTGAAAATGTAGAAAACATTGAGAAGAAGGATATTCTATTAAAGGGAAAACATTTGATTGAAGATGAACGAATTCATGGGTGTGTCATTATGAATGACTGTTGCTTAAACGAGATAAGAGGAAAGGAAACCAATAGACATGAGTGTAGGTTGTTGATATTTCACGATGATTATATAACGAAAAATAAAAATTTTGTAAAATTGAAATTCTCTATAAATTTGAATTATTTTCATCGTCCAGAGGTTATAAAAGTGTCCTGTTGTTTTTATCGACATACATTTGATTTTATTCTAATGAATGAAAACGATTTATTATTATCTTTATATAGATATATGAAAATGGCTATTTATAATGAGAAATATTATCAAGGGGGAGAGAGGGGTTGTGTGGGAGATGTAGGTACGAAAGAAAATGGAACAGCAACCAATTTGACAGATTCTTTCGTAAACGAACTCATGGATGAATTGGATTTCATAAGAATGCACAAGAACGATAATAAATCATGTGACACAATAAACAATGATTTTGAGAAAATGAGAAAAAAATTTCTTCTTAATTTTGATGAAGATGTATTAACAAAATTTCAAAATTTTATGCAAACAATGGTACCAACATTTGAAGAAAATGAAAAATTATGTCAGAAAACAAAAATGAATAAAGGAGAGAGTTGGAGTAAAGAAATAGAACAAGATATATATTGTACGAATGATAATGAAGGTAGGAAAAATATTTTAGAGGAAATAAATAACGAGGTAGACTTAAATATGAATAATGATTATTCTGATGGTAGTGGTGAAAAAGCGAGCAGGTTGATGGATCAAAAGACAATGAAGCTTATATGGGTACATAAATTGATACATGGACTAAACAATAAAATCTGTTACGATTTTGTTGATTTTGTGAAGAATAATAGGAATGAATTGGTCTATAATGATGAACAGGGGGAAATTATAGGTACACAGGATGGCACAAATGTCAGAACGGTGGAATTTGAAAGGGAGCATGATAATAAGGCATTAAACAGGGGAAAAATTGTACAACAGTTAAATTGTGAACAAATAGAATATAAATTAAAGGAGGAAAAAATTAGTAAACTAAATAGAATAGAAGAGAAAAGGGACAAAGAGAAAGAACGATATCTTCCAAATGAAGGAATAAATTTATTCAAAAAGTATTGTCATGAACTGAACAGAGAAAATGACACCTTATATATAATAATAAACAACAAGAACAAGTTTGATCTTATGCTAAATATTCATTCAGAATCGCATATAAATGATAATTTAAATATTATATTTCATTCCTGCATACATAACTTAATTATGCAAAAGGAATGGCAAGGAATATCCTATTTTATTAATGAACGCAAATTAAACAAGAAGGAAAGTGGTGTGTGTCCAGAAACTGTCAATTTAGACAACATCAATTATGAAAAGTGGAGCAAATTAAAACATTTAAGTGCTGTATATAAAGAAAAAAACGAAAGATACTATTACAATTACTTGAATAAAGTAATATATGAAAAAAGGGAATATTGTTTTAGCTTAAGAAATAATTTTTTTGTGGATTTTTTCCAATTTGAAAATGTAATAAGTTCCATGAAATGTTCATTCATAAAACTCCATCTCTATGCAGATAATGTTAATTTATACAAGGATAAAATAACATTGAATTTGAGCAAAACTGAACAAATTTTCAAAATATCCATTACATCACATATTAAGTCACTCCATTTGTTAAGTCCTTACAAAGAAAAGAAAAATGGAGACAAATATGTTTTTGTTAATTCTCTATTTATAAATAAGGAAATTTTAAAAAAATATGAAGAATTAAGCAAAAATGAAAAAAAGGAAGAAATAAAAAAAATATGTAAATGTTTTGAAGAAATATTAAAACCGTTTGAAATTGTCATATCGAATTCGAGCAATTTGCGAAAAAGGGTTCAGTATAGTTTCAGTAAAATATACTTTGGAAATGAAAAAGATGAACTAGGAAAAAAGAATGAAGGAGAAGTTGGGCCTGGAGAACAAGCAATAAAGGAAAAATATGCTCAAGAGGAATGCAAAGAAGGGAAGCAAAATGATAAAAAATCAAATGAAAATTTTGTAAATCAGAGGAGAGTTGATGAGACAACGGAAGATTCATTCCATTCTTCCGATACAGAAAACAGTATTTGTGAAGGTTGTGGAATTAGGATTGAGAACGAGATTATGTATTTGAATAAAAAGGAAAAAAGAAAAATGAAAATATTTTTAGAAAACGTTTTGCATAAAGAAGGGAGATACGTGTACAAAATTAACTGTAATTATAGTTATGATTATCCAGTGAGTATTGATTCTGAAAATAAAAATGAACTTTATTGTAATATTTTAAATGAAAATTTAAAGAAGAAACTATCTCTACAGTTTTACCTATCGATTAATGTGCAGAAACCGAAAATTGCGCTACTATATAACAGCAAAATGTAATTAAAAGAGGCAATTTTAGTATATAAAGAGGCGTATCGATAAGGATTACGCTAAATGGAAACATAGATATGCAATATGTAGATTCTTGTGTCCATATACAGGAATAGACACGTACGGGTGCATGCATACAAGCACATGGATAAAATAATATTTTCAATAGTGTGACAATTTAGACACTCAAATTGACAATTGTTTAAAATATATAGCGCATAGGAACACTGTTGTTTTCATCATATATATATATATATATATTTATGTATATTTTTTTTCTGTTAGTTCTTATGATGAAAGAGTAAAATTCGATTTTAATTATTTCAACAAGAAGGCGTATAAAAGAATTGATAAAATGTACAAAAATCAAGTTATTAATGATATATTATATGAAGACATAAACACAGTAAATGAATATTTTGATAAAATTTTTTTGAGGAATAAAAATTTGAAGTTACATTTTTTTAACCAACAGGACATTTCTTTTTATTCGTATATATACACGAAGAAGTTTTTTCAAATAAAAAATGTTTCTATAGACCACGAAGAGTTTGATCATTCTAACACGACAATTGTAAAACAAATGAGCACCGTACAATTGATTGTTGCTTATATAAATTTTACATGTGCTTATATTTTTCTTTATGTTACATATGTAGAATTATTTTTTCCATTAGAGGGACTCTAATTGTTCCCAGCACAACTACGTATATGTGTATATTCACACACCTATATACATGGACTTGTACCACAGCAGCCGATTATGACAATTTTGTTACTGTCACGCGTGTATATATATATATATATATGTACATACATAAACGTTCATGTTTGCATATTCCCTTTTTAGTACCACATTAAGAGCAAAAGCAAGGTCTGCATAAAGATAGAAGTAGATGAGATTATGTTGAGAAACGAAACAAAAAACAGTTCACATGGTAATTTGTCCTTGAAAAACAAAATGGATAAAAAATACATATATGAGGATTTTATAACATTTCAGTATTTAACAAGTAAAAAACAACAAAAGTTTTGTATAGAATGCCATTATAACGTTCCCTTTTTAATTATGAAAGAAAATAAGTACTTATTTCAAGAATTTAACAACTTGAAAGGGAAAAACCAGAAAATTGAAAATTGCAAAGAGTTGAGTGATATTGAGAATAACCTTTCTGATAAAATAAAAGGAGGAAATATATTATATAACGAAATTGAAATGAAAAACAGAGCTTATTTTATTTCATTTAACTTTAGTGAATTAAAAATATACAAATTTTGTCTATTTTTATTTAATATGACGAAGATTCCCGCCACTTGGGTCGTAAAGGAGGAGGAAACTTCTAGTGGAGTATTATATGGAAAAAAAAAATAATAATAAAATAAAGAGAAAAATATGAAACATTTTTATTTTACTATAGAGCACATAGAATTATTATTCACATTTCTATAATAAATTGTAAATATTGCACTAAAGTGTTTACACACAGGATGAAATATTGCTTCTTTTTTTTTTTTTTTTTTTTTTTTTACAATACAGATTTCGTACTCTATGAAACGTGGAGATAACAAAATGTTCCACTTCAGTAAAACGAAAGATATATTATTTGGAAAGACATATGACGTAGATAATATAAATTTTGTAAAAGACGAAAACAGGAAAAATCCCTTTCTATTTCCTGATTACATTATAGTAACTTTTACGTAAGTCTTTTTTTTTTTTTTTTCTTTTTTTTTCTATTTTGGTATTTTCCTTTCTCCATTTAATGAAAATAATGATATGAATATATATCCCCCTTGTTAATAATATATAGACCAACAGGAAAAAGTGATGTAACAAAAAAATATTGCATTCAAGTGGCTGACGGTGAACAGGTGGACTTTTATTTAAAAGGAATTTATATACCAAATAATGATGAACAGACTAAAAATTGTTAAAAGTTTGTAAGGGGATAAAACAAAAAAAATAAAATAAATTGAATTAAAGAGTTCAAAAAGTGAAATAAAATGAGGCCAAGTGGTAAGGTGAAAAATTGGTTACATGGCAAGTTGCCATGTTGAGTAGTAGGGAAAATGAGCAGATCAAAAAACTGTTCAGTAGGAGCGAAGTAGCTTTATTATTATTCAAAAATATTTTGCACAGATTAAAAAAAAAAAAAAAAACTGTTTATTTGTGAATATAGCTATTTTTTTTTTTTTTTTTTTCTAATCTGGAACATTTTACATGAACAGTTATGGGTTATTTTATTTTTACTTTACTTTTTTTAGTTGATTCATTATAAAACTATCTTTTTCCTTTTCAAAATTTTATAAAAGTAAAAATTTTTATTGGTAATTACTGTTTCTTATAGTTAACGGTTTATTGAACTACTAAGATTATTAATCCTTAGTTTTTTCTTTGTTTTTTACTTTTTTGGTCATTCGAATCTTTCTTTGTGTTGTCCCCATTTTGCGGGTAGTGAGCCATGGATGGTCCGGGCAATATTTTGTTGTAAATATTATGAATGTAACTATAGACGTCTTCTTCCTTTTTATTCGTCTTTATATTTTTCATGTTTTTTTTATTTTCATTTAATGTATGTTCATTAATTTCTTCGTCAATGGAGCCAAATAGATCTGGTCTGTTAATAACAAAAAGTGATAAATTACCTTCTATATCTTCAAGGGGTGTGAAGGATGCTTCTTTCTTTGCCTTTTCATATAATTTATCTTTTTGTTCCTTCCACTGTGGATCCAATAATAACGTTTTCAAATGTTTCGTCATATCGTTTATGTCAACTGGTTGATTTGTAATTGGGCACAAGTGCATATTTTGATTATTTAATCTATGTTTTTTGGATTTTTCGTAATTCTTTACAACTATAATTCTTTCTTCATTATCATCGTCGTCATCGTCTTCGTTGATGCTCTTTTTATCTGCAGCTTTCTCTTCATTTGGTGCGTTATCACCTGCTGGTCCTGTATTTATTTCATCCATTTTATGTCCTTTTTGTGTCTTCTTGATGTATTTTTTACCTGTATCATCATTATCTTTTTCTTGGGAACTATCGATAGATTCCTGTTCATATTCATTATTATGATATTTACTTTTCATTTTCCTTATATCTCCAACTTCTTCTCCTTTGTATTCTTCCTCTCCTTCTGCTTGATCCGTATACTGCTTATCCGTTTCTGCATCATAAACCTCATTTTCCATGTGTTCCGTCATGTCTTCATCTCCGTAAACGGTTTTATTTGCATTACTATCATGATAAGAAATGTTTTTTATTTTTTCCAAATTGGTGTATTTCTTATCTGTATCGAACAGCTGACTTAATACATAATTCTCTACATTATTAAAATCAATTGATTGGGGAAGACAATCGGCATCTTCGTCAAAGTTAATTGTTTCAACAACGGAGAAGTTTGACCAATCGTAGAAGGTATCACATTTTCCTTTTTGTTCCATTTTCCTTTCCTCTTCTTCTTTTTTTTTCATATTGAAATTATAGTAACTATACGTATAGTTTATAATATAACTTTTATTATTTGAGTATTTTTTTATTTTATTCATTATGTCATTATTTGGAATTAAGCATTTAACATATATATCGATTAGTTTCGAAAAATAGCTAAAGTATAAATTATTTGCTCTCAAGAAATCATATTGACTATTATTTTTTTCTCTGTCTATAAGTTCATTTAAAAATTTATTTCCATTCCTTGCAACAAACAAAGCTGTTGTTTTAATTAAATCTACATCCACAGAACTGAGTAATGGGGATATAAGTGTGTAAATGTCTTCCTTTATTTCAATGTTCTCTTCCTTTTCTTGTGTGTTTTCCTCATTTACTTCATCATCTATTGAATAAATAATTTTATTTTTTTCTTGTTTATTATCTTCTTTTATAAAATCACATATTTTTAATATGTGTTCATTATTATTTGCTTTATTTAAATCTTCTCTTTTTTTTATTTCTAGAATAGCCCTAGGAACTATATTTTTTTCTTCGCCTCCTATAAACAGTTCATGTAACTTGTACTGATAATAATAAAAATACGGATGTGTGGGGTTTATAAAACTGAATTGTTTTTCCTTCTCCTTATATATTTTCTGTTCGAATATTTTTCCATTCTTTTTAACAAAAACAGCTGTCTTGTCAATAACACTTTTCATGCTATTTGGTGGCAAAATCATTTCTCCCCCCAGGAAATTTAGTCTCTTTCGCATAACTTCATAATCATTAACATCCACATTATCATCAAATAAGCTTCCCTTAACTGCCACCTTTTCCATTTTTCATATATATTTTGGTACTATGTGTATGTCGTGTTTCTCACTTTATTTTGTTGATATTTTTCATTTATTAGACCTTGGTTTATTTTGAAATTTTGTTCTGAGTTGTTGGTTTTTTTTTTTTTTTTTTTTTTTTTTTTTTTTCTGTATAGAACAGAATGTTTTCTTCCCTTATAGGGCTATTTGAAAAAATGCGTTGTATAATTAACGTTACAAAAAAAGAAATATACAATAATGACTACTATATGCAAATGATGCGTATACAATAGAGTCGAATATTTTCATGTATCTTACTTGTGCATGTAATAAACACACTTTTGAAAAGTCTTTTTTTCGTAATTAATGAAAATAAAATAAAAAGGAGATAATATATATGACAATTCTTAGCGTGTTTGGTATTTTGTTTAATTGTATGCAGCTTCTTAGCTTCTCACGTGATTTCATTATTTTAGCAGCCACGCACTGAAGCATGCTTGATAGTGAAATGTAATAGGGAATGAAAAACACAGTTTTGCATAAGTAACATAAATATCAAAACAGAAGTTCAAATATTCGTTCATGGAGCAGGAAAAAAATGAATTGTCAATTTTGCAAATGATGCTATTGTCATGTAATGAACAATCGGAAACAAAATAAATTAATTTTCTTTTATATTAAAAAATTAATTTGAAATTGAGAAAGGATATTTTTGTAGTAAATATCACTTTACATGCTTTATAAACATTCTACAGCTTCGTTAGGTAAAAATTGAACACCAAAGAGATAAAATTAAAAAAAAAAAAAAAAAAAAAAAAAGGAAACAAAATTTGCGTTATTGCGTTAGCGCATGAAATGTAAAGTATTGCATGTATATGTATACATTCACACATAAAGATATTCATGTACAGTATGCATTTTTATGGTTTATGTAACATTATTTTTACAAAGCATTACGATTTATGCGCGTATTTTTTTTTCATATCACTCTTGTTCAATTGCATATTTATGTATATATTTTTTCCTGAATTTTAGTGAACGGAAGAAATCAAAATACACAACAAAATAAATTTTTATACTACTGGAAGAAGGAAAAAACACTAATTTTGCATAACTATTTTATAAAACACACTGGTTTCATTTTACTTTTATAATAGTTTTTACTTTATGAACACTTATTATGGCATTACTTCAAGAAAGGACATGACTTTTCTCACTTTTTGTTCTTAAACGAGTAAATATGTATGAATATACATATTACATTTGTGCCTAGAACTTATTAGCCACTGCATGTGAACACTTTTTCTGTTTGTTGTTCCTTTTCTCTACGTAATCATTTGTAGGTATATATTTCCGAAACGAGTGAAAGTACTTACATTTACCAAAACGTGTTATTTTAAATGCGTACAAATTTATATATGCATATATATGTATGAGCATATAAGTACACACACATTCCTTACAACATGTATTAATTTTTATGTACATAATATTTTGAAAGGCACTTATTAACATTAAACACACTTTTTGTTAGCAAAAGCTTATAGCCGCATAATGCCCTATTTGTGTTATTAGATTTAATTTTCCCATGATGTTTAGATAGTACTACGAGCAATGCAATTTCACTTTGTGTCATTTTATGAGATGTACAATTTTTTGTAAGTAATTAAGGCAACCTGTGTATGTAATTTGAGACTTTTTTTTTTTTTTTTTTTTTTTAACTACTTTAAAAAGGTTTAAAGCATTGTAAGTAGTAACAGAACAGAATATTACACGCACATTGAATGTGTAATTTTTTTTTTCGTAAAAAAGGTTCCTTTTTTTTTATTTATTCAATTTTTATTTATTGAAATTTTTACTTATTCATTTAATTTGTTATTATTATCATTATTATTATTATTACTATTATTACTACTATTACTATTATTACTACTATTACTATTATTACTACTATTACTATTATTACTACTATTACTATTATTACTACTATTACTATTATTACTACTATTACTCTTATTATTACTACTACTACTTTTATTACTATCATTTTATTTTTATTAATAATACATGTATATATAAGAATTATGTAATAAGGATGGATTCGTATGAAGCTAAAAAGAAGGAGCTGTATTTAAAGAGGAAAGATTTAAATTTATATTACCATCCCATCAAGACGACAAAACTTTTTATTTTAGAACTGAGAAATATTATTAACAACACATATAAAAAAAATAAAAAATACAATAAAGTAATACTACTATGTATAACACTAATATTGCTTTTATTTAAAATAAGACATAAATATGAATATCTAAACAATTTTTTAATGTATATAGAATGTACAATATGGTGGTTATCATTAGGAGTTTTAAGTAGTATTGGTTTAGGATGTGGTATGCACTCAGGAGTATTATTTTTGTTTCCCCACATTTATTTTATTTGTTCAACTTCTGAATATTGCAATTCGTTGAACTTCGATTCCAGGGTGAATATGTGGGGATCTTTGCTAACGTCTGGAAACTATTTCGAGGTAAAATGGGAGAGAGATATAAAACGAAGGAAGATTCGAAGTCCAAAATAAAAGAGATCATGAAATGAAAAAGGAAAGAGAGTGAAATAAAGAAAAAGCTATGCGCTGATGGGAAAATATGCTTCAATTATTATGATCTCTAAATTTTGTTACACGACCGATGTTGTTGTAAAAAGAATTATTTACAATATGTTGTATATGTATATATAAAATTATTAATATCATTTTTCATAATTTTCCTCCTTATGCAGTGTATAACTAAAAACGACAACAATGTAACTCTGTCAAGGTTATTTATTAAAGTATATCCATTTTGCCTTGTATGGGGGATAGGAACTGCATTGGGAGAATTACCACCATATCTTACATCGTACTACGCATCCAAGGTAAAGAAAAAAGAATTGCGTGCATATAGGAATACATACCATATTGTGTATATTTTTTATAGTGAAGAAATAAAAATAAAAAAAAAAATGGATAACTCTATTTCATTCATATATCGTTTATATATTTTTACATTTTATCCCCCTTGCTTCTTCACTTTTTAACAGTCCAAATTGAATGACGATGATTATGAAGAATTCGAAAAAGATATAAAAGAAGGGAAAAAGAATATAATAACATCGATGAAAATTTGGATGATTGATTTTATTAAAAAGCACGGTTCCATTTCTGTTTTTCTTTTATCATGTTGGCCAAATGGTATAAAATGCATTCTTGTGTAATTGTGGATTACACATATATCTGTATGTGGCCTTGTTGAATTCTTTTCTTTTATAAATGATAATGTATTTTCCGTCTTTACATTTAAATTGTACTTAATATTTCTGCATCCTGAGTACCCCTATGACAGACAAATATATTTACAAGCAACAGACCTAATATTTTTTGTATTCATCCTTCTACTTATTTTTCCCCTTTTTGCTTGCAGTGATGTTTGACCTATGTGGAATTTGCTGTGGGCATTTTTTGATGCCATTTGGAAATTTTTTTATTCCTCTGCTTTTAGGAAAAGCTGTTGTTAAAACTTTTTTTCAGAGTATCTTCTTAATTTTTGTGTTTTCAAATAATTACAAAGGGATACAATTAAAAATGATGCAGAAAGGCTTAACCATTTTCCCCTTACATCGAGTTTTTAAAAGCCTGGATCCGTCCTCTCTTGAGAATTACATAGATGAAAAAATATCTATTTTGAAATATGGACAAAAGTCTAAATCCAAAACGGATTTTATGTTTTTATTTAACATATTTTTTTTTTTAGTCATTATATTTTTTTTTATTTCCTGTGTAAATCAGATAGCGCAAAAGTATCAGAAGGTATAATTTCATTCGCATATAAATGTAAAAAGATTGTGAAGATTCAACTTAGGATTTTTTTTTTTTTTTTTTAAATATTCAATAAATTTGTATGAATTTATTTTTTCACTTTCATTTCCCTCATTTTTTCATAGAACATTGATGACGAACAATTAAAAAAATATAAAAAGTGGAATGATGAAGGCGCACCGAAAAAATCGAAGAAATGAAGATTTTTTTTTTAGATCAAATATAGTATTTTAAAAAAACATTTCCAACGTGGACGAACAGTTATAAATTATAAGACGCAAATACCATATTTGTATGTATCCATATTTCCCTGTATATATCTATATATAGGGGTGTACCTTTACAGCCATATACATATCTAAATACGCATTTACCTATACACCTATGTATATTTTACATATTTTACTTGTAAGTTTGGCGTAAAAGAAAATCAAACACAAAATTTTTTTTGGTCATTTACGATTGCGCAAAATCGCGATACCTAATATGCTTTGCATTGCACACATATGAATATATTCTTATGTTATTATATATATATATATATATATATATATAAATGTTTTTATGCTCTCGTACATGCATATGTATATGTTAATATGTATATATCTATCCAAATATTTATATATATGTGCCAGTCCATTAATATGTGTATGTATATATGTTTATATACGCATTTGTATGTATGCACATTTAAGAATTCTGACCTAAGAAATAACGGTTGACTCAACTTTTGAAAACCATGTATGTCGTTTAATTTTTTTGAATTGCATTCTCTTGTTAGGATTGTTTTTTAGCAATTTTCTATAAAATGAAAAAAAAAAAAAAATGAATAAGTATATAAATAACTTTAAAATGTTTTAAAATTAAAAATAAAATTAATTTAATTCCCTCTTATGCTTTATACTTCTCTATTTATGTATACTTTAATAAATGTCTTAAGTTTTTATCAATTCTTCGGTATTTTGGGAAAATCAATTTATTCCTTTTCATGTTACTATAAATTTTAAAAATGTTCTTTCCACTGCGAAAAAAGAGAAAATGCAAAAAATGTTTTATGTCATAAGGAGAATGAATGTGTGCGTAACATAGGCCAATTTCTGACACCACATGAACGATAGAAATATATAAAGAGTTGAGCTATGGAAGTGCTATAAATTTTGTTCGTTTGTTGTGTCCATGTTCCAATGCTCATGTAGACAAATACTGATCAGTTCTTACTGGAATGGGGTTTTTCCGAACACAAAGGTGTACAGCACGGATCCAAAATTGTAGGACAGTTTTTTCGAAAGGTGGTGAATATCCTCATTAGATTGATTAAGTAATCCCTCGAATGAGTTAAAAATATCTGTTGTTGGAGTATATATATTGAAATTTTTTAGAATAAGGGTACATGCATCAAAATCTATCAACTTGATGATGTTATGGAGAGATTCTTCATTTTCTAAAAATGATAAGCCTTGTTTCTCTTGCGTACATAATTTGTTTTTCTTAGGCGTCTCATTTTTTAGTATATTTTCATCATATATATTGTCACTATTTAATTGCTCTTTAAGTACCTGACTTGTAGAATTCGTGATGTTGTTTTGATCAGTATTTAAGTTTAATGAATGAAAGATTGTACACATTGTTTTACAAAAATATTTATGCACGAAATATATGTCTAGATATGGCAAAAGTGCGCCACTCCATTTTCCTGAATTTTCTTCGTTAAAATATAACCAATAAAATTTTAAAAAGTTAATGGAATTTTTTGAGTTATGTTTAAAAGTAGACAAGTTTTTTATTTTGTTAATTTGGAAATTGTTTATGAGTAATTTGTTTGTATTATTTGAAGTTATTTTTGTTTCCTTTTTTTTATGTGCAGGGTTTTTTTTTTGATCATAGCATAAGGGCACACTTTTTGCTTTTTCCCTTTTGATAAAGGTTTGGACATACACAACGGCATCTTTTGATGAGAAGAATATATCACTTAATTTGTTTTTCTCGAAAAAAATCTTTTTTACATTCTTATCGTACTCAAAGCATTTAGATAAATTCATGTTATAAATATATTTAATTTTTTTATTTTTCACAATGTTGGGGGTTAATTTTTTGTAATGGCAATATGAATAAGGCTTTTTTCCTCTGTTTTTCGTGCTTTTATCAGTTTTTTTATTTTCCTTTTGTCTAAGAAATATTTTTTTGTTGTATTGTTCTTTATCATGTAAATCCGTGTTTTGTTCTCTTTTACGCTTTTTTTGCAATAGTTCGTTTAGCTTTTTTTGAATGCTGATTTGTACTTTGGGTAGTTCTACACAGTTTCCTGATGCAGAAGCTTTGCTTTGTTTTTTTTTCTTTACGGGTATAAGATAAGAAGAAATTTGTTCTTTGTGCCTACTCGTTAGGAGTATATTATCAGGTTTTAAATCTAAGTAAGTTACACTTTTTTTTAATAAATAGTTCAGGGTGTTATAAATATTTAAAAACAAAAGCTTAAGGAATTTTTCTGAGTACAAATGCGTTTCTACATATTTGTTGTCTAGTTTTTGTACTTTTTTATTAAATGCGGAATATATTCTATGTCTTTTTTTATAGTACATAGATTGATAAGTTACGTAAGGTAATAAGGTAAACAACATTTTTTTTTTTTGATCAAAATAGACCTTTTCAATTTGTATTATGCTTTGATTGTCCAAATAATTTAAAAAAAATATTTCATTTAAAATTTTGTAAAGATAATTAGTTAAGTACACTTCTCCATTAACATAATAGGGGCAATTTTCTTTTAAGCAAATCATTAAATGGAAAACTTTCAAACAAAATTTTTTATTGTCTAGAACATTTTTACATTTATATATATTGACATGTATTCCTCTGTATATGCATTTTAATATAAGATACTGGTTTAAGAAATACAATGTATTTTTTCTTACAATTTTGTATACATTTTTTTTAGGATTAATATTTTTGTAATGCCTCATGCTTTTTTTTTTATCCCCTTTTAACAAAATGCTATAAATAATACTATATTTTACACCATAAGAGACTTTTAATTTTTTCTTTATTTTTAAAATGTCTATTAATAACTGTTCACTACAGCTGTTAATAAATTCGCTGCTCAATTTTATCTGGCAAGCCCCTAATTCACATTTTGTATCTAAGGTTATGATGGTGCCATTATTTTTATATTCATTTAATTTTTCCTCTATTTTGGATCTGAAAACCAATTTGGTTTTCCTTTTGTCAAATGGATAATTTAAAAAATGCATTTTCAAGATGGTTTCACAGGTGGAAAGTAAGCAGGTTCGTCTCTCGCGTATTTGTGCACGCAAAAAATGTGTGATATTTTTAAAAGGATAGAATAAAATGAAATGAATAATTTCATACACGAAGAATGCAAATCATTAAGTTGGTACATACACATGTAAGGATACATGATTTCAAAAAGTGTTCTTAAGTTTTCTCTCATTGGAGACTAAAACGTAAAAAGAGAAATTAAATATATGATCGGCATATTTACTATATGTCTCTATAGACAACACAGCCTTGTGACACCGAAAAAAGGACCCTACGAAACCCACAAAAAATTATATCCTCACTTATCTATACATAAGTAAAGTGCAGATATGTATAATACTTCCATATTCACGTGTGTGCAATTGAAGAAATATGTTTTTAATTTGACAAATACTCATTTTTAAATTCCTTTATGGAAAACAAGGGGGAAAGCTAATGTATGATTATTTTAAAAGGGCACTAAGGGGGGAAGTATATTTATCAGGGATAAAAATACTCAAAAAAAGGTGTGACGTGATAGTCTTTCTTTTTCTAAAATTACAGTCCTGTAGGGAATACACCAAAGAAACGCTCACACTCGAAAATAACTTCCTGTTACCTTTTTATTTATTACTTTTAAATTGGCTATTTCAAAATGGTTGCACACTAAATGGGTGTTATATTATATACATTGATATGTACGAACAAAGCCTGCTTTTGTAAGCAAACGCGGGATAAAGTGAAAAAAAAAAAAAAAAAAAAAAAAAAAAAAGTAGCTACATAGGAGCAGTAATGGAAGTAGTAATAGAAGCAGTGCAAATAAAAGGAGGATCATGGATAAACTTTGCGGGTATTCTCTGCAAGTTTAATATACTTTCAGATGTCCCATAATGTAGTGGAATATATTCCTTTCCCTAACATGCACTTGTGTTTCTAGTTTAAAAACTCAAATCTTCTTCTTTCTAGATTGAATGTTACTACACATAGGTGACACCTTGTTCATTTGTACATTCTTCACAAGGTGTCATGCATATGTATATTACCCCTTACTAATTCATGCACTCTTTACCAACACACTTAAATATATGATTTTTTTAAAGAATGCTAAGCATTCTGAATAATTTGAGCACTATTTTTGAGGTCAACACCTTTTTTGGAAAGTAAGAATTAATTCTTAAAAAAAATAAAACTTCCTCTCCCACAAAAAAAAAAAAAAAAAATTAATATATAATTATTCATAATGATGTGATGACATGCAATTTGTAGCTTTTGGTAATTGTTGCACAAAAAGAACAAACAATCATTTGGTTGAAGAAGTGTGAAGCTTCGTTTTTTTTTTTTTTTTTAATCCCAAAATATTTATTTTTTTTTTGAGGTAGAATATAATTGTGAAAACATATCAGAAATTTTAAATACAGAGAGAAAATATAAAAGAGTATTTTAGTTTCTTTTCTTATCTTTTTTTTTTTTTTTTACGAATTAGTTATTTCTTTTTATCTCCCCTATTTATTCAATCTTGTAATTCGCATATTTAGGTTTTTAAAAATATATTTCCATGAATATAAAAAAGGTATCTTACTGTAATTGCAAATTACACAAAAAGGAAAAAGTAGGGAACAACAGCATTAATAAGAATACACAACAAGAAAAGGAACACATTTAAAAAGAGAGAAACATAAAGTGAAATTACGTATATAGAGAAGCTTTACTTCAAATAAGCCGCAAACATGTATCGGAATTTGTATGACACAGACAATATTATTTATTCACCAGAAGGTACTAAATAAAACGGTCGTAATACAAACATAAAAGTGTTCTTATATTACTATATAAATGTGTAACGTACATATAAACATATATTCAACGTGTGTACTTGTATGTGTTATTACACATTTGCATGTGTATATCTGCTTGAACATTTTTAGGAAGATTATACCAAGTTGAATACGCGAATGAGGCCATAAAACAAGGAACCTGCGCTGTAGCCATAAAGTCTAAGGATTTTGTGGTTAGAAAAGAAGCTCACTGATATATATATATAATTGAACATATAACGAAATGTACAATATGTATTGCATTTCTAAGAGCGTTCGCTCCTTATGATAGAGGAGAATTTACAGAATAAAGAGAAACAAGAATAGGAGATGAAACAGGAAATAAAAAAAAAAAAAAAAGATAAAAATAATAAAATAAACCTCGAATTTTTATAACCTACAGTTACGAGATTATACATTACTCAAAGAATTGGGCACGTCCAGTTATGTGTTTTATTTAATTTTATTATTATTTTGTTTTGCTCCTTCCTTGCAGGTCGTTTGTGGTCTGAAAAAATGTATCAGCAAATTATCATTTCATCAAGATAAATTATTCAAAATCGATGACTATATCGGTGTAACCATGAGTGGAATTACATCTGATGCAAAGGTTTTGACGAAATATATGAGAAATGAATGTTTGACACATAAATTTTTATTTGATGAAAATATGAATATAGAAAAATTAGTAAAAAAGGTAGCAGATAAATATCAAAAGAATACGCAGAAGAGTAGTAGAAGAGCATTTGGTGTAGGGTTGATAATAGCTGGATATTTTAAGGAACCTTACATTTTTGAAACGAAGCCAAATGGATCTTATTTTGAATATATTGCCTTATCATTTGGTGCAAGATCACATGCGTCAAAAACTTATTTAGAAAAAAATGCACATTTATTTGAAGATTCGTCATTAGAGGATTTAACGTTACATTGCTTAAAGGCGTTAAGATGTTCCCTTTCGAGTGAAAATGAATTAACTGTAGAAAACACATCACTAGCTATTGTTGGTAAGGACAAACCATGGCAAGAAATTTCCACTGTAGATTTAGTGGAGCTTCTAACTAGGGTAAACGCAGAACAGATAAATGAAAATAACGAGTTAGAAACTCAGAATGACGTAAATCAAACAAATCAGTCAAATCCGTCAAATGATGTTGATGCACCAAACCCGTAGTGTGTTCAAAATGAATTAACCAAATGTTCATGTAATACACACATTACCCTTCATACCCACACGTGAACATAACAAAACATGTCCCATGTGTTGGTTTTTTATTTATAAATTTGAAAGCAGCATGTACATGTGTATATGTGCATATGTGTGTATATATGTGTATCGACACATAACGCATATAATATATATACAAGTTTTAAAAAAATTTTTTTTTTTTTATATCTTTTTTTAATAATTAAGAGAAACAATAAGAAAAACAAAACAAAACATTTATTAAATTAAAACGATTTTTTATTAAAGATTTTTCTTATTTGCCATTTTAACTTGTTTTGTTTTAAAAATATAAAGGGGAAATTTTTAGAACAATGCAATGACGAAATCTTCGAATATATCTCAATTTACATACACTTTATAGTTGTCCTTTGATCTTTTTAACATCTTATACGTATATGCCTTTACCGATTTAAAGCATTTTCTCTCAAAGACTTCACCATAGAAAGAGAATTAGGAAAATTTGTCCAGCTATATTTGTGTGTAAAGTGTATATGTAATATATTCACATGCACAGATATGTGCATACATTTGTGTGCACAATGAATACACACAATGGATGCGTAAACTGATATTTTTGATTAAGCTATTTGATAAAAATTAGTCACATCTTCTATCCTAAGCATGTACCAGATGAGCTATGGGTAGTTGTAGGAAGTTTATGCGAAACGTTTTAAATACCATTTAATAAATGGAAAAGAAAAGGTGTAAGAAAATGTAAATTTAAATACGAATATAAAATAAATCAAGAGGTGTGATATACACATATTTCTATTTGATTTTGAATGCTTTTTTATTTATTTATTTTTTTTTTTTTTCTTCTTCCTTTTTTGTGTATTTTATACAAATAGGACGCTTTTTCGATTATAAATGAGTAAATTGCATGAAACATTTTTTAAGAACTAAATTTAGGTACTCCAAAAAAAAAAAAAAAAAAAAAAATTAAAAGCGTTAAATTTAAATATAAACAATTTCGTACACATGCCGTCCTTAGGATGCTTGGAAGAATGGGGTTACATATAGGGAATTCTACCTCTCTGTACGCTTTCAAAAAACTGTGCTCCAAAAAAGGGTATGAAAAAAAAAAAAAAAACATATCCTTGTCTATAAATGAATAAGAGTATTGTAATATGCTTTAAAAAAAAAAAAAAAAGAAAGATTAAATTTATGAAAAGGATCAAAACGACAGAGCAATTTATATATTTTTTTCTTTTTTGTTATTATGTTTTTTGGTAGATAGGAAAATTGTATAACTCAATCTTTTAAAATAGGATATAATAAAATGTTCAGATGTTATTTTCCTAGCTAATTACTAATAGGGTGAATTTTTGCTTGTATGTACAGCTGTACTTTTTTTTTTTTAATTCTGTATTAGGAATATAAATAGTATTATTAATAATAATAGTATTAATAATAATAGTAATAGTAATAATAGTAATCGTAATAATAATAATAATAATAGTGATAATAATAATAGTGATAATAATAATATATTTTTTTTTTTTTTTTTTTTAAATACACATTTGCGCTGCGTCTATTTTCACATCTATTTTTGATTAATCAACTTGTGTACATTGTGAATAACTTTTTTTTTTTTTTTTTTCAAAAGCGATATAACTTTCTCCGTATTTTTTCCATCCGTAAATACATATATAGATAAATTTATTTGCGCATTTATTTAATACCATTCGTTTGAAACAGTTTAAACGTGATTGATTAATTTCCATTTTGTATATCTGGAGTCATTTTTGATACGTTTGCAAGATTTTTGAAAAGCACACGAATGAATAACGAATAAAATTGCTTGCATGAGTGTATGGTATTATATTTTTTGCGCACAAAGCTATCGAGTGTGTGTGTTCTTATTTGAGTATACACATATATAATCTTTTGAGAGTATACGTAAATCCTTGTGTGCCTTGCAAATTGGAAGACTAGTTTTCCACATCAAGGGGAAATACGATATATGTAGAGTTTTACATTAAATCTTTTTTTTTATATTTTTTCCATACATAAATATTTGCTGGAAAATATAATTTTTTTTGAGCACCTATGACACACTTAGGCAAAAGAAGAACGTTTCTAACTTAATTCGATTCATTTGAAAACAGTGGTGTATGAATATGCCATACAAATCATAAAAAATAGAACATAAACTATAGTATTTTTTTTTTTTTTTTTTCCTTTCTAATCCATTATATTTTTATAACATATCAGCGCAGCATATTTGAATCTAATTTTTTTGGTCAAATATTACACACTTACATCTGTATAAGTTTGTTTCTCCATACACGTGTATTAAAATATATTTATGCATATGCTCATTTATATACATTTCTATGAATTGAAGAATAAAAGTTGCACTAAAAAATATATATACATACTAAAAGGTAGACATGAACACACTCTTTGAAAGTCACATGTAGCTTAAAAATTACGAAGTTCGACATTTTGTGCTTATGTATTTTTAATATAAAAACTGTCTTTTATTCCAACCGTTTTTTGATAATCAATGATATTTGGATATACGTTTATATTTGGGTAACTTAAATTTCTAACTGGTGCACGAATTGAATAACGTTAAATATGGTTATGTACATGTATGAAGTTGCCACATGCTTAAAGAAATGAGTAATACTGTTTTCTTACATTAGTTTACGCAGAGAGAAATGCTGCAACCCGTGTACGTGCGCTTGTATATATATATGCATGTGTAATTTATCAGTTTGATTATTTTTTTTTACGCTTTCAAGCTCCTTCAGATGGTTAAATTTCATACATCATATTTCACAAAGTTAGACGTTTTCCATTTTACCATCTTGCTAATTTGCAAAGCAACGATATAAACGTTTCCAGCTTCCCCCTAAAATCTAATTACCACATGTGTGTGTGTGTGTGTGCATAGTTGTTTTCACTGCTTCATATTATATACTGCCACGCTGTACATGATATATTATGTATATTGTAAATATGCTCATCTGCACATTTTGGGGATATAACATTTTTTGTTCTGTTTATTTAAATTCTATTTGAGTAATATATAAAAAAATATTTTCGAAACCTATTTGAGTAGCCTATATTTGGTATTCATCAATAGGACTAACATTCACACAAGTTTTAAACAAATTTAACATATTCCTAGAATACATCTGGGAATTTTTTTTTTTTTTTTTTTTTCAATTTATATGTGGAGCTTATATGGATTGGATAATAGTTATATAACTTTTCTCTAGGAATTCTGCATTTTTTTTAACGAAGAAATTTAATATTATGCTCCTTTATTGTTTTTTTTTTTTTTTTTTTTTTTTTTTTTTTTTTTTTTTTTTTTTTTTTTTTTTTTTTTTTTTTTTTTTTTTTTTTTTTTTTTTTTTTTTTTTTTTTTTTTTTTTTTTTTTTTTTTTTTTTTTTTTTTTTTTTTTTTTTTTTTTTTTTTTTTTTTTTTTTTTTTTTTTTTTTTTTTTTCCAGTTCATTTCGTACATTGCTCCAGTGGATACTCCTTCGAAACTCCCCTAAAATTTATATCTTGCCATATTGTGCCCTTAATATCAAGCATTTGTTATCATTAATTATCCTATTTGGTTTTTTATTTAATGATTTATGTTAAATACGTACATGCATGTTTATTATGTAAATATATATATATATATATATCTTTGTTAGCACTTTTTCTTAATATATTACATGCATGCACACACATACGAACTTGCATGTTACAATTTAAGCATCCCATATTCGTGAAATGGAAAAATTCCTTTTTGGTAGATAGTCAGATTTTTCATTTAAGGAATTTACATTTTTCATTTTTTGTGCTCCTTATATTTTGCTTAAAATAAAGTTTACTTTCGTCGTGTATATATATAGGAATAAGCCTTTGTTGCACATTCTATGTATTTCCACGCACTTGTACCTCGCTTATATATTTCAAGAATTTAAGTCGAAGGGGAAACATTGACGTCCAAATAGTTAAGAGCAAATAGTGAAGTAAAAATAGTGATGTGAAAATAGCTAACTGCAAGGAAAGGCGTGCAAATAGCAAGGACCCATTTATTACATATTCACTGATTTCATAAATTGCAAATTTACAAACGCATTCTCATAAAAATACACACATTGCAATTTTCCTGCGTATATGCTTATGTGTTATTGTTCACATTGACTAACTCAGATTCGCGCCAATTAAGAGAAAGAAATAATAATAATAATAAAAAATGTCTTCTGTATCAACCTTACCATATATAGGAAGCAAAATTTCGTTAATTTCAAATTCCGAAATAAGATATGAAGGAATTCTGTATACAATAAATACGCACGAATCGACTGTAGCACTACAAAATGTTAGATCTTTTGGAACAGAAGGAAGGAGACAACCTGATATACCACCATCAAATGAAATATACGATTTCATAATATTTCGAGGAAAGGATATAAAAGATGTAACTGTTAGTGAGACTGCAAAAACTATTCCTGATGACCCAGCTATAGTATCTATGAATATAGCTCCATCATCTAAAAATAATTTAAGTGATAATTTAAATTATAATAACAATGTCAACATAAATAAGCCTTTAAAGGTTCAAAATAACATGATTCAACAAAATGATAGAAATATGAATATAAACAATAGAAGATTTTTTAATAGACAACATTATAATTTTCACTATAATAACAATAACAGTAATAATAACCTTAATAATAACAATAGTAGAAATTTTAATAATTTTAAATATAAAAATTTTAGAAATTATGATAGACCTTACATTATTGGGGAATTAGAATCACAACCAAATCCTGCTTTAAAGAGCAAATTTAGTCCCGATTTTGACTTTAGCACAAATAATTTGAAATTTGATAAAAGTACTATATTAGATGAAAAGAATAAAGACCCATTAGTTCTAAGTAATAATCTTCAAGTAGGAGGCTATGATAAAAATTCAAGTTTTTTTGATAACATAAGTTGTGAAACGTTAGATAAACAACAAGGAAAGGATGAAAAAGTAGACCGAGAAAAATTAAGAATGTTAGATGTCGACACATTTGGAATAGCAGCAGCTCATTATAGAACCAGTGGACACAATCGAAATAACAATAGAAACAAAATGAGAAATAATAGGAATAACAAAATGATGGGAAACTTCAACTATAACTATTACAACAGAAATCCGAACCCCTTTAATAGATATCCTGCTTATTAGATTTTTTTTTTTTTTTTTTTCACGCGTACGCATATTTTTCTGCTTCTACATATAAAAGCATCCTTCACATGTATACATATACATGTACATACATTTGTATTTATTTATGTATATATTTATACGTGTATTTTTATATGTACGTGTATGCACATATTTATTTATGCACGCGTGCCTCACCTTTTCAATTATATTCGTTTATTTTAATTAACTTTTGTGCCATTACATGAGTAATAAGCCATTTAATTCATTTTATAAAATTTCACTCAAGTAGATGCACTTATTTAAGGGTACCTACACGTGCTTTACTCATACTTTTTTGCATCTTCATATATGCATAATTCACGTAGCCCGGTTTTTCATGAAACCATATATTCCCCTTGATTAGATCGTCAAATTGACCTAAAATGAGCCTACATGTTTATTTGTGCATTTGTATGTTTATGTATATACACTTTTGATATATTTACATGTGTGTTCGCAGGGGGGGTAGAAATATGTATGTGTGTCAGCATGCATATATTTCACTAGCAAGTGAATAAAGGGCAAATCAATATACATTTAAAATTTTTTTAAGTTCGTTAAGATATAATCCTTTTATTTTATTTTTTTTTTTTTGACGTTAAAAATATATTTTATTTTGTTATTCACGAATGCTTACACATGTGTTTACCTACATATTTACACAAACATTTACTCAAACATCTGCACAAAAGTTTACATAAGATATTACACAAATGTTTAAACAATCATCTACACAAATTTTTACACAAGCACCTACACTAATGTTTATACAAGCATCTACACTAATGTTTATACAAGCACCTACACTAATGTTTATACAAGCATCTACACAAATTTTTACACAAGCACCTACACTAATGTTTATACAAGCACCTACACTAATGTTTATACAAGCACCTACACTAATGTTTATACAAGCACATACACTAATGTTTACCTGTATATTTCTTTTTTTTTCTTTTTTTACTGAATTATTTTTCATATTTAAAAATTGCGATAAAAATGCAGAAATGAATGAGTGAAAAACTATGTGGTAAATAAATTAATACAAAGAACTTGTTACCGTAGTCCACGTTGTGGTTTTTTTTACACCACCTTGGAATTGATTTGCAACTATGGGCTTGTACCTATATGCATGTACGTGTACATATATATGTTTGTATATCTGTGCATCACTCTACTAATTCGGGGTCTTAATGATAGTACATTTAATTGCACCCTTGTATGATGAAGAATCTTTTTATGTTTTTTCACACACTGCAATATTTTACAAAAATCTGTAAACAGATGTAATCACTCTTATGTAACTTTTCTTACCCTATAACGAGATATGTCCAGCGCCTTTCATTATTATTTAAGTGAAGTAGTCTCCACTTTGTATATTGAAAGGTATTCCGCTTGCGCTTTTTTGATGACACATCAAGCATATTGTGAATAAGTTAAACCAGAGGAGCGAAAAAAAAAAAAAAAAAAATGGTTAGTGTGTGCTATTGTATATATTATAAGGAGAAGAAACGTGTTACATATATAGCAGTACACTTCCTATTAAACACAACGGGTTGTTTTGTTTTGTTAGAATTTTTCTTTACCATGTATATGGTTTAAAATATAGTTTTTAAGACAAATTTTCAACATGTATATAATTAACTTAATAAGTCTGTGTTAGTAGTATTCAATTCAATTTTTTTTTTGTTGCTCCAAATTCTGTATTTTTAGGATCACAGTGCGTTTATTTTTTACGCATGAACGAAATGTTATTGTTCGCCATATTTTATATTGTATTGTAGCACATTTATTTATTTATTTATTCATTTATATATTACTTTTTTCTTTTCGTTAACTATAAATGTGTTATAGTGTAAAGCGCAAAAAGGAATAGCTTAACTTTCAGCATGTCTCAAAAATAACATACCACTTTTTATTTTTTACTCATTTGTGTTATTTTAAGCTATTTTTTCCCCATGTGTTTCTCTAATTTATAGGACTTATTTTTTTTTTTGAAACAGTTGTGCGATTAGCATAAGCTCTGAAACAATTTAATCAAAAATTTTTGTGCACATATGAATTGAGTATCATTTAGAAAACGCCACAAATGAGAAAAAAAAAAAAAAAATTGCTCTTTAATACTCATATGATGTTATTCAAAGGTACTTAAAAAGAAGAAATATTTTTTTTTAAAATAATTTTTAAACAAATCATATATATTTTGCTTTTGATGAAGGAAAAAAACTCCTAACCTATTTTGTAAATGGGCATTAAAGGTTTTTTCAAATGTGTTCTTCTCTTCACATATGTTGCAAGCGTTATGAAATAGAATAATAGTGAAAAGTAATTCAGAAAACGTTTATATTTTCCCTCCTTTTGTGTGTATATGTTTATTATAATGCATATTTGTAAATACATTGGTGTGTTACCCATATGAGCGTATTCCAATTTTTTAATGTCCTATTTTTGTGACGTCGTTTGGGTAAAATGGAAAACGAAAAGCTAAGAGAACATGAAGAAGAAGAAAAAGAAGAAGAGAAAAAAATAAATAAAAGAGTATTAATTTTACATAAACATTATAGAGAGGGCCCATTTGAAAATAGATTAAGGTTTGAGTGTGAATTAGAATTTGTACAATCTTTAAGTAACATAGATTATATAAAATATTTATACGAAAACAAATACTTTAGTGATAAAAAGTTTCTGAATTATTTGAAATATTTAAATTATTGGAGAACCAAACCGTACATTTTTTATATCCATTTTCCTATATGCCTATACGTTTTAGAAATATTAAATTGTAGTAAGGTAGATGAATATTTTAACAAAGCTACCTCATTTAACAACTTTGTGTATTATTTAAAGTTGCACTGGTTGTTTTTCAATTACCAAATTTAGGACATGTCATCAAGCAGAAGAACGAATAGAATATTTTTATCATATATTTATTTTTTCTAGTGAAAATATAACATAATCATAGAAGAAAGAAAAAGAAAAAGGAAAAAAAAAATGAGAAAAATGTTTACATAAGTTTTGGTTTTCAATACTTTCAGTGATAATGTGTTAAAAAGGAAAAGACAAAAAAAGGAAGGGTGAAAAAAAAAAAAGTGATTGAATAAAATCATTTTGACAAAACATGTTGAATAAGAAAATATGTGTAGGCTTTCTCGTTTTTTTTTTTTTTTTTTCTTTACAAAATTGAAGATTAATTAAAATATAATTAGCATCTGCATATATTCACATCATTTAAAGATTCTTTATCTATTTATGAAAGAGGGTAATAATATATACAAATGACATGGAGAATTTATATATGTTTCATGTTCCACCTTTTTTCCACTATTTTCTCCTTTCTTCTGGTTTTTTTTTTTTCTTTTCTTACAAACCGTAAATGTAGAAATGAAAGCCAGAAAATCCTTTTTTTCCAGAGTACACTACAGCAATTGTGTTCATTACAAATACAAAAAAAACAAGGAAAATCCTAATAAGAGCAAAAATAAGTTGTTAAAAAACTTGGATTATTACTCAAGAAATGAAAAAAAACAAATTTTAAAAAAAATTTATGAAAACATTATTTTGAAAAAGAAACATTTGCAAGAAGAACTGTTACAATTTTACATAAACGATAAAGATGTTAAAGAAATTTTTGAAAAAGAAAAAATTTTTGATGAAAGTGATAAATTAGCAATAATTAAGCAGGTGGAAAGTAATGAAGAAGCACTGATAAATAAGTTTAGTAACTTTTTCGATTTGTTACATTTCTCTTTAGAAAAATTTAAGATAAAAGGTGGGTTCTTCGTAAACCAGAATACATCTAAACTGAATGATCTCTCCAGTTGCACAAGGAACAATGCACTAGAAAGACACGAATTTATAGCATCCAATTTGGATTTAATAAAAAAATTTTTGGTTTTTATTGACAAAAATTTAGACATATATGAAAAAACATCCACTTGGTTTAAGATATTTTTCCGTCTTAATAAATTTGTAATATATTTTTTTAATTATTCTTTTCCATTTATTGATTTTTTTGATTACAAACTGTTACGCAGGTATTCTCATTTGTATATAAAATTAAGTCTTTTGGAAAATTCATATTTTGTTTCTGAGAAAAAGAAAAAAGAAGCAGAAAATATTTACGATGTAAATATATCAAATGAGGATATATTCGATCTGACAAAAAATAATAACAAAAATGCTATACGACTGTTGCTCTTATTGAGTGAACGAACGAGTCAAATTGATATGCTGAATTTGTCTGAGATATATATGTTATATGCAGAGAAAACAAAAATAAATGAATGGATTCAAAATATAAACACACATATTATAAAGAGTGTGATGGGAATTAGAGGAGGACGAATAAATAAATATATATTTGGTGAAGAGCTTAATAATGAAAATAAGGAAGTTATTGAACGGATGCCTGAAGAAGAGTTCAATGAAAGGAAAAACGAAATTATGGAACACAATAATAACGAAATAAGCGATTTGTTGGAATATTATAGTTATTTCATTTGTTTATATTTCAATCTTTTATATTTAGTAAATAAATTAGTTAGCAATTATGTTGTATTTCTGCCAAATATGAATAACAGTATATTGTCCCTACTAGATTGTATAGTAGTACTATGTGAAGGAATTTTTGAAGAGGACAATTTGAGTGAAAAAAAAATAAAAAATCTTATTTTGTTTTTAAATAATAAGGATATTGAAAAATACATTATACAAGACATAATAACAGATAGACGATTCCCCAACGATCGTATGAACAATAAAAATGAAATGTATATATCTCGATATAAAATGAAGAAGAGCAGTAAGAATGCATTATTTGATGAAGAAGCTGAAGAAAATGTTTTCCCACCTGATGAGTTTAGTTACATGGAAAACTTAAACTTGTTAGATAAAGGAAGTGATATGGGAGACACAAATACGTTTTTGGCCATCACGGAAAGGAGTAGCTTGTTATGGACTCCTCGTATGGAGATTGGTACTGTTAAAATAGAGTCTACACAAGAAAAGGGTAGGACAATCCTGTGTAGTGATGAAAGAGAAGCTAGAGAAACTAAATTACACGGGGAAGAAGACATACTGCTGAGGCAAAGACTTTTCTATGAGGAACGCTTGCTAACACTACACTTGAAGACAAAGCTTGATTTGAAATTTTTTTTCGAAAATATGACGCATTTCTTTATTCTGTGCGATTGTGATGATATTCTTAAATTTCTCCAAACAGTGTACATAACAAGATACATGAACACATTCAACAGTAACATTTTGTTCTATAGTATATGGCTGAATGCTGAATTTTTAAAAATGTATCAAGTAAAGAATATTTTGTTTTTTCTGTCCCTATTTAAAAAAATGTTTATTTTAAAGAACATGGATTTGGGGAATTCGATTTATAGTTGGTATAACAAACAGTTAATATTTTTTTTAAGAAAAAAGATAGAAATATATTTTGAAAATAATACTTTAGAAAAGAGTATGAAGAGTGTATTTATATTGTCTGATTTGTTGAGTCATAATAAAGTTATAAGGAAAATTTTATTAAAAAAATTAGTTTCATTAAATTTTAATACAATTGAACCAAGTATTTTTTGTCAAATTTTTTTGTTGTTAAATAAATTAAGATTTGATGCAAGTAACAAGCTATTCTCGGAGCTATTTTTTAAACATTACAAAAGAATTATTCATTCCTTAACATATTCTGAAATGTTAGATTTAATTAAAAATACGGAATATTTAATAAGTAAGAAGAAAAGAAAGATATTTGTTGTTTTGATTTTATATTTTTTTAGAAAGTTTGAGCAAAGTATTGCTACGAGTAGTAGTTCAGTACTACCTCTTAACTTAAGTTATATTTTTAAGTTAATTAATATTATAAACAAGTTTAAATTATATGAATATTGTAATAAGGACTGTTTTTTCCCCATTTACCAATTTATTTTTTATCCAAAAAATGTTCAAAATGACGTAGAGGTGGAAAAAAAGAAGTCTTCAACTAATGATCATAATGAAAGGGACTTATCGAAGCATATATATTACTCCTTTTTAATAAGAAATAACGAAACGATAATGCTTGATATGAAAGATCTAGAAAGAGATAACAATAAGAATGATGTTCTACTATTAGAGGAAAAGGAAAGGCTCAAGGTACATCCATCTGTTGAGGCCAATAGGGGGGATGGAAAGAGTGTTTTGTATATGCTAAATAGGACAAATAATGAAACATGTGTAAAATATCTGAAAGTAAAATTGGAAGTATTAACAACTAGCCAAATATTAGATTTAATCTTTTTTAATATAAATACAAGGATAAATATATACCTCATTAGTGAGTTACACACAGAGCTATTTTATAGAATTCTACGAAATGTGAACTTTTCTAAAAATCAGATAATCCTATGTTTTAGAAGCATATGGATGTCCAGAGTTTTTCATCTGAACATTTTTGAGGCCCTAATAGATATTATAACAAACAATATAAAAATAGTTGATAACTCCATTTTTGCGCTAGACATTTTATTATGTCTGTGTTCGTATAAATATAACAAGATATACGATCCTTTAATAGTGACCCTATTTGATATATGTTTCCATGACGTTGATAAAATTTTAAAAAATATGAAAAAACAAGTCCTCTTTTATTATTGCATTATTTTCTTGGAATTGCATTACCCACTGCTATTTTTAAAAGTCATTCGAAAAAGGAAAAATATTTTAAGAAAAAACGAAAAGAATAATCCCGAAATGCAATCTGGAAGTGGTGTATGTTCCAATAAAAATATCCCGAATGAAATGGAACATTTCGGTGCTAGTAAAGAAAATGCACATTTTTGTATCCATGCTCCAAATGCCATAGTAGATCATGGAATAGGTATAAGCGTAAAAATGATAGGAAAAAATAAGCCTTTTGATGTGGTAAAAAATGACCCTTTTGATGTGGTAAAAAATGACCCTTTTGATGTGGTAAAAAATGATCCTTTTGATGTGGTAAAAAATGATCCTTTTGATGTGGTAAAAAATAAGCCATTTGATGTGGTTAAAAATAAGGTATTTGATGTGGTTAAAAATAAGGTATTAAAGGGTTCTTCTGGAAGTTGTGAAAAAGATGGAGGATTGGTGAATACTGTTCAAAAAGTAAACAACATGCTTATGGAGGACAACGTCGAATACCAAAACACAGTTGATACACTAAAATATTTGAAGCACTTTTTTTTCATTCAGCAAAAAAAAAACGCCTATAGTTACGACATAATTAAATTCTGTGAATTGCTCGAAAAACTAAATATAACAAATATGAAGATTAATAATACTCCCAACGTTTTTTTTAAAAATCACGAAATTGATGATTTGTTTGTCTTGAATGTGTTTTATCCTGTTATAAAATTTTGCATAATGTTTATAAAAAGTGAAAATGTGCCAAAAAATTTGAAGAAGATAATTGATATGTCCAAAATAGGTCGAACGTCAAGCATGCATAATGTGAACCACGGAGGTGTAGACGTTTTGCTCAATGGGGAAAAAAACCTTTCAAGAGACAACCTCAGGTGGAAGAATAAATTGCACCATAATACAGACAATATAAGTAATCTAATTGTTGGGGGCAATGCCATTTCATTCAGCAGTACCTCTTTTGGTAAATGGCGCGAAAACGATATTGACATCCTCGCACAAAAATTGTATTTGCTTAAAAATCATAAAGTAAATACTATGGTAATACCTATTGAAAAGGTTGATCTGTTTTTTAAAATAAACCTTGTGGAAGAACAAAATTCAATTATAAAAGAATCGAATATCATATTCGAAAAGGTGTATCAAGAAATTTTAAGACGTAAGAGAAAAACATTTTTGACGGATTGTAATATCTTATCATCACTTGTGAAGAAGCAGTTACAGTATATTTTCCACTTGTAGCAAAATCGTTTATAAGAGCCAATAAAATTACAAATTTGAAATTGAGTGTAAAAGCATTTTTATAGCGTCAACTAACACTTTTGTGGCTTAGTGTTAACATACAGATTTTTCCTTTGACTTTTTTTCACACGAGATAATACATAAAAAGATATTTCCATTTATTTGGAACACTTTTTACAACCTCAGGAAATATGTATAAAAAAAGGTTTTCATTTAATTGGAACATTTTTTTCACCTGAGAATATATGTAAAAAAAAAAAAAAAAAATAGGTTTCCAATTCTTTGGTACACTTTTCCCACCTTTTGTATTTATTTTATTAAACGTGGGAAATACCCCAAAAGGGAATCGTACTTTAAACTCTTGATGCACATGCTTTAGGAGTTCATGTATTTTGTTTTAAAATTATACAATCTGTTTGTGAAAAAAATAGAAAGTATAAAATGCTACATATAAGTTTTCGTTTTTATGATACCATATGCATTTATTTTTTTTAAACATATCATATATCTTGCTTATAACTTTTTTGAAAATTTGTGAATTTATATTTTTCTACATTTTTTTTTTTTTTTAATCCTACAAAAGGGACACATTTTCTTCTTTACTTCCTTGGGAAGTAAAAAGGCCCAAACTTACATTACACAAGGGTGTTAAGAAAAAAAAGGGGGAAAAAAAGAAAAGAAAAAAAAAAGGGTATCACTAATTTGGAGATACATATTTTCCAGCATTACTTTTACGTTCAAATTCTTTTATAGTCAAATCATTTACGCGGTTTAACCTTCTTCACTGCTAAAAACAAAACTTAAGAAAAAAAAAAAAACACAGGGATATGAGCATTGAAGTGCCCAAATGTATATAACAAGAATTTTTTTTTGTAATGATAGGGAAACAAGTTAGACTGAAAAAAGTAAGATTAAGAAGCATACATATATATTGCAATTTCACCTTTTTATGAGGACATACATAAACATGAAAAATTATGAAATTTTCTATAGAGATGAAAAGAAACTACTATTTGAAAATTTTGAAAGGGACATAATAGAATTGTTAAAGACCCATAATGTATTTTTTATTATTGGTATATTGGAATTTGAGGAATTTATAAAGTTATCCTTGATTTTGTATGAAAAGAAATTTCACACATTAAATGAGAACAGTAGATTGTGCATAACTTTTCCTGACAACATTTTTGCTCGTAGTTATGATTTAATTGATGACGATTTGAGGGAATTTTTTACCCCACTATTAAATGATTATGATGAGAAAGATGGAAATGTCCATCGAAATAACAAAATAGTACTTTTGGATGAATCAAAATTGCTTCAGAAAATATTATTTGATCCCCTCTTAATTGAATTTAACATAATAATTTTAACAAATGTCCATAGGAGGTTAACAAAGACGGACTTGATATTATCACTATTGAAGAAAATTCTTTTGAAAAGAAATGATATATTTATTTTTATTTTTTCAAATTTTTTTATTGAAAACGTGCTAAACTTTTTTAGTTCGCATGGCAGTGTACAAATTTGTCAAAAAATAGAGTCATCCATCGGAGATGAAAAGGAAGAGTGTGAGAGTGTTGATATTCAATGTGATGTGAGTAATTTGGAAAAATGGAAAGAGGAAACTGAACACCATGAGAGGAAAGATGATAAAACGGTGGAAGAGTTTGATGATAAGAAATTATGTCGTTTTCACAAAGGAGAACAATCCATCAGTGCTAGGAGGGAAAGTAATTTACAAACAAATTTTGACAACACGGAAGATATAAAAATTGAAAAAAAAGACACCAATGATTATATCCCTGCAAAGACATTGGTACATCAAAATGAATGGAAAGATTTAACTAAGGAGAATGAGAAAAACGCAGATAATTTCATCTTAAAGAATGATATTTTTCCACAGTATCACTTTTATAAGAATAAGCATGAGAGAAGAAATTATGGAAAAGGAAGTATAGAGGGGAAAAAATATTTTTCTCTGAAAAATAAAAAATTGAAGGATATAATAAGTAGGAGGAATTATTACGCAAGAAGTAGGAGCAGTACACTATCGAATGATGAAGAGGGGAATGAAAATTGCATACCCCGAGAGGAAAATGAAAATTTTGATTTGTCCTCTTCAGACATGGAAAAACCGGTGAATAAGAAAATAAAACATAAGAATTCCATTGAGGGAGCAATAAAAGGAAGAAATGTACCACATTTGATATTTGAGAATTCTGCAAGGCACTCTCTGATGTATGACTGTAAGGAGGGCGTAGATTTTATGACACCAAAGAGCAATCATATACCTCACAATGGAAAAGGAGAAATTAACAAAATGTTAGAAGAATGGAAAGAATTTGCAGAAAGGTTAGGAAAAGTGAACAAAAAAATTAACATTTTCGTTTTTCACATTTCTAATGAGAGTAGTTATAATAAAAGAAAAGGGATAAAAATGAGCCAGTCCACTTGCGACAGTATTTATTATTTAAAAAATAGATGTTCAAATTATTTACATACAAGTATTATGTTAGCTAATAAATTATTTAAAAATAAAAAAAAAAGTAGAGAAAATATACTTATTTTTTTAAATAACGAACATGAAATAGATGTAGTTATGAAGGGTTTTCAAAATGAAAATATTGAAAGTGACAAAATAGTAATCGTATATGATGTGCATGGAAATGATATTGATTTGTGTGAATTACAGAACAAAATTATTATCGTAAAAGATGATGAATTTTATTACAAAAAGTTAAAAAATGTGAAATATGTGATAGATACTTGCTTTATGAAGGACAAAATATATGATTACGATATGAATGTTACAAATAAGTATACAATATTGTGTAATAAGAACAAATGTGAAGAAAGGAGACTTGTTTGTAATGATTCCATATGCTTTCGTTTGATAACTATGAATGATTACATGAATTTATTGAACGAATTTTGTATACCTGAAATATTAAAAAAGGATATATTTTATAACATATACTTTTTAAAAACGTTAGGAATAAAAAATGTCTGTTCCTTTGATTTTGTCACTGCTCCAACACTAAAATCATTGAAGAGATGTTTTGAGTTGTTTTATATTTTAAAGCTAATGGATATTGATGGGAATATAATAGATAAGAAATTAAGCCTATTAATTTGTTATTTACCCCTAAATTTTAAATATAGCATATTTTTAGTGAACAGTATAAAGTACAAGTGTGTATACGAAGTGGCAGTTATTATAAGTATGCTAATTAATGAACCCATATTTTTATATAAGAACAAAAATTTAGAAAGATTAAAAACCCTTCGATTACCTCTAATGGCAGAGGAAAGTGATATTTTGAGTTATTATAATATATTTCAATTGTTTGACAAAGCAAAGAACAGAAAAAGTTTTTGTTATGACAACTTCTTAGTATATAAATCAGTTAAAAAGGCTACCAAATTTTTTAATAGATTAAAAAGAATTTTAAACAACTTCGGAATAGAGATGGAGAAATCGAATAATATAGAATATGTACTGAAAGCTAAAATATGTTCCTTTTTTTATAATGTTTCAAAAGTTGTAAATGATAACAAGTATAAGCTGCTAAATATGAGGAGTAGAAACGAACTGTTCTATCTTGATCAGCTATCCATTTTGAACGAATCGGAACAAGACAAGAGGAAGTTTATCGTGTACACAGATGCTTATTCAAATAATGAATCCAAAATTTTTTTGAGACACGCATCTGTTATTGATCCTTTATGGTTGATCACAGAGTGCCCATCCTATTTTTCTAACAGACATTGCTCGAAGCCTGCAGAATTGGATGCCTAAATGGTGGGGCTGGACGTCGATATGTCCCAAATTATGCAAATGTAGCTGTGCTCATATATATGTACATATATAGGAACGCAAACGTAAACACAAAAGCAAATGCAAACTAGAGGCTATTCGTCCGTTACGAAATTTCTCCTTCACCAAAAGGCACAAAAAGTTGATGCTCCATTTTTTCGGATTTTTGAATGCACATTTTTATGTGCATATAAATTAATGTACATACGTAACCATTAAATTTTATACATATGTATTTAAAGGTTTTCTGTGTAAATTTGTACAAAGCATGGAGGAATTTCATCAAAGTGGTAAATTATGGATTTACGTTGAATTCACGTCAATTTAGTTCTAATATATTACTTAAAAGCTTTACATACATATGTACATGCATATATATATATATATATATATATATATATATATATATATGTATGTATATTTTTTTTTTTGTTTTGTTTTGTTTTACAATTCTTAAAAAGGCACTTTTGCAAATTTTTGCATTTGCCGAACCTTTTCTTTTTTTCGTTCAAGTTTTTAGGACCCCCCCCGTATTGTATGCATATAAGTTTTTTTCAAAATTGTAGAACACGATTTCCTGACATTTTTTTATTTGAAATAACTTTATTTAGATTTATGTTGTTGTTAATTTTGTTTATGCTTTCCCAAATGTGTGCAATTCATTTTTCGATTCTGCTAAAAAAAAAAAGAAAAGGAAAGGAAAAAAAAAGGAAACTAAAAAAACATAAGGGATAAATTGAATGTTTATGCCTGAACAATTGTGAATTTTTTTTTTTTTTCTGTTTGCTGTAGAAGTGTTTTCACATTTTTTGATATGTTATAAAAAAAACAACCAAATTTTTAGCTTGTATTTCTTTGTTTTAAAGCTCTAGATTAACATACTAATTGTTATTTTTGCAAGTGGGTAAAAATGGGGAAACAAATATAAAACCCGTATTTGAACCATAAAAATGTAAGTACATAAAGCACAAAGTGATACCCTTTATTTTCTTGCTGCTATAAGCGTTGGAGAAATAAGAATACAAGTGCTTAACATTATGATTTAACAGAATATATAAGTATATATGCCGTTTTTTCCTTCAAAAGGGGATCCATGCATTACGAAATTTTTTTAAAATAGTGGTGCATATATATCCAGTAACATTGTGTACAAGCATAAACACACATGTGTATGTAAGTCTATTTTATATATATATGAATGTGAATAACATGAACCCCCTCTGCTATTTATTAAAAGCGAATATAGGCAAAAATGAGTTTCATAAAAAAAATTTTAAGCAGGTTAAATATAAACAGAACAAATGGGGGAAAGAATAATTTCCTAGTGTTAGAAAAAAAAGAAAAATTGGAGCCCCCTTACATATATTTATCCTTATCTGCATGTATGCTTGGACTATCCTTTGCTTTTGTTCCACTCTATCAGCTATTTTGTCAATCAACTGGATATGGAGGAACAATACAAAATAAAATAGATATCAGTAAAATAGTGGAAAAAGGGAAGAAAAATAATAAAAATAGATTAATTGAAGTCAACTTTACCAGTCAGTCTAACATGCCATGGATATTTGAACCGGAACAAAAAAGTATAATTGTAAAACCTGGTGAAACCGTGTTAGCATTTTATAAAGCTAAAAATTTACTTGAAAAACCAGTTATTGGGATAGCCCTGTATCATGTTTTACCGGACGAGGCAGGTCTATACTTTAATAAAATTCAATGTTTTTGTTTTGAAGAACAGATGCTAAATGCGAATGAAGAAATTGATTTACCTGTTTTGTTTTTTATTGATCCAGACATTTTAAATGATTCTAGATTAAAAAATTTGGAAAAAATTACACTATCATACATTTTTTTTGAATCTGATTCAGAAATACCAGAGGAATATAAGCATCTTTCAATGGCTATAGCACCAAGGAAAAGGGAGGAAATTCAAGTTTTTTGAAAAATAATGTTTGTGCAGAAACTTGTATCATGGTTATAGCGGTATTAACTGAAAATGTGTTTCATTTGTTCGATGAAAGCGGAACAGAGGCTTGGCCTTTTTTTTTTTTTTTTTTTTTTTTTATAATCAAAATGGACACACGTCTCAGCATGGAGAAAGGGGGGGGAATTATATGTAAGATAAAAAAAATGTGGTTTATATTTTCCCATATTTTTTAGTTAACATATGTTTTTTATGTTTTATCCTTGAACTTACTCTTTTATTGCGATTATTTTTCAAAATAGTAGAAGCGCTAAATAAAATATTAGATATAAGAAACAGTTTTTGTTATTATACTTTTAATGATTCTATCACACACCAGTATGTACGTATATATATATGTGCGAATCAATGAAAGCAATTCATTGTCTCATAGAAAGTGAAAAAAATGGTGGAAAAATAATGAAAAGCATGGAACAAAACGAGTAATTGTAGAATTTTGATAATAAGAAAAAAAAAGTAAAAAAACAGTTTTTTCATCCAGATGATGAATACATTTCATTATGTCAACGAAAAGACGGATTTACTCATTTTGTTCCTTGGTCTTCGAATGATCGAGTTTGTAAGTACCCTCATTATATAAAAGAGAGAATACATAATTAATATCGCTGTCCACATTTCCAACATTTTGCATGTGATTTCTAGAATTTTTTAACATATCCCTTATTACTTGCGACCTTTTGTTTGCTTCTATACACTGTTCTAAGCATTCAATCTTACACATTAATTCTTGCTCAAGTTTTTTTCTCTTATTTAATTCTTCTTTATAAAAGTAATAATTTTTTATTCTTATTTTTTCTGTAGTATCTCCAGTTTTTATTTCATTATCAATTTCTTCTATTTCTAGTTTTATTTCATCTCTTAATTTATTTATATAATATGTTATACTTTTTTCAAATTTTATGAACTTTTCATTATAAAGTTGATAAATTTTCGTAAAAATACGTATATCCATTAATTTTAAAGTTTTCATAGCTACGTATAATTCGGATAATGAAATAAGCATATTAAAGGTACTTTCATTAAACATTTCTGAGGTAAAGATATCTATGGAACGGTTGTTAAAAATGTTTTCAAAATTGCTAGAATTATCTTTTTGGTTAATATGTTCTGAAATATCTGGCTTATCCATTTTTGCAATTTTTTTATTTAACTTTTCTTTGGCCTTTTTTTTTTTTTTTTTTTTTTTTTCTTTTTTCTTTAAATAACTTAAAACGTCCAATGGTTCATTTTCCTCACTATTTCTCCTTGTTTCATTATTATCATTTGTTGTTAAATTCAAAGAGTCCAAATCTTTTTCTGATATCAAATCATCTGTGCAATTATCATATTTGGCATTATTATTGTTCTCCTCTGTGTGCTTCCTATTTTTTAATGTTCCCATATGATTATATGATCCATAGCTACGACTAATTTTTATCTCCGTGTTTTCAAAACTGTGCTTTTTTTCAATCATTTCGATTGGTTCATTGTTTTTGGAAGCATTAAATTTCCCTTCACCGTGCTTGATGAGTTCATATTTATGAAACAGAGGAATAAATATGTATTGATCTATGTTCATTCTTAACTGATCCATGGTGTGTGGAAGAATTTTGTTGGTTTTATTAATTTTTTTAATCCAAGATATGTAGACAAAGGCAAATCTCATGGAAAAATCAAACCAATTTTCGTATATAGAACCTACCTTAGACGCCCCTAAAAATTTGTCTATAACTTGTATTATAGCTGATACAAAATATTTTATATTTTTTGTTCTTCTTTTATCTCTTGCATAATTTGGAAAAATGTTAAAGAATTTTCTTTTTTTACTTTTAGATATATCTCCATTTAAATCTAGGCAAAATTTATTTTCATAAGGCATTTGGAATAAAAGGTCTTCATTTTGTTCATCATACCATATAAGTGCTACATTGTTAATGTTTCTGGGCAAATGGTTTTTCTTAATACAAAATATTTCCTTTTCTTTCTTTTTTCCTTCAGCATTATATTTTATATTATGTTCTTTTCTTAGATCAGTGTTAAAATTAATATTATATCTTTTTATAATATTATCTATTGATTCAAATTTTATATTTTCTTTTGATTGTCTATTTGCGTAATTTGGGCTAGTCTTATTTTCAGAAAACATGGATATTGTTTTTTTTTGACTTTTATTTAAAAAAAATTTGATTTTATGCATAACTTTATAGTATAATTTATAATTTGTATGTTTAATGTTATTTTCCCCATATCCAGTAGTTTTTATATTTATAGGATTTTCTGTATTCATAAAATACCTAGATAATATAATTTCCCGGATTATATTATAAAGCATGTAAAAATGGTAAAAAAGAATAACTAAAATTGGAAGAAGAAAAAACTTTTCATAATTCCAATAAAAACTTCCCCAAATAGTAAGAGAAATGAAAATGTTTAGAGTGCTCCCAAAACGTAAAGATCTGTTTAGTATGTTAAAAGATCTGCCATCAAAGGGGTTTGAATATATTTCCAGAATTGAGAATGTTGTTAATATTAATGTGACTAGGATAATATAGTAAAAATGGTACTGAATATTAAATGTTATTAATAATACGAGAATAAAATTTTTCAAGATAAATATAAATTCAAATATTTCCATGCCTTGTCTATACCCTACTAATAAATTTGATAATAAAATATCAAATAATCTGTACTTATTTCTCTTCGAATATAAGGACAGTAAAATTACGCAAAAGCCAGCATAAAAAAATAAGACAAGGAAAAATATAATAAGTCCAATTAGGAACGAATGTGAAGCAATTGTGCACTTTTGTGTGGTCAAATAGGCTAAATACAATTCTGATTCTTGTGATTTATATTTTACTGGTTTGCAAAAGAAAAGTTGAATAACTTCCATAAGTACATATGGCGTTGACAAGGCAATAATTAAAATGTAACATGGAAATGTGTCATTTAAAAATAAGAAGAGTCTTTTTCTTAATTTTTCATTTCTTTTATTTATAAATCGCCAAGGCCCAAACATTTTTTTATTATAAATAGTCTCAATGGTTTCGTTTAAGTATGTACTATACATTTGATTATCACTTTTCACATGTTTCAACTCGTATTTTGAATATTCCTTATTTTTGTTGTATCCATCTGAATTTTCAATAGGTTCACTTTGCACATGTTTTGATATATCATCTTTAAAAAATATTTTATTTTTTTTTCTTTTCATGAAACCAATAGTGTTTTCATTACTTATCTCTAATTTGTTATTTTTTTCCTCGATATTTTCCGAATCATCCATACAATTTTTTTCTATATCGTGTGTTACTGTTGAATGGTTACAGGATTCTTCATCCTCTTCCTTTACATTGTTACATATATAAATTTTTTTTTTCTTTCCTTTTTTTAGAACTGGTTTGTCATTTTGTTCATCTGTTAGGCACTCCAGTTTGTATTTTTCCTTCATTTCTGGAATTGTGCACAACATATATTCGAATTTTTGTATCTCCTTTTTGTGCCATGTTTTATATAAATGAATGATAAGAAACATGATGAGCGTTATAAATATGGCATCAAATAAAGGCATAAAGATATTCATATATTTCTGCAAATACCATATCTCGTTGTAATGCATGTCTGAATCGTAGTAGTGAACAAAACAACCAATCCTCATGTAAAATGAAAACATTTTCAGATGGAAAAGGAATAAGATTTTATATATGTACCAGTATTTTGTAATAAATGAATTTATAGTAGGTGAAAAAAAACCATACGCGATAAGGGTAAATGAACAATTGAACCAAATTTTCATTAAAATACCACTTATGTAAAATATGTTTAAAGAACTATTATAGTTCAGTGAAACGATGATAATAATAATAATATAATAAACAAGTTTTAATAATATTATATATAATATATCATAGAATAAAACTGAACACCTGTGGCATTTAGATTTAAAATAGTGCATATCGTATCCTTTTTCACAATTATTACATTGATATCCTGTGGAACCTTTTTGACATAAATTTGTTATGGTTCCTAGACATCTGTCAGGTAATGTACATTGGTGAATGTCCGGTAACCTTTCAAATTTTTTGTTTTTTTTTCTTAATTCATTCGCCTCATTTATATACTTGTTAAACATTTCTTCAACTGATAGTGTCTTTTCATTACTTTGTAGAAAGGCATGTGTTGGAGATCCATGAGGCTTTGTTGGTGAAGAAATAGATAACATTTTTTTTAAATAAAAATAAATGTTTTTTGCATAATTATTTGTATCACTCTCATTTGAATTTTTTCCTCTTTTGTCATTATTTTGTTCATTTTGTACATTTTGTAAAAATGTAATGGCGTTTGTCTGAAGGAATAGCAAATTATGTGTTTCTTCTTTATCTACTTCATTTGATATTTCCTTATTCACATTTTTTTTGTTTATTTTTTCTATGAATTCCATATTTAGGTATAAATCTTGACTTTTATCAAAAAAAAAATAATTTTTTTTTTCGATATTTTTTTGAATAAACAAGAGTAAATTGTAATATGGGTAAGAATATTTTAATTCGTTATTATCATCTAGGGGACTCCAATCATTATCCAAATTTTTTTCCTTGTAAACTGCATAATGTCCAGATATAGGATATGGATTTTCATGGTCTAAAATACTTATATCGTTATATGCCCTATTTTTCAACAATGTGAGAAAAAGGTGAATATTAAAACCTCTGTTACACACAGCTCCTTTGGGGCACATTTTGCAACTTTTGATGTGTTTGTTATTCTTTGGAGTTTTAGAATTTGTAGAATTTTCATTTTCGTCTTCCGAAGTGACAAGGAAATAATTGTTTTTACAAAAACATTGGTTTTCATATGATGAACCTACAAATGTTGTCGAGAAATGTGGACAAACTCCAGAACAGCTATTATCATATTCACTTTCCTTGAATGTGTTAGGAGGGCATGGGAAACACTTTACTTTTTTATCTTTTGAAGCTCTCAAAACTTTTCCATGAATACATAAACAATTATTTATTGAATTTCTCTGTTTTATCCCTTTTGGAATAACTAATTCTTTAGGGCATTTTTTGGGTAATGTGTGAAATTGGCCTTCTACGAGTTTGTTATTTAAAATCAAATTCGATTTTATTCCTCCTTCACAATAATGATTATCTAAAGAGCATGGTTTACAGACAGCTATATAACGTTTTAACGTTTGATTGTTGCCTTCAATAACTTCTTCTTTGCTTAGAGTATTCAAACTGATTTTTATTATTTCTGTCGTGTAATATATATTATTTTCTTTCTTTTTCGGAACAATAAAATATTTTTCAATGATATTTTTGTAATTAATTTTTTCTGAATTAATAAAATTTTGCAATGTATCAAAATCGAGATAATTTCCTGGGGTGCACGAGCAATCGTTAATGCTTGTCGATCCTATATTGGCCGTTGAAAAGGTTAATGGGCAATTTTCGCACTTAAAATTTCCTGTCGAATTTTTGTAAGTACCTCTATCGCACACAGAGCATCTGTGCGTGACAATTCCGGCATATGAATAACCTTTTAAGCATAAACATTTATCAACACCTGTAGCTAATACAACTTCTGTTTTAGAATTAGGTGGACATGTTATTAAGTATGGAGTATGATTCCCTGGGCAGAATTTTTCCATAAAGCACCCAAGGACTTGATATTTTTTATATAATAAATATTTACTATCTCTATTGATTGAGCATGTAAAAATAGTATTTTTTTTATTTCTTAATATAAAATTTATATATTCTGAAGGAATTTTGGATGGTACACTTTTTTCTATGTTTTCATCCAAAAAATGGTCTAAATGGGAAGTGTAATCATAAATATCTTCGAAAAAATAATGTTTACATTTAAAATATCCAACAATTTTTTTTTGATTATTTTTTAAAAATATTTGTGTATATGCTACATTTTTCCTTGAAAATTCGACTCCTGTACAGTAGATATTCGTTTTACAGGTGTGTACGCAGGATTGTAAATTAGGTTTGTAAGAGATAGTGTAATTGGGATTATTTTTCAAATGTAGATTTACATGGCAGGTCACATTCAACATCTTATCCGATTCCCAGTTGTAGTGTTCTTCTATGTTTTTCAACAGTACAATGAATATACTAAATAGGGACGTTCGTTTTAAAAAATCGAGATTTTGTAGATTTTTTAGGTTATATTTATTCTTTTCTGCGTTTATTCCATTTGGTTGTACCTCTACTTGATCATTTTTATTCCCATTTCGGTGCCCAGTGTGCGTATTTTTTCCATGATTATTATCTAAATTGTGAAAAAGTTCATTAAAATTTTGATCTAAAAACAGTTGATAAACATCGTCATCTAAACTCTTAACATTGTCCTTGAAATAACTGTAAATTCTATTTTCTGAATTTATATCGAATTTATACCTTACGTATTCTATATTTATAGTCCTGAACATGAGAAGAAAATATCCCTCCAATGGCAAACAGTTTTGTATCGACGTCGATCCTTCTGATTCTGTGTAGGTATTGTGAGGGCACGGAAGACATAATTCCTCTGATATATTATGTTTAAAAAAATTCTTTGGACAAATTTTACAACTCAATTTGTTACTATACTTGTTTCTTCTTTGGTTTATAGAACCATATCCACTTTTGCATTGACAGTCAAAAATGGAGGAGGCCTTTTTTCGATTTACTATAGAATTTTTGGGACATCCTTTTTGATTTTGATCAAAGCCTTCACAGTATTTGTTACTACATGGTATACATTTTTCCCTTTTATTATCCAGATAATACCCACTTTCACATAATTTGCATTTTGTTGGTTTGGGGATATCAACCTCTATTGCAAATATTTCTCTATTACGATTGTTATCATTATTCCTTTGAATCTGTTCATTATTAATGTTAAGAATTTTAATTTTTGTGTTATCATGGTCAGAATTATTTTTGTCAAAATAAGCGTATTGGAATGTGTTTTCTTTCAAGAGAAGATCTTCATCATAATTATACACGGTGTCGACTAAACCATAGTTATGATTATTAGGAATTGCAAAAATATTTGTGTCTAAATATATTGGATCATACAAAGAGCAATAGATAACATCTCCTTTTACTTTACCAATAAAAGAAACGTAGATACAAGTTTTATTTTTTTCATCAAATATAAAATTTTCTTTACATATGCACTCATTCTTTGATTTTGCTCCTTCTTTAGATATTTCATATTTATTACATTGAATTATTACACCATTTCCAGGACAATAATAATCTTTTCGGCATAATAAACATTTATTGTTGCTTTCGAAATATCCTTCATTACATGTACAAGACATTTCATCATAACTTTTAGCTCCATATACAATGCTATTTCTGTTGATGGGACATCCTTTGATACATATAAAATTACCAGTACTTTTTTTGTAATAACCAGGTTTGCACTGTTCACAACTTGCAGTTTTTTCAGAAAATTCATATCCAGATGAACATAAGCAGTCTGTTATTAGTTTGGATCCACTTTTCAATGTTGATGTATTTTTAAAGTATTTTTCACATTTTTCGCATTTTAATTCCACATTATCCCAAAAAGTTCCTATAGGACAACTTTCACATGCTTTATTTTCAACATTAAATTGTTTTCCTACATCACAGTAGGAAAATAAATCCTTATATATTTTAATTTGGTGTTGAAAATGAGTTTTGGCAAATATTTTTAATTGAAAAACTCCAAAGTAATTTAATTTTCCCGTTATTATTCCAGTTTCATATGAAATGTTTAATTTTGTTAATTCGTCCACATTTGTGCATTTGTTATCAGAATTCAGGAAACAAAAGAATATAACTGAATCGCTGTATATACCTATTTGTGGTTCTATGTTTAAAATATCATTTGAATTATAATTTTCTGCAAAAATGTAGTCAAAAGACATTCTAAAATAGTGATCAAATGAATTGAAATGATAGTGATAAATTATATTACCCTTGTACACTTGTGACGTAACTATTAATAAATTTTGATCTATTGCTATTACTTTATTAATACCATTATTTTTGTAACCTTTCCTTAATTGGATTGCTTTAACAATTTTATATTTCTTCTTATTTAAATCTATGATTTTAATTTCGTTACTTTTTATTTGTGTAACGAATGCTATATTTGTTCTGTGTGTGGTATGCCCTGTTTGTTCTCCATGATATATGTAGAAATTTAGTGGATTTTTTAAAATGAATTTATGCGATGACGCGTTATAATCTTCTAGTTCAGTAATTTCTTTACTTTGCAAGTTGTAGCTAAAAAAATTATTTCTTGTGGAATCTAATATGTATAGTAAATTATCCTGTATGCTAATAAATAAGGGAGTTTTTAAATTTTTCATATCGATATAATTTATTTCGTTTGATAAATAATTTGGAGTTTGTACCGGATTTAGAAACTTTTTAATATTTTTTTGGATTATATTATCATAAATTAATTGGTCTATATTTATAGGAACATTTCTTTTTTTCCTAACATTTCTACTGGGTTGTTCAACTGTGATAAAATTTTTTTCAACTGATTGATTTTCTTGTTTGTTTGTTTCTTCAGGAGTGTTAGATGGCATTATTTGTTGATACTTTTCATTTGTATTGTAACTAGACTGAATGATCTTTTTTTCCTTTTTGAAAAAATCGAGAAATGTGTATATGAAGCTTTTTTTCCTTGATATTTTTTCACGTCCCAATATTTTATGCAAATGCTTCGTTAAACTGTTGTTGCTTATCTTTGTTTGTAGATAATTATATAATTCTCTTAAATTTTTGCTGAGAGTATTGTTTCCTTTATTCGTTATCGGTTTAGGAGAAATTGCTGAACCATCACCTACATTATCATTAGGATTAACATCTAATATTATTTGTTCTCCTCGTAAGTCCTTATTTGGTGGGTTACTTTTTTCACTTTTTTGAAGTGAAGATGTTTTATTTTTTTCATTTCTGATATCTTTCCTTAACATGCGTAAATTCAAGAAATTTCGATGGATGTCCTGGTTCATATGGTTGTAATTCCTTTTGTTTGCATTTTTCAGCATAATGGCATCATTTTTAAATGTTCCTTTGTTCATCTGTAATGTATTTTCTATGGTTTTCGATTCTTCAGAATAATTACTACCTCGGTTAGTGTTTTGCGTTGCATAAGTTGTGTACACATTACGATGGCTTGCTGGATTATCATGTTGCATGTTTTTGCTAATCGTTGTTTTTTTAAAAATTCCCATATTGTGTTGATAGGATTTTAAATGTTTATTGTGAATACTTCTTTTTTTTTTTCCTTTATGGATAATATTATGAGGAATTCCATTAGACAGAATTTGTAAGCGTGCAATTTTTCTTAAATGTAAGTCGGTTATGTAAATGTATTGTTCATCAAAATCTATATCAACTGGAATTAGCAAATTATGATTAGTTGTAAAGGAAAGATTGTTATCACTTGTGTAAAAGAATATATGCATTTTTGTTAAAATTATAGTTCCATGTTCTTTAATCTTGCATGATATTAATTGATGATTTTGTATTTCTGGAAATATTTTACCTAATTCTTCACTTTTTTCAGAAAATGCTAATTTTTCCATATCAAGCGTTATTTTAAAACTACCATTTCTTTTTATAACATAGGCATCATGTGATTTGTTACTTGCGCATACATTTAGTATAATATTCATTTTTTCAAGATTAGAAAAAATGATATTTTCATCAAAGAATGATTCTAGTACTACGTAATAATTGGTAATGTTTAAAATTCCTACATCATAATATATATTTTGTGACTTATCCATTATACACAATTTATAATTATTCATTTTGTTTATAACTATTTGTTTAAAAATGATGTATTTGTGTTTTATAGTGAACTCATTATTTTCAATATAGTGTAGGTTAACATCTAACTTATAGCAATTGTTATTAAATTCAACGATGTATAATGTGTATTCATGATCCGGAATATTTTTTCCATATATCTTTAATTTAAAACTAGAATTTTTTAATTGTATTAGTGTATGATTCTTATAAAATCCCACATCATTTGAATTTTCTACCATTATATAATTATATTTTCGAAATTCTTCGTACAAATTAGTAAATTGTTCTATGATTAAATTTTGCCTTTTAATATCTTGGTCTAAATTAGGATGATAAACTTTTAATACGTTATGTAATATGTTCAACTTATCGTCTTTATTAATGTAATAATTTTTACCATCCATTAAAAATGCTTCCACATAATTTCCATTATAACAACATAGTACAATTGATGTATCTTCTGTAAAAATTATATTTTCCAGTATAAAGTTAATTGTTATTCCACTCTTCTGTTTATAGTGCATTATTTCTCTACTGTTAGCTCTTGGGGATTTATTGGACACTGATAAAGCAATTATTAACTTTTTCCTTAGTTGTTTACTTATATTTCCCTTTTTTTTATTATTTGAATTATCGTTATTCATCTCGTTTTCATCTTCACTATTGTAGTCTTTGTTATTATCATTAATATCTGTAATGGACATATCATGATGTTTGAATTTCATTTCTTCAAAAAAATAGTTAAAAAAAATGTCTCTTCTTGGTTTTATGTTTACATATGATAGAAGCAGAGCCCTTAATTTGTTCATATTTACACCGCTGCCTTCTTTTTTTTGATGTGAATTGAATGTAAATCCTGTATGCCTTAATACATAATTATGATTAAGTGGATTGGAAGTGTGAGATAGTTCATTATAATCTATTATTCTTAATAGATACGTACTTTTAAATGTGTAAAAGTATGAACTGTAACACACAACAAAATTTATCTCATTTTTGTAATGTTCTTTAAAAATATTTAACACTTTTGATTTGAAACTAGCATAAATAAAAGCACTGTTTTGGAAAAAAGGGATAAGAGTGAGATTTTGATTATTTTGAGTATTACAAATATCTTTTATATTGTCGTTATAAGAATTCATAGCAACAAATTTTATAGAATTTCCATTTAATGAATGCAAATTAGATGTCTGATCAATTTGATTCTTATTTTGTGTAATTCGTTTATTTAACGTGTTGTTGTGAACTAAGCCGATATATGTATAACTCCTCGTATCTTGGCAATTTCCGTTAGTATAATAAAAACAGTAACATATTTTTATATGTTTTTCTTGAATATTGATTATCCTATAATTTTGAGAAACCCACGTAAATGAGTCATTTATTTCTTTGATTATTTCCCTTGGCTTTCCATACATCTCTATACTTTGTTCCCAATCATTGTTATAATTAATGTTATTTATTTGAATGGTATTATCAAATAAGTTTACATTTTTGTCATCTGAACATGACGAATAATCTGCAACAAATCTGATTCTGTCATTTATGTTTATCCATTCATTTAAATATGAAAAGGAAAAGTTTCCATTAATATCTGTGTTCACTTCTAAAACACTGGGGCTAGATAATTTAAAGAATCCAACCTTCGTCAAATAATCATTATCATCACATATGTCTTTTGAACACCAACACACAACAATTCCTTGAGAAGGAAAATTAATAAGTACATCATAATATTGTTCGTATTCATTTACCCGTGGATAAAATGTTAAAAAAATTTTCCTTTGATTAATTTCCAAACATAATTTACTTAAATCTTCCATTAAATCAATTGGGAAAATTCGAATTGCCCCTTTTAGTACTTTGGACGTCTGTAATTTAAGAATAAATCGCTTCATAAAATGTATGGTTGAGTTTATTTTAGGTTCTATTAATACAGCTGTATGCACTTTAATTTTCATAGCTTTTGTATAATATAAATCGGTGGTACTGCAATTTCCCTCTATCAATTCATAACAAGTGCACACATATATATTATGCGATATGTCTTTGTTTCTATGCGTAAACAAATAACTGTAGTTGTCTGCATCTAAGATTATTAATAAATTTTTCCATTCATAACGTATAATATTATCTTCTATTTCTTCTTGCGTATGAGAAGTTAATAATTGTTGAACTGTGTCGGAGAGAAAAACTCTCTCACTGTAAGTATCGTTTTTTCTACACTCATTCGAATCTTCATATTTTTCATATATGAAACGGATAAATATATTGTATTTTGAATAGAATTGTTTTAATTCTAATGTGAATGGATCACCAGAAATTATTTCTTTATTCTTATTTTCATTAAACATACCATAGAACATAACACTTCCAACGTTATAGTAAAATTTATCAGTGCGCCTATGAAATGCACATATTTCATACGTTCTTGTTATGTCTGGAGGTACAAAATCTATTTTAAAATCGTACAAAACATCTATAATTTGTTGATTAGAATATTCGATTTCTTGAATGAGAACAATATTTCCACGTTCACTTTCATAAATTTCTCCATACTCATTTTTACACTCCTTTGTATCACTTAATGTGATATAAATTTTTTCTATATCTTCTTCTACAGTATTACTATGAATTCTGAAATATGTTTTATTCTCTAGAGTATCCTTTTTTTCATCCCCTTTCTTTGAAGCATCAATTTCTTTTTGATTATGTATTCGTTGTTCCCTAATTTTTCTTTCTTTTTTTGTATGCATCTTTTCCTTATCAACAACATTCTGCATTTTTATAAATGTATTACATGGTATTCCAGAAAAACAGATATACTCTTTGTATTCTTTAGAGCCAGGTAAGAAAACCATAGCTTGCATAATACCTGTTTTTAATCCCTTTAAAAACTCTGAACTGAAGTTGAAATCCTTTACTGGCCATATTTTGGTATTATATTTACTTAAATCATCTAGTAGTATTTTGTTATATTCATCATCATCAATTTTTATAACCATAGGTTTAAACTGCTTTTCATTATCACAAGCATCATTTTCTGTAATTTCACATATACATAGATTATATTTTTTGGGAAATTCTAATTCTTTAAAAAGATTCAAAATATGACCTTCTTCATTTAATTGGGATTTCAAATGAAAGTTTTTGATGTTCGAACAATCATCTTCTAGTAAAAAAAATTGCTCTTTATTTCTATAATTCATAAAGACATTACTTGGTGGTTTGGTTATTGGTACTATTGGTTTTATGGAATATTCTAAAGAAGAAATTTCAGTTATTAAGTATTCCATATTTTCTAAAAAATTACAAAATCCTGGAATTTTTTCATAACACCAACATAAAGAAAATTTCGTGTTAATTGGTTTCATATTTTTGCATGTCAACTTAAAATCACTAGACTCTAAGCATTCCTGAGTATTTTTTAGAACTTCTGTCCTTAGCGTGTTATATATTTTCATTATTTTTCCTTCCTTTTCTTCATTTTCTTCTATTTTGCCCTCCTTTTTTGATTCATCTTTTGCTTCCCTTTTTAATTTGTTTGCTACACTTTCTGCATATTCATTGTTTTTATATAGTACACTCAGAAAATCACAGGTTGGATATCTTATTACTTTTATTTTACTATGCTCAATATTCTTAAAATAGCCGTCAAGAGTAATTTCTGTTTCATTCAAATTGACAATTTGATTGAGTTGTTGCGATGCACCTATGTAGTGAAGTATACCAATATAATTTTCTCTAAATATCCCCAAAATCTTTCTTGAGTAAATTATTTTATAAGGTCCTGGTTTAATTTCATACATATTATGCCCCGAGAGTTTAAGGGTAATAGAGGAATTTCTTATACCCGAAAATATCTCAGATTTGTTGTTTTTGTTTTTTGGTATTTCTTCATAGAGTATCGTGAGTCTTTTTGTTTTTGTAATTTCAGCATATATACTGTAATGATACCATAACAATGTGAATTGTCCTTTATAAGAACAGTCAGAACCTATGTAACAATAAAAATTAACTTCTTTATTTGGTCCATCAAAAAGGATCGCACTAGTAATTGCATGATTATCCAATATTTGGTTTGAACAGTTATATATATTTATAATTTCTTCTGGAGCAAAATGATTATTATTATACTGTGTCGCTCTTTTTTCCCGACGTACTTCTGACGTCATAGGAGCGTCTTGAAAAATGTGAGTATCCTGCTCTGGATTATGGGTGAGAACATGCTTACAATAATGACATTCTTTTATAAAATATACTTTATTATACTTTAAATGATCATATTCTAGATTTAATTGAATTTTAGGGGTATTATTATTTTTATCAATTTCAATCTTTTTATATAAATTTGTTTCCCCATTATAGTATGAATATATGTACAGAGTTTTTCTGTCATTGCACAATTTTTCATATCCTATATTAATTACATCGAATATTGTGTTTGGAATATTATTGTATATAATGAAAAAATCTGTTTCCATGAAAAATATAAATTTCTGTTCTTTGTAATTTCCACAAATACTTATGTCCCTATTCAGCAATTTTATATTCATCTGACTAAGCTTGTAGGATATGGTAAAATCAATAGCGGTTACATTAGATGCTTCATCACTTATCTCATTATTCTTTTTGTAGTGAATTTCTACATCTGCGAATTCATATGTATTACATGAAGTTCCAATTTTTGATATCCACATGTCTGAAACGATTTGTGATGGAAATTTTATAGTAAAGGCACAAATGTAAAACAATTTACAAACATATTTTTTTTTTTCTAAAGGTGTTATATAATTGTCTATATTAATATTCGTGTATGAATTATAATCATCCAAGTTGTTACTCTCGTTACACTTTTCTTCAAGAGAACACATACATATATAGTACCTATGTTTATTTAAATTGATCACATTTTCTACTTCATACTCTGCTTCTGCATCAATGATAATATCTTTGTAAAAAGATTCCTTAGGGAAATCATTATTGGTTTTTAAGAAAAAACCTTTATTCGAATGACAACTTTCATTATCCTTTATTGCAAATTTCAAAAGTTTGGTGTTTATATCTTTATTATATAATGATATAATGGCACTAAATCTTATAGGATCTAATGAATTTACATTAAAGTTAATAATTTGCTCAATTCTCACTGAACCTATATCAAAATAATTAATTTGTTTCAAACATAATCTCATAGTAGTGGCATTGAAATCTATATTAAAATTTAATTTCTCATTTTTAAATATGAATTCATTATCATTATTATCTTTCAAACTGTTATATTCATTTAGTGCTGTTGCCTTATGAGAACATTCGTATTTTAGGTATGGGCCTGAGTAATTATGATATTCAAATGTGTGTACCATATGGTTTATAATTACATAGTTAATTAGAGAATAATATATTTTGTATTGAGGATTTACCGTCAACTCTATGCTTAATAAGAGGTCATATTTTTCTTTCTTCTTTAAACATAAATTATTTTCTTTAACTAGAGGGTTATCACTAATCAGATACAAATAATCATCTTGTTGTTTTAGGTGCGTTGTTATTTCTTCATTTTCGAGGGTTTTATTGTCACAGGTATTATAAGACCATGTAAAAGTAGTGCTTTCTACATTATCAATAATATACTTAATTTTTTCCTTATCAGTAAATATTTTTATAACACATTCGGAACCTATGAAACAGATAATTGGTTTATATGTCTGTAGAAAAATTATGGTACCCACCCCTTTATATTTTAGATTATCTAGTATGCATACCTCATTGTAGTGTGTGCTATTATTATTGGGAAAATGGAATGTGTAATATTCTCCATCTAATATATAATCATTTTTTAAGATAGGATTGGTTGCATCCGAACAATTTGTTTTAAGTACTAAAGTTTCATCAGTAATATTTGATACATTTTGAAAAAGGATAGCATTAATTGTTACAGAACAGGATGGATTTTCAAAATTACAGTAAAATGTAGTATGGATAATTTTTTTGTCAACAACAAATGTGCTAAGTAGTAAACTTATGTTATTATTTTTAAAACATGTGTAATAGGTGCCATCATTTAATTCATGGAATTTTGTTACATGTCCAATGATGCCAACGCAATTTGATACATCTATATTTTTCACAAATGAAGACTTTAAAACAGTTTCACATTTTTCATCTTCCGAAATGAAAAAATCATCGAAAAGGCCAAAATAATACTTGAATTTATCAATGTTATCATCGCTGCAATCGGTTAATTCCCCTACTTTTATCTCCTCATTATTCTGTTTAATGGTTTGAGGGATATGCAAAGATTTCTCAATGGGAGATATAAGAGAACTGAAAAAAAAAAAAAAAAAAAAAAAAAAACGAAAATAGATGAATTAAGAAGCTATTCGATTATGCAATATATATGCAAAAATCGAGGATGCGCACTTTGGAAATATGTAATATAAGATGGGTTACGAAAAGGGAGAAAATTTTTCATCTTTGAAGGCATGTACAGATACATGCTCATATGCTTTAATGTAAGAAAATTAAAAAACAAGGTTTCAACCGGAGAAAATACCGAAGGTTCAATTATCACATTTGCAAAAGGTGAAAATTAAGCGAGAGTAAAATGCGTAAACGTAGCATTTATATGTATATTTAAGGGGAATCGACATTTTAACAGAAGCAATATTTTTTAACTTTTAACGTAAAAAAAAGAGGTTTAAATGGAGAGCATCCTGTGAAGGAATATTTAATAAATTTCTCTATATACACTTAAGAAGAACATTCACAATTGAACAAATAAATGATTAATTCGGAGCAAATATGCATAACTATGTGGAGGAATAATAATAACATTTATGCACAACAAGAACACTGCACATATGCTGATGTTACCATTTATTACTTTGATCCTTAATGAAAATATGTGCATCCTGTTTTTGAACAAATAAGAACTTTTTTCCATCTTGTATTTTTGCAATCACTTTACCCAAATAAGGACTAGGCAAAGTACAATCATTTATTCCATTATCATCATAAATCACATAGCTATCACTAAGCTCAAAATTAGGAGTACCAATGCCATCTTCATCTATCTTCAAAATGGCTATGTATGGAGTTTCAAACTGTTCAGCATGAACACTAAATGTCTTAACCTCATAAGTAAAGTGTGAAATGTGTATATTAGCCTTTATGCTTTTTAAGAAAATTATCAAGCATATAGCAAAAAAGGAAAAATTCAAGATGTTAACCATTTTTTTTTGTTCCATTTATTATTAGAATTTAATTCTGTGCATTGGCTTGTAAACAATTGGCATATTAATCTACATGTGTCTACCTAGTCATGCCTTTACATATGTAGATATATATTTAACCAGTTGAAAATAAAATCACATTATAAGAACTTATGTTTTTTTTTTTTTTTTTTTTCTCATGCAACAATTATGTTGTAGAAAAACTGTGCAAGTAATTATTTTATTTATTTACAGAATATGTAAAAAGGCAACAACATGTTACATTGGAAAAATTTGTGTGGAAAAATTTCAACGCAAAAAATTCTTGCATGTCCAAAAAGTTGCTTAAATTAAAAGGGTGCACATTTTTTGGGAAGTAGGTGCCTCAAGAGGGTTAAAAATTAATTCACAAATGAATAAATAAAAAAATATGTATGCATTCGAGAAATCTTAAGAATTTAACAAAAATATTTTTATTATAACAAAAATTTTATTCTTTACATCACTAATCACAAAAATAACAATCTATAGAATATATATATATATATATATATATATATATTTTTTTTTTGTTGTTCTGCGCATAGAATTATTTCTGAGTTGTTCTGAGTTAATGAAAATTGTGAGCATTTTTTTCCTTTTTTTTTTTTTTTTTTTTATTTTATTATATATTATTTTTTCTTGTCTTTTATCGTTTAATTTTGTCTTACATACTAGTTTATGCTATTACACATTTGAAGAAACTTTTTGTTGTCATATTTTCCAAGTTTTTATTAGCTACTACTTTAAGTTTATTTATGTGCATGCAATAGGCAACTCATTTTTACATTTTTTTTTCAGTAATTCGGATTTGCCGTTATAAAGTTATTCTATTTTTTTTTTTTTAAGGAATAAAAAAGAAGGAAAAAAAATAAAAGAAAAAGTAAATTAAAAGAGTAAAGGAAACTATTTTTTATGCTTGTATTAATTTTTTTATTTTAGTCATTTGTGAAATGAACTTATGATTTGAGCAAGCAGAGTTGTCCGATATTTCGTAGAAGGTAGGTATGATAGCATGAAAATAGTAGAAAAACATGTAAAAAGGAAATGTGAGTATTTTGTGTACATTTTCATTGAACTGCATATTCTTAATGAAAATCCTTGTCAAAATTGAAAAGCGTTTAAGGAACTATTCTTATTTAAATATTTTTAAGTGAAGCATTTTTGTCATTTATGTTTTATGTTGATTTGTGTGTACGACTCATTTTTTGTCCTACTTATATTTTTTCATGTTTGTTTTAAACTGCACATAATTAAAAATTTATTTTGTTAAAGTAGATTATGTGTTTTATTTTATTTTTCTTGTTCATTATGCCATATGAGGTGGTTATGTATCTTTAAAGTAATAATTCATTTGGGGGTGTTGCAATGTAACTCTATGTTTTTGAGGGCATATAGTTGTGTGTGTAAATTCATATATGGCAATTTTTCACCTAATAGTATGGGCGTATGAAAAAAAAAAATTTAATAGTTTATTCCGAATAAATAAAACAGTACTTTAATAACATCGGCATATGGCATTAATATGTGTACATTCTCAAAATCCTTTTTTTTTTTTTTTTTTTAATTTCAAATGGTCTATATGCGGTTATATAAAATAAAAACATAGTACTTGCAAATTTTTAAATTTGATATAACAACGAAAACTATTTTAAAATAACATCCGTTACTTGGAATTGTGCAAGTATTAATTTCATTCTACATATATATATTTCCATATTTTTTTTTTCAGCACATGTATATATGTTCAACTTGCATGATATATCTTTAGAAAACATGCTTTCGGTTTACAGTTTAAGTCTTAACGTTTTTTAGAGGGAATTAATAGGGATTTATTTGATACATAAAAGTTTAAGGAATATTCATATAACTTAATTATCTATACTGTTCGGAAGAGAATAGTGCGTAAGTTTCTTTTCTTCTTCTCTTTTTATTACTTTAAGGTGTATATACACAACAGGTCTGAAACGAAATTATCTTAAAAGTTAAATTAGGTCAAAGAAAAAGTTACATTCTTATCTCATAGTATATTTGATTTTATTTCAATTTATTGTTAATTATATGCGAGTTATGCAAACAATATGATGTTCCTCTCTCTCCCAACCTTCACATTTTTTTTATATGTAACATAATTATTTTCCAAGAAGCATATGTTATTTGTTTGTCTACACAAAGTGATGTATTCTTTTATTAAAACATGAAAGAATTATTTACACTTAAAGAAATATATAAAATCCAGAATATTAAAAAATAAGAAATATAAAATTAAAGGAAAATTAAAAACTTATAAAGAATAATATTTACATTTTGTATATGTTAACACAAATGACGTTATAAAATTAAGAATTATAATTTGTCTAGAATTTAGATTAGATATATATATCTTGCGATCTTATATGTTTTAAATTGATATATAATTTATTGTTTAGACTTATTTTCTTTTGTTTGTTTATTTGATTCCATCTTTAGTTCCTTTTCTTTTTCTTGTCAGAATATAGGTAAATTATTATATTATTTTTTTTTTTTGAGAACCGAAAATTTGCATATTCTGTAGGAAATATATACGTATGTATACACACGTATTTTGTAATTTTCCTCATATTTAGAATAATTTTTATTTTATCATGCTATTTTTTTTATGTAAATTTGTTCTATCATCACCACAATCATCTTTATGACCTTTTTTTTTTTTTCTTCTTTTCTATTTATTTATTCTCTTTTTAGAGATGCAGGTCTTTACTGTATAAATCGTTGAATAACTAGTTTCATTGTCACCTTTTTATGTTTTTAATTTTTATCTTACAAATTAAGTTTTATTTTTATATTTCCTTTATCCAAAGAATTAGTAAATTTACTGATATATTATTGTATGCGGACAAGGCAACTTATGGTTTTCCTCTAACTATTTGATCAGGTTGTTTTAGGTGCCTTTTTGGTTCGACCTTTGTGTGACCCCCTTTTTCATTATTTTACATTATAATACGATATATTACATAGTTTAACCCCATTTTATCCCATTTTTTAGTTCAAAATTTTTGTGCTAGCAAAATGAATTATGTATTCTCAGTGCTTTGGTGTATCTTATTGAGCTGCCTTGTAAGAGGACAAGAATCTGCTACAAATTTTTACAAGTTTGTAGATTCCTTCGCTTCATCCACATATATTTCAGAGGAATCTGGAAGTTCTCTTTATGATGCGAAAAGAGCTATACAAAATAACCCCAGTTATTGGTGTAGTTCTGGGAATCATGCAAAGGATGAAGAAATTACTTGGACTGGTTATTTAAATGCAAAGGGATTTATAAAAGGAGTAAAAATATCATGGGAATACAGTCCAGAAATGGTAAGCATATCTGTGTCTAGTGATGGAGAAAATTATAAAAATGTTATTCCTTATAAGAGAGTTTCTGGAAACGAAGCTTCTTTTGCAGAAATATACTTTTTTAAAAAAATAGAGGAAGCTACATTTGTAAGAATTGGATTAAAAAATTCTATTCACAAATATTTTGGAATAAGGGAAGTGAAAATTATTGGTGGAGGGGATCCATATTTTATCTTATTATCAGGCATTACAAGTGATAATGAAATGTGTTTACAAGTAGAGGAAGGGTTGATAAATAATGATAATACCTCTGTTATATTAGATTCATGCATAAATGCTTTAGCAAGTGGAGACGGTAGAGAGTTGTGGAAAACCAATTCTAATAATCAAATAATTAGTGCCTTTAGCGACCCTCCTAAGTGTTTATCTGTTGTTAATTTAGATAATTTAGAAAATAACAATATTGTTTTATATGATTGTTTAAGAGCTTTGGAAGATGGTGATGGAAAGTCTAATTGGATATTTGAATCTAATTCACAAATTCGATTACAGAGAAGTGGTGAACCTTTATGTATTTCACAAAATAACATATATGGAAATGTACCAGGAATTCATGATATTCTTCTCAACATGGATGTGTCCGTTGATTCTAATTCAATTTTGGATGATGATCATAATCCTGACAATACTATAGATGGAAACTTGAATAGCTATTGGGCTTCCGCAACATTTGCAGATAACTATGATCACTTGGTTTCCTTCATTCTAGATTTAAACAAGTATGCAGAAATATCAAGAATAAAAGTTTTTTGGGAATACCCTCCTTTACATTATAGCATAGGTGTCAGTACAGACAACCATGAGTATAAAACCATTGCTGAAAATTTAGCAAATCCTAGCTTTGTAACAATAGATTCATTAAAAAATGTAGAAACAAGGTATATCAAGATATCAATGATTAAGCCCCATCCTAAACATGGTGAAATGGGAGAACAGTTTTTGTATGGAATAAGATCCATAGAAGTTCAGGCGAACAATTTAGAAACCGTATTACGTTATTGCAGAGATGCAGCTAATTCAGATGATGCTAGAGATAAATATTTTGTTGAATATATAACTGAATTTGATCAAGAATTAACTAATAAACTGATTAATCTTGAAGATGATGTATCAAAAAATGTAAATTCTATCAGTGAGAAATTATCGAAATTGGAAGAATTATTACCTAATATTGAAACCTGTTTACAAGAAAAAAAAGAATATGATGAGGAATTAAAAGTATCTAAGGAAAAGGCAAATGAATTAAATGAAAAGTTGTCATCATTAGCATCAGTGAATTTAATTCATGATAACGATTTACTAAAATTAGGTATGCTTCCTGGTGATTCATCTTCCTACCCAGCTAGCGATTGTTCTGTTATTAAAAATTCCCAAGAAATACCCCAATCAGGATTTTACTGGATAAAGCCCAAATGTGCACCCGAACCTTTGAGAGTATATTGTGACATGCTTTCAAGTACATCTATATATATATGGAATGGAAATTCCTCCAAATCCCCAGATCATTTAATTACCAACATTATCAATTCAGTGGATGATATTAGACAACATTGTGCTGAAATAGGATTAGAACCACTGATTTTAAGATCAAAAAGTCAACTAAATAGTTTAATTTTATCGTTAAAAAAAATGGGATTCATGTTAAATGGAAAAAACAATATTCCATTAGCTTATGATTATTCTTGTGATCATGGCAGTTGTAGTGGAAAGTTTCATGATTTGTTAAATGGCAATATAGATTTAACGACGCTAATTTATTTAAAAGCATCTGAATCACCAAATAGCACAAAAGTTAGACAAACTGCTGGAATATCATATGATGATGGATCTTTTAAATTTTTTAACTTGGAAACATCGGATATATCTGCCATAGTTTGTTCTACTAATGTAACAGAGAATGATGCTGTGGTACAATATTTGAGTATAAACTGTGAAACCACGGCAACTGAGGATCATTTTAATTCAATTGTAAATACCAATGTGGTTGTGCTATGTCCATTAGGGTGTGAAAATGAAAATTTTAAAAATAATGAAGTATATGGAAGTAAAGGAACATATGCAGATAACAGTTCTATTTGTAGAGCAGCAATACACGCAGGTGTGGTGGACAATAAGGGAGGGTTAGTGAACGTAACAATTGAATCTGGAATGGACCGTTATGAAGGGTCCATTAATAATAATATAGAATCCATTTCTTTAAATAAGGAACCAGGGGGATTACTCGATATAATTACTAATGATAAGGAACAGGATATTAAGGAAGAAAGAAGCTTTTTTCATCATAGGACGATACGAATTAGTAATTTATCTGCTGATTGTCCTATAGACTTGTTTCAATACAAACAGACGTCATTTTTTCAAAGGTTAGACACGACAAAAGAAAGACAGGAAATGAAACACAATGAAGAAGAAAATAGAGAAAGCATTATTTTTCATGAGTTAATTACAGATTTGTTAAATAACATTGATGCTATTCACGGGGTTGATCCTTCAGTAATTTCAATTGTTCAAGAAGAAGCAGTAAGAGTTATAGAAAAATCTAAGAAGGAATTAAAACCAGCTGATTTATTATCCAAAAAGCAGACTGATGATGCTATAAATTTGTACAATATAACAGAAGATTTAGCATTATATCTATATGACTTATCAGGAAAATACATGGACGATTTGGAAAAGTTGAAAGAACGTTTAGAGGAGTTAAAAAAAGCGCAAAAAGTAGCTCATAACTTTGGCACATTTAAATTGAACTATGAAACTATGAAATTTTCATTGCATTTCCATATTTTTGATTCAAAACTAACAAAAAATGTGTCTAGCACTTGGGGATATGCAGATACGGATATATTAGGACACAAAAATAGTATTGGTCAAACAAGCAGTATTTCGAACATAGAAATAAGTGAAGGATATTATGCAAAATTGAAAGGATTCAATTTTTATGACTTTGAAATAAATGTAAGTATGTTAAGCAAGGGAACGGGGTGTATGGGCATAGTGTTTAGAGCTAAGGATGATTTTAATTTTTATTTATTTGATGTATGCGATAAGGAAGGAATAAAAAGATTGTCTAAGGTTGAAAATGGAAATGTGGACATTTTAAAGGAGAGCTATGGAGAAGTCACAGTAAATACTAGATGGAATAAGTACAAAATTGTAACAAGTCATGCAAATATTGATATTTATGAAGTAGATGAAAATTCAAATGAAATTAATATATTGAGATCTTTAGATGAACGGTTCTTGTCTGGTACTGTTGGTTTATATTCTCAAATTCATGGACAGGGTTCATTTTTTGATGATTTAGAGATTATAGCTCGACCATGTTCTGAATTATCAAAAAGGGAGGAGAATAAAAAACAGAGGGAATTTTCTGATTGTCCATACTATAAGGAAAATTACTTAAGCGAAACGTTGTTTCCATATATTATTATTAATGATGTGGATTATGACTGGAGTTTTGAAAAGGAGGATGACAAGTACATAGATCAAGAAACGAATGAAGATATCCATGATAGAAATGATAGAGAATATTTATTATGCTCAAAAAATGTGAAAGATAGCGTTTTTCCGAGTAGGGAAAGGCGTGATAGCATAGCGCTTTTAAAACAGAGGAAGTGCTCTGATGGATATTTTACTTTATACATGAATTTCTCTAAGGAAGAAAATAATACTAATGATAATGATGAATATATAAAAATTCTTTTCAACTTTGTAAACGAAGAGAACTATAATGCAGTTGAAATGACAAATGATAGCGTTAGGATTGTAGCCTATAGGAATGACAAACCTTTAACAGTATCTGAACTGACAGATAAGGACAAAATTAAAAAGGTGTTAGTACAAAATGAGTGGGTTAATATAAAATTAAATTTCAATAAATCAAAAGTTATGGTAAACATAAATAATAATGAGGAAGAATTAAGACTAGACACAGACAATGTTGATATAGATATGAATTATTCAGGTCAACTTGGGTTCTTGGTTCATAATTATAGGGAGGTAAAATTTGCTTCGATCCTTCTTTCACCTGTTATATCAAATTCAGATGGAAATTTTATACAAACTAAATCCAAGGCATGGGGAACTTGTGAAGATTCTGTACATGTATTAAATAGAAGGTACTCATGTGAAACTGACATATATCCGAATGAGACAAAAGAAAAACATATTAAATGTATTAAAAATTTTTGTGAAGAATGTTGTATGCATCATACACAAATGTTGGATAGTAATGAAAAAAAACAATGCGAAAAACATTGTAAAAAGAATGATCATTTAGCGGCTAAGATACAAATGCTTTTTGAAAAATTTTTGAATAAATGTGTTTCTTTGGATCAAAATGAAGATTACGAAAGGTGTGATGACAATGACACCGAATGTAGAAAGAAAGTTTGTGTACTTTGCTGCAAAAAAGATGACCACCCAAATTCTAAGGAATTGAAGGGTCTATCTATGCATAAGTCAAAGGATATACAGCAAAAAGAAGTAATCGAATGTCAATATCAGTGTAACCGTACCCACGTGTGAGGTAAGCAAAGTGCTAAAGCATGGGGTGTAACGGCAAAATAAAATGACAAATAATAAAGGGGAAAATTTTTGAACTTGTAGTAGCATTTACTTTCATATTTTAACGCAGTTTTTCACCTCTTTAGCTTTTCTTTGTCCTTGTCTTTGTTTTTGTCATAAAACAAGTTGTGTCATGTGGCTAATTTTTTTTTCTTTTGATAAAGTGCGATGTGCATTCGAAAGAAAAAAAAGAAAAAAAAATTTATATCATCTTTATAAAACATATATTTTTTTTATTTTCAACAATTATAATGCTGCATTTTTTTGGGTATTTTTCCTGCCACATGTTCATATGTGAGAGAAAGTATATACATAAGTGTAATAAACGAATTATTCGAGAAAAAGACACCACCAATATGTGCTCCTTTAGCAGTTAATTCCAGATAGATGCTTTGTCAGGTTTTTAGTCTTATTCATTAAAAACAAATATGAACTACGTTTTCCATGAGACATATTTTTTCTCAATTTTAACTTCACTTTTTGTTTTATTTTTGAGAAAGTGTTTAGGATAGTATTGTCGTTCCTTTGAAATGCAATATTAGGCACATTGGCACACAGACGGTTGTGTGTTGCACTATTTCTTCTTTTTTATAACCATTTTGCGTTTCAGTCGTTTAATATCAAAGAAAAAAAAAAGGGGGGAAATGTTAGTAAACAAATTTTTTAAATAGTGATTTATTGGTGAACAAATAGGAAAAACACGAATGCAGTTTATAGGATTTAATAGATTGTTTCTAATTAGTTCTGTTTGAGGCTTATGATATAAAATGGGAAATACATAATACATTCCTTTTATTTTCATGCGAATTTTCTCATACATACGTCCATGGTAATATTCTAAGAAATCGTTTTTTTAACGTTATTTTAAAGTATTTTTTTTCCCCCCACCCTTTATGTCATTATTAAAAAATGTTGCTTTTTAAAATAATCATGTTATTATCCCGTTACCTTTACAAATGGTCACTTAAAAATAGATATGGTATCTATTTTAAAAAGTAAAAATATACAATGGCATTATTGTGTAATTATGCAACATGGTAAAAACATATTACCTGGGGGTCATCATGTAGTTTATTAATTTATCTGAATTACGCGTGTTAAACTGTTTTATGATAGTTTATCATATCCATTTGAAAAAATAAGCATTTGAATAAGAACATTGTGTGAGGATCAGATTAGATAATGTATAATATGAGGTTACATACTGTGTCTTTGTATATACATGATGCATATCTACACAAACATAATATAAAAAAAGAACATATATAATAGAACATTATTTTTGTGTGAAATGTTTTCCCCATGGAAGAAGGCAATAGTTTACTCCTTCTTTATGTAATACCCTTTTACATATTATTTTGTTTACTTAAATTAGCAATTCTATTTTTCAATATTTTTTGAATTTTTTGTCTTCTTAAAAATTTCCTGTTAAACGAGTTGTACGTATATAAAAAGTTCCTCATGTCCAAATTATCAGTGTCAGATGATTCAGTAGAAAAATGATCACTACTTGTGTTGAAATCATGATCAAAATTTGCATCATTACACATGAAATGGGGGTTGTCAAAGTGGCTACTGGTATTTTCTCTCTTCCCACAGGTATTATCTATGGGTGCTTTATATTGCATTTCGGAGTTCCCAGTATTATTACTGGGTAATTGAGAATTGTTAACATTTTCAAAGTTCGTAATGATGGGACTTTCTAAATCATTCGTCATTTCGAACTGTGAGTTATCTTCTGTTTTATTCTCACTATTTAACACACCTTTTTTTGTATTTATATCTAAGTGTTTGGCCCTATTATTATCATTATAATGGCATGTTGCATTTTTTTCTTCGCGTTTATTTTTATTGTTTGTCAAATATAACTTTAACTTGTCGCAAAATTGGGTTTTGTTATTTTCATTAAGCATTAAGTTTGACAAATTTTTGTCCAAAGTTAGAACATTTTTTATGTGGTATCTTCCAACTCCCATTAAGTAATTTTTGTTATATGAAATTTTTTGGTTAAATTCATTAAAATCTGCTACATCTAAACCGAAAATTCTTAAATCATTAAAAGCAGAATAGTATAAATTTTTTGAATCTGCATTGTCTAAAATGTTATATATATTTGGGAATATATCAATGAATGCGGGAAGGTTTTCTTCTCCGATAAAATTCTTTACGCTTTCTTTATAATTTAGTTGTTTCATTGTTAATTCTTTTTTTTCAATGTTGTACGTTACAAAATCTGTTTCCGGATTACTGTTCTTATCTGGAGGTTTTACTTTTTTTGCAATATTTTCTCCGTTCATTGGGGGATTATCTTGAAAATTGTCTGTTTTTACTCTAGCACTACTTAATTCGTCTGAGTTGTTAAGATTTTCACTTAATTCTTCTGAATTGTTATTTTCATTATTGTTGGGTAGACATGAAGGGGACTCATTGTATGGACAGTTTGCTTCTTTATCAATGCTTGTGTTTGTCTTTTCATTGGTATCACTTTGGGCATTATTACTGGAAATGGATATAGTATGATTATTTGTTTCTTCCTCATTTGGCAGTTTAATCTTTTTATTTTTTATATCCACATTTGCAATAACCTTGCTAATTTCTCTTTTTCTGTCATTTTGGGTTAATTGTGAATAATTTTCGTTACAACAAGTTGGGGAATATTCCCTATTTTTATTTTTGCGCGAAACAGGGTCTCCAAAAATTACTTTTTGCAATGATTTACTTATATTTACATAGTTACATATAGTGGAATAGTTACTCTTGTTATCAGAAAGTACATTTATTAATAAATTAAAAATATCTTTCGATTTATCATTACTATTTTGAATTGTATCTAATACTTCGGAAAAATTTTCTTGTTCTAGCATGTTTTCTAGACTTCCGCATGTATCATCATATGCATACATGTCATTTATGGCATTAATGTTAAATGATCCGAATATATTATCATAAAAGTTATCATTAACATTCATAGTTACATCTGTTTTTGCTAAATTTTTATTGTTACTTTTTTTTTTTTTGCTATTAAGAGCATTCTTGGATTGATCTATATTATCAGTGTAATTATTTTTTAATTCTACATTTCCTTTGCTGGGTCTTCCTACCTTTCCTTGTTTTTTCGTCCTAAGATTTTTTTTATTTTCTTTTACGGGTGCTGTTTTTTCCTCATTTGTGTTCGTGTCATACAAGACATTATTTAAAATATCCCTATCCTCACTATTATATAGAAGGTGTATATTAACATACTTCCTATATATTTTTGGGGTAATTTTTTTATAATAATTTTCCACATTTTCCGCTATCCTGTGATATATAGTACTTTTGTCATTGTATGTGTAACAATTATTGATAATTAAGAAGAAATCCTTTTCGAATTCTTGAAAGTTACTATATTTAAAATTCTGAATTTTTTGTTTCATGGTGGTGAAATCCATTGGTTCTTTTATTATGTTTAAGTAATCGGGAACAAACTGTACATTAACTGGATATAGAAAAACCCTTTTCTTATCAAAAGCTATTAGCTTATTTAACAAATTCATCATAACTTCATTTTTCCTCCTTAATTCCTCAAGCTCATCATATTTAATTTTGTTTAAACTCATTTTGGAGAACAATTTTAATTGGAATGATAAGATAACAGAACTTTGTGATAAAATGTGTGCAATATGGAATGGAGCACATTTGTATGGATTATACACATGGATATTAACACATGTATATATTATCGTAAAACTTTTTCAACTCTTGTACTTGTTCGATTTATTTGTTTATATTTTCTTCCTTGTGAAAATACTTTTAACACTACAAATGAATAATCGCTACTATGTTATATTCATCCATTATTGGTGTATCAGTAAAAACTGGTCATGGTCAAATGAGTATGTGGTCCCTCTTTTGGGGATTAAATCACATAATCAAAGCACTTCTTTAATTATGTTGTGTTATGTGCTTATTTCACAGCTTTCATTTATCGAATTTGATGATGCATTATATCATGCAAATGGTCGGGGAGAAAAAAAAAGTAAAAGAAAGCATAAAGATTAAATAATGCAGCACAAAAAAAAAAAAAAAAAAATAATAATAATAAATGGTAACAAATTCTAATACATTTCGTGCAACATTTAAAAAATAGGAAAATTTTCAACACTGTGAAAAATATGTTTTATGTTATTTTTCTATGTAATGGCTCCTTTTTATAGTTTTTGATTGTAAACTTGTTCGAGTATATTGGATGTATAAATATACTCATAACTATTCATCATATAATATGTATGTTTTTAATTTATTTTGAAAATTGAAATATTTTCCCTTAACTTTAAAACTAACAAACTATATTTTATATTTCATACAAAAATAAAACAAATGAGAAAAAATAAGGAATAAATCATGTAAAGGTTTAAGATATAAAAATTCCATCGTTGTATGATCCAATTTAAAAAGGGATGTAAAAAAAAAAAAAAAAAAAAAAAAAAAAAAAACACAGAAAAAATCAAACTTTGAAAAAAGAACAAAACATTTTCATATATAAAAAAGGAAAAATGTATGAGAATGAGAAGTAATATCAAAAAAGTTGCAAAAAAGTAGGGGTGAAAATTTTCTGTTAAAATATTTAATAAAAAAAAAAAATTATGTACACTAAAGCGTACTTTTTTTAACATAACAATCTTCTATTAGTTAATTTTATTTTATGTTTTCAAATTTTGGGAAATTTCTGTAACACTTTTGGTATAAGGAATTTAAATACCTTTGATTAAAAAAATAAATGATATATATTTGCTTAATAAAAAACGTTATTATAATTAAATATTCCAGAAATGAAACATTTTTCAAATGAATGAGTATTAAATATATATGCTTGTACGTACAATTGTTATATCAATTTGATATTTCTCTCAGAATATGGTCAATTGGGGGACTCTTTTAATGTGTGTTTATGAATAATTGTATATGTGTATCGTAGAGTTATAGAAAAACATACCCATATAATAGTAGCAAATTCTTCACAAGTTGTGAAAAAGACAATTTTTTTGCTAATTAAAAATTTATAAAGTTGGCATATATAATAAAAGAAATAAAGTAAAATAAAATAAAACTGTGGTGCTATAGGTACCTTTTATCTTTAAGAATTAGAAATAAATGTGATAGACTGTCATGACAGAGAAACTATAAAAGAGCTAATTCATTTTTTTTATTACCTCTTTTTACCTTTAAGAGTATCGTTCCCATTCACTTAGATAATATATACAAAAAAAAATTTGTATCTTTTCTCTTGAATGTGAAAACTAACAGGTTCATTTTTATTTTATTTTATTTATTTATTTTTTGCTAACGGAACATTAATTTAACACATGATAAAACGATACATTCACGCTAGTTTTATTATTTTGAGAGACCTACATGCAACGGCGACTTAATGTGATAAATATGTATAATAGCTATTGTATGTTTAAAAATAAAAGCGTAATTATAATGTGTATAACTATATGGATAATAAAATGCTCATTGGACAAGATGAAGTAAAATCTTTAAGTAGTAACATGAAAACATCATATGTTATCTGCTTGAATGGCAAATTTTATGCTTCCCCCTTTGATAATGTCAGATAGTGCGCGAGGCATATCTTCCAATTTGTAATATAAGTTATAATCACTTTTTGAAATTGCAAATAAGAATTCATGAGGACATGCACGAGTTATGATTAAACGGAATACTTCACTCATTGAAACCCATAAAATTACCCACTTCAGGTGAGCGTGTAATAAGTATATGATTTTGGTTTTAATTAACACGCGGTAGTTATAATAGAATATCTGAAATTCGAAAAAATACATATGTACTGTTTCGAAAAGAGGTCAGCAATTGTTAACATTTTAAGAAATGCTGTGCCCAGTTTGAAGGAAAATCAGGTACAACATGGATTATACATTTTGAATCGGGTCTTAGAGTTTTTACAATTATATGCTTTAAAAGCGACACATTAGAAGGTAATGATAAAGGTGTTACCTATCTACATGTTTTTTTTTTTTTTTTTTTTTTTTTTTATTATTCTCACATATTCATGAATCCATGAACTTATGGAATTGTCAAAAAGTGAAATAATGTTCGTTTGTGCACATACATACATATATACATATATATCATTTGTTCCAAAAAGCACGCGTTTTTTTCACAAGTGTGATACTTTTTTTATTCATTTGGTTTAAAGTGCTAACAATTAAGTACTTTTAAAATAATTTTTTCATAGTGCTTTTTTCTCTTTTGAAACTGACAAAAGGATGGAAGGAATTATACATTGGTGTTCTTTTTTTTTTTTAATTTATGGTAGCAATTCTTTTATTTTTGCCAATTATTTCACTTATTAGCAAGCACTTAAGCAATCCACTTTATGGATGTGTAGAGGAAATTTTGTTCCACTTGGTGTTTTATAATCTTAAAATGTTTTTTAAAAAAAAAAGTTATTTTTTTTTTTGCGATACATGTAAAGTTCTGTTTTCTCTGAACTAAAGATTCCACCTCATTTTGGTTACCACATTACCAATGGTATGTATATGTCTCAAAGTTTTAGAATGTCTATCTTTCACAATGTAGTTTAACAAACATGTCGTGAATTATATTTTGTAAATAAAACTCTTCTTTTTGAGTGAAACATGTGAAGTGTTAGGTATAGAGGTTTCTTTTGTAAATAATTTTTTGAGGATTTTCGTTTTTTTTTCTACCAAATGGAGAGTAGACCGGGGGGCGGAAATTATGTTCTTCTTGAAATAAAACAAATTAATTGTGCCTCAATGGGATCGCTTTTAAGTGACCCCAAGTAGATAGAAAAATTGGGCATTATTCATTATACATATATATATTTTTTTTTTTTTTTTTTTTTTTTTCTACATTTTGTTGTGATAAAATTAAATTTACTTCATTGTTAAATTATTTTTGCGATGCTACATTCATTTTTTATCAAAAACGTCTTGTGATGTTTCTATGTCACCATGAGTTTTAAAAAAAAAAAAGAAAAAAAAAAAGAATGATGTGCAAAATGTTTTGTCTTTATTCGTTAATGCTTTTTAGGAAATATAATATTTCACTAAACAGTGTGTAATTATGTAATTGTATTTGGCAATGAGAATAAAGGTCCCCAATTATTAAGAAAAAATGGGGATATGCGAATGAAAACTATATCTTTTTAAATGTTATACGAATATATACAACTGGGTTTGATGCGCTGAAGACATAAAAATGTGAATAAAGAGAAAAAAAGAAAAGTGAAAAAAATAGGCATTCATGGATAGCAAATCAAAATAGTTCATAAAAAAAAAATAAAATATTCATCGTAGAAAAAAAAACAAAAGAGAAATGCATTTAGACATTATAAAAATAGTCATTCTTATATAAATAACAAGGAAAAGAAACAATTTTCTTAAAAAATTATTGGCTTAAAAAGAAGAGTATAGTAATACTCCATGGTGCGTGAAATCCTGTTTTTGCACGTTGGACAATGCGGTAATCAGCTAGGACATGAATTTTGGTCTGTAGCAATTAAGGAACAATTGAATAAAAAAATAAATGAGAGAAAAGAATTAATAGGAAAATACAGTTTTATGAACGATTCTGTGACTTCTTTTTTTGAAAATGAGAGTGAAAATTTTAATTTAAATAAAAAAGAAAGGTTAAAAGCACGAGCTATATTAATAGACACAGAAACAGGGGTAGCAAATGAAATTATGAAAAGTTCCCTTTCTTCCTATTTTGATGAAAATAACATTTTCACTCAGCAATCGGGTGCGGGAAATAATTGGTCTCAAGGATATATGCATTATGGAAGATTGTATGGAAATTTAATCGACAATATAATTAGAAGGAACGTAGAAAAATGTGATTCTCTACAATCATTTTATATCACATCATCATTGGGAGGTGGAACTGGTTCTGGTTTGGGTTCCTATATTTTAGAAATGTTATCCGATAATTACAAACAAATAAAATTTAGCAATTGTGTATTTCCATCAGCTTGTGATGATGTAATAACATCTCCGTACAATAGCTTTTTCGCATTAACAAAAATTCACGATTTTTCGAATTGTGTTTTACCCGTTTCAAATGATGCATTATTAAACATTTTAAATAGTAAAAAACTGAAAGATAAAGAAAATGACAAAAATGATTATTCGAAGATGAATAATATAGTGGCTAATGTAATTGTAAATTTAACAAGTTCTATGAGATTTGAAGGTTCATTAAATGTAGATATAAATGAAATATGTACAAATTTAATTCCCTATCCCTTTTTTAATTTTATATTATCATCCTTAAGTCCTTGTATAGAAACAGAAAATATTAGAACATTTGATCATTTATTTAAAAATGTTTTAAATCATAATAATCAAATGCTTATAGCGAATCCGAAGGATGGTCTTAGTTTATCTATGGCATTTTTAGTTAGGGGTAATGTTAACATTTCAGACGTAACTAAAAATATATTATTAACAAAGAATAATTTGAATATTTTAAGATATAATAAAGATGCTACCAAAATAGGCTTATGCAATGTTCCTCCTTTAAATCATCCGTATAGTTTATTGTGTTTAATTAATTCGTGTGAAATAAGAAATACGTTTTTACAAATTTTAGAAAGATTTAATAAATTATTTAAAAGAAAGGCACATTTGCATCACTATTTAGAATATTTAACTATGGATGATATTTTAGAATTTAAAGAGAAAATACAGAATTTGATTTTTGAATATAGCTATATTCAGAAAAATTCATTTTGTTCACCTAAATTTTTAAATAAAAATACAGTCAATATTTTAGGATATGATGTATGTGAGGAGGAAGATACAAAGAACGAAACCCCTACTACAGAAGAAAGTGCATGTCCTCATTATTTAAAGTATAATATGAACAAGTATGATATGAAAATCAACTGGTTTGATTTTAAAAACAGGCCTATTGTTTAAGATACCACTGTGAATTCAAGGTTTGTATGTTTTCTTACCACTTTGGACCCATGCTGATTAGACCTGCAAAGCGGATTTACATGTAAGCTCTATTTGTGCGAATTGGATTAATCCCCCTTCATTTTTCCATTTAAATTTTTTAAAATTTTACACTTTTTAGTAATAATACCCTTTTATTTCGTAAAGTTATAAAAAAATTCCGCTTTTTTTTTAAATATGAATAAATATTTAAAGGATAACACTTAATACATGAGAAAATGGATGTGGCATTGTTGTTCCTAAGAACAAGAAATTGCAACAAATAGAAGATGCTAAAGTTAGATGGTGCAAATGTATATATATAAATACTTATGGGAGAATGTGAAATTCTTCTCGATTTTTAAAGATTAGCAATAATGTGCTTTTTATTCTTCCTTGTTTTTATATATAATAGGTTGGTGTTCATTGGAATGTGTCGTATTTTTAAAACATGTATTAAATAATAAAGATTCTTCTTATTAAAGGTTAAAAATGTATTATAATTAATTTTTAGTAGTGGCTTATCGTTTCACTTTTCATTTTAAGCATGCTTAACTATTTGTATTATATGCAGACAATTCATATAACAAAAAAAAAAAAAAAAAAAAATATATGGAAATATAAAAGATAAGTTAAAAGAGGGTAAAAATGGGACCAATCTAACCACACCACCCAAAAGAAAAAAAAAAAAAAAATGGAAAATACATGAAATGTAAAAAGTTCACAAAAAGCTTAAAATGAAGGATAAAATAATTGAAACATATGTACAGCTAAAGGAGACCCTAAAACGCGAAACATAAGTCCATTTAAACACTTAGATTGTGAGATAAGGGGTGTAGAACAAATCCAAATTAATTAAATAATTTCAGTAATTATTATGATTTAGTAGAACAAGTTAAACATAACTAGGTTAATATATAAATATATTCTGTAGGCACTAAAAATGTTTTTAAGTGTTTATATTACTAAGTGTGTAAATGTTTTTTAAATAAAAGTATATTCTTAAATAACAATTCTGAAAGTATACATTATGTGTTCTACACAACTGTTTTTCTGCATGCATTTTTTTCATTTTTTATTCTATTTTTCCAAATTTTTGAGAATTAACAAATTTTGTAGTTTATAATATACCTACGATAATTAAGCATAGACGATTTTTCCATTTTTTTAAAATACTCTTTCAATGAGAACTATTCAGTGATGCTTTCATTACACATGCAAGTGATAAAAATACGTATACATACAAAACATGTATCAAAGTTTAAATAGCATAAAAATTTTGATGTTTATATATTACTTCTAAATAAAATCTGTTTATCAAAACAATTTTGATATGCATAATGCATTTATTTTTCATCTACAAAGAAATCTTATAAAAAAGAAAAAGGCAAAGTGTTCATCACCAAATTTTTTACTTATTATTCTTTTTATTCTGAAAAAATACGCACAATTTTTCTTTTCAAAGTTGCAAAATAAATGATATTGCGTTGTATTCAGACAAAAAATTTTGAAGTCCTGCATAGGATATAATTTTTATTCTATCTAATATCGAGATCTTTAAACTGGTTTTGGATCTGGGTTCTGATCTTGTTCTTTCAAAATTAACTTCATATCCTATAATTATCTGAAATATCCTCTACTATAGAAAGTATAAGTAAAGAGAGAGAGAGAGGGTGCTTAACTGTCATTAGGAGTTATATATATTAGTGTGATTATTTATTTAACAAAAAAGCTATAAAATATGGTTGAGTTAAGAATAAATTCTTCTAGGCTCCTAAGTGAAGCCACACCTCAAGCATCTTTTAATGGATCCTTTTTAGTTGAAGGTATTAATTCCACACTTGATGAATTACGAAGCAATGCATCTTCACTAAGTGCAACAGTCAGTAATCTTGGCGAGGGTTTCAGTACAACAATAAGTTCTACATTACAAGCTACTTTGGGAACAGATATCAATGGAACATTTGGAAATGACACAAGCTCAGGAAGTGGAAGTAACTTTAGTGAAAATTCTAATTCTTCTTTGAGTAATATAATTAGTAAAGTACTTCTGAGTTCCAATTACAATGAAACTGCTGGAAACGCAACAAATGTTACTGAGGAAGGGTCTAATAAAGCTGGACTTTATATTTTATTGTTTGCGTCCTTTTTATGTATTCTCGCATGGGGATATTTACTATTAACAGTAAGGAAATACTTATCTTTTTCAAAATTTATATTCATTTCATTTTTTTTTAAAATTATATAAGCATAATTATATTAATAAAACTACAATTACTTTTTGCGTTAATTTTTAAAATATAATTCAGGAAATATGTTGTGAAAAAAAGAAGAAGGATCCAGAGGAAGAAGCATTGGAAAGAATGTTGAAAATGCTAAATGAAGATATAGAACAAGAAAATGATGAAAGTAATGAGAGAAAAGGGAGATCACGATATAGAGAGGTATTTAGTGATGATAGTGATTCAGATGGAAACAATGATGTTGATAATAGTGAAAATAACGATGGAAGTTCAAAGAACAGTGACGGTGATATACTTGAAACAATTTTTTAATGTAGAATACGTATTGAGACGTTTTTTATAAATTATATTTATCATCATGGATCCTATATTTTTACACATTATAAAGTATTCATACAGAGAGTGATTAAATGTTCAACATTTTTTTTTTTATCATTGTGATATAAATAAAATAATACATGGACCTATATTTTTTCTCTTTAATTATACATATACCATTAAGAATAAATAAGTGTTTCCTTAAGCATTGAATATTGATTGTTATCATTTTGTGTACAGTTTTTATATGAATAGAAAATTTCAAATGATGTCGCCTTATTCGTATTGTTCAAAAATATTAGTACTTTTCGTAAAAAGTTGTGCATTAATTTATATAAAAAAAAAGTGTTTTTTGCAATATTTTAGAAATTAATATGCATAATAGAAAAATAAAATAATTTTTTTATTAAAAGAACCTGTTAACAGACATTATAAGAAATAGTGTTACGTTTAAATATCAGTTGTCAATTTGACAATTAGAATGTGATGGACATTATATCGTCTTTTGTTCAGTACATGAGTAATTTCGTCCTAATAATAGAGACACGTATATGCATATAATAATTGTGTCTAGGACTTGTTTTGAGATACGCGGAGCATGGTAAAATTATTTTAATTATACATTTAATTAAGAAGGAAAATTTACATAATTTTTCTTTTTTTTTTTTTTAAAAAAAATATATTTATTTGATTAAAAAGGCCATATTTAAGGTTATATTGATAAATTTTACAAAATATGTAATTCAATAGAAAAGAAGCAAGCGTTATAATTATATTTTCTGTACGCATAATGATTCCATTCACATGGATTATGTAAAATTAGCGCGGATGTAAGAACTAAATGCAGCAGGTAAAATTGACCAGGTGAAGTGGTTATGTTAGGAAAAGGTATGTCTTTATTCTGTTCATAAATAGTACTATTACTGTAAAATATTTCTAGGATGAATTAAAATAAAACATGCATTACAAGTGAAATGTTATGAAATTCTTCGCGAACAATTTCTTCATAGTCAAAACTGTTAAAAATATGCTATATATGTATTAGTGAGTTAATTATAATTTCCTATTTTTGACGTAGATAAACATATTAATAAGAAGTCAATTAAATTAATTTATGTAAGGCATAAGAAGACTCGTTTTTTCTCATTCTAAACTTGTTAAACAGGAACCCATTCATGATGAAAAATTTTGCACATCACCATATTTGCACATTTTTTATTTCGTTTTATGTGTATTACTATTTTCGAGTGACTACTGCTTTTATTCCATTTATTTATTTTTTAAAAATAGTAGATATATACACACTTCTGAGAATTACGTGATAAATTTTTTTTTATTACGTAGAAAGATAAGTTTACAGAAAATGTGCTCTTCTGGGTTTTTCATTTAAATATATTTTTTTCGCGTCAAAGTTTTACCTTAATATTTGATGCAAAAATATTATTTATATTTATATAGGCTGAGCATTAAGCGGTGTAAGTGATGTAAATGATGTAAATGTTTTAAATGACATAAAATTTGATCATTATTCAAAAATAACAACTGTTTCATTTACCTGTTATAGAAGGGACAATTATATATTCCAAAAGATTATCCACTTTTACAAATATGTAAAGTTATATTACAATAATTGTATGTTTTTAAGTATTTGTAAACATATTAATGGTTTCATATTTTTCTGCCAAAATTATGTCATTCTTAGTATACTTTATTTGATAAAGGTGAGTATAAAAGTATTTTTCGATTTCATATTGTGTAAAAAAAAAAAAAAAAAAAATTGCATAGTATTATACATGAAATTCTTTTTAGTGAATCGTGGAAAGCTATGTTTTTCGCGTTGTTATTTCTTAATTTTGTTTTTAGCTCAAATTAATTTTTAAAAAAATGAATTTATAAGAGACCACATAAGTTAAAAAAAAGTGAATACTAGAGTTTTATAAAATATGAAACGTAACTGTTCGAGGGATAGATCACATATAAGGAGCGATGTGTTCTTTATTGAGAAACAATCTGCCATTTCAAGCTGTGCAGAAATATATTTTCTCGCTAGTTATGAAATTTTTTTTTTCTCCTATGAGAACTATTCTGCAAGCATATAAAGAATTTTAATTCCCCGCACCATTGCGTACGTTAATAAATAAATAAAAAAAAATCATTACATGATTAAAAACTTACATTTAATATATTCTAAAATGAGATAAAAAATTAATTTATGACTTTTTATTTAAGCTTAATTTTTTTTAATATGAAAAAATTGTGAATCACAAGCCACGGTCTATTTAATGCCACACAAAGAAAAAAGAACGGCAATTTTTCTACAAGTAAAAAAAAAAAAAAAAAACATGTATTTTAATCATTTTATGCATAAAGTCAAAGATTTTTTATAAATACACTTTTAAAAACATTTATTATAGAGTAATAATATAAGTTCTTGTTCTTTGCATACTTAATTCGTAATGCAATTAAATGTGTCTCTTATGCTGTAACAAAAAAAGAAAAAATGTTAAACTTATTTAAACTGAAGCATTAACACGTGTTGGTCACTTTACTTTTGCATTTCTACATGTTTTAGTAATTTTTCTCTGTTTTATTTAACTTATAGGATTTCATAGTTTAGAATAAAAATTTTAAGAACGTCCATAGGTGACTATTTTTATAGAACATTTTTCAAAAGTATTTTAATATAATTTCAGATGTAAATATAGTTAATAAATAAATTCCATTTATTTTATGCTGTTACATTATTGTTATAATGATTTGTTCCTGTTCATATTAAATAAGAACTTTTAACAAGTACACAATAATTAAATGTGTAAAAAGGCAAAAAAAAAGAAGAAAAAAAAGATTGTTTTCATATTAAAAGTGAAAAATACTGTTAAAGAAACGCAAGCGTTGTGCTTAGAAAGACAAAAGGTATAGAATTATGCTTCTTGTATGAGAGTCAATTTATGCCTGAATAATGAAGAACTAAAAATATATAAACATGAATGTAGAATAGGAATGTAGTATTAGAAGCATTCTACCAAAAAAAAAAAAAAAAAAAAAAGACGTGAAGAAATTAAAATTTTTGTAGGAAAATTTAGCACATTCTCTCGATTTTAAAAACAAGTCTTAATATTTCAGTTTCCTGCTGAAACTTTATTGACTTTAATTGAATATATGGTATTCATTTCAGTCAATTTTTTGTTGTTTATTTTATTAGGTGTGCTAAATGTTTTATTTTAGGAATGTAAGGTGAACAACACTAAATATATACTTATAATTGTAGTATTTATGTTTATAATAAAATTGCGTTTTATTTTTGTTGTATTCTTTATATATATGAAGCATCTAAAAATGAAAAATTTCTACAATTTATCCATAGTCCTATTATATATTCACATATATTTTATAAGGAATAAATATGTAAAAAAAGTATTCTTAGCTGAAAAACAACCTGATTCTGATTCAAAATCATATTATGAGAAAGACGATAATGATGATGATAATCTTGATGCTGCTATAAATCTTTTGTCTCTTAAATATACAGAACATAAATCAGAAGAAGTGGGTGCAGTTGTGGAACAAGAAGAATTGGGTGCAGTTGTGGAACAAGAAGAATTGGGGGCGTTTGGGGATGGAGAAGAATTGGGAGTAGCTGGAGGACCAGAAGAAGTGGGTGTAGTTTGGGAAGAAGAAGAATTGGGCGCGTTTGGGGAAGCAGAAGAATTGGGCGCGTTTGGAGGAGCAGAAGAAGTGGGAGAATTGGGGGTACTAGAAGAAATGGGAGAAGTTGAGGGGTCAAAAGAAACGGAGTTTTATATTCAGAACAATAGAAGAAAAAGATTATATGCAAGAAAAACACAGTTTGATGTTATAGAAACTAAAAATGACAAGGAGACCGAAGAAGAAGCAAAAACCAAGGATCAAAAGGATGAATTACCTGAAAATGAAACAAGCCCAAGTGAACCATTATCAAAAGATATACCAGAAAAAGAACAGGAGAATGTGTGTAACCCTGATTTAGAAGAGTTTAGAAGCGTGCTACAGGAATTGCAAGAAAAAGATACAGAATTAGATATTGAAACAATAGAGGAATATTTAAGTGTAGGGGTGAATAAAATAAGAGAGATTTCTGAATTACACAAAGAATATCCTTTATATTTGGGGAAAAAAATTGATTTTGTAAATATTCGTAAACCTTTTGGGATCGAAGAGGAAAACACTGGCGATAAAAGCGAATATGAATTACAGGAAAGGCTATATTTTGATGACTTCTGTTATATGCCATTATTTGAATTTTTAAATAATACAAAGATTGAAAATTTATCTCTTACAACTGTATATTCTCTTTATAACAGAGAAGGCATTAATCACTTTCCATGTAGCAATTCACTGTTGAAATATCTTAGTTTAAAAAATCCAGAGTTTGATATAGAAAATTTTCTAAGAGTTAATGTAGATTTGTATCTATCACAGGAAAAGTGTGAAGTGTGTAATTTTGATGATCCTAAATTTCGTTTAATAAAAGAAAAAAATGTAGAAAATAAATTTGTAATTAAAGAATTGGTGGTGGCACATTCTACGAGGTCTTTAACTTATGATGAAAAAAGAATAATAAAAAGTATAATTTTTCACCAAATTAAGCACATATCACACATAAAAAGTGCATTAACTTCGTTTGCCGAAAAAATAAAAAAAATTAAAAGTGATTCAAGAATTCTTTTTGATTATTTTCCTGTACATAGAAACTTTTTATATAAGGATGATATTCTATGCACATGTCTACATTATATAACATGTTATAGTATGGTATTACTTAAACCATTATATGACAAAGCTGCTAGAGGACAAAGCATAAGCTATAGGGAATTTTATATTGTTTCTGTTAAAATAAATTACATATTTGCTCAACTAGAGTTTGTACAACATAATTCACATCTGTATCAGGTTTTCTGTAATATTTATAAAAACATGAACCCTTTTTACCCCCGTTTGAAAACAGTTGACGATATAACACCTATTTTTAATTATTTAACAGTCCGACGTCAATTATTTTGTATACTTTTTAATATATCTAAATTTTTTTCAAAAATGATATCTTGTGAACAAATAGCAACTCATTATGAACTAGACATTCATCCTAAACTTTTAAAATTACTTTTTTCAGTAGAATGTACACATAATAATGCGAAACAACTGCTTAAAAGTTGAATATGACATATATGCCTTTATATTTAGGATTTATATAAAAATGAAATATAAAAACGTTTATGTATACATGTACTATTTCTTTTCTTTGTTTTACATATTATTCCTTAACTTTCTTAATCATATTATTATGAAATGTATGATGAAACGTAAATTTTATTATATTCTATTTTTATAAGAAAAATAAGACAAAGTTTGTTTCCTTTTTTTTAATTTTTTTTAATTTTATAATTTATTATACACTCCAGAATTTTCAGCGTTTTTATAATTTTTCCAGAATTGTTGTTTTTCGATTTTAGTTGTGTGTTTTAAATTTAGTACTTTTTAAGCTTTCCGTATGTATGTAGTTATGTTTGTGAACACATTAATAAACATATATTTTTCCTTTAAGGGTTACGTTTTATAAGATAAAAATTATGCCTAGTAGGAAGAAGAGACATTAATTAAAATGTTACAATAATAAAAAAAAAAATTTATATGGTAAGAAACATGTGTGGGCCATACCTTGTGTATTATTTGTATTTATAAGACTATTATTTTTTATATGCTACGCAAGATATCACAACTGTCTTACTATTTTTATTTGTCTGATGTGATACATGTTTAAAGCAGGCCCAAGTTGGGTTTAAAATTTCATTATTGATATGTGTAATGGAATAATTCTAGTAAAACTCTGTTATATTATTGTGGTTATAAAATATTATACAGTCTGATCCCACTATGATATATTTTATTTAAATGAAATAATAAATGGAATTCTGTAATTTGCGCAATTAATAAAAATAAATCAAATTAATACTTTGATCAATTAAGCTTTTTTTTTTTATCCACTTTTTTGTTATATGTATTTGTAGTTTTATAGGGATATAAAAAAATAAAGGAACAGTTGTGTAAAAAGAAAATTTTTTTAAGGTTAATAGGAAACCTATATGAATATGCATGAACATATCTCTCATGAGGACATCAGTTTTTATCATGAAAAAGTAAAAAATACGAATATGTTTTCTACTTGCACACAAACATATATGAAAAATAGTTATCAATATGCATTATGTGTGAGTCACTTTTTTTAAAATAAAGTGATATAAATTGTTGTATTTCTATCACAATTAAGAATGTTTTGAAAATATTCCTAGATCTTAAACATATTAATGTATGTCACACTTTTCGTAAGTTGCATAATGACGAAAAAGCTTCATCTTTCTATGGCGTTAAACAAATTAGGAAATATCATTCATTAGTAATATTTAAATATGTGTTGGCTGCAAAAATTTATACAAGAATGTTTGATAAAAAAAAAAAAAAAAAAAAAGAGGCAAAATTAAAATATATGTGCAAATATATCTCTTGTCCTGCATATTTACTTTTTGGAAAAACTCAAATTGTAAATATTTTAAATGCGTTGAAGAAGTTAGCAATTAAGTATTTATGCGTGTTTTAAATTACTTGGAAAAAAAAACATCACACGCATATTTTTTTAATTTTGGAAGGCATTTTTATGATTGCATTACACGTAAAAATTTAAATGCAAATTGGCGTATAAAGGGATTTGATATTACGTTTAAAGCTCGACAAAAATAGGTAAAACATGAGATTAAAGTGTTTTCTCAATGAAAATTTATAAATGTTGGGGGAAAAAATTTTGTGTTTGTAATGAGAATGACAAGAAAAAAAAAACAGCGTTTCAGCATAAGATTATGCAACAAAATGGTCTTTCACAAACCCACAGAAAAAAACAAACTAAATTGATGTGAAATTTGAAGAATTTTAAAAGGAGATCATTTTATAAGAAAAAAAATACCTTATATATAAATCAAGATTTATTCAGAAAAAACAGGTTCAAGCAATTATTTAGAAAGGAAGATAATTTGTAAATATAAATTACATTTTCGCTAAGATTAATGCAATGGGATAGACAATTTTTACATTAAAAGGTGATGTTTATCAAAAATAAAATTCATATAATTTTCATTGATTTAGTGTGTTAAGAAGCTTTATCATTTAGACGTGTGAAATGAATGAAAATGGAAAGAAATTTTTTGAAATGTCAAAAGAAATTCACATTGGTCGAAGCTTTTTTTTTTTTTTTCAGTCTTACTAACTTCATATGTGCTAAATTATGTTTCAGTTTTATAACATTAAAATGGTTATATATTATTTCGGAAAAATGATATGTATTTGTTTTAGGAATATGTTGTGATAAAATTTAAAGGGTGGTACAGAAAGAGAAAAGCGTTTCGTAAACGTAAAATACGTGGCACTTCTTTATAAATATGAACCTGAAAAGAGAGTGTTATTGTAACAAACTTTTCTTATAACACACAAACTTCATCGAAAGTGAAAAGATTAATCATTTTGACATTATATTATGACTATCCCGAATGATGGTTGAATTTTGAGGATACATAATATTTATAATTATGTTATGCTTGAGAGCTCAGGTAAATATTAACAGCATTATAAGTTTTTTTTTTTTTAAGGGTGATGTCGTGGAAAAAGACAATGAAAACGTAAAATATGGGACAAAATTGTGTAATGAACATTTAGATAAATGTAAAGTGTAATGCAAAAAGAAGAAAAAAAAAGCCATTTAAATTTTCTATGAACACTTATCATTTATGTAGGTCCACATTAAAAACCAAATGGAGGTAAGGTGGCAGCATGGAAATATCTTATTAAATATTTCTAATAAATTTTCATGTTTATGCAGCTTGTGTATTTGTAGCTTTAAATATATATATATGTACTATCGTGCGAAAATTAATAAATATAACATAAGAACTCGAATGCATGACAAAAATTATGGTTTGAAAGGGAGTTTAATAATTGTGCAGTTATATATTAACTTCGATTGAAATATATACATTGGCATATATAAAAAGGATAAACTTAGTGTATACATAAAATACAGAGTATATTAACATATTAAATTATTCTGATAGGAAGAAAAGCTTTATATAACAAATGATATTTATGTGATCAATTGCGTGATTAATTAAAAGCCATCGCCGCTATTTTTCAGACACAGATGTGATAGGAATTTCATTTATTTCAATTTGTTAATTTTCGTCCGAATTTTCCTTTTCTTCCTTTTCGTTTTCTTTTGATTGATTATTTTCTGACTCTTCAGTGGTTTGCTGAGTTTCATCGTAGTATTTATCATCATCATCTATTAGTAGAAAATTATTACATCCATCGTTCGATGCCTCATCCCCTTGATTAACAGGAAACTAAAACCATAATTAGCAAGATCAATTGTGTATTACATATATGTATATGTATAATAAGAAAACGTAGATATAAATATGTAAACATATTTTATAACAATAATTGTTATAGTCATAATTAAAAACGTGGCAATGTATTAAACTGTATTGAAAGAATGCGATTTTTTATTCTTACTCCAACGGTTAAAACTATTCCTATATATATAAATAAAAGAGTAGTAGCTAGGGTGAATATAACTGCAGGATTTGAACTTATATCTTCAATTGATGCTACATTAGGCAATTCGTTACTAATGTTTTTTAAGGCTTCACTAGCCAAAGAACTGTTGTTGGAAGACATTTTCAATAAGGATAACTTTCAAGCAAAGAAGGATTAAATAAAAAAGGAAAGTGAAAAATGATGTGAAATATTGTTAAAGTTTTTCCTCCAAGTATATATATATATAAGGCTGTTCTATATTATTTATACATATGTTACACGATTGTATTAATTCATAACAAAGCATTGTTTGCCAATGCAATTTATAGTATTATTTGTTTTTGTTTTTTTTTTCACAAATAAAATTGTTAGATATATGGTTAAAAACAAATTTGTAAAAATCAGAAAAAATATTTTTGTTTTATTAAAGTAATAAATGATATGAATAAAGCTGTTTTAATATATTTTTTGTTAAATGATAAAAAGGGAATTTAATAAAAACCGATTTATATGCAAAAATTTATAGAAATGCATTATTTTTTTTTTTTTTGAATTTTAATTTTATTAAAATAAATTACCTCTATTAGGGGAAAAATTAAGGATATGCGGTTTTGTAATTACTTTTTTTATAATTTACAGATTTAAACTGAGAGAATAATAATAAAATGCTAAAATAAATTTACAGTTAAATTTTGATTTGATTAATATTAGGAATATATAATTTGTATAGAATAATTATTCGTTTTAAAAAAAAACAAGTTAAAAATAGACGGATAAAAATAACATTTTTTTTTTTTTTTTTTTAATGTAATAGATTAGTTTGGGTATATTAATATTTTGTTATTTTTATTTTATTAATATTTCTTTTAGTCTTTTTTTTTTTTTTTTTTTTTTTTTTTTTTTTTTATACATATTTTATTATTACAAAAAAAATTTTATTGAGTAAATATGTATAACTGTGTTAAATATGAACATTAATTTTCTCTTCAATTCATGATTATTTATAGAACATAAGAACAGAACTATCTGTAACTAATAATTTTGTTATATTAAAAATAAAATTTTAGGATTAAGTGTACAATTATGTAAGGTACAGATCTTTTTAGATAGAGGTGCAATATTAGTAGTTCCTTGGGGTAGGATATTTTCTTGGTGTTAATTCAGATTTAGTTCATATTATGTGCCTTCTATAGGAACCATTCATTTTATTCATAGATAAAAAAAAATTGTTTTTATAGTGTTGTTGTTTTGATGTTTTTCACTATAATAATTTTGTTATAGTTTATATTAAAAATTTTAAGAGCATCAAAAATAGGATGAAAAAACGATGTGTTATTTAGGATATGCAAATTGAAGAATTTAATAACGATGTTGGTTCTCATGTAAAAAAGAGCACCAAAAAAAAAAAAAAAAAATATAATACTAAATTAAACAGATATCTGAGAAAGGCATGCAAAAAATTTTTATAATGCACTAGTAAAAGGTCAGTAACATTAAATCTAAATTAAAGAGATGCGTAGAATTTGAAAAATGTGAACGAAATTCAAAATATGTAAATTATGTAAATATGTAAATTATGCAAAACATGTAAATTATGGAAAACATGTAAATTAAGTAAAACATGTAAATTATGTAAAACATGTAAATTATTTAAAACATGTAAAATACGTAAAATATAAAATATATGCAAAATAAAAGTATAAAGTAAATAAATGATATATTAAAATTTTTAGTAAGTGTGGATTAATTTGTTTATAATATTGCCTTTTCACTGTTATGGTATTTTTGATATATATTTCTCGCAACTATTTAGTTTATTGTTGAATGAACGCAAACAAATACAATTTTTTTAACTGTTCTTATATTTGAAATATATATATATATATATATATATAATAGAATTGAAACACACTACGGACAGGACAATTAAGTAGTTATGAACGAGACACAAATTACAATTTGCAAATGGTTCTCTGTAATTGCACCATTCTTTTGACAATGGGCAGCTAAAAATAAGAACCTGCTTGGTGAAAGGGGGAAACACGTGAACATACATGCATAACTGAATAAATAATTTTGTCATTGAGGTAACTCTTAATAATTTTACTGAAACATTACGTATACATATGTCTTAACTAGCCAGTCATTTAAAGTTCATAATGGTATAGAGTCATAAAAAGAATATGCAAGGATTTTTTTTTTCCATTGTTAAGTTGAAATTCACTCCACCCCCTGTCATTACATGTATTAAATGCAAAATTTATTATGATAAAATTTAAGGGAGATTAGTAGAGAAATCTTAAAAGTTACATTTCTTTATTGAGGGGTGCAGAGTTCTGACTTATAAATTACTATATAGCAATACTTTGGGGGGGAATAAAATTTGGAATTATTTTTTATTATATAGAAATGTTGTAATTTTAAAAGGTTTATCATATTCGTTTACACCATAAAGACATTCATGTATTAATATATATTGAAGCCCTATTCATTTAGGTATTAACACATTTTACTAGGTACACTCTGTAATACGCACGTAAAAATACATGAAATGATCTATTTTATTTTAATGTGAATATAAAGATTCTGGGCACCACATTAAAATATGCGATTTCACAATTTTTATTGTATCTATTATTAAACAAATAAAAAAGAACTCTTAATAAATGTAAAATTTTTTTCCATGTGTTAAATATAAAATTGTGCATTACTATCAGTGAACACGTTTTTCAGCTTATAATAGTACCATGTGAATTGACTACTATTTTTACCTAATTAAAGTCATTTTATACTGATATGCTTTTAAAAAAATAGAAATAAAGAAAAATATTATTTCGTCTGTTATGTTTTTATTTTTGATTGAAAAAAAATTTTCCCTATAAGATGGGAAAAGGTATGTTTATTTATTATGAACTTTTTAGTTCATCTACAGAAGTGTGTATGCATAAAACAAACACTTCAAATGTGTGACTTTTCCCTATATTGTCATTAATTCACTTAATGCGTTATGGATCATCAGCAATGCAAAAATAATTTATTACGTTCTGTGTTTTAGTTAAGTTTCTACGATGCTAATGAAAAATTTGGGTAATTTCATGGTTTATTTAATTAACCCCTATGTGCACGTATGTGGCTATTTAGGTATGTACATAGTAAAATTCATTCAGGTATACAATAAAACACGTCATTCTGTGTAAAACTTCACAGAAATGATCTTTTTAATGTATTTAAAAGAAAGTGTTTTTTTTCACGTTATGGTGGTGTGTTATATGAACTGAAAATATCCTCTTAAAAGTTTTGTGGAAAACTATATGTGAATATTAAAATATAATGAAAATTTGCAGTTACAGTTGGGTATTTTTTGACTGGTTTGTTAGCCATTTAAACGGCTCTGTGAATTCAAAAAGAAAAAGCTTGCATAAAAATATTTCTTTATTTAAATATACCATAATATTTCTGAAGCTTACATTGATATGCTATTTAAAGGATATTTCTAAAACTACTTTGTCATGAGTGTTTCATTATAAAGCTTTTTAAACATGTACTAATTTGGTGCGGATTGTCAAAAATTTTGTCTTTTATTAAGGAAGATAAAACAGTTCACATAAAACAATAATTACTTTATTAATTTTTGTGCGATGTGAAAAATTGTACAAGATGAATAAAATACGTAAAAGTGGTGAATAAGAAAAAGGGGAATATATATAACATTCAATATATTAGAACATGAATGATCAATGTTAATGAATTTTCCTTAATTATGCATAAATCTTTTTGCTTCAATAAAATGTTGTTGGTTTATTTTTTTCATGCTGACAAGATGCAGAGCGCGTATATTTTCGCAAAATATTCACTTAAATTGATAAAGGGTTAGCAGGTAAGTGGGTGGGGCAAAAATAGATGGAGCTATTTGACGTCATAACCTCTGTAAATTATTTGTACTGTGGGATTAAGCAGGTGAAGTATCCTTCCAATCATATCTTTTTTTTCGGTTGTATAGGGGAATTGAAATTTTTCATTCATAAATAAATTTTTCGAGAGAACATTTCTCGACTTGTGAATTAATTAAAAAATAGAGATATCACACTAGATTTTTTTTTTCTGTGTTCTTGTTTTATAATTTTTTCCCTTTAAGAGATACAATCATTGAGTGTGCACATTGTTGATCTGTTACAGCAGCTTTTTATACGTATATGTTGAATAATTTTTTTTTTTTTTCTCTTAAACGTTCTTGCATTAATATGAATAAATAAAAAAAAAATATACTTATATTTTGTATATGATTTATTTGTTTAAATTTTAATATGATTAACCTCTGTCAAATTTGGTCATATATTACTATTTAAATTTGTAGTTGCATGTGCCACTGCAGATGATAACGAACGGTTGCCTTTATTTATGTACTTATCTTTATTCACTTTTTTTTTTTTTTTTTATGTTTTTCTCCTGAGAGATAGTTATTAAATATTTGTTTTAAAATCTGTTCTTACAAATAAAATTTATATGTTTCTACTTTCATTTAAGTTTTCCTACTTTTTTGAGAAGAAATAATTTCAGCCCACTCACAAGTGGCATGCAACTGTATAAAAGACTGTAATTGTGAAACTCTTTCTCTTTTATTGCGCATGCACAGACACATAAACATTTTGTGAGTGTTAAATTTTGTGAATTTAACTGGTGATTTCAAGCAGAGCAATGAAACAAAAGGGGGTACACATAACACATATAAATGGAATTTTATTGCAAATATATTTACGGTTCATATACACGTGGTGTTAAAAATATGTAAGATGAAATTTAATCGACATCATATTTAGCATGTAACAAGTGAAAATGCTTAAAATGATATGAAACAAAAAAAAAAAAAAAAAAAAAAACTTAAAGTAAGAATTAAAAGTGTGCGAAGATGCTATTTGTTATAAAATTAAAAAAGTGACATTTTAATTTAACAAAATTATGCTAAAAGAATTGAATAATTATTCTGACAGATAAAGAAAAAACGTTATTTTAACTATGCTTGTATATACACATGTAAATGTATATACATATGTATATATATACATGTAATATATGTATAAATATTTTTTATATCTTTTTATTCATATACTTCATTTTTATTTATTTGTTACATTAAATGAAAATTACCAAGGTACATATACCTATCCTTATTTTACTTTTTTGCATTTTATTTGAGTATCTATTATGCAATGACGTTGCAAAGAAAAGTAACCTACTTCATATGAACGCTACCCTTAAAAGTTTAATTAAAAAGGATAAAAAGAATGTACTGTTAATAGTTGTGAGTGTAATGCTAGCTGTACTTCCATTAGTTTTAGCTGGGTTGGGAATACATTATAAAAGGAAAAAACCTTCTTTTTGGGACGATTTGGGTTATGACGCACATGGTATTTTAAACAGTACAATTTCACAGGGAGTATGGATTGCAAAGAAAAATATGACTAAAGACAGAATTCCCATAGATAAGTTATTACCACGAATTGATGATATAAAAAGTATAATAAAAGAAGAATTGGAATATAGAAAATTAGACATTAATAGATATGACGCATTACAAATACAAGATTTATGTAATTTTTCACTTTACAATATTAGAGAATCCATGTTATCATTTCAAAGAAATGCATGATTAAGCAAGCGGTAAATCACTCAGTAATACAAGGTAGAGTAAAGCTATTGATGGTTGCATGCAAATCAGAAGGGGGTACACAGATATAATATATTTTAAATTCAAAAATGTACATTTTTTTTTCCATATTTTCTTGTAGTTAAAATGTGAAAGATATTTCTTGTATTATTTTGTTACACGATTGTTAATAATAACATGAAATATTTGTATATTTATTTAAAAATGTAACATGTAATAAAAAATAAATGGCGTTGCACATTATTATAAAAGGATACCCCAATCTTTATCGTGTTTGTCCCTATCTTTTTTGAATACTGTTAATATTTTTTCTTTTACGTTTTATTTTTCCTAAATCGTGTGATTTTTGATTTGTATTTTTCCCTTTATAAAACGCTCACTGAAGTTATTTTTTTAAAAATTCATCATGATTTTATTACGCGTTGTGTGTATAGGGCGCACAAATAATGAAGATTAAATAAATTAGAAAACACACAATCAAATGTATGAATTAGAAGAGTACGTATATTTTTTAGTATTTAAAAAGTAGCCTGTTTGTAAATTTAACTAAAGGTAAAATAATTTTTTCGTTTATTTTGTTTTATTTTATTATGTTATTACTTTTTTTTTTCTTGTGCGTTTAGAATAAAGAAAAAAAAAAATTAACTTTTACAGCGTGCATAATTATGAATATATTTCTATCTTATTGGCTAAGTATATAATGAATATTCTAATAATTCTAAATTTAATATAAAGAAAAAAAAATTATTTTAAAATTATATATATATTTTTTTAGTTATTTACTTCTTTTTGAGGATTATAAAAAAGAATTTTTCTATAGGGTAATATATAATAAATGACGTCTTTTAATTATTCTACTGAGGAATGATTAACCCTTAAGAATGGTTTTTCAAAAAATGGGCATTTGTCATAACAAATAAAGAAACATAAAGACTATTTAAAAAAAGCAATTTATGTATTTCTCATTATATCTTAAAAATATTTTATATACATGACATAAAATTCTGATGGTTTTTTGATAACTTGCATTTACATTATAAGAACATAATATGGGATGAAGATTCTTTTAAATATCATAAATTATTTGCAACATAGTATCATTTTCGTGTTTTTAATATTGGAGTAAATAAAAAGTGAAATAAATTACTTCATCATTTGATATATTATGAATTATAAGGAAAAATATATAATAGTAAAAAGTTCCCTTGGAAAAGCTAGCTCATATTTTGTTAATTGTTAATACGTATAAAACTAAAATAAAGCAAGAAAAAGTGCTTTAAGTTTCAACGAAAGATATATTATAATAATCAATCTTTTAAACTACGTGTTTCACATAACATTTATGTTATTTTTGATGTTGAAAAAATGTAAAGAGGTTTTGAGGAATTTTGCTGCTAGGGAATAATAAAAACGAAAGCACACTGGATTATTTAATAAGAATGGATTCATTTTTTCCCCCTGTTTTTTTTCTTTTTTATTGATAGAAAAGTTTATTAAAAATTCTATTTCGTCAGCATGATGTTCAGCATATGTGTGTATATATACAATGAATACAATTTGTTTTTTTTCATCTTTTTGTGATCAGGATAAATGTACCTTGTTATTATTCATTTTGATTTAGCTTGTAATTATAAAGCTGTATTATATTTTACCTATCATATGAACGTATCTACATAGCATGGGGTACATAATTCAATTCATATGAATATTTATTCGACGTATTATTGTTACCTACTGTGGTGAAACATCTATAAGTATTCGGTTTTATTTACGCAAACCCTCTTCTTGCATCATAAAAAAATAAAATTTTACTTACTTCCTTTTGAGAAAGTGATTTCTCATAAAATAAAAATTGTAATAGACGTCATAAAAATGTTATAATTTGCTTAAGAAGTTATATTTTTAAAACAATACAGAAACAAACTGTACAAAAAAATAGGTTCAGGAAAGAAAAAGGACATGCTGTATGTATAAATGTATACATATATATGTATGTTTCAAGAAAAACAACATTTCTTTTTTTCTGGGTTTATATGTACCCAACTTGAATAAAAAACGACTCGTTTTCTATTTGCACGTAGAAAAAAGAGTGAATAAAAAATAGGTGTCTGTAACTAAATACTAAAAAAATCACAATGCTGTAATAATCCATTAGATGAACCCAGTTTATGGTATTATACGTTTAGGTTAAATAATCTACATACGTTAACAAATACTAATGTTAGTTTTTGTATTTTATATATAAAAACATTGATGATGAGGAAACCTTAAAAAATTATATTCATATATTTGAAGCTTATAATTAAATGTTCGTTCCAATATGATATTAGAATTATTCTTCCTTCTTACCTTTCTAAATAATGCTCTGGGTCATCTCTCAAATCCCATTCTTCCTTAATCATTTTTAAGAAAAGCTTAAAATCACTTTCACACCACTCCATCATAATTTTGATAAGTTTCTTTTTTTCATCTAAAATGAGGGTTGAATCATAAAGATTTTTTGTTATAGAAGAATATAGACCCTCTGCATATTTACACCACCTCGTTTTCCACATTTTATCGCACCAATAATGATTCATATGATCCGTAAATTCTTCATATCGATTTGCAATATCTGCCATCATGTTATCAAACTCTTTTTTGCTATTTTCAATAAGTTCTTCTAATGTTTCACTGTCATCAATATCATTTTCTTCAAGTGAATAATTAGAATTATAAAATTCCAAGGTGTTTTCGGATTCATCTTGTTGTTCTAATGAATTTTCCTGTATTTCTTCAGGTGCACTGTCAATGTAATATTCGGCTATACTTCTCTTATATATTATATGTGTTCCTTTACCATTAAATGTGTTTTTACAATAGGTAGAGTATTTATTAATATCCCTGTTATTGAAAATTAATGGTATACATTTAAGAATATAGTTCTTATTTTGTTTGTATTACTCAACAGCTTCCATGTGACAAAAAATGTACACATGCAGGGACGAAAGCATTTGTACACACACGCATGCATATGCAAATATAACAATATGATGAATAAATTTTACTTGCAGTCAAAGGAAAAGCGGTGTGTCCAGAATAAAAAGGTTAAAGATATAATATTAACAAAGAAGGCTATCATAAGGGTTTTCATATTTTTTGATTTCGATTTTACAGTTGCGGTAGAAGATTCCAGTATAAGGGCATTTTTTACTTGAACGGATTTACTTCTAAGCTTTGAATAATCTTCTAAGTGATTGCAGAAGTACATCCTATTAAAATAACATACCTTCAAAATGTCATAATAAATATATAATTTTGAGCTATTCTATAAGGGGCACCTTGCTATACTTGAAGACTCTTATATGATCAAAGAAAATGAAGTAGATGTGATTTGTAAAATGATATGTAAAAATATATATTTTTTTGAATATATTTTTAGGTGCCAAAAAAAAAAAAAAATAAAATAAAATAAAAATAAATAAATGATGTGTTGAAAATTTTAATTAGGAAGAAGAAAAAAAGGAATGTGTTTTGGACATAAAAATTAACATTTATATGATTTCACAAAACACCATTCTGCAATGATATGAATCAAATGAATATAACAACACCATATCGTTTAATTCGAATGACTTTGAAAATGATTAGATTTCATCTAAAAATAAGCAAATAAAAACCAACTTTAAAATCATGTTTCCTTATTACTTCAATTATTTGTCAAAGTGTACATTTACTAAAATATACTTTTAATGCTTTTCCATAAGTTGTATTAATGAATATAGATATAAACCTCGTTATGTTATAATTTTGCTTAATTTTATATTTGATTTAGTTGTCTTGCATTTTTTAAATTTGTGAAAAAAAAAAAAAAACCTTCTTCTTTTGCATCCATTTCACTATCTACCTTTATTTTTATATACGAAGTGCAAATAAGGTTTGAAAAAAAATAAAATAAAATAAAAAAGGCAGGGACATTACAAGGATTCATCATGGTAGAAAAAAACACAAATAAATATTTTATATTGTTGTGTACTCATATATTTAGAACTCAATTTAGTATATATAATATTATATACATTTATATATATTTTTTTTTATAGAATAATTTTAGTGCTCACTTAAGGTAGTAGCGAACAATGTTTCAGCCTTTAGGATTTATTTTTTCTTTAAATTAGAGCATCATATATTAATAGCTCAAAATTCCAACATTATAAAAGTATATTGTATAATATATGAGAGTTCTTAAAAAAGCATGTTCTAATAAATAGAAGGGAAATAAAAAATCATTTCAGAGAAGCAAAATTAGGATTGCCTAGCTTTTAAAAAAAAAATATTGTTCAAATTTTTTTTTAACATCTATAATTAGGTTTGATGCTGTTATAAAATATATAAGTTGCACACGATAGGGTTTCATAAATGAGATGAAGTATTTGCAACTGAAAACTGAATTTACATATTTTATAAATTATTTTTAAAAGGTAAAAGAAGACGAATAGAATATTTTTAAAGAGAAAAAATATCAAAAAAAATAAAATAAACAAAAAAAGTAAAATGTAGGGTTTGCAACAAGCTATCATTTTTGAATAATATTTAGTAGTTTTATAACTCAGACTTTTAATTTTATAGTAAAATAAAAACTGTGGGAGGCACTATGTAATAAGAATGTGTTTTTTTCGTCAAACATCGAAAAATTATTAGTAAATATATATATAAGAGGCTTTTTATCCTTAGACTTTTCAAAAAATTATAAGAATATTTTGCTCTTTTTTTTATTTACACCTGAACTTCGTTTAAATTTTATGCAATTTTTCTAAAATACACACTTTCAAAGTTTAGATAATACTATAGAACTTGTGTTAATATTGTTAAATTATCTACACTAGTCTTTAGTGTTTCTTTTTATAATTTGAATAATTCTAAAAATTAATCAAGATAGTTTACGCACACACTATCTTCTTTATTATGCTAAATCTTGCATCACGCAAATCTTAAAGAGTGTTATTAATAATGCAAAACATATAAAAGTCAATTTTTCAGTTGTAACACTTTTTCACAACATCTGTACAATTTTTGCTTTCAAATTATGAAAATGGGGAGGGTTCAATATCGTAACTCATATTTTTTTTCAATTAAAACAATGTTATTATCATAATTAGAAAAAGCAAAAGAAACTTCTTTTTTTTTATGTTTCATGTGTTTGACATCACCTATTAAGCAACAAGCACTTGTAATACACAAAATTTACATAAAATAATATTAGGGGAATGAACTAAGTTCGATTGAACATATGAAATATTAATAAAAAGGGTAAAGTTATTTTGAATGGCAAGTACAAAAATGTCGTATTTATTATAAACTATTTAATATATATAATATATATAATATGTTTGTGTTGCGATTATATTTCTCTGGATCTACCAAAAATGTTGGTTGTTACAGAAGCTTTCTAGGGAAATCCGTAGGCAAAAAAATATGCATCCTACACATTATTTGAACTTGTTAGTTTATAATGTAAAACCAAATAAATCAGCGTTATACAGAAAAACATAGATGTTTATTTTGTTATTGAATTGTTGAAATATACAATAAATTGTTACCTTTTCAGTACAATTTGCAAATGTGATTTAGCAGGTGTATAATAATTTCTAGATTTTTATTTGATTTTGTTATTCTTTAAAAAAATTTGTTTTAAATTTTCTTAAGTATTGCAAGGAATTAAGAAGTTTTCATTACAAAAAAGTAAATGCGCGAGTGTAACAAAATTTCTGAATAATTTACATTTTAAAAAGCTTCATATATCTAGCTTGAAACCACAAAACTGTGTGTGAAAATATATGTATTATGTACATTACTACTATGGTGCACGCAAATGAGTAATTAAGATAATTTTTTTATCACAAAAAAATGTGCTTTATGAATTAAAAAAAAAAAAAAAAAAAAAAATTTCATCCTTCTATTATTTTTATTTTGTTTCATTTTTTCTTATTTTTCACCGCATTCAATTGAAGCTAACTTGTTTTAAATTGTGAAAAAATCGAGATATGTATATATTTTTGTGGACAAAAGTACTGTAAATATATTGCAGTATTAAGAGAATTTTACTACGTAATAATTTGAATTTTTTAAAATTATTTTTTGAATTATATGCATTATAAATAATAAGAAAAGAATCGGAAAAAATACATATTTGATTCCACACACACCCTCGGTAACATGTGCATAATATGCTCATTATTTTTTTTAGTAATTCCGGTAAATTAAGTAACTAAATGTCAAGAAGTACTGATAATTTTATAGATGAAACAACAGAATAGAAACATATTATGAAATTTTTTACACAAAAGAGTTTTATAAGGAAAAGAAAAAAATTATCAACAACATACTATAGAAACATTTAACATCCGTTATTACATGGATTACATACATCATACGTACGTATACATGTTATTCTTTTGTAAGTTTTTTTTTTTTTTTAAATAGCGTGTCATTATTACACTTATAAATATATTAATTAATTTTTAAAATAAATATCTTACTACCCTTAAACATTGATGCAACTGTTCAGCGGTGTGGGTTTTTCTATTTACAAACATGTAATATATATTATATGTAATACCACCACATTTATCTGATTAACTTGTTTTCCTTTTTATCATGTTTTTTTGAAGTTACTTCTTTATTCTAAGTTTTTATTGTTTCCCTTATTTATTATGTTTTATTTCGGATTTTTCTTTTTAACAACCTTATGGCACTTTTTCCCTTTTTGATGTATGCTATAAAAGGATATTTCTAAATTTATATATAAAATAAATATATATATATTATGACATTTTTTACTAAAAAAAAAAAATTGCTTCTATGTAAAGGGTATATATATTTAATTTAATATGAGAACGCCTCTTTTTATTTTATTGCCTGCAACTTGCATAGTCGTATATTTTATGTATACGACTTGTTCAAATATTAATAAAAATTTCTATAGAAAAAAAAAAAAACAAAAAAACATCACATATATTTTTTTTACGCACGTGAAAAAATTGAATGCTATCATATGCGCAAAAAAAAAAAAAAAAAAAAAAAAAAAAAAAATGTTTTAAAAGGATGTAGTAAATAAGCCTTAAAAGAATTCATTAAAAGGCTACAGCTAAAAAAAAAAAAAAAAAAAAAAATAAATTTAAATTAACCACCACGTCGTATACAATAATGCTATGCTTAAAACTAAGTGTAATATTACTATATTAAAATTATTTGTTTAGATTGGTGGTTCTAATTATAGTAGTACATATTTATCATACATATATTAAGTCAAAAAATTTATCCATTTGTATTTATAGTTTTGTTCTTTATAATTGCTATAATCTCCTATTTTATAATTGAGTTTATACTATATTTTAAAAAACGTTATGTTGTTGTTTTGGATTCATATGAATAGGGGTCTTAATTTTTAAATAAACCATTAAAAAACTTTCTTCTATTTAAAAGTTATAGATTACTTATTATATTTTATAATTTTTTTTTTTTTTTTCATGTTGTAGTTTTTAAAGATTTTCAAATAACTTTTTTTTTCTATGTTCATTAACCTAATATGAAATTAAATTGTTAAAATTTTAGTAGGTCATTAAATATATATTTAATAATATGTTAGTTGTTTTATTAATAACATATGTATATATATATATATATATTTATTTTAATTTTTTATGATGAGTGAGTTATACTGTTCTCATGTTTTAGGGATGTTTTATTAGTGTAATTTTTTCTAAACTTATACTGTATAATACATGTTTTTATTAAGCTATTAATTATAGTTGTGTATATATATATTTTAAATTAAAAAAAATTGGTACATTATTTTGTGTCAAAGTATTTAAATTCCAGACACCAGCCTATTTTATGGAAACAACAATAGTGTAATTATTTATTTTAACACAGGATAAATGGCAACTCTTACGAATTATCTTAGGAGAGAAAAGCTAAATATTTTCCCCGTTTTTGTTAAAATATTTTTTTTTTCTATCCTAATATGGATTCTAACTTGTTTTAAATATGTGAGAAAATGATAAAAATAATTAAATTTTAGGATTGAAAATTTAGTGATTTTTTTACATAGAATATACTATATATGTTGCACTATTTTTTTAGATTTGTCCATATACACATTTACATACATTTTATATATATACACCATTCTGTAGAATAAAAATGGCATAAATAATGATGATGAGAGTATTTTTGTAAAAACATTGGATGCAGGAACTTACAGGTTGCTATCAGAGAAGGCAGAAGATTTCAGTTCTCCCTTTACAGGAATTCCAAATAAGTCAAAGGTTGGAATAAAAGGAACACAAAAAAGAAATACACAATTACAAAATAATAACCTTGCACATAAAAATGAAAAAATAAGAATACTTTAAAAGAGCCTTACTCATTTTTACTCATTTTTGTGAAAATGCAAAAAAGGATAAAAAGGAAAGATGTGATAAAATGAGAAAAAAGTTATAAGAATTTAAATAATAATGTTGTAAATTATTAAAAGAGAGTAATGAAACGTCAGAGACAACATCACTGAGAAGAGAATATTTAATTATTTTTAGATATTTTATATATGTAGTTATGTGTTCAAATATTTCTTTATTTACGAATTTCTTTATTTGCACTTTTCTTTATTTACACTTTTCTTTATTTACACATTTCTTTATATACACGTTTCTTTATTTACCCCTATTTTTTGTTTTTTTATTTAGGATTATTACGCTATATTAGGAATTTCTAGGGGCGCTGATGAAAATGAGATAAAAAAGGCCTACAGGAAATTAGCAATGAAGTGGCACCCGGATAAACACTTAAATGAGGAAGATAAAAAAATTGCAGAAGAAAAATTTAAAAATATTTCTGAAGCTTATGAAGTTTTATCAGATCCAGATAAAAAAAGAACTTATGATTTATATGGTGAAGAAGGCGTGAAAGGAAATATGTCTGCTGATGATGTCAATTTTTTTAATGCTGGAATGGACCCATCTGATTTATTCAATAAATTTTTCAATTCTAGCAACAGTTTTTCATTTACATCAGTTTTCGACGATGATTTCTCTCCATTCACGTCCTTCGTTCATAATATGAATACAGGACCTGGAAGGTCTGGGAGTTCAGGTTAAAAAATGGAAACATGAATTAACTGCACTAACATAAGTGTTATGATTTTGTGAATTCATGTATACATCTGTACACGCACAGAGGCATACGTATATACATATATATATATGTGTATATTTTAATCTCCCTCCACAACGACAGGAAAGAATTCGGAAGTTTATAAGTCAGATACATACGAAGTAAGTCTTATGTTGTCATTGGAAGAGTTATACAATGGATGTAAAAAGAAACTCAAAATTACAAGGAAAAGATTTAATGGAACTCAAAGTTACGATGATGATAAATTAGTAACTATCGATGTAAAAGCAGGGTGGAATGAAGGAACAACAATTACATTTTATGGAGAAGGTGATCAATCATCTCCTTTGCTAGAACCAGGTGATTTAATTTTCAAGGTAAAAATAAAAGAGCACGAACGTTTTATAAGGGAAGGTAATAATTTGATTTACAAATGTCACGTGCCTCTAGATAAAGCCTTAACAGGCTTTCAATTTGTAGTTAAATCATTAGATAACAGAGAAATAAATATAAGAGTAGATGATATTGTTACACCTAATTCAAGAAGAATGATTCCAAAGGAAGGAATGCCTTCTTCAAAAAATCCAGCAAAACGTGGAGATTTAATAATTGATTTTGAGGTTATATTTCCAAAAAGCTTAACCAATGAAAGAAAAAAATTAATAAGGGAAGTTTTAGCTAATACATTTTAAAAGGAGTGTATTGAAAGAAATTAAAAATATTGAAAAGAATGTTACATGATAAAGCAAAAGGGAAGAATAATAGAGCCCTGCAATATTGTGTAATTTCCTAAAAGTTTATTAATGTTAGTTAATATCAAGCACATTCGCATGCCGTGTTACCAAATTAATCCAGCTACTTTTTATGCAAGGAAAATTAAAGAAATTTAGATTTTTCCTAAATAATGCACGAAACAAATAATTAAATGAATTTTTTTTAATCCTTAAAGAAAAATAATATGTTGTAATTTTTTAAACACATATATAATATTTAATTAAATAGGAATTCTTCACTATTCTTTTCTTTTTTGTACATTCTCCATTGTTTTTCGTTTTATTATTATTTTTTTTTTACTTTTGGAAAATAATTTGTAGCTATAATTATATATAGCGTTCATATATGTTTTTCATCATAAAGCTAAATTAACCATCATATATATATATGTATATATGTACGTGCATAATATGTATGTTTATATAGCTTTTTGGGAAGAAAAAAAAGACAAAAGAATAAACTCTTTTATAAATTTTTTTTTTTTATGAAATAAGTATTAGGTTATTTTAAACACAAAATAATCCCCTAAATTACTTAACATGTACATACATACAAACGTAGAGAATATGTTGCCCAATGTCCCCATGGATAATACCTTAAGAGCAAATAAAAAATAATTACTCATAGAATACACTTTAATACATTATACTATTGGAACATTTTTTTTTGTATGTAAGAATTAATGCATCTAATTTAATACTCTTTAATGGTATCTTCTTAAGTATAATGTAATATTTGGTGCTATGTAACCCGAGTAAGCATGATTTACATTTTTAGGAAATATTAGCACTGCAAGTTACAATGTTTTTATTATAGTTTTTATCTACTTGTTTAGAATATTCGGAGTAATATAAAAAATACTATACAGCTTGATTTAAGTAGCAATTAGGAACAATCTATCGTTGTAATTTTTCTTAATCAAGAACAGACGGAAAAATAGTAATGAATAAATTTATAAAAGTCAAGTAATACATAATTTATTTTGTTATTATATTTTTCTTCGAAACATGAAAGAATTTTTTACATGCTTTTGAAAACAGGATTAGCTATTTATATTGGAACATATAACCTAAAGCTAAGATTGTTACAATAAATGATAATTCAAGTATTACAAGGAATTAAGTTTATACAACTATTAATCTTCAAGTTATGTATAATAATATAAACATACATTTCAAATAGAGCAATTGTTTTGTAAAAAAAAAAAAAAAGAAATATATTCTTTTTTATTTTATTCTCAGTGTAACACTTTCCTTTGATAATCATTAAAGGGTCAAAATCAAAAAAGGATTAAAAAACACGTTGATCATGGAGGTCTGAATATGGGAAGTTTATTAATACATATTTTTTTTAGGATCTATTACACTAAAACTGTTTCGTAAATGAAACCAAGCCTGAATCTTTAATAAATAAATACCTTATGATAAATTGGGAGTGTCACAGCAAGATTATGCTTATAAGGTTAAAGAGGTTTATTAACTTAACTTTTGATGTAGAATAGTGAACACTAAACATGTGAACTGATTATGGGGTATGTCGTGATATATATAAGAAAATAATAGAACTGTGCATAAGACGGTGAATATATGTATGGAACGCCATACAAGAAATGTCTAGATCAACATGTAAAATGAACATGTGACACATAAGAGAGGCATATATAACTGAATGCGAGATATTTTTTTAAATATTATAAATTTTTTTTGAAAAATAATAAAACGGAAAGGCAAAGTGCACCAAAAGGGAATTATTATGTGCAGTAAAAGGTTACACAAAAGAGGTTATATAAAAAAGAATAAACACTAATGTATTTCTTTATTTAATAACTGCTTTCAGTGCAAATTAAATTCTATTTAACGAAACTATTATATACATTTTAATCAATACTTAAAAAGAGTTTTCAAATGTTAATAACAAAAATAGCTATGAAATAAAAATTCAAATACTTAGGGTTTAATTATATTAATTATCACTTCTTACAATATCAATATAATCATATATGTAGGTACATATGTATATATATATATATATATATAAGAAGTAACTAAATACAATACTTTTTAGAAAAATATAGTTAAAATTTAAAAATACACAATAGAAAGAAATAAATATCATTGAATATTTTCCCCGAACTAATTACACAAAATTAATTATTTAAAAAAACAATTTAAATATAAAAATGTTTTTTTTTTTTTTTTTTTTAGGGGGGAAAACAGAACTGTTATGAAAGGACTTTTTCTAAAAAAGATAGAGAAGATGAACCAAATGTTGTATTAATGTTTAAGAAATGTGCTTGTATACACGGATACATAAAAACATGTGTATACAGCACCCATTTTTGTATTTTGAATACATAAAATGTCATGTATATGCAAACTATATTTAATTTGTTGATTTATTAAAATAAATTTTTAATTTCGGGATTTTGGCATCGCTTTAAAACGATAATTAAACTTTTTAAACATTTTGTGCATTTGTTTAATTTTATTTAATTTAATCTCGTAGTAAACTACCATAATAAGACCAACAATACAAAAGATAGAAGCACTTATTTCATATTTTAATGATGCAAGTATCAACACGGTTACAACATTAAGCATAAGTGGGAAAAATAATCTGTATTTCTTTAGACAATGTGACATAGTTCTACCTACAACAGTTGATTTTGAAGAATACTTGTTGGAATTTTTTATTTTCATTGAATGTATCATTTCGAATTCAAACATTGCGTCTAATTTTCTTAGAAAATTGCGTAACGAAAGTTTTTTTTCATTTGCTTTTTTAGCCTTTTTTGCTTTAACATACTCTTTTTTCATTAATTCCTCCTCTATTTTTAAACGACTATCTGGCTTTATTTCACATGTTTCCTTATAATTAGGTTTTCGATTTAACATATCAAAACGGTCATTAGTATTGTCAATAACGCTTGGAGTATGTCGTGATTTAGAATTGGTATAATGTTTTGAACCATTTATAGCAGACTTAAAATATCCTTTTTCTTTTAATGTATTAAATTGTTTAACGAAATCGTCTTCTTCTTTTAATGCATTGTATTGTCTTTTGAAATTTTCTTCTATGTCGAATAATTTGTGTGGTTCTTTAAAAATATCATCATAATTCTGCTGTGCACCGTTCCTTTTCAAATTATATTTACGTTTCATTGAAGTTGATGATTTTTCATGATCGTAAGCAAACTGTTGATTATTAAATTGTTCAAAAGAATTGACATTAGAATCTGGAGAATGTGGAAATGTGTGACAACTATCATTAGAATAATCTAAATTTTGAAATTCACCATATTTAGAATTGAGATTGCGTGAAGACGAAAAACTATCACAGTTATTATTCGAATTGCATGTGTTTGGATATTTGCTATGGTTAAAATTGGAATTACGTGTATTTGGATATTTGCTGTGGTTAAAATTGGAATTGCGTGTATTTGGATATTTGTTGTGGTTAAAATTGGAATTGCGTGTATTTGGATAATTGCTGTGGTTAAAATTGGAATTGCGTGTATTTGGATAATTGCTGTGGTTAAAATTGGAATTGCGTGTATTTGGATGCTTATTATAGTTAGAATTAGTCTCTTGAGAATCTGGAAATTGTTCATAATTATTACTAGGAAAAGGTTTACTGAATAATTCTTCACAGTTTTTCTTAACTCTCGTTTGACTTGGGGGATTCTGAACTTTTGTGTTTTCGTTTACTGCGTTCAACTTTTTTTGAAATTTCTTATCTTTTAGTAATTTATGAATTCGTTTTTGGATATATTTATCTTTCAGTAATAAAGATAATTGTTTTACCAATGTTTTTTCATTATTTTCTGAGTTATCCACATATTTTTCTTTGGATGACGAATCTGTTTGTTTGGGATTCACAATGGTGTCCTCCTCCTTCAGCAGTCCACTAGTTCTTAGTCCCTCTGCGACATTTCGCTTATTTTTAGCTTGACATGATTTCCCAAAGGATGGTAACTGCAAAAGACAAGCGTTATTTTTATTTTAAAAAATATATGCATTTTGACATTAAAAAATAGTTATATTAAAATGAAAGTAATGTAGAATAAACCAAAGAAAAATCAACTACGAAAAAAAGAAAAAATAAAATAAATTAACACATTTAATTAATTATCACCCCCTCCTTACCCCTTCTAAATGTTGCCATATCCATATTAAAATGGAACATATAAAAATTTTAGTAAACAGACGTAAGCATCTATTTATCCTTTCTTTCATGCGTTGTTTATTTAATGTTATTAAACTGTGGGAACAATAACAATTTGTATTGAGTACGATACTTTCCTAAATAACCTTAAATGGTATAGTTGTATAATATTTACTTTCTCAGTTATAACATGTATTTTTCATTTTTTTGGGGATGTTAGAAATGGCTTAACAACCGACCCTTTAAACATTAACTTAAGAATTCCGTTAATAATGTTATATAATTATAAAAGGCTTACACAAAAAAAATTCCCGTTGGAGTAAAAATATATTTAGGAAAGTGTTTCACATAAGAAATGTTTCAAAATAAGTTTAATGTAACTGTAAATAATAAAAAAAGGCTACTAATTTGTAAAATTAACTAGTGTAATTATTATATTTATTCACAATGAATTAAATATTGAAAAAAAATATAACAATAAAATAGAAGAAAAAATATACCCCCCAAAAAAATACGGCTGAAAGGGGGCTATTTTGAAATGGGAATACATTAATATTGTAAATGAAGAATTTTTTTTAAAATAATTTACTCTTTATCTTTTTTATAAAATTCATTAACATTTATGAATTTGATAGTTATTATAATTAAAAATTAATAGTTATATAAAACGTTAAAATAATACAGTAATTTTTTTATGCTATGTTTTCTTCAGATGTTAATTAGGGCATTTGGAAATGTATGGGGATTGTGGGAACTATTATCATTAAATACATTGACAGTAAAAGCTTTTAATGAAAATCGATGAAATATAATTTCAAAAGATAAACGCACAAATATAATCTTTTTTTTTTTGTATAAATACGCATAAAATTATGTAAATTTTTTATAATTTTTTTTTATTTATTTTTTTAATTATCAGATTAGTTTAATGTATTTGCATTCTTAGTAACCCAAATAATTTTTTATTACAAGGAAAATGCAATCACAAAATCTAAAAAATTATTTTATAACGGTACGAGAATATTTTTTTTCATAAAAATTGTATTATATATATATTGAGTATAAAATAATATATAAAGATAAAAAATGAAAAAAAAGAAAAATGAACTTAAAAACAAATTATATGTGTATTTTATATTTTTTTTCAAAGTTTGACGCATTTGCAAATGTTTCTACTCGACATGATGATATGTGAAAATCATTTAAGTATTTAATTTTATATCAAAAATTCCTCATTTCATTTTGTTAATTGTATATGTATAAATCTATAAACACGTTTACCTGTATTATATCATATGTGTTTATGATAAACACTTACATATTAGAATGTGCTTAAATACTATGTTTGAAAAAAAATATCATGACTTAATATTTTTGTTGTTCAAATTAGGTAAAGATGCATGTTTTCTCATACCATTTTTGATTATGCAAAAGTGCTGAGTAGTTACTTATATATTAAGGAATCATTTTTTACTTCATTTAATTATGAAAAGTAGAAAAATTATTAAATTATCAATTATGTAAAACGCTTCTGTAATAACATGCGAAGACTGGAGCTGTAGAAATGTTTTAGGTGTATACACGTATTCATTCTCAAAATTTTTGGTAATACTTTTATTACACCTTTGTTGTATAAATCTGTTTTCCGTCACATAAATTGTGGGAGAGGGTAAGCATATCTATGGAATGTGTAGAATAAAGATGAGTAATTTTACTGTATTTATTTGTTAGACAATTATATATTACTTCTATCTTGGTGTATATGTCTAATAGTAAGATAAAACAAAGGATAAGCAATTTATAAGGAGAAAGTTGATAGATATGTATTGAATATTTTTCCAATATAATATGTTGACAAGAACATATAATGTGTATATGATAAGTAAAGAGTATACGAATATGCATCAAAATAAACTAATAATATTTATATAAAATGTGATAACTGTGTTTTAGTGTAAAATTGCGTAAATATGTGAAATGTCTCTGAGTAGTGGACTATATAAAAGTACACTAAAAAAATGGATAAACCGAAAACAGTATATAGGAGAATACGCAACATTTTATGTGTTTCACCAACGTCTTTTAAAATGACAGGTGTACTTATATAATTTAATTGTGCAATGTTACATAAATTAAAATACAAAATTAATAACCGCAGCGACAATTTATGCAATTTTAGAAGTAACATTTTCGTAAAAATAGGATTACCAAATAGGAAAATTAAACACTATACACTGAACAAGAAGATACAGTTATACCTTTTCTATGTGCTTATAAATTACACGCTAATTTCCTTTTTTTTGAGTCATAAAAATATTCACAATAGTGAATTCCATCTCACAAAAACATATATTTATATTGATGATGATAAAAATTAGTGTTATCTTATATTAAATAATAGAATAATTATATTGATTTTAGCTTGTAAAGGTTAGTTAAGATTTTCAGTACTTATTAGATCGTTAATATATTCTGCTCTATGTAATAATCACACATACATGTGTTTATTAGTCTTGGTTCCCCAATATAAGGTTTTTCAGAAATACTGGGCTATGAACACACACTTTTAACTCCTGCTTTAATATACCGATTGAAGAGCTAATTCTTTAAATGTGTAAAACTTTTTAATTATACATATAAAATAACTATAAACGGAAAATTATTATTTTTAAAAACCCAATATGCATTGTCTAATTATATCCCATTAAAATCAATGTCGTGCAATAAATATTTCATAAAGAACTAGTTAAGGAAACTGTATGTAACAAAAAACAATAATAATCCCTAATTTTATACACGAAATGGTATAATATAGATGGTAAAACAAAAGGGTTCTTCCATGTACCTATATTTTTAAGTAATCATCATGAAGAAATGCTATTATCTATAACGGAAAGAAATAATTCTCGTCTCATCCTTTTAGACGGTATTGTGAAAATCAATACAATAAATAGGTTGTAAATATGAAACATGACTGTTATCTTAAATATATTCTATATTATAATTTTTTATTTAATTAAAAAGTATTTTTTTTATTGTTCATATTTTTCAGAATCAAATAGATATATTTAATGTGACACGCATATGTGAATATATGCTCATAATATATATAGTAAGCACACATATCGAAATAAAATGATTTTTGTCTAAATAATATTTTTAAATATTTATCACCACACTGATAAATATAATAGTCAAATATGGTGAGTAAGATGTAACAAATAATACTCGCACATGGAAAAATAAAACACTTTGATTAATTTAAAAAATAAGTATGCACAATAAACAAAATAGCTCAAAATGGCCCTGTTCTTGGTGAGACATGTAAAAAATTTATTATTTAAGTAATACGAAAAATTGGAAATGACAAATTTACATAAAGTACAAACTAATATTGTTTGTTTTATATGAAAATTAAAATAAAATAAATATATCACATATATTACAAGCGGCTTAGTTGTTTGCATATATAAAAGATGTAATACAAATGCTTTTAAATTATGCGCAAACTAATGATTTTTTATTTATGAATTTACAAGAATTAAGTCCTTTATTACAATTATTAGCTTTCTTTATTTCTATTTTCTTAACCTTTTCCTGGGAGGTTATATATTTTAGAACCTTTTTATACTTAAAGGTAACATATAATATTGATATACTTGTCAATATAAAAGCTAAGGGAATGGTATAAATCTTATAATCGAATAATAATGTAATAAAAGAAATCATAGAAAGTTTAATAATTGGAGAAAGCATCTTAAGCATATCTTTAGAACTCATTTTAGGTTCCTTTCCATTAACATCATTATTTTTTTCTTTTAGCAATACATCTATTAATTGTGCTTCATAATTGGAATCAGCCTTTTTTATAAAATTAATTATCCCCGAAACAATAGGTATTTTTTTAGATTTCTTATTTCCTGAATCATATTCGTTTTTTATTTGATTTGTTCTTTTGTTTTCACTTGTACGCTCATTTTTGCATTTATCCAGATTTCGATTTCGTTTTCTATACTGGTGCGCATTCAGGTTGCCAGATGGGTTCATATTTGTTTTTTCTATTGAGCTCACTTTCTGGTTTTTAAATGGGTGCATATTTTGGTTTCTATATGAGTGTACATTTTTGTTCACATAAGAGTGCATATTTGGTTTTACGTATTGGTTTATATTTCCATATTCATGGCGTGGAGGACAAAGATATGGGTTTAACTTATTACATACATTGTTAGTATCGAATGTTACAGTGCTAGCATATGATTCTGAAGGAATGTGTGGTTTCTTCTTATAATTCACATGATTCGTCGTTGCAATATATTCAGTGTTAAAATTATTAGGATCCATTAATAAAATAAATTGTCTTTTAAAATTTTCATCCTGCATACAAGCTTTTAAACGATTTAAAAACATTCTATCATCTTCGTCTACTAATCCCACTAATTTTTCTTTTAAGAATAAATATTTTTGCTCAAATTGTGTTTCTTCATGTCCTTTCAGTAATCTGCTAGTTTTTAAACCTAAAACATTAGTCATACTTCCCGTGTTAAGTGATTTTCCAGATTTATGCTAGAAATTGTGGTAGCATTCAACATTTTAAATTGTATATTTTCTTTTATATATTAATAATAAAAAATACGCATAATGAAAAATAATAATATGAAAATATGTTCAAGAAGGAATAGACTTAATTTTTATGTTACCTCATTTGAATATTGGCATATCCACGCCAAAATGATATAGGTGAAGATGATTGTAAAAAAATATTTCTTATTTGTATGTTGTCTCATCGTGGGTATTTTTAAAGTCTATAAATTTTTTATAAGAGTATATTTTAAAAAGGTCATTTTTAATAATATTAAATGCAATCGTTTTAAGTAGAAATTTTCTTATTTACAAATTTTCTATTACTTTCTAAATATTAAAAAATTTTAGACCTTGAACTAAAAAAAATTGAAGCATTTTACCGAATGTAAGAAAATAAAAAAAACACATTAAAAATATTTAAAAGAACAGTAATATAATTAAAATAATTTAATTCAAAAAAAGCACAAAAAAAAATAATAAAAACATTTAAAATATAACGATAGAACAGATTTTATTTTAATGGGATCTGTAAAAAAATAAATAAAAAAAAAAAGTAAAAATAAAATCAATATCCTAATTCTGAAAAAGTAAAAAGAATAAAAAATAACATTTTTTCCTCCTTCCCCTTTTTATTTATTAGGATATATTGTTTCAATTTTGTTCTATAACACAAAATAAAATTTAAGTAAGTTATCTTTTTGCTGCTATGGTATTCCACTATTTAGAATTAATAAAATGTAATTTTTTTAATTATTAAAAATAGGTTATTTTACCTAAAAGAAGTTCATATGGCATTTTTGTGGTTATTTATAATAGATAACTAGTAGTAAATGTGAAAAATAAAAAAAAAGTACAAATTAACATGTAGATGTATAGTAAAAAAAAATAATGTAAAAATCGCACAAGTGTACATGCACAACATAAATTATTTAAAAAAATATTAAAATAATTAGTACGTTAAGCTTAAAAAATGAAATGGCGAAGTGAACATCTTCCCTTAATTTTCCTCATATTGACAATATTATTTATTATTTAAAGGTGTATATATATTCATTAAAGTTTGAAAAATCATTTTGTCACTCTTCAAGCATGCGACACTTTTACCCATGAATAACAAATCAGGAAAAAATTCTAAAGTCACAAAATTTTACGAGGTCATATCTCACTTTGTATTGACTTATTTTCTGGTTATGGCAATGGGATGAAAAATGGATTAGAAGAAATACAATAAATGAAATAAAACAGATATAAAAGTAAAAACTGTTTTTTCATAAATTCTTTTGCAATATATAATAACTATGGTGGAAATTTTTGCATAGAAAAAATATTAAATTTATTAGAAGCTTTAAATTTTTTGAAACAAAAGAAATGATCAAAATAATGTCCTTTAACCTTGCAAGTTTTTTAAAAAAAAATTGCATTCTATAAAGTTTATTATTTCAGGTGTTATAACTTAGAGAATTTACTTTTTCAACATGGTTAATTAGTCCTAAATTTATCAAAGGATTTTTTTTTTTGGTACATGAAATCGGGGCGTTAGATTGATATAAGGAGACACGTAATATTGACATAAAAAATAGACATCTGATTCCTTGAGACCCTATCCTTTTTGCAGTAGTAGCGCACAAGATGATAAAATGTTTCGAAATTATGCATAGAATATATATATATATATATATATATATATATAAGGTGAAATAAACTAATTATTATAACGTAAAAGAATATTCAGGAAAAGCATTAAGAAAAGAAATGAAATTTTTGTGTTCCCTTTTTTGAAAATACAATTATTTATAAAATTTCTCCACAATGTATTTTCTTTATTGCCATATATATAACAAAGCACCTTTTAACATCTTTCTTTTATTTAAAACTTTTCGATAATTATATGTTGTGCTTTATAATAAAATTTATCAATTAGTCAATTTTTTTATTTTCCTATTTTTTAAGAACACGGCAAGTTGTGCACAAATGATATGTAATATTTCGTCTTATTAGGACAAATATAATAAAATGTGCGCAACATTTTTATAAATATTTTATAGGAAATTGCTAGTTTTGCAACTAAAGATTATGAGCATAATCAATTTTCTTTTTGCATTTTTTCCAACGTTTAACTATAGACACTGTGCATCAAGCAACCTTTCCTGTAAAATGTGAGTGAACAATCAAACATTTTTACATCCCATAAAGGTACGTTATACGTATTATGAAACAGAGTGGCACTATATTGGATGATTGTACACCTTGACGCGCGTTATAAAATTTTTTATATACTTATTTTTCATTATTATGGACACCTCGCCAAAAGCTAAAATGGTTTGCTAAAAAGGTGTATGAACTCTGAAAACAAATATGTCTTTTAGGATATCTTTTGTAAGATGTCTGAATGTAATGAGGAGTTTAAAAAAAACTTTTGTATTTTGTAGCTATTTCATAAGACAAGTGTTACATGAAGTGAATATAATATATAAACAAATTGTCTGTTTATGAAATACTTTTAGGAAATATTTTTATATTTTCTTTTTTTTGCTATCGTGATTTGGGTTTTAAGCAGAAACGTGTTTCTTTGAAAAAAAATTCGATTATTTTTATAGAAAAATAAAATGCGTGCATGTGTGCACACTGAACATACAAATTAACAGTGTGTATCATTATGTAGAGATAACGAAACGATTAAGTACCAATTTGATATTTATTACATACATAGTAAGATACTTTAATAGTAGATAATATTAAAATATTTTGTCCATATTGTACAATGCTTACTATGAAATCATTTTATAATTGATAAAAATGCTATTTATTAAATAATTTGGGGTAATGCACATCACTTGATGCTATGGGTATAACATAAAAAGGAAAATTAAAGTAACATTAATATATCAAAAAAATGTACAAAATATATGCTAAAATGGAAAAAAAAAATGTACCTATTTCTAATTACACTTAAATTATAAAAGATTATGTACACATTTATTACGTCAATATTACTATTGAGATAGCAGCTCCAAGTAACAAATTGTTTATCTTAAAATATTTAATTTTTCTTGAGAATACGAATGTGTGAGAAGAAAATGGTGTTGTGCACATATAACTTTATGTAAAAATTAACTTATAATACAAATTACATAAAATATAAGACGAAAAGGAATTACTATTATTTATTTATTCATTTATTTATTGTTTTTTTTTTTTTTTTTGAAGTAAAATAACATTTTTTAGTAGTATTGTTTATCAGATTAAAAAAAACAAAATAAAATATCAGCTGAAATATAAAAATATTGAAAAATAATAATTTTCATTTTATGAATTAGATTTACATTAATCATGAAAAAAAAAAAAAAATGCTATAAAATTATCTTATTAAAACATGTTTTATGTCAATTCGTCCTTAGGTGAAAAATATATAATAAACGTTCTTATTGGAAATGTATAAAAAATATAACATTCCCTTTTGTATCTTTTTAAATAATTAATTTTGACTGATTTTCTGTGAAAACTTTCCACTGAAACTATAGATTAAATATTTGTTTTTTTATGATCATACTACATAACAACATGAGAGGTAGAAAAGTCTACACATTATTATGACCTTAATGTTTTGTTAAGCGGAAACTTGTGTATCCATTGCTTTGAAATAAATTATACAAAATTTACTAATTATATAATTTTTCCGTTTTTGCTAATAATAAAACTACATTTAACACAATTTATTGCTAAATAATATTTTGATTATACACAAGGAAAGGTTTATTTTTATCATCTTTTATAATTACATTTTTGAGCTATATGTTATCCATTTATATAAATTAAACACCTCCATTATTGTTACATTATGAATTGATAAAACTTTACGAGGTTTTTAATTGTCAGAAAGCTAAGAGAATAAAATAATTGAAATGACAACAGTTTTTAGTATAAAAATAAAGATATACGTAAATAAAAATAATTATTATTTTAGCAAGGGAAATTATTCTCACAGAACGATTGCAATACGTAAAATGTTATTACCAAATAAATAACTTGAATACAGCTAAATTTTATATACAGGAAATAATGATTTAATTTGTTATTATATTATTATGAATGAAATTATTTTATATATATAATAATAAAAATTAAAGAAAGTTTGCAACTTAGAACAAAACAATATATATTAAAATGAGTATCACGGTGTGTACTTTTATTCTGTCTTAAAAATTTTAATATTTAAATTTTTATTAAAGCAGGCACAATGTTTAAGAAATACTTAATAAAAACAAATGGGATGTTAATCGTGATATAAAAGTGAATGATGTGTTTTTATATTTAAATATGTGTATATTTAAATTTTTTGTGATTTTAGCTCTATATCTAAAAATATAATGACTACTGAGGAAAAATGGGTATAATATAATTTTTTATATAATTTATGATTCTTAATTTATTTGAAAACTAGAATGATTGTAAATAATAAAAATAAATTTATTAAAATGCTAAATGAATATATAATCAATTTATTACATTTAATTTTTAGGAAAACGCTTTAAAAGAGCTACCTTCAAAGAAGATATACGGTGAGTTCAGTAGTAAAGTTGAAAATGATGAACTCAGTAGTGATTATTGCAAGATAGATGAATCACTTAAGGTGAAATATGGAGAATTTGAAGATTTTTGCAAGAAAATTGTAAGGAATTTAGATAAAGTATCTAAACCTATAAAAAATGATAGATCAAAAAAGAATGGTACGTATCAGTTAAGACGTCAGTTTAAGGAGAATTGTTCGTTCTTGAAATATTGGGTGTATGAACACTTAAAGGATATGACTAAGAATATGTTGACTGATGAAAATATAAATACAATTATGGACAAAATAGATTATATACAATACGATTTCAACAAAAAATCTGAGATAAATGTATGTTATAATAATTATCATGAATATAAGGATTATTCAGAAGACGATA